CCCCCAACCCCAACCCCAACCCCAACCCCAACCCCAACCCCAACCCCAACCCCAACCCCAACCCCAACCCCAACCCCAACCCCAACCCCAACCCCAACCCCAACCCCAACCCCAACCCCAACCCCAACCCCAACCCCAACCCCAACCCCAACCCCAACCCCAACCCCAACCCCAACCCCAACCCCAACCCCAACCCCAACCCCAACCCCAACCCCAACCCCAACCCCAACCCCAACCCCAACCCCAACCCCAACCCCAACCCCAACCCCAACCCCAATTTGATGAAATTATCATTTAAAGTTTAATTTATTTGAAATTTTAAGCAAGAATCTTTAATCTAAAACATAAAAAAGTATTTAAATCAATAATTTCATTAAAATAAAATCAAGCTTAAATTTTAATTTATTTAATATTTTTTTCATTTTATTTTTTCATAACCAATTTAAAAAAAGAATTTTATATTTTTTTATACTAAATTTAATTTATGAAGTTTAATAAAATTATAATGAAAGATAGGTAGTATTTTTGTTAAAAAAATTATAAATAATGGATTGATTTTGAATTTTATTAAAAGTAAATTTCTTTTAGTTGTTCATTAAAATTTGTTTAAAAAAATTTGAAACAAGAGCGCTACTTTTCATCCTTACAATAAGTAATAAACATGATATTAATATATATTTCAAAGTTTATTTATTAGAATTATTAAAAACATATTTTTGTATTTTAACTATATGAAATTATAAATTATCAAGACTAAAGTTTTTAATTAAATAAATTTTATTATATAATTTTTAATTTTTTTTAACATAGAGCAGCATTAAATAACACTTCTATATAATTTTTATGATGGCTTCTGTAGTTATTTCAGAAAAATTTGAATTTTTTAGAATTAGCCACCACTTACTGATAAACTAAGACGCACTCTTTCTTTTATTATTCTCCGATATTTAGTAAATTAAGTAAGATCTTAAGATATTCTTCTGCTTTAATAAATTCGTTAGTTTTAGAGCTTTTAATATTAAAAAAAATTAATCTCTGAATAAGCAATTTTAATTACTTTTTATCAAAATGAAGTTTGAAGAAATTCTAAAAGCTATCCTTAACAGCTTAATATTAATGACCTGCTACACTTTCTTTGAGCTGCTTTTCTAATTCAAAGATCTTCTTCTTTAATTATCCAATCTATATTAATTTATATATTAAATTAAAATTTCATTAAAAACTTAAAAAGAAATTAAAATTTTTAAATTAATCAATTTAATTTAACGAATTACCTGTTGCTAATACCTTTCTTCATTTTCTTCATGATCTTCAATTTCTTCCTTTAATTAGTCAAGCTGCATTTTTTACTAATCCATTTCCTGTCTCATCAAATTAATTTCAGCAGGATTAAGAGGGTTATTTACTTGCAAAGAATAGAAAGATGAAAGATTTCTTTTTAAGTCTTCATTTTCTATTAATAAGTTATCATATTTTCTCTTTATAGATCTATGTTACTATTTAAATTAAAAATAATATATTTAAATGATATTTATTCACATTTTTATATCTAGTTACTTCGTTTAATGATTATATTTAATGATCATATTATTCTTTTATATTTTTATCAACATTTGGCACTGAGGATTAGTTTTAAGATTATTAATTATATGAATGCTAAACTGATCCTTAATTAGATGATGGCCTACCTCCCATCTTTGAGTTTCTTTCCTATATTTCATCATTGTCTCTATAGGAAATCTATACAGAAATTTTTTTATCTTCAATAGCAATGTTTTCGATGTCATGGTCTGAAAGGAAACTTTAGTCTTTTTTCTATTCAACAATATCTGCACCAATAGCAGAAAGACCTAAAATTTCATTAACTTTTTCCATATTTTTATCTTCTCCAGTTTAGAATTCTTTTTGTAAGAATGATTACTGATGACTTTCAAGACTTTTTATCATTTCAAAAGATATTCAATAAATTAAATATTTATATATAAATTAAATGAATAAATTAATAAATAAATACTTGTTTTAGAGTTAGTAGATCTAGTCATCTTTTGCTTACAAGTTCCTTTGGAGATCTTCAAGTTAAGCATCTTTATCATCTATTTATTGTTCAAGGAATTTGAGAACATCATTTACATTTTATGTTAGTTGCTCTACAAAGGTTTCAAGAGGTAAATCTCTATCGACAGAGAATAAAGAAATACCTATTCTTTACATAGTTTAAGAGGTTTCAACATACTTCTTTACATCTCTTTCTAATTGAGTTACTAAACTCTTTAAAGCATCCATTTTTCTATTTACTACGAATACTTAGTCATCATATTCCTCTTCATCTCTTTACTAAATTTGCATTTTAATTAATTTCTCACCTAACTCTTCAACAGATTTTTGAAGTAGTATTTTTTCTTATTCTAGCTTTTCAATTTGATGAGATTTTTCAATATTTTCTTTTTCCAATTAATGTAGTTATTTTTCTATTGAAGACTTTTAATCCTTCAAATCATTTATAAATCTGTTTAAGTTAGCATTTGAATCCTCAACATTTATTTTTTCATTGTGAAGTTTTTCTATTTTTTGCATTTAACTCTCAATCTACATTTGAGCTTTTTCTAACTTAGCTTGAATTTCTTTAATTTTATTATCTTAATCTTCATTTACCGGAGAGGATGGATTTGATTTTAAGGAGCTTTAGCTTGAGGATTTAAGTTTCTCATTTAAGGCCTTAATTTGAGCATCATTTATTTTGAGGTATTCTTAGTTTCTTTTATCTTTTTTAATCAGTTCGCTTATTTAATTCTCATAATCTGCTTTTTATTTTTATAATTACTATTGGAGACGCTCTGCTTCCATACAGACTACTAAATACTGTTAGCTCAATTCCTAATTTTAACTTGACTTAGTGGACCTTTTCACACCTTTACTCTCTTCAAATTCACTAATTATCTGAGACTTGTAGATAACTTCTTGTTCAAGTTAAATAACTCTTTACTTTAAAATTTCTATCTCTGAATCATTAAAGTTTTATTAAATACTGATACCAGAAGTACCTTTTTGTAACTTAAGTCTTTCAGCTTCCAAGCAAACTATAAGATATTTCTATAAAAGTTAAGTGTCAACAGATGATTAAGTTTATTATGATTGCATTTATTGATTAAGAATACTAACCTTTTCTATATGAATATTGATTTCTGTTTCTAATTTAGATATTAATTCTTATTTGCTATTTATTGTTATGAGTAGTTCTGACATTTTGTGTTCATATTATTAAACTTATATTTATAGTTTAGATATTTACTAATCTTTATCAAAATCTACAGGTTAGTTTGATACAGCCATAGATTTAGATGATTAATTTAATGCAACTTACCTAAGTCTCTCTGCCTCCAAACAAACAATAAGATATTTTTAAAGTAGATTTTAATCTGTGAAATTATTTGATTAAATTTGCTATTCATAAATTTATATTTTTTAGATTTATTGATTAATAGTAGTACTGCTTATATTAAGCTCTTACTGTAGCTTACTTATAACTTCAATATGGTTTTAAATTTGAATTTCTAATTCATTAATTCTACTCTAATATTAACTTGTGTTAGAGCCTGAAGAAGAGTTTCTTTCATTTGCAGAGCTTTTTAATCTTTCTGATTCAAGACAAATTAATAAGTATCTCTAAGCTAATTAACTATATCTCTGAGATTCCCTTAATTGTATATCTTAAATTTATTTTTCAAATTCTTATATCCTAAGCTAGTAAGTTGACTCTATAGTATGAATTTCTTTTTGTAAGATTACTATTTGTTATTCTTTATCAGCACCTTATTGATTTATTTTTTATTATTGATCAACTTTTTGTTTTTCATCCATACCTAAAAGAGAAGCAATTTGAATTCTTAATTCATTTTCTATTCTTTACAACTCTGCAATTTTTTCTTTATTTTGAGTTTCTATCTCAATTATTAATTGCTTGTGACTTTCACTTTCGTTGGATAGTTGTATTTGATACTTATTTTCAACTTGAATTATTTTTTCTTCTAATTAGATAATTGTTAACTCTAATCTTTAATTTTCTTCATTTGACTAAGTATCTTATTATTAAAGCTATTATATTTTTTCTTCAAGTTCTTTGATCTAATTAAGATATTCTGTAATAAAAAAATTAAATACAACATGAAATATTTTTTTATTTCTTACTTTATATTAATTCATTTGAATCTGAAGGTATCATTTGCTTGAGTTCCTAAATCTCTAGCTCATATTGTTCTTTAACAGTTTATATTGCATCTTACTAATCACTTTCTGTATTAAGGATATAATCATTATGATCTTTGTGCATCTGCTAAATTTAACTTCTATACTTCTAATCGATATTCTATATCTCTTATTCAGCTTCTTCCCTAAATTTAAAATGAATTATAAAATATCTAAAAAAAATAAAACTTTACTTTGCTTTGTTCACAATATCTTCTTTTTCTTAGTTGATTTCATCTAAAGTTATTGTTAGAGTTTCAATCTTTTTTTATAACTCTTTTATTATGAATTCGTGGTTAATTTAGATTCCTTCAATATCTTTCTATTATCTTTCATTTAAGTCAGAAATTTATTTTTCAAATTTTTCAGTAATTTCTTTAATATTTTTTTCATGGTCTGCTTTTGATTCTTCAATTTATTTTTGATAATCAACTTGCAAAGCTTTAATTTTAGATTCATAATCATTTATTTATTTATCTAAATTATCTTAAATTTCTTTAACTTATTTATTGTGATTTTCATCCTTTTCAGCTATTTCTTTTTAGAATTCTTCCTTTAATTTTGAAATTAATTCCTGCTTTTCTTTATTACTTGATTCATTTGTCTATTTTTCAGATTCTTAAAGTGATTATATTTTTGTCTCATATTGCTATTTCAGCTCATTTATTTATATTTCATATGATTATTTTATTTCAGTTATTTTAGTCTCAAAAGTAATTGAAATTTAACTTATTTTTTCTTCATAAATTTTACTATTTTCAGATATTTTAGTTTCAAAATTTGTTGAATTATTTTCAGATTCTTGTTAAAGCTAATGTATTTTAATTTGGTTATCTGAATCTTTTTAACTTAACTATTTATTGGCTTCATTTAATTCAGCTATTTTTTATTCATTTTATTAAACGATATTTTAAATATCTTGTTAATATTTAGCAGTTATTTATTAAATTTGTTATTCACTTGATTAGTTGTGTTTTTGTGCCTCTTCTTTTTACTATTTAGTAATCTATTAAATTTATACCTCATATTATTATTTCAGTTAATTTAATTGTTATTACAAATGAATATCATTTTAATTTTGAATGTTATCAATTTCTTACTGATGCTTCTTAATTAGTTCTTATTGCTATTCAGCAGCTTCCTTTTGATTGCTTTCAATATGCTTTTTCAATTTTTCTATTTCTTTATCTAAATTATTTTATTCTTTTTATTGTATTTTAGCTTATTCTTCATTTTATTGCTGCATTTAGCTAATTTAGTTTTCATACTCTTTAATTTTTTATTGCTACTCTTTTATTTTTAAATTGTTTTATTCTATTAAGTTTTAATGTTCTTAGCAAATAGTTTAATTATCCTTCAATTATTTCTCAATTTTAGTTATTTTTTCATTCAATTAACTCTTTTCGCTTTCATGCTCATTAAGCATTTATTTAAATTGAAGATTCTTTTGTTAAAGGTTTTATTGCAGCTCGCTGTATTCATCTTGTAATTAAGAGAATTATTAACTTTATTAATTAGCTGATTTGCTATTTAATGTTCTTAATTCATTTAATTATTCTTCAAGGTTGTGCCTAGTTTATTGCAAGGACTATAATTGAAGCTGCAAGTCTTGTGAGTTCTTTTTGGAATTTCTTACATTTTCATTTAATTTTTCTATATCAGAATCCTTGGCTTGAATAGCTTATAGGTGCTAATTCTATAACTGCTTAACGTAATCTTAGTGTTATTCTTTTAAATTTTCTAGTTCTGTTTATAATTTTGAATACTTCTAAGTTAAATCATGGACTTTATCTTCTTGCTTTTTCAACTCTTATTTTAATTGATTTTCTTCTTAATCTCTATCTTTATTCTTCATTTCCTATTCAGCAATTTAGTCTTCTAAAGACTTAGTATATTTTGTAATTTCATTTTTAGAGGATACTATCTCATTTATTTCCTACTTGTGCTATTAATTAATTTGTTAAATTTATATATTATTTTATTATTAAATGATATTAATATTATTTGTAATTTCTAATATCTATGCCTCTTTTTCTTATAAGACCTGCTAGAATTCTTAAGAATTAACTTTCAAAATTTCATCCATTTTTGCAATTTATTAATCCTTTTCTTAAATTATTTTATTGTAATTCTCTTCTTATTGCTTTTATTTTTCAACTAAAGTTTATACTTATTATTAAAAATCTGCACTAAGCTTTTATTGAATTTATTTATTGAGTTGGCTTTCCTGCTCTTTGAGTTTATCTAATAAAACCTTATTTTATTCATTTTAAATTTCTATTGTTTTTTCTTAAAGAATAAGCTAGAAATTGCCTTCACACTCCTTTATTTTTTCTTATAAAATTTAATTATGAATTTCTTCAGATTCTTTTAATTTTTGTGATAAAATTTATTCAAATTAAGTCTATTAATCGATAATCTTTTATGACAAGTTTTGATTTTCACTATTTTAAATTTACTTAGCTTGTTCACTCAATATTTTGTTATGGTTCTCACTCTACTCATTCAATTTTTCTTAATACTGTGCTTCTAAATGTTTCATTTCTTCTTAAAATTTACTTTGTAGTTCGTTTTATTAATTTTTCAATAGCTTTTACAATTCCTTCTAATGTTGTGCTTCTTGCTCATTTAGCTTTTATTACAAGATAGCACTTTAAGCAGCCTCAAGCTCTTCTAATTTTTATTGTAATATTACTTAGAATTCTTGTTATATTAAGATAATTTTAGATTCGTATGATTAAGTGGTTTGCTAGAATAAGACTTGATATTATTATTCTTTTTCTTGCAAGATATTTTGGAAATGGATTTCTGTTTCTTCTTTACAATTTTAGATATTTTAAAGATTTTCTTTAACTAATTCAGCTCTAATTTGAGCGATAACTTATTCATTCTGCTTTTTTAAAGTGCTTTCCTATGTTTATGCCTGCAACTCTATTTATTGCTTTTAAATTTAAGCTTGATCTTGCTAGTCTTAAATAATTTCTTAGAAATTGATAATTTATTACTCATATTAATTAATTTTAGTAATGTTTATTTGAATAAGATTATCTTTCTCTTAAATCAATTATTATAAGTCATAATTATTTTATTTAAGCTAATTCAATTCTTCTTCAAGTGTTTTAATTGTTTCTTCCATTCTTATTATCTTAAATGAATATTCTTCGTTCAAAGAAGTCAATTTAGATTTTAAATTATTGTGTTCCTCATTTAATTATTCATTCTATTTTTATAAATTTTCATATTAATTATTTAGATTTTTTATTGTTTCCTCTTAAGAATTTATTTCATTTTGTGTATCTATAAGCTAGTCTTAGATATTTTAAATCTCTTCTGTTTTCAATCTATTCTCTTCTTAACTTTTTTATAGCTTATTCTTCCAATCTTCGAATTCTTTCTTAGTTTATTCATGCTCGCTTTACTCTTTATCTAAGAGTGTTTTATGGGTTTAAACAATTTCTATTTATGTATTTAGTTCTTTATGAACACTCTTTATTATTGAATCATAATCATTACTTTTTCCTTAAATAATCTTTCCATATTCTGAATTTTATTATTCTAAAATTTAAACTCTCTATTACAATTATTCTACATCTTTTTATTGCTATTAAACTTCTTCACTCTTTTAATTTCTTTCTTTTTCTAGTTTCTTTTCAGATTTTTCTGATTTAGTTAACCTCTCTTTAATTAGCTTTAGTTCAGTTTCCTTTTATTCTATGGTATTAAGAGCTTTTTGCAAGTTATCTTCTACTTCTTTCAATTTCCTACGAACATCTTCTAACTAATTTTCTAAATTTTACTCTTTTTCATTAGATTTAGATAGAACAGCAAATAATTCCTTTTCCTTTTCTTGCAATTTTTCATTTTTGTTTTACTTTTACTCTTCCAAATCATTAACTTGATCTTATAATTATTTTATTTTAGTTTAAGTCTCTGATAATTAAACTTCTAAATCCTCAACCTATTTCTATTATTTACCAACTTTTGCGCTGAGTTAGTCAATCAAAGCTTATTTTTACTCATTATTAGCTTATAAATTCTTTTATTGTTATTAGGCATCATTCAATTAGTCCTTTTTGCTTGATTTTACTTTGTCTATAACCTTATCAGCCTCTTGCTTTTCCTATTCCAATTCTTTTATTTTATCATCTAATTACTGAATGATCATATCTTTATAATTGGTTGCTTATTCTTATTCCTTAACCTAATGTTTTAATAAAATTATAAATTTAACTCTTTCAATTAGAATTTTAGCAAAATAAACGATAGTAATAAATAATATTTTAATAAAATAATTAAAAATTACTTTAACAATTATTTTTTAAAACTCTTGTTAGAAGTTTTCTAGCTTAGCAGTTAACTCAACGTTTTAGTCATGTAACTTCAAGTTATTTTCTTAAAGCTTGCTGTATTATTAAGTAATTTGGTCTTTTGTTGAAGTAATTTACTTTATCCTATCATTAAGTTGTTGAATTTCTTTTGACTTTTGATCAAGTTGAGAGGATTGGTAGGCAATCTTATCATCCCTCTCTTTAATTTGATTTTCAATTTATTAGTACTAATTTTCTAGTTGATTGACCTTTTCTTGCTATTCTGAATGATAGAAGTCTTAAATCTATTTATTTTCTTCTTTTAAATTGTTAATTATATTTTCTCTCTCTTGTAATAAATTTTAAAGATCATTAATTTATTGGTTCAGTTAAGAGACATGATTTGTATTATTTATTCCACTCTCATCTACAATAATGTTATTGAGTGATCTTCTTTGATTGCTATTTCCATTGATTTAGCTTATTTAACTGTTATTCAGATTATTTGAGCCACTCATGATGATGTTTTATTTCTTCTAGATTTCTTATTGGAGCTAGTCTATAGTTTCTTATTACTAATTTAATTTATTAGATTTAACTTTGAGTTCTTCTTTTAACTTGTCTATTTTCTCCTCATTTTCGAGTTATTCTGTTTGATAAGAGAGTATCTTATTCCTGGCCTCATTATATTCAGTTAATATTTTTCTTGTTTCTCTTTCTTTGTCATCAAGGTTGTTTTTCAATTCTTTAATTTGATTTTAATATTTTTCAATTTCTTAAATGTATTCACTTCTTAGAACATTTTTACTACTGCTGCTACTACTACTTTTTTCTTTTTGTTTACTAAGCTCTAATTGATTTTAAGAGAGTTTTTCTTTTATTTCTGTGATTTTATCTTTTAAGTCTTGTTCAACCTTCTGCGAATTTTTGATTTAGATTTCATATTATGAAATTTGTTACTATAACTATGAAATTTATTTGACACTTAATGCTTCAATTTCTGTAATTTTTTATTTAAGTTCTTTATTTTTATCTTTTTACTTTTACAGTTTTTCTTCTTATTCTTTTTTACTTTCTCTGCATTTTTCTAATTCAAATTTCACCTCCTTATTTTCATACTATTGATCTTTAATTTGTTAATTTAGCTTATCTATCTTGTTCTTCAAATCATCGATTATTATTTCCAGTTTCTATTCTTACTGTTTTAATAAGGCTTAGTTCTATGCATGCTTTATTTTGTTTTCCTCTTCAGCTCTAAATTAATATTTAATTAAAATCATTTAAAATAAATAAAAATTGAAAATATTACAAATATTATTGCTACAGACTCAAAAATGTTTCAATTTTTTAAGCAGATAGCTGCAATTCTTATTCTAATTGCTGTATTTTCAAGTCCTTTTAATTGACTTCTTCTTCTAAAATAGCCAAATTATTTTATACGTCAATATTTTGCTAAGTAAGCATCTCTAAATTAGTTAACAATTAATTTTGTTATTCTTAACTACTTTACAATATTTATGCATTTTCTTATTCCAGTTTCTCATTTTTAGTTTGCAAAGAAGTCAACATAGCTTTGATTTCTTCATTATTTTCATGTTAATTTTTCTTGCTTTACTTTGACAGCTAATCGATGTCATCTTTGAGTTTTTATATTTCTTTAAGGTACTTTTTCTCTCTATTTTACTAATCAATATCATCTTGCTTGTATTTTCCTATTTGATCTAAGTATTTTTAATTTATCTCTTATTCATGTTAGCATTTATTTTATAAATCTTAAATTTAAATTAAAAATTATTCTTTTTCATTCAATAAATCATCGAATTCTTCATTCATTCTATCATATTTCTCTTAAAGATTCTCCAACTACTTAGTAAAATTCATAACCTCTGCTTGATATTGATCTTCTTTCTCTTCATATTGATGGATGATGATATTTTTTTCTTCTATTTCTTTCAAGATGTATGTATACCTTTCTTAAATCTAAGTCTTTTCAATAATTATTTACTAGACATTAACTGAGCTCTACTATTGCAATCTGCGTAACTCGTCATTGATTTACACATTATGTATGGCCAATGTTTATTGTGCTTCATGTAATTAGTTAATCTAATCAATTAAATTCTAATTTTCTTCTTTTAACTACTAAATCTCCAAATCATTACTACTAATCTATCTTAGCTAGTCTATTTCTTGCATTTTTTCATAAATCTCATTTTCCTTATCTGCTAACTTTACTGAAAGCTATCTTATTTCTAACTAATATTATTCCTAAACCTCATTTACCTTTGAAAGCTTTAATTAGAATTCTTCTATACGCATTTTGTCAGATTCAGATTTACGTAATACTTATTCTTTCTCTTTAAGAAGATTTGCATTTTCTTGATTTAATCTATTGATTTGGTCATTTAGTTGAGAAACTGTAATATGATTTTAGCTGTTTTCATACTTTTTTTCGCTGACTTCCTCAATCTTGGTTTAGTACTCTCTTTGAATTTAAAATAATTAATGCTCAGCATTTTCTAGTTACAATTTGACTTCTTCAAATTCATTTAACTCAGCTTAGCGATTGATGTTTATATTTTATATCTCTTGCTTGAGTAAACTATTTTCACTTTTAAGAGAATCAACTTATTGAGATAAAGTGTTGATTTAAATAGTTAAGCTCTACTTGATTTAAATAATCTCTTTCTTCTTGTTTTCATATTAAATCTAATATTTCTTTTGCTCATCCTTAGAATTTTTAAGATTTCTTTCCATTTCCTTCACAATGATTTCTTATTCCTTATTTATTATCTTTTCTTGTTCTTTTAGCTTTTTTCTAAGTTCCTTAAAATTCTCAGATTGCTCTTGCATCATTTGCTTGCTTAAGGTATAGAGTTCTTTTGAAGATGAAATATTATTTTAGCTAAGTGTTGGTATATTCCTGCCATTATAAAATTATATTAACCATTTATAATCTTCTTCACACTCTTCAAATTTCATATTTTAAATTTCCTGATGAATTTTTTGATATACAGCAGGTTTAACTTCTTTTCTAAGTATTTCTATCTCTCTAGACTTTCTCTTTACTTTCCTCTCAAGTCTGCGATATTATCCTTCTAAAAATAAGCAATAATCAAACAATTTTTGATCATTCAAAACACAATTTCCAAAAGCATGATTTTAATTTTATTTTTCATCATTGCCAGAAATTAATTAATTTTTATTTTGCTAAATACTCTATTATTAACTCTTTAATTATTTAATTTCTTTCTCCTTCTGAGTTACTAAAACAATTAACTCCTTCACTTAATTTTATTTCTTAGAGTATTTCTTCTCTAATAACTCATGCTCCTATTTCATCACTTCCAAACTCGTTTGCTATTCTTATGAAGGGGCTATACGCTATTGCTAGTGCTTTCTTTCATGATTTCTAGTATTAGCTTAAAGTGGAGTACTTTCTATTTCTAATTGATTTTATCTTTCATGAACTTTAGGCTCTGCTGTTTGAGTTTATTAATTGTTATCTCTACTTCTTGCTATCATTTTCAAAATAAAAATTATGATTCTGAAAAAAAAACAATGAAAATATGCTTGTTTAAAAATATTAAAAACTTCAGGACATCTTTAGATAAATTTAAATTAAAAACATTTATAATTTACATCTTGCTTAAACAACTATAGGAATAGTTTATGAAATAGAATTTGCTCCATTTCCGCTTACTGAAATAGGTAGTTTTGGTATCCTACTGCTATTTTAAGTTTAAACAACTTAAACAATAGAACTCTACTGCTATTAATTCTAATTTGTTAATGTCATTTAATCTTTACTAGGAGTAAATGAAATCTTTTTGCGTTCCACAGAAGAAGAGTGGCTTCCTTAAATATATGGATTTTTTGCAGAATCATTGCTGAATCCTATTTTGCTTTTTAAATTACTATAACTGCTAGTTTATCCAAAAGTTTATATTCTATTCTTCTAATCTGATTATTAAAAATTCCTCTTTTCAGGCGACTAAGAAGTATAACTAGATCTAGGAAGGTTATATGCAGTTGCTTATTAATCTATGATCCTCTATTCTCTTTATGATTACTCTGATGATTCTATATTTTTATGAATTTAGTGGTTTTTTTGCTCCACCTCCTTCATTAATGTTTCTAACTTTCCCAAACTTTGCTTATTCATTACTGTTTGGTATTGTTATTAAATATTACTATTTTGTTATTTGTTATATTTTATTTAATTACTATTTAAAAACAAAAAACTATATTTTTAAAGTACTGCTTCCTATTTTATTAAAGTATTCTTTTTTAAAAAATAAACAAATTATCTTTATGAAAATTCAAACACAAAAATTATAAGAAGTATAATCATCAATAAACAATAAATTAATGAAGGTATGCTTTTATTATTTACCTTTATTGCTACATATAATAAAAATTTTTATAGATCTATAGTTTAAATAATATATAAATTAAATTTCGTTTTTAATAAAAATAATAAATAGCCAGCAATATAATTTTTCTATAGAATTTTTGAAAAATATCTTTTGTAAAATAACTTTCCTTGCTTGCTTGCTTGATTATTTTTAAATAATTTATTTATTAATTTTTTTATTATTCTATTTATTTAATTATTAATCAATTAATTATTACTGGTTTTTAAATATTTTTAATATATTAAAATATGTTCTTATAATTTTACAATTTAATTTTTTAATTATTATTTAACAATCAATATAAAACATTCTATTTTTTTTATATGTTTATTTTAAAAAAATATTTTAAGTTATTTTTTTTTTCCCAGATTTAGGGTTTCCTCGTCAGTGTTGCTCGTCATAAAAATTGAGGTATTACGGTATATATTTTATATATTCTGCTAATATGCAAATTGAATTAGAATATATAATAATTAGATAAAACAATTAACTTTTTTAAAAAGTAATTTAATAGATTATAAGACCATCTTTTAAATTTGTTGAATGAACTAAAGAGTAAGTAAATAAAACCTAAAATTTAAAATTGTTTTAATAATAATTAATTTGAATAAACAACTAAATAAATCATTTATTTTAATTTAAATAAGGAGCCTCTTATTCTAAAGAGTCATTATCATGATTTTCATCATCTTCATCATCATCTTCTTTATATTATTAACTTTATTCTTAATCATATCCCTCTTCATCTGACTAAGGGTCATAATTATTAAATTCGGATTCTCTATCTTCGTTATATCCATAATCATTATCTGAATCTCCTTATTACATCATGTTTTATTTTTATTTACGATTTTCTATGTGAATGTAATTTTTATGGTTTTAGCGTGGACTTTCATCATCACTATTATCAACTTATTAATCTATACTTTCTTCATTTTTTTTTCCAAAAAGCATCTCAAAATGATCTTCATTAAAAGAAGTTTTATTATCATCATCTATCATCTTTTTCGATGTTGGTTTTATATCTGAAATCTAGCCTATTGTGTCTTGAAATATTTTTTATCCTTCCTAGCTATTTTTTGATAGGGATAATACGTCTTTATTATTCTAAGAGGAAATTACTTATGAATTAGATGTTTTTTATTTAGGAGATTGCAACAAGTTATTCATAGCTTCTTCTTTATTAAAATAACCCTATATTATTTATGGTTCACTAGATCTCTTTTTGAATTAAGGATCAATAAACTACTGTATGGTACTTTATGCACTAAATCTTTTTAGATCTTAAATTTCTTTTTATCTCATTTATTATTACTGATTATTTAATTTTTCATTGATAATTTGTTAATTAATATTCTATTTGCTTATTTCATTCATTTCTTATGATTGGTGGATGCTACTTTGCTTGCTACTTTTATTACTCCTTTGCTTTTCTTCATTACTTTAAATTTAATTACTCAATTGTTAAACATATTAAGTGGGTTTTTATACTCTGGGAATATATTCTTCATTTTCTAAATTTTATCTAACATTAGAGAAATTTTATTGTAGTTGAGTAATGCTTAATTGTTGAATATTTGATAAAGAATTATTGTTTGTTGATTTTGGAGTGTTCTTGAATGAAGGAGTTTGAGAATTAGAGATAAAAGTTTATTGTTCTTATTAATTATTATATTATTAGTCTAATTATCTCTATTACTATATTTATTGTTATTCTACATTTTTAAACAATTACTGTTGTTAATTTTACATAATTAACTATTGTTATTAATATTCAAAAAATGATTTTGTTGGTTTTGATGGTACTTGTGTTTATTAGTTTTGCTAGATTGTGTTTACTGATGATCTGGATGTAACAGAATCTGAATCTTATCCATATTATCCAATGCTGTTAGTATATTGCTTATTATAGCTCATATCCTCTTCGTATTATTTTTAAGATATTGCCTATTACTAGTTTTATTGCTTTTTTGGGTAGTTATCTTCAATTTATTGCATTTTTTGTGATTAGTTTTCGATTGCAGGTGCTTATCCACTAAAAGACGAGGAAAATGATCTATCAGGTGATGATATTGAAATATTAATTTAAATTTTTTAATCAAAACCTTATCCACTTCCTTCTCTTTAATGGTTTGCTTCTTACTAAGAATGGCCGGAGCTAGATAAGTTTCTAAAGCTCTTTCTGACTTTAACCCTTTTACCATTTTCAATGAATTCATCTTCTTCCCCTGGTTTTTCTTCAATGATGCTGTGGTTTAACACTGGAGGTAAGTTGCTTCTGGGATCAGAATCTCGTTACGAGTCATATTTTTATATTTAATTATTATCATTGGTTACAGAAGGTCTTGAGTGAACATCTTCTTCATCATTTTCAAGGGTTTTGCTTATCATCTCCTCAATAGTGTTAGCCTGAATGAACATAGTGAGCAAAAAATCTTCATTATAATGACCTATTAAATCGTTATTCTCACTTGCAGTAAAAATATTGTCTTAGCAGAATGACTTTAATTTTTTGCTCAATCTTTCATACCTTTCTTCATCTAAAAGTCTTTACTTTTTCAGTTCAGCTACAGTCACATTCTCTTTTTTGATATTTTTTAGGTTTTCTTTTAATTTTTCATTTTCTTCTTCAACTCTGCCTATCCTCATATTAATATATTCTTACAGGGGTTTAACTCCCATTTACTAAAGTATTGTCAAGTCAGATAGAATATTTTCATCAGCACTTTTAAGTTTTTCTAAATTTTGTGAGTCTCTCATAGATTATTCTTAATTATCTTTTAGCTTATTGACGTACCATTAATTAATAGGATTTATATTTTTAGGATTTTATAGCTTAATTAGGTCTTAAAAGTCTTATACACATTTTCCATAAAAATTAATTATTTAATTTCTTTCTTTCTACAACTTTCCCTTTATTTAGCTCTCCTTCTATGAATCTAAAATACTGACAAGAATATTACTTAAATAAAAAGAAATATTTAGATAATCTATTCTCCTAGACTCACTTTAGAAGTACTTTTATTCTACTTCATTCAGTTTTATCTTTAGATTATCTATTGTTTCTTATTGGAATTCTACCATCTATTTAAAAATAAATTACTTTAAAAAAAAAAAATAGAAAATAAAGAAATACCTGATCGAAATTTTCTGAAAACATTTATTTAATAATTCTCTATGTTGTCTAATCAACTTTGACTGCGTTATCCTTGGAAAGAAGAATCAAAGAAAGCTGTTAAATAGTATGTTAAAGCTAATTAGTGTCATCTAAATTAATAATTCCAGGGATAGATCCTTTGGTTTAGGTTTAATCAATTAATTTCTTTTCCATCTATTCTATTGTTTTATTTGCTAATTCAATTTATTATTATAAACTTTCTATTTCCTACCCTTAAACAGCATTTTTTTTTTATACCTCGCTATTTTCAGAGTATTTTTCTTTAATAAATTCCATATTTCTTTTTTTCAAGTAAAAATCAAGATTTTCTTGTTAAAGAATTTAGTCCATTTAATTTTTTATTGCTTCTTCGTTCATGTTAGTATCTAATAGAAGCTATAATATTTTTTTACTATAAATTATGCATTTTTCTTGCAAATAATCATTTTCATTAATTAAATTTTTATTAGAATCATCATATTGCTCAATAATCTTTTTCAAACTCTCATTTTCACCTACTAATAAATCATTATCTTTTTTTAATTCAATAATTCTCTTTAAATTATTTTTAAGAGGTTCTGTTTCTGCGCTGATCATCATCCTTTAAATATGTCTTTCATATTCTTCACTTTTTGCTGTTAGCAAGCTGATTATTTGTCTGTTATTGTTATCTGCTATTCTATATTTTTCTATTTCCATTACTTTTTCTGAAATAACTGAATGTAAAGCTTTTATAATAGCTTCTTACTTTCCTTCTTCCTATTTTTCCAGCTATTCTAAAGTTTCAGCTGCTAAATGAGTATTGAAATGCTCTAAATTTAAATCATGATCTAAAAATTTTAATACAGTTTCGTTATCTACAATCAAACTCTAGAGAGATTTACTACTTTGAGTTACTTTCTGATTTACTGCATCTAAAGTAGCAACTAACTTCTAATTAAAATTTACCTTTTATGCTTCTAAGTCTGTTAATAGACTCTTAAGCAAAATATAAAATAACCTTTCATCTAGAATAAAAATACTGTTGCCTCTAAGCATGTTGTAAGCAGACTAAATGTAGTATTTAAATCTAATATTTTGCAATTCAATTCCATCTTTTAGTAATTAAATTTATTTTTTCAAACTAATATTTTCTTCTAACAAATTGCTATGCTTGAATTCTGCGTTCATCATATTTTCTCTTGCTTAATTCATCTAGTTAATTAAGGATTCAGAATATTGATATGCTGGAGTAATAGAAATATCTTATAACTTATTAAAGCTAAGGTTTTCTTATGCTTCTTATAAAAATCTTTATCTACTAAATTCTAATTTCTATTAAAGTCTCAAATTATTTTGTAATTTCTCCTATTTACGAAGGCTGTTTGTATTCTAGGTAGCATTTAGCTTTATTTATGACACTGTTTAACTGTCTTCTTTAATTTAGCTTTCAATAATCTGAGTTACATCAGTTTAGACTATTGGCACAGCATATTTATTTGAATAAAAACTTGCTTTATCTATTTCTGGTTTTTTTTTAGCCTTGTTAAGATAAGCTTAGCTCAAAGGGTCAGTATAACTAAATTTAGTTCCCAAACCAGAAGTATTCTAAGAATTATCTATATTGTTTTTGCCTTAAATTTATGAAGCTTCAAAACTGACTTTGCTATTCTTAATTTTGCTTTAATTAATCATGGATGAGTAATTCATTTGCTTAGTCCAGCTAAATTTTATCAAATATAATTCTTGCTTTTATTTATATAGATAGAATGAATGTTAATTAACTTACTTATAAAAATTTATGCTTTTTATATATCTATTTTCTCTCTCTTTAATTTAAGAAATAGATTCTATTTCTTTTGTTATCTGATTTTCAGAATAAATTTTGATGAAATTCAATCTAATTAAAATTTAAATTTTTAAATCATCAATTTAATATTTTTAAAGTTAAAAAATATAAGATTTAGATATCAGCCAAACGATTATTTATTCACAGCTTTAATTTAATAATAAACTAAAAAATAAGTTAGAATAAGATTTTATGCTTATTTAAATTGCTAAAAAAATATATTTTGTTGAAAAAACTAAAATAAAATAAACAAGAAACTTTTTAATTTAAAGTTTTATTTCGATGATTAAATTAAATCTTTTTTTTCTAAAAAAAAATTAATTAAAATATTTTAAAATTTTAATTTAAAACTAAATTTAAAAATTAATTATTTAATCGTAAAAATAATTTATTTTAAAATATTATTTAACATTAATTAAAAATAATACAAAAAAAAAAAGAATATTGTAAAATCTTTTTGCTATATATCAAAGTACAAATTTACTTAATTTAATAGTATTTATATTAAATGGTTGTTTTTTATTTATGAAATTTATTTTTTGCGAACAAATAACAAAATTACTCATTATTTAAAGGTTTTGATTCTCATGATTTTGATGTGAAAGTTAATAGAATTGCTAATTAAGGATTTATAAGGGTTATTAACTATTATACATACTTTCGTAATTACTATAATGAGATAATAAAAACATTGATATAATTTATATTGATTACTATAATTAAAAAAGAAATAACTTTAGAATAATTATTAGGTGCCTAAAAAGATTTTAACTAAAATCAGCTAATTGCTATTGGTCTAATATCATAATTTCATATAAAATGGATAAACTTAAAGAGTTTATTGATGAGAGATTAGACTCTTTGGCTTGCTTTAACATCAAAATTGAGTAGTATAAAAAAATGGTTCTATAAACTGACATAAATAATGTTAACAGAATTCCTACACCATCTTCGATTAACATAGATGCTTAGAATGCAGAGCTATCCAATATTCTTATAAAAGAAATTGTGAATTTAAAAAAGCAAGAAAAAAGAAGAATTGAAATGGAAAACTCTCTCATGCAATAAATTAATTAGGATAATTTAGAATTTTGCTCAGATATTCAGTATTTACATTTTCTTTTAATTGATCAAACTAAAAATATAGCAAAGAGACATAAATTTTTATCTTTTATTTTTGAGCTCGCTTTACTAATATTGTTTTTATTTTGAAAAACTAGCTTCTTTTTTAGCCAGAGCATGGATATTATGCTAAGAATAGATAGCTCTTTTCAATATTATGATTAATTTAATGGCAGTTTTGAAGATGTAGCCAAAGCTTACAAGCATTTTTTCAAAAAATAGTAAGACTTAAAGAAATACAACGAAACAGATATAATCCATCAGTAAAATTTATAAGAAAAAGTAAAAATAAAACAATTGACAAAAAAAATATTTTTAACAAAAATATCTTCTATAATTACTACAGATTCCTGCATTCCTTATACTATTTAAATGGCTTATAGATTTATCACGTTAGAAATTTGAAAGGTGTATTTTTCAAAGAAGTCAAGAACTTGTTCAAGAAGTAAAGACTAACTAGAAAAACAGACTAAGTATAATAGCTGTAATTTATTTTAAAGGCTTATTCAAATTGCTTTTCATATTGATTTCGATGAATTATTTTATAATTGTATTAATTATTTTGTAAGCTTGCATAAATTAATTCTTGAAGTAATTTATGGAACATATTCATGCAGATACCACTAGTTTTTGATTTAGCTTACTTTTTTATTTTATTATTAATTTTTATTTGTTAATCAAAGAAATTTATATTAAAAATTTGTTTTTTTTATAAATATCATAGGAAACTTAAAAGAATTGCATCGAATCATAGTAATTAAATGGATTAAGAATTAATTATTAATCAGTTAGGTAATCTACCTAAGACAAATAATCTACATAGCCAAATTTATAGTTTTAGAATGTAAGATATTAAGATAGCACATAGCAATCTAGAAAAAATAAATTTAGACTATCAACAGATGGGAGAATATAAACTGAAGGCTTTTTTCCAGCAAGCAATAAGTTAAATAGTTGCAATTTAAGCAGCGAAGAATTTATCAATTATTTACATGTGATAAATAAAATGACTATTAAAGCTCCTTAAAATTAACAGCCTAATCAAAGCTTAAATAAAAGTAATTTGGCAAAAGAAATTTACTTTTAAAGCAACGAACATCAAAATACATACATAAAATCCTCTAATCCTAAATAAGCTATTATTGTTCCTCAAATGGCACAATTCATGATTTCTAATAATGTTTAGCAAAATTAAAATAAAAATAAATTTTTAAATATTAATGTTAATATTATCAACAGCAGCTAATAAAATGAAAATAATACTCAAAATAACTCAGAATAATAAATAATTTAGAAATAAAACATTTAAGATACTGCTAATTTATAAAACTAAAACTACCCTAAAGCTAATTCGTAATCATCAACTTCATCTTCGTCTTAATAAAGTAATTCAACTACAAAGTAAGATTTTAATATCATCACAACATCAAACTAAGATATAGAAGAAAATAAATTAAACAAAATAACAAATGAAGATATCGTAAAAGCACATTTTAATACTGAAATTTAATAATTATTATCAGGGAAAAAAAATATGAGCAGTTAGTAGCATATCAAATAATTTATCAAGCATAGAAAAGGTTCTTCTCTATAAATAACAAACAGCTTAAATTTGTCACAGAATGGAAATCAAGTGAGTTGTGATAACTAAAATATAAACTTACCAAAGAAATATGATGCAAATTACTAAAAAATAATTTTTGAAAATTAAGGAAATTGTCAAAACAAGAAATATGGTAAAATTATTCCTGCAACTCATTATCCGGATTATAGAAATATTTTAGAATTAGATAATTCTTAGAATGTCCTCAGTTATTATATGAGAAAGAATTATGATAGCAGTGTTAATGAAGTTAGTGAAAATGGTAAAAACCTAATGATAAGCTCACTTTTAACAAAAAATTAGATTATTAAATCAACAATTGATAAATATTTTACTATTTATTTTGCTAAATTTCCTGAAATGACTACCAAAACTGTGAACTCTAATTGTATTAACTCTACTTAAAATAGTGAATCTAAAGAAAGAAAAAGTTTATAATCTCAAAATTAAAGGAAAAGGAGAAATAGTGGATTAATGATACTAAGTTAGACAACACCAATCCAATAATTAATCCTTTCTAAAACTAGTTAATAAAATTAACAGAATAACTTAGTGGAGGTGTCCTAAGGAAATTAGTGTGTAGCAGTGTTTCAAAATGCAAATTGCATCAACAAATTTAATTAAACTTAAGATAAATTTTGGGATCAAAACTAACAATCATGCTCAAATAAAACTAACTTAAATCATCTAAATAAGACTTTTGACATTCACTAAGATTAGTAAATTTAATTAAATTAGCTAATTAGTATTGAAGATAAAGTAAATAATTACAACGAAAGTTAAATATAGAGCAACAAAAAGAAATATTCAATTTAACCATGCTATAGAGATGAAAGAATTCACACTTAAGGCTAAGAATAAGATATTTAAGTTAAACCAAAAGGCTGCTAAATAAATTTAGAAAAATTAATTAGAATCACAAACCACAATAATTAGTATAATATTCCCAAAAGACCTCAAACAAGCATGTCAAATTTTGAAGAAAGTGTGGTAAAATAGCAAAATTAAAAAAAAAGCACTAACCCTAATCAATCACAAGACTTTAAAAATTAACAATAAATTAAGAATGTATAAATTGATAACATTATTATTAATTAGAGAGCTCCTTAAATTAATTGTTAGAACAATGGAGTAAACCAAAATATAAATTCACCTTAGCCTCGCCAAATTCTAAATAGTTTAAAACTTTCGACTGATTTATCTGGAAAGAAGATGAAATAAAGCTAATATCAACGTATGCAAAAAAAATAATAACAAATTTATTTCGAATAATTATCATCTACAAAGACTCAAGGCTTTATAAAAAATACTCCATCAAATTAAGCAAATTCTTTAAGTGTAAATTCTAGATCTATTTTATATAATTACAAGCAGCAATACCTACCATAATAGTTCTCAAATTAAAAATGTGCATAAGTTTAATCTAACTAAAATACCAAACAAAAAATTAACACTGAGGCAAGCGATTTTTAAAGCCTTGAGAGAGACCCTATAGCATATTTTCCTAATAAAAACCATAGAAGAAGAGCTAACTCCTAGCTTAATAATGAAAATTTATTTTCAGCAAGCAAACAAGATACGATTAACATATCAATAACTAACATGAATTTAATTACTGAATTTTCTAATTAAGTAACATCTAAATCAGGAGCTAAACCACCTCAATCTTCTCAAAATAATAAAAATGTATCTTACAGCAAGTAATTAATGTAAATATAAAATCTATAACAAAATAGCATAAACATAATTCCTCCGTTTACAAACCTTGAAATTTTAAATAAATTTGAAACAGCTTAAAATCAATAAAAGGATATCATAAATCCATAATAAAGCTTTAACAACAGCAGCAACAACAACAATAATAATAATATAAATAACTTTAATAAAATTATATAAAAAATGGTTTTTAGGTGAAAAAATCATCTTAAAGCTTTAAAATCTATAAAATTAAATAATTTTCGTATGTAAATTGTTTTTTTTTTTATAATTAAGTTTTTCTTATTAAATAATAAAGAAATTTAAAAATTTTCTTTCTTGTTTTTGATTTATTTATTTCCTATTATTAATATAAATTTTTAAAGATAAATTTACTACTTATTTTAAGATAAATAGTATAAAAAAGAAGATGGTGGAATAGTTATTAGTTAGAAACTATGTTAAAAAAACAAATATAATAACTAAACTTGAAACATCATAAAATAATAAAAGGATGTCATCAATCCATATCAAATCTATGATAACAAAAAGAATTGCAATATAAATCAATTTAATAAAATTATATAAAAAATGGTTTTTAGAGGAAAAAATAATCTTAAAACTTTAAAATCTTTAAAAATAAATAATTTTCTTTTGTAAATTTTTTTTTATTATTTAATTTTGTTTATTAAAGAAATTTTAAAATATTTATCACTTATTTTTGAATAAGTAGTTTTCTTTATTATTAAAGGATATTTTTAATGATAAATTTAACGTTTATATACTTATTTAAGAGAGATAGCTTAAAAAAATAAGATGGTAGAATAGTTATTAGTTAGAAACTTAAGTTAAAAAAACAAATATTATAACTAAACTTAAATCACATGAATAAATTATATAATAGAAAATATTTATTTTTGAGTAGCCTTTTTAATGCTGCTTATTTGAATGAATCTCTAATAATACTAGTTATTTTCTACTTTTTCATTCATTTAAATTTTTTAATTCAGTTCCTTCTTGCTTTTCTTATTTAATTTGAGCTCTTTGGATGTATCTATAAATAATTTAAATATAGTTTGTTAACAACATTTTTCAAGGACATTTAAATAAAGTAATTTATTTATTTATTTACCTTGAAACATCATCGTTTCCTTCTTTAGCATAATATTTAAAGTAGTAGCAGATGCCAAATATCAAAGCATAAACCTTTAAATAAAATTAAATTGTTAAATTTACAAATTTCAATAATTAATATTTAAATTTATTACAAATGCCGCAAAGAACAGAGAAATAGCGCCATCACCCTTATTTTTAGGTTGTAAGTACATTAATTCTGAACCAGTAGCAGTTAAGATACCCCAATAAAACTAATTGTTTATAAAATTTATTATTTTTAAAGCTGTTTTCTTTAAATGATGTTTTTTTATTGAGTTAAAGCTTAATCTAAATAGAAAAATATGTATGTTAAAATTAGCTTCATCTTGAATTAAATCCTTGATTTATGTTTGATCTTTCAGATTTATATTTTCTAAAGTTATTATTAATGCAGTTGAATACTATGATTTACATTATAAATTGTATTTTATATTCAATAAGCTCACTTAAATTAGAAGCTAAAAACTTAATTATATGCTATTTAGTTAATTGAAAAATTATTTTACTAAGAAAACGACTCCTAAAAGGGAAACACCCATGCAGTAATCAAGACAGACCATTTTATTCTATATATTTTGTATACTTTATGAATTATAATATTTATACCTAAATGTGTTTGACTAATTAATTTTTAATTTTTTATATTTCTTTATTTTATTTTTATTTTGTATACAATCAACTTCAAGGGAGTAGAAAAAAATATTAGAATGAAATATCAAAACCTAAGCCAAGATTTTTAATTGAAATATTATCATTATTTTTTTTATTTATTAGTTTTAAAATGATAGATTAAAAATGTTCAATAGATTTAAGTATTGTTCAAAGCTCAACTTACAATTGCGAAATATATTGAAGAAAGTTCGCAGAAATATAAAGGCTAGGCCTGCATTATCTCTCTATATTAAAATTTAAATAACCAAAAATAAACGAAGTTCTTCTATTTTAAATATTTTTAATTTCTATTACTATCTTTTATTTTGTTTGAATACTTTTTATTTTTAAGGTTAAATCTTTTGTTTCTAACGTTATACTAGATTCACAAATAAAATATTATTCAAAGTTTTCTTTATTTATTTCTTTAATAATTATATAAATGCACTTAAAATAATAAATATTTCTCTCAATCAATTTTTAAATGTAAAAAATTACATATTGATAAAATTTACAGGTGTTCAAGTATTATTTTTCGTAAAAGATATAATCAACAAAAAATAAATATTAAATTATTTAAATCTAAGGTTTTTAAAAACGCGATAGGTATCAAAAAGGGAGAATTATAAATATAGATAAAGCCATATAGATAAATAAGATAATGCACTCATACCCTACTTAAAATAGCTATAGCATAGTGTATTAATATGCAGCTATTATTTCAATAGGATCTCTAGTTTTTGGATTTTTTATAGGCGTTTTTAATTCAATATAGGCATACGAAGTTTACTATAACGATTTATAAAATGACCCCAGCTAAAAAAGTATTTTTGTAGGATTGTGCAATTCTTTATTAGCTATTGGAGCTATAATTGGTTCTTTACTAGCTCTTTTTTTCTAGAAAGTGGGTTTGTCTTATAAGTTTCAATCAAGTGCTATGGATATTGTTGGTATTTTATCATGTGCCATTATGATTATTGACCTCTACCCAATTTACATTTATATTGGAAGGATACTTTGTGGGATATATACAGGAGTTTAAACTGCCATTTGTGTGATTTATATTAAAGAGGTATCGCCAAGTGAAGTAGTTGGTAAAGCTGGAACATTTAATCAGCTTTTTGTAACCATAGGATTAGCAATAAGCTTTACTTTAAGCTTTTTTATACCATAGCAATTTGATTTTGAAGAACTTGGAAATATCTCAAATAAATAGATGAATAATTACATATAAAATTACAAGCTGAGAGTTTAGTTAATTTAGTTAATTCCTATGCTCTTTATGCTACTTAGAATTATATTAATGAGAAAAATAAAATTAAATCCACCTTAATACAATATTAAGGAATACGAAACTTATTTCACTAAAATATACCACACAGAAAATGAAATGCAAATTAAAATAAAGGAAATTAAAGATATGTAGCAATTCAGAAATTTGCAAAGTGCTAGCATTTATCATAGCCAAAGTAGCAATTTAGCAACTTCATCCTTTTGGAAAAGATTTGCTGTGGGATTCATACTTAGTGGAAGTCTCTAATTCACTGGGATAAATATCATAATTTTCTACTCAAATGATATATTTTAAAAGATGGGAAGTGGAGAATCAGCAAAAGTCTACACTTTGATCTTAGGAATATTGCAGACCGTATTCACTTTAATTTCGACTAAATACATAGAAAGATATGGCCGAAAGTTGATGCTGCTGCTAGGAGAAGTACTAATCATAATTGGATTAGTAGTTGTAACTATTTCAAGTCATTAAAATTTAGGTCTACTTAGTTTATTTGCTATTTTAACGCATTTATTAGGATTTTCTATTTCTTTTGGGCCAGTTGTTTGGGTGTACATAGTTGAAATTTTAGAAGAAAAATATGTATTTTTTATGAGTCTTAACAGTTGGTTGTTTACAATATTCATAGGTCTTGGAGTTCCATTTTTGATGAGTATATTCAATCTTTTTACTATATTCCTAATATTTAGTATGATTAACGTTCTAATTTTAGTGTTTCTTATATTCTTCATTATCGAAACAAAAGGCAAGACATTTAATCAAATATAGAATGAATATTACTAAATTAATAACACAGATATAAATAATGTTCCTCATATGGAACTGTAATGAATGTTTACACATTTTAATTTCAGTAATTTATTTTGATATTTGTGTTTGCAGAAAGTATTTTTTGAATAATAAAGTTCAAGAATTGTATTATTTTATCATTAAAATATAAAGAAAAAAACAAAAAAAATATGAAGATTTTATGAAATTATAAATCTTGTTGGTAATGATGATTAAATGTATTTAAGTATTAGTGAACCCTTTTTAAGTTTAAATTATTTAAGTAAAGTAATAATAGTTTGTATAAAATGTTAGTATTTTGTTTGAGAACATAGATAATTTTATTGGAAATTAATTATGTTGTTAGAATAAAATAATTGAAATTATTCAAACGAATCTTTATAATTCTGGCATGTTTTAATTCTAAAATGCTTATATTTAAAAATTTTAGTTTTTTCTTTATGGATAATAAAATATAAAGGCTTCGCGGTAATCAGAAGTGATTTCAAAGTATTTTTTAATTTATTAAATTCACTATTTAATATTTAATTTTTAAAGAAAAGACAATTAAATTATTAAACATATTTTTGTAAAAAATACTGAATATTTTTATTTTAGTAAAATGGAACAAGAAATACTCAATTAAAGTCTTCTCAAAAGCCCAAATAGAGCTTCAGATGAAAGCTCTATGATAGTTATACCACAACAAAAAAAACCAAATGTGTAAAAAAAAAAGTTAAAAATAAATGTTTCTTAATCAACAGAAGTATCTTATGGTGGATTGGTTTCACCTGAAGGAGAAACCCGTGCTTCATCTATCCACCACTTTGAAGTATTTTATTTTTAAACAATTTTATCTAATATCTAATAATATCTTGAATTTAAAATTTAGAGAGAAAAGAAGTGGAGTCAATCAATAATTCCTTTGACTTGCTTAATGCTCAATAAAGCTATAGCAAATATTAACTTGAGATTAGAAGTTGAGGGTTAACCTGTGGAACTTGTAGAATTAGTTGGACATGTGTGTGCTTCGCTTTATGGTAGAGCATACACCTTGAAGGGAGAATAACCATTTATGGCAATATAAATCAGTGATTTATCTGGAATTTGCTCAGCTATTCTGTATTAACCTACTAATGATGAAGAAAACTTAGTAGAATACTTAAAAAGAACTGAAAATTGGCAGTAAAATAAATAATTTTTTTATAAGTTTTTAATTAGCCGAATATAAACAAACAAAAACTTTTCTTAATTAAAGGTCAAACCCAGATAAAATGCTTAATGGCACTTATGTAAAAGTAATAGTTAAACCAAAATATTCAGTGACAGAATCAGTATGGAAAAATAACTGCATAGCTATAAAAATAATATAAAACGCTAATGAAATAACATAACATAACTTAGATGTAATTAAATGCTATTTAGAACGCAAAGATGGACTTATCTAAAAGGTGAAGTCTCCTATATAAAACAATCCAATTTACATAAAAGCAAAGTAAAATAATATTTTTTAATTTAAAATTATAACCAAAGTTTAATTGTTTTAGATATTTAGTATTTTAAGATAAATAAACATATGCTTTTTAAATTAAAATCATAAATAATAAATTAATTTTTTTTATTAATTATTCTGTTTAGATAAAGAGAAGAAATGGAAAAAAGGAATAGAATAGAAATATCAACATTAAAAGAATCTATTCTTTAAAAGGATATGTAAATAGAGGAGGAACATATACAGCCAATTTAGTGATCAAAGCGAGGATATAAATACTCAAATTTACATATTCTTTTTTGATATAATGCTCTTTTTGCATGAACATATAGAAATTGTAAAATATGATTAATAATGTAAAAATATAATTAAAAAGAGTATTAATAGAGTAGTAACCTGCTTTTTAACTTTAGACTAGAAATAATATTTTAAAACTTAATAAAAAACTAATTTTTATGTAACTTAATTAATTAATAAACTAATATTTGTGAATTTATACATATGTAGATAAATAGTTATTGATAAAATACTAAAATTTATAAAATTAAATTTAAAACTTAATTAATTATAAAAAGCATTTTTACTAATAATTAATTTAAATCAAACAATATTGTTAGCAATATTTTTTTTCTCATCAGGGAAAGCATCTAATAATGAAATTTTAAATAAACCATTATTCTTTTTTAAGTTATCTTCTAGTTTTCCAGCTGCTGATGCAAGGAAAGCGCAATAAGTAGGGCAGGGTTTAGTATATTTATTATTAAATTCAGGATGGAATTGAGTACCAAAGTAGAAAGGATGATTTTAAAATTCAAAAACCTTATTTTTATATGGAAATATATTATTTAATTTATTTAGTTTTTTTTTTAATAAATTTAATAAATTATTATCTAAAACAAACAATAAAACAAATATGTATGTTTCATTCTTTATTTAGGATTTTAAAATCTTTTTGTGAATATTAAAGAAAGAAAGAAAAAAATTAATTACAGAATAACGAATTCCAGTTTCATCAACACCTGAAAATTTAAATCCAGTTTTTTCATACTATTCTAAATAATCTTTATTAAATTCATATCTATGTCTGTGTCTTTCAAATATTTCACTCTTTTGATACATCTTATATGCAAGGGATGACTTATCGCTTTATTTTATTAAAAAATATATATAAGTTAAACAATTCTTTGATGTTTATTAATTACGAAATGATAGTCTTCTTTGTACCCAGACGCATTGTACCACCTAAAATATCAAGACTTGTATCTGGTAAGAGTTTAATGATATGATTTTTAGATGGGAATTTATCTTCATGTTCTTCAGAATATGCATCAGCAATACCAAGGACATTGATAGCATATTCGATGACCATAGCTTAGAAACCAAAGCATACACCGAAACAAGGTATTTTATTCTCTCTGGCATATTATGCAGCTTTAATTTTACCTCTGAAACCTCTGTTTCCATAACCACCAGGAATAAAGATACCCTTTGATGATTTAATTATTTCCCAAGCTTTTTCAGCTTATAATTTTGTTTCTTCGTCTTTAACAAACTATTTTAGGTTTCATATAAAGTAAAAATTTTTTTAAAAAATACAATAAAATAAAAAAAGTTACATCATCTTCAAGTTGAATAGACTCAACCCAACACAATTTTAAACTAACGGTGAGAGCAAAACCTGCAACTTCGAAAGCTTTTATAATAGATAGGTAAGCGTCTTTAAAGGTAATATACTTTCCTACAATGCAAATTTATATTTTAGGTAATTCTTCAATTATTTGAAGATGTCTGCAAAAACATTTATAAACATAAAGATCACTTAATTTAATTGGGAGATTGAACCTTGACTAAATAGTTTAGATAAGCATAGCCTTAGCAATAACATAAGGGACTTCAAAAAGAATCTTCTTATCAGGAATATTTATAACTTCTGATTCTTATAAGTTGCTATAAGCTGCTACCTTTCTTAAGGAATGTTCATCGATTTCCTATTAACTTCTAAGAACTACTATATTAGGGTTCAAACCAAGTTAATTCATGTTCTATTTATATTTAATAAAATATATTAATATTTAGATTTCTCCTTTTTTATTTGAATTAGTTTTTATGTATTTAAAAAGCCGATTATATTTGTAAAGTTTTCATTCTATTGAATTGCTTGATTTGGCTACAAATTTAAATTTAGCTTTTAAGAATTTAAAAAAAAAAAAGAATAATTTTTACTCTAATTGCATTTTGGGAGGGCTTTGTCTTATATTCGTCTTTAATCTTAGGGACATAAGCAATAAGGATAACCAAAACATCCTTGACATCGTTCTTCAATTATCTAATTGTTTCATAGAAGAATATAGATTCTTAATCACCAACTGTACCACCGATTTCAATCAAACAAATCTCAGGAGGTAATAGGGTGCCATCAATAGGAATTTGAGAAACTCTTAAAATTCTTTCTTTAATCTTGTTTGTCACATGAGGAATAAATTAGACTGTTTTACCTAAATAATTACCAGCTCTTTCACCTCTATTTATGTTATTAAATAATAAATTAATAAATAAAAGATATTTAGATTCATTTTCATTATTTTTAAAGTTAAAGTAATTTTATTTCTATTTGAAAGCTTTTTTATTATATGAAATAAATGATTAAATATTCCTTTATTTTACCTTAAAACATCATCGTAAACCTTTCCTGAAGTGATATTATGGTCCTTGGTGAAATTAACTTCCAGGAATCTTTCATAATTACCTAAATCCAAATCGACTTCTCCTCTAATTATAAAAATTTTAGAAATATTTAAAAACTATCAATAGTAGAGGTAAAAAGTTTCTATGATATATGCAAAATATTTACCCGTCATTAAGGACATAGCATTCACCATGTTCAAAAGGAGACATAGTACCTGCATCCTAATTCTGTATTAGTTTTTAAACAAAAATGAGAATGATTAAACATTTTATATATTAAAATAAACTTACAAGGTAAGGATCGATTTTAATGAGAGAAACTCTAGATCCAGCCCTCTACAAAAGAGAGGCAATACTAGAAATAGTAATACCTTTACCGATACCAGAAGCAACACCACCGCAAACAACTAAGAATTTAGTCTTAGTTTTATTTACTTCACCGATCAATTCATCTAAATCCATTTTTTACAACTTATCATAAATTTCCTAGAGTTCTTAATCCATTTTTAATTATGTCTTTTTATATTTAAGTTTGCTATATAATTATTTATTTATCTATTAAGTTTTTATTATTTTTATGAACAAAAAATTATCTGATAAATCTTAATAAATCCAGAAAATATTTATACTAAAGTCAAGACAAATAAATAAATATATAAGTAAGAAATTAATTAATAAATGACAAAATAAAAATATGGGTATATAATAAATATAGCAAGGAATTAAATTAAGCGGTTTAATTTTATTAGTAATGTTTAAATTTTGCTTAGCTTTAGCTAGACCTAATTTATATATGCATGTTTTTATTTATTAAGGTATAGATTTCTTTATTTGTTTCTAATTTATCAAATATCTAAATAAAGAGTTAAATAAACCCCGAATATATAGATATTATAAGTTCATTCATTCTACTATTTATTGAAAATTGCAATTATTTTAAATTAATAGTTATAGTCTTAGTAAATTGCTCTTTGTGTATGTACTAGATCTAAATATATCTTCATTAATAATAAATATACTTTACTATTATTAGAATTATTCAATTTTCTCAAAAGTCCTATAAAATGATTTTTTTCTTATGAAACTCTTATTACTAAATGCTTAAAAGAAACACTGAAGAAACTAAATATAAAAAATATAATTTTATACTTCTTAAAGGCATGCAATTTTCATAAGAAATTAATTAATTTTGATAAAATTTTAGTACTTTTATAGATTTAACCTTTTTATTTTTAATTAACACTAAACATAGTCAGTAGAATTATCTTTTTTAATTAAAAATGTATAAAAATAAAATGATTGATTGACTCATAAGTAAAACAAAAGCATAAACATTTTCATTTAGATTTGAGGATTAAAAATATAGTTTTCTGTCACTTGCTATTTAATTACTTCATTGAAATTTAAAATAAAAGGAATAAGCTAAATCTAATTTTATAATTATAGCTTTCTTTATGGGATAAAGGAGTAAGCTTGTGTAAATGAATTTTTCTACTTATATATATCAAGGTTAGTATATAATTTAATATTTTGAAATTGGTTTACATTTTTATAAATATTTTTTATTTTATAAATTATTTTTAATTTTAATGTGTATAATGATGAAGTATTACAAATCTTTTGAATATTCGGTGATCAAATTAATACATCGCTATTTGTTTAATATTTCTAAATAATGACGGTATTATTGTTCATAAGATTTGGATAAGCAAACATTTTAAGAAGAAAAGAAAGATATACATATCATATAAAATTTAATGTAATTTTTCCCTATTTTTGAAAAGAGAATCGAATTCTTTTTATTTTAAAATAATACTTTCATTGATGAGAAATTTTATCATTATTTAATACATTTTACAAGCAAATTTACTCTCTTACTAAAATATTATATAATAATATATTTATAATATTTTTATTTGTGCAAATAATTTTTGATTTATTCTACTTTTTATTTTTAAATACTTTTTTATCAACGTCTTGAAATACTTCTTTTAAAATTAAAGTGCAAAGTTAAAACACCACGATTGAAATAACATTTAAATCCTTTTTTGTCTGCATAATCCCATTCTTTATTGATGATTTTAAAAGCTACATCTTCATAAGGTGGCCCAGCAGTAAATCTGATAATACAATATCCTTGTTCATCTGTAGGCTCTAAGAAATATTCTGGAGTCTTTTACATATCAACCAGCTCTGGGTAGAAAATATTAAATTTATAACCTTGTACGTACTTTGGAGGAGGATTATCAGAATCATAATGAGCTCTATTATATTTATTCCAATCGAATCCTAATTTAACACGATTATAATACTTAGGCTTCTTTGATTTGTATTTGTCAGACCAATTATAGTCTTTATCTTCAATAGCTTGCTGATCATCAAATACTTATTCTCCATCTTCCATTGGTTTTTTCTTTTCCATTTCCAGTAAATGTAGTGTGGCAGCATCTACATCTTCTCTATCTTGTTTCACAGTTGTTAAACCACCAATTACGGGAACAAATGTATCTATTAGCTTAGATTCTTTTTCGCGCTTATTTTCTAAAGCTGTTAAAGCTCGTTTTAATATTTTGTTATAATAGACTTATCTAAGTTAAACAACCTACTCTGTAAATTCTGATTAGGTTTATGAAGAACGTAGTGTTTCTTCACTGATAGGCATTAGTATAGGAGAGTAAACATGAGCTTCAGCTTCTAACTACTCGGTTTATATTTACTCAGCTAATAATTATTCCTCAGTAAGCTGTGGTTTATTTTCCACTTCTATTTCAAGAGCATCTTCTGCTTGAAACTCATTCTAATGAGTAGAAAAATAATCATAAAAATTCTTTAGAATGGCATCTCCTTTATATAATTGTAATCTTTTATGCATATTTTGCCAATATTATTGATCTTCTTAGCTTCCATACTTTGTGAGTTATATACTTTGGTTGATTCCTTTTTCTAGCTCAAGAAGTTCTTCCAGATTTTTACCTTCAAAAATAGCTTTTATTTCCTCTTCAAACTCAGGTAACACTTCCTTTTACTAATCTCTCTTACGAAATTCATCCAAATAATATTAAGTGATAGACCTTATACTTTCCCAAAACTAAGAAAATTTAACTATTTCGCTTTCATCTTTATACTATTAGTCATTGATAGCTACGGGGTCTTGTAATTAATTGTGATGATTAATTGCCTGAGCTAATATTTTTTCGAGTTCTTCTTCATCTTATTTCTTTATAAAGGCTTATACATTGCTCATAATTGGATCTAAATGCTCACTGTATTTAATCTTTCGACGATAGATATAAAAAATTTTGTTAATTTTATCTACTGTTGTCTCTTTTCCTTGAGTAATACGCACAAGGGCTCTTATACGAGCCTAGTATGCATGAAACTTTTCCTCTTTTTCTTTCCATTACTAATATTACTCTTCCTCTCTTTCCTGTATTGCCTTATTTCTCATTTCTTCTAAACGCTTTTCATCTTCCTTACGCTACTAACGTATTTATTTAACACGTTATATATCATCCATAATTTCATGAATAGATTTATTTTAATTATTGGCATTTTTACCCCAATTTAATGTTTCTGCAATATCTTTGTCACCAAAAGGATTCTCCTCTCCTTTATATTGTAATTCTCTTTCTATTATTTCCTATCTCATTTTAGTCATTTTAAGATATTCTTCAGCTTATTTCTTTTCAGCCTCTTCGTCGCTACCTGATGAGGAAGATGATGAAGAAGAAGAAGATTAAGAAGAAGAAGACCTTGATTAATTCTTATTTTATTTCTTTTTGTTCTTTTTATCATTTCTACTTTTATTTTCCTTTGATCTGGATCTTGATTGCTACTTATTTTACTTTTATTTATCTCCCTTTCTTCTTTGAGAATTAGAAGATGAAGATGATGATCTTCTTCTCGATCTATCTCTATCTTATCTTCTCTTTTTATCTTTTTACTCATCTACCTCTTAATTGGATGGTGATCGCGAAGAAGATCTGTTTTTATAATCTCTTCTTCCCATAAGATAACTATTGATTTTTAATTTAAATAAATAATTTTTTATATTTTATGTCTATCAATAATAAATAAAATATAAAGATTTGGTATCTTTTTTTATTCAATAGATATTCAGTTAAAAATAAAAATATTTCAAAAAATATTTTAATTAAATTCAATTTTTTTAAATAATAAAAAAGTATTTAATATTGAAATATAAATAAATTAATTTCTTTAAAATAAATTGTAGAATTTATTTGAATTAGGAAATAAAATAAATCAATATTAACTTATTATTAAAAGAAAATGTAATAATAACTAAGTTAAATAGTAGCAATTAATATTTTCATTATAAAAAAATTCTTTTTAATTTGTTATAGTAAATGGTATTTTATATTTGTAAGCAAATATAAATCAAATGGTAATAATTATACTTAAATTTAAAATTCATATATTATCCTCAATATTTTTTTATTATAAAAATTATTAAGAATACAATATTTTAAGATATCAATTTTGTAATTTAGAAATTTATTGAAAAAAACAATTGAAAAAATAAAAGTAAGAATCAAGTAATTAAAATATAATTGAATATTACATTTGATTTAGTCAAAGAAAATAATAAGAAAAACAGAGTAATTTTGAAATTTTTTAGATATTATAAAGTCACAAAAAAGGTTATAAATATTTGGTGCAAATGTGGATTATAATTTTATCCACTACTCTCACTGTTTTACTAGTTTATGGCTAGTAGTTAAAGACTTTTACAACAACTAAAAGTGTTTTGGAAATGTGCTATGTAGAAGTGAATGTAATATATATTTCATAGTGAAAAAATTCATCTCATAAATACATATATAAAAAGGCTGGAGCATAAAATACCAATTACATTGCACAATTATTTAGTGATAAAACTATGGGCCGTAAATTTATTTTGCAGAGTATAGTAAAAAATATTTGTTAATAATAAATAGTACTTAGCATTTAAGATGCTACAACTACTTTGCAAATTGATACTAGCTAATCAAATCTTGGTGCTCTTACTATTTTAAAAATGGATTGTTTAGAAACAGTAAATTAGATTACAATTAATCATATAAAAAATATATTTGCTATTTATTAATAAAAGCCAATAGGGTATTAAATATTATTTCTTCTTAATGGAGCAGCAATTCCAAAAAGTAAAAAAGATAAAGTTAAAAAAAGAATTTTAATAAATGATTAAATAATTATTAAATAAAGTTGGAACTTTATACAATGATGGTAGTAATAATATTTATCTGTCTACATTAAAGACAATGCCATATGCTTTTGTATCCTACTATTACAAAAGATTGTCAGATGTAAATTATATTAATTATATTATATTATTAGATAAATAACTTTATTTATTTTTGTTACACCTAAATATTTTATACTAAAACAGACAATTTACACATGGGATGGAACTACTGTTAATGTCGAAAGTACTTATTTTATAAAAATATAATTAAAATATTTAACTATAAAAATATAGCAATAAATATATTTAGCTTAGCTTAAGGAGCGAATATAGTTTTTACAATAACCCCTACTGTATTCTATATTTCTAACAACAAGAAATATTACTTTGTATAAGATAAAGCAACAACAAGCGCGCTAGGTAATAAGAATTTAAAAGCAATATAAATAAATTAATATATTAATTAGTATATGGCGTTAGCTCACTTGCTGCTGCAATTTACAGTTCTGCTCCATATACAAATTAGATTTTAAAAGTTGGGGAATATAATTATTAAGTAAGTTTTTAGTAATATTTTTTAGTTTATTTATATATTAAATCTAATTAAAGGGATCAACATGCTATACTATTGTTGATAACACTAAGAAGGCAACAAGTAACTATACATTTTTTTTTTCATTTACTTAAATATTATTTTTTAAAGCTTTAACTCCGAATGGAGTGGCATTAACAGAAGGTAAAGATTTTACAGGTATTACAGATTATGAATATTCATATGTAATTATTTTCATTATTTATTAAATTTTACATTAAAATTATTAAAAATAGGGAAGCTAATTACTTTAATTTGAATAAAATGGTAAAGTAGTGAATGTAGATTTTACTATTTTACCAGCTGCTTAAACCTAAAAAGCAATATATTCTTTAGCTAGTTTTCCTTCTCCAAATTTCGTAAACCTATAAAAAAGGGTTATTGCTTTTTATTAATCTCATTCAGGATAAAGTATTTTTATCATTTACTTATAATTAAAATCAAATTACCAAATTAATTTATTGCTCATGCCCTTCTTATCATTATCAATATATATAAATATAAAATGATATCTAAAAATTCATTCCATGGTAGTTTGAGAAATTTAATTTTTAAAGTATTAAAATTTTTTGCAACAAATACTAAAATTTTTTAGAAAGAGTGAACAATAAAATTAATTTACTCCTAGATAAAATAATTGAATTAAAAAATTTTTTTTAAAAATAATAAAAAGTACTTATACTCAACTCTTAATGCAATAAAAAGTGTTCTTCTTGCACATTAAATAACTAATTTACTTGCTTAACATGTAACATATTTGATAATAGATAGTTGATTGGAGGTTAATGTGTATGTAATAGTGGTTTTATTGATACTGACTAAGATTTTTGTTTTCCTTGTTAAGATCCTTTTTGTTAATCCTGCTTTGATACAGTATAAAATTCATGTTATAGTTGCTTACCTGGTATGTATCTTACTTAATAAAATATTTGTAGTTGTCCAGATGGGTATTATTTTGATACTTCCAGCAGCACTTGTAAAGTATGCTCACCTGGATGTGAAGTTTGTTCTTCATCAACTATTTGTACAAAATGTTATTCATCAAACTATAATTTAAATGCCAATAAATGTGATTGTAATAATGGCTTTTATCCCGATCCTTCAACTCAATTATGTCTACCATGCCATTAAAGCTGCTCTACTTGTAGCGGTCCACTAGTTACAACTTGTATCACCTGTAAAGATGCTACTCAAGTAGTGTTTAAAGGTACTTGCTAATGTAAATTATTAAACTAATTTTTAGACAAAACTTTTACATGTATTAATTGTGATCCATCATGCTAATCTTGTGCTGGTATTTCTACCTATTGCTTAACATGTGACCCTTCAGCTAATCGCTAATTAACTTAAAATAATTAATGTGCCTGTCTACCAGGATTTTATGATAATTCAGGAACTTGCACTTCTTGTGGTGTACCTTTTTGCTAAACATGTGCTGCAGCAGGTACTTGTACAGTATGCTAAACTTTAAATGGATTTAGTTTAACATTTTAAAATGGAAAATGCAATTGTCCATCTGGTTATTATTTAGATTTAAATATAGGAACTTGTGTTAGATGCCATTATTCATGTTAAACTTGTCATGGTCCAAGCAATATTAATTGCGATACTTGCGATCCAACTGCTAATAGAGATCCTGTAACAGTAGATTTTAAATGTAATTGTTCAAATTAGCATTTTGAAATAAATTAATACTGTGCTCCTTGTAGTTCAAACTGTAATGGTTGTTTGCAATTACCAAATAATTGTATAAATTGCAAATCAGGTTACCATCTTGCATATTAGCCAACTTATCTTATCAATTAATGTTTTTGTAATGATGGTACTTATTATGATAGTTCCACAGATAACTGTGATCCATGCACCCCAGCTAACTTATGTTAAACGTGTTCATCATCTTCTTAATGCTTAACGTGTTTACCAAATGCTTCGCTTGGCCCAAGCAAATAATGTTCTTGCAATTTAGGATTCTATTTAAATGCAAACTAATGCTCTCCATGCACATGGACGACTCCTCCAGCAGATTGTATATCATAAGCAATATAATTATTTAGAGATCCTAGTAACGGCTATTCATGTATAGTAGGATATTATTTAGATGCTGGCAGTGGACTATGTTTAAAATGTTATTAAAGTTGTATAACTTGCCATGGACCTTTACAAACTGATTGTGATTGTCATGAAAGTAAAATATAAAAATTTATGAATTGTTAAATAATAAATAAATATTTTAATATTAGCATGCTTAACTTGTGTGGGTCCTTATCCATATCAATGTACATCTTGTCATAATAATTTTATAGCTTTAAGTGGAGGTACTGAAGGGTATTGTAATCAATGTTAAAGTGGTTACTTTTTGAAAGATGGAGTTTGCTAATAATGTGACCCTAACTGCTAAGAATGTCTTTATTCTTCAACATATTGCACATTTTGTAAGAATTATTAAACTTTATTAACAAATAAAACTTGTGGATGCCTTCCAGGTTATTTTGATGACACTACATAATGCGCTTAAAATACATGTCACGCAGGAGATAATTGTGCACTTTGTAGCTCAACAAATCCATCATCTTGTATTACCTGTAATACTAATAATAATTTTACCCTTTAGAATGGTGTATGTATTTGTATATATGGATATGGCTTGGATGCAGGTAATTGTGTTAAATGCCATCCTTTATGTGGAATGTGTGACCCAAGTGATTACTCAAAATGCCTTACCTGCAATTCAGAATAAAATAGAGCATTAAGTAATAATTTATGTAAATGCTAAAATGGTTTTACTGGTCCAGATACCACTATTGATCCCACTTAATTTATATGCTAACAGTGTTACTATTGTAAAATCTTTTATCTATTATAATTAACAATTACAAAGAAATCAAATTTTAAATATTTTTAATTATTTTAGACTATTAGGGTTTATTTTTAATTCTATCTAGGTTATGATATTTTTTTAGTCAAAATTAATTTTAAAAATATCTTAAAAAATCTTATTATTCTTTCTTTTACTCCCTCCTTTAAAATTTATTTTACAATTATTTATTTAAAAAATTATTAAGCTTGTCAAACATGCACAGCTACCGGCTATGGAAATTGTAGCTCATGTGGACTAAATAGGTAAACATTATATCTAATTATTTGCTCTAAAAATAATTTTTCTATAAAAGGGATAATACAAATCATAATTGCGCTTGTAATACTAATTTTTATGATTTAGGTAACATGAACTCTTGTATTGAATGTCCCTCAGGTACTTATAGTAGTGCTGCAAGCTTCTCATATTGTTAACCATGTGATCCATCTTGCAAAGAATGCTCTGGAAATGCTACAACTTGTACTAAATGCTAATTAGCATATAATAGAATTTTTGATGGATCTACTAATACATGCAATTGCATGAAAGGGTATGCTGTTTAAAATTAAGATCCATATTATTGCTAACCCTGTCCATATTTTTGCACTGATTGCCAATCTTCACTAAACAATGTAACATAAAAATTTGATGTTACGTGCAACTAATGCTCAGATACCAACAGGTAAAAACTTTTATACATTTAATGTAATTACATATAATTATTTTATAGGCAACTGCCGCATTGTGATTGCAATACTGGATATTATAACGTTCCTGGAGATTCTAATTGTAAAAAATGTCACTATTCATGTGACCAATGCATAGGTCCTGGGATAAATGATTGTTTAAGCTGTCCAACTGGTAGAATATCATATGTATAATTTTTGAGGATTTAATTTAATTTTAATTAATATCTTAAATTTCTAGTATCCTTCAAAAAATATGGGCTTTTAATGTATTTGCCCAAGTAATTAGTATGATAAAATTGGAGATCCTACTTGCTATGATTGTAAAATTTCATGTTTGACATGTAAAGGACCAAATGATAATGATTGCTTAACTTGCCCAGATCCAAATATGTAATTAGTTAATGGATAGTGTTAATGTAAGACAGGATATTATAGCCCTACTGATAATTAATGCTTACCTTGCCATCATAGTTGCGCAACTTGTACAGGTACTAGTGATCATGAATGTTTAACTTGCTCTGATACTACTAGAATTTATGATATTGCTACAAAAACATGTCCGTGTATTCCTAATTATTATGATAATAGCCCAAGTCCTATTTGTTCTTAATGCCACTATACTTGGTACTTAATTATATCTTAAAATTTAATATAATCTATATTTAACATAGTTAATCATGTCATGGAAACTAGAAAACTGATTGCATAGCTTGTGCTGCAAATAGAATTTTTGATGGTAGTAACCTATGTGTTTGCCCTCCTGATACACAAGCACCTGAAGGTTAACCTATATGTACGTAGTGCCATTATAGTTGTTAAACATGCTAAGGTCCTTTAGCTACTGACTGCCTAACATGTGCTGATATTAATAGAACAGTAAAAATTTCTAGAAAAATAAATTAAATTAAATAATTACCTTTTTTTAAATTTAGCTAACCGTTATACCACCAAATTTATTTGGTAGTTGCCCATGCAATTCTAAATATTATGATGATTAGAAATCAAGTATTTGTATATAATGTCATTAAAGTTGTCTAACTTGCTTTGGGAGCAATCCTTACTAATGTTAAACTTGTGATCTACTCAGTGGAGGTGTAACTACTAACAGAAGTTCTAAAATTCCTTTCTGTCCTTGTAATAATTATTACACTGAAAGTCCAAATTCTGCTTATAGTGCAGTATGTCTTCTTTGTGGTGGGTACTGCTCTGCCTGTGATTCAACAGATATTAACATATGTCATGCCTGCTTAGACTCGGATAATAGGATTTTGGTAGGCTAAGATTGTGTTTGCAAATAAGGATACTACTAAGTAAATTCAATGAAAGTGTGTTAACCTTGTCCTAAAAATTGTGTTACATGTGTAGCTGATGCAACTTCGGGAAAGCCATTATGTTAATCATGCAATACAAAAGAAAATAGGTAAATTAGCATTAAATATAAAAATTTTAATTAAATATCAAATAAATTTATTATATCTAAATAGAGATGTAGGAACTAACTAATAATGCTAATGCAAGTAAATGTATTACTTACTAAATGATCCTGGTACAGGAATATGCTAACCTTGCGATCCTAAATGCGCTTCTTGCGATCCTCTAAACGGAAATTGTATTACTTGTATAGTAAATAGATCATCACCTCCAGCATGTACATGCACACCTCCATTAATATAAGATTCTGTCAATTACCCTAATTGCATTTAGTGCGATCATAGTTGCAAATACAATTGCTTTGGCCCATCACCTTTTTAATGTTTAAACCCTTGTGATTTAAATTCAGATGCTTTATTAAATCCATTGAATAGATAATTCAATCCATTTTTAAACTCATGTCCTTGCAAACCTGGTTATAGTGAAGATGTGACACTTCCTAATAATCCAAAATGTATGCCATGTTCCTATACTTGCTAAACATGCTCAGCAGCAAATGATGCTAATTCATGTTCATCTTGCAGCTCAAGTAATAATAGAGTATTAGTAGGTAGTACTTGTAATTGCATGGATGGATATTATGATAATGGAAATTCTTCAGTTTGTTTAAACTGTAATTATACTTGCAAAACTTGTTCATATAACTAATTCCAAACTCCTTAGTTATAATGCTTGAGTTGTGACCCAGATAATTATAGATATTTAAGTAATGGATCTTGCTTGTGTAAAACTGGTTATTATGATGATGGTAATAGTCCTGTTTGTCAAAAATGTCAGTAATCTTGTTTAAGTTGCATATAACCTAATATTTGTAAGACTTGCGATAGTGTTTAAAAAAGAATCCTTGATCCTATAAGTTTGACTTGTATCTGCTAAGATGGAACCTTCGAAAATGCAAATAAAGTATGTCAAGCATGCGATTTGTAATATTTTAATATTAAAAATATATTCATTTATTTGCTTACTTAAATATATTCACTAATAGGAGCTGCTAAACTTGTATAAATAATACCAATACAGGTTGTACATCTTGCTAAAGTAGCTATCAAAGGTAAAGATTATTTTCATGTGTTTTAACATCCTTTATTTTTATGTTTTTAATATTAATATATAGAGCTTTTAAACTCATACTATCAAATCCTTATTCTGGATCATGCAATTGTATTGATGGGTATTATCAGTCTCCAAATAATTAAGTATGCTTACCTTGCCATTACTCCTGCTATTCTTGTTAAGGACCATTGTAAACAGATTGCATTAAGTGCTAAATATCTAGAACCTATAATATCGCAACAAGCCTATGCTCCTGCCCTTCTAACAAATATGATGTTTTTGGTATAACTTAATGCTAGGATTGTCCTTATTAGTATTTTTATCTTTTAATTATAATTCTTAAATTATATAATAAAATTTTTAATTAGCTGCAAAACTTGTTCTGCTGCTGATACAACTAAGTGTAGTACTTGTGATCCAGCCTAATAGAGGTAAATGAATGCCTTAACTGGCTATTGTGATTGTAATTAAGGTTTTTATGATGATGGTAGTCCAGTCTGCAAACCTTGCTTTTAGAATTGCTTAACTTGTAGAGGCCCTAATTAATATGATTGCACTTTATGCGATTCAAGCAAGAATAGAATCTTATAAAATGGTATTTGTGTATGTATGATAGGTTACTATAATATTAATGGGTAAGTTGCTTGTGGTTAATGTGATTAAAGCTGCTACACATGCTAAGATAACTCTAATGGTGGTCCAAACTAATGCTCTTCTTGTAGCTTATAATAATTTAGATAATAATAAGGAAATTATTGTCTTTGCATTAATGGATACTTCTAGGATCCAGTTTCCAAACTATGCGTCTAATGTGATTAAACGTAATTAATTAACATTTTAAATATTTTTTAAATTGATAAATATATTATAGATGTGCTACATGTGCAAGTATAACTACTTGTGCAACATGTAATAGCTCATAGTTTAGAGTTCTAAATCCTACATCTTAACTATGCGACTGCATGAGTGGATACTATACCTCTGGAACTTAAACTTGCTAGCCTTGTGATAGGTAATAACAATGATATAATTAGAAAAATTAAATATGAAATATTTTTAAAAGGACATGTAAAACATGCAGTGGTAGTGGTCCAAATTAATGTTTAACTTGTGATGCTACTTAAAATAGGTAAATTAGTTTATTTAGAAGCAAATTATAATGTATTTTTATTTTAGATAATATTATACTAACGGAGGTAATTCTAGCTGCTAGTGTCTTGATAATTATTACGATTTACCCCCTAATTCAGCTTGTTCTAAATGTCATTATGTAAGTTTATATTAGAGTGCAAACATAAGTTAATTTTCTAAATTGAAAAAAGTCATGTAAAAATTGTAGTGGATCAAATCGTAATTAATGTACTGCCTGTGACCCAGCAACTTCAAGAACATTAACTGCAAGTTAATGCGTTTGTCCGAGCAATTTATTTGATATACTTGACACACCGATTTGCCAGTAATGTCACTATTCATGGTAATTAAATATTATTTTTTTGTATGAAATTTATTCCTAAAAAATTTTTAAAAAGCGTTACCTGCACAGATAATACTCCAAGTGGATGTGTGACATGCCCTGCAGGAAGAAACCTAGTAAACACCTAATGCCTTTGCTAAGAAGGAAATATAGATGATCCTGTTTAATAAAAATGTTTATCTTGTCATTACAGTTGTGCAACTTGTTCAGTTGCAAATGGAAGTTCTTCAACTTGTCTTACTTGCAACCCAGCTTACTTTAGAAGTTTAGTTAATAATTAATGTGCCTGTAATCCAGGATACTATGATGATGGTTCTCATGTTCTTTGTTCATAATGTGACCCTACTTGTAGGACATGTTCAGGGCCAGGTTCTTCATCCTGCTAAAGTTGTGATGCAACCTTATTTAGAACTTTAAATGCATCTAATTAATGTGTTTGCATGAATGGCTACTTTTTATCTGCAGGAACTTGCTAAAAATGTGATGATAATTGCAAAACATGTGCAAATACTTCTACCAACTGTAATTCTTGCTCATCTTTGATGAAATTAGTTGGTAATTAGTGCTTTTGTGAAAATGGATATTTTGCCTAAGGTTCTAGTTGTATATAATGTGATATGTAAATTTATTTTTTTAAATTTTACTTTTAAAAAAATAATACCTTTTAATATGTAATTAGAACTTGCAGCACTTGTAATGGCCCTACTGCAGGAGATTGTTTGACATGTGATGCATAAGACTTTAGGTTAACATATATATTTATTCTGAGCTATCCTAATTTTATTAAATTATTTATTTATTAATAGATTATGCAATTAATGTACTGATTTGAGTTAAACTAATTGTTAGCTGTGTACACCAGCATAACAAGCGTAATTAAAATAAAATAATTTAAATTTAAAATAATATTATTTATTTTAATTAAAGTCCTAATGTGAAAAAATTCTGCAGATGTTAAAATAGATATTTCAGTTAGTAAGGTTTATCATAGTGCTATCCATGCAGTTATTAGTAATTCTCAAATATATATTTCAATTTTTAAAAATATTTTTATTTTTTTAGATGTCTTACTTGTCTTGGACCTAATTCATGCACTTCATGTGATTCTGTTGGTGATTTGAGAGTACTCTAAGGTACATAGTGTTAATGCATATTAGGTACTTATGATGCAGGTATATCTACTTGTTAACCTTGTCATTATTCATGCTAAAGTTGTGTTTAGGATAGCTAATTTGATTGTCTTTCTTGCTTATCGGGATAATATAGATAATACAACTCTTAGTCCAAGTAATGCGCTTGTTAAAGTGGTTTCTATGATAGTGGATAAAAAGTTTGTAAGTAATGTGATCCTACTTGTTTTACTTGCAGCGGTCCTTCAAATACTAATTGTCTTAGTTGCAGTAGTGCATAAAATTATAGAGAATTTAACCCTTTATAAGGAACATGCAACTGTATGAGTGGATACTATAATGACCCTATTTAATCTAGGTGCTTACCTTGCCATTATAGTAAATTATTTTTAATAAATTATTATAAAATTTATTTTTAAAAAAGGTTGTGCTACATGCAGTGGTTCTGGACCCAACTCTTGTTTAACTTGTAGGTAAACAGATTTTAGAACCTTTGATTCAGGAAAATGTGGTTGCAATGATGGTTACTATGACAATAATACCTCTCAATGCGCTTCGTGCCACTTTTCTTGCAAAAACTGTATAGGATCATTACAAGTAAATAAATGCAATTTTATATTTAGATTTTTTGTTGAGAATTTTAATTATAAAATAAGACTTAATGCACTTAGTGTGATGCTGCAAACAGTTTGAGATAGTTTAATTCTTAAACAAGCACATGTGATTGCATGGGTGGATACTACAGCTTGTTAGGACTTTAGTAGTGTTAAAGTTGCCACTATACAGTAATTGCTTATTTATTTATTTTATTTTTTTATTAAAACTACTGAATAAAAATTCAAATAGTGTTTGACATGCAGAGGACCTAATCCTAATTAATGTACAGCCTGCCTAGCAAGTGCTAAGAGATTCATGTAAATAGATAATACATGTGCTTGCGATTCAGGATATTATGAAATAGCTTCTCCTTAGAATAGCAATATAAAGATATGTGTTCCTTGTTCTCCCACTTGTTATATATGCTCAACCTTTAACTAATGTACAGGATGCAACTAATCAGACTATAGGTCACTTAATATAGTAACATAGCAGTGTGAATGTATAAACGGTTATTACGAAGTCAGATAATAATCTGGTACATTAAGCAGTTGTTAGGTATGTAACACTGCTGCAAACAGAGTAGTAAGTAATGATAAATTGTCTTGTGTTTGTAAACCAGGCTTCTTTGAAGATCCATCGTCAAGTAATTGTATGCCATGCCCCATAAGCTGTGCTGAATGTTTAAATTCAAAATAGTGCACTTCTTGCTCTAGTTCATAGTTTAGGATTTTTAGTAATTACTAGTGCATACCAATGTAAGGTTATTTTGATACAGGATAGGCTATTGCTTAAAAATGTTCTTAGCAATGTAAGAATTGTGTTAATTTTGCAACTAATTGTATCAGTTGTAGAACAGAAGACGGTTATACAATGTCAAAGGATTAAACATGTGTCTGTTAGGAGGGTTACTAAGAAGTAGCTGATGTTGATACTGGAATTACAGTGTGTAGAAGTCCTTAGAGTCTTGCCCAAAAAAGTGCTAATTAAGATAATGTTATGTGGTTTTATATATTTCTATGTATATCAGGACTCTTAGCCTTAATAATCATAGTCTATTTAGGCAGAAGATTTTGTATGAAATCAGAAGATCCTTAAAATAACCCAAGAATTCATGCATTAGACATTAGCGAGTAAGACATATTCAACCAAAGACCAGAAGAAACTTTACAACAGCTAGAAAATGATAATAAGAATCTACCTAAAATTGAGCAGGCTCAAGACTATAACTTTGCTCAAAAAAAGAATGTGCAAAACCAAACTATTAGTCCTGGTGGAGGAGACTAGATAGTGTGATACTATTGAAATTATAATATTAAAAACTAATTTTTATTTTTTAACTTAAGTAAATTTGAATGAAAATGATTTTTCACTATTATAAATAAATAATTAGAGGTTACTAATATATTTTTAGTTATTGGTTATTTTAAATATTTATTAATAAAAATAAATAAAAAAACAAATTTTTTTCTTTAAATAAACATTTATTTGTTTTTAAATATAAAATTTTAAATGGCAATAAATTAATTATTGTATTTAAAAGAGCTGATTTAATAATTGAATTATTTTTCAAAATTTTTATATTTATTTATATTTAAAAAATTTATTTAATAATAGTCATAAAATATAATTACCTTTATTTTAAACTATGAATTTCATAAATTAACATTAAACTTTAAATTAATATCGATTTGCTTTAAATTTTAGCAATTTAATTGTTTGTAAAAAAAGGTCTTAAGTAAAATACTATATCTCTATTTTTGAATAATATTAAAATTCTTTTTAGCTAGCTTAAATATAATATCAAAATTCAAATTTTGATTTTATAACATGGAATTATTATCAAATTAATATATAACCATGATTTAATTTTTTGTTACATTTCAAATTAATAGTAATAAAAGATATTTTATATAATACTTTAAAAGAAATATGATGTGTGTATGTTAATATTTATGATTTATTGATTGAATGATCTATGGAGAAAATAAGATTAGGATACTACTATATCTAGATGTTATATTAAAGAATCTGCAGATGGAAATTGTTTGAAGCTTATTTATAATAATAAAAACAAAAGAAATTGATTGAGCAATTTATAATAATTAAATTTTCAAAATACATTTTGAGAGTAAGAGTAATATAATTAAAAATAGATAAGAATTAAAATATTATAAAAAAGGAGCAACAAACTCAATTAGACTTTTACTTTAAGCTAATATGTTAAAATTAATAATATTAATTTTGACCTTCTTGAAATATTTTATAGTTAGAACAGCTCTAACTCCAGTTAATATTTTAAATACCTCTTCTGATCCAGTAATTGCGACATCTATTTTTATCGAAGTAATTATACTATTTTCTATATTATTATTCAATTATCAAATAATAATTAAAAATAAAAATGCATGAATAGACTTAACCATATATTGTATATGTTGGAGCAGATAATAACATCTACAGTAATTAAAACAGCACCTATTGTAAAATATTTAAGATCTTTAAAAATTAAAATAGTATATGATCCTATACAAAATTTGGATCTAAATAATGTACTCATTACGACAACTTCTCCTACTTTTATTCAAGATATAAACTCTGTTGTAAATATAAAAATGATGTTTCACCAAATTACGTATTTTTTAAATAATATTAACTAAAGGTATAGGGAAAATACTTTGTGGCTATAGCAGTAGATAAAATCAAGAGTATTTTTTATAATTTTTATTCAAAATAGTTAAGATAAATTTATAAATATAGTTGTTGAAATATTAATACCCTCATTAAACTTTGGTACACCTAGTTCAATAAGCTATTAAGCAGGAACATCATGCTATAGTATGCTTTATAATCCAAGTTTAGATGTAATTTTTGATTTAAAAATAATTTAATATGTTAAAAGTCATTTATAACTTATTATTTATTAATTACATCAAAATTAACAATTTTAAAATAATTTTTCTAAATAGACTTTGTTTTGGGCAGAAGGTAAAGCAAAAATCTAAAGTAAATTTTTATCATTCTTACATGATAATTTAAAGTTTTACCCTTCAAAATTATTAAAGGTGTTCAATTATCAAACTTAGCTACTGTAAATACAATAACAGTCACTTCTGTTAGTTAAATAGTATTTATTGGATTATGGAAATAAAAATCATAATGGTTTGTAATAGATTCTATTCATAAACTACATTGTAATTTTTTAATTTAAAAAAGTATTTTGCAATTTATTTTTTAATATTTTAGTATTAGATGCTAGTTAAAACTCAATAGCAACAACTACTCTTTCTAACTAACCTACTAGCGTATCATATGTCTACGGATAGGTATATTAATTTTAACAGCCAAAAATAATATATTAATTTCTTTAAACTAGCTAACAGAATATATTATTAGTTGTTATTATACTCCTATGTAATGTCAAAGTAATATTTTATTTTAAGTAATTTATACATTTATTTAATAATTTTTAATAAAGTATTTCCAATCTCTCCATCAACTGCAACTATCTCATCAGCTATATTAATTTCATAAACTGTTTATCTAGAGTTCTCATATGTAAATTAAAAATTTTAATTTTATTTCATTTTATATCAAGTTATTAATCATAGGGATATGTGCTTATTTAGATATATGTTGACCCTGGGCTCTCTACTTATTTGATAGAGTATAATATTTTAACAGGTTAATAAAGCAAGCTATTGTTGGCGAATGAAGATATCACTGCTGGTATTAATCAATTTGCTAATTATAATATAAGAACTAAAACTATTGTGATGAATTCAAGTAGTTCAAGTGTGATAAACTGTAATAAATTTAAATTTTATAAAAACAAATTAAATATATTTAAATTAAAACATATTTACAAAAAATTTTTTTACTCTCAAAATTAATTTGAAATAAGTTTTCTGTATTTTGATTAATTATGGTAAGCATTTAAAAAATAAATATAAAGTAAATAATTAAGATTTAGAACAAAAAAATTTATTGAATAATATATTTTTAAAGCAGGAACTGCTATATTTTAAAGATAGTTTTATTGAAGACTAAATCAAGAAAAAAATTAATTAATATTCTAATTTATATAGCTAGTTTACTTTCTACTTAGTGCTCTAAAAAATGTGTTGGATGTCTTTAAAGCAATTTTTGTACTGCTTGTGATGTAACAAAAAATAGAATTTATGGAAAGGGTTATAACTGTTCTTGCAGATAAGGATACTTTGAAGATAACGATGAAAATTGCATTAAATGTGCTGATCAAAATTGTTCAGTATGTAGTTCAACTTAAACAAGTTCATGTATTTAATGCTACAGTGGATATTAACTAGTTAGTTCTTAATGTTCTAACTGTCCTTTAGGTTACTTTTATGATACTTCTAACTGTATCAGATGTAATTTTAATTGTTCTTCTTGTAGTAGTTTGTCGTAATGCATTACCTGCAATCCATACAATCCTCTAATTGTTTAATCTCCACCAACATGTGCATGTAAAGATGGTTATTACTTAGATTCAATAAATTAGATTTGCTAAAAGTGCCATGCTAGCTGTAATACTTGTAATGGACCTTTTAGTAATTAATGTTTAACATGCAGCAATTACCCTGCATATTCAACACTTGATCCTAATACAGGGTTATGCAATTGTTCACCAGGATATTATAGAACAAGTGAAGGAACTTGCAGCTAATGCTCTTAGTACTGTAATTCTTGTGAAAACTCAAGCACTTAATGTACTAGTTGTGATGCTACTTAAAATAGGATTTTAAATTCGAATGCTTAATGCGTGTGTATAAGTGGGTATGCAGAAGATTCAACTTCTACTAAATGCTTATAGTGCACATCAGCAAAGTGTGCTTCATGTTCTAAAGCTAATTTAGGTAAATGTACATCTTGCATCATAGAAAATGGTATTCAGTTAGTACTAAATGGTAATAACTGTTCTTGCCCTTCAGGATATTATGATAATGGTACAAGTTGTATTACATGCCACTATACATGTAATAGCTGTAGTGGCTAGCAATAAAATTAATGCACATCATGTAACTATTCTTTGACATTATAAGCAGACAACACCTGTAAATGTGCTGCTGGGCATTATTTTTTAAATGGTTAGTGCTTACCATGCAGCAATACATGTGATACATAAGGATGCGTTTTTGATGCTAGTATATGCATAGCTTGTGCAGCAAATAGTTACATGGTTGGTACTTCTCCAGGTAAATGTTATTGCAATAATTAGTACTATTTTGATGGAAATAAATGTCAGTAATGTTCATAATAACTATGTTAAACGTGTACATCCACCTAATGTATATAATGTTTGCCAAATGCTTAATTTGATATCAATGGTATTTGCTAGTGTGTTAGTGGTTTTTATAACAATAGTGGTAGTTGCAGTCCTTGTGCTGCAAACTGTTTAACATGTGACCACACAGGATGCTTAACATATAAATGTGATCCTACTTGTAAAACGTGTACTGGTTCAAACAATAACAATTGTACTGATTGCTATCAATCTTAAAACAGGTAATAATATTTTATTTCTATATTCTTTAAATTTAAAGTAAAAATAAAAATATTAGAAAGCTTAATGCCGCTACAGGAACTTGTGATTGTGTAACATCAACTTATTTAGTTCAAAATTATATTTGCTTGCTATGTCATCCTTGTAAAATTCATTAATTTTAATATTTATTTTGTTAAAAAAAAATAACTTTTAAAACTAAAAGCTTGCTTTAGCTGCACAGGACCTTAAGCTAATCAATGCCAAAGTTGTATTGATTCAAATATGAATTTTTCAAATGGTTATTGTTAAAATTGCAAAGATGGATATTTTAAGCTTGAAAATGTCTGTTAAATATGTAATAGCGGATGTAAAAGATGCGTTAACTCAGCCACCTTTTGCTTATAATGTTCTAATTAACTATTATTATAATCAAACAATACTTGCTAATGCAATCCAGATTCACATATTATAAACACAGACCAATGTTAACTAAATAGTTGTGACCCTACCAAATTTTGTAAAACTTGCCTATCTGATCTGAAAACATGTCTATCATGTGATTCAACATAAAACCGTTACTTATATGGAACCCAGTGCCTATGTTTGCCTGGATATGGATAAGACGCTTCAGGTAATTGTGTCTTATGTAATTATCCTTGCTTTAGATGCTCAAACAATGATCACACTGTATGTACATAATGTGATCATTAAAGTTTTAGAATACTTTAAGGTTCTACTTGTGTCTGTTAACATGGATACTACGATGATGGGACAAACATGGTTTGTAAACAATGCAAAAACAGTAATTTTTTTATAATTAAAGTATTAGAAATAAATTTTAAATATTTAATAGATTGCTTGACTTGTTCTGATGGTATTTCGTGCTTAACTTGTAAAAGTGACAGGTAAATTTTAATTAAATAATAATATTTTAAATATTTAGCAAAAATACTTCTTAAAACTTTATTTCTATTGTTGATTGAAGTTTTTATTCATTTTAATATGAATTATAGCTATTTGATTTCTAATTAGATATTTTTTTAAATTAAATATATTTTATGTTTTGTACAATTAATTTTATTTCAAGTTATTCAATTTTTTCGTTTTAGTAAAATAACCTTATTTTTTCTATTTTAAACCATTAAAAAGAGATGCAACACATAATTGCTAATGTTTAGCTGAAAATTATTCTGATTATGGATTCCTAAGTTAATGTGTTAAATGCCCATTTGGGTATTTCTCTTCTCCTACAGATACAAGTAAATGTTTGTAATGTGACTCAAAATGCTTAGAATGCACTACAACTAGTACTAATTGTAAATCTTGTGATCCAAAAAGCCTTAGAGTTATAGGTTCTAATACATGTAATTGCCCTCCTTAATTTCCTTTAGATGATGGTACTTAGTGTCTGCCTTGTCCATACTATTGCCCAACTGGTTGTTAAGTTTAACTTTCAGATCCTACCAAAAAATTTATAAATGTTTGCACAGTATGTGATAATACATTTAACCGGTATTTAAATAAATATTTGAAATATATTAATTATTTTTAAAAAATAAAAAAATATTTAATTAAAGTACTTTAACTCCTGATTATCTTTGTAAATGCAATGATGGATATTATGACTAAATAGGAACTGGAGCTTGTTAGCAATGCCATTACTCGTGTGCTTCTTGTACTGGTCCTGGTGTTAGCTAATGTCTTACATGCCCAGTTGATAGAGATTAAGTAAATATTATTATAAAAATTATAAAAGTATTAACTTTCATTCATTAATTTAGAACACAGTTGTTGATCCTAATACATTTATTTGTACATGTAAATAATAATATTATGATGATCCAATCAGCAAATCATGTAAATAATGCAATTTATCCTGCAAACTATGCAGTAATTTAAACACTTGTCTTTCTTGCTCTGATCCTTTAATGATTCTAAAAAATGGAGTTTGTACATGTCCTAATGGATATTATTTGAATCCTTAGCCTGGTCATCTTAATTCTTGCCTACCTTGTCACCATAGTTGTGGAACATGCTTAAATAATAATTAAGTAGATAACTGTTTGACTTGTGCTCACTATACTAGGATATTCTAATTCAATCCAGCTAAAAGCGACTAAACAGGAACATGTAATTGTGTAGCTAATTTATTTGAATCAACAATAAATCCAATTGAATGTGTTTAGTGCCATTATACTTGGTAAAGTTTTTTATGTTTTCAAAATATAATTAAAATATTATTAAAGCTTAACTTGCTAAGGAGGATCGAATACTTAGTGCATGACTTGTGATCCAGATATGAACAGAGAGTTATCGACTGCACCTAATCCTGGTCCTGGATAATGTAATTGTAAACCAAATTATTAAGCTTCGTCAGGAACTGCATTATGCACTAATTGTGATATCAGCTGTTAAACTTGTAGTGGTCCTAATTATAATTAATGTTTAACCTGTGATTCAACAAGAAATGTAAAAAAATATTTTAACAAAAAAATAATTTTTCATTAAAATTAAAAAAATAAGATTATTTATTTGATATAAAACTTTGTAGCTTATCCATAAATAATAAGCAGGAATGAAAAAAAAAATAATTTTTTCAAAACTTAATTTTTAAAATATGCTTTTATAAAACTCTACATTATCAAATTTAGCTCATCTAATTTTTTTAAACCACCTAAAAATTTAAAATACCAAAATAAGTTAATTTGTAAGCTAAAAGAAAATTTTTCTTTCACTAATCATGATATGCATATTATTTATAGATTTTAATTTTTCTTGAGCATCTCTAATTTATTAATTATAACTTAAGGTTGCACTTTGTGTTGACTATTTTATCACAATTATTCGTTATTTTAAACATAAAAATTTATTAAAAAATAAAAAATTTTAAAATTTTGAGAAAAATAAATAAAATATCATTTAAAATTAAACAAATTTAATTAATTACTAATACTAATTTTTTTTATAAAAAGTTACAAACTTCTGGTGCTTAGTAAACTTGCCCATGCAAAAATGCATTCTATGAAGCATATAAACCTAAATGTTAAGCATGCCATTACTCTTGCGCTACTTGTGATGGACCAAATAACTACAATTGTTTGACATGTCCAGCTGCTGGTTCATTTAGATTAAATGGATAAATACCACTTTGCCCATGTTAAAACTATTATTATGATGATGGTAAAAATTAAAATTGTGTACCTTGTAATTATAAATGTGCATAATGCCTTTAAGGTTCACCAAATGTTTGTACATCTTGCTTATTAAGTGATAATAGAGTTTACAATCCGCTTTCTTAAAATTGTGATTGTATAAATGGATATTATGATGATGGAGCTACTCAATGCATTTAATGTGATCCTTAGTGTGTTACATGCTAGGATACAACTGGATCTTGTCTAACTTGTGATAGTTCAAAAAACAGGTAATTATTTCACAATAACTTAAAAACTGATGAAAATTATATTTAATAATTATAATAGAACTCTGGATTCTTCAAGCCATAAATGTATTTGTTAGAATGGATATTTTAGCTTAGATATTAGCAATTAAGATGTATGCTAAAAATGTCCTAGTGTATGTCCGGATTGTGATAAGTAAACAGGTTAATGCAAAAGTTGCTTTGGAAATAATAGAGTTCTTCCAAATTGTAATTGTCAAACTGGATATTATGATGTAGGGGATGGTAATTGTTAATAATGTGATAAGAGTTGTCCAAAGTCGTGTTAAGGACCATTAAAAAATTAATGTTTAGATTGTACATCCTTAATTAACGGTTAAAATCTATATAGAAATTTTAATTAGATTACTGGTATGACTACTGGTACTTGTGATTGCATGGATGGTTATAGTGAAGATACTTAAAATCCTACTTATTCGCAATGTATAAAGTGTAGCCCAAAATGTTTAACATGTTTATAATAAAACAATTCGTATGCTTGTCTAAGCTGTAGATCTAGTTAGTTTAGATACCTTCAAAATAACTAGTGTTTATGCTTACCAGGATATTACGATGATGGAACCAATTGTTAAGTTTGCGATGCAAGGTGTAAGACATGTAGTAGCAGTTCAACAAAATGTACTAGCTGCTCTGATTCTAATAATAGATAGCTAAATACCTCTACAAAAAAATGTGATTGTAAGTTAGGTTATTATGTAGATCCTGTAAACATCAGTAATCCTACTTGTCTAAAATGTCATTATTCTTGCTAATCATGTAACGGTCCCAATTAAACCGATTGCTTGACATGTGATATTAATTAAGGACGTAAAATAAATGGAGGAACATGTATTTGTATTGATGGAACTTATGATGATAATTCAAATCAATTATGTGTATCTTGTGACTGGTATTTTAGATTTTTTTATATTAAAATAAATTTTATAAACTTTTTTGAAAAGGTCATGCAGCACTTGCTCTTAAACCGGTATTGATTGTTAAACATGCGATTCTACGAGGTATAATTATATATAATTTTAAAGATTTTTTATTTTTTAATTTAATCTAGAACTTTACAGAATGTTACAGATTAGTAAGGAAATATTCACAATCTCTGTGTATGTAATCCAAATTATTATTCTGTTTATCCAAATAAACAGTGCCTTAAATGCCATTATAGTTGTCAATATTGTACTGGTCCAGGATAATATGATTGTACTTCTTGTGAAAGTACAGCTTTTAGAGTTTAAGGTACTTTAAATAGTAATGGAATAACTTTTTCTTGTAATTGCATGGTAGGTTATTTCGATGCTGCAGGATAGTATTAATGTAAAACTTGTCCTTATGAGTAATATTTTTAAATTTTAATTTAATGAACTAATTAAATAAATTTAAATTAAAAATGTGTTTTTATTTATTATTTCAAAGCTAAAATATTAATTAACTTTTATTTTTTAAAACTTACTTTTTAATCAAGCAAGAACATTTCAAAAAAAATTAAAAATTTTTACCAAAAATAAATTCTTTAATCCAATTTTACAAACTTTTATAAATTAAGAAAAAATAAAAAATATTTTTTACTTTTGCTATATAACATATTTTTTATAAAAACTTTATTACGAATTTTAAAATTATATTTTGCTTAAAAATACATTTTGAAAAAAAATTCTAAACTAAAAAATTAATCTTTAAATTAAAACAGTTGTAAAACATGTGTTCGTGACTCAGTCAATTAAGAATGCTTGACATGTGATCCTGCTAGCAATCGTTAATTAAATTATGTTACGGGGAGATGTGATTGCAAGCCTGGATATTTTGAAGATGTAGGTTTAAGTGAGCCTGTATGCTAACCTTGTCATGCTTCTTGTTCTTAATGTAAAGCAAGTACATTTTAAGACTGTACATAGTGTAGTTCTCTTAATTTTAGAACTTTTTAAAATGGATAATGTGCTTGTTTAGCTGGATATTATAATATTGATAGTAATACCTCTTAATGTGCTTCTTGTCACTACTCATGTAAAACATGTAATGATATAACTGGTAGTTCAAACAATGCTTGTTTGACATGTGATGCTAATAGTTTTAGATAATAAAATGGTACCTATTGTTAATGTATCACAGGATATATGGATATACCTAACTAAAAAGCTTGTTAGCAATGCCATTTTAGGTAAATTTTCTTAAAATAAATGATAGTTAAATTAATTTAAATTTATTAGTTGCGCTTCCTGTGATAGCACTTTACCAATAACTACAAATTAATGCTTATCTTGTAATGCTGTAAATAACAGGGTTTTGCTAGGTAGCAATTGCCCTTGTAAAACAGGTTTTTACGAAATTCCAGGTAATCCTGTTTGCTAGCCTTGTGATCCGTAATTAATTTTTTATATTAATTTTTCAATTTAAATTTTATAATATTAATAACAATAATATTTAGGAGTTGCTTAACTTGTAGTGGAAGTTCTCCATCATAATGCCTAAGCTGTGATCCTACGAATAACAGGTAATATTAAAATATTAAATATAAAATATTTAAAGTAAAAATTTTTTTTATAGAGTCTAAATTGGATAAACTTGCCCATGCGCTGTTGGTTATTTTTCAATAGGCACAAATAATGCAAAATGTGTAAGCTGTCACTATGTAAGTTTTTATATAAATTATACAATTTTTTGATTATATTTATAAACTCAAGAAATGTCTCACTTGCAATGGACCTAACTATAACCAATGCACAAGTTGTGATAGCTCAATGTAAAGAGTTCTGATTAATAACTAGTGCCAATGCTAATCAAACTTATTTGATATTATAGATACAAAGTTATGTTCTAGTTGCCACTATTCTTGGTATTTACAATTTGCACTTAATATAAATTAATTAAGCTATTTAAATAAAGTCTTTAGTGCACATCTAACACTCAATACAGTTGTACATCTTGTCCTATAGGATCTAATAGAACATTAGTTAATAATCAATGTCTTTGTAACGATGGCTACTTTGATAAAAGTTTAACTTAAGCATGCTAAAAATGTGATTTTAGGTGCAAAACTTGTGATCCAACAAATACGAGTAAATGTCTTTCATGCAGTGCTGCTAATAATAGAATATAAAGTGGAAATAGTTGCAACTGTATTAATGGGTACTTCGAAGGTAATTAACCTGCATGCATACAATGTGATGTAACTTGCTTGTCATGTAATGGTGCAGGCCCTTCTTCTTGCACAGCATGTGATGCTAATCAATTCCGTTAATTAATGCCAGATAACACATGTAGATGTATATCTGGATATTATTTTGATACAGGAAGTTAAAAATGTTTACCATGCGATAGTAATTGTTTGCAATGCTATGGCAATGCAAAATAATGTACTGCTTGTGACTCAAGTCAAATATTATCTCCTTAAACAAACACTTGTGTTTGTGCTAATAGATATTATAGTAACAATTCTATTTGCTAGCCTTGTGACCCGTAAACTTATTTTTTCAAAGAGGATATAAATAAATATTTTTATATATAATAAGATCATGTCTTTAATGCACTGGTCCATTAGCAACATAATGCTCATTATGCAGTAATACTGATAATAGGTAAGAAAGCAATTTATTTTCTAATAAATAAAAATTTGTTAATTTTGAAAAATAGAACTCTTGTTGGAAATTAATGTTAATGCAGCAATGGATTTTACAATATTCCTGGAAAAAGTTAATGTGCTCCTTGTCATTACAGGTAATTATTGAATTAATTTACATCACTGAAATAGTATCAAAATTAAAACATTTAAAATTCTTGTTAAAAATCAATTTAATTTATTGATTGATAAATTAAAAAGCTGTCTTACATGCAATGGACCTAATTCTAATAACTGCCTTAGCTGCGATTTAGCAAATAGCTAAAGATAGTAAAATGGTAACTAATGCGGATGTACTACTGGGTATTTTGATGCTAATACAGCAGTTTGTTAAAAGTGTCATTACTCTTGTAGGTCTTGTGATTAATAAGGCCCAAATGATTGCTTAGATTGCCAAGTAAATGTACATAGAAACTATGTAGCACCTTTAAAAAAATGCAGTTGTATAGATGGATTTTATGATGATGCAGTATCTTAATCTTGTCTTGCTTGTGACCTTTCTTGTTAGACTTGTTAAGGAGCAGGACCAAGTAATTGTCTCACATGCAACTTGAGTCAAAACAATCGTATTTATAATTCTGTAACAGGATTATGTTAATGCATTGATGGTACCTTTAATATTCCAAATTAAGCAAGATGTGGACCTTGCCATTACAGTAAAATATTACTAAATAAATGATTGGTATTAACGGTATTAAAAATAATTAGGTTGTTAAGCTTGTTCTTCTTCTACAGCATCTAATGCCTGCACATCTTGCAGTGCTTCAAATTAAAGAACATACAACAGTGGAACAAATAGATGTGATTGCAACGATGGATATTATGATGATACACTTTCTCCTCTTTGTGCTCCATGTAACTTTACTTGTAAGACTTGCCAGAAAGGAGATGCTGTACATTTTAAAACAACCCTTTAATAATTTAATTAATTTCATTTAAAAATATTTAGAATTCATGCACCAGCTGTGACTCAGTCAACTATTTTAGGTAGTATAATTAAGTTAAATAGACATGCGATTGCTAGAATGGCTATTATTCTCAATTAGGAATTTAGAGATGCCAACCTTGCCACTTTACAGTATATTTTTTAAAAAAGACAAAATTTTTTTTTTGGAATCACTTTAACAAACAAATAGACCGTTTGTATTCATAATATATTTAAACTTAATTAATATTTTGAGTAGTGAAAAATAATACAATAATAAAAATTAATAATAGTGCAGTACATGTAATGGATCAGCAGAAAACAATTGTCTTAGCTGCTCACTTGAATCTAAGAGATACTTGACAGCTAGCAATACATGTGCTTGTTAAGTTGGCTTTTATGAGGTAGTTTCACCTGATAATCCGGCAGTAAGAATATGCTAGCCTTGTAGTCCCACATGCTTTTCATGTTCTACTTACTCTATGTGTTAAGGATGCAGAAGTACTGACAATAGAGTTATAAATCCTGTCACTAAAACTTGTGATTGCAAAGATGGATTTTATTAAGTTTCCTCTGGTGGTACCATATAACCAATATGCTAACCTTGTTCAAGTGCAAACAATTTAATAGTCTCATAAGATAAGCAATCATGTATTTGTAAGCCAGGATATTATATGAACACTTAAGGTATTTGCTCATAATGTCCTATTTCATGTTCTGAATGCAGCAGCTTTAGTAATTGCACTATTTGTGATGCAGCTAATTTTAGATAGCTTTAATCTGGTGCTTGTGTTCCTATGGCTGGATATTTTGAATCAGGTTAAAAAGCAGCATCTAAATGTGACCAAGTTTGTAAGACTTGCTCAGTAAAAGCAACTAATTGTATTACTTGTAGGACTGAAGATGGATTTTAGATGTAAAGTAATACTAATTTGTGTATATGTAATCCAGGATATACATAAACACAAGTTGATGACTCAGGAATGACAGTTTGTCGCAGTCCGTAAGAGCTCGCATAGCAATCTGAGACTAATGGAAATGTCATGTGGTTTTATATATTCTTATGTATTTCAGCTATTCTTGCAATGATTATAATTATATACATAGCAAGAAGAACATGCTTCAAAAGTGGCCCAAAAGCACAAACAGTTCATGTTTTAAATCAAAGTAATTAAGACATTTTTAACATTAGAAATGAATCAAATCTTAACTTAGAAGATATTTAAAATGCCTCAGTCTAGTAAGCTGCTTAATAGAATGACGATTTTGGAATTATTCCAAATAAAAAAAAAGAAGTTACTATAAATCCTCTTAATGAAAAAATTAAAGAAGATAATCTATGAAAATAGTATGATATGATTGAGGCAAATATGAAAATTATTTGTTTTATATTTTTATTTTTTTATTTTTTAAAATACATTTTATCCATTTAATCAAATAAAAACATTTAAAAATAATAAATTTAGAATAGAAGTAAATTTCTTTCAATTAAATTTCAAAATTATAATAATTATAAATTTATTTTTCAGTCAGTTGCAAATAAAAGAAACATTTTTTAAATATTTAGTAAATCAATCTTACTTGATAAAAAGAAATTTTTTTGATATCTCTAGTTTTTTTTGATAAAAAAAATATTCATAATTAATCTTTATATTCTATGGTTTATTTATCCTTTTATAGCTAAGGAAGTTTTTGATTATTTTGAGTTTTTCAAAAGTGAATAGTTTTTTAGTTTGAAAGAAAACTATTAATTTTAAAATAAATAAAAAATATATTTTGTATTGTTTTTTTATATTTTACAATTTATATACATTAAAATTGAAGTTAGACAAAATTGATTATAAATTAATTTTATATTATCTTTTATATTTTACAGATTATATATATATATATATATTTAATATACATTTAAATTAAAATAGAACAAAATTTTTCATAATGATGAAGTTGAAATTTTATTATTAATAAATAAATAAATTTGGACAAAACCAGCAACAACTGTTAGTAAAGCAATTACTAACTATTAAAACAGTGTTAAAGTGATGGTAATACCATATAATGTAAAAGGTTAGTTTCTAAAATCTTAATCAACTTCATTTTCACAATCAGATATGCTATTCATAAGCTAGTTAAGATAGTCATTAATATTTTCGTCATGGGTTTTAGTTTAATCAGAAATTTTTAAAATTTATTTAATTTTTGTTAAGCTCTTTTTAAGAACAAAATTTGAAGCAACAAAATTTTAATCTTTAAAATAAACATTTTTCATTCTCATAATATCTAAAAATAAAACCTTGTGATCACCTAGAGTATTTTTATAATATTCAAAACATTCATTTAAAAGGCAACCTTAATATAATATGGCTAGCAATATTGAAAAAGTAACAATAAGTTCATATAAGCACATAATAGGGTATATGTTATCAAGCTTATATATCTTTAAGACCCACAAAATAAGAATTATAGTTGTGATAAAAATAGAAAAAAAGTAAATTGTAAGATAAGCTTGCATTCTAAGTACATATTATTTGCCATAATCTAAACAGATTCTTCTCAAAATTGACCAACCTTAATAATAAATAAATTATTATTTACCATTTAATAATTTTTAAAAAAATTTACCTTTTAATGAATAAGGGTTTATAATATCAACAGTTGGAAGTACTTTTTTCTCACTTAGATGAATTTTTTTAACTTAAAGCATTAACTTACATTAATTTAGCATAAAATCTTTGAGTTTCATATCACGAATGTAAAAAAATAAAAATACGAAAGAGAATAAATATCCAAAAAATGTATTTATCGATAAAGCTACTAGTTAGGCAATTTCTATTCCTCTAAATTCAAAATTTTCTCTGTATATATATCTATATATTATAGGTCCAGCTGTTCTGATTCCAGCTAATATAAGTGCCTGAAGGATTTGAGATGAACCACGATTTTATTTACTATACTATCTAATCAAATATCCAAGTACAGAATATCCATAAAAATATTATGTCTATTAAACAGGGAAAATGCATTTAGGCTAGTATTTAACTGTAGTATAAGAGTGGTGTTTACTAATATTTTAATTCAGTTCGTTCATTTCATCAGCAGCTTACTTAGAAGGTTCAACAAAAAATCTTATTTGTTTAATTTTAAAGAGTTTAGTTTTTTTAAATAAGTATTAATAATAACTTACGATATATAAAACATAGATGGATCAAATTCTCCTCTTTATAGAGCATTATAAGTCTCTCTATATAATGTTTTATCATCTTAATCTTTCCAGTTTGTAAGGTAGTAATCTGTTATTGTTAATTTTACATCTAATACATAATCTCTATAAAGTTTGATTTTATCAGGATGAAGGGTTGCATACCTTGTAAAAAAAATATATGCTTAATATTTAGTTAAATAAATTAATTTATAAAAATATACTTGCAAGCTATAATATAGCAACGAAGAATCATAATAAAGAATGTGAATATAATTTCTACTAGGTATATATTTTAACTGGAAGAGGTAAAGTAAAGAGTGATTATAAATACGTTAAAAATAAAAAAAGTTGTTTGTATGTAAAATGCTTAAGTATTGCCCCAAAATTGCAAATTTCGCATAAGTACTCTTTTTTTGTAATAAACCAATGTGACGAAAGGCCCAATAAGCATATAATTTAAAATATGATACCAAAATATCTCAAAAAATACATTATAATCCCAATCAACATGATGATCTCTTAATTTATTAAACATATCTGGATTAATATATTTGCTTCTTTTATTTTATTTCTTTTCAGAGTCTTCGCCAAAGTATTCATCTTCCAATAAGCCTGCTGTAGTGCTAAGCCTTTATAACTCATATCTATCTTTTTAATTTTCTATATCTTCCTTTTCTTCAAATTTATTCAAGCTTTTTACTTAGTAGCCCTTTTAATCATCATACTACACATCTTCTAAAAATTCATTTAATTGTTCATTATTTTAGGCATTATTTTGTTCGATTTTTGAATTATTTGAAGGAGTTTATTCTTAGTTTCTTTCTATATTAATATTAGAGCCTATAACTATAGAACTTAAAGCTAGATCTTTGTGGGTATCTTCATCTCCTTATAGATAGTTTATTTATTTCCTCGATATCATGTATTAACTTCCTAAAATATTAAATTTTGTTTTTTAAAACTTAAAATTTTAAATTAATTTACTGAATGTGCTAATAGGGCTCTATATTTCTATCACTTTATCATGTTATAGCTAACTCATAATAAGATAATTTATTTTTTAATGGCTTTAGAAAAAGTTATGTAGATTATTGAATAATTAAATTATAGTTATTTTCTAAGTATATTTTTGACATTTAAAAGAGATTAAAAGTAGCTATAACACTTACATTTACATATATTTTCATAATTTGTTCTAAAAATATTCTATAGAAAAAAATTTTGAGATACAATTTGTTTTTCTATCACATTTTTAAATTAAATTATTCTATGAATTTTCTATGTACCAAAATAAAAAGTTTCTTCTTATCTTAAAAACATTAACCTAATTAGATTGAATTATTTAAATATAATTATTATATAATAGATATTTCCCCAATACTTAACATCACAATCAGATAATTTTATAAATATACCTAACTAATAAATTATATAAAAAATGCTAAAAGATTTATAAAATAAATATGCTTTTTACTTAACATTTTAAACTTAAAATTATTTATTAATGATTTAAATCCATTATTTTATTATATATCATGTCAATATAGCTAATAAAATTTAAACAATTTTATTAATATGTTAAGATAAATTTATTTTTTTGAATGTTTTTTTCAAAAAGTGGGATATAAAATTTATCCATTAAAAATAGTTCGCTTATTTAATTCATATAATAAAAAAATAATTCTTATAAATGAAGTCACTTCCTTAATAAAATTAATATTGAATTTAGCAAATTTTTACTGATAATTTGATTCTTAACCAAAGAATTCGATAGTCATTTTGTTAAAAAAACCTTTATTTATATTCTTTAAGCAAAGATATATATGCCAAAAGCATTACAGAGTTTTAATTTATTTATTGAGGCTTATCATAATTTTAGTAAAAAAAATAGGTAAGATACTATCAATATAAATGCAAATACAAACATATTTATATAAATCTTTGCATTTAAAAATATATCCAAAAGTTTATCATCATAAGTATTTTTTATTTAAAATTATATTAGTTGAATATATTTTTTTAAAAATACACCTTTTCTACCTTAAGAGATGATCAGTATTCTAATAATAAGATACCAAAAAGTTTAATTAACTGTCTTCTGATAAAATTAATATAAGATTTTTTTATTTTTCTATATTATTTCTTTCTCGAATTTTTAGACTAATTTATGAAATTATTAATTTTTAATGATCAAATTCAATATGAAAGCAAGAGCTAATGATTTTAAATAGAAATAAATTTTTTCTAGAATATAACAGCCTTATCCAAATAATGTTTGTTTTAAAATCTTAGTAATATCTATATTTTAAAAATTCTCAAACAATATAAATGTGTCTTGATAAAAAAATTAAATAACTACAGTAAAAAAATTGATAAAGCATATTTTTTTGATAATAATCAATAAAGAACAATTTAAATTTTTCAAAAATTGTATTCATTTATTTTATCTTATTTATTTATCATTTAAAAACTTATCTATAGCATTCAGTTTTTATTTTAAAGGTCTTTTTTCAAATCAACTAAACTAATTATTTTTTATTTATTGCTTAATTATAAATTTATTTTTTACTTTTACAATTTATTTTAGAAAACATAAGTATTCGTAATTCAAAATTTAATTTTGAAATTTTAAAAATCATTTAATTAATTAAGGTGCTTTAAATTAATATTAATATTAAAATTATTTCTTATAAATATTTTGATTCTCAAAATAATTATTTTTAAAGTGTCTTTTAAAATTTTCATATCCTTCTATATTAAAGGAAAATAAAAGAAAATTGTTAAAAAAATAATTAATATTTAAAAAATGATATTATTTAATACTTAACATATTAAACTAATAAATAATAAAAAAATTTTAAATAAATAAAAAAAATGAAAGATAATATTTAATATTAAAATATTTAGTAATTTATGAGCTAAACTCTCTAAACTAAAAATATATTTTAATATGACAGCAGTTCATTATATTATAGGTTATATAAATAATAAATTTTTGATTAATTTATGTTGAATTAATATTTATATTCATTAAAAAATTTATATTTTTTTTTGTGAATTGATTTGATTGGTGGGTGAGTAAATCATGATACAAATTGCGTAATATAGTAATTTTATAAATAGTATTAAAGCAATTTGACTATCTTGGTGCAAGTAGCATCATTATAAGATAAATGTTGTAAAAAATTAAAGAAGATATTAATCAAATTTTAATTAATTTATACAATTTAATAATAAAAGAATTGCTAAATAGAAAAACTTTAAAAAATAAAGTATATGAGTTACAACAAAAAAATATTGTTGAAAGTCTTTTTTGCTTTCTGTATGCTCTGCTCAGGCTTATGCTTAAATGCAGATATCAATTCATCATCCTAACAAGGAATTTAAGATTCAGGTATACAAATATCTTATACATAGAGTTCTTTTGTGAATATTTTTGAAGGAATTTCAACTATTCTCTAAACCCATATTAATGATTAGAATTTTAGCTTCGATAGCAAATTTCTTTCTCTCTCAGTTTCTAAAATAAATTTGGCAGATCTTTAACTTAACAAATTAATCAGCAACGCAGAGTTTTTGACTGGCAATAAGATGAAAGTTACCTTAAATTTTGAGAAAGTATATATCTCATTTTAATATAATGTCAAGTTCTTTAACTTGATCTCAATTAAAGATGAAGGATTTTTGGCTGATACTGGTCTTTAGGTTAAGTTTGACTTACTTATAAGTGCTAATTCTAATGGAACAACTCATCTTGCAGTTTCCCATTTAGATTTAAAAACTGGTTAACTAGAAGCTCATTTAAATAATAAATTTTTTAATTTCATATTGCAAGCTGCTTTGAAATTAACAAATTTAACTTTACAAGTACTCAGAAATTTGATTGATTTAGCAGTTTAAATCATAGCCAATAAATTTGGCAGTACTATTCCAACTCAAGTCAAGATCCCCTAATCAAATGGAATCATAGATCTTTCTATTTAAGGATAGCCATTTTTATAAAATGGTTATATGAACATCCCCATAAGTGGCAACTCTTACAGAAACGGAACTACTCCTACTCCATTAAATCCTTTCAGATAATTCAATCCTACTGAATACATTAATTCTACTTAAATATTTGTAGATTAATAAGTTATAAACAAACTTATTTAAACTTTCATTTAAACTTAAATAACTTTTAACATTACTTTACCTCAAGTTATTTCATCAACAACTCCCATTGATAGCCGTAGTCTTTCACCTGTTTTCCCCGGTCTCCGTAAACTAAAAGTTATTAACTATCCTATCATCGAACCTGTTCTTGATAATAATTCTATCGAAATAAGCTTTTTAGACAGCAAACTAAAGGCCAAAGCTAAGCTAGGATTTAATCTCTATATGTAGGAAGCTTAAAAACCTGAAACTACTTTTAAATATAATAACAACGTTGTTTATATTGTAGCTGATTTAGCACTGGATGTAATTAGCAGTTAGAATTTCCTCACAATTAATTTAGCAGATTTCACACTCGAAGATATCATAGTTTCTGACGAAGACCTTCAACTAGTAAATGCTAAGAGCTTCATTTCTATATTCCCATTCTTTGATTAGCTAATCCATGATGCAGTAAATCTTGTTATTTACAAAGATTTCATTGACTTGAGTAAGATACTTGGATTCAACATAAACTAAGTTTAAATTCATTTTGATAGCAACTACTTGCACTTAGCAGTTTTGTTCTGATGAATTGTAAAATCTTTTTATATGAATATAATAAAAAAGTATAAAAAAATAGATATAAAATATTAAGGATTTTCATAATAAAATATATTATCAAAAAATAACACTTTATTAAACTTTTAAAGTTTTCATATTAAAAATTTTTAATTTTCTTAATTTCAATTCAATTTTTTAATTATTTGTTTTATTATTAAATACTAATCTTTCTAATAAAGTTACATAAAAAATTTTTAAAATTTAAATATAAAATTCCTAATACTTTTTTCTAAAAGATAAATTAAATTAAGAGAGTTACTTCTAAAATTATATCTGTTACTATCATCAAAAATAGTTTAATATTTTATGTGTTTTTTACAAGATAAATACTATTATGCATTCCATTATTTAAAAACAAAGATGAAAAACAATTTAAGTATCTATTTATTAGTTTTAATACAAATAGGTTTTTAAATTATATTAGTTAAACTAAATATTAAACAGAAAAATTTCAAATATTTATTATTTCTAGTTAGATTTATTAAAAATCAATTCATATATCAATAAATTTTTAAAAATTATCATAAAAAAATAAATTATAGTTTAAGTTTGAAAAAATAATTAAATATATAGTAAATAGATAATATAGCTAATGCGGTCTTAAGAAACATTTGGATAAACCCTTTAAAACATTTAAACTTCGTTATGGTGTTTAATGAGCTCAGCATTATTGGGATACTTAATTATAATCTAAATCACTCAAGCCATTAGACCATTAAAAGGTTAAGCATTATATAAAAAGAAATTTTGGAAATATTTTGCGATCATAAATCTAGCAAACATTGTCTAAGTTGTATTGTTATTTCCTGGATTTTTAGAGCTTGAGAAAATATTTTCAAATGAAACACTAAATCCATCCAATTTGAATTTTGAAATTATATTTTTAGCTTGTTCATACGCTCTTATCCCATTTATTGAATTAATTATTGTATAAGACAGGGAGATCTAAGCTACTTATTTAGTTCTTCCTATCTTGATTATGATTCTCATTTCTATAGTAAATACAATATTCAATTTAATGATTTATGGATTGGGATAAACGTTTTTTGTTTTCTTTAGACACTTATGCTATTTTGGCATCCCTGCTATTTTGAGCCAAATTAACATTTATAATTTTGTTGACGAATGATTGATAGATTCAGAATTTTATTTGACTAACTATCTATAAATAAATTTTGTAATAGAGCTATAAAGTAAAACGTATCTTTTTAAAAATTTATGGTAATTAATTATTGAATATATTATTAATTATTTTGTTTATTTTTAATTTTTGTTTAAATATTTCATAGAGATAGAATGATAAAATTATTTAAAAAATATTTGGATTTGAATATTTGTAGTAATTATAATAGTTTTATAAAGATTATATTTGAAAGTTTTTAAATTATTGTGTAAGAATAGTTGATTTTATGTGAATAGAAAATATTTTGAGTTTATATAAATTTATTTGAAATTATCTTAATTTATTTTATTAGATTTTTAGAATAGGTTTAAATAAATAAAATATAAGATAATAAATAAATTGTTTGCCTATTGATTGAAAATGATAAACTATACACGTATCCTCCTCATATTAAAAAACAATTTAAGAATAAAAATTTATTTATTTGCTCAAGTGAATGAATAGTTTGTTTATTTATTTATTATCTTTCATTTCTGATTTATAATTGTTTGAAATATTCATTTAATTCATGTCAAATAATTACTTAATTAAAATTCAGCAATAATTTATTTTTGTTAAAAAATTAGATATATTTAGATAAATAAAAAAGTTATTTAACACTTTTTATTACTTTAGACATAGCCATTTTTCAAAAAAAGCACTAATCAAGCACTATAAATTATTAGATTGCATAATTATTTACAAATGGATCCCCAAGATTTACTAGACTCATTTAGATAAAATTACTATTTGGGTAACTTTAGCAAAATTTTAGATAAATGGAATTAGACAGATGACTCATAATTTGGATAACATCTTTAATAAATTAATTTTTTTGTCGCTCGTGCAATTAAATTCCACAAATAATATTCACCAAAACATCAAGTTTAATTTACAAAGTAACCTTCTTAGCAGTTGCTAGCTGTAGCTCAAGCTGTGAATGAGTATCTTACTCCTTTGGTTACAAGCTCTAGTGAGTCATTTTAGTAACTAGAATAAAGCTTTAGAATTATGACTTAAAAAATGAATGAAATATATTAATAAAATGGATAAAATATATATTCTCTTATTATATGTTGCTATCTCGGCTTAGCTGGTAATGATTTAACCTTCTTTACCTCTAATGAAGCTAAATTCAGAGAAAATTATGAACTTCTTTACCTTTATATTCTTATTCTTCTTAAAAACGCTAAGATTGAATAGGCAGATGTAAAACTTTAAGAAATGAGAAAAATGAACGATGAAGATGTGCTCACTCTTTTGGCTACTGTTCACATTTTAGTAATTAATTTTTACAAATTTTATAAATATGGTATAAATATGTTTTAAATTAAAATATTATTTTCAATAAAAATTAGATGGCCAAAGAAAAATATAATGATGCTATTAAGTATATTGATGAAATAAAAGAAAGATTTGGTGATTCAACTAAATTAGTTAATATAAAAATTAGTTGCTATATGCAATAGCAAAAGTGGTCAGAAGCTTTTACTTTAGCTGAAAAACTATTGCAAGTTATGAACTCAAAGGATGAATTATATGATAAGCAAGAACTTGAAGTTTGTTTAAGCAATTTAATCATCTTAGGCGAAATATTAGATAAATCTAATCCAGATTACTACACATAACTTAGTTAAATTAACCAAAATGCTCCATTTATCAAAAAATTCACTGAAATGAGTGAAAGCTACTAGGAAATGAGTACAAAGCTTTCTTTAAAATGAATAGAAATAGCTTTGATTTATAGATAAAAAAATATAGAAAATGAAATTGTCTGATTGATCTTTATAAAAAAATAAATAATAAAAATAAATTAGATGTTTTTTAAATTTTTGAAATTATTTTTAATGAATTTACTTAAGTAGAATTCTTTCTATCGACAATTTTTTAAAATTACATAAAATAATTTCTATTTTATTTTTAAAATTAAACATATCATATTAATATAATATTAATAAATTACTTTAATTAATTATTCATTAATTTTGTTAATTAAAACATATTTAAATGATATAATATGATTTTTATAGAGTATTTAATATGCTTATTTTTTAAAATTTTTTGTTTATATACTATGACTAATCTTAAAAGATATTTCTTTTTATTGTTTTTGAAATTTATTTTATAAATAATTATTTGTTAACATTAAAATTTCTAAACTACTAAATTGAGTTTTTGATAAAATTTGAATAAAAAATAATTTTATAATACAATTTATCTTGATCAATTCAAGCAAATCCACCCCTCCCTAATATTTTCCTAATTTATAAATTTGTTATTGCCTAATTCATATCTAAATGTTACCTTATTTAAATTTCATAAACAAAATTTATTTAATTCCCATTTTATTAAAGATAAACAAAGTTGCTGATATAATTATTTTTTTTTGATGATATAATAAGAAATAAATAAATATTTTTATAATATAAATTAGTTATTAAAGCTTTAACCCTCCTATCTCCTAGAAAATATCTAAATTAAATGATTACAATTTTATTCGCTTATCTAGTTTCTTTTTGTTGATTTTTTATACAGCAAGAAGAATTAGAGTTAGTTATATTAGGCTAATAAACTACAAAAATATAAAATAATTAGAATTTTTAAGTAAAAATGAGTAAATTTATTTAAAATTATAATAATTGAATACAATTTTATATGTTGAATATTTAAATCTACATTATTGAAATCAATAAATAATGTATTAAAATTTAAACAGGATTTTAATATAAATTTAATTTAATAATTGCTAATGATACATTTTTTTATTTATCATTTTTTATCAAGATCCTCTATTATCCATTTTTATAAAATAAAAGTAAATAAATCCTCTTAATTTTTTTCATCAAAATTTTAAAGAAAATCGTTTTCTTAGTAAAAAGGCATTAATTATTCTACTGATTCTTTTAATTACTCCAACGAATTTTTTATTTTTACTGATTCTTTCAACTTTTCATCTATAGATTAGATTATTTTTACATGACTATCATACAAAGTCAATAATTTCTTTCTTATACGAAGGATTAGTGTGACGTAATCTAAAATAGACTACTTAGCTAAAGTAAATATAATATTTATGTTTGAAGATTTTATTATATGATCCAAGTCATCATATATACTTTTAAAAGGGATGATAGCAATTTCGATTTTTTAAAATATCTTTTTCCGCTCATGTTTAACCTTTTTTTATATTTTTGTGTACATACTATTCAACTCATGCATTTAAATTAGCAGTTATTATTCTAAATTTTATAAGTCAATTTAAGATAATTCATTTTTTATAGGTGAATCAGCTTAAATACCCTAAGATTTATTTTTTACTTTAGAAAAATTAAAAAAAGCAAAAAGATAAAAAAATTACTATTAGATGAGAGCTTATGTGGTTAATTTCCCATAATAATTTTATTAGAAGCAAGTTAAATATATTAAATATCAATATTATTTTAGAAAAATAATGAATAGTGTTATTATAAGATATATTTATTCTTGTTATTTATCTTGATAATTAATTTATTAATTCTAGTTTTACGATAGAAATTACATAAATTAAGCAAAATCATAAATTCGCTAAATGCTAATAAATCTACTCAGAAATATCTAATAAGTCAAAATTTTTTTTTTTTGTTTTATAAATTTATTTTGAATAAAACCTTTTATTATTAAAAGTAAGCCAATTGGTTTATTTTTTCATGAAAATATATTTTATTAAAAGAAATTATATGAAAAATAGTTTTTAATTTGTATTTTATTTGATGGTTTTATATATATTTTTAATATAATAAAATATATTTAGATTGTTGCAAGTAACTTTATAAAAATTTTGATTAAATTTTATAATAAAAATAATAAAATCAAAAATGTCACAATTAATAGAGTTTAAAAATCTATTAGTAGCAGTAGATGGATCAGATTATAGTAGAAAAGCATATGAGGTATAAAATGTTAAATCAGCAAACATCAATATCTGACTAATTATTTTATGAAAAGCAATCTTTGGAATTTCTTGAGCAAAAGAAAGATCAATTTGACCAATTAATTATTGCACATATCACAAACAGAAATAAAAAATATCTACCTGAAAAAATGCAGGCAGAAACCATTTATGATTAATATAAGTTAGAATGCGATGAAAAGGTAACTTTTAGTTAATTATAAACAACATAAAGCTTTCATATTGCAGATAATAGATAACCTTTATTATCATATTTTAATATTCAAATATATGAAACAGTTTGCGCACAATAAATATAAACTTGTTTTTGAAGAGAAGAACCCAAACTAACCCTCATGCAGAGAATAAATAATATCCCTTTGTGGTCAATTGCAGATTAGCTTTTTATTTTTAGGCTTTTATGGTAGAAAAGGAGTGAAAGAGTACTTAAAACAGAATTTAATACATTTTTAAAGAAATTCTATATAAAATATAAAATATAATATATAAATATATCTAATAATATCTTCAATACTAATAGATAAAGAGGTTTAACTTAAACAGTTTCATAAGCTTGCTATCATAGCAAAGTTCCTTTAGTTATAGTAAAATATTTTAAATTATTCATCCCTTATTTGTCTTATTGTTAAATATCCACTTTTTTAGGTTAAAAATGTTTTCCAAAGAAAAGAGACTCAATCTCAAGGTTTCAACTTTTTAGTCTGCATAGATGGATCAAATAAATCTTATAAAGCATTAAATTATGCACTTAATTTAGCATAAAATCCAAATGATAAAATTACAATATGTTATGCACCAACTCCAGACAAATAGAAATTCACAAGAACTATTGATGCAAAGCTTTAAGAAGATTTAGAATAAGCAAAACATGTAATTTAGGAGATAAAATGAAAAAACTAAAACCATTTAAATAAAATAAAATAAATAGATTAATTGGAAATTTGTTGAGCTCACACCATCGTATAACGCAACAGAACAAATAATTAAGCATGTTAATAGCTGTGGCAATGAAGATTAATTTCAATTTGTTATAGTAAAGTATTATTTAAATTACCTTTTAAAATCAATTATTATATATTACACAGATAGGCAATAATGGTTATAGGGCTTAGATAGAAGATAAGAGTTTCTTTGGTAGAACTGCAGAAGAAATAACTATTCATTCAAACTCTAATATTATTATCATTACATGAGAAACTCTTTTTTAAACTAAATATTAAGAATGTGGTGTTATTTTTGTATCCAATAAAGCCATTTGAATATTTTATAAATAATTTAAAACAAACAACTTTTTATGCATTTAATCAAATTTATAATTTCTTCTCCATTAAAATTAATGTAATAATTGATTTAAAAATATATATTAATAATTACTTTTAAAACTAAATATTTTTTGTTCTAAAAACATTTTAATTTTTAATTTTTATTAATTTTTAGGAAATACTGGTCGAATCTTTTTTGTAAATGCTCACAAAATAAATCAATATTTTTGAAAACTAAAAACAAATTTACAAAATAAATTCATAAATTAAATGATTATCATTATTCAGAGATTAATATAGTTAATTATATTTTTATTTATTTTAGGTAAAAGTTAGTAAATTTTTCTTGAATTTCTTAGAGCTAATTGCAAAAAGAGACAGTCAATTCACATTATAAAACTTATTCTATTATAAAAAAGTTTTTGCTCTGATGTCTAACTTTCACTTTAACATTAATTATAGACTGCAAAGTAAATAGCAATCAAGATAAATCTTAAAACTTGACAATTTAAGATCTTCTTCAACACTATCATCATGCTAGCCTAAGGGCATAGAGCACATATTAATTAATCGAATGTGTGAGGGAAAGCTTAAGCAGCAAGACTTACTTAACTAATTATTTTCAAAATAATCTTCGAAACCTGAGTAAAGAAAACAAAAAGGATTCTATTATGAGGACCAGCGCGAAGTAGCAAGCGTCAAAGAATTTTTTCATTTTTATAAATTAGTATCCAGTGAAAAGAATAACATTTAAAGATAAGAATTTAATGAATAGCTGTAGAAAAAGACTTAGAAAATTATCCATATGCTGCATGAAAAAAACCAAAACTACAAAAGTAAATAAATGAATACTTCTGAAGATGTTCCTATAAAATCTATCAATATACTTTCACCATAGAGCTCTAAAGAAATTTTAAACTAGTCTCAATAGTAAGTTTATTTTAGCTAGTAAAGATAAGCTGAGAACACTATTAATTAAATAAGTATCCCCTCAAGCGAGTAAAAACACTTACATAAAATTCCTTCACTAGAATACAAGCAGAATTTATAAAATCCAAATTAAATGCAAAGAAAAAGCAGTTTTAAAGCTCAAAAAAGAGCTAATCCTGTTTTAGAAATAGATTCAACTGCAAAAAACTACTTTATTTCCCCATTTCCTAGTTAAAAAAATTTAGTTAGCTAAGATGAATAGGAAATACTTGCTTCTCAAAATAAATCAATTTTTATATTTCCTAAAAATGTATAAACTATTAGATTAGAAACTATTGCATCTGATAATCTTAATGATATTAATAAAGTAGTATAATAGTAGAAACTACCTAGATAACATTACCAGTAAACCCAAGTCACAAATCCTTCAACTAATATTAATCTTTAACAAACTTAAAAATCATTAAAACAAAGATAAAATAACATAGAAAATTAGCTTAGAGTCAAAGATCTTAATCTATCAGATACCAGCTAGGGTAAATTATTAAGTAGCACTTTATAAAGTAATACAGCTTCGAGAAGATAAACTAATTTAATTCCAAATTCAGCTAGGTCAAATGTACTTTCTCAATAAAGTCAAAGAGGAATAACATTTTAAAGCGATTAGGTCAATATAAATACACCTTTTGTTTCATCTGCTAACTAAAACAAACAAGAAGAATATTTAGTTGGTAATTCAATGTAGAACTAAATTGAATTTTAAAATAGTAAAATTCAGCAATTAATGAATGATTTTAATGATTCAATCTTAGAACAAGATTAAAAGTAAATAGATAATCCAAATGAGTAGCAAGATTTCAAAATGAAATAACGTTAGAATTCAGATTAAATTATCATCTATGGCAATTAAAACTCATAAAAATCTCTGTTTCTTAAACAAGTAACAAGAAATAATTCACTTGGTTCATAACCTTACATCGATGCCCCATTATAGGGTGTGAATTAAAAAGAATTGAAATAAGATAAAGCAACAGTTTCTTTCTCATTACCACATTCTGCATAAAAGAACATTATTAATTAAAACCAAAATACTACATTGCTCAAGAGATTTTCTTCAATGGCTAATTTAAATTTTTAAAATTCATTAAACGAATCAACTTGTAGCATTCCATAAATCAGAGGAAAATCTCATTCTCCATCTAAAGTAGATTAATTTAAAAGCTCTAGAGAAATAGAAGTTGAAGAGAATAACATAGAATCAAGCAAAAAAAATTCTGTTAAATAATTTGAAATAGACAGAAAAAAGAGTTTGTAATTTACAATGAAGCACGCTGACAAATTTCTCCATACTCATGACAGCTTAGCTGGGACAAAAGCTAATATTTAAAGTAGAGATAAAAAGTTGCAGTTCATAGGCTAAATATTTAAAAGTGCATCTAATTTCGATATTATAATATCAAATTAAATAAACTAATCAATCGAAAAGAAAAAGAAATAGTAATCTTAATCGAGAATAGGATCTTCTAAAACATACTTAGATAAAGAATTAGTTTATGAAAATTAAAAGCCCATAAGAATAAGTACATTAGAAAAGGAAAACTTCAAAGAAGAAGCAATTTAATCATAAGAATCTGAATTTGAGATTATATCATAAGCTTAAATAAACAATAAAAAAACGGCTTCATATGAAAATTTTAGAAAACAAAGGCCAAAAAGTAGTTTTGATAGCAATAAAATTATAGAAGAAGAAAATTAAAATGTTCAAATAAAAAATAGAAAAACTGCCTTTCTAAATGTTTAAAAAATTAAAACTGAAAATCTAATAACAAAAGATGGCAAAAAATTCAATAGCAAAGCTATAAAGAATTTAGAAAAAGATATTGGCAACAATATTTAAAAAATAGACTCTCTATTAGCCAACAAAACAGGTTAAAATCTATACCTAGATGAAAAAAGAATCAACAGTCCTCTATCTTACACTTAAAAGTAATTTCATACTAGAGCTGAAGTTGTTAAACACTTTAAAATATAAAAATACTTTGATATTTAAAAGACACTTGCAATTGATTATTCTAATGCCAAAAAAAATATTTATTTCCAGCAGCAAGATAATAAAATTTATACAAAAAATACAGATTACATAAAGTATTTTCATTGAATGCTAAATAACTATAATAAAAATAATTTTAATCACTCAAAAGATTATTTATTATAAATTTAATACAAACAGTTTAGGAAGCTTTATTTTAAAATAAATTTATTATGATAAAATTATTTCAATAATTGTAATTTTATTAAAATAAAAATATTAGTACCTATTTTGTTAATCGATTAATTAATAATTAATCTAAATCTATCTCTAGTTAAAAAGAAACTCACTCTTTTTTATATTTTTCTGAAATGTAAATCTTTTTTTAATTTATAAAATTGTTTTGTTTGATTTACAAATTTGTTACCAAATTAAAAAAATAGTAGAATTAAAAATAAATTTAAATATTTTAATATTAAAATTTGATATAATAACTTAAAGTAAATAAAATATGTTTTTAGAAAATCAATACTTTTAGCTTGTTCTTATATCTAGCTAGAATATATTTTTGTATTTATTTCATCCTCATAATAATTATTCATATACTTGTATTTATTTAATGGAAAATATTTAGAAGATTTGAGTTCATTTTAAAATTAATTATTATATAAATAAAATTTTTTTATTTTAGAGCCTCTTTATAAAGAAATTTCAATCTAAATTAAATAAGATAGAATATATTAAATAAATTAAATTAAATTTTATTTTAAAAAATAAATTAATTTTATTCTGTTAAAAAACATCTTGATAATTGTTCAAAATAATCTTAAAACATTTATGAAAAATTAATTTATTCTGAGAAAAATGAAGTTTATTTATTTTACTTTAAACCATAACTTTTATAGATTTTTAAGAAGAGTGAATATAAATGGTTGTAAATTTTCGTTAAAATTTATTAAATAAAATTTTGATTTATTTTGAAGTTATTCTTAAAGATTAGATAATAAATGAATAAATAATAACAATACTTTCATAATCATTATGCAAATGTAAATTAATTAATCAGCCGATAAATATATCTTTACTTTGAGCTATATATCATATCAATTTACTTTAATATATTAAAAGAAGACTACTAAAAAAATAAAGCCGTTTGGAAATTTGTTGTGCCAAAATTTTGAAAAAATAAAGTGAAGAAAAAAATATAAAGAAATTAATTAAGATAAAAGGCTTGTTTTTTGTTAATATTAACTATATATTTATTTATAAAATATTTTAGAATTAGGCTACTTAAAACTTTTGTCACTAAACAGAGCATTTGATAATTAGCTAGCTTCATGAACAAGGGTATTCTCAGTGAAGTTTAAATTAATAGGCAGTAATCTGTTCCCAACAAATCTAGTAAGCTCTTAAAAAATAATTCATATTAAAAGCAAAATGCCTTCAAATAAGTCTCAAAATAGAATCTTATTCTGAATTGTCATGACGATGAAGGTATTGACTTGACTAGATTAGATAGCAATACTTGTATTGATTAAGGTAATGGCAGCAAATATGATAATTGCTTAGGTGAAATACAAGTCTAAGAATCTCTAGATCATAATTTTCATCGCTTCTTAAAACAAAATAATACAAATGTTTTTAGAAATAATCAAAATGAATGCTCCTTCTAAAATAGCTCTAACAATTTTATTATCTCCTAACGTAATAAAGATGATAACAATAACATCAATAAAACTTTTTCAGTTATGGACTCTGTATATGATGAATAGCAGATAGCTCCCAGATCAGTAAATAGAGAAACTGTAGATTAAATAATGAAGATAATGCCTAAAAGTGCACAAAACATCCTTCAAAAAATAATGGGAAGGAATTCTGAAGATGGATCAAAAGTTACTCTAAACCCATCATAAAATGAGGATTTTTTTGATGAATAAAGTGTAAATACAAGTAGCTTTAATTCTTTGTTGTTATCATCTTCAAAGAAGGTTTATGAATCAAATACTTGCATAGAGACTTCTTAATGTAAATCTAACTCTTCATTTAAGCAACCAAAATAATTATTGAAAGCCTAGTAATCGTCTAATAACTTTAGGAACAAAGACTAATAAAAAGAAAACTAGCCATAAACAACTTATTTAAAAATACTCCAAGGTCAGTACTAAGATGTGAGCAAACATAAATAGGGAAGTGGTGTTTTTTAAAGAGCTAAGGATATAACTGCGATGTAAGATAATTAAATTAATTAATAGCTATCATCAGAAAAATATATCTAAAAGTAAAAATTCTAATAAAATCAATAATAAATCAATAAATAAAATGTAAACTAACTTTAGATGAATGATAAATAATTCAATAATTAAACATATTCAAATTTGAGCTTTATAGATAAAGATTTAGGAGATTTTTCTTTTGAATTAGAAAATGTTTAAAATAAACCAAACTAAAAAAATATCAATTCGAATACTTCTAATATTTAAAGGTAATAATAGCCAAAAAGGAACAACAACTTTAGTATTTCTAAAAACAACTAAAATAATCAAATTGATTAACTAGAGGGATTATAAATAGGATACAATACATAAAGAGAAGAGAAGTACATCTAAACCTAAGCGAATAAATATTAATCTACAAAGCAAAATGATCCCAAGAAATATTTTACTTAAAGAAGCATTAGTCCTGTTTCGAATGTATAAAATAAAGTAGTAACAAATAAAAATATGCTAAATGAAGATAAAAAAAGAAACCAAAAAAATAATTCTATGGAAAAGATTAATAAGAATAAAAATATTTAAAATTAGTATAGCACTTAAAACGAACTTACGTTTTCCTAAGATAGAGGTCTTAATATTTAAACTAGTTGTTAACTAAGCTAAGAAAATTAAGTAATTTTGCAATAAATTTTAAGCAGAAATTAAAAGAATATTTTGGAAGAAATAGAGCAAAGGCCTTCATCAAATTTTTTTGATCGTTCTATTTCTCCTTAGTAAAAAAGACCTTTATCACTAGGAACTACAAAAAAGTAGACATCAAAAAAGGTTTTAGAAAGATCTACTTCTTCTATGTCTTAGTAAAATTATAAGAGCAATGACAAATCAACTTCTAGCTTGAAGGAAGGAGGAAACTAATTATCTTCTATAAATAAAAAAAATGTGAATATTTCATTAAGCTAAAATAACAATTTTAGCAGCAACAGAGTTTAAAATTATATTAATAGAATTAAAAATAGTAACTCTTCTCCTAGTGTTAGTACTTAAAATAAAGCTCAAAGGTCTAAAACATCTCAGATTGCTTTAGGGGATAAATAGTAAACTCCACTATCATATAGCTCAACAAGGAGTAATTAAAAATCTAAAAAACAAATAAATAGTGGAAGTGCTACTAATGGTGCTGAAAAGAATAAAACATTAGAATTAAAAAGTTAAAAAAATATAAATTCTAACTTAAAAAATAGATCTTCGTTAAACATGGATAAGATAGAAAACTTTTGTTAAACAAGTTAATAAAGAATATCCCCTACGTTCACATCTCTTTCAGTAACATCCAATTCAAAGAAAAACATAAAAAGTCCTTAAAAAGCTTCATTATTCAGTAATCTAGATAAGATATTAAGAGCTGGGAGATCCAAATCCTCTAGTCTAGAAAAGTAGATTTATGATAAGAATAAGCTTATCAGTAAGCCAAAAGATGTTTAAAAAAGATCAAATAGCAAAGAAAAAGTTAAAAGCATAGTTAATTTAAATAAAAATGGATCATCTGAAGTTATGGATAAACTTAATAATCTTTTAGAAAAAGGAAGAGTTTAAACATTTTTTTCAGAAGGAAATAGCTAAAATACAACATAAAATTAAGTTAAATAGCAATCATTCTTTTTTTAAAACAATAATTAACAATAACATAATTAATTTAAAAATAATCAATATGAATAACGACAACAATAAGTCACAGATCAATAAGTTTAGATTGAAGCATTTAAATAAAATGTTTAATAAAATAACTAAACTTCATTAAAAAATTAAGTTGAATAAATTGTTAGATAGATCAGTTAATAGCATCAACCAACTAGTAACTAATTGACTAGGCATATTGAGCCTAACATTTCTTAAGATATAAATGATTAGTATAGTAATACATAAAAATCTTTCTCTATAATTTAGAATGAAAATAAAGTTTTTAACAATGACGAAAAGAAATTACAATTTAATAGAGAAAGTTTCTTTGAGGAAAGCCCGTTACCAGGCTAGGAGAAATCTTACTAAGAATCACCTTTAAACTTATCTAAATATAATGAATAAAGTAAAGGAGGATTTTAGTCACATATTTCTTCAATATGTTTAGAATCTTAAATGAGCCTTGAAAATTTAGAGCCAAGAGTTGTTGACTCTAAGACAGTAAACGAAATAATGAGAGCTATGCCTTCAAGTGCATAACAAATATTGTAAAAAATAATGAGTAGAGGAAATCAGAATCCAACCCAAATTTTAATTAATCCATCTTAATCTGGAAATACTTCTCTTCCATTAAATTTTAGCTTTGACATCGAGTAAGAAGATGCTTAGAATTTTAATAAATCTGACGCAAGCTTAAAAAAAATGGCTAGTTCAATAATACCTCAATAGGATTCTAAAAGTATTAGATATGAAGAGGAAGATGATATAAATAAATAATCTAATTCAACAGACATAGAATAAATTGTAAAGTAACTTAATTTTGAAAATAATTGTTCTTCTTTCGCTTCTTCAAGTAACGACCAGAAAGGAAGAAGCAATAGATCATCAAAGACATTTTCAAGTAATACTAAAGAAAAGCTCTAATAATGTTTAATTAGCAGTAATATTCCTAAAAACTCAGATTTTAACATGACAGAAGATGACCTAAAGTTGGAAACTAGATTTTAGAGTCTTGATAAAATGATAAATTTAAATGATAACTTAAACTAAAAAGAAAAAACAAAAAATGTTGAAGCGTCTAAGACTAAGAGCAAATTAAACTACTCTTATTCTTAACAAAATAGGAATTAAAAACATTTTCCAATTTAAAATTTACAATATCAAAACTAAAAGCAATAAGAATCAGATAAATAATAAAGCCACTCTAAGTAAAATTATTATTAAGACTTAGGAAATAGTGGTGATTTTTAAGAAAAAAATTTAAAATTAGAAGAGTCTTTAAGTCATTTAACTCCTCAATAAATTTAGGTGTTGGAGGAGCTCTCTAAATAGCAGTTATTAGAAATTTGCAAGAAGTAATTAAATTAATCACAATAATCTATTAAGTCTGATACCTAGAAATAATTGAATCTTTCTAAAAGTTAAAACAGAGGTTAAGAACTACAAAGTTAAGTGTTTTCAAAATAAAAATAAATTGCAAGTCCATCTTAAACCAAATAAATATAAAGCAAAACTAAAAATTATAATATAGATGGAATAAATACAAGTATGTGCAACTTAAGTTAATAAAGTTTCGAAAGCTTTTCTAGTTCTAGCATCAAACCTCACTTGTAAAAGAACTAAAATAATATATCTTCATCGAAAAAATCAATAAACTATTATAGTAATTAAAGAAATAGGAATAAATAAGCTTCAAACAAAACATTAGAAAAGCTTAATCATTCAAATCAAAGCACTGAGCACAGCACACAAATACTATAACATACAAGTTTTGCTAAGAATAGAGTTGGATCTAAATGTGTGACTGAAGAAAGTATTGTAGATAGGAGCTATATTATTTTATAGACAAGCATGTCCAATTAAGGATAATCCTAGGCAGGATAGTAGTTTATGACATTTAAACCATAAACTAGCTTTTTACCTAAAAATATAAGCAACAACAATAGTGATCGTATCAAAAAGCTCAATCAAACACTTTCAAATTTAACTTCATAACTATCAAGCAATAATTAGTAATCAGAATAGAGAGTTCATTCTGTGCCAAATAGAAACGAAGATTAATATTATAAGGCTTAAACTTTGAGTAGTTGCAGAAATGAATCCCCATAAGTTGCTTACAATTCTTACTCTTGCACTTCATTATCTGCAGTCCCTAATATTTCTGAAAACTCTGTTCTGAACAGGTCATTAAGAGAATTATAATCAGGCATATTATTGGATCATTAAAAAGAAGTTTATGCAGAGGGTTTAGAGTATAGCCATAGAAGTCTATCTTCTGCACATGATAAAGCGTATCCTTAAGCTTCAGAGCATAATATGAGAATGAACAGATCAAACACCTGTGAGATGAAACCACTCTAATCAAATTACATACCAAAGTAATTTGAGCAAAAAAAGTAGTTAGAAGAGCTTTAGTTAACAGTAAACGAGAAAGAAGCAGAAATAATTTCACTTAAGCTCTAAGTGTAAGATCTTTAAGAAGTTCTGGAAAAACAAAAATTCCTTTAAAGCAGTTAAAAAAATAAGTAAAAAAAATTATATAATGAGATAGAAGAAAAAATAATATCTTCAAGGATAAATATTGATTGTAAAGTTTTTTAGAATTAAGTTGGAAGTACTAAGTCGATATCTTCTATGAAAACAACAAGTCCTGAAAATAAAAATGAATACTCAGAATAAAAATTTTGTGAAACATACCCAAAAAACATTGCTTACATGAGTTCCTCTAAAAAAAATGAAAATGATTAAATTTAGTAATAAAATTCAGTTAAACGTTTAAAAATTTAAGCTTCTTCAGCCAAGAAAGAAACAATTTTGAGTTCGAATTTAGACGATACTGAAAACTCCCACCTTAAACTTAATGCTAGTGAAATAGATTTAACTTATTAAATAAATTAATTTTCAATACTTAAAAATTAAAATGATTCAGAATACTAACCTAATTAAAACTTATAATGTTGATTAATAAAATTTCTATATTTTTAATTAAATTTCAAATATTGACAAGGTAAAACAAACAATTAAACAAAAAAATAAATAAATTAAATTTATATAAAAAATGATATTATTTTTTTTTATATTTTGTAAAATGATTTTTTATGAGAACTATAAATTATTAATTTTTATCGAAAAAATAAATTTTTTGAAAATATTTTGGTATTTTTGACACCAAAAACAATTTGTCATTCATTTAATTATCTTTTGATTATTTTTAAGTTAATTTTCCCTCAAAATTTCAATTTTAAAAAGTTTGCAAATATTAAATTATTTAAGTAGAAGATAGAATAGCGTATCTAATTAAAATGATTAATGAGAAATAATCTCCTTCTAAATAATAAGAAAACAATAATCTTAATGAAAATGATAAGAAATTATAAGATGAAAAAAGCAAACCAAAGCAAAAAGTATAGCTACCGATATAATCCAAAGAAGAGTTGCACATGATAAAAGATAAGGTTTTAGAGGATATTGAATCAGTTTTCAATGACCATATGAAAATTGAAAATAGTAACGATGAAAATATATAAGCAGAGCTTATTTAAAAAAAGCATCATTTTAAAAAAAGATTAAAAGGTTTTTACAATCATATAATTTGCACAATAAGAGATAATACAGAATTTTTGGCTTTTGATTCTACAGAAAAAAATCAAAAAGCATCTTTGTACACAGCTAAGAATCTGTAGTTAGAGGAAAAGAATAAGGAATCAATAAACTAGTTTAGAGACATAATTAATAAAACAGATGCTCTTAAAGAGAAAGTGCTGGATAAATTTTAAGAAAAATTAGATAATGAACTTAAATAAGTTGAAACTTAATAAATAGCAAAATAAAAATAGTAATAAATAGAAATAAACCCTAAAATTATAAATACTAGTTAAGGATCTTAAAAGAATTAAAAATCTTAGCAAGAGTAATAGAAAGAAAATTAGAGTAATATTATCAAAGTCAAAGATGACAAAGGTTAAGAAAAAGAAATAGACCTTTCATAATGTGTAAAATTATGTCTAGATTAATGCACAAAAAGTATTTCAAATGAAATCGATAGAGTCAAAAATATGTAACCTCAACTTAAAGAATAGTTAAATACTTTTCATTAGAATACAAGATAATAAATAAAAAAAACGATTGAACTACAGTATGCTATAGAGTCAATCAAAAATACTAGAGATTAATAGTCCTTCTTATTACCTACAATGCCAAGTAATTTATTTGACTGACTAAAGAGATATACCACTATTGGTAAAAATTAAGAAATTTTATAAAAGACAAATAAACAAGCAACTTTTTATTGGATGCATTCCAATAATTTTAATAATACTAAAAATATATTTAAGTTTTCCATAAATATTTTATTCATTTACAACTTAAACCTCCTAAATGTTATTTTAAAAGTTAACAAAAAAAACTTCCTTTAATTTATAAAAATCTTTATATATTTCTTATTATTTGTTTGTTAAGATTAAAACAGTTTAATGAAATTTTAATTATTAAATAAGTATTTATATATTTTTATGAAATTAAAATCAAAAAATTTTTTTAAAATGAACTTACTAAATAATTTTAAAAATAATTGTTAATTAATCAATAACTAGCAAATAATAATTAAAAAAAAATATTATAAAAGTTATAAAAAATAAATAGATAACTTAAATCTAATTTCAATTATGCCAGTAACCTTTAAATAATACTTTAGAATTATAAAATTAGTTTATTTTTTAAAATTTAAATAAAAAAAATATTATTTAATAAATATATTAAATGTTTCTTTTAATTTATAAAAATTTCTTTGTTTTCCCCTTTTTTTGTAAGATAAAAACATTTTAATGAATTTTTAATAATTAAATAAGTATTTTTTTTGTAATAAAATTAGTAAAAGTTAAAAAAATTATTTCAAATAGACTTCTTAATTATTTAAAATTATAATTATAAACTGATCAAAATTAGCTTTTTTTATTAGTTTTCAATAAAAATTGTATAAAATATATAAGAAATTAATATTTAAACTAAGTTTTATTTAATATTATTTTTAATGAATTTATGTTAATTTTTTAATGACAAATAAGTTTACATAAAAATATATTATTTATAAATACTAGATGAGGTTGTTATTGAAATAAATTTCTGCTAGCATCTATAGAAAGTTGCTTTCTCAGAAATTATTAAGTTGAAAATCTTATCGGAAAAGTAAAAGACGCTAATAATATTAAATCTTATTTAATAAAAATATTTATCTCAGCTCTAATTTTTAAAAAGAAAAGGAAAATTTAACTAATGGATTCAGAATCAGATACTATAATTTTAAAGCCAAGAAACGATACTTCAAATGATGAAGGTATTGTTTTTAGCTCAAAACTAGCAGAATTCTCAAAGTTAGTAGAAGGTTTAGACCATAGCGAAGTAGCTACAGTAGATATCTCTAGAGATATTTTACTAATTATTAAAAGATTTTTGGAAGATCACAACTATGATAAAAATTTGATTAAAATTGAAAAGCCTTTAACTGGCAATGATCCTAAAAATCATTTAGACGAAAAGACCTACTTATTACTCAAAGAATACAAAGGTACTTAAAATGTAGATAGAATAAAACCTTTGTTAGATGCTGCATATTACTTGAATTTTGAGTTATTTAAAGATGCCTGTTTATGTATAATTGCTTGCGATTTTTATGTTGGTGCCACAGAAACTGAATTAGATTAATTTATTGAGAAAAATGGACTTAAAGAACTTACACCTGAAGAAGAGTTAGAAATTATGAAAGAATTTGCCCCTGTTTTCGAAAAGCTTAATGAGAAATTTAAAAAGTAGCTCGATGAAGAATAGCTTAAATACAACAATGACAACGTTTGAAAAAACCAAGAACAAATAATTAAGTAATTTTAAATAGAGACTGATTGATTTCTTTGCATGAAAATAAATATATTAATTAATAAATTAATTAATTAATAATAAATAACAATTACACTGATTTCTTTGTTTATATGTATGTACAATTATAAAATCTTGTAATTTTTTTTTTGTTTATCAAATATTCCTATTGCTTCAAAAAAATGTTTATATTATAATTAAAGAGTAAAAAAAATTATAACAAAAAGATATTTTTGATATTATTTATCAATAAAAATATAAAAATTATTAGCAATTTAAAACATCAAAAAAAAATTTTAATCAAATGGCCGAATAAAATAACCAAGTTAAGGAACTCAAATAATATTTAGCTTTTTTTAATCAAAAAAAGGATGAATCATTCAAAGAGTTGAATTTAGATTTTAAGGATTTTGTTTCTGATAACATATAAGACTCCACAATATACAATAAAGATGATGTAATTTTAGATAGTATTATTTCATATATTGCTAGTATTAAAAATTTAACAAATAATAAATCAAGGTACTCAATCTAATAAATAAATGGAATGACTAAGTTAAAAAAACCTTGTCTAATGATATCTCCAATATGAGCAGAATGTCTGCTATATATCTTTAATATTTATTTTAATAAACAGGAGTTGAATTTTCACTTAATCTCAATCTTCTTGAAGACATGTAAATTAGCAATCATATATTTTTTAAAGATGTTAAGATGATTTATCAATAGTAAAATGATAGAAAATATGAAGAAAGTAGAAAACACTGATACAACTTTTTTAGCAAGCAGTGAAGTTAAAAATCCTTTAAAGGCTGTTTAGGGTAAACTTCCAAGTCTTTTTGAAAGCCAAAAAACTGACTAGAATTTGCTAAAAATTGAGTAGCTAGAAAATGAACTATCTCAACTAAAATAAGAAAATGAAAAATTAAAGGAAAATGTAAATAAATATAAGGGATAAGTCATTTTTTATAATCTTTAATTGAAAAATAATAGGTTAAAGCATCTTCTTAAGGAAAGATAGGAACTGAATATGAAATATTGGACCTATAGGTAAAATATAAATTTTAATAAAGTATTCTTTAAACCAATAAAAATTTAGGAAAAGTTTGAAAAACTGCAAACTGAACATAAGCTCCTACAAGAAGATTCATAAAAGAAGCTCAACGAAAGTGCATAGTTCAACAACTTAAAAAAAATGATTTAATAAAAAAATGAACAGATCAAAGAATTTAAAGATCGGTATATTTATTTAGTTAAAATAAATATTAATTTAAATTTATAAAATAGTTTAAGCAAATACGAAAAGGTTGAGTGATCAAAATTGTTAATATATTTCCAACCATAACATAACTAGAATATATTATGATCAATTAACTCTAATATAAAATATAGTAAACAAATATAGTGCTTAGTTAAAAATCAATCTTTCAAAAAAATGATTAAAAAGTATATACTTTATATTTAAATCATATACTTTTTTATATTTTGTTTGATAAAAATAACAATAATAACTAAATAAATATATGACTTGAATAAATCATATGGTAGATTTTAAATATTCTATTGTTAATCAGATAATTAAATTTGTTTTAAAATTTACAGCATCTAAATAAACTAATTATTAATTGAAAATCTTATAGCATTAAATTTAAAAACAAGCATTTTATGTTTTATTGAGAAATATTTTTATGTTATATTTATTTATTATCAGATAACTAAATATATTTTAAAATAAAATATAATTATTTAAAAAGCAATTATTATTATTTTTCTAAATAGTTGTTTATAAAAAATATCTTATAATTTAAAGTATAAACTTATATTCATTTTACATTGCAAGTTTAACTATAAATATTATATTGAAAGGTAAGAAAATAAGTTTTGAATTAACAAACTGCCTCAACTTTAAAGAAATTAATAAAAAAAAAGTCTAAAGGAATTTTGCATAAATTATAGACTTATAAATATTGATTATAAATTTTCTGAAAATATTTCAAATTAATTAATAATGGGTGGGGCTTAAAATAAACATAAAATAGTGGGCATTGTTATTAAGGATTTGTTATAATTTATAACTAAATAGAATTACTAATAATAATAGATTAATTTATAAATATAATATAATAATTAAGTAGTGTTTTCAATTAAAAAGTTTATTATAAAAGAAATTGACTATGTGATTACCTCAAAAAATATCTTTTTGATTATATTTGTAATAAAAGTTTTATAAATTATGCAAATTATGCTCATATATAATCATTTATTTGCTAAGAAAGTGCATGGGTTTGTTGATTAATTGTAAATATCAAAAAAAAGCAAGTAAGCAAATAATTATTTGTGATGAAAAAGAGATTAAATTGAAGAAAAAAAATTGTAATTTAAATAGCCAACTCAAGAATAAGAAAGAACTTAGTATTTTTTTTTGTTTTTTCAATTTTTAAGAAATTAAAAAATTTCTTTAAACAAATTGACATTTTAGGAGGTATATGTAGTCTGAAGCGAATTACGTTAGAATGGGCGATAACAAATAATACTAGATTGTTCCAGATTAAGAAAATCAAATAAATATTTAGAATACAGCTTTATCAACTTAAAATTAATTTCATATTAATCATAGCGAAAATCATATTAGTGAAGTTAATGATAATAGAGAAAAGCAATATTTAAATTATTCAAATGAAAATTTCCCATTTATGGTGTAGGATAAAAATGGAAGTTATGTCATAAATGAATAAATTTATTTAAAGTTAGATAAGAAAGAAGGCAAAAAGTTTGAATGGAAATTATTGATTGAAAAAGAAAAAATTGTTATGAAAAGCTTAATAGATAACTCATAAATTGAAGTAAATTGGTAAGATTTATTAGGAGCTTCATATCAATAAGTTAATGTTGGAGGACATATCATTTATAAGCTTAGCATTTATTTAATGAAAAAAGATCGTAAAACATGTTATGTAGCCTATAATAGATATTTAAGTAGTCTTGACTTTTATGTTGAAACAGAAAGTAGAGCTTAAAACTTAAAGAAATTAATTTAAAATTATGCAAGAAATAAAAGCTATTTTGATTAAATCTAGTAAGATTTGCACTAAAAAAAAATACCTGATTTCCCCAAAAAGCTGCTAGTGTTTATAAATCCCGTTGGTGGAGATGGCTCTGCTTAAAAAAAATGGAATAAGATATCTCATTTATTAGAATATGCTGGATATACTTATTTACTTGTTTTAACAAAGTACAAAGACCATGCACATCAATACGTAAATGGTAAAAAACAAACAATAATTTATATATTAATAAATTAAATAAATAAATTAAACATTTTTATCAATAAATAATTTTTTTATTAATTGAATTAAAATTAGAAATTCCTGCTGAATAACTTATATAGTATGCTGGTATAGTAACAGTCTCTGGAGATGGGCTTCCTCATGAAATTGTCAATGGCTTATTTAAAAGAGCAGATAAAGATTTTGTATGCTCTAAAGTAGCTCTTGGAGTTTTGCCTGGAGGTAGTGGAAATGCATTAATTAATAGTATATTACATGAAATAAATGAACCTAAAACATTGGAAGGAGCAACTTATTTAATTTGCAAGGGATCAATTAAAGATATGGACATGATTCAAATGCAGACAAAAGCTAATCCTTGTATTTACTCATTTTTATCTTTAGCTTGGGCTTATATAGCTGATGTTGATCTCAATTCTGAACACTTAAGGTAATTAAGCAATATTGAAACTTACTTTATATTTTATTTTATATTTTAGATTTTTGGCAAGATTAAGGTTTGATGTGATGGGTGTATACAGAGCTCTTTTTTAAAAAAAATATTCAGGAGTGCTCTACACAACAGATGAAGATTTGTAGTAACTCCCTGATATAAATCAACCGATAGATATATAGTAAAACAGATGGGAGGAAGTTAAGGAGAGAAGTTTTAAATATTTTATGATAATGAATGTACCTCTTATTACATAAAAAGATTTAAATGCTCCTAATGCACATATAAATGATGGATTCATGGATTTATAATATCTTGAAAGTAGTAAAGGATGGGGTTAACTAGTTAAGTATGCTTTAAATTTCTAAAGTGGATCTCATTTTGATAAAAAGACTTAATTACCTGCTTCTGGGTAGAAGTTTACTTATAAAAGGGTCAAAGCTTTCAGACTCCAAAGTGTCAACTAATAAGATTTAGGCTTATTGTCTATAGATGGAGAAAGCTATACAAGTGATGTGATATAAGGCAGAATTTTACCAAGTATTTTGAAGGTGTTTTCTTTTTGACTTAAAATATTAAAAGTGAGATTTAATTATTTATATTATTCTATATTTGCATGGAAAATATATATATATCTTGTGTGAATTTAAATAATATTAATTATTGAGCTATCTATATCTATCTAACAAATTCAGTTTAAATAATTTAACGATCAAAAAGATTACTGTAATTTTAAATGAAAGAAATCAAATTTACTCTTCTGTAGATAAAGATTTCTACTCAGTATTTATTGATATTAAAAAGTAAAAATTCAAAAATATACAAAAAGTCCTGATACATTTGTAATCACCTGGGCTGAATAAATAAAAAGTTGAAAAATTAGAATATTTATTAAAGACTTAGTAGATAGAGATTTACTTACGTACATGTAAGATAAGAGAATAAGCTTAGTACATATTTGTACGCTTTGTAATTTAGCAATTAATACTCCTTGTAGAACTTAAAAATGTGATCATGTTTTCTGCTGTGATTGTATATAAACATGGATTAAAGATAATAACTGTTGCCCTTATAGATGCTCAGCTGTAAGATAAGAAGATTTCTTCTATATATCAAAAAAAGAATTAGCATTTACAAAAGCTCCCTTTAAATGCCCAAGATATTCCTTAGGCTGCAAAAAGATTTTAAGTCATAATGATTTGAATTTCCATTTAACAAACGAATGTGAATTTAGAGGAAATCAATGCGATTTGTTACAAGTATCTAAGGATTAACAGCTTTTTAATTAATAAAATATGCTCAGGAATAAATCTATGACATCCAATTGCTTTCTTTAACTATCACCACTATCTAACATGACTAAAAAAATCACCTCTAAGTAATAGAGCAATAATTTAATGCCTAGCCAATATGATTTAATAAAAAGCTATTCAGGTTAAGACAATAACTCAACTTAAAATAATATTAGTAATAATTTAACTAAATAAAATACGCATGAAGAAAACGATGTTAGTCTAGGCTCTTTAAATGGGATTCAAAACATTCCTGATGAAAGCGAGACTACTACAGAATTTTTTCCTTATGCAGTAGGTGCTCCTATTGAGTAAATATAAATGATGGAAATATCAAAAACAATAGTGTTTTTAAATGAGCAATTTAGAAAATTCATTTAACATTTTATATTTTCTTTAAAATCAAAGTCAAATTAAACGTCTCCTTTTGAAAATTTAATTGAAAAGAGTGATCTTTATTTTTCTCAGCTTGAAGACAAAATAGAAAAAATAAAAAATAAATATTTTTGCAATGACTAAAGCCAAAAAGAATAACAAGATATATAATCAAAAAATATAAATTTGCAAAGTAAGAAGGACCATGCTAGTGAAAATGATAATAATAACTGTAATAGCATTCCCAATAAATTTGAAGTTTTGGATTAAAAAACTGTGTAGTCAAAGCTAAATCTAGGTCCTGCTTTAAATGTTAAATAAAGCCCAAATTCATAAAATTAAAAAAAAGAAAATTTAAAAAGAACAAGCAATAGTCTTTTAAATGAGTAGGTAATAGGTAACTTATACAACAAAACAAAATTAAATTAAGAATAAGGAGATTCTTAAAACAATAAAATTGCTAAAAAAGTAAATATTAGTTTAGTTAGCGATCAAGAAAATAATTTTTGTATGATGAATATCAATAATGAAAAACGAAACTAAGCTTTTTGTAAGCAGAATTCAGAGAGAACATCAATTATCTAAAATGCTGCGAAACTTAATAATTTGACTTTTAATTAAGAAAATTAAAATATTTTAAATTAAAATAGTGGAAAAATCATATAAAATAATGGACTTTTGCAAAAGAAAAACTCATCTTATAGTGATTTAAAAAAAGTGTAGAAAATCACATTTTAGAAGAGTAGCATCTGCTCTAATTTAAATACAGCAGCATCTCAATAAAAAAAATGGAGAAAATCATCAAGTAAAGAAAATATTCGTCTTAACACACAAGAATAATAATCTGAAAATTATTTGTAAAACGTTCAATTTATTGATATAAATAAAGGAGTTAAAACTCAATAAACAAGTAGAAACTCTATAAATTTGCTTTAGCTTCCTCTTTAATTTTATAATGATTAAAATGGACAGTACGATTAACAGACAAAAATTAATATTGTTTCTACATAATCTATTCAAGAGTAATTTACTTCAAGGTTTGAGTAGAAGCATGGAATATCTGCATAATCTGGTGAAGATTGTAAAAATTTGGATATTGATGAGTTTTCTTCACAGAAAATTTAAACCAAGAACTTCTCAATCAATAGAAATTAACTAGATGCAAAGGAAATCGAAAACTTTTCTTCAGAAAACTATAACTAGTGCTTGAACTACAAAATAATTAGAGGTTATTTTTATTTACTTTTAAGATTTTTTGAATACAATAAATTATTTTTGTTTTAATTTTAGAAAATGAAACATTTTAGGAGTTTTAAAATAAGGAAACCCAAATGTAACACAAGTAATAAACGTAGTTATCATCTTCATTTGCTGAAGATATTGAAGAAAATGCTAATGATGTAACTTAGATCGATATGCAAAATACTAACACAACAATCCATTTTTTGAAAGCCTGCAAAAGTACATTGAACAACTCAATAGATTTAAAATAATCATATTAAACATAGTTCACTCCTAAATAAGAAAAGTAAATCATTGAGCAACTAGAGTTAGACTATTTAAACTCGAATAAAAGTAAATTTTTAATTAATTTAATGATAAAAAATAACTAAAAATGTATATAGACATCAGAGAAAATGACATTAGATACATCATCAATGCTAAATGGTGGAGAAATTGGACTCAATATGTAAGCTATTTTGAAAAGGAAGAAAATATAGAAATCTCCAATCATAATAATGTTTTAGGTTTGTTAAATAAATTATGGTTAAAATGATATTTAGTAATGATTTTTTATTTATTTATCAAAAGGAAAGAGGTTTAGTGTTAACATTGAACGCCCTGGCTATATCAACAACAAGGTACTTACTAAGAATTCATACTTTTTAGATAAAAATTCTTAAATAAATACGAATTTGCTTCAGCTGAATGACAATCTTTTGGAGCACCATGATTATGTTGTTTTGTCAAAGCCGGTTTTTATGTAATTGAAGAAATGGTACAACGTTGATGTAATAATTCCTAGGTTTCTTAAGTTTGACTCCATAGAAAGAGTATTTTTTGTGGATTTATATCCAGGTATAGGATTAGAAAAATAATTCTTAAAACTTTATTTTATATTATATTATAAGGCGAAAGTTGATTTTTATTGATTTCTTTTTAATAATACTAGAAAAAAATAATTTAGTTAAAAATTGTAGTAGTAGAAGTAATTCAAATAATCAAAAAAAAACCAGAAACAGATCTGAGTAGTAAATTCAGAATAATTAGCTATACCATTCAAGAAATAACACTTTATCAAATGTTGATGATCTAAATGAGCAAAAGCAATAAATAAGAGGACATTTTTCAAAAGACGAATTGGAGAGTTTTCAGAGTAATAATGTAAGGTACGCTTCTTTAGGAAGCTTAAAGTGGAAAGAAATAGCTTAGAATAATTAAATAGATAGTGAAACGAACTACCAATCAGAACTAATAAATTAACAAAATAATAAATAGTGCAGCATATTTTGAAAAAATATTACATAGTTTTATTTCTTGTGAATATTTTTGTAAAATTTAAGCTTTCAGCTTCACTAACAATAGATTTTTAAAAAAAATCTTTCATGGAAAAAACACTGAAAAGAAAATGTAAATAAAAACAACATTTAAAAAAATTTAACATATTTTAAAGCAAGCATATTGTTTACAAAATACATTGAGTTTGCTTTTAAATATTTTTTGAACTTTTGATAGAGGAAATATATTATCTTTTCTTACAAATTTATTGAGCTTTTTGAATAATATTTGTTTTTATTTTTTAATATTACGTGATCAGATTTGAATAAATTGATTTGCACCTAAAGTTATTATTTTTATGCGCTATATCTTTAATATTTTTAATTTCATATGACTTATTATATACCTAATACATCAAAAGACTAGAATGTTCCTGTTAAAAAGCATGTAATTTTTTAGCAGAGTATTTTCAGATATTTACGAAATTATTTAAAATTTATTCATCTCATTTTTACATCTATTTTTCATTTTTAGAGGTTTGTTAAGATTTATATTTATATTTTACCCACATAGCTTTTTGTTCTAATTTTTATAGTAAGACATTTATTTGTAAATAAATATTTAATTTCGTGATTTTTAAGAGTTTTGTAAATAGTTTTGCATATTACCAATATTAACCTCTATAAATTAGTTATATTGCATGCCTTTAAAATTAATGCTTACATGATTGAAATATAATTAATAAATATTAATTTTTAAATAAATAGCTAAATTCATAACTAATCTTTGTTTAAAAAAATAAAAAATAATATTATTAAAATGAAGTTCGTTGAAATTTAAAATACCTAATAATTCGATTCATTGATTTCTTCTTATCAACACCCTATTTTGGTATATTTCACTGCTACTTGGTGCCGTCCCTGCTTTGAGCTTTAAAGAATGATAGAAGAAAAACTCCAAGTTAGTTTTGGATGGATTGTTGCAAAAATTAATGTAGATATAGAAGAAAACGAAGACATCATAGCTCGTCATGAAATAAGTTCAATTCCATCAGTTTTCTTATATTAAAATGGAGACATTGTTGAAGGTAAAAATACTTTTATAAAAATTATTGCTAATTATTAAACTTATTCATGTAAATTATAGATAAAGATGCATTCTTCCAAGGCTGTAACGCTGAGGCACTTACCAGAATGATTGAATTAGCTAATAACAACTCTCCCAAACCTCTTTATTAAGCATCATTATGAAAATAATTGAAAATATAACAAATTTATATAAAAAAACTAATCAAACTTTATTCTGATTTATATATTCTCTCTGTTTGTAACTTAATTTATTATGTCATTTTCAGCCAAGTGCTTCCTCCTAAAAAGATAAACTTTGCTAAACAGAGCTAAGTATAAATTTAAATATCTCTCAAGAATTCATCCCTGCATAATAAAAAGTTAAGATTTTCGAAGACTTTCTAAAAATTTAATTTAAAGCAAATGTGACGTAAACACGTCTTAAATATTAATAACTATATTTATGTGATCTAATTTGTATCTAATAGTATTATATTTAGTAAGAAATTATCCGCTTACTTTAAGAATAAATTATATACGCATTCTAGAAGAAATGTAACAAAATCTATTCATAATTAAAAAATAAATAATAACAGATATATTTAATTTTATTGCTTTCTATATTTATTTTACTAAATAAGCAAAAATATTTTATTAAATAAATAGTTAAAAATCAAATTTAATTAAATTTTCTCTTTAAAATATTATTTTACCTTTTTTTAAAACGAAGCATTTATCAATTTAGTATTTTTTTTCTAAATTTCTAAATTTTAATAGAATATTGCATTTGCGATGATGAGTGGTATTAACCTAAAAATGTAGAAATTCAGCAAAAAATTTCTCACTAAAAATAGATTCATCTTATTTCTTAAATTTACTCTGACAATAAAATAGTATTTTGTTGCTAAAACCTTTATTAAAAATTAGGTCATTTTAGCTTTAACTAAGAAAAAAAATTCTTTTCATAAAATTTATCAAAGATCTAATTGTAATAGATTTTGCAAATCGCCTTATAAACGAACAAGTAAATAGAATTTTCCAGAAAATATTTAATTTTCATAAATTTAAATGTTTATTTTGAGTTTTTACTTGTTTTAAAAATGAATCTGAATACTTTTTAACCTAAAATTTGTACATTTTATTCATAAAATTAGTTTTACATTTAATATTGATAGAATTGTTGGTTTTAATTGATAAATAAATTCTTTAGAATTTTTTAATGAATAAAAAACACATTCAATTCTTTAAAAAAAATTAGAATCTAAGATAATTTCTTCAAAAAAATCATTAAAATTAGAGATAATGCCTTCAAAAAAAATAATTAAAATCATATTTAAAAATTTTTTAATATATTTTCTAAAAATAAATTTTTATTTTTATTAAAAAACTAAATTTATCTATGAATTAACCTATTAATTTTATTGATTATTTTTTAAATTTAACTCATTAATTGTAAATATTAGAAAATTTCAAAACTGAATTTTATTTTAAAGATTAATAAATTAATAATATAATTAGCAAGAATAAATAAATTGTAAATATAATTTACAAAAATAATTTATTTTTTAAAGATAGTTAGTTAGTTATAACAGTTAATTGATTAAATTTGATTATATTTTTTTTTTTACTCAGTCTAGGTTTTTTTTAATTCTATTTAAATAAGAAAGAAATTCGTTTGTTCCATCATTTGTTTATTAAAGTTTCTGTTTTATATTTTCTGCATATTATTAATAATTTTAATCAAGGTCTGTTCTTTTCTTTTTCTTTAAATGGTTTCTATTCTCTCCGAGTGATGAAGGAGAAGTTTATAAAATAGGGTCACTTGTTTTCTATTGTATGTTTTCAAGCTCTTTAATTAAATACTAGTACTTTATAAAAAATATATATAATTTAGAAAAGATTTTATTAAAAAATAATTAATTACTTCCAAGTCATCTGATAAAGTATCTTCATGTGATTGCAAGTATTTACTAACTTTTTACAACACTGCAATAAAATTTAAATGTTTCTCTTTATATTGTAAGTTTTCTTGCTTTAATTTTTCATTTGCTTTAGTTAGAGAATTAATATGTGTTTGCTTTAAGTTATTTTCTTTTTTAAGATCATTCTCATTTAATCTGAGAAGATCTAGCTACATTTATATCTCAGAATTAGCTTCTTTTTCTTTTTAAACCTAGAGATGAAGTTAGTCTACTTAATTTAGATAATCTTTCACTAAAAGGTTTGAATTAGATGCCAAAACAGTATTTATTGATTATGGGTTTTCTAAGGTAGTGTTTTTAGAGATATTTTCTATGGAGTTATATACAGAATTTATCTAGTTCTACTTAAAATTCCCTGAGAAACTATTGTTGCTTTACCTTTCTGTATTATAATTTGCTGATGGCTATTCTAAGTTCTTTGAGTCATTTATAGTTGAGTGAGAATTATTATTATAGCTATATTAGAATTAAGAAATATTTGATTTTTAATTTTAGCTATTATTCTTAGCATGAAGCAATTCATTCTAATTGTTTTCTCGACTGGGAACATCAGTTTACTCATCAGTTAGTTTATTATTTGATTTATTTTTTAGTAGTTAAAGATTTGAAAGTGGTAATTAATAGGTAGAATTACCAGATGATTCATTTCTCTAAACTACTGTTGAGCCGCCATAGCAGCTTCCACTTCTCTTGTAATTAGATTATTAATGATTTTCAATGCTCAGCTACCTCTTTAAGCCTGATGATTAATTAGTTAAATTTTAGTTGTCTGAAAGTAAATTTAAATTAGGAGATAAGACAGAAGAATTATTTCTATTTCCTGAATTAGACCTCTTTTCAGCAAATATAGAATTTACAGTATTTAAAAGATTTTAATGCTTTTCTTATAGCTATGGGCTTTTTATCTCCTCCTTTTAGTTGCTATAAATTTTACATGTCTCACAAATTCCACCATTCCCTGTCTTTGTATTATTCTATTATAAAACATTCGAATTTGATTCTAAGCTCTACTGTTTTTGTATGGCATTTGATATTTCATTGCTTAATATATTATTGTATCTGTTTCCACTTGTTAGACTTTAACTGGAATTAGTATAAGAATTATTTATGAGTGAATAGCTTTGATTATTATTTTTAGCTATTGAATTTTTATTTAATGCTTAAATTTAATATTGTTGACTCAGGTTTGCATTACTCAATTAATTTTAACCTAAATTTCCTAAAATATTATTGCTGTTAGCGTAGCTTATATTACTATTATTATGCTAATTTATGGATACATTATTGTTGTTATTATTGTTGTTAATACTTAAAAAACTCTTTGAGTTTGAGCTATAACCTCTAAGCCTCTCGTTTGACTATTCTCTCCTAAATTATAAATTAACAAAATTAATTTATTATTATTGATCTAGTTTTCCAAATAATTTAATACATATTCTTTAAGTTTGCTTATCCAAATTTGCTTGGTGAGTGGTTTTAAAAAGATAATTTATCGAAATTAAAGTTCTCATTTTCTTTTTCAAAATCTCTGATGATGCTTCGTGCATGATATGGCTTTAATAAATTGATAAATAATTTTAACATTTCATTTAAAAATTTAAAAGTAGTAATTTTAATTAATTACAATATCAAATTTTGTAAGCCTAGGCAATGGTCCTTCTGGTGGAACTTTTGTAAATGGTTCGTACATTGTCGTATTGCTCACCATATCTTATAAAACTTTTACATATAAATTTCTGTTTTATTTCCACACTAAATTAGAAGTGACTTAGCATAGTTTTTTTATCCATTAATCAATGCGGATTTTTTCATGTTTATTAAATTTCACCAATTAATTTTCTATAATTTAGATAGCAGAATTAAACTCTTCATCAAGTCTTTCACCTTCTTTGTTGAATTTCTCACGGCTTTAATCAATATAGCCATTTTTATCCAAATTTATATTTATACTTTGATTATTTTGTGATCCATTTTACTAATTTTTCTAAATTGTATTGCTTTGAGAACGAATTTATCTTTTTTGCTATATCTTGGGGCTGATAATACTATACATTTTAAGCTAACCTGTAATTGTATGTATAATAAAATATAAAATGTATGTGCAGATTGATAGCTTTCTTTACTGACTACTTAAGGTTTTATATATAATTAAACTTTGCGAATAATCTTTATAGACTAGTATATTTTTTGATAAATCTCTTTAATTTTATTTGAATTCAAATTAACTGTTAATAAAATTGCGTATTACATTGTGTTAAATTAATTTTCTAATTATTGAATGATGATATGAATTGCATTTTTACAAATACTTTAATTCTTAATGAGATATTTATATATAGTAATTAATTACTTGACATCCATTTATTTAATATTTAAATTATTAATTTACTGATGATTTTAATATTATTTGTCTTTTTATAAGACTTACTATTATTCATCTATATTTGGTAAAAAGAAAGCATTTAAAATTAATTATTTTTATTTAATAATATTCACCTGTTTAAATTGAATAAATTAATCCTCTTAGAATTAAAGTATCTTAAATTAAAACATACTTCTAATCAAAAATTACAATACTTATAAATAATATCATTTAAAATTATAAAATCCAATTAATTAATTTCAGAATTAATTTATACTGATTTGTGAAATTCAAGATTTATCAAACTTATTATCCAGCATTTAAGTATTTGTATAGAATTATTTTAATTTTAAAAATTTATAAATTTCAATTACTAAATGCTGTTTTATATGTTTATTGTAACTTAATACATAGTTGAAATGCAAAATATATTCATTTATTTTATTTTATTTTATAATATAAGATTGATTTTGATTTTTTAAAGCAACTTAAAGTCAAATTAAATTCTTAATATTAATTCACAAATCATGATTACTTGGTTAATTGATAAACAGAAATCAATTTAATATATAAATGCTAATAAGTAATAAACTTGTTATTTATTTTTAAATAATTAGTTAAAAGAAATTAAAAGATTCATTCCTCAATATTTTACAGCTATTAGCAAATATATATAGTTGAAGAAAAAAATTAAAATAAAATAAAAGCAAGTATTAAGAAGGAAGGATTAGTAAAATGGACGTTTTAAAAAAGTATGCTCAAGATGTAAAAACAAAAGTTCTTAACTTGTAATTTTGTTTTTTTGTTTTGTTTAGTATTTAGCATGTAAAAAGCCATTATTGATGTTTATGATTGTTTACTGCATGAGGGATTAAATAAAATAAATCAATCAATATAATGAAATTATAAAATAATCAGGAATAGATCACCACTTGAAAAATTATTGCATGAAGTTACTTCCAACGATAATTGGGGAGTTAACCCTAAATTATTGAGATAAGTCTCAGATGAAAGCTACCATTTGTAAAAAATATTATTTCCAGACTGTCAAAAAAATATGATTCAATTTTATTAAAAATCAATAGTGAAAATAGAGAAGTGATACTGAATTTTATTTTTCACAGGCTAAGTAATAAGACGAAGAATTGGCGCAAAATTTTAAAAGTACCATTGATAATACTAATTTAAAAATAAATTTACAAAAAATTTTCAAAATTTATATTTCGATCCTTTATTAAGATTAAGTATTATTCAAATAGACTTTAGAATTGATAGAGTACCTAATTAAAAATGGATTATATGACCTATGTAGTGATTTTAGGCGAGAAATAGTTCATATCACGACTCATTGTGATTTTTAAATGCTTGAAAAAGGAGTAGATAGAGGACTCTCTATTAGGAATAAAGCTTAAAAAATAGTTTAGCTTTTATCAGATGATGGAGATCTTTAATTTGAAAGAGATTAAGCTAAGTAACTTTATTAGAGATCTATGAACATGCAAGGTTTTGGCTCTGATAAACCGATATCTGTATAAAGCCAAAATTATAATAAATGTATTAGCTATTTTTTACTTATTTCTATTTTAATATAAAATATTTAATTTAAAATGTATCATAGAACCAAAATCGAATTCTGTTTATGAAAACGGTGAAGATGAAGACGATTAATAAGACGATGTATATAAATATAGTAGAAATAAAGATAGTGATGATGAAGATGATAATGGTAAAAATAAAATCAAAGGAAATGGTAATAGTTAAAAAGATAAGAAAAATAATAATTATTATGAGGAAGAGGAGGAAGAGTAATCTGGATCTTAAAATTATTCACGTTCAAAATAACAAAGTGCTCCTTAAAAATAATTAAATAATAAAGAAATTCCAACAAAAGGATAGTCAGATGATTTCTGTAAAATAATATTTCATTTCTTTTATTTATGAAATATTGTACCAATTTAGTTTTTAGGATTTTTTAAAAATAAATTTTATAAATATTATAGGGTAGTAGTAGTGGGAGTGGGGATTTACAGCAAACAGTAATAAGATATAGTAGGATTAAAGTTAAAAATAATTATGGAATTAAAATGGATATACATAACAACCTAATTAATAGAAAAATTGGTAACAATCAAGCCAAAACTAATAGTAAAGCCAGTAGTAGATTTAGTAGCAATAAAGAAGAAATGAAGAGGAAAAGCAAAGACAAGAAAAAATGCAGCAATAACAGCAAGAATTTTAAAGAAATTAATAAAAAAATTTCTAGCAATAAGCTCAACAATAACAATAACAATAGCAATAGCAATAGGCTTAATAATAAAAGAAAAAAGAGACAGAAATCAATCTTCTTGACTTAGACATAGATACTACTCCATAAAATGGATAGCAAAATCAGTAGATAATCTTTTAGCAATATTAGCAGCAAATTCCTCAAGTTAATTAATAAAATATAGGATTTTCTCAAAATCAAAATATATTAAATCAATATTAGCAAAATTAATCACAGCCATCTCCTATCTAAGTAATAAAAAACATACAATTTTTAAATAATTTTAGAGAAAAAAATTCAATTTTAAGTTTAATTCTTAAAGCATTAAAATGATTCAATTACTTTTAATTTATAATCAAAATATTTTTTTTTGGTTTTATGTTTAATTTAAAGTTTTTAAGAAGAAACCACCAAATAAAATTAAATTTAATTTCTCTCATAACTTATATATTTAAATATCGTTTTATCTTAATTTTTTGTTATTTATTTAAATTAGAATCAGATAGATTTCAATCAAAACAAAATGGAATAAAAATAAAATGACAACAACGAAGATTATAAAAATTTTAGTAAAAATGAATAAATGCTGATAGATCTAAATGAAATTAAGAATGAATAAAAGAAAGAAGAGTAGAAAACTCAATTTGATAACTTATTTTAATTTGGGAACAACAATTTTTCTAATTAAAATAGTAATTAATAAAATTTGTAGGATAATAGCAAGAGAGACTATAGTGCTTTAAATGCACTTAGTGCATACTAACAATAAGTGAATTAATATTAAACATATGGAGGTAGTATGTATGGTTCCAACGTCTCAGGTACATTTTACAACTAACAATACATGTATTAGCAACCTCCATAAATGTTTTAATCTTAGTCAACATATTAATATTAATCTTAACAAAATTTCCCGTATTAAATGAATCAAAAAGGTCAATTCTAACAATGAAAAATAGTTAAAATATTATGAATTTATAATTTGAAGCTTATTATTTTCAAAATACCACTACAATTATAATTTAATAAAACTTGTATAATACATCTTATAAACCATTTATTTATATTATTTTTTATTCATTTAACTAACTTTCTCAAAGAATATTCTTTACTCTATTTTTTATAAAATCAACCAGTAGAAGGCTTTTTATCACATTCAACATCTCCTACTCCTCTGTCGCTAACCATAATATCAACTTCTTTATCTTACAAATAAGGTGAATCAACCAGCCTTTAATTAAGTGAAAGAAAAATTTTTTATTTGTGATTTAAGAAGTTTTGTTTTGTTTTACTTTACTTTACGGATGTTATCAGTTTTCTTCTTCATGAATAAGCGCTATGTCGATGCATGGGCTAAAATATGGCCTCCAATTGGCTTGGGCTAGGGTATAGCGCCTCCAGTCATGGCTCCACTTGGATCAGCCATAACTTAGTTTGTTATAATCTGTTTGTTAATTTTAAGAATAAGAATCGTATAAAAGCAGAAAGGTGTTGATAAAATAAAGAATGTATTTATTTACCACTGCGATATTAAATTCAGCAGCCATTCTTTATAATCTGCTCATAAACTTGCCAAGTGCTTATTGTCTTTCAGAGAGATCTCCTCTTCCAGAAAAATCGCATCTAAAATTAGCCATTATTGAATCAACAACTAGTAGAGCAAAACAATTTTCCTCTACCATTAATTGGGCTCCTTTAATAAGCAATGTGTTTTATTAATCTACGTTATAGGCTCTCCCATAAATTATATTACTTAGGGCATATTCACCCTCCATTCCGTAGTGCGAAGCTATTTAGCATATTCTTTCAGGTCTGAAGGTTCCTTCAGTATCAATGTATAAAACTTTTCCTGGACCTATTTTTTTATTTAAATGGCTATATTTAAGCAGAATAATTTATTTAAAACCAGTTAAAATTTCTTATGCTTGTTTTACTTTAGCAATGATCTTAAGATTGAGCCAGAACGCATGCAGTATGAGCTATTTATGTTTTGCCTGAACGATATTCTCCATAAAATTCTGTTATGCTTTGAGACTCTATTCCCCCATTCAATATATCATCTAAAGCCTTGGATCCTGTTGATATTCTTCTTATTTAACTCCTTCTTTATAGTACAGTAGTACCGAGAACAAACTCACTGCTGAATAACCTGCTGTTTTCAGATCGAGCTAATATTTCTGAAGCTTTTTTGACATATGAATCAGCTTTATTATCAGGAATTCCATAGATATTAACAAGATCCCTCTTTGTGTTCATAACTAAAGATTTGAGTGAAAGGATTCCATTCTTTATATTTATTTTTATATAATCAATGATATTGTCTTATTGTGAATTAATATAACAACTACATACCTTTTTAAGCTTTTGTATTTCATTATTGTTAACTCCCTCAGTTGCAAGCATTTCTACTAAAAAGATCTCTTCTTGAGCAATTTAGTTTTATTCTTCATTATCTTCTTTATCAGAGTAACAATCGTTCATTTTCCTAAAGATGGTATTTGCTTAAAATGTAAATAGAATATTTATGATAAAAATATTTTTTTTTGAGTTTGTAAAAGATTGGGTTTAGTATTTTTTATATACATTGAATGAAAATTGTAGAATTATAAAGAAAATAAAAAAAATTTTTTGTAGTGCTTTTCAGTGCAGCTAGTTAGATTCTTCTTGTTTTTTAGTTTGTTAAATTTTACATAAGCAACTGTAAATGAGTGAAAAAATAATTAAAAGTAAAATTGGGAGAAATCTCAAAATTATTAAGAAATTTTCTAAAAATACAGTTTTGAGTAGTTTTTGAAAGTTTTTTACAAAAAGATAGAGATTTTTAAAATATGTATTTTTCTTTTAGAGTAAAAGCATTATTTACTCATTGTTTTGGGTAACAAATATTTTTACTTTTTTATGATAAAATTGATTTGAATGAAATTTAGACTGAGATGAATCATAAGTGAAATGAAATACTCTAATCAATTTCAGTTTAATAGTTAAAGATTGAAAGTTATATCATGCAATAATTATTCATTAGTTAAGTGAAATAGTGAGCTTTTAGCTTTATTATTTTAAGATAATTGTGAAAATTTAAAATTTGGGAATGTTGGCTACCAATTTTCATCTGTAATTAATCTAATTAATTTATGGAAATAATAATACTAAAAATATAAATTAAATGCCTTAATTAATTAGTGTAGCTTCAAAAGCTTCTAGCAACTTCTGTTTTATAGTTGAAAGAAGCAGGCAAGGAAAAAAGTTTAAAAATTAAAAAAAATTGCTCAGAAAAGAAAATTTATAATTTTAAAAATATTTATAAGTAAAAATAAGTAAATTAAACATGAAAAAATGAATGAATATATAATAAATATACTATAGATTGAAATTATTTTTTATAAGTACAGCTAATTATATAAGATTAGGAGTTTTAGTTTACTTTTTTAAAGTATTAATTATATAATAATTGTGTAATATTTATAAGGAATTTAGTTATTGCATAAGTTCTTTGTTAAAGATTTCATTTGGAATTTATTTAATATTTTAAATAAAAAGATTTATTTATTTATGAATTGAATTTATCTATCAATCTTTTTTTCTATGTCCTTTGTTAATATAAAATTAAAAAGAGAGTTTTTCAGAAGCGAACTAGTATTTCTCCATTAGATAACTTTTTTATACCACTAATAGCTTTCAAGCAGTATTACCTTCTAAGATTCTACTTTGAAGTAGAGCCATCATCAATTATTTTTTCGAACTGGATTGATGTCATGAAAATTTAAAAAAATAACTTTTTCATAATGTTGATATAATTTAAATGGACAGGATTAAGCTGTTTTTAAAAATCAACATTAAAGCACTTTTGATGAAGGAACCTATCTTTTTCAGAATTTGTGAGAAATTCTAAATTACTGTCAGTGATTTTTAAAAATAGAATGTGGTAATGTTCACGTGAAAAATACTCAAATTTATATTTCTCAGAACTCCTCTTACTTAACATTTTAAGTGTTCTTACAATGTGAGCGAGATGATTAATAATTTTTTCATCCAATGTGAAATTTTATAGATTATCGATTTAAAACATACCCATTATATTATACATGAGAAGTTTGTTCATGTTGTGGTATTTAGAGTTAGCTTTGTAAGTGGTGTTTTGTTTTTGTTAGCGAGAAGATCGGTACTTTTAAGCTATTTGTCTAACCTGTGAGAAGTCGAATTTTTGTAAAAGGTCATAGTTTTTAACTTGGAATTGTAAAAATTGCTATTCGTAAGAAGAAATTTAATTTGGGAGTAATTATGCCTCTTGAAGGCAAGGAATTTTTTCCTATGACGTAGCTGAAGCTGTTGTGCTATTATTAGCTTACGAAACTACCTATTGAAATGGCTAAAATTTATTTAGATTTTAATCAATATTTTCTATTTAATTAATCTGGGGAAATTTCATATGAAATTCCCCATATGATGGCTAGTTTTGTGAATTTAAAAAATCTTAAAATTAATCCTCTTAATTTGCTAGTTTATTTTAATTAACCATGCTAAAAATGGCTTAGTGAGTTTTTGTACCTTCCATTAAGAGCTCAGTGAGTGAGATAGTTTACAAAACTTAATCACAATGTTCAAATAATTTTAATACTTTGCTTGATTTGAGATCTTAATCACAATTTTTGTTACAATTTTTATCATTTAATAAAATATCTTTTTCCAAATTTCTTAAATATTAAACTAAGCTTTCTTTATTGCCCTAAACAGATTTTAAATTTATTTATTAATTTTATAGCCTTTGAAGCTATTTGATTTATATTTCTTCTAAAGAATCTACTTTCTCTGATAGCATATTTACAAAATCACTGTAATTTATTTTGCTTTTCGATATTACATTTGCAACTTGTTAGTCTTCTTCATTATTTTCTTTACCTCCTTCGTATTCTAGCTTAATTGATTTTAATTAATACTTTTCACTAATATTATGTCCTTATTTCTATAAAGCTTGCTCATCTTCTTCATAGTTAAAAGAGCATGGAGGAATCTATTTAAAAAGATTTAATTCGCTCAATTTTTTAATTAAAATACTGCTCAATTCATTTTCATGAATATTATCTGTCTTTATCGCTTTTCTCAAGCTGTGTAATTATTAGTATATGCATTTTCTCTCTATATCTCTAGGAAAATTCCCAATTTATTCAGATTAACTGGAAGACTTTTCCCTTACACCAATTTATTAATTTATTTTTTTTGATTCTTAGGTGTTAAGGTTGAACTCATTTTTCACTTAAAAGTTATTTTGGATTTTTTAATAATCTTTTTCTAGATTTTTTAATTTTTTTTTTTTTTCATAACTATTAGCTTGTTTTAAATTAAGAGGCTTATTTTCACCTTCTTTTAATTGATTAAATGGTGAATCAGCAGAGGTACAAGTATTTTCATATCTAACTGACCGGCTATGAAATTCATTTTAGTCATTTTATAATTACAACGACCTTCCTAATGTGCAAATTAACTAAATATTGTTGTTTTAATTTAATCTCTGGTTATAACTTTTTATTCTAAAGCCAGCCTAGCTTTTCTAAATAATAAATTTTGATTTTTAATGCAAACCTTTTTTTATGGATTACTAATGCTCGAAGCACTTATTTGCAAAATTTACACTTCCTTCTGTAAGTTATTAGTTTTCTTTACATTTTTTTTTAAGTTTAGAATCTTTACTGTCATCCGAGTAATCAACATAATTTTACATGTAATTTAGTTTCTGATTGTTAATATCTGAACAAAATTTATTTTCAGAAAGTTACTCCTGTTAGTTTCTATTTAAATAGCTTTAGTCGGAGTTTTTTTTAAATGTTTGCTGTTAAATATCTTGGCATATATCGTTTTTACTATTTTCATTGCATTATTATTCATGTTGCTTGTTAATAAACTTTGCATTTTCATTTATAAAAGATTAAAAGGGCTGCGCGACGCTTTTTATTTCATTCATTTTGACCGGACTCTTAATTGCTTTCTATTATTCTTCTTAAGATGAATAAACAACCTATTAAGGGATATAATAAATGTTTGGCACAGGAGAAATAATACAAGGTTATGCTATAGGAACGTAATTAGGGAATTCGTTGTATGCTAATTTATTTGCTATTTAATTTGGTTACGGAAAGATGAGCATAGGCTAAGCACTTGCAATGTAAAACTACCCATAGTTAGGACTCTAGTTGAATAAGCCTTGATTCATTAAAAAAATTTTGTAATTATTTTAAAATGTTTGCTATATTATCTTCAAATTTATTAACAAATCAATACTTTAATTCTTAATTTATTACAAAAAAATTATAATCAAATTATTATTTTAATAATTATCAACCTTATTTTACTTTACCACCTGCAAATAGCTATTTATATTTGGAAAATTAACTCTCTTCAAATGTAAATGTATGAGCTTTATACTATTCTATTAAAAAGCCCCTATCTCCTACATTTATAATAATATAACCATCTTATTAATAAAACGGATTAATAAATTATAATTTCCATTTCATTTATCAGAAAGCCTGCAGATTTTTCATTTAAACATATCTTCTTAAAAGTTAAGAGTTATTGCTATTATCTTGTAAATTTTATTTTTGGTTCCCAAATCTCTTAAAAAGATTTAATGCAAAAAATCCTATACAATTATCCAAGAAATATAAGAAAAAATAAAAAGTTAAAGTTAATTTAAAATTAATATTCTGAAAATTTTATAGATTTTAAAGGTATTTCAATTATCTCTAGTAAATAATTGAAAATATGAATATTACTATTAAGTCTAGAATACTTTTCAAAATAGCATGATTGAATGCTTACTATATTTTTATTTATAGTTAATTACTGATTATATATTAATAAAACCTGCGGAAAATATAATTATGAATTTTAACAAAATGTAAATCTCTAATATTATTCAAAAAAATATAACAAAACAACCTATAAAATTACATATCCAAATCATTTAGGCAAAACTAAATCAATAAAATGGAGTTAATATGAAATTTTGGCAATATATGCATAGTCTTATAAGCTAATTAGCATATATGAGTAACTGAATTTAATAATACTTTTTTGTAAATACGTTCTAATTATTAATTAATTAATTTTTCTCTTAAATAGACAGACAAAGAAATTTGAATACATAGATTAAATTTTTTTTATTATGTACAGAAGAAGAAAAATCACCGAAAATAAAATTAAAAACAGTGAATTAATTCAAAAGCATGTCTTACTAGCTAACATACAAACAAATTAACCAATCAAACAATAAATTTCATTATATTTTCATATTTAAAATTTGAAGATAAATTATTATAAATGTGAAATATTGTGATTTTTATATGCAATTTTTATTTATTTTGTTTAATCTAGATTACTTTGTAAGGTTTAATCATTTTTATTTTACTATCCCTTCATACAAAACTTACACGAAGCCTTAATTACAGTCTATTATTTTTAATAATCCTTCCAAGCTTTATTTTTACCTAATCTATACCATTTATAAATGACAGCTACCATCAAAAATAAGCAAAACATAAAACCTTCACCATGTTTGAATTTTTTTAGCTACAAATAAGAGACGAATGTGGGAAATATAATTCTAATTTTTATTCATTAACAATTTTTTTTCTAAAAAGGCTTGGTTCTTTTAAACTATTAACTAAAAAAAAAAAATATGATATAAAGCAAGGCTTAGTTAGTTTTATTCTTTCAAGAGCAAACTGTAATCAAAAAATAGAATTAAGGAAATTTAGTAAGCTTATATAAAAATAACTTTGATGTTGATTTCATAAATTTTTTCAGAAATTCATATAAACTTCCTTAATTACTGAATATTTTTTCTTCCAAAATTAATTTAAATTATCAAAAATTTTCATTTTTTTTCTCAAAAATTTTTGTTCTGTAATAATTTCTTTTAAATAAATATCAGATCTATTTTTATTCATAAAAATTATTTCATAAATAATTAAATTTTCTCTAAATTTTTACAAATAAATATAATTTATGAATTTTTTTTATTTAATAAAATACTGATCTCTAACTTAGTGATCCGCTAGCTAATTATCAATATAAAATCAATTAATGAATATGAAAACATAATATTCCTTTCCTCTATTTCGATGTTATTTAAACAGTTAAAGAATTAAATAAAATAACTAATTTACAATTTTAACAATTCATCTCATAATTCAACTCAAAAAAAAATGAAGCCAGATGAAATGATAAAAAAAATCTATATTTACTAAGTGCTAACTAAAATTTAATATTTTTTTAATATTATAAAATTATTAATGTAAATTAAGTCTTTTGATTTTGCTTTATCTATCATTCTAGAGCTTTATATATTAAAATTTAAAAATACTCCCTGTAATAAATTGTAAGCAGTAACTAATTTTTAACGCTAATTTAATTGACTTGAAGTTAGCTAGCTAGTTAGGAACCAAAATGAAAGATAAAAAATTAAATTATACTTAAAAATGATAGCTATGAAATACAGATATTGCTATAATATAAAATAAATAAAATCAATAAATAGCATTTCTATTTGAATTTAGGTTTTTTTCGCTCATTAATAACTTGTAAATCCAATTCCAAATTCATTTTTTAGTACAATTTATAAAATAATATGATGTTGTCATCTCATAATTTCAAAGACTAGCAAAAGCCAAATACATTATGTCGTAATCGTATAATTATTATAAATGCCATAATTTGATTAAATTTCATAAAAATTATCAAATAATCTATTCAATTTGAACAGAATTAACACAATACTCATCTTTTTAAGAAATCTACACTTGAAACACACAATTTTTAATTCTTAAATGATTCAAGAATAGGAATCTATAAATATGAAATTTAATTGGTTTAATTGACATTATATATACTATTTTCTATTAATATCCTATTAATATTTTATTAAATCATAAAGTATTTGTTGAATTTCTAATCCAACAATCAAGCTTCAAATTTTAGTTTAAAGTATAATATTCTTTCAATTATTCATTTTTTTAATTATCTTCTTTTTTGTGCTTCGATTAAAGGTGATGATGAATGTGATCAAAATTCTTACTTTTTTAAGATGCATAAAGCTCATAATTTATTTCTATATAAATAAGATAAATAAGGCACAATCAATCATACACAAATCTTTTTGCAAATCATTTTCAAAATTAACCAAATGAAATAAAAAAAGTCAAACAAAGTTTCCTAAATTACAAAAACATAAAAAAAAGCTTAATAGTTTAATAAATCATAAAATTTTGTATTTTGAATAACCTTTATTGTGATATTAAATTGATTTATTTCTAATATTATTGAATTTTTAAAAAATATTTATTTTTAATCATTTATTATTATTATTTTGAATGATTAATGCATTTAATTAACGAAATTGATAATATAATTCTATTGAATTAAAGCCACATATTGGTTATTAAAAAAATTAATTGTTTGATCAGAGAAAAAGTATTTATAAAAAGTATATAGTGAAGAAAAAGAGCTTTAACAATATGAAGATCTGAAAAATAGATTCATATTTATTATATTTCTTGAATAATTTTATTACCACTAATTTAATAAATTTCATAAGATATTATGAATTTCCTTCTTCAGAAAAATACATAAATAACAAAAAAGAAAAGACTCAAATAATTATATTATTCATACCAATAAACTTTTATTTTATTTTTTCTGACTTTAATTATTAATAATCATATTCATATACAAAAGAAGTCTTAAGCATAACTTACATAACCAAAAATACATTTGTTTTGTTAATTGAGGATAAAGCTTATAGAATTTGAATTATCTAAGGATAAGATTTTTTATTTAACATATTTTTACCTAACTAGAGTTTTATTTCAGAAATATGAATTGATCTATTTTTTAATATATTGGCAAAATAACTAAGATTACATTGATATAGAAAACTTAAAATATAGTTATATAAAGATAAAATTTTTAAATTAAAATATTTAAATTATTTTCTATATTTAATAGTAAAATATTTAATTAGCAAACCTATCTTAAAGATAAATATAATTATTTTTGTTTATAATAAGATTTGTTAATCTATTTATGTATTTAGTACTTTAATTTACTTCAACCAGTATAAATGAAAATAATTTACTATATGATGATTCTGATTTTAGAGGAAAATTAATATTTTTCTTCAAAAATAATAAGTAGAACTGGAAAATAATATTAATTTATATTTATGTTTACAATTTACTTCTTAAAAATATACTATTTTACTAGATATTCATAGGATTTAATTTGGAGAGTTATATAGGTACTGTAAAAATAATTTCAACATAAAAGAAATTTATTTTAAAGATATTAAGCATTTAATAGTTTAGATAAGGTTAATTATAGTATTTTTTTAATTTCTATGTATTTAGTTTTTAAATAGAAAAACTTTTAATATTATAAAATAAAAATAAAATTCTGATGTTGCAATCATATTGAGTGTACCTGTATAGTAATAAGCTAATTTTAGAAATACTTAACAAAAAAATAATATTTGCATTATTAATTATTAACATTAATAGTAACAAAAATTATTTTATTAGTTTCTCAAGTCACATACATTGATGGTAATTAGTATAATGAAGTAATAAAAATTGAAAATGATAATTTTATAAATCAAATAAATAAACAATAATTTTTGCTAGTAAGTTAAATGTTAGTATGTAGTACTTATCTCACTGTTTTATTATATTATATTTTTAAAATATTAACTAGATTGGAATTAAACTAAAACCATATTTTTAACATCAAGTTTAACACAGAATTTATAAAAACCAAGCTCTATTAATAATTTTTCACCAAATTTGTGCTAAATTTTTATTTTTTTCACTATAAACTAGAAGGAAATAGAATATTTTAATTTAACTTTTATTTAATTTAAAAAAAAACATATTTTATGCTGACTCTAGTTATATTTTAGGGCTTCTAGTTAATAATAGTGCTTAATTAAATTAAAGAATTTTATAAATTTATAATAATCATTTTTTCAATGAATATCATAGATAGCTCAATTTTTACTTATAAATAATTCACTATTTAAATAATATTTCAAAATTAATAAAATTAAAAAAATTTATTTACAGCAATGTAAATCTTCATTAAATAAATTTTAAAAAAATGTTTTTCAAATAAATAATTACAGGCTTATTTTAGTTGCACAAGTGATATTTAAGAATTTTTATAATTGTATTGAATTTTATATTTAATTTTAATCGTTGATAGAATACTTAGATGTATAGGCAAATATATATACTTTAAATAAATCTTTATGTACATTTTCTTGAGTTTCTATGATTTAGAGGCATCTTTTTTCCCATGAATTCATAGCATTTTGTATGTTTTTTCTATGGAATTTCTTTCTAAGTCTTTCTTAAATTCTTTTTTAGATTTTAATTATTTTTTATGAAATTTTTTAATTTTATTTTTTAAAAAATATTACTCCTCATGAAAAGTTGAAAGTGTTTAACAATTTTTAAAATTTAGTTTATCAAGAGCATAGTGAAAGATAAATGATTTAATTGTTTAAAAATATTTGCTTTAAATGAGTTTAAAAAATAATCTATAATTCATTTTGTTAAATAAATTACATTTTTACACAAATTAAAAATTGAAGATCACTATTTATCTGGGATTTCCTTGCAAAACTTTCCAAAATAGTAGCATTTTCTGCTTAGCTTGTACAGATAATAAATGAAAAATTATACATGTGATTGTAAAGAAAGTTTTTATAATGATAAAACATAAATTGATTATATGTCATTCTTTTATATATGCTTAAAATGAACTATCAGCTCTACATGTTTGAAATGTATAAATGTAAATAAATAATAGTTTATACCTAAGTGGGTATTATTTAGACACTTCTAAAAGTTATTGTTTAAAATGTAACTTTTGTTGTAAAATATTTCTTTAAAGTAGTGATGAATGTGTAAGCAGTTGTATGATTATAAAATACGAAATTAATTTCAATAAATTTTTATGCAAAAAAGGGTACTTTTACAATTTTTAATTTAAATATTATTTACTTCATTTTACAAAACATAATAATTAAATATGTTTTCACTCTTAAAATTCAAATATAAAGTTGTTAATCATAAATACTAATGTTTCATCTAAAACCATTGACAATTTAAGTTAACCCACTTAATCAAAAAATTATATTGCTATAGGACATGCTACTCCAAACTCTGTAATCTTTTCATTAACTTCTCATAATTATGGAGCTGTTTAACAAATTTTTGCTGTGTAAAACTTTATTTATTAATGTAATTAAATGTGAGTTATCGATTACTGGTATAAAATTCATTTTAAAGCTTTTAGCAACTAATCATTTGGTTTTATTTCATAACGTAAATATCATTCATTACTTTATCAAAGATGATAATAGCTCTTTAAAAATTTTACTGAAATTTATAGTCTAGTTATTTGTATATTTATCTATTACAAATTTAATGCAGAAAGAGTATATATCATTATAATTGATAATACTGGAGGGAATATAGTAATTTGAATATTGATATTAATCCTTCCTCTAATTTTTACAGAACAATTTAATAATAATTAATATTAGGATAGTTTGTTGATTTGGATCTGAAATACAAATAAAATTTATATATAACTTATAGTCCGTCCCAGACAAAATAAGCCTCTAGATGGAGCCATGCGGCTACTAAAGTATATAAAAAAATTTTTTTATTTTTAGTAAATCCATACTTTTGTAGCCGCATGGCTCCATCTAGAGGCTTATTTTGTTTGGGACGGATAATAGTAATCAATAAAAATTATATTTATTGTAATAATTTTTTGGTTTTTTGAATGAAACTATTATTATAATAATTCTTTCCTTTTCATTTAAAGAGTTTAATTTAATCTTTTTGGGATGTAACAATATAGTAAATAATTAAAATAGTCTTTATAGCGATTATTCTTTTGTAATAGATAACATTTAAATATTTTATTGTAGATAAATAAATTTACCTAGCTTTTAGACACTTTAAGAATAAGTTTTTTTACACTTTATTGAATAACAATTTATAAAGGATTATGTTTAATCTTAATTTTCAAAAGAAATTTTAAATTAATGGTCAATGTTCTCATAAATTCTTTAATTCCCGTAAAATTCTAAATATATCCCATCAAAAATGTTTAATTATTTAGCTCGCTTTTAAAGTATTAATTTTAATTCTTAGAATTATAATAAGACATTTAATTGGTAAAAAGCAAATTTTAGAATGTATGTTATGGGTATTTATTTATTCTTTGATTTATAATTAGCTAATATATAAAAGAAATTTAATAAATTAGATAAAAACAAGATGGCATAAATAAATAGTAAAATATTGTAACCACAGTATGTGTAATATTAATCTTGTTATCGAATTGAATTTTTCTAATAATTTGATTAGCTTTTCCATATTTAGTAAATTTATTTTGAAGGCATTATTTAATAGGAAGAAAAAGTGTAAAACTAGAAACTCGATCAAATTTTCTTAGTGTAGTTTATTAAAATTAATAAATAACTAACAAACAAACAAACAAACAAAAGCAAAGCTATATGGGTTTCCTTAGATACTTTAGACGGTATCTTTTAACTGTAAAAGAGCTTAACTGAGAGTTAATTAACATTTAACTAGAAAAGTGACATATCAATCAATAAAAGAATAGATATTTTTACCTCTATAATGATAAGCTAATGAATTTAATTTGGTTGTTGTAAAAGAATAAAAAAAATAAATGTAGACATATTAAAATGAAATATACTAAAATTCATAATATAAATAATAATTTAAAACAGTTATGATCTTTGAAAAAAAAATTTCTTTTATTTTTAAAAATTATTTATTATTTAATAATTTCACATTAAATATTTTATTTACAATAAAAATTTTTAAAGACAAAAGTACAATTTTTCACAGAAAAATAATTAAATTTTATATTTTATTAAAACTAAATCAATTTTTAAAGATAATATTTATGGTTTAATTTAATTATTATATTTTTATAAGTTTTAAAGTTAATATAATTTTATTCTTTCTGTGTATTTAGTATAATTCTAATTGCAAGAGAGGATAATTATTATTAATTGTTTTAGATAAATGTAAAACTAAATTTATTTGGTATTTTTTTATTTTGGTACATTATTTTTAATGACTTTTAATAGAAGAGAAGAACTGGTTTGAGAAATATCTAAAATTAGTATAAAATATATTTTATAACTGTAATTTTATTAAAAAGAAATACAAATAGTAATCTTTATAAGCTGTTTAATAAATTAAAAAATATCTTACTATTTTCATTCAAGCGGTAAAACATTTAACTTTAATAAAAGATATTTGAGAATATAAAATTTAAAAGATGTAATTCACAAAAAATTTAAAAAACCAATATGGATATAATTAACTAATCTTATTAATAATAAAATACTCAAATAAATTTTTAATTATATATATTTACATGATATATTTCTTCAAAAATTTTTATCAGAAAAACAACTAAAGAAGTTACAAGTTTATGGTATAATAATTACTTGGTATTAAATAGAAAATAAATGCAGAGAAAAAATATTATATAAAGAAAAGGAATACATAAAAATCTTTAATTTTAATTATAAACAGATTTGGAATTTGAAATATTAACAAATAATATCAAAGAAAAAATTATGATATTATTCATTTATTATTTATAAGTTTATCGATGTAAAGCAATAACTAGTTATTTATTATTAATTTTTAATGATAATCAAAAACACTTTATTTTTATGGGAAAAAATTTATTCTTTTGATGATTCTAATTCTTATTATGATTAAAATACCACCAAATTTCATAAAATAAGATAGAAAAGACAAGCTTACTTTAAGTACACATGTACATTATTAGTCATTAATTTAAAATCCATTATAAAAGAATTTTTGCTTTGGCTTATTAGTGAGTTGACGTAGAAGTATTAAATTTTTCAAACAATAATAACTAGCTAGTTTGAGAAATGAAAGGTACTTATAATTTATATATTATGATACTTGCAAATAATTATCCATGAGTTATAATTTTGTTTTCAAAAATTATATTTTTTACATAATCAAATATGTAAGAAACATAAAGTAAACAAATAACCACTAATATAATTTATGTGTCTCGATGCAAATTTTTAGAATAAATATTTAATTTTGATAAAGATCGAAATATAAATGAGAGATAGATTTTATTTTCTAAACAAACTTAATAAAATTATGGATTAAAATAAGTTTTAAAAATGTATAAAGTATTCTTTAATAACATTATATTCTTTAAATAAATTATTTTTTTTTGTTAACATAAACTATTTGTATATTTATATAGCTTACATAATTATCACTATTTATATATTTATTAATTCTAATGTTACTCTAATCAAAACCTATTGCACTCTCTCTTTTTAATAAATGTAATTGGATGATATCTTAAGAATTAAATTTAATTATTTTTTGAAAAATATTAATACTTTTAATAATCTAGAGACAAAAGGCAAATAGTAAGAATGAAGAAAGTAAAAAAAGGAAAACAGATTATACTTTTCCTAATCATTCAGAATATATTTATTTACTGTCAATCTTTTAGTTTTACTTCAAATACTCTAACCTCAACTAACCTTGGCAGCAATTAAATCATTAGTGTAACATATAAAAGCGTAGGAGTAGTAGCTACTTGCTAATAAAATTAGTCTGTAATAAAGGGTAAAATAAATATTGTAGTTCGTTTTTGTAATCTAAAATATTTAAAAAGCCATATCTTTTTCGAACACTTATGCAGCATCTAATAAACAATCTTATTCAGGTTCTTAAAATTGTATTAGTGTTTAATTCTATTAATCTGATGCAGTAATAAAATACAATATATTAAAAATAAATAAGCTAACTTATCTATTTTTTATATAAAGAATCATATATTTCTATCTATTTTTCAGTAATCTGGATTCTGTAATTACTTTAATCATTTTGATAATTAAAATAATATTTATCTTTTAAAAAAATAAGTATTAAACTATGGTGGAAGTTATATTAGTCAATATAATACTGCTTTTTCAACTAGTAGCAATACATACACTTAAACCGTATCTGTATAAAGTTCTGTATAAAGTGAAGCAGGAGTATATAATTATTAATTAGACTTTTATTGTAATTATGTTAAAGATTTTTTTGAAATAATTTAGATTTTGGTTGGGTTTTCAAGTGGGGAAATCAAAAGTAAATATTATTTTTATATCAGGATAGCCATTAAAAATAATAATTAATTTAATAGACTTTTTTTAGAATGTTAATCATTAAACCTTTAATAACTGTACAAACTAAGTCATAGGACTATGGTATAGCTAAGTAAATAATTTTAAAAAAATTAAAAAAAAAAATTATTTTTAATAATTTTAGATATCCTCAGTTAATTTAGTTTTTGCTGCATGCGGATCTTCTAAAATTTTTAGTAAATATTTATTTTACCTAATTAATTTTAATTTTGTATCATTAATTTAACAGTTTATGATAAAAACATGATTTCTCAAGGTTAATCTGTCTAATAAACCATTTATTATGCTATAAACTCATTCTAGATTACAAATAATATTAATTTAATAAAATTTATCAAAATGGGAGTAAAAAGAATATATTTGAATATATTGAATAAAATTTCTTTATTTCTTTATTTATTTATTTAAAGGTAGATGCTAACTATACATGTGGAGGTGTTTCTAAAGATGGTCAAACATATACAATGAATGTTTATTATTATTCTAGTAATACATTCAATAATTATAAATCATTTCCTCTGAATAATGATTTTGTTGATATTTATGGATTTACTTCCTATTTTATGGTGCTTTATTAAAAATTTATCACAGGTAAATAATACAAAAATTTTATTAAAAGTAATAATAAGTTATTAATTACACCTTTTTTTCAAGTTTACTTGAACACTTGTTAAAATGTTTAAATGTCTTTTTTTAATTTCTAATTTCTTCCTTATTACCTTTGTTTTTCATATCTTTACCCCCTTTTAAATTTATACCCATTTTTTTAAAACTTATCTTAAAAAAATCCGGGGTAGGGGTTAGTATGCGATGACTCAATGTATCAATAATCTATCTATTAACTTTTAAAAAAATTTAAAAAGATAATTAATCATTTTAAATGGATTTAATTTTTTAAATATAGTTTATAATTTCGATGGAAATACATTAGGATAATCTACACCTACATTGAATTAATTTACTCTTTTCTCTTTTTTGAATGTAAAATAAATTTATAGATTCAAATAATGTTTTAGACTTTTACTTTAATCATTTTAATAGGAAACAAATTTTATGACAGTTGATAACTAAAATAATATTTAAAGTAATTTAAAAATAATAAATATTTAATTTTGTTTGAAAAATAAAAAATCTTTAATTTACTGTTTAAAATAGTATGGACTACCACTATAAGCGCTGCGTCTTGCCCGTATTACTGTATATGTTCATCAGGATCTTCTACTTGTACTTCTTGTCCATCTAATAGTAACAGAGCTAATTTAGACTCAAATAATAAATGTCCTTGTAATCCTGGTTTTTATGATGATGGATCCAGTTAAGCTTGTATTAAATGTCCCCTTTCTTGTAAAACTTGTAATGGACCAAATAATAACAATTGTTAATCATGTTAAGATGGTTATTTTTTAGTATCAGGCTAGTGCCAGTAATGTGATTAGAGTTGCTAAACATGTTAAAATACAAACAACTTTTGTGTATCATGTAATCAATCTTCAGGACCTAGAACTTTAAATGCAGCAAATGGAACATGTTTATGCACATAAGGTTATACAGAAAACTAAAATAAAATTTGTACTTGTAGTAATAATTTATGTTTGGTATGCAACCCTTAAGATGGAAGTTAATGCTAAAGTTGTAAAAATAATACTTTATGGAATTTAACATCAGATAACAAATGTGAATGCAAAGATGAATTTTACTTTGACTCAACTTCAAATGACTGTAAAAGTTGTAATTTTCCGTGTATAAAATGCCAAAATTCTAGTACATACTGTACATCTTGTAAAAATACAACTGGATGGTAACTAGTAAGTAACTCATGCTCCTGTAAAGCAGGATATTATTAAGATTCAAGTTCTAAAGACTGCTAAGCTTGTCCTTCTCTTTGTTCTGAATGTAACAGTAGCACTTAATGTACATCTTGTAAAAATTCTTCATCAATGTAATTAATTAATCAAATTTGTAAGTGTTAAGAAGGATTCTATTTAGACATTTCTACAAATGATTGTAATAGTTGTAACTTTCCATGTATAAAATGCCTAAATTCTAGTACAAGCTGTACATCTTGTAAAAACACAACTACATGGTAATTAGTTAATAATACATGCTCTTGTAAAACAGGATATTATTTAGACTTGAGTTCTAAAGAATGCTAAGCTTGTACTTCTCTTTGTTCTGAATGTAACAGTAGTACTTAGTGTACATCTTGTAAAAATTCTTCATCAATGTAATTAATTAATCAAATTTGTAAGTGTAAAGATGGATATTATTAAGACATTTCTTCAAACGATTGCTTACCTTGTCCTCCTCTTTGCTCAGCATGCACTAGCAGCAATTTTTGTACTTCTTGCAAAAATTCTATGTCTATGTAGATTTCTAATAATATGTGCCAATGCTCAAGTGGATTTCATTTAAGTTAAGATTAAAGAAACTGTACAAATTGCTCTAATCTTTGTTAAACATGCAATAATGATCCTAATTATTGTTTATCATGTAAGAATTAACCAGGATGGAGTTTAGATTAAAATAAAAATACCTGTTATTGTACTGATGGATACTATTTTGATACGACTAAATAAATATGTTAGTAATGCTCATCTAACTGTAAAACTTGTAAAGATTAGAGTAGTTATTGCTAATCTTGCTATAATTCTTATTACTTAGCAAATAATTAATGCTCCTAAGAAGCCTTTCCTACCAATATATCTTAAAAAACAATAGAAACATTAACATAAACAACTTAATCTGCTGCATATATTGCAATAGGATCTACAACAGCAAGTTCAATAATATTTTCCATAGCTTCTCCTAATGGTGGAGCGGTTTAGTAGTTTATGTCAGTGCAAAAGCTTTATTTTTTATTGTTTATAGACATTGTGTACCCCCAATTAATATATGCCTTTTTTAAGACTCTGAGTGGAACTAGTCCTCTAATTTTATTCAAAAAAATAAACTTATTTTCTTATTTTATTTAAGAAGATCAAAATTAAATTATAAAATAAACGACTAATGGTATAGTTTTTACTTAATACCAATATAAACATTATAGATTGTTGGAATTTCAAGATTATATACCTAACAAATTTAATGCAGAAAAAGTAACTAGTAGTGTTGTTTAAAATGGTGGAGGACCAATCATTTCTATTTTAGCAATATGGATTTTAGTTTTACCAATATTTTCAATAAACTATCTCAGAAAAAAGAATAAATATGGGAATCTTTTGAAAAGCAGTCCTAAAGAATCTTCATTGTACACTTAGGATGTTACAACTAAAGAGAGGATTTATTACTATTATAAAAGAGTCATTAGTATTTTGACAGTTATGCTACATGAGACAATTATTATTGTTTTGTCTTTCTCAGTAGTTCTTCAGATTATGTCATTTTATTTATACGGGTTATAAACAAATAATCAGATATTTTAAATTGCATTTTTAGTGATTATATTTGTTTATATTATAATAGCATCTTACTTAACCTATAAAATAATTAATTCTGAGAAAAATAAATTAATTTTTGCTTAAGAAGTAAATAAAAATGAAGAATTTTAGAAAATGGTTAATAATTAATTTTTAGAGGATTATATCTAAATTAGATATTTTAGTAGAAATTTCAAATTCATAACTCTTATATTATCAAACATAATGATACCGACATTCCTTGCAATATTTTATAGCTAATTTTATTTCTAAGTAGGCTTTTGGCTTTTCATTGAAACCTTAATCTTAGTTCTTAGAATAATTTTTAGACCTCAAAAAGATAAATTAAATAATATTAAGTAAATTGTAGATTCAATATTGTGGATGATAGTTCTTATTTTAATACTGTTGCTTAGTTTTTAAATTAATTAGCTTCTACAAAACAATATCAGTGAAAAAGATATAGAAATAATTGACAAATACAATATTGCTATGACTATTTGTATACTTTTGATTTTATTTTTGAATCCCATAATTCTAGTCATAAAACTTATTTTAAACATACCATTCTTGCTAAAAACAATAAATTAAAAATTATGTAAAAAAAATGAAACATAAGACAAGGTAAATAGTTTAATTGAATTAGATAGCTTATAAGGTATAAGTAACACATAAGAGAATTTATCTATTTTAGAAAATTAATAAGCAAAAAATAAAAACTTCTTTTAAAAATCAAATTCAAAATTACCAAGTAATAATAGTGAAAAGGAAGTCTATTAAAAAAATGTTAGTTAAATTATCATGGGAAGACTAAAAAGTAGTTGCAACAATAATCCAAAAATAATAAAATTACCTTTAATTAGCTTTTAAAAAAATAAATAAATAGGCGATAAAAACATATAAATTTATAATTAGGATGATTAAAATAAAAGTTAAATTTGAAAATTAATTTTATCATTCAGAATACCTTAATTGTTCAAATATGGTATTTAGGCTTATAAATTTATTTTTTGTATTTTATTAAAATTTTTTTTATTCTTTTATGAAATTTAATAATTTTATTTTTTATTTTTTACAAAGATATTACTCTTTATGGAAGGAAAGTTGAAAGTGTTTAACAATTTTTAAAATTTATTTTATCAATAACATAATGAAAGAAAGATAAATGAAATTAATTGTTTAAAAATATTTGCTTTAAATGAGTTTGAAAAATAATCTATAATTCATGAAGTTAATAATTTAAGCTTAAATTAGTTATTTATTTACAAAAATTAAAAAGTGAAGATCACTATTTATATGTGCAAGAAAAATGACTAATTTCCTATATTATTAAAATATTATAATAAAAGTTAAACATAATAACTAATAGTTTTTGTAAATGTACAAAAAGATATAATTTTGACTCCTCTAAAATTTTTTACATTTAAAGCTAATTTATTTGCAAAAATTTCCAAAATAGTAGCATATTCTGATTAGATTTTTTAGATAATATAAAATGGGAAATTAAAAATTATATGTGTTTTTAAAGAAAGTTATTATAATGATAAAACATAAAATGGTTTTATTCCATGATTTTATCTATGCTTAAAACCTATTATCAGCTCCACATGTTTGAAATCTATAAATCATGTTTAAATGAAAATAAATAATAGTTTATACCTAAGTGAGTATTATTTAGGCACTTCTAAAATTTATTGTTTAAAATGTAACTTTTGTTGTAAAATATTTCTTTTAAAGTAGTAATGAATATAAAATGTGAAATTAATATCAATAAATTTCTGTGCAAAAAAGGGTACATTTACAATTCTTAATTTAAAGATTATTTATCTTATTTTTAAAAAAATAATAGTTTTCACTCAAAATTCAAATATAAATTTGTTTTTCATAAAAACTAAAATTTCTTCTAAAACAAATTAACCCACTTAATTAGCAGATTATATAGCTAAAGAACATACTACTCCAAACTCTGTAGTCTTTACAAATACTTCTCATAATTGTGGAGCTGTTTAAAAAATATTTACTGTGAAAAATTTTATTTATTACTGTAATGAAATGTGAGTTATCGACAACTGGTCTATAGTTCATTTAAGACTTTTAGTGGAAATAGCCCATTGATTTTATTTCATAACATAAATATCTTTCATTACTTTATCAATGATAATTATGCTCTTAAAACAAAATATACATAAATTTATAGACTAGATATTAATAATTTATCAGTTAAAAATTTAATGCAGAAAGAGTATATAGCAGAATAATCTGTTAATATTGGAGGATATATAGTAATTTGAGCATTGATATTAATCCTTCCTCTAATATTTATAGAATAATTTAGTAATAAGTAATACCAAGATAGTTTGTTGTTTTGGATCTCTTTAGAGATTGTCAATTACAATTTATATGTAACCTAGTAATCAATAAAAAATATATTTTTATTGCAAAAGATTTTTGGTGCTTTGAATGAAACTATTATGATAATTCTTCCTTTTTCATTTAAAGAGTTTAGTTTTATCTTTTTGGAATGTAAAAATAAACAATGTAAATAATTAAAATAATATTTATAGCTATTATTCTTTTGTAATAGATTACAATTAAATATTTTTTTTTAGCTAAATAAATTTACCTAGGTTTTATATGAAAAGATAATTTAAGAATAAGCTTTTTTACACTTTATTGAATAAAAATTTATAAAGGATAAAATTGAATCTTTATTTTCAACAAGAAATTTTAAATAAATGGTCAATATTTTCATAAATTCTTTAACTCCCTGATTCTAACTATATTCCATCAAAGAAAGATTTTACTTATTTAGCTCATTTTTAAAGTTATAATTTAATCTAATTCTTAGAATTATAATAAGATATTCTAAATAGTTTAAAGCAGATTTTAGATTCTTTGTTATTGGTAATATTTTATTCTTATATTAATAATTTGTTTTTTATAAAAGAAATTTAATAAAATATATGAAAAATTACAATATCACCTAAATAAATCATATAATATTGTAACAACAGTAAGAGCAATATTAATCTTGTTATTGAATTCAATATTTCTAATAATTAGATTAGCTTTGAATTTTCCATAATTAGTAAATTTATCATGAAGGCAGGCACTGTTTTAAGGAAGAAAAAGTATAAAACTAGAAACTCAATAAAACTACCCTATTGTTGTTAATTAAAATAAATAAATAACATACAAACAAAAGCAAAGCTATATAGGTTTCTGTAAATGCTTTAGGTGATATCTTTTAACTTTAAAAGATCTTAAATGAGAGTTAATTAACATTTAACTACAAAAGTGACAAATCAAGAACTAAAATAATAGATATTAGTACCTCTAAAAAGATAAGCTAATAAATACATTTAGACATATTAAAATGATATATATTAAAATTCATAATATAAATATAATTAATAACAGTTATGATTCTTGAAAAAAAAACTTCCTTTATTTATATAAAAACTATTATTAATAACTTCATAGTAAATATTTTAGGATAAAAATTTTTAAAGACAAAAAGTACAAATTTTAACAGGAAAATCAATAAGTTTTATATTTTTTAATCTTAAATGTAATCTTTAAAGATAAAATGTAGTTTTTGTGCTAAAAAAATATTATTTAATTTAAAATTTATTTCATTTAATTATTAATTTTTATATTAAGGTAAATATTCTGGAATAAAATTTATAAAATAAATGTATTATTTTAAACAGGAAAATAATTAAATTTTATATTTTATTAAAACTAAAATCAATTTTTAAAGATGATATTTATGTTTTAATTTAATCACTAGATTTTTATAAATTTTAAAGTTAACATAATTTTAATCTGTTTTTCTATTTAGTATAATTCTAATTATAAATTTAACTTTCAAAGATATTATTCATTGATTATATAAGATAGTTGTAAAACTATATTTATTTGGTATTTTTTTTTTATTTTGATGGATTATTTTTAGTGGCCATTAATAGGAGAAAAGGACTAATTTAATAAATATTTAGAATTAGTATAAAATAAAAAAATTAACAATAATTTTATTAAAAATAAATACAAATAGTAATCTTTTTAGTCTATTTAATAATTTTAAAAATATCTTATTATTTTCAATAATTTAGAAATAATGAAAAATATTTGAGAATATAAAATCTAAAAGATTTACTTCACACAAAATTTAAAAAACCAATATTTAGAAAGAAAAAAAGAAATTTATGGTATAAAAATGATTTGGATTAAAATGAAAAAGGCAAAGAAAAAATATTATAAAAAGAAAAGGAATAGATAAAAATCTTTTTTTTTAATTATGAACAGATTTGAAATTACAAATATCACAAATAATATTAGAAATCAAAAATTATTATGATAAAATGTATTTATTTTTTAATTTATTAGTCTAAAACAATAACTCTTTTTTTATTATTAATTTTTAATTTTAATTATAAATACTTTTTAATTTATTTATTAATTTTGGAGAAAAAATAGATTCCTTTGGTAGTTTTAATTCTTATTTATTATGATTAATATACCACTAAATTTAATAGAATATGATTTAAAAAATTAAGTAAGTTTACATGTAAATATATATGTACATATTCGTCATTAATTTAGAATCCATTATAAAAGAATTTTTGTTTTCACTTATTAGAGAACTGACAATTTTTCCAATCAATAATGGCTAGCTAATTCGAAAAATAAAAGGTACTTTTTTTTGTATATTTTACAATCATTGAAAATAATTATTCATGTATTATCATTTTTTCAAAAACTTTTTTAAACTAAGGTTTTGCTTTCAAAAATTATATTTTTTAGAATAAATATTAAATTTATTTTCATAAAGAAGTGAACTATTAATGAGAGATTTTTATTTTCTTAACAAACTAAATAAAATTACAAATTATAATAAATTTAAAAAAATGCATTGAAATAAAATAAATAAAGAAAATAAATAACTCTTTATTAACATAATATTCTTTATATAAATTATATTTTTGTTAACCTAAACTGTTTGTTTATTTATACAGCTTACTTAATAATCAATAAAAATAAATTATATATTTATTCGCTCTAATGTTACCCTGATCAAAACCTGATGATTAGCTATTAAGGGTACTGCACTCTCTCTTTTTGTTAAATGTAACTGGATGACTATATCTTAAATTAAATTTAATTATTTTTTGAAAAATCATATTAATATTTTAGATAATCTAGAGATAATAAGAATGAAAAAAATAGGAAAAGGAAAACAGATTTTACTTTTTATAATCATACAAAATATATTCATATACTGTCAATCTTTTAGTTTTACTTCAAATACTCTAACATCAACTAGCTTTAGTACTGATAAAATCATTAGTGCTACATATAAAAGCGCAGGAGTAGTAGCTACTTGCTAATAAAATATGTCTGTAATCAAGGGTAAAATAAATATTTGAGTTAATTTTTATAATCTAAAATATTTAAAAAGCACTATCTTTTTCTAACACTTATACTGCATCTAATGTAAAATCATATTCAAGTTCTGGAAATTGTATTAGTGTTTAATTCTATTAATCTGCTACAGTAATAAAATAAAATACGTTAAAAATAAATAAACTAACTTATTTATTTTTAAAATAAAGCAAAATTTAATTTTATCGATTTCTCAGTAATCTGGAAAATGTAATTACTTTATTCTTATCATTTTGATAATAAAAATATTATTTATTTAAAAAAAAAAAGTATTAAATTATGGTTCAAATTAAATTAGTCTTTATAATACTCTTTTTTCAACTAGTAGCAATACATACACTTAAACTGTATCTGTATACAGTTCTGTATAAAGTCAGGAAGGAGTATACAATTATTAATTAATTAAATAGACTTTTTATTGTATTTATGTTAAAAATTTTTTGGAAAATAATTTAGATATTGGTTGGATTTTCAAATGGGGAAATTAAAAGTAAATATAATTTATTATATCAAGATAACCATTAAAAGTAATAATTAATTTAAAAGACTATTTTTAGAATGTTAATCATTAAACCTTTAACAACTGTACAAACTAAGTCATAGGGCTATGGTACAGCCAAGTAAATAATTTTAAAAAATTTAATAAAAATATTTATGTAAAATAAATTTAGATAGATTCAGTTAATTTAGTTTTTGCTGCATGCGGAGCTTCTACAATTTTTAGTAAATATTTATTTTATCTAATTAATTTAAATTTTTTATCATTAATTTAACAGTTTATGATAAAAGCATAATTCCTACTGGTCATTCTGTTTAATAAACCACTTTTTATGCTATAAGCTCATATTAGATTTCAAATAATGTTAATCTAATAAAATTTATCAAAATGGGAGTAAAAAGAATATTTATGTATAAATTTAATGAAAGTTCTTAATTTATTTATTTAAAGGTAGATGCTAATTATACATGTGGAGCTGTTTCTAAATATGGTTCAACATATAAAATGTTGGTGCTTTATTATTCAAGTAATGCATTCAACCTTTATAAAACATTTACTTTGAATAATGATTTTGTTGATATTTATGGATTAACTAACTATTTTATGGTGCTTTAATAAAATCTTATCACAGGTAAAAAATAAATAATTTTTATTTAAAATATAAATAATTCTTCTTTATTTTAAAGTTTACTTGATTTGAATTGTTAAAATATTTAAATGTCTTTTTTAATTTTTAATTTCTTCCTGAATGACTGACTACTTTTGTTTCTCATATACTAATGCCCTTTTAAATTAATTAACACACATTATTTAAAACTTATCTTAAAAAATCTGGGTCGGTGTTAATGTATGATCAATGATTTACCATATATCAATAATCTATTTAAATTTTAAATAAATTTAAAAAGATAATTAATCATTTTAAATGGATATAATTTATTAAATATAGTTTTTAATTTCGATGGAAACATATTAGGATAATCTTAAACTATATCTAATTAATTTACTCTTTTCTCTTTTTTGGATGTAAAATAAATTTATAGATTCAAACAATGTTTTAGATATTTACTATAATTATTCTAATAGGAAACAAATTTCATGACAGTTGATAACTAAAATAATATTTAAAGTAATTTAAAAATGATAAATATTTAATTTTATTTAAAAAATAAAACAATTTTTATTTAATTTATTGTTTAAAATAGTATGGACTGTCACTTTTAGCACTACTCCTTGCCCTTATTACTGCAAATGTTTATTAGGATCTTCTATTTGTACTTCTTGTCCATCTAATAGTAACAGAGCCAGTTTAGACATAAATAATAAATGTCTTTGTAATCCTGGTTTTTATGATGATGGAGTCAGTTAAATTTGTATAATATGTCACTCTTCTTGTAAAACTTGCAATGGACCAAATGATAACAATTGTTAATCATGTTAAGATGGTTATTTTTTAGTATCAGGCTAGTGCTAGTAATGTGATTATAGTTGCTAAACATGTTAAAATACAAATAACTTTTGTCTATCATGTAATCAATCTTTAGGACCTAGAACCTTTAATGCAGCAAATGGAACATGTTTATGTACATTAAATTATATAGAAAACTAAAATAAAATTTGTAGTTGCACTAATGATTATTGTTTGACATGCAACCCTTTAGATGGATTTTAATGCTAAAGTTGTAAAAATGATACTTCATGGAATTTAACACCGTATAAAAAATGCGAATGCAAAGATGGATTTTACTTGGACTAAACTTCAAATGATTGTAAAAGGTGTAGTTTTCCATGTATAAAATGCATAGGTTCTAGTACACGCTGTAAGTCTTGTAAAAATACACAAACATGGTAACTAGTAAATAATTCATGCTCTTGTAAAGTAGGATATTATTTAGACTAAAGCTCTTAAGAATGCTAAGCTTGTCCTTCTCTTTGTTCTGAATGTAACAGTAGTACTTAATGCACTTCTTGTAAAAATTATTCATCAATGTTATTAATTAATCAAATTTGTGAATGTAAAGATGGATACTATTTTGATATTTCTTCAAATGATTGCTTACCTTGCCCTCCTCTTTGCTCAGCATGCACTAGCAGTAACTTTTGTACTTCTTGCAAAAATTCTACATCTATGTAGATTTTTAATAATATGTGCGAATGCTCAAGTGGATTTCATTTAAGTTAAGATTAAAGAAACTGTAAAAATTGCTCTAATATTTGTTAAACATGTAGTAATGATCCTAATTATTGTTTGTCGTGTAGGGATTCACCAGGATGGAGTTTAGATAAAAGTAAAAATACTTGTTATTGTACTGATGGATACTATTTTGATATGACTAATTAAATGTGTTAGTTATGCTCATCTAACTGTAAAACTTGTAAAGATTATAGCAGCTACTGCTTATCTTGCTATACTTCTCATTACTTAACTAATAATTAATGCTCCAAAGAAACCCTTCCTACAAATGTATCTTAAAAAACAATAGAAACTTTAACATAAACTACTTAATCTGCTGCATATATTGCAATAGGTTCCACAACAGCAAGCTCAGTAATTTTTTCCATAACTTCTCCTAATGGTATAGCAGTTTAGTAGTTTATCTCAGTGCAAAAGCTTTATTTTTTATTGTTTTTAGACATAGTGTATCCACAACTAATTTATACCTTATTCAAGACTCTTAGTGGAACTAGTCCTCTAATTTTATTCAAAAAAATAAATTTATTTTCTTATTTTATTTAAGAAGATCAAAATTAAATTATAAACTAAACGACTAATGGTATAGCCTTTACTGAATGTCAATATAAAAATTATAGATTACTGTAATTTCAAGATTATATACCTAACAAATTTTTAGCAGAAAAAGTAACTAGTAGTGTTGTTTAAAATGGTGGAGGACCAATTATTTCTATTTTAGCAATATGGATTTTAGTTTTGCCATTACTTTTAATACATTTTTTCAGAAAAGAGAATTAATATGGGAATCTTTTGAAAAGTAGTTCTAAAGAATCTTCATTTTACACCTAGAATGTTACAACTAAAGAGAGGATTTATTACTATTATAAAACAGTTATAAGTATTTTGACAGTTATGCTCCATGAGACAATTATAATAGTTTTGTCTTTCTCATTAATTCTTCAGATTATGTCATTTTATTTATATGGGTTATAAACAAAAAATCAGATATTTTAAATTATATTTTTAGTGATTATATTTGCTTATATTATAATAGCTTTCTACTTAACCTATAAAATAATTAATTCTAAGAAAAATAGATTGAATATTGCTTAAGAAATAAATAAAAATGAAGAATTTTAGAAAATGGTTCATAAGTAATTTTTAGAGGATTACATCAAATCTACATATTTTAGAAGAAATTTCAAATTCATAACTCTCATATTATCAAACATAATGATACCAGCATTCCTTGCAATATTTTATAGCTAATTTTATTTCTAAGTAGGCTTTTGGCTTCTCATTGAAACTTTAATCTTAGTCCTTAGGATAGCTTTTAGACCTCAAAAAGATAAATTAAATAATATTAAGTAAATTGTTGATTCAATACTGTGGGTGATAGTGCTTATTTTAATACTGTTGCTCAGTTTTTATATTAATTAGCTTCTATAAAACAATATTAGTCAAAAAGATATAGAAATAATTGATAAATACAATATAGCTATGACTATTTTTATATTTTTAATTTTATTTTTGGGTCCTATAATTCTAATAATAAAGCTTATTTTAAACATACCATTCTTGTTAAAAACGATAAATCAAAAATTATGTAAAAAAAGAGTAAAAAATTAAACACAGGACTAAGTAAATAATTTAATTGAATTAGAAAACTCAAAAAGTAGAAAAATAATATAATAAGAGGATTTATCTATCTAAGTAAACTAATAAGCAAAGAATAAAAACTTTTATTAAAAATCAATTTCAGAATTATCAAGTAATACAAGTGACATGGAAGTCAATTAAAAAAGTGTTAATTAAATTATCATGGGAAGACTAAAAAGTAGTTACAACACTCATCCAAAAATAATAAAATTACCTGTAATCAGCTTTTAAAAAAATAAACAAAAAAGTGATAAAAACCTTTAAATTTAAAATGATGATTTAAATAAAAGTTAAATTTGAAAGTTATTTTTATCACTTAGAATACTGTATTTCTTCAAATATGGTATTCAGGTTTATATCTTATTTTTTTTTGTATTTAATTATTTCTCATTTCAGATTTAGGAAATCCGAATATCCGAAATCTGAGATAATGAGAGTTTACAGTAATAGTAGCAAAAATTATTTTACTGCTTTTTAAAGCCATATTGCTGGCCATTGGTATAATGAATTAATACAAATTTAGAATGATAATTTTATAAATCGAATGAATAACCAATAATTTTTGCTTAGTAAGGCAAATATCAATATGTAGTATTTATATCACTGTTTTATTTTGTTATATTTAAAAATATTTGCTTGATTACAATAAAACTAAAACCAAATTTTTAACATCAAGTTTACACAGAATTTATAAAAATCTAGCTCAATAATAATTTTTCAAGAAATTTGTGCCAAATTATATCATTTTTCACTAAACTAGCAGTAAATAGAATATTTTAATTCAACTTTTATTATTTAATTTAACCAAAAAAAAATAATTTAGGCTGACTCTAATTATAGTTTATGGTTTGCATGTGATAAAACATTCTAGGTATTTATAAATGATTAAGATACATTTACTAACAAATATATTTTATTTTAGCTAATAATAGTGATAATAGTGCTTAATTCAAATAAAGAATTTACTTAATATATTATAATCATTTTTTAAAGAATATCATAGATAACTCAATTTTTACTAACAAATAAATTAATAATATTTCAAAATTAATTAAATAAAATTATAAAATTTATTTATAGCAATATAAATCTTGGTTAAACAAGTTTTTAAAAATGTTTTTAAATTATTAATTAAAGTCTTGTTTTTGTTGCAACAGTGATATTTAAAATTTTTTATAATCGTATTGAATTTTATTTTGAATTTGATCGTTGATAGAATATTTATATGTATAGGTAAATATAGATACTTTAAATCAATCTTTACTTACATTATCCAGGTTTCTATGATTTAGAGACATCTGTTTTTCCATGAATCTATTGCATTTAGCATTATTTTTTTATGGAATTTCTTTCTAAGCCTGCCTTTCTTAAATTCTTTTTTAGATTTTGTTTATTTTTTATGAAATTTTTTTATTATTTTTGAATGTTTACAATAATAAATATTACTCTTTATGAAAGTTGAAAGTATTAAACAATTTTTAAAATTTAGTTTATCAAGAGTAAAGTAAAAGAAAGATAAATTAAATTAGCTGTTTAAAAATATTTGCTTTAAACGAGTTTAAAAAATAATCTATAATTCATATTGTTAATAATTTGAGCTTAAATAAATTATTTATTTACAAAAATTAAAAAGTTAATATTACTATTTAGTATCTATTTGTACATTAGCAAATACTATTACTTATTATGTTTAATTTTTATTATATTATTTTAGTAATATGGGAAATCATCCATTTTTCTTCAGCAAATAAATTACAACTTTGATTCCACAAAAATTGTTTATATTTAAAGATAATTTTTTTACAAAACAAAGAAATAGTAGCATTTTCTGTTTAGCTTGTATAGATAATACGAAATGGGAAATGAAAAATTATAGATGTGTTTGTAAAGAAAGTTTTTATAATGATAAAAATAAAATGATTGAATGTCATGCTATTATCTATGCTTTAAATCTATTTTCAGCTCACTCTTTAAAATATATAAATACTGTTTAAGTGCAAATAAATAATAGCTAATATCTAAGTAGGTATGATTTAGACACTTCTACATGTTATTGTTTAAAATATAACTTTTGTTGTAAAATATTTCTTTAAAGTAATGATAAATGTGTAAGTAATTGTATGACTATAAAATGGGAAATTAATATCAATAAATATTTATGCAAAAAAGTTTACTTTTAAAACTCTTAATTTAAAGATTATTTACCTCATTTTACAAAAAATAATGATTAAATATGTTTTCACTTTTCAAATTCAAATATAAAGTTGTTAATCATAAATACTAATATTTCCTCTAAAACCATTGATAATTTAAATTAACCATTAATAAGCAGATTATATAGCTATAGGACATGTGTTGTCTTTTCATTATCTCCTCATAATTGTGGAGCTCTCTAACAAATTTTGGATGTGTCGAATTTTATTTATTACTATAATTAAATGTGAGTTATCCACAAACTGGTATATAATTCGTTTAAGACTTTTAGTGGAACTAGTTTATTTCATAACATAAATATCTTTCATTAATTAGTCAAGGATGATTATAGCTCTTAAAATAATATTTACAGAAATTTGTAGACTAGATATTAGTAATTATCCCTTAAAAATTTAATATAGAAAGAGTATTAAGCAGAATAATTTGCTCATGCTTGAGGATATATAGTAATTTGAGTATTGATATTAATCCTTCCTCTATTATTTACAAATAATTTAATAATAAGTAATGGTAGGATAGTTTGTAGATTTGGATCTCTTTAGAGATTGTCAATTAAAATTTATATATAACTTAGTAATCAAATAAAAAATATATTTTTAATCAAAAATTTTTATATTTATTATTAGTTAATACATAAATGGAATTTAATAAATATTTTGAAAAATGACAATATGGCCTAAATAGATATTATAATATTGTAACCACAGTATTTGCAATACTAATTTTGTTATTGACCAATTTTTCTTTAAATTAGATTAGCTTTGAATTTTCCATATTTAGTAAATTTATTATGAAGGCATTATTTTAAGGAAGAAAAAGTATAAAACGAGAAATTCAATAAAAATATCCTATTGGAGTTAATTAAAATTAATAAATAGAAAACAAAAGTAAAGCTATATAGGTCTCCTTAAATGTTTTAGTTGATATCTTTTAAATGTAAAAGAGCTTAACTGAGAGTTAATTAACATTTAACTAGAAAAGTGACAAATCAAGAAATACAAGTATAGATATTAGTAACTCTAAAAAGATAAGCTAATAAATTTAATTTGGCTGTTCTAAAAGAATAAATTAAGACAAATTAAAATTATATATACTAAAATTCTTAATATAAATAAAATAAAAAATTATGATTCTTGAAAGAAAATATTTTGTTTATTTATAAAACTATTTTATTATTAATAACTTCATAGTAAATATTTTACAATACAATTTTTAACAGGAAAGTCATTAAATTTCATATCTTTTACATCTAAATGTAATCTTTAAAGATAAAATGCAATTTTTATGATAAAAAATTACATTTATTTTAAAATTTATTTCCTTTAATAGATACTCTCTATGTTTTGGTAAATATTTTAGAATAAAATTTTAAAAAATAAAAGTATAATTTTGAACAGAAAAATAATTAAATTTTAATATTATTAAAACTAAATCAATTTTTAAACTTAATATTTATGGTTTAATTTAATTACTATATTTTTATAGATTTTAAAGTTAACATAATTTTATTCTGTTTGTGTATTTAGTATAATTCTAATTACAAGTTTAACTATAAAGGATATTATTTTTTATATAAAATGATTGTAAAATAAATTTATTTGGTATTTAGTTTTGGTGCATTATTTTTTATGACTTTTAATATAAGAAAAGACCACAACTATAATTTTATGAAAAATAAATGAAAATATTAATCTTAAGAGGCTGTTTAATAATTTAAAAAATATCTTATTGTTTTTAAGCAGTAAAAGTTAAAAATATTTAAATATAATAAAAGATATTTGAGAATATAATATTTAAAACATTTAATTCGCACAAAATTTAAAAAACAAACCAATGTGGAGAGAATTAACTAATCTTATTAATAAAAAAATACTCAAATAAAATTCTAATTATTTTATATATCATGATATATTTCTTCAAAATTTTTTATCAGAAAAACAACAAAAGTAGTTTAAGGTATAATAATAACTTGGTATCAAATGGAAAATGCAGAGAAAAAATATTATAAAAAGAAAAGGAATACATAATTATCTTCTATTTTAATTATAGACAGATTTGGAATTTGAAATATCAACAAATAATATCATAAATCAAAAATTATTATGATGTAATATATTTATTATTTTTTAATTTATTGAATAAAACAATATATTGTTTTTTATTATTAATTTTTAATGATAATCAAAAATACCTCATTAATTTATTTATTAATTTTGGAAACAAATTTTTGTTTGGTGGTTCTAATTTCTTAATCTGATTAAAATACCACCAAATTTAATAAAATAAGATAGAAAAAATTACATAAGCTTACATTAAGTACATATGTACATTATTAGTTATTAATTTAGAATCCATTATAAAAGAATTTTTGTTTTCACTTATTAGAGAGTTGACGTAGAATTATTAATTTATTCATACAATAATAGCTAGCTAATTCGAGGAATGAAAGGCACTTATATTGTATATATTATGATATTTTCAAATAATTATTCATGAATTATAATTTTTTTCAAAATTTTTTTAAATTAAAATTTTGTTTTCAAAATTATATTTTATACATTATCTAATGTGTAAGAAACATAAAGTAAACCAATAATCACTAAACATAATTTACGTATCTTCACTCAAAATTTTAGAATAAATATTAAATTTTTATAAAGACGCGATATGTAAATGAGAGATATTATTTTCTAAACAAACTAAATAAATAAAATTATGAATTAAAATAGGTTTTTAAAAATGCTAAAGAAAATACTCTTTATTATCATTACATTCTTTACATACATTTATTTTTTTTGTTAACATAAACTTGTTTGTATATTTATATAGCTTACAAATAATCACTATAAATTATCTATTTATTAATTCTAATGTTACTTTAATTGCACTTTCTTTTTTTCTTAAATGTAATTGGATGATATCTTAATAATTAAATTTAATTATTTTTTGAAAAATATTAATACTTTCAATAATTTAGAGACAAAAGACAAATAATAAGAATGAACAAAGTAGGAAAAGGAAAGCAAATTTTACTTTTCATAATCATTCAGAATATATTTATTTATTGTCAATCTTTTAGTTTTTCTTCAAATACTCTAACCTCAACTAACTTCAGTAGCGATCAAATCATTAGTGCAACATATAAAAGCGTAGGATTAGTAGCTACTTGCTAATAAAATAAGTCTGAAGTTAAGGGTAAAATAAATATTGGAGTTAATTTTTTTAATCTAAAATATTTATAAAGCAATATCTTTTTCGAACACTTATGCAGCATCTAATATACAATCCTTTTCAGGTTCTTAAAATTGTATTAGTGTTTAATTCTATTAATCTGGTTCAGTAATAAAATACAACACATTAGAAATAAATAAGCTAACTTATCTATTTTTTATATAAAGAATAATAATATATTTTTATCTATTTTTCAGTAATCTGGATTCCGTAATTTCTTTAATCGTTTTGATAACTAAAATAATATTTATCTAAAAAAAAAATAAGTATTAAATTATGGTGGAAATTATCTTAGTCAATATAATACTGCTTTTTCAACTAGTAGCAATACATACACCTAAACAGTATCTGTATAAAGTTCTGTATAAAGTGTAGCAGGAGTATACAATTATTAATTAATTAGACTTTTTATTGTAATTATGTTAAAGATTTTTTGAAATAATTTAGATTTTGGTTGGGTTTTCATCTGGGGAAATCAAAAGTAAATTTTTTTAAAAAATCAGGATAGCCATTAAAAAGTAATAATTAATTTAAAAGACTTTTTTTAGAATGCTAATCATTAAACCTTTAACAACTGTACAAACTAAGTCATAGGACTATGGTATAGCCAAGTAAATAATTTTTATAAAATTAAAAAAAAATTTATTTTTTATAATTTTAGATAGATTCAGTTAATTTAGTTTTTGCTGCATGCGGATCTTCTAAAATTTTTAGTAAATATTTATTTTACCAAATTAATTTGAGTTTTTTATCATTAATTTAACAGTTTATGATAAAAACATTCTTTCTCAAGGTTAGTCTGTTTAATAAACTATTTATTATGCTATAAACTCATATTAGATTGCAAATAATGTTAATCTAATAAAATTTATCAAAATGGGGGTAAAAAATATATTTGTGTACATTTAATGAAAGTTCTTAATTTATTTATTTAAAGGTTGATGCTAACTATACATGTGGAGGTGTTACTAAATAAGGTCAAACATATTCAATGTTTGTTTCTTATTATTCAAGTAATACATTCAACGTTTATAAATCATTTTCTCTGAATAATGATTTTGTTGATATTTATGGATTTACTTCCTATTTTATGGTGCTTTATTAGAAATGTATCACAGGTAAAAATAAAAAAATTTATTTATTTAAAATAAAAATAACTACTCTTTTTTTTCAAGTTTACTTGACTTGTTAAAATGTGTAAATGTAATTTTTTAATTTTTATTTTCTTCCTAACTACCTTTGTTAGTCATATATTAACACCCTTTTAAACTAACTCCCATTTCTTAAAATTTATCTTAAAAAGTTCTGGGATAGGTAGGTGTGAGTATGCAACGATTTAACTAACATATATCAATAACCTATTTAACTTTTTAAATGGATTTTATTTTTTAAATATAGTTTATAATTTCGATGGAATTACATTAGGATAATCTATACCTATATCGAATTAATTTACTCTTTTCTCTTTTTTGGATGTAAAATAAATTTATTGATTCAAATAATGTTTTAGACTTTAGCTCATCATTTTAATAGGAAAATAATTTCATGACAGTTGATAACTAAAATATTATTTAAAGTAATTTAAAAATAATAAATATTAAATTTTGTTTGCAAAATAAAAAATCTTTAATTTACTGTTTAAAATAGTATGGAGTACCACTATTATCGCTACGCCTTGCCCATATTACTGTATATGTTCATCAGGATCTTCTCCTTGTACTTCTTGTCCATCTAATAGTAACAGAGCCAATTTAGACACAAATAATAAATGTCCTTGTAATCCTGGTTTTTATGACGATGGACTCAGTTAAGCTTGTATAATATGTCACCCTTCTTGTAAAACTTGTAATGGACCTAATAATAACAATTGTTAATCATGTTAAGATGGTTATTTTTTAGTATCAGGATAGTGCTAGTAATGTGATCAGAGTTGCTAAACATGTTAAAATTCAAACAACTTTTGTTTATCATGTAATCAATCTTTAGGACCTAGAACTTTAAACGCTGCAAATGGAACATGTTTATGTACATAAGGTTATACAGAAAACTAAAATAAAATTTGTACTTGCAGTAATAATTTATGTTTAGTATGCAACCCTTTAGATGGGAGTAAATGCTAAAGTTGTAAAAATAATACTTCATGGAATTTAACATCTGATAACCAATGCGAATGCAAAGATCAATTTTACTTTGACTCAACTTAAAATGATTGTATAAGTTGTAATTTTCCGTGTATAAAATGCTAAAATTCAAGTACAAGCTGTACATCTTGTAAAAACACAACTACATGGTAACTAGTAAATAATACATGCTCTTGTAAAGTAGGATATTATTTAGACTCAAGTTCTAAAGATTGCTAAGCTTGTCCTTCTCTTTGTTCTGAATGTAACAGTAGTACTTAATGTACATCTTGTAAAAATTCTTCATCAATGTAATTAATTAATCAAATTTGTGAATGCAAAGATCAATTTTACTTTGACTCAACTTCAAATGATTGTAAAACTTGTAATTTTCCTTGTATAAAATGCTAAAATTCAAGTACAAGCTGTACATCTTGTAAAAACACTACTACATGGTAACTAGTAAATAATACATGCTCTTGTAAAGCAGGATATTATTTAGACTCAAGTTCTTAAGATTGCTAAGCTTGTCCTTCTCTTTGTTCTGAATGTAACAGTAGTACTTAATGTACATCTTGTAAAAATTCTTTATCAATGTAATTAATTAATCAAATTTGTGAATGTAAAGATGGATACTATTTTGATATTTCTTCAAATGATTGTAAAACTTGTAATTTTCCTTGTATAAAATGCTAAAATTCAAGTACAAGCTGTACATCTTGTAAAAACACTACTACATGGTAGCTAGTAAATAATACATGCTCTTGTAAAGTAGGATATTATTTAGACTCAAGTTCTTAAGATTGCTAAGCTTGTCCTTCTCTTTGTTCTGAATGTAACAGTAGTACTTAATGTACATCTTGTAAAAATTCTTAATCAATGTAATTAATTAATCAAATTTGTGAATGCAAAGATCAATTTTACTTTGACTCAACTTCAAAGGATTGTAAAACTTGTAATTTTCCTTGTATAAAATGCTAAAATTCAAGTACAAGCTGTACATCTTGTAAAAACACAACTACATGGTAACTAGTAAATAATACATGCTCTTGTAAAGCAGGATATTATTTAGACTCAAGCTCTAAAGATTGCTAAGCTTGTCCTTCTCTTTGTTCTGAATGTAACAATAGTACTTAATGCACTTCTTGTAAAAATTCTTCATCAATGTAATTAATTAATCAAATTTGTGAATGTAAGGATGGATACTATTTTGATATTTCTTCAAATGATTGTAAAACTTGCAATTTACCGTGTATAAAATGCCAAAATTCTAGTACAAGCTGTACATCTTGTAAAAACACTACTACATGGTAACTAGTAAATAATACATGCTCTTGTAAAGCAGGATATTATTTAGACTCAAGTTCTTAAGATTGCTAAGCTTGTCCTTCTCTTTGTTCTGAATGTAACAGTAGTACTTAATGTACATCTTGTAAAAATTCTTTATCAATGTAATTAATTAATCAAATTTGTGAATGTAAAGATGGGTACTATTTAGACAATTCTTCAAATGATTGCTTACCTTGCCATCCTCTTTGCTCAACATGCACTAGCAGTAACTTTTGTACTTCTTGCAAAAATTCTACATCTATGTAGATTTTTAATAATGTGTGCGAATGCTCAAGTGGATTTCATTTAAGTTACGATTAAAGAAACTGTACAAATTGCTCTAATATTTGTTAAACATGCAACAACGATCCTAATTATTGTTTATCGTGTAAGAATTTACCAGGATGGAGTTTAGATAAAAGTAAAAATACTTGTTATTGTACTGATGGATACTATTTTGATACGACTAATTAAATGTGTTAGCAATGCTCATCTAACTGTAAAACTTGTAAAGATTATAGCAGCTACTGCTTATCTTGCTATACTTCATATTACTTAGCTAATAATTAATGCTCCAAAGAAACCCTTCCTACAAATATATCTTAAAAAACAATAGAAACTTTAACATAAACAACTTAATCTGCTGCATATATTGCAATAGGCTCTACAACAGCAAGTTCAGTAATTTTTTCCATAGCTTCTCCTAATGGTGGAGCAGTTTAGTAGTTTATGTCAGTGCAAAAGCTTTATTTTTTATTGTTTTTAGACATTGTATATCCACAACTGATTTATACCTTTTTCAAGACTCTTAGTGGAACTAGTCCTCTAATTTTATTCAAAAAAATAAATTTATTTTCTTATTTTATTTATGAAGACCAAAATTAAATTATAAACTAAACGACGAATGGTATAGCCTTTACAGAATAGTAATATAAAAATTATAGATTATTGTAATTTCAAGATTATATACCTAACAAATTTTAAGCTGAAAAAGTAACTAGTAGTGTTGTTCAAAATGGTGGAGGACCAATTATTTCTATTTTAGCAATATGGATTTTAGTTTTGCCAATACTTTTAATAAGCTTTTTCAGAAAAGAGAACTAATATGGGAATCTTTTGAAAAGTAGTCCTAAAGAATCTTCATTTTACACCTAGAATGTTACAACTAAAGAGAGGATTTATTACTATTATAAGACAGTCATAAGTATTTTGACAGTTATGCTACATGAAACAATTATTATAGTTTTGTCTTTCTCAGTAATTCTTCAGATTATGTCATTTTATTTATATGGATTATAAACAAAAAATCAGATATTTTAAATTGTATTTTTAGTGATTATCTTTGTTTATATAATAATAGCATCATATTTAGCATATAAAATAATTAATTCTGAGAACAATAGATTGAATATTGCTTAAGAAATAAATACAAATGAAGAATTTTAGAAAATGGTTCATAAGTAACTTTAAGAAGATTACATCAAATCTACATATTTTAGCAGAAATTTCAAATTCATAACTCTAATATTATCAAACATAATGATACCAACATTCCTTGCAATATTTTATAGCTAATTTTATTTCTAAGTAGGCTTTTGGCTTTTCATCGAAACTTTAATCTTAGTTCTTAGAATAGTTTTTAGACCTCAAAAAGATAAATTAAATAATATTAAGTAAACTGTTGATTCAATACTATGGATGATAGTTCTTATTTTAATACTATTGCTCAGTTTTTAAATTAATTAGCTTCTACAAAACAATATCAGTCAAACAGATATAGAAATAATTGATAAATACAATATTGCTATGACAATTTGTATATTTTTGATTTTATTTTTGAGTCCTATAATTCTAGTAATAAAGCTTATTTTAAATATACCATTCTTGATAAAAATGATAAATCAAAACTTATGTAAAAAAAGAGAAAAAAATCAAAGAGAAGACTAGGTAAATAGTTTAATTGAATTAGATAGCTCAAATGGTAGAAAAAACCTATCATAAGAGGATTTATCTATCTTAGTAAACTAATAAGCAAAGAATAAAAACATTTTTAAAAAATAAATTTCAAAATTACCAAGTAATAAAAGTGACATAGAAGTCTATTAGAAAAGTGTTAGTTAAATTATCATGGGAAGACTAAAAAGTAGTTACAACAATCACCCAAAAATAATAAAATTACCTTTAATCAGCTTTTAAAAAAATAAACAAAAAAGTGATAAGAGCCTTTAAATTTAAAATTGTAATGATTCAAATAAAAGTTAAATTTAAAATTAAGATGATTCAAATAAAAGTTAGATTTGAAAATTATTTTTATCCCTTAGAATACTGTAATTCTTTAAATATGGTATTTAGGTTTTTATATATTTTTTTTGTATTATATAATATTAACTCAAAATAAAAAATATGCGTTTCAACGTTCAATTGAGTAACTTTTTTTATTTTTAATATTAACTTTTATTAATAAATAAAAATGATTTGCTAAGTAACATAAAAATTTAAAAATTTAAATATATTTTTTTTACTTTTCAATTTTAAGTAAATATACAAAAAGATACAATTTTGACTCCTCTAAAATTATTTACATTTAAAGCTAATTTCTTTGCAAAACATTCCAAAATAGTAGTATATTCTGCTTAGATTATATAGATAATATAAAATGAGAAATGAAAAATTATATGCGTCTTTAAAGAATTTTTATAATGATAAAACATAAAATGATTTTATATCATTATTTTATCTATGCTTAAAATCTATTATCAGCTCCACATGTTTGAAATCTATAAATACTGTTTAAATGAAAATAAATAATAGTTTATATCTAAGTGTGTACTATTTAGGAACTTCTCAAATTTATTGTTTAAAATGTAACTTTTGTTGTAAAATATTTCTTTTAAAGTAGTAATGAATTTAAAATGTGAAATTAATATCAATAAATTTTTATGTAAAAAAGGGTACATTTACAATTCTTAATTTAAAGATTATTTATCTCATTTTACAAAAAATAATAATTAAATATGTTTTCAATCTTCAAATTCAAATATAAATTTGTTTCTCATAAATACTAATATTTCTTCATAAACAAATTAACCCACTTAATTAGCAGATTATATAGCTATAGAACATACTCTGTAGTCTTTTCAAATGTTAAAAAAATACTATTTCATTTAAAATTTATTTCATTTAATAATTAATTTTTATATTAAGGTAAATATTTTAGAATAAAATTTAAAAAATAAATGCATTATTTTAAACTGAAAAAGAATTAAATTTTATATTTTATTAAAACTAGAATCAATTTTTAAAGATGATATTTATGTTTAAATTTAATCGCTATATTTTTATAAATTTTAAAGTTAAAATAATTTCAATGATTTGTCTATTTAGTATAATTTTAATTATAAATTTAACTTTCAAAGATATTATTGATTGATTATTTAAGATAATTGTAAAACTAAATTTATTTGGTATTTTTTTAATTTCGATGCATTATTTTTAATGGCCATTAATAGGAGAAAAGGGCTAATTTAATAAATATTTAGAATTATTATAAAATATATAAATTAACAATAATTTTATTAAAAATAAATAAAAGTAGTAATCTTTTTAGTCTATTTAATAATTTTAAAAATATCTTATTATTTTCAATAATTTAAAAATAATGAAAAATATTTGAGAATATAAAATCTAAAAGATTTACTTCACAAAAAATTTAAAAAACCAATATTTAAAAACAAAAAAAGAAATTTATTTGGATTAAAATGAAAAATGCAAAGAAAAAAATAGTTAAAAGAAAAGAAATAGATAAAAATCTTTTATTTTAATTATTAACAGATTTGGAATTTCAAAAATCACATATAATATCATAAATCAAAAATCATTATGAAATAATGTTTTTATTATTTATAAATTTATTAGTCTAAAACAATAACTTGTTTTTTACCATTAATTTTTAATGTTAATTATAAATACTTTTTGATTTATTTATTAATTTTGGGAAAAAAATATTATGATTAATATAAGACTAAATTTAATAAAATAAAATTTTAAAAAAATAAGTAAGTTTACATGTAAATATGTACATATTAGTCATTAATTAAGAATCCATTATAAAAGAATTTTTGTTTTCACTTACTAGAGAATTGACATAGAAGTATTAGATTTTTCAATCAATAATGGCTAGCTAATTCCAAAAATAAAAGGTAATTTTTTTGTATACATTACGATATTTGAAAATAATTATTCATGAATTATAATTTTTCCAAAAATTTTTTTAAACTAAAGTTTTGTTTGCTTTCAAAAATTATATTTTTTTAGAATATATATTAAATTTATTTTCATAAAGAAGTGAACTATAAATGAGAGATTTTTATTTTCTTAACAAACTAAATAAAATTACAAATTATAATAAATTTAAAAAAATGCATGAAATAAAATAAATAAAGAAAATAACTCATTATTAACATCATATTCTTTATATAAATTAAACCTAAACTGTTTTTTTATTTATACAGCTTACTTAATAATCAATATAAATAAATTATATATTTATTCCTTCTAATTTTACCATAATCAAAACCTGATGATTATCTATTAAAGGTACTGCACTCTCTCTTTTTCTTAAATGTAACTTGACTACTATATCTTAAGAATTAAATTTAATTATTTTTTGAAAAATAATATTAATATTTTAGATAATCTAGAGATAATAAGAATGAAAAAAGTAGGAAAAGGAAAACAGATTTTACTTTTCATAATCATACAAAATATATTTATTTACTGTCAATCTTTTAGTTTTACTTCAAATACTCTAACCTCAACTAGCTTTAGTACTGATAAAATCATTAGTGCTACATATAAAAGCGCAGGAGTAGTAGCTACTTGCTAATAAAATATGTCTGGAATCAATGGTAAAATAAATTTTTGAGTTAATTTTTGTAATCTAAAATATTTAAAAAGCACTAACTTTTTCGAACACTTATGTTGCATCTCAAGTAAAATCCTATTCAAGTTCTGAAAATTGTATTAGTGTTTAATTCTATTAATCTGCTACAGTAATAAAATAAAATATGTTAGAAATAAATAAACTAACTTATCTATTTTTAAAATAAAGCAAAATTTAATTTTATCGATTTTTCAGTAATCTGGAACATGTAATTACTTTACTCTTATCATTTTAATAATATTATTATTTATTTTATAAAAAAAATAAGTATTAAATTATGGTTCAAATTAAATTAGTCTATATAATACTCTTTTTTCAACTAGTAGCAATACATACACTTAAACTGTATCTGTATACAGTTCTGTATAAAGTCAAGAAGGAGTATAAAATTATTAATTAATTAGACTTTTTATTGTATTTATGTTAAAGATTTTTTGGAAATAATTTAGATTTTGGTTGGGTTTTCATCTGGGGAAATCAAAAGTAAATTTTTTTTAAATATCAGGATAGCCATTAAGAGTAATAATTAATTTAAAAGACTTTTTTTAGAATGTCAATCATTAAACCTTTAACAACTGTACAAATTAAGTCATAGGGCTATGGTACAGCCAAGTAAATAATTTTTATAAAATTAATAAAAATATTTAAGTAAAATAAATTTAGATAGATTCAGTTAATTTAGTTTTTGCTGCATGCGGAGCTTCTACAATTTTTAGTATATATTTATTTTATCTAATTAATTTAAATTTTTTATCATTAATTTAACAGTTTATGATAAAAGCATAATTCCTACTGGTCATTCTGTTTAATAAACCATTTATTATCCTATAAACACATATGAGTTATCAAATAATATTAATCTAATAAAATTTATCAAAATGGGAGTAAAAAGAATGTTTATGCATAAATTTAATGTTTCTTTATTTATTTAAAGGTAGATGCTAATTATACATGTGGAGCTGTTTCTAAATATGGTTCAACATATATAATGTATGTGTTTTATTATTCAAGTAATGCATTTTACCTTTATAAAACATTTTCTTTGAATAATGATTTTGTTGATATTTATGGATTAACTAACTATTTTATGGTGCTTTAATAAAATCTTATCACAGGTAAAAAATAAATTATTATTTAAAATATAAATAATTCCTCTTTATTTTAAAGTTTACTTGACTTATTAATAAAATTTTTAAATGTTTTTTTCAATTTTTAATTTCTTCCTGACTGGCTGACTGACTACTTTTGTTTCTCATATACTAATGCCCTTTTAAATTAATAAATACATATTATTTAAAACTTATCTTAAAAAAATTTGGGTAGGTCTTAATATGCGATCGATGATTTATCATATATCAATAATCTATTTAACATTTTAAATAAATTTAAAAAGATAATTAATTATTTTAAATGGATATAATTTATTAAATATAGTGTTTAATTTCGATGGAAACACATTAGGATAATCTTAAACTATATCTAATTAATTTACTCTTTTCTCTTTTTTGGATGTAAAATAAATTTATTGATTCAAATAATGTTTAAACTTTTACTATAATTATTCTAATAGGAAACAGATTTCATGACAGTTGATAACTAAAATAATATTTAAAGTAATTTAAAAATGATAAATATTTAATGTTATTTGAAAAGTAAAACAATTTTTATTTAATTTATTGTTTAAAATAGTATGGACTGTCACTTCTAGCACTACGCCTTGCCCTTATTACTGCAAATGTTTATTAGGATCTTCTATTTGTACTTCTTGTCCATCTAATAGTAACAGAGCTAGTTTAGACATAAATAATAAATGTCTATGTAATCCTGGCTTTTATGATGATGGAGTCAGTTAAATTTGTTTAATATGTCATTCTTCTTGTAAAACTTGCAATGGACCAAATGATAACAATTGTTAATCATGTTAAGATGGTTATTTTTTAGTATCAGGCTAGTGCTAGTAATGTGATTATAGTTGCTAAACATGTTAAAATACAAATAACTTTTGTCTATCATGTAATCAATATTTAGGACCTAGAACCTTAAATGCAGCAAATGGAACATGTTTATGTACATTAAATTATATAGAAAACTAAAATAAAATTTGTAGTTGCACTAATGATTATTGTTTGACATGCAACCCTTTAGATGGATTTTAATGCTAAAGTTGTAAAAATAATACTTCATGGAATTTAACATCTGATAACAAATGCGAATGCAAAGATCAATTTTACTTTGATTCAAGTTCAAATGATTGTCAAAATTGTAATTTTCCTTGTATAAAATGCTAAAATTCAAGTACAAGCTGTACATCTTGTAAAAACACAGCTACATGGTAGCTATTAAATAATACATGCTCTTGTAAAGAAGGATATTATTTAGACTCAAGTTCTTAAGAATGCTAAGTTTGTCCTTCTCTTTGTTCTAAATGTGACAGTAGTACTTAATGTACATCTTGTAAAAATTCTTCATCAATGCAATTAATTAATCAAATTTGTGAATGTAAAGATGGATATTATTTAGATATTTCTTCAAATGATTGTAAATCTTGTAATTTTCCTTGTTTAAAATGCCAAAATTCTAGTTCATATTGTACATCTTGTAAAAACACTACTGAATGGCAACTAGTTAATAATTCATGCTCTTGTAAAGCAGGATATTATTTAGACTCAAGCTCTTAAGAATGCTAAGCTTGTCCTTCTCTTTGTTCTGAATGTAACAGTAGTACTTAATGCACTTCTTGTAAAAATTCTTCATCAATGTAATTAATTAATCAAATTTGTGAATGTAAAGATGGATACTATTTTGATATTTCTTCAAATGATTGCTTACCTTGCCCTCCTCTTTGCTCAGCATGCACTAGCAGTAACTTTTGTACTTCTTGCAAAAATTCTACATCTATGCAGATTTTTAATAATATGTGCGAATGCTCAAGCGGATTTCATTTAAGTTAAGATTAAAGAAACTGTAAAAATTGCTCTAATATTTGTTAAACATGTAGTAATGATCCTAATTATTGTTTGTCGTGTAGGGATTCACCAGGATTGAGTTTAGATAAAAGTAAAAATACTTGTTATTGTACTGATGGATACTATTTTGATATAACTAATTAAATGTGTTAGCAATGCTCATCTAATTGTAAAACTTGTAAAGATTATAGCAGCTACTGCTTATCTTGCTATACTTCATATTACTTAGCAAATAATTAATGCTCCAAAGAAACCCTTCCTACAAATATATCTTAAAAAACAATAGAAACTTTAAAATAAACAACTTAATCTGCTACATATATTTCAATTGGCTCTTCAACAGCAAGTTCACTAATTTTTTCCATAGCTTCTCCTAATGGTGGAGCGGTTTAGTAGTTTATGTCAGTGCAAAAGCTTTATTTTTTATTATTTTTAGACATTGTGTATCCACAACTAATTTATACCTTTTTCAAGACTCTGAGTGGAACTAGTCCTCTAATTTTATTCAAAAAAATAAATTTATTTTCTTATTTTATTTAAGAAGATCAAAATTAAATTATAAACTAAACGACGAATGGTATAGCCTTTACAGAATAGTAATATAAAAATAATAGATTACTGTAATTTCAAGATTATATACCTAACAAATTTTAAGCTGAAAAAGTAACTAGTAGTGTTGTTCAAAATGGTGGAGGACCAATTATTTCTATTTTAGCAATATGGATTTTAGTTTTGCCAATACTTTTAATAAGCTTTTTCAGAAAAGAGAACTAATATGGCAATCTTTTGAAAAGTAGTTCTAAAGAATCTTCATTTTACACCTAGATTGTAACAACTAAAGAGAGGATTTATTACTATTATAAAACAATTATAAGTATTTTGACAGTTATGCTCCATGAGACAATCAATATAGTTTTGTCTTTCTCAATAATTCTTCAGATTATGTCATTTTATTTATATGGGTTATAAACAAAAAATCAGATATTTTAAATTATATTTTTAGTGATTATATTTGCTTATATTATAATAGCTTTCTACTTAACCTATAAAATAATTAATTCTAAGAAAAATAGATTGAATTTTGCTTAAGAAATAAATACAAATGAAGAATTTTAGTAAATGGTTCATAAGTAATTTTTAGAGGATTATATCAAATCTACATATTTTAGAAGAAATTTCAAATTCGTAACTCTAATATTATCAAACATAATGATACCAGCATTCCTTGCAATATTTTATAACTAATTTTATTTCTAAGTAGGCTTTTGGCTTTTCATCGAAACTTTAATGTTAGTCCTTAGAATTGTTTTTAGACCTCAAAAAGATAAATTAAATAATATTAAGTAAATTGTTGATTCAATACTGTGGATGATAGCTCTTATTTTAATACTATTGCTCAGTTTTTAAATTAATTAGCTTCTACAAAACAATATCAGTCAAACAGATATAGAAATAATTGATAAATACAATATTGCTATGACAATTTGTATATTTTTTATTTTATTTTTGAGTCCTATAATTCTAGTAATAAAGCTTATTTTAAACATACCATTCTTGTTAAAAACGATAAATCGAAAATTATGTAAAAAAAGAGTAAAAAATTAAACACAAGACTAAATAAGTAATTTAATTGAATTAGAAAACTCAAAACGTTGAAAAAACCTATCATAAGATGATTTATCTATCTAAGTAAACTAATAAGCAAAGAATAAAAACTTTTATTAAAAATCAATTTCAGAATTATCAAGTAATACAAGTGACATGGAAGTCTATTAAAAAAGTGTTAGTTAAATTATCATGGGAAGACTAAAAAGTAGTTACAACACTCATCCAAATATAATAAAATTACCTGTATTCAGCTTTTAAAAAATAAACAAAAAAGTGATAAAAACCTTTAAATTTAAAACGATGATAATTCAAATAAAAGTTAAATTTGAAAGTTATTTTTCTCACTTAGAATACAGTAATTCTTCAAATATGTTATTCAAATTTATATCTTATTTTTTTTGTATTTAATTAAATTTGTTAAATAATATATTTTAATTATAAATTTTGAGTATAAAGTCAAAATAAAAAAATAAGCATTTCAACAAATGATTGAGTATTTTTTATACATTTTTAAATTTAATTTTTATTAATTAATAAAAATTATTTGATAATTAACATTTAAAATTAACTTTATTATGTGATAATTAATTTAAACATAGCAAAACATTATAATTTCAGTAAAAAAATTAGTTAGGAATAAATAAATAGGATGGAGTATACTATTAACTTCTCAGATTTTAACCCAATTGAGATATTCTATGAAAATAATTTTTGATTTTTTTTCTAGATATTTTTAGATATTTTTTTCAATATAAAATCATTAAAACTATTTATCTAATTATTAATTTAATTGTTTTAGACCTACTTTTTATTAATTTAAATTAATTACTAACAAGAAATTATTTAAAGGAATTTAGTGAATGAAAAATAAAATTATATTTATTTTCTTTAATTTTATATAGATAATGAAATTTATTAATGTTGACTTAGAATTTAATTTCAAATTAAGTTATTGTTATATAAACGACTCTGAGTTTGTTTAATTTTTGTTTGTATTTGTTTAAATCTGTAAGTATCGAAATTGTATTTTTCCAAAAGTAAATTTTTCTATTTGTTTTTATATAAATCAAATTTTTAGTGGATATTTTGTTAAACATTCTACTTGCTAATTTGAAGCATTAATGTAAATTTTTCTGAAGGCCTGTTATCACTTTATTTTTTTATTTGTCTAATATGATCAAAACTAGATCTAGTTCTTGGAGTTTAGCTTTATTAAGAACTCTCATTAAAACTAGTTCTTTTTTATAAATAACTCATTTATAAACTATTTAGCGATTAGTCAATATACTAATTACAAGTTTCGCTTATTTAGTTAAGTGAATGAGGTATTTAATTAAAACTAGATAATTAATCTTCATTGCTTGTTTTAATTAATTGACTAGAAATTTCATTCTTTGATAGGAATTTTAATGAATTTACTTTATCTTATTAATTGCAAATATTGCTTTTTAAGGAGTTTAAGCTTAAAAAGTTTGGTATTTCATTTTCTTATTCACAATCATTCAATCTTATCTCTTCATTAAGAGATGTTTAAGTATTTTAATCATTCTAAAACGTTTCGATATCTAAAAATTATTTTTGTATTATTTCAAAGTATTTTTTTGAATTTTCTTCTTATTCTTTTTCTTAAAGGATATTTACCTTATTTTAATCTTAAATTTATTATTGTTTTTACAACTAATTTCTTTTTTATAGTTATTTATTTTATTTTTAAATTATTTTTACTATATTTATTTTGTTAATATTTGTTTTATCTTTTAAATTCTACAAAGAAGATAATTTTGATGCTAAAATTTCATTTTTCATGACCAAGTTTTCATTTTGAATTAATTTGTTTTCTTTAGATTAGCCTTTTTTCAAGTACTTCTAACCTTGTATTTCAATTTATTAAGTCACTGGATTCACATTCATTTTAAACACTGGAGTTTAAATGTTACTCAAATTTTCTATTGAATTTTATATAATAAAGCAAAAAGTTAAATTACAATTTTAACGCTAATAAAACTTACACAAAGATAATAGACTTGATGAAGTAAGTGGTTATTAATTTAATTAATTTGATACATCGCATTAAGATTTGGTCAAAAATTAATTATACTATTCTGAGCTTTCAGTTTATTACTACAAGCTATTGAAATCTTTTTCAAAATACATTCTACTATTTTTCCTGGAGATTATTGCAAGGTCAGGATGACTTTATTCCCGTTTTATAATTTTAAAGTGAGAAATATTACATAATTGATCCTAAGATTACAGATTTTATTTATCTTTGATTTTCATTTTTGAGTTATTGTTTTACAAAATTTGTTTTTATTATTACAATTATTATTATGCCTTGCTTTCAGATTGAATCGCTTAAAACTGTCTAGGAGATTATACAAAATTATTCAAGCCACCAACATAGTAAAGATTTTATTACTATTAACTCTAATTTATGCTAAAAGGTATTTCTTTAGGTTATAGAAATGTCTAAAAACCTTTTCTGAAGATTTTTTAAGCTATTTTATTGATTTACTACTTAGGTGTAATATTTACAGAAGAAGTTTGTGTTTCTAATTCTGAGATACCCTTTTCCTAAAGATACTAATCATTCTATTTGTGAATTTAAAACTTTTAAAGATCTCTTTCTCTTCTATATCCCTAATAATTAAAATTCTTTTAAAAAATTGTTTTTTGATAAGAATTTTGTACATTTGATACTACTACAACTTTGTTGCCTCTAATGAATCTATTATTTGGAATTTATTTTTCTAGAGAATGGCTTTAAGTCATATTTTTGGAAGCAGGAAGATCACTTAAATAAGATTAAAAGTTTTTATTTGTTTTTATAAAATCCTCAAAATCACTTTCTTATTCAAATGAATCACTATTTTAATTTTAAGCCATCGTTTATGAATGATAAAACTCGAATTTACTTATTAATTATATATATATTTATGTAATTTTGATTAAGATTTTGGTTTTTGAATTACTTTCTTTTTATAAAGCGATAACCAAAGACATAGGAATAAATCAAATATTTTTTAATATCTAACTCATACTATTACGTTACCAAGTTATAACCAAATGAAATTAATTATTATATTTATTAATTTTGATAGCAAAAGATTACTAACTCATTTTAATTAAATCTAAAACATTTAAATTTTTATCTTACACTCTTCATCTCTTTAATTTTTTGTGTTTATTTGTTCTACATATTTATTTATTTTTAGCATATTTATTAGATCTTTCTTAAGTAATTTCATTTAGATTTAATTTCCTTATTTTGAATATCTAAAAAGTATTTAAATTTTAATTATTATTCTAAAACAATTTTATTTTATAGGGTATTTTAAGTTATAAATAATTATTTAATAAATATTTATTTTATAATAAGATATGTTTGCTTTAATAATCTTATTTTATAAATTTTTAGAATTTAATAAAATTTGTTTAAATCTAATTTGAATAGATGTTTTGGAATAGTTTATTTTAACACTTTTTAATGAAAAACAGTTTTTAATTAATATAAAAAGATTTTGAAAAAATAAATACTTTTTTAATAATTTTTTTGAATAATTTTAGTTGCCTTTTATTTTTTTATGATTTAATAATTATAAAGTAAAGATAAATTAATCTGCTAATATTGATTAAATACTTTTAAAATAATATTTCTAATATAAATATTTAAAATAAATTAATTATTAAATTTATAATTTGAAGTAGATAAAAAGTATTTTATTTTTTTGAAAATTTAGGTCTCTATTGATTAGGAAATCTATGTTTATATTTATTGGAATTAATGTCAAATATTTCAGACACAGAATACTTATCTAAATTCAGTTATTCCCCAACCATTAAAATGAAAAAATATACTTATATTAAACGTTTATAAAGTTAAAGTAAATAAGAAGGAGATAGAAATAAACCTTATGGAAACGATTAAAGTCAAATCATGGGCTAAAGTTCCTATAGCAAAGAGACTAGAAATAAAAGAAGAATTGGAAAAGATAAGAAACGACCCATATATAAGAGAATGGAAATAATGTATGGAAGGATGGGGTGTACCGTAAGCAACCATAAGCAAATGGACTAACATGCAGAGAGGAAAAAAGGGAAGAGAGAGCTCACTAGGAGAAATAATTATGAAAGAAATGTTAGAGAAAATCTTCCACAAAGAAATAGGTCCAGCAGAGTTTTGGTAGATAAAACCAAAAAACTTAATAAAAAAACTAAAAATAGATAAATACTTTAATTTTATCTGTAAAAACTAAAGCAGTCGATATTATTATATAAGAACCACAAGATAAAAAATGATAGAAGAAGGAGTAAAGAGAGCATTGGAATCAATAGAAAAATTAAAAAAATTGTGTGAATATTATTAAAAATGAATATAGTAATTAATAGAAAAAATTTATGTTCTTTATATTTGTGAAAAAAAAAAATAATGCAATACTTGAACTGCAACAGCTTTTTATAATAAATCAAGATTTATTCTTTTTAAAGAATACATGAATACTGTAAAATACATCTCAATATGTAAAACTGAACTAATTAATACAGTTTGCTAAAATAGCTTTCTAAACTAAAAAAACAAACCTATAAAACTATAATTACCCTAAATATAGATCTAAAGTGATGTTAAAATTGCTTAAAGAACACAATTTAAAAAAAAAAAAATCCTAAACTGAAAAGCAACTAAATAGAAATTTAAACAATATGGAGGAGTGTTAGGTAATAGACATTTGATAAAGGTTTTGATTCTGCCTTGAAAGAATAAGTGCCTATAGTTAATTAATTTAAAAAGTAAAATAATTAATTATTGATTAAATAATAAACCTTTTTTTATATACCGTAAATACTCTATCTTAAGCCGATTCTAATTTAAGACTGTACTCTAATTTAAGCACTCTACAATTGAACCATATTAAAAATTTTTAAAAAACCGGCCTTAATATATGAACCTTTACCGTATAAAGATTTTGAATTAAGTACTTTTTTGATACATATTTATGATACATTATTTCATTTGCCTTTTATTTTTTTTAATTTAATATTTATTAAATAAAGATAAATTAATATTGTAAAATAAATCGATTAGATTCTTATAATTTATTAAAAATAATATTTCAAATTAAAATGTTTTAAAATTAATTATTAAATTTTTAATTTCAAGAAGAAAATAATTTTTCAATTTTTTTGAAAATTAATTTTGGGTTTTAACATTTAAATTAATTAATTAAGCATTTTTTGTTTACTGTTAAATGATTTTCGAAATTTTTGCTTCTCTATTGATTATAAAATTTTGTCTTTATATTTGATAAATTAAATTAATTGTAAATAAGTATTATTTGATAAATAATTAATCAAATATTTATTTGGTTAAAAAACATCATCCACTAGATTAAGATAGTTAGAAAGGATAATTTTTACAATATGGAATAGATACCTATTTTAGAATAAGAATGCTTGAAAAGATGTAACAATTGGTTTTAGATATAGAATGTAAGATATATTGATACTAATCAATTAGTTTAATTTACATCTTTACGCTAAGTTGAAATTTTTGTTCAATAGTAAATAAATCGTGATAATAATTTTAAGCGTTCGTGCTTAAAGTATGGAACATTATTTGGAGTTATTTTAGCAGCCTTTTGTTTTTACAAAAATTAAGAAGAAAATTTTAGTGGAAAATATCTATTTAATGCTTTTGCTTTATCTGCTATTGGTGGAGGTGCAAGCTGTTATACATTTTCAGGAATTTTGTCTAAGATTGTTTAAGACAAAGACACAAATATTGATTTCTCTTAATTCTAGTTATATTTTAAATAACATTCACAAGATCTTTACAAGTTAACAAAAATTTTAGAGTAATGATTCAATTTTATATACCATCAATACTTTTGAATAATTGAATTAAATATTTATTGCTATTTATAATCTATATAAAATATTTACCTTTAATATAAATAAAATTAATATCAATCATTGCTAAATCAAGCTAAATTTAAAGCAAGTATAAAAATAACTAAATAGTATTTAAAAGATTGCTCATAAATATATTTTATGTAACTATTATTTGTAATTTAAAGACATAATTAAAAACTGATAAAATATCAATTAAATGAAAAAGAATTTATTTAATGAAAGGGATAATTTATATAAATTATTACTTTTTTTAATTAAATATTTCATTTTTTTACATTTGAAAACGAACTTAATACTAATCTCCTTTCTTTTATTCGTTTACTAAATATGGATATCTCTTTAATATTGAATTTTCTTTATTCATCTTTGTAAAAGATTTGTGGAAATATTATATGCGAAATTATTTAATACTTACCTTATTTACTCTTATATTAATATTTAATTTAATTAGCATTCATTTTTTTAAAGTAGATAGAGGTTTTGGAATAATTTATTTTTACACTTTTCAATGAATAACAAACAGTTTTTAATTAATATATAAAGATTTTGAAAATATACTTTTTTAATAATTTTTTTGCATAATTAATTTTATTTGCGTTTTATTTTTTGATAATATTTTAATTATAAAATAAAGATAAACTAATCTACTAAAATTGATTAGATACTTTTAAAATTATATTTCTAATATAAATATTTAAAATAAATTAATTATTAAATTTATAATTTGAAGTAGAAAAAAAGTATTTTATTTTTTGAAAATTTAGAGTTTGCCTCTCTATTTGATTAGTATTGATTAGGAGTATGTCTATATTTGATAGATCAAATTCTAAATAAGTATTATTTATAATAATAATTTATTAATTATTAATTTGCTTAAAAAACACCATTAAGAAAGTAAAGATGGATAATTTTCACTATATGGATTAAATATTTATCTAAGAAAAAGAATGTTTGGATAAGTGTAATGATTGGCTTTAGAAAAACAATGTAAGATATGAAAATACTAATAAATAAGTTAAATTTTCAAATATGCTCGAACTCGAAATTTTTGTTCTGTAAACAAAAAATCGCATAAAATAATAAAAGCTTTAATTCGTAAAATATGGATCAATGTTTGGAGCTTTTTTAGGAACCTTGACCTTTTGCGTTTTTAATGAAAAAAGTTTTACTGGAAAAGATGTCTTAAAAATATTTAGTTTACCAGCTTTTGGTGGAGGTATAATCAGTTTTTTATTATCAGAATTTCAGACTGTTTGTTCTAGAGTTGTTTCACTCAACTACACAAATATTGATTTCCCTAAATTCTAGTTATTTTTTGAATCTTGCTTTAAAAACTACTACAATCTTAAATAAAAATTGATGTAATGATTTAATTTTATAGACTAACAATACTTTAGAATTATTGGCAGATCAATAAAGTCAAATCTATTAATTATATAATAAAATATTTAGTATAATTTATAATCTATATAAAATCTGTATCATTAATATAAATTAAATTTATTAAATTACATTAGAATTTAATATTTATCTATAAAGAAAAATTTTTGTTTGTAAACCAAGCAAAAATATTAAGATAAGTATAAAAAATTATTATTTTATTAAATTAATTGTTCTATTAATTTATAATCAATGATTTTATCGTAATCACAAATAATGCTTATGAAATAAACCAACAAGTAAATAAATAACAATTAAAAAAACGATTGGTTAAAATAAGGAAATGGTCATATCCATATCAAATAGTATTTTTAAAATTGTTATTAAATCTATTTTTCTGTAACTAGTAATTGTAATTTTAAGACAAAATTAGAAACTAATAAAAAAAAAATAAATGTAAAAGAAATTATTTAATTAAAATAGAAGAATAAAATCATGATTTAAGCTTAAGAAAAGAATCTGTCTATACTTTTAATTGTTTGCATAAAAGTATTTTTTAATTTTAAATTAATCTTATAAATTTTATTTAATGATATAAATTATTGCTATTTTTATATAAAATATTTTATATATTTTTTACATTTAATAATGAATTTAATATTGTTATTTGCACTATATTTTTCTGTAGTTAAGAATTATATGCTTAAATTAAATAAAAAAATTAATTAATTAATTAATTTACAATTCTTATGTTATTTTATTTTAATGTGTTTATTTGTTAATTTTAATTTTAAATAGATATTTTTAATTTTAATTCTATTTTATAGAAATTAAAAAATAATTTATAAATCTAATGATAATTAATTTTATGTTCTTTTTCCTTTTTTTATTTTATTTAATTAATTTATATATAAATAAATTATGAAATCTATCGTTTTATTAATAATTTATTTTTAAATTCATTGTTTATTTATGATTGAAAAAAATTAAAATTATTAATATTATTAATTAAATTCTATTATAAAATTATTTATCTTTATATAAATAATATTCAAAGGCATCAACCATTCAAAAAAATAGTGATCTCAATTCACCAAATTTTTGAATGGCATTTTGCTATATTAAAAAAAGTATTTTATTTTTTTTGAAAATTTCCAGTTTGCTTCTGTATTGATTTGCAACTTCTGTATTTAAAAATTTGTAAATAAATATTATTAATAACAATAATATATTATTATTATTTATTTGCTTAAAAAAATACTGTTAAGAAAGTAAGGATGGATACTTCTCACCATATGAATTATATATTAGTCTAAGAAAAAGAACTCTTGGATAAATGTAATAATTGGTTTTAGGAATACAATGTAAGATATAAATATTCAGATTAATAAGTTAAATTTTCATCTTTGCTCTAACTCGAAATTTTTGTTCTATCAACAAAAAATAGCTTCAAATAATAAAAATTTTACTTAGCATAAAATGCATCAATTTTGGTAATTAATTTTAGGAGGCTTACTCTCTTACTTTTCTAATCAAACAAAATCTCCTAGAAAACGTGTTTATAAAATGATTAGTTATTCTTTATTTAGTTTATCTGTGTTTTCTGTAGTTTTATTCAGTTATTTATCATAAAAACCTCTTGCACTACTGAACTACAAAAATATTGATTAACCTAGATTCAGCTTATTTTTTGAATCTTGCTTTCAAAACTTTTACAATCTAAAAAAAGTATTGACTGAATGATTCAATTTTATTTACAAGCAATACTTTTGAATAATTAGCAGATCAATAAAGCCAATTCTATTAATTAAAAAATAAAATATTTAGTATTATTTACAATCTATATAAGATCTTTATTATTTATATAAATAAAATTAATTAAACTATTAATTCTTTATCAATAAAGAAATATTTATTTTTGTTAAATCAAGCAAAAATATTAAAATAGGTATAAAAATTATTATTTTAATTAATAATCAGTGCTTTTATCATAATCACAGACATCATTTTTGAAATAAACAAATAAATAAATAACAATTAAAAAACGATTAGTTAAAAATAAGGAAATGATCAAACTAAATCAAACAATATTTTAAAAATACTTCTTTACCTTATTTTTTTGAAACTAGTGTTTGTAATTTAAAGAGAAAATTAGAAAATAATAAAAATATTAATTAAATCTAAAAGAATTTATTTATTAAAAGAAAAAAAATCAAAATCATGAGTTAAGTGTAAGAAAAGATTCTTCCTATATTTTTAATCGTTTGCATAAAAGTATTTTAAAAGTTTAGAAAAATTTATAAAATTATATTTATTTATATAATAATCATACACATTTTATTTTACTGAAATAAATTATTACTATTTTTAATCAAATATTTTATTTTTTACATTTAAAAATAAAATTAATTAATACTAATCGACTTGTTTTTATTCATTGATCAATAAAGGTATTTTTAATTGCTTTGTGGAAATATTGTATCCAAAATAACTTATTATTTACCTTATATTCTAAAATATTAACACTCAATTTAATTTACACTCACTTTTTTAAAGTTGAAAATTTCCTAACAAATTTTGAGAAAATTTCTTTTTCAGTGAGTGTAAGTAAATATGTAAGACACTACTATGTAGTATTTAATTCTATGAATAATAACATTTATTCAAAAAATATATTTACTTTTAGCAATAATTAAAATATTTTGATTATGATAAAGAATATTTTATATAAAATGATTTTAATCATTATTTTTTTTAAATTCTTCTTACTTCATATAAATAAATTATAAAATTGCAGCTAAACAATCCTTTTTTGAGGTTATAATTAAATTTTAAATGCAATTCTTAGATTTGTAATATCTATGGCTATTTTTTTAAATTATAATTGGGTGCTTATAACAAAATAGCAACAAATCCAAATATAATTAAAAATAAATAATTATTTAATCGATTTACAATTTTTATTATGTTTTATTTTTTAAGAATAAAAGAATTAAAAAATATTATGCTTAATTGTCCTCTTTTTCTTTTGAATGATATAAAAAAATTAGCTTAATTTATACATGTTAATTCAATCAATATTTTAAATTAAAAATCTACTAAAAAATAATAATAAAAATATTTGTTTACTTTAACTAAAGTTGGGATTACTCTTTTGAGATAAAAAATAAGTATTTAAATGATATGTTTGAATCATAAAATTAATCTATCATTTTATCAATTAAGTAAATTATTAATAATTTTTATTTGAAATGAAAATGATTGAGTAGAACAATCTTTATTATTAACTAAAATAATCTTAGATGTTTAATTTAGTGATATTTTAATAAATTACTTTTAAAGAAAAAAAATATTATTAAAAAATTAAAATAGCATGATTCAAATTGCATAATTCCAAAATATACTTAATTTATTAATTAATTTACTTTTTATTACTTAATAACTTGTTAACTCAAACAACTTCTTTCTTTGGTTATACACATTCATAAATGTATTCCAAAATTTGATTGATTGAAATAATTCAAAAGATAATTGCATGGATAAGTTATTAATATTTCCTCTAATACATTCTTAATTTTTATACTTTTCTATTAAGAATTGTAAAAAGCTTCAAATGATATATGTATATTGAATTTTTGTAATAGAATAATTAAACCAATAATAATTATAAGCTTTTAAGAGCTGAATTACTTTTGAAAGAGAGAACATATTTATTATATTTATTGATTACAATTTTTTTATTAGAATAGAAAAATACACATTACATTACAATAAAATACACCCAATTACTTAATTTGATTATTAAGAATATTTGGCTTGAGTTTACTACGATTTTATATATTTAAACGTTAGAGATACTTTAAAATTATTCCGAAATATTCATTTCAGTAATATAAACTATTTTAATATTATTTTTTTTAAAATGTTAAGATATTCATTGTATTTTAGTGTTTTATATTATAATCTGCCTGTAGAATAACATCATTTGTTACTTTTTTGTTTTATCTTAGTCAATATAATTTAAATTTTACATATCAAACAGATAAATATTTCTTAAATAATTAACAAATAAATTGGTATTAAATACATTTCTAAAATTTAATTCTACTTAGTAAATAATTTAAAAATTAAGATCAAACAAATAAATAAAATATAAATGGAATTAAGTAAATAACTGAATAACCTCTCTTTGTAGAAATAATAATAATAAGATGAAGAATGCATCTACAATATTATTGTGAATGTTCATGTATTTCAGGCTTAGCAAATGCTAACAACTTAGTTAAAAATATCTATAAGTTTAAGTAAGATTATAGAAGTAGGAGCATTTATGGTGGTAGAATTTCCTAGAATAAAAATCTGTCTAACTTTGCTGTAGAGACTGGAGGAGAAGAAATTTACCTTAGGAAAATCGCTTACTTCTAGTTAGCAAAAGATATAGGAGCATATATCATATCTGAGATAAGTCACTATATTTATTTTGCAGAGCATCCTGAAATAAAAATTTATGCATTTTTGTATTTTAGTAAAGATTTAAAATATATATATATATTTATTAATATGTTTAATTGTATTTGGCTAGCTTATGTATTTATTAGTATATGGTAGGTTTTATTATTATATATTTATTTTTTTATTAAGTTTTGATTAATGATAACAAAGTAAATAAATAAATAATTGATTTAGTTATTAATATCAATACAAAGTATAAGAAAGTAGAAATTAATATTTAATCAAAAACGATTGAAGTAAATTCCCAGAGAAAGTTTTTTAATACCTTTAATTGCTTTGATACTATAAAGAACTCTATTATTAGATTTAGAGTATGAGTGATCATCTACATAAAGGTGCTCTTGAATAGATTGCATAAATATTTAGAAAATGATTTTCTTTAATATATTTACTTTTATAATTTCAATATCTAAATAATTATTCAAATCAACATTAAAGCAAAGTTTATGTAGAAATACATCTCTGGGGGATTTCCTTATTATCGAAATATTAGATTCATTGATTTTTAAAAATAGAACGTTGTAGTGTACATGGGAGAAGCTTTCTACAGTGTATGTCTCTGTTTAGGATGGATTTTCAGAACAAGGACGAATTTTACCTGAGAGTTTTAGACGTTTTAAAAATGATATTAGTTCTACTCTAAGATGTTGTGGGATATTGAAGTTTTCTAAGTTTTCATTTTGCAACATTGCCATAATATTATAGATAAATAACTTGTTCAGATTATGAAAGCGGGAATAAATAGTTTTTTTATTTTTATTCTTTTATGTTTAAGCTATATTGTTATTTAAATTAGCTTCATCTTGCTCAACATCCATTTTATTATATTGAAAAACATCAGATTAAATATGGGTGTCATTGATTAAGTTGTTTGGAGGATGAGAATGGATACTGGTTGAGGTATTTCTGCGCTCAGGAAAATCACGCATAATAGAAAAATTATAAAGATTAAGCATTTTGTGATCACTAGGATGAAAAATCATCTTTCTCTTAATGTTTTCTTAAAAATCTAGAAGCTTTGCAGTGCTATCATTTGATGGCTAATTTAAATGTGAGTTGACGTATAAATTTTAATTACTAGCTTTTTAAATAAAACTAGTTTTATTATTTAATTTAACTTGGCTATTAAAATCAAATTCACTTTTTGTTAATTAATTCTTTTTTAGGCTAGTCTAATGTTCATTTGAGGGTGATGTGATTTTTTGTTATTATTATTAATCGTTTTAAGCCTGAAAATTTTTTACACTTTAACTCTACAGTTAATTTAATTAGTTAGCTGATTAATTTTTTACACTGTTGCTGTTAGATTAGTTGGTTTCATTTTAATTTGAGCATTCAGATCCTAAAAAAAATGGTTATTTTAAGATTTATTAAAATACTTTGTGTGTTTCACTTTACTGAGTAACATAGATGCATTTACTCAAAATCTCTTTCTAAGAAAATTTTTTAGCGTTGAATTAAATATCATTTAAGACAGTTTCAATAGAATTTTGTTAACTTACAAAGCATTTTATTTAATCAACAACTTGGAGGAAATCGCTATTTGTACTATTTGCAGAATCAATAGATTGATTGTCAATAATTTCATTTGAAAAAGTTTCTTATTAAAAAGAATTATCACTATTTAAATTATTTTGAATTAATTAATCAATTGCAGCAATCCTATTGGTTTCTATCTTTAAAGATTACAATATATATTTTTTTAATTAATTTTCTTCTTATTTGGATGTAATAGATTTTTCCTTATTGTTGTTTTGAAATTGACTTTATTTTATTAATTATTTAGAAAGCTAAGGTTTTTAGTTATCTTCTAATTTAATCTTTTTGCTATTCTTTATTTTTTTAAATTAATTTGTGGCAATATTACTATTTTCAAAGCATTCTATTTTTATTGTATCGTTGCTATTCCTATGATGTTTTAAATGTTCAGAAATTTAGTTTTCTTAGCCTTTTTAAGTCTTTTAAGAAGATGTTGACTGCATTTCATTGAAATACGTTTTTATAGGTTCTGCAGAGTAAGATGGCTGCTTGGGAGGATCAGGATGTTAAAATTCAATTTATTAGTAGCTATTATTTTTTTCATCTCTTTTTGTTAGCAATTAATTATTGAATATTATTTCAACAGGTTGGTATTAACCTGATGATATGCTTCTCATACCTGCCATCCTGTAATCCTCCGAAAACACACTCCCATCGCTAGAGTTACTTTGATTGGTATGAATAGTTTAGCCATTATTTGCTTTTACTTATGATAAAAGTGCATTAGACTCATTACCTATATCTTATGAAGCAATCTTTTTTTAACCTTTATTAACAATACTACTTATTTAATATTATTCAAAATGCTCTTCTTTAATTTTATTTTTTTTTTAGGAGATTGAAGGTAAAAAATTGTCTTTATCTACGGTAGTCTCATATTATTGGAGAGGGCTGAAATCCATTTGGGTTCTATTTTAAGGAACTCCTTATGATTCAGCACTTTACTCTTTAGAATTGTACATATATTGTTAGTCTATTTATTAATGAACCAAAGGATAATTATTCACTGGAATGCTTTAATTTTCAATGAAGTATAATCCTTAAACCGGATTATCATATCTATAGTAACAGATAGGTAAAATACAAGGGGAATAAGGATATTAGAATGTATTATTGAACATGAGACTAAGAATTAAAGTGTTATTATTCTTAAAAAGCTGAATTCGATATTCTTTACTTACTAAATTAACTAATGTATTGCAAGTAAACAAGCTCTTGGTATCTTAAATAATAAATTGCTTTCAAGCTAACGAATTAATATTTAATTAATAACTTCAAGTGTTTTTGCAATTTTTTTTTTATTTTTGTAAAGCTTTTTTATGATAATTTTTTATATTTTTGTTTTTTCTGATATCAATTAAATATAAAGCTTTGAACATTATTCAAACGAAATAACATTTATTAAATTTGATTACACTATTAAAAATTTAATATTTAGTAATTGATTGCGCCTATCAAAATAAACAAAAGTGGTAACAAATATGGTAATTTATATGAATTTACAGATATTTTAATTTATAAGTAACATTCTATCAAAATTCAATAAATTCAATATTTTAAGGCATTTAAATTGAGATAAATCTATTAAAATATTTTTGAATTGCTCATAATTAAAAAGAAATATAAAATAATTTAATAAATTATTTCTAACTAATATAGAGAAAATTTAATTGTTTAACACAATAATTTGCACAAAATATTTGAATTCACTTCTTTTTATCACAAAAATAAATTGTTTTTTACTAAAATTCAAAAAAAAACCTTATATTTTCATACATAAAAAAAATAGAATAACAGTAATAAAAAATTATTTATTTAATTATATATTCATTTCAGGATTATTAATAATTATGCTAATTTGTAATTAAGAATAATGATATAAATGCAATAATTAAGTGAAGTTAAAGACCTATCTTGAATTTAAACATGAATAATGTATATTAAATTAAATTCAATACATTTGGTAAAAAATATTTTTAGGTATTTTGATTCAAATAAAATAATTATTGCAATTTTATAATATTGTTTTTAAATATTGCTTTCATCATGTACCAGTTTTATCAGCCTGTGAATGTAAACTGTTTTGAATAGATAGGCAGCGTAATAATTTACATTTTCATTTATTTAAAAATTTTAATATTTTACTGAGATAAAAGTAATAACGAGATGGGTTTTTTTTATCAAGTTTTATAAAATAGTTATGAAACAAAAATTATAGTAAAAAAATGTTTAAACGTATGTTTCCTTGAAAATAGCAGAAGCTTTTTAACAAATAGAAATATCAAATGAGTATTTTTATTACTTTTTTATTGGCTACTTCATTAGTTTACTATTCTTTGATAATTAATATGCAGCCCTTTAAATTATGAACCGATTTTTAAAATTTTAATCGAGTAAGTTTTCTACAAAGAAAAAAGGTTAGCTTTATAGATTTTTTAAGAGTAATTTAGACCTAATTTTATCTCTTATTTTTCCTTCAATTCTTAATTTGTGCTACTCTTCTACTTTTATGAGTTTATTTGCATTTTACTCTTTGTTTGTTTTATTGAGCTTGCTTTATTTTTATTGAATGATTAAATATATCTTGATTTTATATTCTTACTAAAATACTAAAAATACACTTTTAAATATTTTTTTAAATAATTTAAAATATTAAGAATTATAGATATTAAAAATAATATATTTTTTTTGTAATATCTTTTAAAATTATTAATTATAGCTCCTCAATAGCGAAATAAAAAATGTATTAATAAATATTAAATATTAAAGCTTCTCTTCTATAGATAAACAAATATAAAGAGCATATTTCAAAAAAGCTATTTTTAATTAAATAAAAAAGGAAAACAGAAGTTTATTAAAACAATTTTGCTAAAGGAATTACTAAAGTAGAAAATAATTTATATATTATTTAGGATAAATCCATTTTATTGGAGTAGAATGGTCTTCAATTTTTGTTCTAGAAATCATAATTTTATACTTTGAATGTTAAAATTTTACATTACCATTGATATTTAAGCCTATATATAATGGTTTATTTTATTAAATAAAATTATTATGTTCAAAAAGGCATAAAAAATTATGCTGAAAAATATAAATATTTAGGTAGTAATATCTATTTTATTAGGAAATAAAATAACAGTAACTATTTAAAGCTTTTTCCTAGTGATATTTTTATTTATTTCATATAATTTTAGTAGTTTTGAACAAAAAATAAAAAATTTGATACCTTTTATATAAAGGAATTTCGTTAGCACTAAAAAAAGGGAACTAGATGAGTGAGATTCAAAATAAATTTACTTCTATATTAATTTTTGTTTTTTTATCTTAAAAAACTGACATCTTCAGAGTTATAAGTTTACCCTTGAGGTAAATTACATAAATTTCAGTATAATGTTACGGGTAGATGACTAATTATTAGAAATTTAAAATTTAATATTACAGATGCTAACATTAAAAGAAAAACAGTTTACACATACCCAAAAAAAAGACTTTCTATTAGATCAATTTGATTAAAATTTGAAAAATTCAAATAGTAAAATCAATATTTTATCTTAAAATTTATAAAAATACATATCATTTATGGAGTTGCGTATCTCATTTAACATAAAATAATTTTAAAAGTTTTGGCACTAACACTTATTAGCGTTAAATCAATTAACTAGTTTGACCATTTTACTTTTAAAAAAATCTGATTCTGAAAAAAAAGATTACAAAATAAAAAATATCAATTTTTTTGCTTTATTTTAAATTGATTGGATAGTTTTCAAAAAATGCAAAAAAATTGTTTATTTTTAAATGTTTAATAATATTTTATTTCTGTAAAAAGCTATTTATTTATTTAGTTTTTTTAAATAAATATTGCTCACTTAAAATTAATATTTTTAACATTAATTTTTTAAATTTTGTAAAATAGATATTAATTATCAATAAATAAAATTTATTAATAATCTTAGATAAAAAAACTTAATTTTTAAAAAGAATCTATCTACCTTTATTTTCTATCTCTTATTTGGTTAATAAATGTTATAAGAAAGCAAAGAGCTTATTTATTTAATTAATAATATTTTTATTTTCTTTTTGAGCAAGCTGTATTTTAGTTTTTAGATCTTATAATTCACTGAAATTACATTTTTTTTTATAAAAGATGATTTTTTATAACTATTTTTTGATGTTAATTTTTATCATTAAACCATAAGTATAAAATATATGAAATTCAAATAATTATTCTATAACTTAAATAAATAAACATAGTATTAATTTTATATTGTTTATTTTACAGTTTAAAATAATCAGTTCATCATCTTTTAATTATTAGGAATAATAAATATGTTATTAATTTACTAAAATATAGCCAAATTAAGGGTCTAAAATATACAGAAGTATTCAAATTAATTTAAAAATTTTAATCATAATTTTGAATTATTATCAATATTTAATTTTTTGATAAAAATTATGATAGATAACTCTTGCAAAATAATTTTGATAAGAAATTAATTACTAAAATCTAAACTAATTAAGTATTAGATTATTTTAATCAAAAACAAAATTTCTAACAAATTTTTCATTTAAAATAGCTTTTTTATATATAATAACAAGGTTTCATTTCTTTTTTATTTTAACAATAATTATTTTAATTTAGAGACAAAAGTATTTATAATGCTCCATTTTAGTAAATTATTATTAATGGTTTTTATAAATGAATTTAATAATTAAAAGAATAATGAAACCAATTAATTATTAATTAATTAGGATTAATTAAATTCTTTATATAATTATTCATTTAATTGAATTATCAAAACATTATTTGATCGCACTTGAATTCTCGTAAAAATAATAATAATAATAAATTTTTATGTTTAGTAAAAACAAATAAATTATTTAAAAAGAATAAAGCAAATTAAATAATAAAGATATAAAGATAATTATAAAAACCAATAATTATAAAATAATTTTCGATAAATTAAATTCTGCAAAAAATAAATAAGTGTTTGAATAGAAAAATTATAAAAAACAAAATATTTCTTCTTATTAATCATAAATTAAAAATAATTACAAAAAAAAATAGGAATCATAAAAATTCTTTTTTCAAATAAATAAATATTTTATTTTATACTGCTAATTTATACAAAAAATAAAAATCATTATAGTTTTGAATGTATTTCAATTTGCTGAATTCAAAGAACTGCATCATTTTTTGTCTTTAAAAATAGAAATAAAATAATTTATTCAATATAGACAATATTTCATAGATAAGGAACCTTTTACATTTTCTATTAAGTAAAGGTGTATCTTGAAATATTGATTGATACTCTAAAATCATATAATTTTGATTATTAGAGAAGTAATTTAGCTATGAGTATTTACATTTCTTTATTGAGTGTAATCAAGAAAGAAGAAAGTTGATTTAATAATTAATTATTTATGTGGTTACTAAATAACAGATAAAAAAGAAGATATTTAAATTTAAGGAAAACAATAGACTATATAATATCACCATATATTTAATTTATATAAATTACAATACTCTTTAATCTTATAGTAAAAGAATAACTAATAAGAAATTGAATGATTACAAATATTTATTATTTTATAAATATAATTAAAATATCAATTACAAAAATTAAAAGTATAGATAGATAGATAGATTGATCTACAAAATTAAATATTTTGCTGAAACTTGATAAATAAACTATAAAAGTTGGCATTTATATATAATAGATACATACAATTAATTAATAGATAAATTATAGCATAATTCAGTCTAAATTTTAGGATCGCCCAACAATTGAACATGTAAGAAGACTTGTTTGATAAAAAAGACTTTAAAAAGTTCCAAAATAGATTCTCTGTGCTTCCAATTAATACAAAACCTTAGTCATTTATAGATGTGGTCAATTAAGCTGTCCCATTTTATAAGTAAATTGATGAGTTATTAAAAAGAGATGTCGACTTTTCGAATAAAAAAGATGTCGAAGTAAAATTATTTTTTTTGAGACAACTATGCATAAATTTGATTTTTTAAAAAATATATTTTATAATACCAATTTTATCATCAAACTAGATTATTACACGCCTTCTAACTTCTTCAGAGCATTCTAAGAAAGATTTGCAAGTTTTAAAGAAAGCTTTTGGTGAACTAAAATTCTTCAAGGAAACATAACAGAATCTTCCAGCAAACGACTATACTGCTTTGATTAATGAATTAAAATGCGAAAAATTTGATTAATTTGAGACAGTTTTTAGCTATGGTACAAATAAAATTAACATACATTTTCAATACTTCATTTTAATCCAAAATATTTCTTAATTATGTTTATATTATTCTAAGGCAAAAAAATTTATTCCTTCAAGCAATTTTAATGAATTTTTTGCTAATAATAGATGACTTTGGTTACAAGTACTATATCATACTTAAAGGTTCAGTATATGTTTTAATACCGAATCCAGAAATGCTTAAAAATTAAAAGCAATAGCAAAACCAAGCAGATAAAAAACAACAGTAAATAAACGATAGCACTTAGCAGATACCTATAAAAAACGGTGAAAAGCAACAAAGCAGCAGAAAGGCATCAATAGCTACAAGAAAACCTTCTTTAAATTTGACAGTGTAAATTGAGTCTAGTGAACCCTCTACACCTAGTCCTATAAAAAAACAATCATTTGATAGAAGAAAATCTATTATGAAATAATAAACATCGCAATTTTAGTAAATTGCTTAATAGTAATAGCAATAGCAACTATAAATAGAAGAAGATATAAAAATAAAAAAAAAAAACTCAATACAAGTTATTTAAGATTTTTTTGATATAGATGAAGAAAATTAAAATTAAAATGAGGAAAACGGATTAACAATTTAGCAACTTGGTGCTCTTTCTTTATTGAAATCTAAATCGCTCTCTCCTGTCAAATTAAACAGAAGAACTACTTTAGGTTAACCCAGTAAAATTATTTTTTTTATATTTAAATCTGCTAATTTATGAAATTGTAATTTTATTTTGCTAAAATCTAATGTACATATAAAAACTAGATTTAGTTTCTGGCATCAAGAAACTGTAAATGCTTTTGAAAAAAGGAAGTGCTATTGAAGAAGAAGAAACCGAACCTATATAAGATCCTCAATTAACTGAATAATAAATATAAAATACAGTGCTGCAGTAAAATTTTGGGTTTGACATTATTAAGACCCTTAAAGTAGGTGATGCATTTGGTGAAATTGCATTAATGAACAACGCTAGAAGAACAGCAAGTATTATTTGTAAGGAGGAGACGATCATGGTTACTCTAAGTAAATAATCATATGATAAAATTTTATCAAACTATCACCAAAAAAAATTTATGGAAAGCGTAAATTTTTTGAAAGAATTTTCATTTTTTGCTAATTGGCAGAATAGTAAAATCAATGGTCTATATCAAAACATGGAAAAGCGAGCAGCGTAATATAAAGAAATAATTTATAAAGGTAAATACTTAAGTAAAAAACTATTACTAAATTAATTTATTTTAATTTATTAAAAAACAGAGGGTGACAATGCAGATTTTGTTTATTTCATCAAAGAAGGAGAATTTGAGGTACTTAGCTTACATTAAAAATTAAAATTTATTTCTATGAAATGTTTCTAATCATTTAATTCTAATAATGAATTAATTAATTAATTAATTAATTAATTAATAATAGGTTACAAAAACATTAAAAATTGAGTAGTCTGACTCATCTGCTCATGACCAATTCAACTCTTTACTGAAATAAGGTAAAAATGCAGAAAATAGAAAGGCTAAGATTTCTGTGCTTGGAATCGGCTCTTCTTTTGGTGAAGAGGAAATTGTGATGGGAACAAAGAGAGCTTGCAGTGTTTAATGTATATCGTCCACAGCAGAATTATACATACTTCATAAATCAGTAAATTTATTTCATGTTTTCATATTTAATTCTTTTTTGAAATAAAATAAGAAATTCATCCAGCACATCAAATATGACAAACAAAACATGTAATTTTTTTTTATTACTTTTCAGTATTTTTAATTATTAATTAAGATAATTTAAATTATTGATGAACTTAACTTAATATTTGTCAAGTAATTATGATATTTATTTATGAAATATAGATAAAAATTGAAGATTGATATACAGAATAGAGTATAATGGAGAGAAAATTTATAAGACAAATTGATAGAAACAGATAAAATATTTAAAGAAAATAAGTAGCAAATTTATCCAGAACCTATAAATATCAAGGATTTCAAATTAAGATAATCTGAACAGGTGCTTGATGAGGATGAATCAGAAGAAGAAGTTAATATTACAGCAACCAGTCCCCTTCATAAAAAAAGATAATTCTTGATACCTAACTAGCAAACAAATGGAGGTTTATCTCCTATTAGTCCTAATGAAAACAAAAAGTTAAGCATTTTTATGAAAGGTAATCCCTAAATATTTCATTAGCATCCAATAGAAAAAATAATAACACTTAAAGAGGAAAATGCTCGAACCTTAAGGAACACACTTAAATCTTTTTCAAATTTAAATAGTCCTATAAAAACTAGTTCAAATGAACTAGATGCTAAAAAGTGTAATAGTCATGTACCCTTAATTAAATTCAAAAGCACAATATAAAATATAAAGTAAGCTTCTTCCTAAACTGCAGATAACTCACCTTAGATAGGAAATTCTTGCCAATCACAATAATTGCTTAATTCACACGGCTAAAGAGTTTCACAAAATGGTCATTTTATTTCATCCTTAACAGATGTTGAGCTTGATTTTACGAAATTAACGATGAATTAAACAAGAAGTCCACACATAAAGAACTTGATCGATCCTTTTTATGAGCCTTAGAGTAAATAATCAAATAGAAATCTAAAATAAGATATCACTTTAGATAAATTCTCTCCTAAGAAAGGATATACAAACACAAAATTTATTAATAGTAGCAGCTTACAGATCCCCTTTTTTAATGAAAAAATAACATAATCAATCCTAGAAACAGAATAAGAAGAAGAGTAAAATCAAACGAATGCTAAATAAAATGAGAGATTAATAAAACTGCCAAAGGATTTTTAAAATCTTTTAAAATATACAACATAGATGTCTAACGTGAAAGATAAGTAATCTTTGTACAATATAAATAATTTTTAATTTGCTAAATCTCAGAGATAAAGTGAGTTGGATAGCAATTCTTAAAATATGATTAGAGTTAATTCTCTCTAATACTCAGGTACTTTATCAAGTGCTACAACTCAAGATCCTTAAATTAGTACATATTAATCTCCTCGAAATTCTGAAAACTACAGTCTTCAGCCTCCTGTTTCAGGAAATAGAGGCAGCTTTAATCATAATTCCTTTTTGTATAACAGTAGCAACAATTTTAATAATTATCCAACAATCACAGCAATCAGTTTTACAAATTTAAACTAAGCTACATAACATAATTAAAAGCTTTAGTAAAGCATAATTGAACCAAATAAGTCTTTTTATAAAGATTAGTAAGAACTAAGTCCAAGTATATCTCCAAAAAATAATAAAAGATTTAGATCTCTTTAACCTCTCAATTTTACAAAATAGCTAACCCTTAACAAGCATCTTAAATAGATTGATTAAGTGCCATAGTAATCTATAAATAATAACAATACATCATGTTTATCAATAGAAAAAACCATTAATTATTCATTTAATACTATAACTATATCCCCTTAATCAAATAAAATAAGGAAAAATTTAAGTTAAATAGTCCTACAAACACCTACAAATAATTCACAGACCTCTACTTTTTCATCTTACATTTCTAAAGAAAACAAAACAAAACTTATTGCATAAAAATCACAATTCAATTAAATTTAAGGAAGTCTATTTAAAAACTTCTAAATAAAGAATAATGATAAGTCATTTAGATAAAATATCGAAACTATGACTCCTATTATATTAAGTTCATAGGAAAGTATAAGGTAAAAGTCATAAAAATAAAAATAAAACTAAGAACTTTAAAAAATATCTCTAACCTAATCGTTAAGAGTAAGTATTGCTCCATAAAATTGAAATACAATTTACAAATATCTATGAAAAATAATTTTATTTTTCAATCTCAAAATTAAATGAGTAAACAATAATTAAAAAATTAAATAATTATAAATGTAAATATATAACTTTTCTCTTTGTTTGTAAAAATTTTAATTTAAATTTAATAAAATAAAAGATTTTAAATTTTACAATTCTTATAATGTATTCAGATGTTTTAGTATTATAGTCTTTACATACTACCAATACTTAAAATGAAAATACGAAAAAAATATCAATGTAATTCAAAAAATGTTAATAAATAAGCAATATTCATTAAATTTTATTTATAGTTTTATTTATTTAATGTTTTCTTATGTTTTTCCTAAGAGGTTGATAAAATTTAATTAAATCATTTTTATAACTTAAATAATTTATTTAATTTTGATTGGAAAAGGTCTTTCAAATGTTTATAAAAATTTAAAAATATTTGTTGAAATTACTTTAAATTTTAAATTAATAAAAATCTCAGATTAGATTAAATTAGATATTGCTTGAGCTAAAAAATTATTTAAGCTCAATTATTATTCAATAATATCACATGATCATTTATTTATAATTTATTTTTTTAGAAAATACTTAATTAATTTATTTTAGAATTGTATTTTTTGTTTTCATTTTAGAATTAATTTCTTTTATAGGATTTTTTTTGTGGTAATGTTGAAAAACTTTATTCTTATTTTTTAAATTTTTCTTTATTTGAGACTATTAGGATGATTGAGTTAATGCTTAACCTCTAAAGAAATCAAAGATACTTTCGAATTATCTATAATAGCTATACTTTAAAATAAACTAATAAATAGTAAAAATTAATAATTTAGAAAGGAAAATGAAATAATTTTTAATTCTCACTTTCATTTTATTGTAGATAGCATCATCTATTGGGTTTGGTATTTAATAACCTATTTTGCCTGATAGTTCACTCTTTGTTAAATCTAAATCAAAATAAGGATATTATAATTTAAGAAAAAACCAATAGCTAAGTTTAGATTTGCCATTTTTGGTTTCGTCTTATAAGCAAAACAACTATTTCTATGTTGTTGAGAAAGTTTTACAAAATAAATAAAATTATGTGGAGATGATAATCAAGTTAAATAAACAGATTGACATAGTTTATACTGAAAATAAAATTTACTAATAGTTAAAAGTAGTTGTTGACTGTAATAGTTGGGATGAGCTATCTTTTCGCATAACTGATATTGATGAGAAGAGGTTTGAATTACCTCACAGAGAACCTTTTCCTTATACAAAGAATAAAAGTTGGAGCTTGAAAAAATAAAGATATGAATTTTAATTACCTTCGGTTGGAGAAAAATTCTATTTCCGCTTAGTTCGCAAAGTAACAAAAGAAATCATATTTGATACATCTGATTTTGATTTAGTTTTTACAGATAAGTATTTAGAAATTTCAACCGCTCTTAATCAAGAAAAAATATATGGATTAGGCGACAGACGCTATATTTCCTATGAATTAGGAACTGGTAAATTCTCTTTTTGGGCAGCTGATGCTACTAGAATAGATACTGGATAATTGAACCAGCAATTATATGGTCACCACCCTATGTACTTGCATAGAGAATCTAAGAGCGCTAATTTCAATGTAATATTCTTGAGGAATTCTTATGGAATGGAGGTAGATTATAATAAGAACAAAAAATTAACTTATAAAGTGATTGGAGGAATCTTTGATTTTAGATTTTTCATTGGAGACAAATACCCTGAAACTTCAATAAAGCTTTATCATGATTACGTTAATGGATACATATTACATCCATTTTGGGTTTAAGGTAATTTCTATTAATTAAAAAAATCAACAAATAAATACGTTTTTAAAAAAATCAAAATTTAGAAAATCATCACAAATTTTTTTTGTTTAAGCAGAAAATAAATAAATAAATATCATTCATTCGTTTTTTATTGATTACATTATTTTAATTTCAATTTCAAATTAAACTTTTTTTTAAAGGTTATCATCAATCAAGATGGGGATATAACACTACTGATAAGCTACTAAATGTTTGGAGAACTTTTAATAATCTTAACATTCCTGTTGATTCTATTTGGAGTGATATTGATTATATGAACAACTACGAAGACTTCACATTTAACACAGAAAAATTTAACCTCGAAAGTTTAAAGAAGATATTTGATTTGTAATATTTATTCTTTAAATTCAATTATTTTTAATAGAGTTAATTATTCTATTCATTTCAAAAAAGGTCTAAACCAGAAGGAGTGCATTGGTCCAGTATTATTGATGTTGGAATAGCCTAAAATTCTGAATATGGAAAAAATGGAATTCAAAAAAATGTTTACATAAAAAGTAATATCACTGGGGAGCCATTAGTTGGATGGGTGTGGCCAGGAGCAACATATTTCCCAGACTTTAACAATCCAAATGCTACTTAGTTCTGGTATGATGGATTTGTTAAGCTATAATAATACGGAATTGCTTAGGATGGTATTTGGATAGATATGAATGAGTTTTCTAATTTTGTTAATGGAGAAATAAATTAAAGTGGTTCTCAAACTCCTGATAAGCCTGTATCATATCCCTTTGATCCCCTTGGTATTTTTATTTATTTATCTATCTATTTATTTTTCTTAAATTTAATTTTGTCTTTTTTATATACTTAAAAAGGTGAGGAAACTCCTTTATAAACAAATACACTCAGCTTAAATGCTACCCATTATAATGGTTAAGATGCTGCTCTCTTCCACATTGCTAACTATACCTTGACTGAATATGACATGCACAATATTAATGGATTTTCTGAAGGTTATACCACATATTAAGTTGCCAAGAAGATGGGCAAAAAACTTACTTTCATTCTTTCTCGCTCTACCTTGTTTGGAAGTGGAAGGTATTAATAAATTCTTTTAAAATATTTTCTCTACAATCATTAATTTTTTTTTTTCAGATATGTTTAACATTGGACGGGAGATAATATGTCAACATGGGAATATATGAAGTTATCTATTGCTCATATTTTCACATTCTAAATGTTTAGCATTCCTTTAGTTGGTGATGATATTTGTGGTTTCAATGGTGATACTAACCCTGAATTGTGTGCCAGATGGTTCTAATTAGGTAGTTTGTATCCCTTTGCTCGTAATCATAACAGTATCAATAATATTGACTAAGAACCTTATGCTTTTCCCAAATACCACTTCGTACTTAGCTCAGCTAAGAAAATGATAGGCGTTAGGTAATTCTTAAAATTATTCTTATGTAAAGACTATATTTTAATTAAAAAATAATTTAAATTTAGATACCAGTTGTTGAAGTTTTACTATCATCTTTTTGTCAGAGGTTAAGGAAAAGGAACAGTTTTCAGACCTCTATTTTTCGAATTTCCAGAAGACTAAAATGCCTACAGTATAGAAGGTTAATTCATGCTTGGTGAGTATTTAATGGCTGCACCTGTTTTAAAATAAGGTAATAACCAAACTAACATGACATAACACTAAATATACTTCCCTCAGAATACTGTATTCTACAATTTTTATAACTATAAAAATTAAACTCCTGGAAATTAAGTTTTCAATATTCCATATGATGATTATACACCACTTTTTATCAAGGCAGGAAAAATAGTTCACCTTTAAGATTTTAAACAAATTACACGTAGCAACTAACTTAAATCAGAGTTTACTTTAATGATTGCTTTTGATGATAAACTTGAATCTTCTGGTTAAATGTTATCAATTGATGATTATAATAATGACGATAATATAATTGAAAATTGTTAAAACAAGTCTTGTTTAGTGAACATTTCTGCAAAGGCAACAACTAAAAAGACAAATTTAGAAACCTAATACAATATTTCAGTAAAATTCGAAGGGGAATAAAACATTTAGAATATATCTGTTAGAAAAGTAATTATGATGGGCCTTTAAAGATAAGATGGCACTTAGGTTTCTAAATCTATAGAACTGAATAAAGTATTCCCTATTGTTAATGGATCAACATTACAACTTACTTTTACAGAAAGTGAAAGACTCATATACAAATGAATTAAATTATAAAAAAATTATTTATTATAAAGTTATTATTTTATTGCATTTAAGTAAATTAACTATCAATAATAAAACTTTAAATAATTTTGAAAATCTAAATAGAAAGAAATTCTCTAAAAAATTTATGATTATGATATCTTTTATGAAAAAAATATTTACTTGAAGAACTATTAACTAACTATCTTAATATTTGTGAGTCTCAATTTCTCTTTAAAAATCTCTTTAAATGAAAATTAAAATATTTATTAGTGCATAAAATTTTTATCTACTTATTTTTTACTTATCGAAAATGCCAATTTAATTAGATTTTAAAAAATCAAATTTTCTTATTATTTTTAGAAAAATGTTTTTATTAATTTTAGAAAGAAAATATTGTTTTATAATTTTGTAATTCGCGAAACTTTATTATCAATTTACTTGTATTGATTTAATTGTTTGTTTGTTTGCTTGATAGTTAATCAAACAGATTGATTGTATTTTAAAAAATACTATTAAGAAAATTTTCTATTTGATCAATTTTTCTGATAATAATTAACAAATAATAAAGTAAGTAGGAATATCTCATATAGGGTTAGTAATATATTTATTTGAACTATTAAATAGAAAGAGAAGATAGATAATAAGATGAAAAAGTCACTGATACCACAATATATTTAATTCGTTCGAAATACATTTGAAGACATGAGCATTGGCAATATTCCATATAAGATTTTAGATTTAATAGATGTAAATGAGCCAGATTGCACTGTTATTAAATTTCTGATCTCACCATCCAAAGGAAGAAGGGATAATTAATTATATTTAATTGTATACTCCTTCCTTTAGTTTAAAATTTAAATGTTGCATTACTTTACAGGATATATTTAGTTAATGAATTAATATCCTTACTTCGTTCATCATAAAGGGATAGGAGTCGTAAATGAAATGATTAATATTGCAATAGACACCGAAGAAAGTAAATGATTTAAAGATAAATTTTGATTGAAATTTTTTATAAAAAAAGGTTATACCTTAAAAAGTTGTATAGATATGTAAATAATAAAGGAAAACGATCTATCGAAGATCATTTTGGATTGGTTAAAAGGGTGGAGGATTATTTAAACTAATAAAATAGTTTATCCAGGTCCTTATGATACAGCATTTATGGTTAATGTGGATACTTTACAAGGAAAAATCGGTATATTTTTATAATCTATTTTATTCTTTGAATATGAAGAAGTTTTATAATTTACTAAAGTTTAAAAATAAAAATAGGCCATCTTAATCCCAGGAACTTTTCTCCTAGTAATAAGTCAAAGAATTAATCAAAAAATTTTTTGAAATTTCTTTACGAGACTTTGCTTGGCCAAGAAATAAGAACAGAATATGCAGATGAAAAAATAGGGAATAATATGCCTATTTAATTTCTTTTTTTATTTTATATGGTTTAAGAGCAATCTATGCCAGATTTTGTTGCTTACTATGAAAAAGAAAGTAAATTTTAAAAAACTAAATTGATAGTTTAAGTAAAAAATATTTTATTTACTTAAAAAAAGTGTTGAACAACTAAAAAATCTTAGAATTCTATTAAAACTGTTTAAATAGAGATATTCCTCAAAATAAATATTTGTTCAATAATTCGGATTTCATATCTTAGTATTATGATTAAATAATATTCTAATCACCTTAACTAAGTCCTAAAGAACGAACACCATAAGAAACCAAAATAATTCTTGAAAATAGTTCTTCACTTGATAAAACATAAAATGTGCCATTTTAAATATAGTCCATATTTATTAATAGCAGATTCACAAATTAGGAGATATTTATTCAGTATTATAGATATTTGAATGAAGGAGAATTGTTGAAAGCATATCATTTGATAAAATAATATGAAGAGTCGAATGAAGTGGATTCTATCACTTATTTAGCTCTTTCAAATACACTTTGTAAAATTGTAGAAAACAAGACTTTGAATGATTACATTTAAAGTTTAAATGAAGAAGATTTATTATAATAGATAGAGCTTGAGAAAAATTAAAAAGACTAATATCCTAGTGATGAATCTAGTTAGTAAAATCGTTTCTGGAAATATTAATCAAAATAAACTTAATAATAAAGTAAAGTACAGGAATTAAACTTTTGGAGCTCAGGGGAAGGAGAAGAAAGTAATACAAGTGTACAATCAGTTGAAGTTTGTTCCTAAGATTTATTGTCTTAAATTAAAAACCTAGAATCAGCAAAGAAGCTTACTTTAAAGTAATACACTCAAAAAATAAAATAGACATACTAATAATCAATAAACAAGAATCCTTATTCTGTTATATCCTACTTTAACCTTAGCTTAGAGTATTACTAAGCAAAATAAACTGATATAATAATAGACTTACTTAAAAAATGTTTAGTCATTTAAAATTAAGATTATGAGGTTCTTTATCAACTGAGTATACTTTATTGGAATCAGTAAAACTATAAATTAGCTCTCAAATACTTTAAAAAATAGCTACTTATAAAAAACTTTGATTTGCATGTTTGTTTAAACATATACAAGAGCTATTAGCGCTTAAATAAAGTTTGCAATGCTATATACTACTTCAAAAAGTTAGAGTTAAATTATCCCTAATTTTAAAAGAGTTCTCAAAAATTATGGATGCAAATTGAGGCTGATATGATATTATCTGATATTAATACAACTTTGGCTCTCACATGACTTAAATTTACAATACACATACATACATACAAGTAAATAAACACATATATAACTTAATCTACTTCCTATTAATAAACTAACTACTTTATATAATTCCTTTTGTATCTAATTGTTATTAATTTATGTTTAGTAAAAAATTTGCAAATTAATTTTGATATTTGATAATTATTACAAAGAAAAAAAGCAAATATCTCTTTAAAAGTATTACTTTTATTTTAAATTATTCTTAATTAGATCAAAAGCTTAAAATTATTAGAATCTAAAAAGCGCTCGATGTAGGGATCGAACCTACGACCTTGCGGTTAACAGCCGCATGCTCTAACCAGCTGAGCTAATCGAGCTACCAATATTTGAAACAAATTTTTAGAAGAAATTTAATGAAATCTATTTTTAGTTCTTTATATAAATTTTCTGCTTACTGGAAAGAATTTATTTTAAAAATTAAAGATTTTTACAAACTCTAAATTTGATTTGAGAAATCGCAAATTTTGGAAAGTCTCCAAATATATTGATGGTTTTTATTTGTAGTACTGTTTGAAAATACACTATTATCATCTTTATTTAAATTATTAAATTTTTGACGTATTAATTTAAAAACGTAAATCAAATTATCAAAATTTTAAGGAAAAAGTCTTCTTTTTTTTAAGAATGTGGACAAAATTGAAAAGGATGATTAATGATCATACTATTCATTTAAATATTAAAATTATGATGGAATAATTTTAAAAAAAGTAAAGCATTGCTTTCTAATATTTATAAAGCTTAAAATAGTAAATTTATGTGGTTGTAGAACTGTTAATATGTCGCTAAAGGGAGAGAAAAATAGCACAATATAAATATTATAAAATGAGAATTACGCAAATATTTAGTAATTAAATTAAATATTTTTAATATTATTAAAATGGTTATCAGCTTTTTATTGTTAAGTATATAATTTAAATGAGGTTTTGTATAGTTTATAAATTTAGTAGCTTCCTTTAAATATAATTTCAGTACATTATGTCCTATCTGCATGTTGGGCATTTTAAACTCTTGCTTGTTTTTAACCACTCTTGCATACAATCTAAATGAAAATAGTGATTGCATTTAAAACCTACAATTTTTTGTTATTTAATTTTTAACTCCTATTTTTCATTTGAAATTTACTCATAATTTACTATTGGAGCCATTTATTAATGCTAAAATGTAGATTGCTAAATTGGTCTTTTAATTTATTATTCAATGGGTTATCTGCTTTCGATATCTAACTATTACGGTGTTTCATTTTGCTGAACATTACTAGTATTTTCTTAATTTGTTTCATCTTTAGATGGTTATTAATTATTAGTTGATTGATTTTGGTTCTCTTCTAAATTCTTCTCCTAAATCTAATTTTTCTAGTATTTCTCTTTTTATTTTAATATGTCTGGTTTATAATTGGATGATTGGCTTTCTGTTTAATTTGATGATTATTCCTCTAATGTATCTTGTCTGTATAAGGATTCCCAGCGAGTTGATTTTTCACAATCTAATTATTGATATTTCTCAGAATATTTTTTTGTTTTAATAGAAAGCATTTTTTAGAGATTTGATTCCATGTTAGATAAACTATTGCATGATTAAAAGTTCTTTTAAACACAATCAAAGTAGTTAATATTATTATTTGTTTGCAAGGATTTGTTAACTCCATTTAAATCTTCTTTGAAATTACTTATTTGCTTTTGAAGAACTTCTATGTTTAATGAAGGAATTTTTGAAACTTCTTCATTATTTTGCGCATCCATTTCAAACTATGAAAATTATGTGGTCCCTTTATTATTTTCAGCTTCATTTATTTTATTTGAACTGCTTCCTATTTTTATAACTATTGGGTTTTAATTCTAATTATCTTGCTATCCTTTTTTATCTTCTTCTTTATCTTCCTATTCCTAAGGAGAGCAAACAGTAGGGGCAAATCTCAAATTCGATACTTTAAATGCACAGCATTCTGTATTTTGGTTCTATGGATAATTTGTTAGTAAGACATCCTAGTTTTAAGCTTGATTATAATTTTACTAATTATATTCCTATTATTTTTGTTCAGAACATTTCATTTCTTCTAAGCAAATTAAACACTCATTTCTATCATCAGGAATCTTGCTTAAATCACTAATTACCATCTTTCTTACTATCGCATCTGGCTGTAAAAATGCCAATTAGAATGATTTTCTGAAGAAGAACATATAGATGATAATACTTTAGATAGAGATACACAGAAGTTGGGCTAAAATTGAAATAACTATTTTTTAATCTATAAACAAATCTATCAAGCTTTCAAAATAAGCATTATCTTGGTTTGCAGAATCCAAAAGGGAAAAAACTATGGTAAAAATGATATTAAACAAGATAAATGCTGATAGAATATAGATAAATACGTGTGAAACCTTCCACAACACGAATTCCCCTTAACTTCTAATTACGCTATGAGTTTTGCAATACTCATTTCTTAAAATATTAGCATATAGTACAAACAAGAAGAATGCTTAAAGGGCTAGGACTCCAAAAACTATAAGCTTAAACACGAAGCAAATCACACTTCCAGCAAAACATGCCTGCATAAGGAAATAAGTGAATTTCATCTAAGTCATAAAAATCTCCTCTGGAGTATAAACAGTAACACTATTTGAGTACATTTTACCTTTTGTTAAATGGGTTTCAATGATTGCTTTGTTAATTGAATTTCTTATTTCTACTTCTATTTGTTTTTTTTTTTTTTTGAATTTTAATTCATTCTTAAATAAAATAAAAGCTCCTCCAGTCCATAAAATGCACAGATTATTACCTAAATTTAGAAACTGCAAAACTCCTCATTGTAATTAAAAATTTAAAAAGCGATTTCTAACTTTTATAAATGCTTCATTAACTTTGCATAATTTTCCACCAAAATTAAATTAAAAAAAATTGTACACATTTCTCATTTATTCTCTTTGTTGCAAAATTAAGTACAAAATAAATCGTAAATAATATGATAAGAAAATTATTAGGAATTTGAGCTGTTTAATTTATCCTGCTATCCAAATAATCACAAAAAAACGCAAGCACTTGAGTTCTTATTGTAGAATAATAAAAAAATATCTTTAAAAACAAATGTTAAAATAATTTGAACATTTTTAGTCAAAAATTTAAAATTAGAAAATCATTTTTACACATATATTTTTTCATTTCTTTCACTTGAGTTTTGCTTTTTATTAATGCTATTTTTTTTGAAAGTTAATTTTATATAAATTTAATCTAATTAGTTTTTTTATTATAAAAAAAAAAAATTATTAATCGTTTATTCATTTTTCCAATTAAAAAACTTATTTATTTATATAAAAGCTTTTATCTTAAATATAGTTTGTTATTTGATATATTCTAATTTAGACTGAATTGTTTTAGAATATATGCTTGTAAATAAGTTAAGTAAATACAAAAATTTAATATCAAGATACTAGTCTATTTTCATTTCCTTTTCAAATCATTCCTATAATTTGATTTTTTTTAAGCCAAGTCTTATCAGGAAATTGAAAAAATTTTGGATAGGTTTATCAAATAGAAATTTTCGCAATATCAAAAAATTTACTTAAATAGTATTGTTTGTGAATTTTTTTAGTAATGGATGAAGTAAAAGATCCAGATTAGTGGATTTAAATTGACGAGAGCAACTTTTCAGACATAGATTTAAGCTAAGAGTCTGATAGTTAAGAAAATTAATAAGCAAATGTAGATTCATAGAATATCAATTATAATGAACAAAATTTGAATGAAGATAAATATATAGATTTAGGTTATTAGTTAAATAATCGTGATGAAAATAACAAAGTGGGAGAGGCACACGAATAATATATACAAGGAAGCTTTGGCTACTAAGAAAATAATTATAATAATTAAAATTTTAATCCATTTTTATCGCCGTCTTATGTGGAAGATGAAAATGTTTAAATAAAAAATTATTAGCCTCAAAGCTCGAGGATAAATCAGAATTTAGAGCATTCTGTTTTTGAATAAACAAGTTATAACCAACTGGAGTAATCTTAGCTTCAATCGTCTTTTCTAAATACATCGATTTTGTAACTTTAATAAAAGTAAGTCAATTATCTTGATAGCTCTTTGTTACCTGATTTCATGTCAAAGAGTCATATAGATAAATTGAATCGAGGAAATTTCATAATTAGTATTTAAAAAAAGAAAACAGTTTATTAAATTAATATATCCTCTTTTTAAAAAATACAAAATCAATATACGTCGTATGTAGTTTACATCATTAATTCAAGCTGGAGTGATAGTAGCTAAGAAATTAAGCACACTGTAAAGAGAAGGTTTAACGAGTTTAAAAATCTTAATTAATATGTTTCTAAAAAATTTATGGGTAATGTTCAACCCTCTTTTCCTCTCCCTACAATTTAAGAAACCATCTTGCCAGTTATTAAATTAATCAAAGATGAGCAAAACTATTTAGAAGATCGCCAAAAAGTAAAAAAAATTAAACAAAACAAAGCAAATTAATAAATATAAAATTTAAATACTTAAAATATAATTAATTATTTTAGCTAGATTAATTTATATTTTTATATAAAAGAAATTGGAAACTTATCTTAAAAAGCTTGCATAATGTGATTTTATTTTAGATAATGAAGTTTTTGAAAAGTTCTTGAGCAGTCAAGATGAGTTTAACGAAATATATGATGAAAAAAAGGAATAACCTACACTAACTTAATAATATCTAACTACATTTTAAGAAATGTATCGTAATATTAAAAGCTTAATATACTAATAAGAGATTCCTTATTTATCTATTGAAGATTAAGTAAACCTTCTTTTAAAATTAGAAAAGATTTTTTAAAAATATTTAAAATAAAGGATTAACAAGATTAATTGAGAAATCAAATAAAATAAATTTAAGAAACAAAAAATATATTGATTGTATTAATAAATGAGATATAAAAAACTCCTTATGAAGTAAATAAAACATTTAATTATTTTTTGTAATCAAAATTATCAAATATTTTTAAAAGGAACTTGAATAGTATTTAAAAAATGGAGAAAATGCTGCAGAAATTGAAATTACACAATTAGACTAACAAAATATGAATTTTTAGTAAAATTTCTTATCTGAATTTTACAAAAAGTATTCAATATAAAGTGTAATTTTTATCATATTTTTGAAAATATTTATTTATTTATTATTTATATAATTAGGAAAAAAGAATTACTAATTAGTTATCATAGTTTTTAGAAGAAATAATTGATTAATTTAATGATGCAGAGAAGTCGTATGAAAATTTTATGACAGAAAGAAACAATTTGATTCAATAATTGTCAAAAGAAAAAGAGTATTTTTTTATAAAAATTAATTCAAATTATTTTTATTTTATAAATAAATAAATGTTAATTAGAAAAGAAAAAGTAAATGTATAAAATGATGAAAACACCTAACCAAATTAATAAGATGCTTAAATTAACGAAATTAAATACTTAATGGAGAACACTCATATAAAAGTGATTAAGGCTCATGATAATAACGAAGTTTAATAAGATAACTCTGATAACGATAATGAGTAAATGTAATAAGGAAATCAAATTCTAACTACAAAATGTAATCTTTAAAGTGCTGGGAAGAATCTAATTTAAGAATTTTCTATACTTTTAACAATAAAATACCCATCTAAATTTTCTCAATTTAATGATAAAGTGAGATTTTGCTATCTAAATCATTATAAATAAGTAAAATTATTTTCCTTTAATTCAAATTATCTTCCATACTTTATTTAAAAAATATTAAAACAAATTTAATTTATTAATAGGAAATATAATTGTATGAAGAAGTGCTGAACCCTCTACTCTTTTGAAAATATTTAATACTATGTAAAGAAATTTTTACTACTAAAATATATAAAAGAAAAAAAATATTTAAATTATAAAATAATTAATAAAATTTTAATAATTAATTAATTAAAATAAACTTGTTTATATTTATTGCATGATTATATTAAAAATTGTGTAAAACATTTGTGTAAATTTAATGATGATTAATCAATTTATTTTTTTTTAGTACAATGTGATTTTGATAACAAAATTATAGCTTATTTGTCAACTTAAAAAAAAAAAAGAGCACATTCAAGATCCTATAACTAACTATAAATTTTTTAAAGGCTAATATATTGACTGGATCTGAAAATCTGATTAAATTTTCAGATTTGATGAGTGGGTTATAAATGAAATTTATCAAGTTAATGATAATAATTCCAAAAAAAATCCCAAATATTTTATCAATTAATCAAATAAGAACTTACGTTTATTAAAAAAAAGTTATAATTTGAATTGGAAAAATGAACTCACCTGCTTCTGTATAAAAGTAATTTTTAAAGCAAGATTTTTCTCAAAATGGTAAAGAACTGCAAAGAAAGTTTATTTAAAATGATAAGTAAAATATATAAATGTCATTTCTGAATTATCAATTCCCTGATGAAAGTATTTTATTTAAGTGTTTATAAGCATTGCTCATTTAACAACTTATTTATATTTTGTAGTTTAGCAAAGCGAAGACGAAAGTAAAACAAATAACCTCTCTTTTAAGTAAAAAGTACTTAAAAGGAGAAACTCTTCAAAATTAATGAATAATTTTTTTGGAAGCCCTACCTCTAGGTATGAAAATACTAGCAACTCTTAAAGCGAAAGAGTTTATTTAGACACCGTAAGATTAAATTAAGCTTAAATGCTTTCACCTAAAACATTTATGAGTGGATCTGTAACTCCTACTTATTAATTTTATAATGGACTATAAATACCATAAAACAAGTATATGAAATAAGATTAACATTAAACAAGTTCTAATAAAACAAATGCTATTAATGAAAAATTAAGCATTGCATAACGTTTAAATAGCTTGAAAAAGTTCTACAACGCATAAGGACCACCAGTTGATAAATCAATAATCGTAAAAGCTTAGTACTTGTAAATAAAAATATAACAAAGTGATAGAAATTAACACAAGAATTAGAATACTTATTAAAACGACAATCTTGATATAGAATAAAATTTAAATTCAAAAAATGACAACTTAACTTAAAGAGATGTTTTCAGTCCTGTTTCAACTGCTCTCCCATCCACATCCATCCACATGCTTTAGCTTAACTAAGTTAATAGATAAAAAATAAAAAGTCCAAGCCTTCTATATTCCGAATAAAATGATGCTTAGAACAAAGTTGTTAGAAAATCTATTGATTTTTAAAAAGAAAATAAATAAATCCACCCTGATATTTAAGATATTTTTAGTCCACGCTAGTCTAAACTAAATATTTAAAGCCAAAGTAGACATTCACTTTTATTTTAAGAATCTCGAGCTGAAAACACATATTTAGCAACTGATATTAGAAATACTTAAAGTAAAATAAATTAAAATCAGTAAGAACAAGAGTAGATGTTAAAAACTCCGATAAGTTAAATGAGGTAACTCTCTCTAGATGGCTACCAAAAAAAAAATAAAAAATCAATAAATATTAAGAATCTATAATTAAAAGGAACTGAAAAATATTTCAAAATAGAAATGTAAAATTTATAATAAATTTCTGGAGATAAGTTTACTTTATGTGCAGAATATGAAGCTCATAGAAATTTTAAAAGTGACCCTAATACAGCAGAAAAGGTATTTTTACAATAGATGGATGCCATACTACCTTAAATTAAAGAAATAATTAAGCTCATAAGTTATATATCCTAGCATACTAAAGATGTTAATCAAGTAGATTAACGTCTGACGGAAATAAATAATTTAGCTTTGCAAACAAAATGTGGCTATTTATAAGTTATTTGTCTTTTATTTAGCATTAAGATTTATTATGAATACAGAGATTACATTAAAGTAATTAATTTATCCAAAAAGGCCAAAAATATGGCCTAGGTTTTTGGATATATGTTTGAAAAAATGAAAATCTATGAATTGATAGGTTAGGCTTATAATCAAATTTAGAGACCTAAACTCTCCATTATATATTAAATTAAGTAAATTTCATTTTTATTACCTAATGATTAACATTTTTAATATCTAAAATTTTAAAGAGTTCTCAGATTAAGCTGGCTTTTACAGAATGAAAATCATGAACTGAAAGCCTATGATTAGTTAGGAAAGTGTTACTACTATTTAGGAGATTTAGAAAAAGCATACTACTATCATGAAAAAATGATGATCGGTGAAATTGAAAAAGATTAATCTATAATTTAGCTTTCTAACAGCAAGCTTTTGAATAGAGAATATAGAAGTAATATTGATACTAGTAAAAAGAAAAAGTTGTAAATGGAAAATAATCAAGAATTAACTGAAGAAGATGAGTGTATAAGCAGCAGTGATGATGAATTTGAAATAAATGTTTCATTTAAGGCTCATACAAATGGAAATACATAAATTTTAGAATAATAAAATGAAAGCAAAGATGCTCTTTAGTTAACTTCTAAAAACAGAAACTAGCAATCTCTGGGATGGAATGATAAATTAATTCTAGCTAGATTAAAAGTTTTATAAATTTAGAGAACAAAAGAAATGAAATCTTTTTCAAAAAACAAATCAGTAACAGCAGCGGATCTGTAGCAATAAGAAGTTGGTAAAGTTAAATATATGATGGACACAAAGGGATAAGAATACTTGCAAAAAATTTTGAATAAAAAAGGCAAATCAACTAACATTCTGAAAAAATATAGAATAAGTCATCTTACTCCTAATAGAACTATTCTTTCCTATCACGAAGCAGAGTCTTAGTTCTTAAAATAAAAAAATTACTCGTCGTAATAAGATTTTATACCTACAATTGATAGCCAAAATTTAAAAAAAATTAATTAAATATTGTTGAAATTTAACAATTTTTTTAACGAATCTGCTTAAATAATACTCCAAATATTAGTTAATTTTAGCTCTCTCCAAAATAACATAAACATATCAAAATATAAATAAGATATTATTAATTCATAATAAAATAAAAACTTCTATTCTTCAAAAGATTATAAATTTAAGAAAATGTAAGAAAAAGATAACAAATTTTGATCCTTTGAATTTATTTAAGATTAATTGTCTCAAATATTTCTTATTAATTTTATTTCAAATATGTAAACTTTATTATAAATAATTTAAGTAGAAAGTTTAAGTAAAATGTTAGAATTTTGTCTGTAAAAAATATGTATATAATATAATTTTAAGATATAAAATAAAAATAGTTTTTATTTTTTGTAATTAGCAAATTGCCATGTTTTTTGATTTAGTGGCTGATTTAATCTTTTGTGCTAAGTTAAATGTAGTAGTTTCTAGAATTTAATATATCAATACTTTAATATATATATTTAATTTATCAAAAATATTTCAGAATTTTAATTATATCTTTTAATTAAAAAAACTATCATCAAGTTTATTAGTTTAGTAAAATTATTTAATATAAACAGCTCAATATAAATGCATTTAAAGTAGTTTTCATTTAAGTCTAAGCTCTTAAAGGCTGCTTAAGCAAATCCCATTACTTTTTTAGAATATGGAAAGCTAGATACATAAATGTTATATATGGATACAGAGATAGTACCTCATGTTTCTCTTTAAATTAAATCATAAATAAGAGAACTAAAAAAATTTGCTTCTGAGAATTAATTAACTGGTTTTTCAGCTATTCAAGCAGGCTATATTGATAGATTTTTCGTATTATCAAAAGAGGTTAAAGATTAATAGCAAAGTACTTGGAAAACTTAAAAATTATACCCTACTGACCAATACAAAACATATATCAACCCTAAAATTGTAGAAATTTGTTAAAATGTAAAAAAATTATTATTTTAGATGATTTATTACAAGCTTTTTTACATGAATTTATAAATTAATAGGGCTAATAAAATAATGAAATAGAGCTTTCTCCAACTTTTCCATTTTTAGATGCGTATGTTTCTAGATATTTGTCAGTAAAAGTTAGATATTATGATGAGGATATGGACGAAGTAGAAGAAACTATATAAAACTTTGAAAGTAGGGCTTTCTAGCACTTTTATGACTTTTTAATGAATAAAGATTTATTGAACTGGAGATTAAATCATGGAAATTTATCAATAAATTAGAATTATTAGAAAAAGTTGAAGAAATTTTCAAATGTAAATTTTATTAATTTTTATATTTTTACAATATAAAATATTTTGAAATAAAATAGGTTTTAGAAGATTATAAAATTTAAATTAATAAAATGAAAGAAGACTTTCCTGAATTATTTTAACCTAGATAACTTACAGAGTTAAATAAAAAATATGAAAATGTATTTATGCCTTCATTTGAATAAGATATGATGAGAAGGCTTCTTAAAAATTATCGTAAAGATTTAAACTATAATATTGAAAAGCAAGAATTAGATGAAATAATGGGTTGAATATATTAGTTATTTATTAAAAAGAATAAATTTATGTAATTAATTAAATAGTTTTATATATAGTATTTGGTTTTGTAATTATTTAGTTTGTTTTTACTTTTTCCAATTTATTTATCTCAAAAAATTTGAATAAATATTCATAAATATTGATTAAAAAATATAATTAATTATTTTCAAAAAAAAAAACAAAAAAACAAAAACAAAATAAATAAAAAACAAACAAAGAGAGTTATTAATTTTCATATTTTCTCACTTCTTTCTTAAAAATTAACATACATTTAAGCATTCTAAGTTTTTTATCCGAAAGTTTTTAAAGCTTATATCAAGATATTTTACCTCAAGTTTTTATATATCCTATCGGTACATTCAAGTACAAGGTAAATATATTTAGCCCTTTGATATACAGCGTAATCCAAGATTCCATTCCTTTTAAGAATGCAAAATATTATGTTAAAATAATAATAAATTAATGTAATTTAGAATTACAGGATCGTTTTTTCAATAGAAAAAATGCTTTTTCAAAATGTATTTAAGATAATATGAAAATTAAACTCGAACGTATAGTCTTATTTCCATTAGTTTTATGTATTTTTAATTCACGAATAAGTATATAGGAAAATTTATTGACATTGATAAGAGCGAGAGAAAAAATAGCGATTGAGAAGCTTGAGTATGATTCCAGAAAAACTAATTAAATAAATCAAATTTAAATAAAAATAAATAATAAAAGAAATAAATGAAATAAAATAAAAACAAATAAATAAATAAATAAAAATAAATAAATAAATAAATAAATAATAAATAATAAATTAAAAAAAGTAAAAAAAAATTAAACAAATAAAATAAAAATTAAAAACATAGAAAGGATAACTTACCACCTAATCGACTTATGAATTTTTAAGTAATTAAAATTACAAAACATAGAAAATATGCATTTTATTGTTATTATATGGAAAAGCTCACTTTTAACCTATTATTAAACCACGATTTACATAAAATTAAACATATAAAATATGAATAATTAGGCAATATACTAAAAAATTTTATTCAAATTGTATGTGTGCAATATTAAATTATAAAAAGAGCCTTATGTATAATGGTTAAATTATTATAACTTTTTACATTATATAGAACATTAAATTACCATTTATTTATAAAAAATGAATTCATCATTTAAACATTTCATAAGTCCAAATTTTCGTATTTTTTGTTCACAGATATCAAAAGTTAGATGTGTTTTTAATAAAACCTTATTAAATATTTTATAAAAATATTTTAACAAATTTATTTTTTAAAATAATGTTTACATGTGATCATAAATAAATTGATTAGATGGTTTCTCTCTGAAAGGTGATAGATATTCACCTTTTTTCTATTAGATATTACCAATTAGGAGTCTTTAATTTTGAATTTATTTTTCTACTGTATTCAGTTCGTTTTTTACATGCTTTTTTAATTGATAAAAATTCTTAAATAAAATTGAAAATAATAAATTCAAAATGATATTTTTTAAAATTAAATAAAAAAAAGGTTCATTTTAAGTAAAAGTCTTACCTGTTTTGATATTGCAAAAGAATTATTCAATGTTTAATTTTCTTGATCAGTCTAAAAATATGAATTTCCTAATTGTTATCCTTAAGTTTATTCAGATATGTTATTTGAAAATAATTTTTTTTATTAGCTTTTTTCATGCAAAAATATTTTTCCCATTTCTAATTTTTTATTAGGTTATTTATTTTTATTAAGCTGCTTAAGCTTTTCAAATAACCTTTAATTTTTGTTTTTAGAGCTTGCTTCTTATTCTTTAAATTGGTCCATTTCATTTTTTTTCGTTTATGTTCTAAGATATACTGAACTCGATATGTTTTAATTTGATTTTAAAATTTATGTATTTATAGGTTTATTTTATATATTTTAACTATAAGGCCTATCAGATATTTAATCTTTACTGAAATGTAATTATTTTTATTGTTTTTAAAATGAAAAACTAGCAATTTTTTAATTTGAATCTGGTGATGCTGAATAAATTCGATTTTTTTTATTAATTTAATTTTTATTTTACAAGAAAGATTTTTTCAGATCAATACATTTATTCTATTGCCATTTAATGTTTTTAAAAGTTTGTTCATCATGGTTTTTAAATTTTATCTTTGGTGTTTAGCTTCTTTAAGTTGATGGATTACTTTGAGTTTTATCTTCCTCTTAATTTAACTACTTTGAAGAAGATACTCTCCAAAAATTTAATTTCATTTAATTTTAATTAGGAAGATTTATTTTTTAATTATCTTGTATTTTTTATTAAATTTAATGCTGCTGCATATCCTCATTGCTCTAAGGCTTTTAATGCAAATGATTTATCTACTTATCTCTTTAGTATTATACTTAGTTCAAACTAACTTACTTTAGCAAATTTTAATCATTTATTGCTTATTGAGTCTTATTTATTTATATTGAGCTACTTATAGAGTAAGCTTATTTCTACTCCTCTTCAATATGCTCTGGCTGTTTTTATTACAATTTATTTTCTGTTTAATCAACAGGAATTTGATTGTAGTTATTCAAAGTGTTAGCTTTCTAAATTTGGCTAATTTGATGCTAATTTTCATTTATCTCAGCTTAGTTTTTTTTATGATTTTAAAAGGTTTGCTGAACAACATCCTAAAATTTTAACATTTTCTTAAACTTTAAAATCTTTTTAAAATTATCAACAGAATTAAATATTTCTTTTTCTTTATTGCTTAATAAGATATCTCTTAAGTTTTTCTTTTTTTTATACAATTAATCATCTAAATCTTAATAGTCTAACTTTAGCTATTCTCTATTTTCATATAAATAACTTGTAGTTAAATCTTTTTTTTCTATTTTTATTCTTTCTTTAACTACATTATATTTATTTTTAAGTATTATCAAGTTAAGATTTTTTTGTTAGCATTTTGGAGAGTCTAATCTGATCTTATTTGATTGCTTTTTTTCAAAGATTAATTTTTCAACATCTTAATATGGTAACTGTTAATCTTCTTCAATAAGTTCTTTAGATTGCTATACAAAATTATTAAAATGATTTTAATTTAACTTTTTATCTTAAATTTGGCTTTAATCAAATTGTTTCATCATTGCAAGTTCTTTCTCAACATGTTCAGTTAAATATAAATTTAGAGGTTTTTTTTTATTTTATGAAGCATTGAGAGGCTTTATACCAACTTTTTAAAAAAACTCGTTTGGGTTTTTAATTATGAGCTCAGAGTCTGTTAGCTCTTTGCATCCTTCATCTAAATAAAAAGAGTCAGATAGCAAGTTATCAACAAGTGGATAGATTTAATTAGTATTTAATAGCTCTTCTTGTTTTTAGTCTAAGAAGGAGGGAGCATTTGAAATTTTAAACTAAATAGGAGTCATATCTTCCAATATTAAGTCTGAAACCGTTTGTGAATTCAAAAAAGAGGAGTTTTTTTAGTCTTTATGATGACTATTTTGCTTGTCATCATAAATGAAAGAGTCTGCTTGCTTAAAAATTTGTTCAGAATTTTTACTTTTAAAATTCTATTCAACTTCTTTATTTTTGATATTCTATTCACTTTCTTTAATTTTTAAGTTCAAATCACTTTCTTAAGACGTAGAATTTAGTGCAATTTTGCTTGTAAAATAGTTAGGTAAAATTTTGTTATTTTATAGTAGCATTTTATAGTTAAAGTAATATCTTGGTGTTATTGCTTAGCTTTAAGAAACTTAACTTGTATAAATGTCAGAATCTTTATTCATTTAAGCTTCATTTTACTATGTCCTTGACCTTGATGAAAGATAAAAGTTCATTCTTGGAGTTAGCTTTTATTAATCTGAAAAATACTCTTCTTAACTAAATGATTATAAGATATTGTTTTAAGTATGTTTTGTATTATTTTAACTGAGTTACTGGCCACTCACATTAGTATGAGATCCTATTGATTAAGCGAAGTAGTGATTTTCTGCAAAATTTTTTATATGTTTATTTATGCTTTTAGCTTAATTAGTCGTTAATTATTATTTTTATTTGAAATGATGACTGATTCTACTAATGTTTACAGGTTTTTGATAATCAGAAACAGACCTTTCTCTACCTATAAGGTCATCTTATTTCATTTAATCCAACTTATAATAAATATTATTAGTTATATCATTTTGTGAGATTTGTGCCTAACTAGGAAGACTTCTTTCGTCACAAAAATAATTTTAGTTTTTAATCAATTTTAATTTCTACTAAATAGAGCTCTACTATTTCATTTATTCTATCAATTAGTCTAATTAAATAAATCAGTTTTCTTTAACTTACAAGCTAATATTATTATTAAAAATTTACTTTATAACGAGCATTCTAAGCTCAAAAAAATGTACATTTGCTTGAATGAAAGTTGATGCTTAATTATGATAGTAAAATAATTAAATAAGAATTAAATATACATTTTTTATGTTAATGTAAGAAGATAATTAGATAGATTATATTTGACAATATTTATTTAAATATTTTAATTATATGTTTCAAGTAAAATCCGTTATAGTCACCATAAAATATTTGATTAAAAAATAATTTTAATAAAAAATATTCTATTTTAAATTTTTTAAGTGGAATTTATTCAAATATTTTTTAGAAATATTTTAAAAATTCAATTAAGTATTTTTATATTGAATTTAATTTGTTTGCTTGTTTGAATGTTTTTATGTGATCCACAAAATTAAATAAGATTCATAAATATGGAAATTATAGAAATCTGAAAATTAATGTAAGAGGTATGGAGTATTTCATAAAATTAGAAAGAACATAATATTTATTTTTAAGTATAAAAGAACCAGCTCATAAAATTGAAAAATATTCAAGCATTCATAAAAACTAATTTAACCTTATGTAATCTACCATAAAAAGAAAAAATAAAGATTAAAAGAATTTCAAGAATATGAATAGTTGATGTATGTAATTTTGTTAGAATAAGATTAATTAATTAAATAAATAAATAAGCAAAGACTTTTTACTTTTTATACGAATTGCTAATTAAACGCAATAAATTATCAAAAATTATAGCATTATCGATATTATTATATAGTTTAGAAGGAAATATTTTAGTTTAATAGCAAATTATTTACTGATAAACCTCTGTTAATGGGTATCTTACTCTGTCGAAAGAAAAAGAAGAATGGGTCATTAGAGGGAATTTAGCACGAGCTCATAATCAATCAGAAAAATGTAGATGTGTATAATGTTAAAAAATAGCTAAAAGACATGAAGAATCATCTCAAATCTATAAAAATTATAAATTGCACTAGTAATAGAGATCGGTTTGAATCTGTAGATATATTATTGCTTAGAGAAGACCTGCAAGTATCAGATTTTCCGAAATTGCAAAGTGTCTCTATAGACTTCATAAGATATTAAGACAGTCCTAAGCTAGATCCTATAAATATCAATAATAGTAGCATTAAAATGGCTACTTCAATAAATTAAAAAGGAAGCAAAATACCAGGGATAAAATAGATCTAAAATTTATTTAAATAAAAAAAGTTAGTTTTAAATGAATAATAATCTTAAGATAATACAATACTTTCAAATTAACTTCTACTTAAAAACGCAGACTCTCATATAGTAGATTAGTTTTCGCGTTAAAAGCTTGATGATAAATTATATGAAAAGGCTTTAAAAACTATTCAAAAGGACATGAAAACCCACCTTCTATTAAGATATACTGTGAATTAGGAGTAATTAATAATAAATTAACTTGCTTTCAAAGACAAGAGAGCTTTTTTATATATGATGAGAAAAATGAAACAACTAAATTGCACGTTAAAAACAATAATATTTAAGGACATAATTACACTTAAAAAAAATATTTTTATTACAATATGTTAATAAATGCGAGAGATTTAGTATTTAGAGGAAATATAAATCATTAATACTAATCTCATGAGTGAATAAGTATTATAATTATAATATTTTCTTTGCTGGATGTAAAAGCAAGTTAAGATTTTAATTATAAGTGGTGCTAATTTAATTGATGAACACATAGATATCTTATTCTTTTAGAAATTTAAGATTAACGATTTTTATGCCTTGGAAAATCTTGAGCTTAAAAACTGCCCTTAATTATGGAAAAGCGATAAATATATCTTGTTAATGAAGCAATACACTCAACTAAAGCTAAACTAAAGCACTTCAAACTTTAGATAGTCTGCTAACAAATCCCTTAAAAGTTAAACAGAACACAACTAACCAAACAATTAAATAGAATTAAAAAGCAAAAGTCTTGAATCTTCCAATAAAGTGGTTTTAGCAATTTAGAATGGTGCATAAATAAAATAAGATACAAAAATAGGGAAAAAAACTTCTAATAAAGATAATTAATAACAACAAGAGAAGTAAAATCATTCTAAAAAGAGCATTGAAGATGATATAAAAATTTAAGGTTAAATGGATTAACAAGTGAAATTAATGGATGATCAAAATAAAATTGTATCAATTAATGACATAAATTTATAAATTAATGAAAATAAGGATAGATTAATTCTCCCCTATGTGAATAATGTAATAGTGGATTTACCAGAGTAAAAAAATACTCTTTCTGATGAAAAAATAGAAGAGAGTGGCATTAAATAAAATATATAAGAATAAAAAGCTGCAACAATTACTTAGGTTAATTAATAAAGTATTGTTGAAACTGAAGCAGCAATGTAGAAAGAAAAATAAAATATTATTGAAAGCGAATCTAGGCTAAAACAAATATACTTAGACATGACTTATGATAATAGGCATGAAAGATAATTTTTGATTGGTTAATTTTTATGGGAAAACTAAATTTAAGAATCCTACGATGAAAATGATTTAGATGCTATAACAAACAATGGGATTAAAGAGAATAATTTATCTTCATCTCACTCTGTAATCTAAGGTAATAATTCTAATATAGCTGACAAAGGAATGACATAATAAGATAATTAATTTTTTAATCAGTTTTTTAAGTAATGTATAAGGGATCTTATGGAATTAGATATGTGCAAAATAATTGATTTTAGCTCTTTAAATTATTAAAATTTTAGTAATGACTAAAAGAAATAAATATCGCAATTTATAATTTCTTCTAATGCAATTTAAACTTTCATAATTCAGTATGATCGTATATTCTTTAAAGAGTTTTGTGAGCTAATATCAAATAAGTATAAAACTAAAAGACAGAGACTCTTTGATTCTTATGAAAAGGAACTCGTTAGGCTGATGAAATCTAAAAACACAGAAGAATTTAATTATTATTTAGAAAACCCATAAATATTCTTTAATAGTAATTTGAAAAATAATTTATTTAGCTTAGAAAACATAACAATCATAGCATCCAAGTTGGATTAGTTCTAATTTGACTCATTTTGCTTTATAAGTTTCTTAAGCATGTTTCTCCTGTCAATAGAAATTGATTTCCAAAAGCAACAAGTTGAAGATTAAGTCATATTCCCAACTCATTATTAGGTTTTGGAGTATTTAAGAAAAATGGTAGAAATTAATAATTATGATGAGTTCTAGCAAGATAATACAAATAATAATGATAGTGATGAAGAGGAAGCTACTACTGAGAAGAACAATAAAGAATTTGATAACAAAAATGAGATTTAAAATTTGGAAGATAAAAATTCTGGGAAAAAAGGTGTAAACTAGTAAAATAATGAAGAAGTAATCGACTTGTCTGATTAGAATAAGAAAATTAAGAATTCTTATGATAAAATAAAGATAAATGGTATAAACAGTAAAAACACAAAAAACGCTCACACATTTAGCTCTTAAATATTTGAAGCAATTAGAAATTATCAGAATTTATTCGATTTATAAACGTCTCTATAGGATTTTAAATTAAAAAATTTTACTTGGAAGAATGCTTAAGGTTTTAACAACGACAAATCTTTTAGTTAATTTCTATTTACTTACTTTTCTTTAAATGCAGATTCAATTATGAACTTAGAATTTTATAATGCACAAATTTCTCATTCTTCTCTCAGCAGAGTCCAAGAAATTATAAAAATAGTTTTTAGTAAATACAAGTATTATAATCAAAATGAAAACCCAGACTTATCTACCTCCATATTAAACTATAATGAAACTATACAATTAAATAAGCTTTTATAAAAAAATATTTAGACTTCTAATATGAAATCTTCATTTAGAAATAGTGGTTAAATAGAAAAGATTAAAAATTTTAAAGAGCTCAATTTTATGAAAACTTAGAAGTCTATTTTATACAACCCATCAAAAATAAATTCTAATCAGACCTTTCACTAAAAGAATTCAATGAGAGACGATAAATAAAATTAGATTGTAAGGGCTTCGGGAGACTCTTAACACTTAAAAGACAATTATCAAAATATTTAAAAACCTTAAAAATCGATTCTTGAAATGAGTAAAAGTAAAACAAAAAGTAAATATTTTTTAAATAAATTTAAAATAAAATTTATTGAAAAAAAAATAATAAATGTCAAATAAATATTAAACTCATTTGGAAAGATATGCAAATATGTAGAAATATTAAATGCAACTTGTTTAGATCCTTATGAACTTGAGATTATTTAGAGGTAAGAACAACAAATAGCTGAATAAGCTCTCTCAGTTTCTAAAATGCAATAATCAATTAAATTGGCTAATTAATAAGGTGCTTTAGAAAATCCTAATTTGTTTTATTAAAGAGCTAAAATGGCTTTAAACAATTTAGGATAATCTAATTAATTTGGAAACCCATCAATGTTTAATTCATCATCTGTGTTAAAATAATCCAAAGATAACTCTAAAAATTATTAAAATAGTAGTAATTAGAATTGGGAGCAAGGAAAATCGTAAGGATAAAATTAAAATAAAAATATTCTAAGTTCAATAAAATTAGTTGATTATATTGGATTTTCTTTGAAAGATGTTTTAGAGATAAACAATTAAATGGATAATATTACTGAGTTAGTACTAATCAGATGTCGTTTATAGTTGTAAACATTCACATAAATTGCTTAAAAGATATGCTCTTTTAAAAATCTCAAAAAATTAGTGATAAGTGGCAATAACTTTTCCGTTTAAAATTAAGTTATAAAAAACGAAGTTGTGAACAACAATTTATAGAGGTAAGGTACTATCGATATGAAGAAATCTGTAATACCAAATTTAGATTTGAAAAATGATAATTAAAATTAAAAAAAGTTATTTAATTTCCAAAATTAAAAGTATTTAAAATAATAGCTAGGAAACAGCATACAGTTAAGCTACAATCAGAATTAAAATTAAATAGCTTAATCATATGCTAATATAATTTAGGAGGAAGGAGATGTGGAGAAGTAAACAGAAGAAATGTTTAAATTATGTATTTAGAATATACTTTAGATTCAAAATCTCAAATATATTGACTTATCAAATAATGAGTTAGATGAGTGTTTCGGTTTAGTACTTTATGATGAATTAGCTAAGAGAAGCTTATATTTCTTAGAGGGCAAATCAAAGTAATAAAAAGTAGATTACATAAAACAAAATAATAATCTAAATTAGCAAAATTAATAATTAAATTAAGTAAATGAAATACCATCTAGTGATAGTTAAAATGAATTTTCCTTTAATAATTAAAATTAGCTTTAAACTTAAGGTTCGAGAAAGAGCGGTTTTTATTCTAAATTTATAGCTTAATAACTTAATAGCAATGTTAATTAAAGAAATACTTTAAATGGCAATAAAAAATTTAGTAAACTGAGATAATTAAATACTAAATTCTTTAGCGACTCTACTGACAATTATGGAAATGAAATATAAAAATAAAAAACAGAAAAATAAACAGAATAAAATATACAAAATGAAAGAATAACTGAAGAAGAAGCTAAAGAAAACTATTAAAAAATAAAAAATAGTAGCTAAGAAGAAGATAATAATGCAAATCTTTTTCAAATTTAATACACTGAAGATAGGATATTAGATCCATAATTTAAAAGCTCTGAGAATATTAATTAAAATTTATAAAAAGAAAACTAATTTTTCGCAGATAAAGACATTTATGATTTTTTACCTACTTTTAGAAATTAAAGAATATCTTTAAAAGAACCAGTTTCTTTAGTTATGAATACAAAATATACTGCAAAGGCAAATAAAATATTGGAAAATATCCCAGAAAATGATCTTGAAAGGCTAGAAAGTAAATTTAGCTAACAAAATTTTAATCAGAGTATCTAAGATAATAAAAATTTAGTTGGAGGAGAAGCCTAAAAAAGAGGTTCAAAATTAGATAAAGAAGATTTATTACATGTTCCTGATATTTTGGAATTTTATTTGCAAAATAATAATTTTAAGGAAAAGACAATTGTGAGTTTAATGAAGCAAATTGGAATTTTATTTGATAAGTTAAAGGTATTGGATATTTCTGCAAAATCTTCTAATCAGAATAAAAAATTGAAGCAGAGTCAATCAATTAATCAAATCTAATAATCATAATAGCTCTAAAACTAAAAAAATAAGTTTTAGATTAGTGATTTGTAGGAAAGTAAATTAAATAATCAAATAAGTTCTGATTTTTTGAGTGGAAAATCTGAGTAAGAGTCTTCTTATGAAAAAGATTTATAAAGTATAGTTTCTAGTCTTCAATAAGATTCAATTTAATCAGACTCAATTGTTCAAAACAATATTCCTGTTTACTAGAACAACTTAAACTATCAAAGAGAATAACAACTAGAAAAACTATTTACATAGAATAGTTAGAATTAATTTTAGAATTTACAGAAATTATCTATAAAAGATATAGGTTTATAAAGTTTTCAATAGCACTCTTTGATTGGAAATTTATTTTCATTTCCTTCTATTTAAGAGCTAGATTTATCTGGGTGCTTAGAATCTGATAAATCTGTTGAATTGCTTTTGTAAGAAGTGAATGCAATTTTAGTTTGTTAGCTAAAGAAAATTAATCTAAGTAGAAATAAAAATTTAAAACGCGCTTCATGGAAAAGTTTAAGTGTATTTTTCATTTCTGAAGTTAGATCTATAGAAACATTGAACTTGAGTGATTGCTAATTAAACGAAGATAAAATTTCAGGATTAATAGAAGGCTTTAATGAGTTATAAAAAGATTGCAGTTTGTAGGAATTAATATTGGCAAGGAACATAAGATTAGAGGGGATTTTAAAGAAATTTATATTTATATTGACATAGATCAATTATCTGCACTTGTAAGTCTTAGACTTAAGTGGATGCAACTTAAATGATTAAAGTTGCGAGAACATGATTTAAGGTTTACTTTATGGCAAAAAGAAAAGACATGAAATCATCAATAATTACCTACTTAATATTGAAAACCCTCAATAGCAATAAGAAGGATTTCAAAATGAATTCATTAATTTAATAAAAGATAAAGACAATCTATAAAAAAACTCATTAGTTCATTCGAAGAGTTTTTAGTTGATTAAATTGATTCTGTATGATAATAATATATCAATGAAAATGCAACTTTTAACTTAATACTGTTTCGTATTTTAGATTTAAGAAGAAGACAATATACTGTTTAGAATGCATTTTAGCAGTAACGAAGAGTAAAAGAAGTAACTAAGTAATATATGGAACAATTTAAAAGCAAAGAAAGGACTAATATATTCTAATCTTCACCATCATCTTTTAGAAGAGTACAGTGTTAGTTCTCAAACCTTAGTCCTAGGACCTAATCTATTTTCTTCAAAAAAGGTGGCTGAAGATATTTTGTTAAATTGCTTAAGAACATTTAATTCTATCAGAAAGCTAAAGCTCCATGTAAATGATAAAATAGTCTCTATAATGAATGGGATTGCTAATTAAGAGAAACTTTATGGATAAGAATCAAGTAGCTTTATAGAAAAATCTACAGTTTAAAATAAATAGAAAATGTCTGTGGTAAGTGGCTAAGGGAGTAAGTAAAACAATTAGGTAAGTATTAACAATTTAACAAATTAAAGTGAAAATTATTCTAGTGCAAATTACAGCAAAGGATTTATTATCATTCAGCATGAATAAAAAAGAGGATCTAAAAAAATGACTTTCATTCCTCGTTCTAGGTTTGAACATAAACCACACACACAAATTTAAGAAAAATAACCAAAAGTATTTTAAATTGATAGACAAATAACTTTACCTAATGATTTAGCTAATATAAATTAAAATAACATTAAATAACTTGAAAACTAAAGATCTAATAATAATCACTTAACATACATATAAGAAAGCTCTAACAATAAGAGCAATATATAAAATAATTAGTTTGGAATTAAAAATAGACTCTAAGAGCTATCAAACCAAATGTAAAAGTAGAAAAATGAAAACAAAGCATCTTTCACTATTTAAGGCGTTGATTAAAACGGTGGTTCTTAGGATATGATAAATAATAAAAAAAGATCAAGCTCCTTATTGAATTAGTTGTTTTTAAGGGATGCTTTGATGAAAAAAAAACAAAGAAACAGTTTAACTTCAAAAAGTCCTTTGAGTCGCAAAAGTTATTAAGAGAATACACCTTAGAGTATAACAAAAAATATGGAAAATATAAATGGTAATTTTTCATCTTATTTGTAAACAAATGATTAGATTTTGAATCATAATACCAACTAAGAAGTTATTGGGCATTAAAAAGATTAATTTCTTTCAGTTAAAAAAAATTTAATAAGCGAAATGAGTGAGTAGAACTCATTCATAAATGATTTAGTTTTGGTAAGTAATTCTGAGAAATAAAGCAGTAATGAAGTTGCTTTGAATAATCAAGTTTAATATTAAAATACTATTTTTAAAACCATAGCAAAGGGCTCTGATTTAAATTAAAGGAATGAAAAATATTTCAATGATAGCTTTAATTTTGAAACATTGACAAATTTAGAAATTAATAATGCGCAGCAAATACCTGATTAAAATAAACACAAAAAAATGGTCGAAATAAATAAAAAATTCGAAGTGAACGATAAAGATAAATTTTTTTTACAACCTCAATCTCCTAAAAAAACCAAAAGCATAATTAAAAATAATAGAAGTATTTTAGAGGCTGAGAAAGATTAGTAAAAACGTAAGTCTTTTAACAGTCCTAGTTTTGATATTGCAAGTTTTATTCACCCTCAGCCATTAAGTAACAAAAGTAGTTTTCTATTTGGCAAAGATTCTAATGTCAAAAAGACTTAAACAATTATTGATTAACATGATAAAAATAATGCAAATGAAAATATCTTTCATTAGAAATAGTTGTCTTTTAAAAGCAATGGAACTTAAATTCAAACTTAGGAGCAGATAACAATTAGCAGAAATCAATCATAAAATAAAGGCTAGCTTAATGAATAACATATTTAACAAATTAATGAAAAAATAAACAACCCTAAATATGAAAATAGTATAATCCATCTTTAAGACATTGAAAGTCTAATTTTACATTCAGATGAAAAGGTTGGTATTGTGAATTTACTTGAATTTTTTTCAGTTATTGCTGATAACATAAAAATTATAGATTTTTCAAAAATTATTATGAGTCACTCCATGTTTGTTAGAGTTGCCTTTAGGGTTTTAGAGATATTCGAAAATATAAACTAAGTTAAATTTGCCAATTTATAACTACAACTCAATAATGAGCATTTACTTAGATAAACAGGGTAGGCTTTACATTATATATTTACAACTCCATCTATAGACAAGCTTGAGTTTTTGAATTGCTAAATTACAGAACAATTAATAGAATATATTATTTACCCTGAAGATAAAGAAAATGAACCTTCATTTTTTGGTAAGTTTTTCTTAAATAAAAATTTTTTAATTTAAATAAAAATAAAAATATAGCGAAAGATGTAAATTTCTCTAAAAATAAAAACATATCCTTTTCTAAGGAAGAAAACTTGATACTTTTAGAAAATGCAGAGATTCTCAATCTAAGTGACTGCAATTTGAATGATAAAAAAATAAATATTAACATAAATACATGGAAAAGAGATTATCTTGAAAGTTTAATTGATTTAGACTTGTCTTATAATAAAGCACTAAGTCCTAAATTCTTCTGTAACCTTGGGTAGTATATTAGCAAGAATAAAATATTATAAAGGCTTAACATTTCTTATACAGGCATGTACGTTGAAAAACAGAAGCAATTCAGTTACGGATTACATTACAAAAACGGAATTCATCATTTAGCTTTATAAAAGTTGATCATCAAGGAGATGAGATTTTGTAAAAAAGAAGGTACTTTGATGCTTTTTAAAGCACTATCAAAATTACAATTCTTAGAGGTTTTAGACATGAGTGAAATGCAAGTTTCAAATTATTAGGAACTCGATATTTTGCATAACTACCTAAGACATGAATATATTGGAAAATTTACAAAAGTTAAAAAATTCTACCTTTAAAACTGCTAATTCTTGTTTGATACTATTCCTTACTATGACTTTAACAGTAAATATTCACTGTTGGAATATAATCACTTTTCTCTATTTTTACTTACCTAATTCGAGAATATAATTCTTCTTGACTTGACTGGCTGTTTAAACTCAAAGAAATTTTCTAAAAAATTCTTGTAAGAATTAGATATTATGAGAAGAAAAAAACTGTTTAATAGCACAATAAAAAGTTTAAATATTTCTAAAAATCTTATCTCTGCAGAAGAAATTCGAGATTGTGTTTGCAACATTTTGTTTTTGTTTAAGAACCTTTAAATTTTATAGATGAGATCACTTGTTCACTACGAATAGAATTACGTGTAAAACATACTAGATGGTCTTGATTCCTTTTCATACTTTTAATTTTTGCAAAATTAGAACTATTAAGATAAAAAAGATGCTGAGTAACAAGGAAAAGAAATAGCTGAAGCTTTTTTAAAGATAAAAAACTAGCCTCTTGATTAATTACCTTAGCTAGAATTCAAAGACAGTACAAATAATGTGAATAGAAGTAATATGTAAAAAGATAGCTTTTCTAGTAAATTTTACTCGTTTAATAGCAGTTAATTACGCTAATTGAGCAATTAAGAGGGGAGCATATCAATAAATTTAAGTGAATTAGTCATTTCTGATATTTCAAATGAGTTGATTCATAATAAAGGAAATATAGATATGCTGCTTGATACTTGGGTAACAAACAAAATTTTTGCTAATCTAAAGAAAATATTTATATATGCTGAGTATACCTAAGTAACTAATTTAGTCAGACTTTAAAGTTTATATAATGACTCGCTCCTAGAGCTGAATGAAAAGGTAGAATAGCTTTAGATTGAACCAAACTCTGATTTTGAAATAAGATTTAAATTTAAAGAATCACAGTAGTTGGTTGTATTAAAACCAGAAAAGAAAAAAAGCTAATTGAATAGTATCATTAACAAAGAAGAAAAAGTATTAAAAAAGAGTATTTACTTTAACAGTTAAATTGGATAGCAAAGTGGTGGTAAAGACAGAGATTTTAAGAAATCCCTCACTAATATTACTTAAAGAATAAGTTAGCACGGTGCTGTAAGCACAGCATAGGATTCACCTTAAATATAGAAATAATGCGTTTCCTCAAGCTTTACAAAAATGAGACTCGACTATTTGGATGAAGTTATTGAAGAAGAGGAAGACATTTAAGCTTAGAATAACTTTAAAAATAGCTTTCTTTCAGAAGAAGTAAATAAAAATAATTAAATAAAGCATTCTCACTTCAGTATAAATGAGCAAAACGAGTATCTCTTTCACTCTTTTTCTTCTGAAAACGAAGATGATTAAATTCAAATCTGGAGACAATTTTAATCCTTTTTGAAGAAGCTAAGTAATCCAAAACTTAATAATAAAACACACATCAGCCTTAACTATAAAGATCCTAAACTCAAGCTTCTTTCAAGTTAGTACAATATATTTATTGATAATAAATACGAATTGAACACAAACATGAACATATTATTCAATGGTATTGACTCTCTATATCTCGGAAACATGCTTTACTACTTTTTAGTCCAAATATGCTCATTTAAACCAAAAGCCGATTTAATAGATTTTTTAATAAATCTCCTCATATTTATGTCTTAAAATAAATTCCAAGACCTAACAAATAAAATAATAAAAGTATTTTTAAAAGAATTTTTAAGTAAGTTTAATAATTTTTATTTTTAAAAAATAATTTAGCTTCCTCCATTCTTGATATTGAATGAAGAAGATGCTTCAAGAATTCAATCTGCATTTATGAACATTCAAATATTTTCTTCCCAATAAAAAAAAATGTAAACTATTATAAATTCTTTAGGTTAAAAGGAAAAACTAACTTTCTCTTAATATGCGAACACTCCCACTAAATAAATCTCTTTGCAATCTAGAATCTCTAACAGAGACGAAAGTGGGTTAATATAGTAAAGAAATAGACTTGCTTCACAATAAAAACACTATCTAGATAAAAAGAGACAGGAATATTCAAGTGTGACAAAAATATTTTCAAAAGGGTTGAATATGTTAAAGAAAAATGTACAAAATAGGTAAATCTATTTATTTATTTAAATTATTTTTTTTAAAGAACTTAATTTTGCTTAATAAATTAATTTTAGGGATTCCTACAAAAATAAAATAGTTTGCAATTATTTTTACAAGTCAAGTTAAGGATGCAAGGAGTATATTGAAATAGAAAAAATTAAAAAGATGCCTCCTAGCACTTTAAACATAGAAAATTTTTCCATAAACGGCTTGAAGTCAGTTTATATGATTTGTTACCACAATGACTATTTTATTAAGGGAGATATTGACTATGAATCTATTATGTTTGTCAGCACCTCTTTAGCATTTTCCCTCCGTGAATATTTCTATTAGCAGTATACCTCCTAAAAGCGTTTCTGGTTTAGTTCACTACTTCATAGAACTATGTATTTAATAATGGATATATTCGTCGATATTGACAGCTATTTTAAGTACGATGAATCGATAGATGCTCTAGATAGAGATTTAAGAAACAGCAAAAAAAGCAATTATTTTTTCATATTCATGATTATTACTCTTTAAATTATTATATATATACTCACTCCAATATTTTCTTTTATCGATATTGGGCCATACGACAATGATCACCTCTCTTATATCATACACTCAATATTCGCATTATATGCAATTGTGAGCTTTGTTTTTGAAATTTTCTACATGAGAAAAGTTCTCATTCTGACTCGACATCTCATTCCAGATATTAACTTAGTCCACTAAAATAATCTTATTGCCAAAGTTAGAGATTATGTGTATGAAAAGATTATGAATATACAAATCTTCAATTATAAGGATATTCTTTTTTATCAGAAAGTAATCTTTAGTTTCTTATCATAGCTCGATGCATACTAAGATGTTTGCTTCATATTAGTCACATACCACAAAGAAGACTACTTAATTGCAATATTTGCTTTAATTGTGCTATCCTACACAAAGTTTATAGAAATTATCCTTTTCTTTAAAATGATAGAAAAAACTTCATACTCTAATTTATTCTTTTATAACACTAACATAATTTATGAGTATTGCTAATAGACTTATTTAGAAGGGCTCTCAAGTATTCTTGATGTTATCAGTCCACACAACGTTATTAGAATAACAGACAATTTCTTTACCAGTATATTGTTCCCAAAAAAAGCTCTAGGCTTGACAATTAATAAGTAAATATTCCATAGAATCAGAAAGGTTGTCACCTGCGATTTGCCATAAATCTTATTATAAATCCTTTACATTTTCAGAAATATGTCAAAATAGTCCACAACAGTAATTAAAAATTAATTTTATGATGTTAATATTTAAAAAATAATTTTTTTAATTAATTTTTAGGTTTAGCTCTCTATAGCATTGAACATTATTTCACTGATAAAGAGTATGTATGTACTCCTTACAATAAAGCAGAGTGTGCTAAACTAAATGGATTTCGACGAGCTATCAGAATAAAAATCAGAATTTTTACAAGAGCAGTTCCTTCAATACCAGCATAAAGAAATTGAAATGTTTGATTAAATTAACAACAATGTTTAATAGTTTGAAGATAAATAATAAGAAGAATAACTTAAAAGCATAGCATCAAGTAATGTAAATTAAGATAAAAATGAGTTACTTTCAAGTAGCAATCAATAAAAAGTTGTTAAATTTGAACCTTCTATACAAAAAGCCACTATAATTTAATGAAAATAATATATATATTCAAAGGTATTAAAAATTATTATTTATTTTTCTTATAATTAAAATTTAAATAAAAGTGTAATTGGTATTAATCCAATTCTTTTTATTTACTAATTAATATATTTTATAATTAATTTAAAATGTAAATACATTAAATTTATTCAAAATGTATCAAATCTTCTATTACCAGTCTTTAAAAAATTATATCTGTTCATAGATTTCGTATTATAATTAGTTAAAAATTTTAAATTAATATAAAAATAAAATTTAAGTTGAAAAGAGAGTGAAATTAACTCTGAAAATTTTATATTCTACTTTATTAAAAAAAACACTAATTATTATCATCAAATTTAAATACTTAATAAATCATCTAAAATTTAATTAATATTTTGATACAATAAACTTGTTTGACATAAAATTTATTTTTTTAATTTTAAATATTTTTTATTTCTTTAATTTTATCCAATAAAAATATTTTTTTATACAATCATTAAAAACAAGATTAATTTAAATTAAAAACTCTATTAATTTAAATTAAAAATTATTATAATAAAATATCTAAAGTAAAATATTCAAAGAAACTTATAAATCTTTTTTAAAAATTAAATTATTCTCAAACCTTTAAAATATTTAATTAAAAATAAATTGAATATTTAAAAAATATTTTTTATAAATTTAAAACTTATTATTGATAAAAAAAATCTTATTTGTAGATATTTTATTTTTATATATAAAAATTGAAATATTTCAACTAACAATAAATATTTTATTATAAGAGCAAATAAATTTTATTATTAATTAATCTCTTAAAAAATAAAACTTGATTATGGGAAAAGTATAAATCGTGAAGAAATTTTAAAACCAAGAATATTAAAGATTGATTTAACAAAAATTATAATATATTTATTTAATTGATAATAAATTTTTATTTTTTAAACTCCAAAATTTATTAAATATCTTATCAAATTTTGCTTATAAAATGAGCAGGTAGGTTGGTAGGTAAGCAAGTGTAGAAAAATGAATATATATATCTTTATTATAAGTAAGCATTTTCAATAAAAGAAAACTTTTAATAGGTAAATATATAATTATGATATAGGTTTGTTTGTTTATTTGTTTGACTTTTATGAATAAATCGAATTTATTTTATATTATAAATTAGTTGTAGTTTTTATAGTATTTACATAATTATTAATTGTCAACTTGTTGTGATTTATATTATTATTTTATGAATGAAAAATTTCAATTTATCAATACTCTTTAATTTTTTATTTATATTAGCTTAAATATTAATTATGTGCAGAGAAATAGTTAGATCAATAAATAAATAAATAGATTTTTTATCCATAGATATTTAATGTTTCTAACTTATTATTATTTATAAATATTATTTCAGTATACTTCATCATAGGAATATCTGGAAGGAACAAAATTTTCTTTCTCTACAGCACGAGAGTTACTATTATTTTAGTTATATGCTCTGCTACTATTTATAACACTATTATTGTTATTTTTTGCAACACTCATCATTGAATTGTCATTATAATTACTTTCCTTCATGTTACTGTATTATGAAATGTGACTCATGTTTTAGTTGATATTACTGACATTACAAAAGCTATTTCTTTGGCTAAAAGGATTTTAGTATCCAGTATTTTAATATCCATTAGCTATAGAATTAGAAGAAGGTATATGTTGTGGAATCTATGAATTCACTTAATAAATAGATCCATTTGCGCTAATAGGCTAAGATTATTAATATTGTTATTATGAAAATTATTGAGGCTAATAGCTCATTTGATTAGTTGGCTATGGTTGTTATATTTATTGAGCTTGCTTTTATTATTAAAGGGCACCTCCATCAAAATTATAGCCATTAAATAAACCTTTTTCAAAAAAAAATTGTTAATTTTAAGTTATTTTATAATTATTTGTATTTATTTACTTTGTACAGAAGGGCGTTTTAAAAGCAAGGCATTTTATTGAATAATCTCTTAATTTTATTCATCTTCTAATGAAATTTGTTGTTTTTGATCAAAGTTATCTTCATTTGCCTAAAATATAAATTGTTATTATAAAATTTATTAACAAACAAAGATAAGTTTATTTACAGGAAGGAAAGGAGCATCTATCTATTTTTTAATAAGCTTCTACCAGGGGAAATTCTTAATCCAAGGATGGTTCTTTACCTCAGCAGGTCCATTAATACCCAATCTGTTAGCAGGCTTTCTCTCAATCAACTATAATATAAAAATAAATATGTTTATTAATGAATTCTTATGTGAATATTATTTATTATTTAATCTTTAATTTAACAGTTTTTTTGAAAGTAATTTATTTATATTTATAAATTTAAATATGAATTACCCTATTGATAAAATCTGCAGCTTCAAGAGACCATCCATCAGGAATTTCATGCTTTTTAATTTAAACTCTTTTAGCCAAAATTTAATCTCTAATCTCCTTTCTAGATCTTCCTAAATAAGGTCTCTATTAATTTTATAAGCATAATTTTAGAAAAACATTCATAAATATATTAAATGTTAAGTTACTCTTCCAAGCATAAACTCATAAGCTAAAACTCCCAAAGCGAAATAATCAACAGCAAATGTATGTGGTTGTCTACACATGACTTCAGGTGCTATTTATATAATATTTTTAGAATTCTTATGTTTTAAATAAATTTAAGTAGTTAATTAATTACCCATGTAACCAGGAGTTCCTGAAGTATCATTGGCATTATCAGGTTTCCAAGTTCTTGCAATACCTAGATCGGTAATTCTTACATAACCACTGCTATCTAAAACAAGATTTTCAGGTTTTATATCTCTGTGTATAATATTATTATCATGAAGATATTCCAATCCCATAAAAATGCAGGCAACGAAAAATCCTAATAAAAAAAGTGTTAAAGTTTTTTTAATAAAACAATAAAATTAAAACTTACTTGTTTATTCTTCTGAGAATCTTCTCTAACGGCCTATGTGATAACGTAAATCGCCACCAGGCATAAGATCCATAACTAGATGAAGGTTTTCTCTGTCTTAAAAAGCATAAAACATATTTACTAAGAAACTGTTTTTATTAAAATTTTAGTTAAAATTATATTAAAATGATTTTAATATTTACGGATGCTTAAGCTAAGACAATAGGTTTCTTTCATTCATTACTGAGTTGACACTCTTTTTGGTAATAATTCTATGATTAATATAAAATATATTTATTTAGTTTTTATTTTAATTTTAAATTCTATTTAAAATTAACTGTTTTTTAACTGAATTAAAAACAAAAAATTTTTAAAAAAGCATTTTGAGATTTTTTATCAAAACATAAAATTTGATAAAGAAAATCAAAAGTTTTCTTAAAAATTTTTTTTCATTCAAAAACAAATCGTATTTAGAATAAATTTAATTTTTACAAGCTCTTGGACATTTCTTTCATTGCAAAAAGCTAGCGAGTTTTTCTGTGTTCTACTTTCCAAACTTTACCAAAGCCACCTTTGCCAATCACGTAGTGGAAATTAAAACAGTTTTTGGATGTACATGAAGGGATAATTCTTAAATCCTCAGTTTAAGGAATGTTATTTGAAGAACATGCTAAAGTATTAGAAAATAAACCTGAAGTGTTATTTGAGTTATTCTTGGAACTTTTAGAAGATTGTTGGTAGTCCTGTGCTTGTTTTGTATTCTACTGTTACTGGAATTGAGATTAGCTACGGTGAGTGCTAGTTGGAGTACTAGGAATCTATTGAGAGTAAGACTAAGGTAATTATGGGGAAACAGAATAAGAATTCATGCTAGTTAATCCTTACATATTATTTGTGTTTGCTGTCGATGCAATGCTGCTTTTATGAGAATGGTTATAAGTATAAGGAGATGGAGGTTGAGAAACTTATTTTGACTATTATTGAGATTGCAGAAGTTAAGAATATTTAGACAAATATGAATGATCTAAATCCTATTAAGATTGCTTTTGTTAAGATTGATTGTTGACTTATGAAGTACCTTAATTAAAAGCACTGTAGCTACTTCCATTGATTCCACCATACAAATTATTATTGGATTTACTTATAGATTAAGAATTTGGAATTTCATTAAAATTATTGATGAGAACTTTTGAAGCATTGTTTGGTGTGTTCATCTTGCTTGCCATAATATCAATACCACTTATGTTATTTGAATTTTAAACGTTATTGCTTACTTGATCTTATGTATTGCGCTAAGCTATCTCTTTTAATAATAAATAATTCAAAAATGAAATAGGTTTTTTTTCAGTGCTTTATTGACCATTTTAGCTTCCGCTGTTATCATTAAGATTGCTGTTTTATGCCTAATTATTTATATTTTGGCTTATCAAAATATTATTAGAGCTAATGTTATTTTAAGAAACATTTAAAACAGAGGAGCTTTATTATGGAGTATTATGAAGATATTGTTATTACTATTGCTAAGGGATTTTAGATATGGACTACTACTGTGAACTCTTTTGTGAAATCTATTAAGAATAGTTGTTAGAAAGTTAGTGGTACATTTACTGATAAGTATTCTTGCTATTTAATTAAGAATTCATGTTGGACTGCTAACCATACCCTCCACTAAGCTATTGCTATTGCTAGCTTGTTTGCTATGAGAAAGAGGGGTGGCGAGTGTTTGGTGAAACTGAATTTTTTGGACTTTTTTTAGGTGAATTAATAAAGCTTTAAGGTTATGAAAAAGGGTATTGTTATTGCTATTGTTGTTGTGATTATTATTACAATTATTGAGACTGTTAAACTTATTATTTTTTCATTAATTTTTAAATTATAGTAGAGTCAACAGCAGAGTTTTTATGGGAGGGTTTGTAGCTAAATTAACTTCCAGAAGGATTTTATATTGAAGATGAAGAAGTTGAAGAAGAGGAACCTGCTGCAACAGAAGCAACAGTGCTGGGAATTTGATTGTTTGAAGCTGTTTATGAGGAAGGCCCGTTTCCGTTGTTAAAGCTATTTGAAGTAGTAGAAACAAAAGAGGGTGATGGCTTATGATTGCTAATATTTGTTGTGCCAATCTAATGCGAGTGGGAATGATTATGGTGGTAGAAGCTTCCAGATCCAGCCTATTATTGCTATATTTGCTAAATTTATTATCCAGGTTGAGCATTTATACTCATCTTTCTTTCTGGCATGCGTGGCTTATTGATTGAATTATCACGAGAGTGATTAGCACTAACATTTTAAGAATGGCTGTATATTTACTAAGGATATTAGTTGATTACATTAGCATTATGTTGCTATTACTATTGCTAAATATTGTAGCTATTTTAAATTTAATTCTATTGCAATTTTTACTAATTAAAGTTATTACTACCGCTATGAGCTGTTTAGTAGATCAAAGTTGACAATGGAGTCTTTGTTACAGGTTTTGCACTTGACATTATTTATTAAGATCCTTACTACTGCTTACTAGTCATAGAGACCATATTTTAAGGTCCGTGAGAAGCTTATGATTACACATTCTGCTATTGAAGCTATTGCAAAGGCTAATTTTAATCTGATGGGTTGTTGTAATAGCTTCCCTAACCTCCTATTCTCATCTTTGTTTCTTATTATTTGTATAAATCCTTATAACTCTTCATTCAATGAATACACTAGTAAGCTGTTTTATATGTATTACTAATTAGTGATATTGATTTTTTTACTTTTTTTGTTATTTTTTTTCTTTTCTTCTTCAATCAAAATACTTATGTTATTTTAATTTATGAATTTATTATTTCTTTTTTCTTTTCCTTTTTCTTATTTGTGAAACAAACCTTATTAACTACTATTTTTCTTGTTAATATTTTGATTTTATGAGATCCCATACACATTATTTATTTATTTAATTATCTATCAAGCTTGCTCATCCATCTTCTTTTATTTTCAAAAAAATCAAATGAACCTAAAAAAATTAAATTGAAATCCAACAGCAAAATAACTCTAAATCATGTTTCATTGTAAATTAACATGCAATTTTTCATTTATAATACAAAATTTTTAAATCATTTCAACTCCTATTTCTTCTAAATTTTGATTTTTAAAGGCTATACTATTGAACGTTAAAACATATCTTAGATTTATTTATCTTACTTTTAAAAATCTTTCAAATAAAAAAGACCCATCATAATATCTATTTTCTATTTGCTTTTTTTGATCAATCAGAATTTGAAAAAAATTTATAATTTACATGCGATAATATATTTTTAAATTATTTATTGAATATAACATCATTCTTTAGATGTTAATTAAATTTATTTTATAATTAATTTAATTAAATTGGCTATACTCAGAAAAATAAATATATCTTTAATTATAACTTAATAAAGACTTTTTTATTTAAAAAGAAAACTGCTCTCTGCTTAAATTAAAACATATATTTTTAAAAATGTAAATTATTTTTTTTTGCCATAATTTTATTCTCCTTTAAAGTTAATAAATACCTGAAAATTATCCTTTAATTTTATAACTTAAAACATTTTTGATTTTTAACATACTGATACAATAAATAAAATATATACAATAAATATGATAAAAATGAATGAATGTGTTTATGTGTACAAAAAGTTGATTTGTTATTAAAATATTTAGAAATGATGAATTGTTTTAAATTAAATTAAACAAACTTATTTCTGATTCTCAAATCAATTTCTTTATGATAAAGGCAGTTTTTCAATTGAGTTAAGTTGTGAGTTTATAATATTTTTAAAATTAAGAGTTTACTTGTAGCTATTTTGTATTAATTATTGAATTTCTTCTTAATCCTCAATCGATTATCTTTATTTGTGATTTGAAGATTAAACTGTTCTATGTTTGCTGAGGTTAGCAAAATTATTTGAGCTTTTTCCAGGAGTGCACTGGTCTGCTCTTGAAAATGGGCGAGTAAAATATGGTTCATTTGTCCTTTGCAATTTTCTCTTATTTTCCATATGTATATTAACTACTGGAGATTATGATAGGATATCAGTCTAAGTAAGAGATTTTGTAGAAACTGGTAGTACATTATTGAAAGACCTTGGAGTTTGTAAGTTAACAAATGATTAAGATTAATTATAATCTTTAATTGTTTTTAATCTAGTAGTTGTGGTATTGTTAAAAGAAGAGGCACTTTTTATAAACTCATGATATTTTTATATATTTTCCATATTTTTAGTTGTATTTTACCATCTTTCAGAAAGAGGTTATTGAGTTTTCTATTTTTCTTCCATAATATTGCTATTCTTTTTTTGAATAAGCCTGTTTATTTGTTTAAGATTTTCTTTTTTTAGTTCATCAAAAATAGGCTTTTAAAATAACTAGTGCTTGCCTTTAATTTTAAATTATTATTTAATTATTTAAGTATTGCTTTTAATCATATGATGAATTCTTCCTAGGTTTAGTATATCACCAGAAGTGGATTATACCTGATTATATTTGCTCACGTACTCAAGCGAAGCTGGGACTCCTAACAGTGTTTATTACTGCTCATTTTGACTTGTTTACTTTACTTGGCTTTAATTTTACTCTAAATCTATTGAACATAGACTCTCTTAATTTTTTAATACTCTTGAATTTTTAGATAAATTTCTTTTCTGATTGATTGATTCAATTAAATTTTAGCTTATTTGTAAATTGTTTTTTTTATTGCCATCATTCTTAACCATGGAAATTTTATATTACTCAAAGTTTTAATCTTAATTATTAAATTAATTCGTTTATTTTGTTTAGTCAGTTATAATATTTTAATAGGTTGAAACGACTTTCTTAATTTATAATTAGTTAGCTTAAAGTTGTTCACTTTAATTGCTTTATTAATTTTCTATTTATCTGGCAGAGTAATATCTATATGATTTATTTTCTTCATCTGCTATTGCATTCCCATTTTCAACTAAAGGGATACCCTCAACTATAGACTTTTTTATATTCCCTCTGTCTGTTAATAAGTATGGATTATCTTATGATTAAATAGATTGTAATCTAATTAAGGGGTGATTTTTGAATTATTCTAAATATTCTTATTTCTAATTCTGTCCTCTTTAGCTCTCTAGATTATTCATTGTACTTTAAGAATTTTGTATTTCGCAATAAGATTTTACTTTTAGCTATTAGTTTTACTATGATATTTTGTTGAGTAACAAAGCTTTGGAGCTTTAAGCTTAAAATTGAATATTTTATTTCGTCTAATTATCACTTTATTGAGTGTCCTTTGAAAAATTTCTATCAAAAGTTTAGTTAACATTTCTAGGAGAGTTAAAATTAATAGAATCGTTTGTAGCCTGCAAATAACTTTAAGAAAATCTATTTGTATTTTAATTTTAAGCTTAATATTCTTTGTACTAATAATAATTTTTTAATTAAATTATTTTTTTATTGTGAAGCTAATCAAGTCTATTATTAAAAGTTTATTCATCCTCTTAAAAAAGATACTGGCATGCTTGTTAAATCTTTTTGTTGCTAAAAAATTCTTAATTTGATGATTTCGCAATCACCCTATTACCTTTAATTCTTTTATGCATGTTTCTCTACTGCTAATAAAAAATCTCCTTTTGTTTAAACCAAGATAAAATAGAATCACTTTCTGTTTATCTAAAATTTTCAAATAAATCCTCTGGAATTACATAGAATTCAGCTTAAGAAGAAGATACAACCACTTAAAATTCTCTATTCTCCTTTTAGAGAATAATTTCCTCAATTCCGAAAATCTCCTCTTCTCCAAGGGAACACAAAATCTTAGTTAATTTCGGAATCTGTAAAGTTGTTTGTTTAAATTAGTTATTTGAATTTGAATTTAATTTTTTCCTACATAGTGATTACAGATCATATGTTTCATCTTCAACTTAACTATCAGTTGATTAAATTTATTAGTTTTTATCTTCTCGTTCTGGTGAATCAACACTTTCTAAAATTTTGTTTTTGTTTTTAGGTTAAGTTATGGTTTCAGAAATTTATACCTCACCTGATTTAATTAGATAAATAAAATGAGGTCGCTATTCACCTTATTTATACACAATTTAATTTTTGAAGAGAGTTTTTTCATAAAAGTGATATGCTAATTTCATTATTTTACTCTGAGGAACGTTATTGAAAAACTTTTCTAATACTAAAGTCTTGTATCTGAGCTATTATATTTATTCTTAAAAGGCCTTTTTCATACTCTTTTTGCCTATATATAAACAAATTGAATCTTCGATTTCTTAAACATAGTACTTCCTTTAATTTTCTTTTATTTTAATTAAATCTATTATATCTCCGTTTGTTAGTATGTTGAAGGGTCTATTTTAAAACTCTGGAAAAGGATTTGAAGATTTTGGCTGCATAGCGATCATGAAAGATAGTTTCTTTTTTAGCTTGTAGTTAGCTTTATTCATATTAACTTATTAGGTCATTTGTTCAATGTAATTTTATTTATCATTTATACTCTCTAAAATTTTTAAAGGAGAATTGTTTAGAAGGTTTGACGATGATGAAGAAGCTGGAGAAGCATTATAAAATAAATTTTTTTTCTCTGTATTTTCATATATACTAGCTTTGATGGGAGAGGTTTACACATTTTATTGTAATTCATGAACATCATCTAACTTTTCATCTTATATCTCTGTATCGCCTCTTTATAGTTAGAAATTGTCATACTTAATCAAATTAAGCTGTAGCTTTAAATTTTTGAAATGCCTTTTTTGTGAGTTACCTTATTTATTATTTTATTAATTTATATCTTCTTAAATCAATTTATTTTCTATTGCCTAAATTTGATCTAATTTTTTCTAGCCATCCTAAGGCTGATCAAAATCACTAATTTTTACATCATTTAGCTATTTCAAAGTATGAAGTCTATTTTAACTATTCTAAGGTTCAGGTGAATTTGGAAGGTATTCCTACTTTTATGGTTGAAAAAACTAGTTTGCCTTAGAGCTAATTTCATTTTATGATGGTTTATGAGAACTAAGAGCTGATATAGAATTTCCTATGCTATTTTGTTAATTACGTTATGAGTTTATATTAGACTATCCTTCGTTGTTTGGAGTGTTTCCAAAAAAATGGTTACTGTCACTATCAGTATTATTATTTTTGTTAAAAACAGTCTAAAATGAACCTCTTTGAGATATATCATTCGAAGAACCTTTGATTCTATTTATTCCAACTACCATGTTAACAATCTTAGACATCTTTATGGGATCTTATTGCTTAGATTTACTCTTTTTAGTTTTAACATTATTTTATTCTTCTTCTGGATTTTGCTGATCATCAACTATTATTTCTTAAATAAACCCCTTAAGTATTATGTAGAGACCATCATAATTGTTACGCCTAAACTTTTTACCTTTTTCTAAATCAAAAACTTTGATATACTTCGATAGTATTCTATAATAATCAAAGTGCTAATAAGTATTATCCTATGTCAAATAATCAGTAAAATAAGGCTAGTAGCAATTCAAAAATCTATTTATTTTATCTTGCTAGACTACACTAATATCTGGCATCTATTCCTTGGAAGAGTATTAATATTGAACATGCTATTTAAATATTTGAGTGATCTCCTACAAGTTTTTTTTGTCAAGGAAATTGTGAAGCATTGTCAGTAAGTCAGTCTTTCTTTGTTTCTTTGCTAATAATGATTAAATTTTTAATTTATATCAACCAATAAATGCTAATAAGTTAATTTTTCTAAAAATTTATAAATTTATAAATATTAATTGAGTTTTTTACGTTTCCTTGAAATTTGATACCGAATGGTTTTTGAAGTTATTTTCAACTAAAATTTTTAGAAATTTTATAATATTTTGATTAAAAGAACTAAATATAATAGCTTACATTTTATAAAGTATAATTCGCAAAATTTTGATGATATATTTATCAAAATTAAATTTAATTTTACAAAATTATTGTTACAATAAAATCCACATAAATCCTGCAAAAATTCAAATTATTCCTCAATAAATTATTTAAAAAAATACTTATGCTCTCAACACAAATTAATCTACTTTTTTCAGTATTATGTGAAATAAAGTAAGATAACTGAAATTCATTCAATCAAAAGGAAAATTAAATGAATTTTTCCTTTAATTAATTATTAAAAATAGCCAAATAAATTTTAAATTTTTATTGGTATAAATTAAATACAATTAATATTAAAAATATTCATGATTTTATTAAAAGTAAATTTATAATTACTCTTACAATAAAATTGTAATTCTGCCACCATTATTTTTAAATTTCGTACTTTTAATAACAAAAGAAAGTAAGTTAATTTAATTTTTTACTTTAAAAAATCAATATTTTTTTTTATTTTTAAAATATTTTGGTAGGAAAAAAATTCTTTTTGGTTTCAAACTCTTCCGTTCTCCATAAAATATTTTAAATATTCAATAACTGAAAATTCATTATTTTTTTTGAAAAATATTAATAAGATATTTTGATAAAATTCTGATTTTATTCCTTTTTTTGCAATTTTAATTTATGTTTCTACTCAGAAAAAATAATTTGATATATTTTTTTACATTTTAATTAATTTTAAAGTAGATCAAGCTCTCACAAATAAAAGGTACAAGATGGATAATAATAACTAATTATATCATTCTATTGTAGCGTGGGTAATAAGCTGATACATATCATTTAGCAATTAAGAATTAATTAATAATAATATGATTGTTTTTTTCGTTGAAATATGGAAAAAATACTCAATTAGTTAACATTTTTGAATGATATAATTTATAATATACTATTTAACATGTAGGACATATTTAAATTTATAATTAAAAGATAAACAAATTATAAGCACATGAAATACATAAAGAAAAGCTGATAGATAGTATTTTAGACCTTAAAGATGGAGTTATTTTAGCAAAATTATTTAATTTGTGGTAAATTATATATATTTACTATTCAATTATTTAGTTTGTTTCAATTAATCAACCAAAAAAAAGTGTGCCAAATAATTATAAAATTGATGAAAGCCAAATGTATACTGAAGATGTGGATAATTGGGCATTTACATTGAAAAATTTAAATATTATATACGATAGCATAAGTAGTTATAACACTGAAGTCAATTAAAAATCTACTCCAGAAATTGAGTTTTTGTCTATATTTAATGAAGACAATAAAGTTGCTATGCTTTAGTTAGTAAATTTTAAATTAAATATATCAATTCTAACTTGTAATAATGAATATCTATTTTTAATTTATAGATAGAAGAAGTTTTTGGAATAGTACTTTAGTCTGAAATGAAAAATGAGTTCATCACTGCTATTATTGATTTAGATGAGGAGGACTAAGAAAAGTTAAGTCATTTTTTAAAAAAACTCTTGAAAGTAAATAGCAATGATAAGATTAGATTAGACACAGATTAAAGCTTAGAAGATCATCATCATTTTTCATTAAATGAATCAGGATTGAAGTAGTAGTAAAGCAAAGATTCAAAAGGATATACTTAGGATAAGGAGCTTCTAAAAAAAATTGATGAAATCGAGCTTGAACTAGGAAAAGAAAAAAAGAAATTCGAAACTTTAAAATTAGATTATGATCAATTGAATTTAAAGATATTATCATTTTAAGAATAAATAGAGAAAAAAGATTAACTCATAGACAAGTTGATTAAATAACGTGATGAATTTTTGAATTCAACTGGTTACTAATCATTTGAAGATGCTTAATAGGAAATTAAAAATAAATAAAACAAAATTTCTGATCTAAATAAAATCATAGATGAATTAAAAAATGATCATTAAGATGCAATTAAAAATTTAAAGGTATTCAAAATTAAATTATTTTATTTAATTTTTATTTATCGATTTGTTTAATTTTATTTTAGGATGAAATAAATTTACATGAAAAAAAACTTGAAAAATATAAAAACTATGAGAAAATGGTTGAAACAGTTAAAACTTTAAATGAAGAAAATAAATATCTCGAAAAAAGAGTTTAAGAATGTGAAAAAATTGTAGAAGATATGAAAAAAAGAAATACAGAGCTATCTTAAAAAGTTCAAGATAAAGAAGAGATGATGAAAAAAAAGTATGAGCAAAAGTAACTTGTTTAAAAGAATATAGACTTAGAGACAGAGCTGGGCTCAAAAACAGCAGAATGCTAACAACTATAGTAGGATATTTATGAGCTGTAGCAACTTAATTCGAGATAAGAAGAGTAAATAAAAACTCTTAATAAGAAAGTTTAAGAATTACAAATGAAGAGCAGTGAGAAAAAGAGGGCTATGACTCCTACTAAAAGAAACCTTTCTTCTGATTTTAATGACATGGTAAATAAGCTAGAAATGCATGAGTATTACAGAAAGTAATCAAGGCATTAGACTGACATTAATTTACCTAAGATTCAAACAAATTTTAGCTAAATCGATGAAGAGGAGCACAGTTAGAAAAAGGAATAGGCTGAATAATAAGAGGGTCATGAATTTTAAACACCTAATCCAAATCAAGATGGAGAGAAGAATGAATTAAATACTAATGAAAAAGAAGAATAGTATAGAGATATGGAAGAAAATTATGAACTCCTTCAACTAGAAAATGAGAAGTTACGTTCACAAATAAAAAAAATGCAATAAGATATAGCTAAAAAATCATCAGTTTCTGATCAATATAAGTAAATTTATTAATTATAAGAAGAAAAAGCCAAATTAGAGTCAGAAGTTGCAATTTTGGAAAAGGTAATATTTTACTTACTTAGCCATTTTTCTAATATTATCCATATATTTTTTGAAGAAATGCTCATAGTAACAGTAAGATGGTGATGATGATAAATCTAAAATCATTAAAAATTTATAAGATACGATCAAATCCTTGAAAGAAAGGGTTGGGTTTTTGCAAGAAGAAAATAAAGAGCTAAAAGAGCACTCATAACAATCTGTATTGCTTTAATTTTTTAAATGAATTAAAATTAAAAAAATAATGATAATTTTAAAGGAATAGGCAGACAAATTAAAACTGGAAATGTAAAAGCTGAAAAAATAAATAGATTTTTTCAAATTGGAATCAGAAGACAAGAGAAAATAGTTAGAAGAAGAAATTAAGCTACTAGTTGGAGTTATAAATGAAATTAGAATGAAAACTTTTGATTTATCTAACTCAGGAAACAAATCATAATTAATCTCTGAATCTCTAATAAGTAATAGCTAAGCAACATAAAACAGTTTATAAAATTAAGAAATAAACAGGTAAATAAGTAACAATTCTGTGAGAATGCCTTCTTAAAAATGAAAAAATTATATAATATAAATAGTAATTAATGAAAATTTACAAAAAAATAAGGTTTATTTTGCAAATGAATAAGTCAATTTATATAAAAATCAATGTAATTTTTTTATAATTTGTTTGTACTCAATCTCTTATTTTGCAAATAAATTTGATTTCCTAAAGTTTTGATGACTGAAAATTATTTTTGAATTAAAAAGATACAGTTAAAATAAATATATTTAATAAATTTATATAATTTTTTATTATTTAAAATATCCAAAATGCCATTTATTTTTTAATAATATTTCATTTTTGCTCAGGACTGATTTTGTTTGAAGCTTTTTTCTTTTTACTATCATCAAGGTTCTCCTATTCTTCCATCTTTTTATATGCATTTATTTTTTGTTAGATTTATTTAAAGCTATATGGAACTATATAAGTATAAATATATTTTACATCTTCTAGCTCAATTGGTGGCTTATCTCTTGAAAGGCAAAAGCAACAGCAGATATAATTAGCTATTAGTTCGCAAAAAGACATTTTGCAGTTAAATAAATTGCTACATAAGATCTTGTCAATTATAAACAGAATTAATGGAATACCTATTTCAAGATTTAAAATAGTTAAATTTAACTTTAGCGCTTAGCCTTAATTTTAAAATTTAGGTCTTACCTACTATAAATCCTGCTAGTATATATAAAATTGTTACTAAAACAGTAAAATTTGGATTAGGTTTTAGTGGACATTTTAAGATATCATGAATACACTCTGCGTTTGGAGCTGTTCCTTCACAGCAAGTTTCGCACTCTTCTGTATCATCTGGATTGCAATGCTCACCTAAAACAATACCTAACAGCAAAAATGCAAGTATACCTAATTTAACTAATTTGTTTTTTTAAACCATTTATTTTTAAGCTTTGAAATTGATTATTGAAAGGAAAATAACAACTTAATAATATTTAATAAATACCAAACTTTATCAAGTGAGCTATTTTAATAATCGATATCCATTCAAAATAGCCAAACAAAGTCTTTTTAAATTCGAAGGTTAAATAAAGTATACAAATGTAATATCTTTTACTACCATACAAAAATGCAACTTTAGACAGGAAAATTTGAATTATAGTTAATATTTTCAAAAATTATCTTATCATATTTAAAAGGAAAATTAAAAATCACATCCTCAAATTCGACTATTAAGAAAAAGATAAACTAAAAACAGTGTTACCTTCAATATTTTTATAAAATAAAATCATAAAATTGTGATAAAATAAAAAATATTTTTTAATTTTAAAAATTTAGCTAAAATAAATAAAAAATTAATAAATATATTACTTTATTTTTTTAAGATATGTATAAAAATATTTTTGATTTGATTTTAATTATTAAAAATTGTTTATAATTTTTCGATACTGACATACCTTTATTTTTTATAAGTTATTTTTTAAAACACAATTATTTTTTAAAAAGTTAGTTTTCTAATAATAAATATTGAATTAAATCCAAGAATATTTATAATATTTAAATTGAAGTTATTTAACCTATATTAAGAATGGTTTATAGTATATAAAAATAAATTTGTTGAGTTTATTTAAAATTGAAATTACAAAAGCAATTTATGGGTAAATTAATTTTTATAATAATGTCTTTTAAATTTTGTAGTTTATTTGCTTTTGCTAATTTAAATAATGCACTTTAGAATATTTAAGTATTATTTATAAGCTAATAAAATATAGAAATAAGCTTTAACAAAATGGATTAGAGGTTTTAAGCTATTATCAATCAATAACAAATGTAGTTACATAACTTAATTATTAATATATTTAATTATTTTTTAAATATAGATAAATATGAAATATTTTAATTTGAGAGTTATTAACTTTATTTTAAATTTATAGATTAAATATACATATTAATCTGAAAAATAAATAGTTTAAAAACGCTAATATTATTATATGGATTTTGTATTCAAAGTGAATTTTTAAGTGAAATGCTTTTAAGAATAATTATAAAAAACGATAGATATAAAAATTAGATTTCTGAGAAGCAAATTTAGGTAAATGAGAAAAGAAAGATGAGTGGTATTTAGTTTTTATATGAACTCATAGAAATATTTAATTTGGTTTGATTACTGATTTATTTTTTCTAGAAATTAATTGAATTTAATAATCAATATTTATTGAATGTTAATTATTTTTATTTGTTTTTAATTTTTGAAATAGTTATTATGAATATTAAGCGAGCAATAGAGCCGTTTACTATTTTGATTTAAAAATTAATAGAAGTTTGAAAGAATATTTGAAAAAAAGTATGTTATCTGTTTCTTAATATATCCATTTTAATGACGATTTACCTACCTTATATATGTTATTCTTTTACATCAGCTTTTAATTATCAAAACTTATTTAAAAATTTAATCTGAAGATCAGAAATTTGTTTAATCAATTTTTTTACCACTTTAAATAATAAACCTTTGAAAACTTTTTAAATTTTTAAAACGGAAATAATTTATAGGACACTAAGATAAAAATTATTTTTATTTAAACAGAAGAATTTATATATTGAGAATATTAGACGAATCTTACATTATGTTTAAGCATTTTAAAGGTTTAGGAAATTAAACTGCTTTGAAATTTAATAAAATTGAAGTTACTCTAATTTTGTTTACTGAATTAGTAACAAAAACAAGCAAGAAAAGATGTAAAATTAATTTAAGAAAATTTTACATTTAAATTTAATAACGATAAAAGCAAGGAAAATTAATAGATCTTTTTGAGAAATTTACCTTAAATTCAGATCTATTTTTCAGTGTAAATAAATAGGGCAGATTTAATATTTATCAAGTTATTTAAATAATATAAATTTTAATCGTGGCAAATGATGATAAATTTTAAATATGCACATTAGTTTAATACTTACTCTATAAATTATTAAGTAATTTTCATCTTTTTGGATAAACTCTAGAAATATATTTCCATTAAAAACTATAGAAGAAAATTTTATTGAAACAAGAAGTGAATATTTTTAAAAAAGAGAAGTGAATAACTGAATTAAACAAGGAATGAAAGACTTGTTTATAATGAATTCCGTTGAGTTAATTATAAATGAATAGAGATGAAAGAATAACTTGTAGTTTTAAGAATGATATTACAGCTTTATAAAATATAATAAACAAAGAAATTTATTCTCTACACATTCTATTAAATTTCTTTTTTTTGTTTGCTTTTCTTGTACGTAGCTTCTTTTCTGGAAAATAATTCAAATGAAATAATTAATAATTTGATGAATTCAAATTATTGATAAAATTGTTCTTTTGAAGTTCTATTAAATTCTTCGCACAATTGTGTAGTATAAATATTTCATTTTCATCTCTCTTTTAATTAATTTATAATGAATAAATGAAAAAAAACATTAAAATTTTTCAGATTTTTAATCAAACTTTCTTTCTAAATCACAATTATTATTTTCTCTTCTTGACAGAAGGTATTACTTGAAAACTAATTAGTTTCACAGAATCTGTATTCAATCAAAATAAAATTGCTGCTTTATACAAACAAGACCCGACTTTCAAGATAAAACATCAACAATTACTATCAACCTCAAATAATAAATTTACTAAGCTGAAATAATGAGTTGTTGTGAATAAGATTTCACTTACTTTTGTCCAAAATAAAAAAGAAAGGTCTTTTTTGATTACTACGCTCTACTAAACATCAGCAGAGACGCCACTGAAGAGTAAGTTAAAAAGGCCTATAGAAAGTTTGCTATGCTTTACCACCCAGTAATTAATTACTTTTAAATATTTAAATACAAAAAAACTCCTTTTTTTTGAATTCTCCCCCGCTTTGCAAATAAAATTTAATTTACATTCTTTCTTTGCACCACTGAAGCCCTCCTCTCTTTTTTCAACCCCAAGTCAAGTTACAAGTCAATTATTTTTTTACAATTTTAAATTGAAGGGTACGCAATAAAATTAAAAATACCTGATAGAAAGAATTAAAAATTTTTAATGTTCTTAATCAAATTCAAAATATTACCAATTGTTTATTATTTTTCAAATTGCTTACCTTTTTTTATTAAAACTATTAGGATAAATGTAATGATGAAAAGAAGGAAACATCTAAAGAAAAATTTAAAATTATTGCTGACGCATACTAAAATCTTCTTTGTCCTGAAAGAAGAAGCGCTTATAACTCTGCATTACTTAGAATGGAATTAATTTAAAATGCTAAGAAATAAAATCCTAAAGGTGTTTGTTCTCTTCTTTAAAACTGCACAAAGAATGAGCTCATATGCTTCTTAGTCGGCTCCAATATATGCAGCAGCTAATCTACTTCATAAAACTAAAACCAAAAGTAATAATATTTTGACTGCTCTGAGTAAAGCAAAATCAATAATTATTACTAAAGTTAATAAAACAAACATCAATTCTTTGAATAATGGTAAAATCAAAGCAAAGTTATGAATTCCAATAATTTTAGAATGAACTCTCAAAATGATGGGTTCAGTGAGGATGAAAACGGTTCAGATGAGTCTGAATGCGAACCTTAGTGTCAGGGCTCTGACATCTGCTCCAACTCCTCAGAATAGAGTTTCTATCAGAAATTCTCCTTTTTTAACAATATAAAAACTGAATAATTGAACCCTGAAAACTTTACACTTTTGAAAGGAATTTTTAACAACACAAATTTTAATAGTCAATAAGCTAAAAACGCTTTCGAAGATGAAATTTCTCTCAGATATAAATAATATCAAAGCTAATAATAATAATAAAACCTTTAGACAAAGATTGAGTCTTTTTGTTTTAGCGCTTAAGAAAAGTAAGAGACTCCTTCCTTTGAAGCTGCTTAAGTAAAAAGAGAAGAACAATTACAGTAAGAAAAAGATAATTAATTATCAAATGATTACAATTGTAAGACCTAGTAAAACGATAGTATTAACTATTTCTAACAATTTAATACAAAATTTGAAGATATTAAATGCGAAGACTAGAACGATGATGACATTTTAACTAGTGATAAAGAAGATGATATTCCTTCTGAATCTAATAAATAATACAAGAGCCGTATCACTAAAGCATAAATTAAAATGCTGCAAAAATAAAATCAAAATAAGAAAATTATCGAAAGAATCAGAAACAAAAAGCCTGTTTTCTCTTCTACAATCTGTAAAAGAATTAAAAAACAAAATTGAAAAGCAGAAAAAACTCTATTAAAAAATCAAAATTTTTGACTATTATCTATATGAAATTATTCCCCAGAAAGATTGATAGATTGATTAACTAATTAATTAATTATTTGCTGATAAAATTTTTTTTACAAATTAACTCAAAAAAAAAAAAAATAAATCAAATAGAAAAGTTGCTACTATTAAATTATAATATTGATTATTAATTCTATTAATTTTCGAGATTTGTTCTAAAGCAAATTACATAGAAATAGATCAACCAAACAAATACAGACATTAATAAAACATAATTTCTCTACTTTAAAATGAAATAATTTTGGTTTTTCTTTTGAATTTGTCTATTATTGATAAAAAAGTACTTTAAAGCTCTGATCTCATAGACAATTTTATCTATGTAAAAAATAATAAATTTAGAAGAAAATCTCTTTTAAATAGAAATTTAGATTACAATAATCCTCATAAATTTCAAAAAGGTTTCTTTTAGAAAGATAAGGATCAAACATGCAAAAAAATAAACAAACAAACAAATACACATATATAAATCACACAAATGCACATATCTCTCATCCATCTCTGAATCTTACTCCTCATTTTAAATTACCATAATCACTAAACTTAATTAAATTTTATTTAAATCTTTCTAATTTATTTGTAAACAGTATTTTATCCATATTTATTTATTTCTTGTAATTTATAACTTTCAAATAATTTTGTTACAATTAATTTCCTAACTTTCAGCAGAAAATACTCTTTATTAAGAAATAATTCAACTAAAAATTGTTTTTATTATGCTTATTTATTTAATTGCATACCTTCATAATACATTTCAAGTCATTTAATCTCATTTTTTGCAAATGATAAAAATTCTAATCAAAATTTATTATTCTTAATTTACTATTTTTTCACTTTTTATAGAAGAATGCAAATAGCTCAGAAATAATAAGGTAAAACACTGAATATACTTACAAAATAAAAGAACCTTTCCTAAAATGCACCATAAAAAGGTTAAGGTTGATTCAATAAATAATTCATGATACTGAACAATGAAGTATCTAGTTTATTTATATAGTGAATAATTAATAGTCTAATTTAGTTTTACTTCTATTTAGTATTTGACTTCTTTTGCATTATTATTGATGAGAAATTAAAACTCAAAGAATTTTATCAAATTTGTTTAAAAAATTTAGTGCTATAAATAATTTTTTACTCACAATTCATTTCTCTTGAAATGAACAAATATCTAACTTTGAACAGTTGTTTTTATTTTTGAATTTTTTACAGTAATTTGTTTTTTTGTGTATATTTACAATAATTGTTAAGCAATTTATGATGCATTAACATTAATTAGATATAGTATGCATTTCTTAAGTTAAACATGGCTATAAATTTTTAATTTTGTTTTTTTAAATTAAATTAATCAAGAATGCGAAATGGTATTTTTTAATCAATAATATTCCTTTTATTTTGTAGTTTATAGATAAAAATAAGTTCACAAATTATATATGCTTAAATCTATTAAATTATTGCATTATTTTTCTCTAATTCTCTTATGTTGGACATCTAAGCAATATAAAATACAAAATATTATTTTGTCTTAATAATTAAATTTCTTAAATCCTTCTAAGAATTTTTATGGAAGAACTCTAGTCATTGTAATATGAGTAATAATTTTAATTAAATTTATAAGGAATATGATTATTATTTTAATAGATTTTTTCTAGAAGATTTTAAATATAAATATGAAAGTAATGATAAAAAATAACCCTTTAAATCTATCAAAATGTTTTTAAATTTGTAATTGACTATTAATTATTATTATACTTTTAAAATAATCAAATTTTTATACCTATTTTTCTAATTTTTTTATCCATTCTTTTTTATACTTCATTTATTTTAATTCATTCATTCTAATAAGTATAAAAAAATTGAAATCTGCTCAAATAAATATTTATAACATATTAAGTCAAAAAATAATTTAATAAATTTCTTAATTATTTCAAAATAATTTTCATTTTCATGAAAAATGTGATCATAAAGAAAAATAACAAACAAAATTTAAAATATTTAAATAGAATTTTATTAGAAAACAAATTTATTAGTTAAATTAATTTTTTATTTCGTCTAAACATTTCATTTTTTTTTTTGAGATTATTTAGGTCTTCATTAATCTTAGAAGGTATTTTATAATGGTTTCTTAGGAAATTATTTACATAACTGTAATTTTATGATTAATTATTGCTGATTTTATTTATTTAAAAATATAAAATATTTTTTGGTAGAAATAGTTTCTAATTAAAAATTTTCAAAAAAAAAACTAATTAATAAATTTTGTCATAATTAATATATTTATGATTTATTAAAAAATTGTTATTTAAATAGAAATGTGTTGTAACAAATAATTTTACTTAAATATTTTTGTCAATTTGCTTATTAATAAATGAGTACTAAAAAACAAATATACATAATAAAATAATAGATTTAAAAGATTCTTTCCTTTGGATTATGGATTTTTTTTATATCTTATAATCATATAATTAATTTTATGATAAATAGGATAAATAAATATTTAGAAAGGAGAATAATTAACACAGATTAATTTAATATAATTTCTAATATTCTTGAACATAGTTATTAACTTTAAAATAAACCATATATTGCTATTCAACAAAAAAATATCGATCAGATATTTTGCAGTAGAAACAAAATATTCAAACAGGTTAAAAATAAAACTTAATAAATAAATCTAAAAGGATTAAATCAAATGAACTCAGAATCAAATAAGCAAGCTATCGCTACAGATTACAATCCTAAAGTAGCTCTTAAAAGAAAGGAGCGTGATATAGCAAAGCTTCTGATGAGTGATTTTAAGATACTTTAGAATAAGCCATGCAAATAATTTCATGAACTCACATTACAATTTGATGGACCTAAAAATACACCATACGAAGAAGGTTCTTGGGAGGTATATGTACTAATACCTGAACAATATCCATATAAAAGTCCTAGTATAGGTTTTATAAATAAAATATTCCATCCTAATATAGATTTCCAGTAAATTTAGCTTTTACAAAATATATATCAATTTAATAATAAAGAAATATATCACAAAAAAGTATTTCAAAATTTGTTTAAAATATTTTCTATGTTCAGAAATAAAATATTTATATTATTAATATGCAAATTATAAATAAATATTTTATTTATTTTTGCTTCTAAATACTTAAATATTTCCAAATACTATCAAAAAAATCTATCAATTTTTTTAAAAATAAAATTAGGTCAGGAAGTGTTTGCCTTGATGTGATCAATCAAACATGGAGCCCAATGTATGAGCTGATTAATATTTTTGACATCTTTTTACCTTAATTACTTACTTATCCTAATCCTAAAGATCCTTTAAATCCAGAAGCTGCAATGATCTTGATAAAAGATCAAAATATTTTTAACTAAGTTGTTTAGGATTTTGTAAAAAAGTATGCCCCCAAAAAACATGCTTTACTTAAAACTCACTCAACATAAGATTAATATCAATGTTCAGAAAAATTTTTAAATGATGCAAAGCAAAGTTTAGAAAACCTCCAGCGATCTTAGTCTTAATCTCAAAATGATACGATGTCTTCTTCTACTTCAAGCCAAACAAAATTAACTTCTACAAATACTTCGAACGACTAATAAACAAAGTTTATTAATAATATTAACACAATCAATCATAAAGAACTTTCTTTCCAAAAAAATAATTCTCTAAATTAAGTACAGAATGTTAAACAAAAATACTACGATGAAGAAGAAGAAGAAAAATAGAATAATGTGTACAAGGGTGAAGCTGCAGATAAAGAATAAATAGAAGAAGAAGAAGAAGAATTATATTGTGGATCTGTATAATAGCTAAGTGAAATTTCTTAAACAAGTTGCAGTGAACTTTCTTAGTCTGAAATAGATAAAGAATGTGTTTAAGAATATTGAAAAAAAGTTTATGCTTTTGAATTCAATTTAGCAATTAAAATGCTTAAAATTTTAAAACTGATTAAAAAATAATATAAAAATTAATTTATATAAAAAAATTATCTTATTTTCAAGCGAATAACTAACTAACTAACTTACTGAATAGATTTATATTAATTTATACTTCTGTAACTTAAAATTTATTAACTTTTATAAATTTAAATTATTTATTTTGTTTTATGAACTTTAAGAAATTTAATATCAAAATTCTTGCTTTAATTTATTATTTAGAAAAGATTGTGGAGATTATTGGAAAGAAACCTTTCTTCCTAACTGAGATACTGGAGAAAAAGAATCTTAGTACTAAAACTACACTATTTTACCTAGCTTTAATTACTCATTTTTTATTCTGTTTAATGGATTTTGAAACTCAGAACTGGTTTAAGATAATAAACCTCTTTCTGATAACAAATAAGGCTGATTGCTCTAACTTAAAGAGAAATCTTTATTAAATATCTAAAATCTTCTCTATTATGTGTTATTTAAAATAAAATCTGATGTATTTGTGTAATAATGATCTGAGCTGCTAGCTGCTTAACTCTCGAAACTTTTTTATTACTTAGTAAATGAATTTGAAGTCTTCATAAAAGTTTTATAAAAAGTTTGGTCATCTATCATGTTTTCATGCTGTTATGAGTTGTTTATATGATTTTTATTTTTAATTTAAAAGCTTTTAATACTTTGTAGTCTCTCTAAACTTTCAGACCTGTCTCTATACTTTATAGTTTGTTTTTAATTTTCTTTAGCATGCTATTCCATTTCTCTTTCTTTATTATTTTCATCATTTTAAACTAAACTATCTTCACTTAAATTATCTTAAATGATTAGTTTTTTTTCTCTAAAAAGATTTATCAAGTCAATTTTCTCTTTATTAGTAAAATTTTTTCCCTTCAACAAATATTTTTTAAACTAATTGATATAAAATATATTTATTATCTTTAATCTAATTTTTCTAATATTTAAATTCATTATTTATTTTTTAAATTTGAAATTTTTTAATTTTATTTTTTAAGGATTAATTTTTTATTATTTCAATAGAAATATTCAAATAATGAAAAATCTGATTATATAAAAAAATTAAAGTTATTTTTATAAAAAGAAAGTAAATTGTAGAATTAGTTAAAAATTACTTTGCGAAACTGTAAAAAATGGGATAGTTATTCACATCCTCTAATGATACCAAATATTGAAATAAGAACGTTTTTCAAGTGTGAAAGTTGCTCTGTCTTTAAAGTAGAAAAACTTTTTTCAAGCCTATCTAACTCATTTTCTTCTAGCTCTTTAACTTTATCTACAGTTAGTTGTAAGAAGTTATTTATTGCCTCTCTTTTTTCTAATCTTTTAAGGACAACATCTTTGTTCTCTTCTATTTCTTATTTCTCAATAATAATTTTTTTGGGAGTTGAATTATTCAATAAAACACTTTCATATTGCATAGTATGAGTCTAAGTGCCTTCATCAAGTTTGAAAATAGGTTTTTTAACTGACAGTATTTCTTTTGTTATTTCTTTAATTCTTCTTTCAGCCTAAAACAAATGAAATCAATAAAAAAAATGTAAGAACGTATGAGTTACTTCTTAAGTTATGCATTGTTTTGAACACTAATAACTTAACTAAGAGAAAATTGATTAAGAATTAGTAGGTAGTTTTATATCATTTATTTATTTCAAGTCTTTTTCTTTGATGTTTTCTGCTTCTACCTTTAATTCTGCAATCTTTAAAAAATATTGTGTAAATAAGGACTATTAAATGAAAAAAAATGAGAATAATAATTATCAAATACATACATGAATTATCAACTCTATTTGTTATTAGTCTAAAAATTAAGGAAAATACTCATTATAAATATTTTCTCCTATTTTTATTAGAGTAGAAACTATATTTGCTAATGAGAGATCAATTGGTTTTTTCATATTAATAAATAAGGTTAAATCCTTTTGCATCATTGCAAGTAGAGTTGTCTTGATATAAGCTCTTATCTTTGTTCTCACGATTTTAAGTTATTTGATATTATCCTAATAGGAAGCCTATTTTTTCTACAAATCTTACAACTCTTACTTCAATATTTCAATATTGCAATTCACTGAGTTTGTTTCTTCTTTCAACATTTCTTTCCTTTTATAAAGCTTCATGTTTTCACTTTGTATTTTTTAAGCTTGTTTTGCACTAATAGGATTGGGCTATATACTTTTCTAATTAGCATTATTTGATAAATTATTTTGATTATTCACTTGAGTGGAATTTAGATTTTCAATTTATTTTTACAATTCATTGGCATATATTTGCTTTTCTTTAATTAAATCTATTTAATTGGCTATACATATTCTTAATTCATATTCATCTATCCTAGCTTATTATAACTTTTCAAATGTTTAAAAATATTTAGGCAAATATATTTATTCAATTTCAGAGTAAGGTGCAAATACCATGTCGCCTTTTAGATAAAATAAATTATTTTTTCCTTTGTTACTCTCTTCAAGCTACTTCTTTATACTGTCATTCTTTAATATATTGTCCAGATAATAATTTGAAAGTCCTTTAAAGTTTTTTAAAGTGTTCTTAACTTATTGCTTCCCAACATCAATAAGCTTTTGTATCCTCAAGTTTTCTTCTTCTTCTATTTCTGCAGCAGTTGCATTTTATTTCTTTTTAGAATATTCTCCGTTATTTTTATGAATCAATTAGGGACTGTCTTAATTTATTTAGCTAAAAGTCTACAAATTTTTTAATTTTTATTCTTCCTTTTTTACCTTATCAATGACTATTTTTCCAATTAAATTTTCAGTTTTCATTCTTTTTTGTACCTCTTGGTTTTATAATATTAGATAAGGATTATACATTCTTAGTAGATTGCCACTTGTAGCTGATGTTATGTGAATGGGGCCTTCGTTTTTTTAATTTTCTTCAGCTTCAGATATTTTATTTTTATTTTTTATACTAATGATTTTTTTTAGTATAGGCTATATTTTGTTAGAATTTTAAGAGCTAGAAAAATTTGTTTAACCCTGCATTAAGTTATTTGGCAGTTTGTCTCTAAGTATACTTGAAATAATTTTTTGGTTGAGCTCAGGTGTGTCTTAAATAAGCAAATCATCTAGTAATTTATGTTTCATTTCTTTCTTAGACTCTTCTTCTTAAAAAACTTCATTTGATACTTATTTATTTTTTTCAATAAAAAGAATTAAAAATGATTAAATACATAGCAAATATTTAAAATATTTTATTTCAGGTATTAATTATCATTCATTTATTATCCCTCAAAAGAAAAAAAATTACTTTTTTAAGCAAGTTATTTTTTATACCATCCATCTAAATCCTATTCTTATTCTAATATTTAAATTTAACACTTTTTAGTCCTGCTCATCATATTGTCAACATCTTCATGCAATCCAACTAGGTATATATTTAGTAAAAATTTATTAATATAATTTTATGGTGTTTTTATATTATTATTAGATATTAAATCCAAATTGCATAAAGTTCTACGCTAATATAATTTATTCAAAATATATTTTTGCTTATAAATGGCAAGTAGAATTATTGAGTTTAAATATTTAAATAACATATATACTTTTGTAGTGTGTTTATGCTGAGATATAGTCTTTCATAATTAATTATAATTGAGCTTGATTTTTATTCAAATTAATAGGTTAGAATAATTCACTTTCATCTTTAATTTCTGAATCATTTAAGTTATTTTTGTCAATCAAAATTTGCATATTTTCATTATAAATCATCTGCTTCGAAACTCTATTAGCTTAGGAGGAGGCATGACTTATATTCTTTGAATTATCTTCAACTTTGGTATTCAAAATGTTAACTCTTTTATTCACCTTCATATCTTCTTAGTTTTAGGTACCTTGTCCAGTCTTGAGATTTTAACTATCATTCAATTGCTATTATTTTTTTAATGAGCTTTTCATCTATTATTGCTTTAAGTTGTTTTACTTCAATTTTGAATAAACCACTCGATAATATCAAAAATTTTGTTAATCAAAATAATAGCTTTTTTTGTTTAATTGATTGAATTATTTTTATTTTATCAAGTAAAGCATTGTTAAAGTTAATTAATTAATGAATGATAGAAATTAATACTAATCATAACATCAGTAAACACTATCTTTCTCTTCTATAAATTTTTATGGATATAATGCTAAAAGATATTAGTACTTTCATATACCAATCTTAATTTCTTATTAAAATTAATCCACTCAGCTTTCCAATCCTAACCTAAACAAATTTAAAGGTATAAATGAAATTGTTTAGAGGTGAAAATTTTTGAGCTGTTGATTTCACATACATGGTCTGTCTTTTCAAAGTAATTAATATTTTTTTTATATAATGATAAAGTGCAGATCATAAAATTTGACTAATATATTTAAATCTGCTAAATTAAGCTTTGCTAAAATAATTTTATACCTTATTTTTATATATTTAAATTTTAACATGAACATCTTCAAAGTATTTGAATTTACATGTTTTTAATACATTTTTTAATTATTTTTTTTTATTAATTTTTTGTATAAATTTTAAGATAAATTATATGTATAGATAGAATTGTAAATAATTTAACATTTTTTTAATAACAATTAAAAAATGAAAGCAATAAATGCTGGAAAAATATAAAATTATAATGAAGAAAAACAAGGTTCCAATATTTTTGAATTACCATATTATATTTATATTTTAGAAGACAAAATAGATAGATTATTACTCAAATTAATTTAGTGAATAAAATATTTTTAATTTATTAAACAAACAAATACTCTTAGATTCAAATCTAATTGTAAAAAATTAATAAATTAATAAACTCCAAATCTTTAACAATCTCAAAAAAATATTAAAATGAGTGATTTTTTTAAAGAATTTAATAGTGAATAAGAACAAAAGATAGATTATTAATTTAAAAGTTAAACCTAAAGTAAACCAAACTTTTCAAGCAATAACAACAACTATGGTGATTTTTAAAATTCTGATAACCAAAACAAAGAACATGATGATTACATGCAAACTATAGAGATTTAAAATACTACCGCTTAAAATGCATAAATGTAGAATAATGAAAACGATATTTAAGAAAATAATGAGAACCATGAAACATAAAACGAAATTGAGAATGATATTTATGAGGAACAATAAGAAAAAGATTAATCTCAATAGAATGAAATTTAAAATTATAAACTAGAAAGCGGTGATTATGAATTCATGAAAGAAGCTATATTGAAAAAAAATAATAATGTAATCGAAATATCAGCATTTTTTAAAATAGGTTAAGAATATTAATTATTTTAAAAAATAATCTAACCAGAAGAAGATGGTTAAAATATTAAATTGGAATAATAATATATTAAAGTTATCACATTTTAATCAGAAGAAGAAAATGAAGAAAGTTTAAGAAATAGCAATGTTAACTACATTTTAAAGAGATTTGTTATAATTTGCAATAATGGATTTCATTTTCAGTGTGATGATGATGAAAATTTAAAATTTTTAGAGTTGCAAAACATTAAACATAATTACTAAACAAATTCGATCGAGTTCTAATGTTTTAATGATGATTATGAATATCAATTTGACCAAAATATTATGACTAAAAACAATGATACTCTGCAAATCGAAGATTTCTAAAAATTTATAGAAAGCATTTCTTGAATTAAATGTTAAAAAATAAATTTAAGTTGATAATATTAAATATAAAAAAAGACTAAAATAAATTTACAGGGAATTTATTAATAAATCTCTAAAAAAATGATAAAAAAATATAAATAAAATAATAATATTATCTTTGAAAAATATATTCATTGTAGTTTTAATACCTTCAATAAATATATATTAGTTTATTTTACTATCATAAATTTATTATTAATTACTTGGCTATAAATTTATTTTATGTATGTATGTATTATAGTTTTTATTATCATTTTATTATTTTAATTGATATCTTTTATAAATCAAATTACATTTAAATCTTATTTTTTAATACTGAGCAACACAAATAAACTGAAGAACACATTTTTAAAATAATTCAGTTTAAATACTAACAAATCTAATTTAATTATTTTTTATATTATCATAAATATTTAGATTTTGTTTCTAATCTTTAGAATTTATAAAATTTATACTTAAAATAGGTTTTAAAAACAAACTAGTATATTGTGGGAATATTTCTTCTTATTTTTAAGAATATCATAACTTTAATAATTTATTTATATATTTAGGGAATGTATAATACAGAATATTCAATTTATTTTTGAAATGAAGATTAGAAATAAATTTGAAAAACTACTAATAAAGTATACAAAGTATGTATAGAATACAAGTCGTTTGCTTTAATGATATAATTAAAATAATTAATGATATGTAAAAAAAGTATTTGCTATATTTTTTTTCCATATTTCGTTATTTCATGAATAAATAAAATTCCTTAAATTTAAAAAGAAATTGACTATCTAAAAAATATGGTAAAGTTTTTTATATTATTAATTATTTTTATACTATAAATAAAATTAAAAAGAGAGAAATTATTTAATTTATTAATAAATTCAGATAGATAGGTAGGTAGGTAACTAGTTTACTACTTTTTGAGTCAATAATTTAAGTTACTATTTTTATTTTTATAGTTCATAATATACATACATACTTTATTGTTAATGATTTTTTTCTTTTAAAATGATGTCTTCAAGAGTCTAATAAATCTTTAATCCTTGGCTCTTTAATTCTACCAGATTATTTTAAGTTTTAAAAGTATGGCTAAAGAGCAGGGTCATCAGATTCTTAAATTATTAAATTTTAAATGTCTATTTATTTCATGTGGTTACTTAATTTTCTAAATTCATTTTAATTCCTTCTTGCACTTTTTTAGTTCTTTTTGTCGAAATTTGAAATAGTTTTTTAAAATTCTGAGCATATTTTAATGATATCGTCCAAATTTTCATTTTATGTTGGTAATTTATCTTCAGATTAACCAGCTCTGCTGAGTTTTTTTTATTTTGTTTCATTCATATGGTTAGTCTGCTTTTGGCTGATAGTATTATTCTTTTATTGCAAAAGGTAGGGTTATTATTGATTGGTGAATTTTTAATACATTTAAGGATTTGAAAGGCTCGTCTTTACCTCGTTTCCATTTTCATCTAAAGTATAAAATACAGGAAATTTATCTTTTTTCTTAAGCCCTATTTTCTCCATGTATCTCTTTACCTGGCCATCTATCCTTGACTATTTTTCAGCATTGGTTTCCATATTTTAATAAAAATTACTACTTTATATATCATTGCTAATATCTGATATGTTTTTTTTATCAGTTAACTTTTCTTGTGTTTGTTTGCTTGAAATATTTAAAATATTTTCTTTTTATATATGTTAAATTTTAACATCATCAGTATTAATAGTAACCTTTTTTGATTTTTTTTTTTAAATATCTTGTTGCGAGCCTCTTTGCTTAGGGGGAATTTGAGGTAGTGTATTTTCATTCATTATCCTATAAGAACCTCTAATTGGCATAGTTGGATTGAATGCTTAGAGTTCTTCGTTATTGTAATTTTTACTTGTGCTTTCATATTGAACCATTGCTTTTTTAGAGTGAATTTCGCTTGAAGGATGTAAGTTCTCCCCTTCAAATTTTGAAAGTCTTTTTCTGTCATCATTTGATTTATTCTTTGTTATTTGCTCAATAGCTCTTTTATTTTTTAGTATCTTTAAATTATTTTTATTAACATCTTAGCTATTAGGAGTATAGTTAAAGTTAATTTCTTCTGCATGCTTAGTCTGTGTATTTTTTGTTTTTGGTAAAATATTTTAAGTAGAAAATCTGTTCATAACCATATTGTCTATATTTCCATTTAAGGATGTCGTTGATGATCTCATATCTTTTTCAAAAATTTGTTTTTTTACTTAAATGCTAGTTTTAATTGCAAACTGAAATATAATGTTTATTGCTATATATAACTTTATGAAAGTCTCTTGATCATTCAATTTTTTATCAAATTAATAATTTTTTTAAGAATTACTTTTTACAAAAAGTGTTTGTTATTTATTGTTTAGTATTAATATTATTTATTAATTAATACATTTAAATACTCTTAATTGAATAAAATAATATTATAAAAATTTTATTAACAATAAAAAATCTACTTGCTTAAATATTACTTCAAAAAAATAAGTTATATAAATTTATTTTTTAAGCATTAATAATTTTCTTTCATAAAATTCAAATTTAATAAATATCTATCATTCAAATTTTGTTTTCGTTTTTATCTTATTAAACAAGCAAACTTTATTCATCTAATCTCATCTTTGCTGTATCGAATGGTAACATATAACAAAAAAATGAGATTAAGTAGCATAGCAATCCAAAGAGAAGAAAACTAGAAATGGGAGAGTATGCCACAATTTCTAATACGATAAATGGCATAATTATTAAGCCTATTCTTGCTGTCATATTCATAAGGCCTAAACCTGTAGTTCTAAGATGAGTACTATAGGCCTCGTTACAGTACAAATACTACAAAATATAGCAGCAACGTTAAGACATTCTTACAATAAATAAGGAGAAGGACATATAAATCCTTAAATAAAACAGAATATTAAATGTAGCAGACACAAACCAGGAAATTATCATAGATTTTTTGCGAGTTGCACCTTCACGATTAAATATGAAATAAAATATTAAATAGGAAGGTATTTCTCCTAAGAAACTTACAAATAAGCTTAAGAAACTTTTCTTTGATTGCTCTTAGAAAATAATTGGGATTGTAATAATTTACCCAAATGCTATAAAACCTGTAAAAAGATATTGTAAGGAAAGAAATATTGATAATCTTTTATTTTTTTCATTGAAGAGTGATTCTATTTTTTTTAAGAATGCAAACATATTTAGATTTTCTCCAGCATCGTGATTAATATTTTTAGCTAAATTAATTAGTTAAATTTGTTATTGATCAGTAATTAGATTTTCATTTTGAATAACAAGTGCTTAGCTGAGATTCTTATTATCTTACTAAGAAGCTCTATCTCCTTAAACTATTTGCTTGTTGATGCATATCATTTAGTTTAGTACATTAACTCCTTCTTGAACTTAATTACTCAGCATTAAATATCTTGGAGATTCTAAAAGATATAAGTAAGTTCCTACAAATACAACAAGTCCTTGAATAAATTAAGCAGCTGTCAGCAGCCTCCATTTTCCATGATTAATGTCTTCAAGAATAATCCAGCTAAGCAATATACCAAATAACAAACCAACTGTAATTCCAAAATTAATGAACATTACTCCCATTCCTCTGTATTTGACTGGAGAAATTTCAGTAAACATGGTTGTTGATAAAGGTATTGTAACTGAAAAAATCAATCCTTGTAAGAATCTTTGAATGAAAATTTCATAAATTTCAGTAATTAATAAGGAATAAAAACAAGCTATACTGTAAAGCAGAGAGCAAACCATAATAACTTTTTTTCTTCCGTACCTATCAGAGAAGTATCCAGTAAATATTGAACCAGCAAACATGCCAATAAAAACAATCGTTGTAAGCCACTTAAAAGTGTTTTAGTTAATAACATCACTATGTTAATGAGGATTTTATTCTAAAGATTTGTTATTCCACTCTTCTCTAATTAGAGGTAACACTATTGAGATAATTATATATTCGCAGCCATCATTTAAATCTATACAGCTCAATATTAGCAAAGATCTCTTCTAAAACCATCCGAAACCAACTTTTTTTTCCATAATATCGTTTACTAACATAACTTATTTGTTTTCATCGCTTAAATCCTGCTGATTAAGACTTTCGTTTTCAGAGCTGTTCATAAGTTAAGCTTGATTTTCTTTATTTCTCTATTTATTCTTTCAATTAAATATTATTCCTTAAAATCAATATATCTATCAAAAAAACAAAAATATTAAATTAAAGTATCAAAATTTTACTTAATCTTCACATGTTTTTACCCGCTTTAAAGTAAATGAAAACGAACTATCTATTTTGTGATAAAATAATATAAATTTATTCATGCTCATCTCTTTTATTAGAATATTTATACTATTAAATTCTTAAATTTTTCATTTCAAAGAATTATTCTATATTTTTAAATTTATTAAATAATTTTATAATTTTTCAATTCAATCAAACAAACTACTCAGCACTTTAGTTTTATAATACTTAATTGATCAAAATAAAAAAAAATCACATAAAAAAAATAAATATGAAATAAATAGTAAAATATTTATTTATTATCTTCTATTTAATTTAAGAGGAAGAAAATAGTTGTAATAAAATGAAACATTTTTTAATTTATTAAATATATCAATAATAGTGTTTTAAAATTTAAATATTTAGATTTATTTAGGATTGATTAATTATTTATGTATTTAATATAAATTTCAAATCAAAGATAATTTATGAAAACCATCAAAAAATAGACTCAATTTTATATAAGAAATACAATTATTGGCAAAAGTGTAATTTTTGTCATTGATATAATAATGAGTATACTTGTTCATTTTAAAATAGATGTTGATGATTTAATGCGTTCAAAAGTTGAAATAATATAAAATATTTAAGTAATAAATGTAGTTAAAATTTTATGAACAAACTAATAATTTTAAAGGTTTCTATAAAATAAAATATATTAATTATATAGCACAGAATGAAGAATAAGCATATTGAATGAAATGAAAACAAAAAGTTAAATTTAAGATTTTGCAAAGAAAAATTTATAAGATTCTATCATCATCAAATAATTAAAAAAAACCATTAAAGTTCAAAATTAATAAATATAAAGGTAGGGCTAATATATGATAAAGTAAAAATAGTAATAATTTTGATAAGATTGAGTATAAGAATATTTATTAAAAACATAAATAATAACAAACAACTATTTATTAAAGTAAATACAAGCTCAAATGGATAACCAAGAAGAAGTTCAATTCGATTAAAACGAAGAAATAGATCAAGAATTCGATAAGATAGATGAATAAGATATCGTATTAGAAAAGATTGATGAGTTCGCTAAAGATATTGATTTTGAAAAACCTGAAGAAGCAGTAATCATCTTTAACTTACTTATAATTAATAGTTACTATACTGAATAAATACATAAATAATGTTAAAAATTTAATTTTCAACAAACAAAGTTGAATGCTGTTTAAATTGAGAATTTTATTTCACATCATTTTGAAGCAAGGTTATTAAAAGCAATTTTATTATGAAAAAATAGGCTAAAAAGAGTGAAATGAGAAGAATTCCAGTACCTCCTCACAGATTAACTCCATTAAGATAAAGTTGGGAAAAGATTGTTACTACTGTTGTAGAAAATATGAAATTATAAATCAGAATGAACACCAAAAAGAAAGCTGTTGAAATTAAATCATCAGAACACACACCTGAAACCTCTGCCGTACAAAAGACTGCTGATTTCTTAAAGGCTTTCATGCTTGGTTTCGAATTAAATGATGCTATTGCTTTACTAAGATTAGATGATTTATATATTGAATCTTTTGAAGTTAAGGATGGTAATTAATATATTATTACCTATTTATTCAACACTGAGTCCTTTAAAATTTTATATATAAGATGGACTTTTAAAATTTTGAAAACGTTTTTAAAATTAACTTAATTTTTATTATAAAAGTTAAAAATTTAAGTGGTGATAACTTGTCTCGTGCCATTGGTAGAATTACTGGTGAAAAAGGTAAAACTAAGTTTGCTATAGAGAATGCATCAAGAACAAGAATCGTAGTTGCTGATAAAAAGATTCACATATTAGGTATGATTTTTAGCATTAAAATTTTTGAAATAAAGACTAAATAAAATATCACTAAAATAAAAGGTTCATTCAGTAATATAAAATGCGCTAGAGAAGCTATCTGCTCCTTGATTATGGGTAGCCCACCTGGTAAAGTTTACTCTCAACTTAAATTCATTGCTAAAAGATACTTAGAAAAGTTTTGAATTGATTGATTGATCAAGTTAACAAATAGTTGAGTAGCTCAATACTTCTTTCAATAATTATATAAATGAACAAGATAAATTAGGATTAAGTTATTTGATTTAGTAAAGAGAATATTAGTAGGCAATACTTAATAAATACCTTTTGGTGCAGAATAAAACAATAGAAATAAGCAATTGAAATAACACTTAGCTTATATAAATATTTACTAATTATCATTATATCTATAAGGCCACTAAATTGCTTTAAATTACAAATTCTTAATTAAAAGTTTAAAAATAATTGCATTTCTCCAGCATTTAATAATAAAATTAATATTATTGGTTATTTATGTATTCAAAATATAAATTTTGCATATTTATGATATTGACTTCTAATTCTTTTTCTAAATCTAAATCATCTCAGTAACATATTTGCATTTTATTATTTTTATAGTATTTGAAAACTATTAACTTAAAATGTTATATAGTTTATTTAATCGAGTCAAATAAATATTAAAGTATATAAATATTAATCATGTTTATATTTAAATTATACATTTTAGTTGTTTAATTATTAATGAAAAAAAAATTCTAAATTTTAAATATAAATATGAATTCATTTAATTTAAAAACAAATGAATGATAGATATAAAGGAGAATAAATATATGAAAAATAAAAAATAAGAATTAATTCAATTTCAGTATTTCAAAAGTGTTTTCATATATTTGAATTTATTTAAAAATAAATATTTATGTTTTTAAATGGCTTTTGTTGTAAAAGTAGAAGCTAAAAATCAAACTATAGTTTCAATTATTTAAATTTTTTAGATTAAAAAAACTTAGTTTTGTGAATTCAAAATTATAAATGTAAATTAATTCTTATAAGAAATTAAAAAAATAATTTAATAATTTAAAAAAAAAACAAAATTAATAAATAAATTACAAGTTTTCAACAACTTAAAAATTTATTTTTATTTGATAGTATTCATTTGAAATAAAAATAGATTTGCAAAAAACTATATTTATTATTTTTTATTTAATTTGCTAAAAATCCAAAATTTGATGGTAAATAATGAATATAAATTTTAGTTTGTTTATTAATTTTCTTAGTTGAATATTTATTTTTTTGAATGAACTTTTTAATGTCAGAAACTTACTTACCATTTAAATTTTGAATAATTAAATATCGCAAATTTTAAAGAGAAAACACCTTGTCTAAATAATTTGAATTTAATAATTTAGTATAAATTAGATCTTAAAAGATAAAAATTCATATTATTTAAAATGTAAGAGTAAAATTAATTTTAAAATAGTTTTTAACCAAATTTTGTGTTTAAAAAAAAATATTTTTTTAAATCCTTTAAATACTATAAAAATCATAAAAGATTCTAGTCTCAACAAAAATTTGAAAACACATTTTATGAATGATTAAAAATCTCACTATTACTTTGAATGAAAAAAATTTTAACAACTTTATTAACTTTAACAAATTATTTAATTTCAAAATGAAAATGAAAAAATTTTAGAATTATTCAGCTAAATAAAGGCATGGCTAATACTTGATAGTTATGCAAGTAAAGTTTTTTTTTTCAATAAATAAGTCTTATTATTTATTAGTAAAGCAACTAAAGAAAGGAAAATGAAGAATTTATTTAATTGAATTCGAAAAAATAATTTAATTGTTAAGAATTATCTTTCACTTTGAGGATTAAACGATTAAATTTCTTTGAAATCAAATAGAAAAAATAGAGGAAATTAAACAGAAAAGAAATAAATAAATAAACACGCACTTTTTAATTCCTTTAACAACAAAAAATACAGATATTATTTCATTCTCAAAAAAAAAAAGGATTTAAAAATTGATCTAAGTTTAATAAAATGGAGTTAGATATCTTAAATGAAATATTTAGTACAACAGTTGGTGATTTTTTTAACCACTCCAACAAATATAATATCTTTTCTTCAAGTTCAACGATGAGAAATCAGTTTAATCTTAATAACAACGGTAAAAATTAAAATTTAATTAGATAAAGTTAGAATGCTGGACAACCAATGGCTGGTGAGTCTGCAGGAGCTATATAGTCCTAGCTAAAAGTTTTATAAACTAATTAACCTTCACATAATTTAATAGCATAACAACTAAAGTAATTACAGCCAGTTAGTAAACAAATTTCTTAGTAAACCAATTTGCAATCAAATAATAGCTTTGGTAATGCAAACGGAAACTAATTGATCGCAACAGGAATTGAAAATAAAAAATTAGTATCAATGTCTTTAAATTCTTCAATTTAGAGCTCTCTTCTAGACTAAAGTTCTAACTAGCTTAACATTAGCAAAGATAGTATTCAGCGAGGAAGTGTAGGAGGAGTAAACTCTTCATTAAATACTTCTTTCAACAACATCAAAAGCTCAAATACTAACGAATCATTGATTCATTCAAGTCAAAATGTATTTAGAGATAGTACAAACAGTCTTAGAACTAGCCATGGCTAATTTGTTAATAACTTTGTTGGCGGTGGTGCATAATAACAATATCCATAGTAAAATAACTAACATCTTTTTAATGGTTAAATTAATAACAATTTGTTAGGATAAAATTCAAATAATAATATTAATTCTCATTTGAATTAGAATTAATATCACTAAGGTAATTTAGGAAGCTAAGGCCTTCAATATTAACAATAGTAAATATTACAATAAAATAATTTAATGCAAAATGCTTCTAATAATTCAAACCATTAATAAGCAGGCATTAATTCTAAATAAAATGGTATTTTAATTAATAATTTCACTAACTAAAATAAAAATCAAATCGGTGAGAATAGTCAACTTACTCCAGAAGAGGAATGGATAAGAATTGAAGCTCCTAAGAAATTAGAAGAGTCCATGAAGAGATTGGGATTAGACAATTAAAGAATTACTCAAAGACTTATCAAAGAAATGAGCTACGAATAGCTATAAACAGAAAAAAAGAGAGTAAAAAATGAATTAAAGCTGTATGACTAAGCATTTGAAAACTATTTCAATGTTTAACCTACTCGTAATTAAAAAGAGCCTATGAGACCTCTGTATGTATATTACAAAGGACTTAAGTAGGCTTTATCTAAAGGCTAAAATGAAAATAAGACCTCATCAATCCACATTTCATAATAATAAAATACATCTATCAATTAAGGTTTAAAGTAACTTAATAACTAGAATGTAATCTCTTCTTCAGTTCCTTCATCAGCCCAAACGTCTATCTAACTAGGAATCAACAGTCATTAAACAAGCCATAACGATTCCTTTGACATCCATAATCCAAATCATAAGCAAAATGTAAACAGCTTAAATACTAGCCTCAATGCCGGTAATAATGGTGTTAATTCTAAGATTCTTTAAGCTTCAAATTAATAGTAGAGAGTTGGCATCAGTCAAAACAGAGACGTTCGTAAAAGCAACAAAGATATAATTGACAAAAATTCTTATAAAGACATAATGAATATAGTATAGGAGCAGAAAGAGAATTTTAATAACGGTCTCATTCAGCATCTTGGCTCTTAATAATCTCTCTAATAGCTTAATGGAATCAACAATCAAATCAATAATAGTAATAATGCCACAATAAAAGAATAATAAAAATTGATAGAACAAAAAATTAATTTGATGAAGAGAAAGAGAGTTTAACTAAGAGAGCAACTTCAGGTTTATTAAGACGATTTTTATCGCACCCACAACAGAAAGATAAAATACCACAGAGACATTTTACCTGTTGAAAATGAATACAAGGAGTACAAAGATATCAAAAAAGAAATAATTAAGTTAGAATAAATGTTACAATAGTAACCACTTGTTTGACATTAATTTAATAAACTGAAAAAAAAGTATTTAATCACATTAATTAATTTAAAATGAATAAATCAAAACCAAGAAATTAAAATCACACACACATATAACCAATTTAGAATAATTTTAAATTATATTTAAATCATAACTAATTAATTATTAAATAAATAAATCTTATCAAGTATATAAAATCTTAGACTCATTCATTTTGTTATTGCAATAAATCAATCAATAAAACTTGATAAATGCAATGAATAAGTAAAGCCAAGTTAAGGATTACTCATACTTTCAAGTTTCTATTTATAAAAATCCTCAAGCAGCAACAAACAGTACAGTACAGTCTAATTCTCCATTTCTTAAACATACATAATTTGGTTTAAATCTAATTAATAGCAGCAACAACAACAAAAATAATAATAATAACAATAACAAAATAATAATAAATTTCATAAATTATGTTCATAAATTTTTATAAATATCTTATAAATATCTTTTCGATAATTGTCAATGTAAATATAAGCATACATAAATAAATATATGACTTATCTTTAAACTTCTCTTTATTTAATTAACTCTTAAATTTCTTATATGTAAAATAAAATATTCATCATATCACACAAGCAATATGATATTTTTAGTATTTATTGTCTATAATTAAGTAATAAGTATTGTTTTAATTCTCATTTATTTCAATCAAGTTCTTAAAATTCTTCGTTATTAAAAATATACTCATAATTATTGACTAGCTCTAACTCATCCAACTGTTCATTTGTATAAATAACTTAACAAGAATGAATTAAAAATTTTTAATTTTACTTCGAGTATGTATTATTCGTCGAGCAAGTGGTGGTAAAGTAAATTCTCAAAAGTTAACCTCTGTTTGACTTCTTTTTCTTTTTTTATTTTATTTAAAGAACAATTAAATTAAACATCATTTCTATCAAAAGTATACTGAAATATTATTGAAGATCTTCTTCAGCTAATAGCATGCCTGTTACAAAATTTTTAAATTCAATATATTTATTTAACTGATCTATTTCATCTTCTTATACTATTAATAGATATGCAAAAAGATAAGAATCGTTTGCGAGCTTAAAAAAAATTATTACATCCTAAAATTTAGAGTAATAGAATTCCATAATTTCTTAACAACAGAGCTTCTAATTTTTCATGAGAGTGCTATGAAGTTCTTCTCAAAATAGGGAATTCAAGATTCTTTATATATACTCTACATATTTCATTAAAAATAAACTTCTTTGATAAAGATGTATAATAGTTTTAATCGATACTTTAATTTATCATGGACATATATTCTTTTTAGTGTAATAGGTGTTTCGGGCACATAAGTAGTTTTATGTAAAATATCTTTAAATGCTAAAAATATTTCTCTCATCCAATATCTAAATAAACCCATTCCAGGGTGTAATCTATTTTTACCCTCAATAAGTAATTTTTTCAAAGATTTTCCTCTAGTAAATTCCATAAAATAAAGATTATATAGCTAATCAGCAAAGCTGTTAAAACCAATATAATTTGGGAAATATTTAGAGAATATTAATTCTTTATAGGCATTGAAGGAATTCAATTTAGATTCTAAAACTTCAAAATCTGAAAATAACCTGATTATATCAAAAAAATATTTATTATTAACTTAAAAAAATTAATTTTTTTTTCTAACTTAAAAGCTAAAAAATTAAAAATTTTTTTTTATTTTTATAATTTTTACTTTGGAATTTTGACAACTTCAACAGGAAAATCTTAATCTATGTCATAGCCAATTTGTCTTACAATTCCATTGGCAAAGGTTTTTATAACTTTAATAGGTTGATTTCTGTAATGAACATCTCTAGTCCTGTTTTAGTGGTATTCTTTCCCAATAGAATAAGCGTCGTCTTTTTGATAGTCATGAGCTGTCTATTTATCATATCAGAAAATAATTTTTGATAATTATAAAGAGAAGAATATAGCTAGCTAATTAATTTATATATTAAACCTTAAATGCTTGATGGTCTTCGATATCTTCAAATACATCTTTTAACTATTAAACATTTTCCCTTGTATTCTATACAGTTCTATTATACTCCTCAAAATCATCTTATATTTTCTAAACATGAAAAAATTAATTTAACTTGACAAAAATTTTAATATTCTACTTATAGCTCTTAAAGTATCTTTTCAAAAATAATCAAAAGGCATTTTAGTTCTTGGTTAGAAAGTTTACCAGTATTCCAAAAGCTTAGCATATTTTTGCAATCATTTATCTAATATACAATTTAAAAGCTCAAAAGCTGATATTATTATAAATATTTCGCTTACTTAAATCATCAATTAGCAGAGATTTGCTTCTAAATCTTTGATCTCTTTCTCATTAAAGCTCTAAGCTATTTAAGAAAATATATTAAGAAGGATGCTGATTCTAGCTAAAAAAAAAATATCGCTTTTAAAAAAATGTACTTATAATTCTTAAAAAGTGTTCTAGTGATACAGGGTATATTAAAATATTATGATCAATTGACTTTAAATCATCCAGCAATATCATTTTATTTATGTACAAAAATCTTAACAATTCTTACCTAATGATTTAATATAAACATTAAATAATAATTAAGAACTCGCTAATACTGATTACCATTATTCCTTGGATTTAATTTCTAAATCTTCATATAAAAAATTCTTAGATATTTTTAATAAATTTTGAATATTAACAGACTCTTAGACTTCAGAGATAGACATGTTTTAATGTTTTTAACCCAACCAATTTAATATATTGAAAATAAAACCAATGATAAATTTAATATTTTGGATAATTAAAATATTTGAATTAATTGCCAGTTTCTTTATTTAAATCAAAAACCATAAAAAATTAATATCTATTTAGTGATTTATTTATCTGATTTGCTTAAATGAAACATATCTAAAAATTAAATAAACTATTAATAATAGCTAGAATATAATAAATCCTAAAATATAAACTTAAATAAAGAACATGATCTATCTACCTATTTATAGGATTAATTAAAATTATAAAGTATACTTAGATGTAAACTTAAAACATTAAACAAACATTTGTTAATAATATAATCCATTTATTAATTTATTAACTTACTTTTTCATTATAATTTTATATAGTTAAATTTTTTGATTTAATTATTTTATTTATTTATTTTATTTTTTCTCCCACAAAAAGTTATCCATTTAATCACTCAAAACCAAAGATATTGCTAGGCTTGAAGTTATCCTTCTTATTTTCTTATCCAGCATTGAGATCTAATCCAAAACCAAAAGAGAATCCAGTCATGTCGAAATTTTCTTCTGCTTTTTTCTCTTATTCTTGTACCTTTAAATATTTTAAATAAATAATTGCTGCTTAATTAAAATGCTTTAAACACTTTTTTACCTTTTCTTCTACTTCTACTGTTTACTTTTAGGCTTTTTGCTTTTTCTTTTGCTCCTTTTCTTTAAGCTTTTACTCCTTCTTTAATTTTTAGTTCTTTTCACTAATAATCTTATCCCAATATTCTTTAGCTGTAAATATTATTTTGAGTAAAATGAATAAATAAAAATTGTATTTCCATAAATTTATAATCTTACCTTTAGATTTTTGTCTCTCTTCTATAAAAGGTCTTGGAACTCCTTACATTCCAAATATTTTCAATTCTATACTAGATCTATCTGAGAGGGAGTTAGGCACTCTATTTTTATTAAAATAAATTCATTAAAATTTACAATTCATATCTTAATCTTTTTAGAAAAACTAATAACTAAAAAATTGGCATAATAGCTAATAATTAAAATTTACTTTTATAAGTTTTCATTATGAGATTAATGCAAATGACTCTTAATCAGATCTGCTGTACTAAATTTTTTTTAACATTTTTCACATGTGAAATGTCTGGCTTTTTAATGTTGATGCAAAATAATTTCATTCTCAAATGTTTTATCGCAATAATAGCAGAATGGCAATAAATGTGATAAATCTCTTTTCTTACGACCCATTTTTAAGTTTTGTAGATTGATATAATAGCTTTTTTATTAAAAATGTTTTGCTTTTGGCTAGTTGTTAGTTGGTTGAAGTATCCTTTATTTAATAAATAAATGTGTTTATTTCCTTTCCTAAATTTTTTGAAAGTTCTAATTAATTTTATTATTATCTTAAATATTTAATAATCGGTTTATAATCTTAATGTGTCTCATCATCAAGTGAATGTTAATTTAATAAAAAATAAGCTAAAAACAATTCTAAATGCAAGCTAGCAATATATCTGTAAATACTACTATTTCTATGTATATTAATTCTTCGAATTAAATAAGGGAGAAAGCATCATTCAAAAAGTAAAATAAGAGCAAAAAAGTACTCTAAATAAATAAAAAATTATCAAAAGATTTTTAATTCTTTGAACTTTTTTTAAATTGATAGAGTTTAAAATAATTTTCAGCTACTTTTAACGAGAAAAAAGAAACAAAGAAATTCCAAATAGGCTTTCTAATATTATATAGTTAGGAAATTTGCAATTGAAAATTTGAAATGGATTAAATAACGGTCTAAAATGTTAGATTGATGCTTTTTGATGAGTAGACATTTCAAAAAATTAATGAAGAAAGAATGGAATAAGTAGCAGACTTTTATTTAACCATAGATGGATAGTAAGTTAAATACACTTTGCACGAAGAATCTATCATAGTTTAAAGATATTTAACATGGCTGCATCATTACATCGATAAAATTAAATATTTTGGAGAAGATAAAATATATTCCCATCTAAAAATTTTAAGCGATACCATGCACCTTGTAAAAAGATATTTTCTTAGATGGAGTCCAGTTACTTGCTAAAATATAGAATAAGTTTGTATGACAAGTTATTTTGTAGCCTTGAAGATTTAAAATTTACACATTTAGGATAGAACTCTAGAGAAAATTAAGACATTAAAATTAAAGCAGGGAATGGATAAATGTAAGTTTATTGGAGATTAACATTATCCTGAAATTGAAAAAGAGTTTCTTGAACATTTATATTTTAATATTCAGACTGAGTCTATTTATCGTGTAATAGAGAGTCTTATGCATTATGTTTAAGAACAATTAAAATCCAATTAAAAAGAGTTCATATAAATACAACAAGAAACTATTAAGCTTTCTATAAATGTGTTTTTGGATTACGATACTATATTCTTATACGATTAAGCTATACTAGGACTTTGTTGCGTTTTAATTATTTTACAAGGAAAAAATAAGTGCATTGAATAAATTCTTCCAAATGAAGTTTAATAGCTCATTAAAGAAAATGAAGCACTCATTACAAAGGTGAGTTAAAAAATTAAAAATGCAAAACTCTTTGATTTAAAGGAGGTTTAGTTGAAATACTTTTCTGCTTTTAACAATGCAAAATAAAACTAAACTTTTAAAAAACCAGAAGTGAGGGCATCTTCAACTAACAGCTCTAATAAAAACAATGTAATAGGAAACTTACAACCAAACAATCCCAACAATACTAATGGAGGATCCAATCTAAATATTATAGGAGCGGCACCATTCTAAAAGAGCAAAAATATCAATTAGGTACAAAATAGTTAGCCAAATATTTCAAATAATTCTGTTTAGCCAAAAGAAGTAACTTAAATGTAGATAGAAAATAACCAAATTAATTAAAGTACATAAGGTACAGACAATAAATAATAGCAATAAAAATAAGTAGAACCTCTTCAAAATAATTAATAACCTGAAGTTAAACCAATTAATATAAACGAAAGTGCTTAAACATCTAACATAAGTTCGAGCAATAATTAAAATGTAGCAATTTAAAATTCTAATAAAATTATCCTTTAAAAAGTAAATACTGTTGTATCCTAACCTAATAATAAAGATCCATTATAAAAAACTTCACTCCCTAATAATAAAGTCTCTTCTTAATTGAATAATGATACTTCTTCAATGTAATCTGAAAACTCTGAGTAATCATAATAAAATATTGTTAATAGCTCTACAAATAATGAAATGGAAATAGAAAATGAAAATTAGGGTTAAGTAAAATAAAACGGGAGTTCATAAAAGAATCATGAAGAACAAAGCAATAATTCACAAGACAAAGCAAATTCTAATAATTTAAAGGATGATAAAAGCTAAAAAAATCAGTAAAAACCTATTTAACCTATGAAGATAGCTAAGCAAGATAACATTAATCCTCAAGTATAAAATGTTAAACCTGAGTAAAGTAAAGATAGTTAATAAAATAACTCAACCCAGAAAGAAGAATAATAGAATAATTCAAATTCTATGGAGATTGAAGAGCCTTTGAATCAATAAACTGTATCAACTTAACCTTCATAAAATAATTCTGCATAAACTGCTGCTTTATAAAATATATAAAAGAGTGTCCCCCCAAAAGTAAATTCTACTCCTTCTAATCAAGGTTCAGCTTAAATTAAGCCTTAATAATCTTAATAAAATGTATAAAAACCATAAAATCCAGCGAACTAGTAGGCTAATTCTGCACCTAACACTAAACCTTAAAGCGCTAACCCATAAACAACATAGAATTAGCAACAAAATAAGATTAATAATCCTGCTGCTACTACTAATTCAAATACCTCAAATGTTTTGAATTAAAATAAACCAAATACATCTGCTGTAACATAAAATAGTTAAACCAAACCTTTAAATTAGACTAATGGCTAAAGTAGTAATGGGAGTGCTATATCAAATTCTTCTTAAATAAAACCTGCAAATCCTTCTCAACAAAATTAAAATAAACCTTAAACATAAAATCAGACTGGCGTAGTCTAAAATAAGCCAGCAAATAACACAACAGCTGGGACACCAGCAGGATCAACACCTAATACAACCCCTAAGAATACTACTTAAGTATAAAATTAACAAGGCACTAACCAAAAACCTGTTCAAAATTCATAAGGAATTCAATAAAATTAATAAAATCGATCAGCTAGTTAAAATTCTGTTTCAAGTGGAACAAATACAACATAAAATAAAGTTGCTGTTTAAAATTAAAATTCAAGTAATATTAAGCCTTAAAATAGTGTAAATCCTAACTAAGCAAAACCTGTTAACTCTTAGTAAGCTCAAGGTAATACTTAAAATCCTGTTAAAACATAAGTGAATCCTGCAATAGGAACAGGACAAGGTTAAAAAACTCAAGCAAATCCTTAAGCTGCTGTCAAAATACAAAATACACAATCAAACCCTTAAGCACTTAAGCCTCAAACTCCAGGATAAAACACTAATTTAAATAAACCAGGCTAATCTTCAGCAACTAATATCAGTAAGCCAAATCCTGCTAATCCTGCTGGGTAAGTGAATGCTAGTAAACCAGTTAATAATGGTACAGCTAGTAATACAAATGTTTAAAAAACGCCATAATAATAGTAGAATTAAGCAATAAAATAATAGAATCCATAAAATTAAAGTTAAAGCTAATAGGTAAAACCAGTTTAGACACAAAACACTTAAAGACCTTAGCCATAATAACCTGGCACAATTAATTAAGGTTAAAAATAACCAATTTTAGCATAAAAGTAAGTAAACCCTAATGGAACCTAAATCCAACCTGGAGTAGGAGCTTCCAATTCTCAGAGATCTACTCCTGCAACTCCAACTAAAGCTACTCACAGTAACCAATATAGATTAACTGCTTCAACTACTCCTACTAAACAAGCGTCTACTCCTACTAAGATACCTTAATCATCTACACCAACTAAAACTGTTTCTTCTAATAGCTAACAAAAAAAAGAGAGCTCATAAACACATGTAAACAATTTTAGTTTATCTACATCCTCTACAAATTAAGGTGAAAAAAATTATTCATAATCCTAATAAACTAAAGACAGTGGATCATCTAATAATCCAATAGGATAAAAAGAATAAAAAGATAATTAGTCTTAACAAAGTACAAATATGAACCGAGAAAGTTCAGCCCACAGCTCTCATTCTACTTCAAAAGATAATTTGTCTTAAGAATAACCAAGTTCAGGATCTTCAACTACATTAAAAACAAATTCAAAAGTCTATTCTACTAGTAGCTCGAACTCTAATAGCTAGCAAAAAACCTCCTCGAACACATATTAGTATTAATAACAAAATAAATCATCTGATTCATAAAAATAGCAAAACAACTCATAGTCTACAATAAAAAGTTAAAGTAGTGGATCATAAACAAAACAATAAACTACTTCTTAAAGCTAAAGTGATAAATTGAAAGAACAAAAAGAATCAGAAACTAAAAAAAATAATAATGACGATGATGATGAAATGGAAATAGAAGGATATACTTCTTTTTCTCTCACAAGCTTGATTACACACGAACCTAGTAATATAGATAAGAAAGTTACTCCTGCTGAAAGTACTGTTTAGAATTCTTAAAGCGTTATACCTGCTGGAAGTGATGATTCAAATTCCCTAGAAAAAAATTCTTAAAGCAAATTATCGAATAGTCAAAGCAATGTAAATGGAGTGACATCTTCTTCTAATGTTACTGCAAGCAAACAAACAGTAGAAACTGGATTAAATAATTTAGTATTAGAAAGGTAATCATCTAAAACTGAAAAACCATAAGTCAATAGTGAACAGAGCCAAGAAACTTCAAGCAGTAACATAAAAGCAGATGATACTAAAAATAATGGTAACTCTTAAAAAAAAGATAGAAGTAGTAAAGAAACAAGCCATGATCACAAGGATAATAAAGATAAAGATAGGGAGAGAGATAGAGATTACTATAGAGATAAAGAAGATAGGGCTAAAGATAGGGATAGTGATAGATATAGAGATAGGAAGAAAACCTCTGATCGTGACGATAGAGATCATAGAGATAAAAAGTATGAACATGATCGTGACGATAGAGATAAGAGAGATAAAAAGAGTGACCGTGATAATAGTGATCGAGACCACAAAGATAGAGAATATAAAGAAAAAGATAGGGAGAGAGAGTACAAAGATAAAGATAAAGAAAAGGATAAGGATAGAGACAGAGAGAGGGATAGAGATAGAGAGAAAAGAGATAGGAGAGATTACTATGATAGAGACCATTATGATAGAGATAGTAGGGATTATAGAAAAGAAAGAGATTATAAGGATCGTGATAAAGACAGAGATCCTAAAGAAAAAGAAAGAGACTATAGAGATGATAGAGAAAGAGATCGTGACTATAAAGAAAAAGATAGATATAGAGACAAGGACAAATATTATTATGATCATAAAGATAGTGAAAGAAAAGATAGATATAAAGACAAAGATCATTCTAAAGATGAATCTTCTAAAAGAAAAGAAAGTGAAACATCTTAAACAAAAGAAAAAGAAGAAAATAAAAAAAAAGAATAATAAAGTAGCTCCGAAGGAACTAAAGAAGAATTAAAGAGAAGAGAAAGCTATTCAAGTAAAGAGGAGTCTAAATAAAAGAATTGAAAAATAATTCTTACAAGTTAGCCAGCTCATAAATATTTTTACTAAAATTTACAAATCAAAAAATAAATGAGATACAATAAAACCACCATATAAAAATGAAACTAAAATTAGGAATAGTTAAAGAAACTCAGTTATTCATTCATTCACTTACTTACTTACTCACAAACACACTCACTTACTTATTGAGTCATTCCTAAAGCAGTCATAAATTTCAAATAAATATTTTAAACCAAATACTTTATAGTTAGATAAATAAAAAAATTTTAAATAATAATTTTTTTAAATAGTCTATTTTAAAATTTTTTTAAATAGTCTAATTATTACATTTTTTAAACCTAAATAAATTATTTATTTTTATTCTCAATACTGAAAATTTAAACTTTAAATATGTTTCAATATTTTTTTAAAGATAATCTATTAATCTATCTATTTTTGGATTTTAATGTATTACTCTGCAATTGTTTTTAATTACTTTTGGCTCATATTTATTTGTTAATTCGAAAAAGATTCACTTAAATTAATAAGCTTCATGTTATTATCTATTAAAATCAGGGTTTAATAACCTATTAAATTTTAAAAAACAATTTATTTAATCTAATCAACAAACTTGAGAATATATTTTTAATTTAAATCAAATGCATTTCATATTAATCTTGGTCAAATTAGAAAGTATTTTTATTTTCAACTTTATTAATCTAATTACTTTACGTTTTTTAAACCTAAATAGATTATTTATTTTTATTCTCAATACTTAAAATTTAAACTTTAAATATTTTTTGAAATTATAAAATCTATTTTTCTATTTTATTGCTCTACAATTTTCTTCATATATTCTTAATTCATATTTATTTTTTAATCCTAAAAAGATTCAGTTAAAATTAATAAACTTAATTATTTTATATTTTGAAATTATCTCTTTAAATAAGGGTATTATAATCTTGTATTTCCATGAGATTAAAATTTAAAAATGTTGGATCTTTTAAAAGATGTATTTAAATCAAGCAAATAATCTAAATATATACTTTTAATTGAAATGCATTTCAAATTTAGTTTGATATAATTAGTAAGTATTTTTATTTTCAACTTTAAATTCTTTTTGAGCTTAAGTTTGAAAAACGATTGCTTGATTTTTTCCAAAATTCTAAACTTATTTTCTAGACTCTCTTTACTTTTAAAAATCATTTATTTGATAAATTAAATAAAAAAAAATTAATCTTATATTTAATAGAAAATATTTTAGAGAGTAAAATTTTATGCTTTTGATTTTTATTAGAATAACTTTAATTGGAAATAATGGTGAAAAATTTTATATTTATTCTACTAAATTTAAATATTTAAGAAACTTTTTAAAGATAATAATGTGTGTAAGGGGCAGGTTTATGTTCTCGAATAGATTATATTTACTGGATATTAAAAATTCAGTTAATACTATTTAATTGATGATTAACTATAACTGATTTATAATTTCATTCAAGTACTTTTTAAATTTATTACATTTTTATAAGATTTAAGTAATAAATTTAATATTTACTGGAGCATTAAATTTAAAGATGTCGATGTATGGTAACTCAATTGTAATAGTGGATAGAAATTAGTTAATTTAACTTGAATACAATTCCTATATCAAAATAACTATTAAGAATCGTGAACTATTTATGATATAATACTGAAAATTAATGTCTTGTTCATTAATAGTATTAAGAAAATAATAAGAAAAGCTTTAGAAGAAAGGTAAAGAACATGATAACTATTTAAGAGCTTGCTGATTAAATTGAATGATAATCTTAGTTTTTACTTTAGGAATTTATTTTTAAATAAAATAAAAAATTATATAAAATAAAAAAGTTAACAAAAAATATTAATAAATAAAATACAAAAGAAAATAAACTTTACATAATAAAAGGAGCAATTAACAAGAAGTCAAGTAAAAATGGACAAAAGAAGTATTCAATTTATTAAATATATAAAAAATTACAGCAAATAGCTTTCTTCTAACTTTAAGTTGAGCATAAACTAAAAAATGGCAGAATATAACTAGCTTAGATTGTTGCAGTTTTATTAGATTTAACATAGTTAGGAGGAAGCTTTTCTCCAATTTTTTTCCCTTTTTTTGATTTTAATCTAAGACAATATAAATACAATAATTATAATAATTAAAAGAAAATTCTTTCTCTTCAGACGAAAGTGATGACGAAGTATAAGAAATAGAAGTCCGTAAAGTTAATAAATAAATTCAAAGGGTTAGTGTTTCTGCTGAGGCTTATGGTTTGTTCAATAAAAGAGAAAATTTTCAGCCAAGAGTTATTGCAAAACCTCAAGAAACAGTTGAAAATATCAAAAAACGTCTCTAAGGAGTCTTCATGTTTAGTGCTTTAGAAGAAAACGAAAGAAATATTGTAGTGAATGCGATGGAAGAAGTTCGTTTTAAGTAAACAAATATGAAATACTTTTATTTCTCCAAATATTTTTTTATTATCTATATGATATTCTAATCTCACAAATTTAAATATTCTTCACGAAACCAATTAAAGTATTAAGCAAATAATTACTTATGAAAGAACTATAGCATAAAAATTAAGATTAATCAATGAATGGTTATTTTTACTACTAAAAAAATCAACAAATAGTAGCAATTAAGTACATTAAAGAAGGAACTGCCAAATTTACATTTTTTACATGATAAACGAATAAATCAAAGCTTGATCTGTAAAATAAATTAATGATAAAATTTTAAAAATAGGGCAGGTGATTAAGTTATAAATCAGGGAGAAGAAGGTAACTTGCTTTATGTTGTAGAATCAGGTGAATTAGATTGCTTTAAGAAGTACTTTGATAAACCTGAACCAACTTATCTTAAGACTTACTAACCTGGAGAGTATTTTGGTGAGCTTGCCCTTCTATATAATGCCCCTAGAGCTGCTTCTATTAAGGCTAAGACTGATGTAGTTTTATATGGTCTCGATAGAGAAACTTTTAATCATATAGTGAAGGATGCATCAATGAAAAGAAGAGCTCTTTATGAGGATTTCTTTAAAACTTTTGAATTATTGAAAACAATCGATGATCCTTATGAAAAAACTAAGCTAGCAGATGCAGTAGAAGTTCATGATTTCTAAAAGAATGAAGTTATTGTTTAACAAGTATTTAAATTAAAACACTTCTTTTAATTATAATAAACTTTTAAAAAAATCAAATCTCTAAATAAATCTAGTGTAAATTTAGAAAAAATAGTAGCAAATATTTTTTTTTAATTTGTATCAATCGATTAATCGAAGTGATTCTAAATTAAAATAGAAAGATTTAAGGAATTTTTGATAAAATAATAAAAATATTTTTCTTTATTCAACCATAATTATAATAAAAATATAGACATAATTTAGTAATTTTAGTTTAAAAATGAATGAATGAATTATAAATATATTAATTTGATGATAGTTTATAATTTAAAGACTTACATTTAAAATTAAAATAATTAATTTTTTTTTTTAATTTTAGGGTAGCAATAACACGAATATTTATATAGTTTATTAAGGTGAAGTTGTAGCAAAGTAAAATGATAAAGAATTATTTAAATATGAAAGTGGGCACTATTTTGGTGAAATTCCTGTGCTGACTTAAAAGCCATAACCCTTCTCATTTGTTTCAAATGTAAAATAATAATAGAATTTGTTTGCATCAAATTAAATAAATACATATTTATAATTAATTTAAAGGCTGAAAAAACTAGCGTACTTATTGTTGGAGAAAGAGATTATAGAAATACATTAGTTGTAGTTGAAGATAAGTTAAAAAAAGGACTTGAAAAATATAGTGCCTTCTAATGAAAACTTTACTAAACTTTTATTTGATTAATATTTTTGCATGTATTTGTAAGTAAGTAACTTGACAGAAATTTAAATAAATAATAATAAATAAATAAATTGTTCTAAAAAGATTAAAGCTCTCAATTATTACTTATGAGATTTAATTTAGTATTTAATTTTTATATATATTTATGTAAAACGTCTACTTTTTTCAAAACTTGCTAATAAAATAAATAGTCATCCAACTCCATCTCTTCTTAATTTATAGATATTTTTACAAGTAGAGCATTAACATTTATATTTTTTATTTGTGTTTTGAACATATTTTTGAAAAATTTTAACTTCTTTGCAAATTAGTTAATTAATTTTTTTGCTTATTTTTTGTTTAAAATTATATTTTATTATTCTAATTTCACATTTTTTTTATTAATGTATTAATTTTTATTTATATTAAAAAACATATTTTAATTAAATGTTAAAGAAACTATTCTTGATTAACTGAAATTATTACAACCCTTTTAACAAATAAAAAATTTCTAATACAAATTGAGTAGATTATTTGTTTTAATCATTCTTAGCAAATGTATAAATCCCAAATTAAATATTTCGAGAATTTATAAAACCAGAAAATAAAAATTAAAACAAGATCAGTTTTTCTATTTTTTTTTTTTTTTGAACCTTGTAAAGTTGATTATTAATAGAGGTAAAATGGTTAATGCTAGTAACATGCTAATTTGCTGATAAATTAAATAGAGTAGAATAAATAGCTTTGGTAGATTTCGTTGCAATAATTATTGATTTGAAGAAATAACGAGTTTATATGGCATTTTTTAATGAGAAAATTAATTAATGACTCAAAATCTTAAAAAAGGTGACATAAATAAAAAAGAAATTTAAACACTTTAGTAAATAACTCTATTTAATTATTAACATTCAACTGTAAATTCATATATATACATGCATAAAAATATATATTCATTAAATATACAATCCAAACAAAACAAAACAAAATAGAATCAATAAAAAATAAAATATACTGAATACAAAGTTTTTTGATAAAAAGTAAATAGAATGAGTAATTTTCTTCAATAAAGATAGATGAGCTCAGGTAAATATTTTTTTAACTAATACTTTTTAAAACAAGATGACTAAAATACATCAAACTAAATATTAAATTAAGATTTTATCTTTTACTAAAAATTATTTTATAATTAGGAATTAACTACTCATAACTATAGTCAAAAAAGAAGTTGTAACCAATAACTTAGTCATAATAGTAGCAGTAGCAGTAATAGTAGTTATAGTTGCAAACAAATTTATCAAGCTAATAAATATCTTAAAACTCTTAAGCATATGCTATCCAAACCTAAATTGGCAATTACACAACTGCAAATGGACAAGTTGGTATATTGAGCGCTTCTAATCAATCTACATAAGGAAATTCTCCAGCTTTTCATAACAATTACTACTTTGGAAATATTTTCAACAATAACCAATAAATGTAGCATTAACAGTAATAACAACTTCAAAATAGCAATAAACAGCTATCCAACTCCAGCTCACCAAAATCCTATCTAGGATAAAGTATGAACTCATTCACAAATTCAAGCGGATATATTGAGAGTTAACTAGGTTTGCAAAAGCAGAAATCATAAAATAATGGTCAAACTCATTCGACATAAATGTAGCATTAATATTAATAGCAATAATAATAACAACAATAATAGAACTAACAATCAATGCTTTCAGGCAGTACTCAAAATAATAATCAGTAGCCAAATTAACTGAGCTAGCCACCATTAATATAATAACAAAGTAATAATTAAGGAGATTAGCTCTTCTCTCCTAACTCAATGAAAAATAAAAAACTTTACATTGATACAAATAATAATTTCTACTTTTCATAATAGAATGCTGGATATTTATCAAATTTAAAGCAAGGAGGTGGAATGAATACTTAATCAAGCTAAACATAAAAAGGATTTACCACCATCAGAAAAAATTAGCCCAAACAATAATAGCGCTCACCAACACTTTAGGGTAGTCAATCACCTAATTTAATAAATTAAGGAGGCTATAACATTCTATCAACATCTTCTCCAGCATCTACAACCAATTAAAATACAATGAATTACTTAAACAGTAGTGGCTAATCGAACACTTAAGGATAAGCAGGAAATCACAGCTTAAATTTATCAAATAATTCAATCAATAGTAACAATAGTTAAAATGTTGGTATTCCTTATTCTGATGACACTAGATTCATAAAAAAAACACAACATTTTATAAAGAGTTTAACCTCATAAAACGGTACTTGGAATGGAAATAATCAAGAAGAAATAGAAGATTTAGATGAATCAGTATTAGAAATGATGAAAGAATGTAACTTATACGAACAAGCTCAAAAAGGTATGTGTATTTATTTGTTATCAATATTACAGATTTGGAATTTAAAATATTTTCTTTTTCTAAAATTTTATTTACAATTAAAATCAATCAAATTCAAATTGTTAGTTTAAAATTTTGCATTTAAATCTAAACATTTTTTAAAACGCTGATTAAAAATTAATAATTTAAAAAAGACAAATACTTCATTTAAAATAAATATTTAAATTTACTATCATTCATTCATTCATAATTTCTTCCAAAGAAGCTTAAAATAATTAATTAATTTATGAATCTTCAAATACTAACAATTTCATACATAAAAAATAATTTATATTCATATAATAAGGAATAATTCCTGATGCTGATCCTACGAAATTTTCAATAAAAAGAAATGGAATAGTCTGCTGCTATGCTGCTAAAACACATTAAGGACTAGTAAGAAATTATAATGAGGATAGAGTTTCAATAATTCTAAATATCATGAAACCTTAAAATAGATAAAGCGATGAGCAATGGCCAAAATGTTCCTTTTTCGGAGTTTATGATGGACACGGAGGAGTTAACTGTGCAGATTTCTTGAGAGATCACTTACATTAGTATGTCATCAAAGATTAGAATTTTCCATGGAATCCTAAAGAAGCTATTAAAAATGGTTTTGAATAAGCAGAAATTTAGTTTCTAAAACAAGCTTAATCGTAAATTAACAGAGGGGGATAACTAGATAGATCAGGTAGTTGTGCTTTGGTTGTCTTAATTGTGGGTAACGAATCTTCATTTCTTCACAATCATTAGAGTTTTGATATAATTTATGATTAAACTTTTATTTTAAATAACATTTCATATAAGAGTTATTATAATTTTTTTTCATTTTTTTGTTATTTAAAATAATTTTTATTTAAATAATAGGTGATACATGCTATATTGCAAATGTAGGAGACAGCAGAGCTGTTATGAGCTAAGATGGTGGTAAAAATATATATGCTCTAACTAGAGATCATAAGCCGATGGATGAAGTAGAAAATTTAAGAATACATGAAAATGGAGGAAAAGTTTACCAGTAAAAAAATATTTTCTAATGTGCAAATATTTTAAGAATTGTTAATAATTAATTATAAAAGAACTAAAATTCAATAGATCAGCACTACAGACAGAAAATTAGAAGATCCACAAACAATAGTGGGACCTTATCGTGTACTTCCTGGAAGACTCTCTGTTACTAGAACTTTTGGAGATATTGAAGCAAAGCTGCCACGTTATGGAGGAAATCCTAAAGTGGTTGTATCTACACCTGAAATTAAATCATTTAAAATTCAGCCTAACCATGATTTCATAGTTATGGGATGTAATATCTAAATAATAAATTTTTTTCAAGTTGATTTTAAATTAAAATAAACAGGTGATGGAATTTACGACAAATTAACAAGTCAAGAAATAGGACAAATAGTATGGGATACCACTAAAAATGAAGCTTTAGGAGAAAATATTCACGAGTTTGCTGGTAAATCAGTTGAGAATATAATGAAATTATCTATAGCTAGAAAAACTCTTGATAATATTACAGTAGTTATGATAGGCTTTGATAATATAGAAAAACTTCTCTTTGACAAACATGCTAGTTCTAATGAGGCTTAAATAACTTAGATTACTCAAAATGAATAATCTATTGTTCCCATCCCATCTAACTCTTTAACTGCTAACAATTAATTAGTAAATAAAAATCAGAAAATTTTATAAAATATTTCATCTTCTGTGAATTCAGCATAGAGTCACGGGTAAAATTTTGCATCTCACAACCTAATTTCAAAGAACGATGCAAAACCTTAAACAAGTATAATTGATAAAAAACAATCAAATTTGAGTCCACAGCTTCTTGTCCCATTAGAAAAATAAATAAAGAATGGAAATAGCTTAAATCAAAGCAGTAGCAGCACTGAGTAAACTCCTTTGAGTGAAAAAGATTCCAATTTAGAAAATATAGAATAAAAATCTACTTAACTGAGTTATTAAAGTTTGGTTTCGAGATTGCCATTGAGTAATTAATAAAAAAAGAGAACAGCTGAAAATAGCTAGGAAGAAGTTTAAACAACCAGCCTTAAACAATTAAATAGCATGAGCAAAACAGGGTACGCAACTCGCTCTTCCAAAGTCGGATTGGACAATTAAAATAATTCGTAAGCAGGTGTTTAATTATCTCCCCTTTATAACACTTAACAGTTATCAGTTAAAATAAAGCAACAAAATATTACAAACACATCTCAAGGTAAAATTCAGTAAATAAATGGAATTGTTACTGGCGAAACGAAATTTAGATAAAATTTGGTAAAAAATTTAATAACCAAATGAATGAAACAATATACTAAAATAAACTAAATAAAATGATGAATATAATTTTTTTTCCTATTATCATCTTTGAAAGAAAATTGACCAAAGATAGTCAAAATCAACAAACTAAAACATAAAGTACATATATTTATGCAAAAGCTCTTATTAAAAATATTAAAAAGAAAATCTAATTGTTGGCTATCTTGCTAACACTCCCTTCTAAACAATAATAAAATATACATTTAAAAAATCTATATTTTAAAATAAAAATAATTATATCTTATCATTTAAATAAATTATCACCTTATTTTATAGGTTAATAGAAAATATAAAAGTTTTTAAAATTCTTTTAAAATATGAAAAATTATTATTTTTCTATCTAGTATATAATTTTATATCAGTATTCCTATTCTTAAAATTTACAAATATTTGTTATTCTTTCTTTAAATGATCAAAAAAATATTTAAATTACATATTTTTTTTTATTTGATTTGTATTTTTTAATTAATTTTAAATATAAGATTTTACACTTTTTGTAATTGTTTCAAAATAATCTTTAGTAGAAATTTAATTTGTAGATTAAAAGTGATTTTTTATAGACATTTATTTGTATCTGATTTTAAGCCAATATGAAAAATATGAATGAAGATGAAATTGAGGATTAAAACTCTTTGGATGTTAGTGGATAAAATAGAGATTAACTTTAAAATGTCAATTAAATGCAATATTAAAATAACATGTAGAATATTTAGGATAATTATTAATCAGAGCAACAAAATGCAGATATTGATAAAAGGAAGATGTTTATTTAATAGCAAGTTCAAATGAGAAATAAACCAGCAATAAACCAAATAGAAATGGAGATTAATTAATTAACTGAATAAATTAAATAGAATTCTAGCGATAAAGAAAAAATTGTGGATTTCAGAATAAAGCAACTATCTTTAACAAAAGTAAAATGTTTGTATAAACAAGTGTATTTTATTAATTATTAATTAACAGATTTTAGTTATGATTTATGATAAACCTGAGGAATCTATAGTGAAGGCAAACTACAATTTAGGGGTTGCATATTTGGATTTTAAGTCCTACCAATCTGCTCTTTATCATTTGACTCTAGCTTAATGTCATTAAAATAAACTTGATATTACACTTGGTCAAACTGAAAAATCAAAAAAAATGATGGCAAACATTTTAACTTAATTAGCAAAGTAAATATTTTTTCTTTAATAAAATTCTTATTAAATAAATAATTAAGTTATTTTGTAAAATACCTAATTAAAATGATGCTATGATAAAATTTTTCATTAAGGGATTCTTAATTTTTAAATTTAAATGCTACAAATTTTTCAATATAAAAATTTTTATAAATTCTTTAAAATAATTAATATTTTTAATAACAAAAATATTGAATAAAATAATAAAATAAATATATTATCTTTTTGTGAGTTTATTAAATTTATTTTAATTTTATTGATTTTAGGTGCTTTTTAGAAATTGATAACTTCGAAGATTGCCTTGATTAAGTTGAGTAAGCTCTTTAATATTTTAATGTAGATAGCTTGGATAGTGTTCAAACCTTATACTGCAAATATAAGTGCTACTTGAAAAAGAAAAATTATACGGAAGCCTAGAAAATTATAGATGACATATATTAAATATAGATAAAAAACTAAACCAAATTAGATGAGAAAGCAGAATAGATTGCTATAGCTATGACTAATGTCGAAAAAGCTAAAATATGGTCTTTATAAGACGACTATCAAAATGCTATAGATGATTAGACAAGAGCTATTTGTATAACTTCTTTTAAATATTTTAAAAATTTAATATTAATTAATTTATTTAATTGATTATTATAGAGGCTCTTATTGATTAAGAATATGATGATCCAGATTATGTAGCTGGATTGCTTTTAACTCTGAGCAAATATTAGTAAAAAGCTAGCAAAATTGATGATCAAATAGATTCACTTTAGAAAGTATCTTGATAGATTATTTTTTAAATTGATATTGAATATTACCACTAAAAAAAAATTAGGTTAAATGCATATATATTTAAGTCTATGGATTCAAGGATAAACGACTCATCAAAGTAATGAGACAGCTTTCAATGATTTTACTTTAGAATAATTATTATGAAGAAACTATTAATGAACTCAAAGAAATTAAAGTAATTTCTATCATATATTACTGTATAAAAAAAAAAAGCGTTATTTGTCAACTTAAAGTGAAAAGCTTAGATCTAATTTAAAAAATAAAATTCTTTGAATTTTCAAATAGAAAAAAGTATTTCTCAATAAGAGAGAGAGACACATTGAAAGGATAAAAAGAAATTTATTCCAAGTTTGATCAATAATCTACATTTTTTTGTTTATTAATGAAATATTTTGAATTAGAGGACTAAATTAAATTAACACTTAATTATGAAAATTTATTAATTTAATTAAAAAACACAAAATGATCTTAAATTTATTTATTTTTTAAATGTTTATAAATCTAAAGATGATATATCTAACTTCATTTTTGATTATTTTATAAGAAAGCTGAGTGTGCAGCATTTGGTGAGAAGTCGACAGAAGTAGCCAAAACCTTAAGAATTATTGGAACTGTTTAAATATTATAAAATCGCCAGGAAAAAGAATTTAAAGACGAAATCAAAAGAAACTTCAAAGAAGCTAAAGAAATATTTGAAAACAATAGGCTAAAAGATTTGGCTTATGAAATGGAGCAAAAAATTAAAATGGTTGACGATGGTGAAACAATTAAGAAAAAATAATCATAAAATATTCTAAAATAAAATATAATTGAAAATCAATGATTTAATTGATTAAAAAATACAGTGTAATAAAGATGATGATTTTCAACTAAACCCCTATTTTCCCTTTCAAAACCCCAGAAATATTCTTTTGAAATCAAGTTAATTTTAATTTTTTTGTATAAACATGTAAAATTACAAATAACTGTCAAATAAATATGAAACTCAAATATTTTAAAATTATTGTTTTAATTATTCAATTATAAATTCTAAAATTAATGCAAATAAAAATTCTAGTATTTATATTTGTATAAAAATGAAATCTTAAAGGTTATGCTTGAGTGATAGAAATAAAAATTGATTGCATTAAATTTATGTCCAATTTTTATCTCTTTTGAAACCAACCAAAGCTAGAAAGATAGTCTATCAAATGAGTTTTTTAGTTTTTATGTTCAAGCATGTAAAATATTTGATATAAAGATACGAAAAATTAAATCTTGTTAAAATGGTAAATAAAAATTGAATATTCCTTAATTAATACTCTCTTTCTTTTATTAAAAAGTAAGTGAGTAAAAAATTTAAGAACTTCAATTGCTATTTAAACCAGATTTCATGTTAATTTTATACGCATAGAATAAATTTGTTTTAGGTTAGTAATATTGGCTTAGAAATTAATGGTAATTAAGACTATTTGTGCGAGTTATTTGAATATGAAAAAGTTTAAATTCTATCTCAATCAAGATATCTTATTCAAAATCAAAGATCGTATATGATAAATCAATAAATCATTAATAATAACCTTCACTCAAATAAAAATAATCAGCAAATGATTAATTAAAAAATCGTATATAAGAAATTCAACTCTTTGAAGCAATCAATGAATTAGTAATAATAGGCATTTATACTACTTTATTTTTACTTATCAAATATGAAGATATTAAGAAAAAGAGAGAGGAGAGATGATGAAAAATTGACCTCTTACTTAAGCCAAAAAAAGAAGAATAGAGATAGATGTACTTTATTTAAAAGTAGTAAAAGTGATTTATTAAATAATTTGAATAGAGTTGCTTGTAAAAGAATACAAGATAATTAGCATGCGAATAATATAAACCAATAATAATGATATTTAGATAGCAATTAGCAAAGCAAGCAAATAAACATAAAACAAAGAGGGGAAAATATAATAAAAAAAAAGAAAACTAAAATTTGGATTAGCAAGAAAGCGTATTTATTATTATTTTATTATCAATTATCACTAATTAAGCATAATAATTAATTAGAAAGATCGATTATCTATAGATTTTTTCGTAAAAAGAGCTTTTACTTTACTAATTGTATTTATTAATCATTAAGTAATTAATTTCCTACATCATATACTTCTTTTTAATTTGTTTACAAAGGAATCTAAATTTTGCATAACAAGTTAGAGTGAAAAAATAAGTAAAAACAAAGAAAAATAAAACAAAGCAAGAAGAAGTATTTATTTAGTAGCAAGCTTGTAAGTAAAGAGAAAAAACCCTTAAAATAAAAAATAAAGGAAAGTGTGAGAGAGCCTCTTCTGCTTAATAAAGCTAATATTTTTTGAAATTTGCAGTTTAATAAAAAAGTTTATCATTTTCTCAATAACTTTATTTTTATTAATGGCTAATAATTCCTCTTCTAAATTTGTTTATGTAGAAAGTGATATTGTAACTCCTGACTATAGTGGCAGAAGAAGCTAAAAGACTACAATATCCGATGTTTCAGTAAAAAAGAGAGTTTTACTCGTTTGCGTTTACAATAAAAAGGGCACTCTCATAACTCATGATATTATTTATAGGCTTTTCATGAAATACGGAGAGATATATAAAATCCTTATTTTTGATAAATGTAAAAATTGGAAAATTTTTGTAGAAATGGCCACCCTTGAATAAGCAGAGAAAGCTAGAGATGGTCTTAACAACTATTAATTATTTGACGATGGCTCAAAGATGACAGTTTATTATGCTAAAGTTGATCAAATTGTATTTTAAAATAATAATTCTGGCGGAGTTGACTATCGTGAGTTAAAACAAAGAAAAGTTAATTAAATAAGTAACTTTTAATCAAACGGAGTCATAAATTCTGCCTCTAATTTGTCAAAGTAAGTATTAGGAGGTAGTCCCAACTTTAATCCTCTCTCTGCAGATTAGTTAGCCAAAAAAGCCATTAATTTGAATGGTTCTTAGAGAAATTCTATTTTAAATGGTCTTGGTGATAACCATAATTCTATAGAAAAACACCGTAATAACTCGTTTGACTATAGTGAGCTATATAGAAAATTTGAAAGTGTACCAAATACAAGAGTATCACCTTAACATGGCAGCATTATAGGAGGAAAAAAGAATTCTCTATTTTAGAATATATAGCCAATATAGATTACCCAAGAAAACAAAAACGTTTAAGTAGAGGTTATGAACGACCCTAATATGCAAAACTCAAACAATGATCTTTCAAATTATGAGTTTGATGATGCAAACATGAATTAAATCTAGTAAAATATCTAAAAGATAGATATAAGCAATAGCTAGGATTAATTAGATATAGGTAGTTCAAGAATTGATAACAACAGTCCCTAAAGTGAAAAAGATGTTGATAAGTAAAACTAAAATGGTCCCTTAAATTTTAAGAGTAGCAATGACTACAAATCTGGCAGCAATACCGCAGTTGTAAGTAGCAATAATTTTAACAATGAATGTGGAAGTAATCATCTCATCCTACCTTTTGGAAATCAACCTAATTAAAATTATACAAACAATAACGAGATAGGCAGCTTTTCTTCTACAAGTAACAACAACCCTGAAAATCTAATTGGAAACACTTAACTTGGCTTATTCAACAAAGGTTATAAGTTGGAAGACGAAGATGATTACGAAGCCTAAGAGGATGATTAAAAATCAGATGGAGAATAAATCCATCCAGATAGGATCAAAAATGGCGAAGGGATCGAAAATGTTGGAGGAACGATCTCAAATGATATAGATCCTAGTAGATATATAAATCCTTTATATATACTAGAAAATAAAAAATCTAGAGTAATCTATGTCCGTGGTTTAGAGAAAAAGAATCTAACTACTAAAAAGATATATAATCTCTTCAGTAATTTTGGTAATATTGAATTAATTCTATATTTTACTGAAAAGAAGTATTGTTTGATTCAATTCGAAACCCAAGAAGATGCAACAATTGCAAAAGAGCATTTGGATAACTTGAAGGTGGAATCTAATTAAATGAGAATTTTTTACTCAAACTATGAGACTATCAAAGAAAATCAAGAGGGTGAAAAGTAATGCGAAGTATGGAAAGGTGAGAAAAGCAGCTTCCGCTTCCGTTATGGCAAACAAATATCAATTAATCCTGTTACCAACACACTCCATGTGTCCAACTTGAAGTAGGATACCTGTAAGCAAGAAGTTATCAATGAAAAGTTTTCTTTATATGGGTAAATAGAAGGCTTCCATCCAATTCAAAATTAAAATAAATATATGTGTCATGTTAAATTCTCCACCTCAGAAGAAGCTATAAATGCTCTTTGTAATCTTCATGAAGAAGAGATTCTTGGTCGTAAGATGCACATTTCTTTCACAAGAGCTAGAATTTCTCCTTAATAAACACCTGATGGACCTCTTGCATCTAATAATAGTAATAACAATAATATCAGCAACAATAACAATAATATCAATAACATCAATTATTCTAACTATAGAAGAAACTCTAACTAAAATAATATCAATATGAATAATCCTAATGGAAACTAAAATTTAAATTCTTCCCCTTAAATTTTGAAAAATGGTAATCTTCGAAAAAACTCTATTTAAATGAACAATCTTCAAAAGAACATTACTAACAATGATCCTATTAATGATGTAAAGCAAACTTTAAAAATCTTAAATGATGATGAGGACTATAAAAATAACCATTAGCAAGTAGTCTACCCCTACTAAGCCCATTCTGTTTTATTGCAATAACCACAATATTATTAATAACCGATCACATACATTCAAACTGCTCCTATTGTTTTCTAAGGTTTAAATCAAATGCATCCAAACTAATAAAATTAATTAGGTTATTACGCTTCATATCCTCATTAACAATAACATATGAACAATCCTATTAATATGCAAAGTAAAAACTTTACTTTATTTAAGTGAAAAAAAAATTTACAAACAATAATAAAAATAAACCAACAACAAACTAACAAAATACTTGCATATTATCAGGTTCAATATTCTGCTATTATTTGGCAATTTTTTTTAAATCTAACCTATTCCTAAAATTCTAATTCTTTATCATTTATTTTCTAATTTCTTTCTTGAATATTCACTTATGTAGCTCATGCAAAATAAGACATATATCAATCAGTACAATTCATTTTGAGCCAATTTAAACATATATATATAGAGATACATACACACAAATATATTTATTCTGGTTAACTAAAAATAAGTTAAAGTAAAACACTTACTAACAAAACAAATTAAAACTGCTAAGTAATTAACTATAAATAATTAACTAACAAAAAAAACTAATCTTATTACTTAATTCTTAAGAGTTAATTGCTGTTAAAAACTTTCCTGAATCATATAAAAAAATTAAATCTATTATATAATACTAATAATAATAATCATCATCTATATTTTCTTATTAACTCTCATCTTTGATCTACAATTCTCTTTATAATGTTATTAATAGCATACATAATTCAAGTTATTTTGAAAATTCAAAATTTTAACAAAATAACTCAAATATAAGAGCAAATATTTTAAAAATAGCATAATATATAACTATTAGCTCTAAGCTAATTTGTTAATTAGCCAGTAAATTAATCTTTTCATTGCTATATATCTTATTTTTACAAAATTAGTCTTTATTTTTTTATTCTTTAAAATTATTTTAATTTTTTTTAGTTTTCTTATTTTTTTTGTTAGTTTGCTTGTTTGATATAGCTTATTTTATTTGATAAGAAGGCAAATTAAGATTAATAAAATTCAATTATTTCATTATAATATCAGCAATAAACAAAATCCAACAGCAAAATACTACTATAACCATCTGCATAAAAAAATTTTGCAAATTATATGTAAAATTTATCTTTTTTTAAATATTAAATATATCAATTTATTGTCTGAATAAAGTGAGCTATTTATTTATTGTGCTTTAGCCCTCAATTTTTATACTGAATACTTAATTCTTAATTTGATTCTATTTTCTATAAATTAAAACTATTCTATTAGAGGAAGTTGCTTTGAATATATTTAGTTTTATTAGACTACTTTAAATCTTAATACTGATTCATTAACTTTTTGATTTCGTTTACTAAGCTATTTGTCTGAGTTTTTTTGAAGTTAAGATATTTCGTTAAAAACATTTTCATTTAACTACTTCTACATATTGAAAATAATAATTATTTTGTGGTTAAATTTTTAAATTATTGATATTCCATATTTTTTTAATTATCAAGCTAGTATTTTAATTCTTATGGTTGCAATTAATTCAATATATTTTAACCTTATTTACTTAAAATGTTTTTCACACCTCCTTAGTCATCATATTTATCTAAAATGTCTAAGAGATTCTCCATATCATTGTTTAATTCAAATCCATTCAATTACAAATTTTCTATTTTTTTCATCATATTCTTTTCAGAGCATTCTAAACATTCTTAAAAAAAATATTCTATCCTGTAAAACTATCTTGACTTTTCTAAATATTATTTATACTTTTATTTAATTTCTTCTTTTTATTGTTTAATTTAGCCATTTATAACGTTAATTTCTTGATAATACTACTGATTCAAATCTTCGTTTTCATTCAAAACAATCGTACTTTTGATATCACTTTAATCTTTTATGAATAAGTAATTAAATTTTTATATTTAAAAATGATAAAAATATTATTTTATTACCTATAAAAGAAACAGAATTATCATTTATTCTAAGGGCTTTTTCTTACGTGTTTTGATAAGTATTCATAGAACTTGTGCTCACTTTATTTAGTTTGTAAATTGAATCTTGATCGCATGTAGCTTATTTATAGTATCTACTATTCTTATTTTGCTAAATAAGTTCAGATTTACTCAATTCTTCAAACTTTGATTGGTTAATAAGAGAAGACAAAGATTGATTAATTTAAGATTTATTTTATAATAATCTTTATTTCATTTCCTTTCTTTTATCTCTCAAATATGATAAGTTATTGTATGAGCTTAGAGCGTATTCTCCATTTGGTTTTGGAATTTTAAATACTTTTTCTAAAGTTTCTAATTATTTTTTAGCACTCTTTACAATTGGAGATACATCCATTTCAGTTTTACAAATATTTTTATAGGTATCTACTGCTTGGTTTTATAATACACCATTATTTACTTATAAGAATTTCTTATCCATTTAGACATTTAAATATTTATTAAAATTATTCTCACTATTTATTTTACCATTTTAACTCAAAGTTAAGAAGGTCTTATCATTTTACAATTATTAAGGACTATTAGGTTATTTACTTTAGCTTCTTTACTTTTTTAAAGACCTGTCTAAAATAAATGAGCTTTTAATTTTATTATTTACAGCTTTTGGAGTAATACTAGGAAATATGCAGCCTCCTAGTATAGAATCATTTACACTTAATTTATTTTAAGAAGCATTCGTTGATGTAATAATACTTGAGAGATTCAAATTTTTCTTCTTGCTTGACAAAGAACGATGAAGAATAGATAAAGAATTTTCATTCCCATTTTAAGAATAATTACTCCTACCTCTTCTTAAACTTTTTTCTTATCCTTCATTCTTCAAAAAATATTTTTTAGAATTTAAAATTCTTTCTAAGTTAATTTTAGATATTAACAATTAACTAGCTTTCTTTTTTTTAGATTTTAAATTATCCTATAGCTCGTTTCTATATGTGAGATTATATTTTAATTTATCGTACCAAAGATCTGCTTGCTACTAGTATTTATTTAGCAAGTCCCCAAAATAATCTTAATCTTTTTTCAGATTTATATTCTCATTTAACAGTTTTGCAATTTCAGGATGATTATCATAGAAATCTTATACTATCTAAAGAAAACTCAGATATCTTTGAATCATATCGTTTGTGTTTTTCAAAAATTGATTTGCTTCAAAGGTTGTAAATTTCCAAGATTGCTGCTGTAACTTTATACATTCATTTATTTTAGTATTTATTGAATCTATTTTATTGTTAATTTTTTCTTTATCGTTGATCAATTCTGGAGACAATTCGCATTTATCTACAGGAATTCGCTACTCATCTGTATATTCTTGAGAATGCCAATGAACTTTCTTCTCTTTTAGAATCTCATTATGGCGACTACTCAGAGTAGAAACATTTTTATGCTCTTCTTGCTTCATTAAAATTAATTCTAATTTCTCTCAATTAAATTTGATTAAAGCAAATAATATCAGCATAGCAATCCAAAAAAATTATAATTGAAATATTATTAATTTTTATTCATTAATTTTTACCTACAAATTTACAAAAATTAAAATAAATATTCTCTCAGTGAATTACTTACTATAACTATATTTACTTACATCTAAAGTATTATTATTAGTAGTAATTTTGTTAATACCTTTTATACTCATTAATTAAAATAAATTAAGCTAGGGGGAAAATTTTACTCATTATACTTAAGATTAATGTATCAGTTAATATGAATAATTAACAAGAATATATTAGCAATAATAAAAATTATTAGAATATTGCATTATTTTTCTAATAAATATTACCAAAAATTTCAAATCTAATAGTGAAAATTTTTAAATAAATGAATAAAATAAATTTCTTTGTATTAAAAAATTAAGCAAGTACTTAAATATGTAATATATATTTGTTGGATTATTAAATATTTTAATATACTAATTTAAAAATTAAAGATTAATTTTATTTGTTATGAGTTCTATAGATTCACAAAAATATCAAAAATAAATTAAATTAGAATCAAAACGTTTTATATAATTTTGAAAAGCTTTTTTATTATTCTGCTTTAATTATTATATTTTAGGCATTTAGAAAATTAAAATCTATTTGATTAAATAACCTATTTGATAAAAGTATTAAATAAAATTCTATATAAAAAGAGAATACTGATTGTTACTAATTTGGCTTTAAAATAAACAAACGTAATTTTCTATATCATTTTTAAATTAAAAAAAAGAAGTTATTTGACAAGCGGTACTATTTATGATGTCATATTTTGGGTAAAAAGAGTTTATTTGATCGTAATCTTTGAAAGTTTGATTAAATTTTTATTTATAACTATTTAGATTTTATTTCAAACCCTTTAAATTATTCTCTTTGATTTATAAAATAAAAATAAATAAATAATTGAAAATAATAGAAATTGTGAGCTGACTTGGTATTTAGCTTTGAATTTTTATATCATAATTTCTTATGAATAAATAATAATTAATAATACGAGTTTTTATATATTATATTATTTATAATTTTATATAAAGTAAATATTTATTTTTATTGGATTGGCGAAGTGAGTTTATTAACTAGATACTCTTACTTTCTTAATTAGCTCTTTAAAAGAGAATGATGTTGTAAGTTTATTAGTTATTTATATAGGTCTTGAGTTTGAGTTTTAATTTTGATTGATAGTAAATCGAGCATTTATCAATTTTCTATCAAATTTAGTGAAATGTGTGTAATTGTTAATTTATATTTGATGCTCCATCTTGTATAGTCATCAAATCAAATCAAATCTCATCCAGCTGCTTGTGTATTTATTATTAAGTGAATTATCTTCCTTATTTCAGTTATTTTGCGCTTCTATGCTAAGTAAAATCAATATATTATGAGACTTGACTTCCTTATTTAGAGTAAATTGCATCTAGTTAGTCAAGTTACTTCAACATAAAAATGATGGATGACGAAAGATCAGGAAGAAGAGCTATTAAAGCTTCAAGTGCGTTTTATATAATTTATACACTCACTAAAATCCCTCTGATTAAGTAATTTAATATTCTAATAAGCAAAATATAAGTGAATAAGCTTGAATCAGTTATTTTGCTTAAACATATAAAAACTCTTTGCTTTTAAATCTAAGGTTATTAATTTAGACTTATTTGATAAGTATGATGATGAATTATTTTGAATAACTCAATCACAGCATTCCTACTCCTCTGGAATTCTTTCTAAGCCTCTAAGGCTAGTAATGTATTCAAAGTAATTCACGCAAGCCTTTCTATAGAGATAGTTGACGTTTATTATAAAGTGTTCCATAGAAGGCTTAAGAGTCTCTGGAGCAGCATAGATATTTTCTTGCTAAGAAGCTCTTCTTTTACTGTTGAGTCTTTGATTTGTTTTCTTTCCAGTTTTATGTTATTCATTTACTTAAGCCTAATTTTAGCAACAATTGACTTTTTTTGAACTGGTTGAAAAAGAGTCAGTATCGCATAGAGATAGAGTAATAGTATTTTCATCATCACTATTAATGATGTGGCTATGAGCTGATGAAGGGGTATCATTGTGAAAATGCATGCTAGAAGCTGAGTTTGCTTATTGCAGCTACTCTCTACGAGAAAGCTGAAGTTTTGAGGTACTTGAGTTTTGTTAGAGTTTATGAGTTAAAGAATCAGAAGGTAATATTGCGTAAGAAGGTAACAATCTTCCAGCCGTTTGCTCAGAAAACTGTTAAGAGTGTGAGTGCTTTTCTGCAATTCCTAGCTTTGTTAGAGCTTCTGCCCACTTGTTCATGTTGTCTTAATCATTTAATTTAAGCTAGAAGGACTTTTCGTTCTTATGAATAATCAATTAATTGCTCTCTGAATTAAGTTAGTATTAAACTTCAGGAGTTAGAGATATTTTGGCTTTGGGGTGGCTTGCCTAAAATTTAAGAAGAATAAATGTAAGACTAGTTAATATGAGATAAAGTAGAAGCAAGTATTTGTAATTGATAGTAGGTTAAATGTGGAAAAATTTGAGAGAATATTATTTATATTTTTAAAAATGAGAAATATCAGACACTATTAATGATTACTAGAAGTTAATGTTGTTTTCTTTGTTATTAATTTTCTTGATACCTTAATGATTCGTAAGTAAGTAAGAAAAGGGTGATTAAAAATTAACCTCTGTCCCTTAATAATCTTTAAAAATACGAATATATCAATCAATCAATATGTATGTTGTATATTTTAAAGGGAGTAGAAAAATTCAAAAATATTCATTGCAAAATGATGATAACAATAATAATACTAAAAGGAATATTTGAAGCTTAGATATTAAAAATATGTTTGTTATTAAAGAATGAAATCTCAACCGCTTTTCTTAAGAAACACAAATAAATAAATAAATTTATCGATGAAAGGCATATCAAAAGTTTTATAGAATAAATCAAAAAATTATAAAGTATTTATTTCTATTTCAATAGTTAATAATTTAATAATTTATTTATTTCCAAATCAATCTAAATTCCATCTATTGAATAATATTCTTACTCTATCTTAAATAGTTTCTTCTAAGCAATTTTTCATTTTGTTGTTAATGAATAAATCAAATAATCAGTCAATTATTATTATTATTATAATTACAATAATAATGCTGGGGGATTCATTCATTCATTTATTCTTAATTTAATTCATTTTAGAAGTAAACGTAAAAAGATGAGAGAAAGCAAATATTACTCTCTCAGAAAAATAGAAAGAAAAAAAAATAAATAAAGAAAATAAGAAAGAAAGAAATAAGCTTGCTTATGATTTGAAAATTAATAAAAAAGGAGAAGAAAGGAGCAAAGGAGAAAGGTATTAAAGTTTTGCTTACGCAAATGAAGAGAATAAGGGAGGCATAAAGATGGATTTGGATTGACGATTTTTGGGAAGACAGTGCATTTCTTTTGATTCGGAATTAGGATTTTACTATAGGCTACTCTGCTTAAGAAGCATAGTTAAGCTTATCTAAATCAGTAATCTTTTCCCAAAGAGACTCCATCACTTCCCTTTTATATTTTGCTTTTTGTATTATTAGTAAATTTTAATTATTATAAATTAACAACTGGGAGGATGCATTTATTTTATTAAGAAAAAAAAATTAATTACTAATGTAATTATTATAAATTAATCAATGATAGATGTAATCAATTATTTCTTTCTTTTCAAATTTATCATGTATTTGTTTTTTTGTTCTGCTTTCATATTTGGAAGTGCCTGGTTGCTATTTTATTGATCAAAAATAAGAATTATATTTATTTGTTATAATCAAAATATTAATAAAAATGTAAATTAATTAATGAATCATACAATATGATTTGTACTTTACATTCATTTTTTGAAAATATTAATATTATTTATTTTATGTTTGCACATTAGAATCTAATTAATTATTTTACTTTTTTTTTGTCTTACATTTACGCATAATACAGTCTTTTTACCAAAACTCTTCCTTTTTTAAAGGAGGGCAACACACTCATACCTATAAACAGACAAACAAAAATCAAATTTGATTATCAGACAAGTTAAGCTCGAATATGAGCAAAATTTTATTTCTGTTAAATATAAATTTCTATAAATAAATACAAACTTAGCAAGATGTTCTTAACAACTTTAAAATTAAGAAAAAGTAAATAATAAAATAATAAAATTATAAAGAAGATTTCTATCATTTAAGTGTTTTTTTGCTTTATTATTTTCCTTTAACTTAATAAAATATAATCTTTGTTCACCGATATTCCCCTAGAGCTATATAAAAGATTTATATATAATTTACAATCGTTGATTAAAAAAAATATAATTTAGCTAGATGATACTAAGATTCTAAATATGTGTCAGAAGTTGGGAATAAATTCCAGAAAATCTTCACATTAGATTTTTATATTTTATAATTTATCTTCTATTATTTAATTTCTTTTACACAACAAAAGTAAAAAAAAGCATTTTTAAAACTAATATTTCCTTCTATTTTCCTACTTTAAACTATTACATTTCTTATATATTGTGATATTTACTTACTTTTAAAGTATGCTCTAAAAATAATACATCGCTTAAACTTTTTATTTAATGCTTAATCCTTCATGCTGTTACAATTACTAAAATCTTCTTACTTTTCTTAGTTTTTTTCCTTAATATTTAAGTAAATTATCGGAATTTAAAGGTATAATTTTTGTGCTAAATATGTAGTTATCTGATGTAAAAGTAATTAGAAAGTAAAAAAAATTTAGTAGCAGATTAAAAAAAATTTTGAATTACAAAATAGACGCAAAAAAATATAGCATTACTCGTTTGAGGTTTTATTTTCAAATAAATCTACAATTTAAAATATTTTATCAAGTAATAATTTCAACAAAAAACATGTATTTAGTTTGCTTTAAAACAGCATTTTTTTGCTATTAAAATAAACTAAAACTTAAAATTAGAAAATTTAAAAAATATATCTAATAGTTTAAATAAATTTTATTTCACTGCTTCATAAGTTTATTCATTTTTTCTTCTTATTTGTTACAGGAATAAAAGCATCATCACTTTCAGCAGTTTATACTTTTTCTTTTTAAGTATTCTCTGAGGGTTATTCACTTTCTTCATTATTAACAGGCTTAGGATTTCTTCTGTCCTTAACAACATTCCATTCATCATTTGATGAATCATTAGCTACTTTAACAGCAGTTGCAGCCTTTGCTTAAGTTGAAGTAGGGGCTGCTTATTGAGTGCTTTCCTTCTTTAAGTCAGCCTTTCCTTTTGCTTCCTTTTTAGGTTCAGTTTTGCCTTGTTTTTCCTTACCTTTAGCAGTTTCAGTTGCAGAAGTTTGTTACTTTTCACTTCCCTTTTTAGGGTCTTCTTTCTTTTAAGTTTTATTTTCTTCTTTGCTTTAAGCAACTTTAGCATCTTCTTTCTTTACTGATTTAGGTTCTTCTTTCTTTACTGATTTAGATTCTTCTTCTTTCTTGGAAGCTTTGGGTTGTTCCTTCTTTTAGTTTTTGGTTTCCTCCTTTGCTTATTGCTTGGGTTCTTCTTTCTTTTGATTTTTGGTTTCTTCCTTTTTCACTTCTTGCTTTGGTGCTTCAGATTTTTTCTTAGAATCTTGATTCTCAACAGGTTTTTTTTACTTTCTTACAACTTCTTTGATACCATGCTCTAAAGCTGTCTCTTCGAAGGCTTCAGTAATTTTTTCTTTAGATATTTCTTTCTTTTCCTTTTCAGTAAGCTTTTCATATTCATTTTATTCGTACTTGAAGTTAGTTTCATCAGTGATAGCAATTACACAGTATCCAATCATAAATAAGACAACAACACCAACAGAGATAAAGCCAGAGTACATTTAAGCTTAATTTTTAGTTATTTCAGGAATATTTTCCAAGTAGTTAAAAGTGAAGAAATAGGTAGCAATTGGAGCAATAATCATACCAACAGCGAAGAATAAGAAAGTATTTAAAACCTTTGAGCTATGGAAATAGAGACCGAACCTAATAAAAATAACAAAAATAAATTTAAATCATTTTAAAAAGCTTAAAAAATATTTTGAATAAAAGCTAAATATTTTTTTAACACATTTGAAATATTTATTTTTCAGAATTGTTGAAAATTTCGGATGCAAGCTAGCTATTCTATATAAATATAATATAGAAAGCAGGTAGTTTGATTTTATTTGATTTAAAGTTATAATTAACATAAATATCTAGCTAATTTTATTAATAAGGCAATAAACTCTTAAAAACTCCATTAAATAAGTATGAATAAACTTAATTTGTATTTTACAATTAAACTTTTTGGTTCTATTCTTCATTGGTTTCTTATGTATTACCATTCTCCTTAGGTTGCTTGTTGATCTATTCTTTTTTCTCAACCTTTTGCTAAACTGGAGCTGGAGTAGATTCAACAGTTTTAGTTTTATTACTGTTTTCTTAGACAGTCTCTGCAACTTAATTTTACTTAGTTTTCTTTCCCATTTTTATAGATTGATTGAAATATATCTTTTTATATTAATTTTTTTTAATAAAGAAATTAGGATATTTTTGATAATATAAATTATTTGATTTTTTAATTGTAATTTGAAATAAAATTGTTTAAAAATTACGTATATATATGTTAATATTTAAAACTATTTATTAAGAAACACGTAGGCAGAATTCATACAAAACACTCAAAAATATAAAATATCTTCACATTTCTTTATTTATGGTGGAGGATACATATAGAATCTACTCAATATTAGAAAATAAATATTTTTATTAGAAAAGATATAAATAAAATTATATTTGAAAGTTTTTCATTTTAAACGTTTTTAATTTATTATTTTAATCTCTCTTTAAATTATTCCCTGGCTGAAAACCAAGAAAATTTACTAGATAGGATTTTGCATTAAAATTCAGCTTATCCAATAAAATACAAATATAAGATTTTTATTAATTAGAATTATTGATTTAAAAATATTTATTAGCAACTATTTGTTGAAGAATAAAATAATTAGCTTTATGATTAAATGTTTTAGCTTTAGTTAACTGTATTAATATTTAAACCAACTTTTAAGTTAATTAGTAAGCAACTTTTTTGTATTTGAAAAATAATTTTGAAGTGTAAAAAGTGAAATGAGAGATAATAAAATGAAATAAGAGGATTTAATTTTTGTTATGAAAAGATTTTTAATTTTGAAATGCTTTTTAACAAAATATACTCAAACAGAAATATTATGAATTGCATTTCTTAGAGACAATAAAAAGATATTTTTAAACAATCATATCCTTTATATTTTATATTTTGTTTAGCATTTTTGCTTTTGATAATATATAAATTTAATTTATTTGATCACTCGGATTCTTCTTATTCAGCTAACTTCTTTTTATGAGCTTTTTCCTTAGTCAAAGCAGTTTCTAAGCTTCTCTGTTTATATTTTAAAATAATAATTTAGTTAGTTAAATAATTTTTTATTTATTTAAAATTGATAATTGCTTTTCTGATGAAACAATTTGTGATAAATTTATTTTAATTTAAAATAAAAATTTTTTTATTTTCTATTTAAATCATTGATTGCTTATCATAATATGCTTATTGATTTGATTAAAATTGCCACTTATATAAAAAATTTTGCATTAACTCTTTTAACTAAATATTAAATAATTGCTAAATAGTTTACGTGAGCATTGTTAGCTTGATAGATAGCCAACCAAGGGTCATAGCAGACATGGAACCAAACGAAGGAAGCTGTTTTTATAATTAAAAATAGCTATAAAAAATGTTCTAATATTTTTGCAAATTTTTACTTCCCAAAATGAAGAATTGCCATAAGAAGGGGTAGTATTAAACATTTTCTCTTAAGAAAACCCAGAACTTCTTGACCTTGGGGTCAGCATTAATCTTACCAACAATTTGGGGTTGCTTTCCTTTATTTTATATGTTTAGAAAATAAGCATTATTATTATATTTTTTTGCTTTAATTCTAGAATAAGATGATATTAATCTGCTTAGATTATGAATGCATATGCAAGAAAAGTTATAAATTTTGCTATTGCTATTAGTATGTCATCTATTTATTATAAATTGTATACTCAAGATGGGCTTGGTAACTTGAGAGTAGGGAATAGTCTTGATCCAAGAAGGAGTGTATTCCTTAATGTTGTTGAAAATAAGTTTTCCGTAGACCATTTCTGCTTTCCTAAATTTTTTGAGATATTTGTATTTTTTTCTCTTCTTTTCTTTTTCTTTTAATTTTATTTTTTTCTTTCTTTCTTTTTAATTCAATACGCTATCTATCTTCTTTTTCTTTCAAATTGTTAATTCTTTTAAGTATTCTTTTTGGTATATTTTTAATTTACTTTCACATAAAAAAATGTTAGTATAAACAATGGATTTCATAATTGATTTATCTATCCTCTTATAAAGAAACTAAGGATTCAATCAATATTATTTTTCATTTATTTTTATTTATTTAACATTATCGCCATTTTATTTAGATATTCTTTTAACTCCAAGCCTTAAAGATTTATCTTCAAAACTAAAATTTATTTATTATCACAATTAAAATTTTAATTTTAACAAAGCATCACATTTAATGTAAAACATTATAAAAATATTTTTTTATAAAATTAAATTATTATTTCTTCTAAAATTATGCTAGTTTAACTTTAAATCTTAGCCATCCAATTTCTTTCTAATGATAATACTTGAAACATTTAAGTTAGTTTATAATATAATCAATCATATTTTATTAATTAAAATTGAGCATATTTACCTTAATTGGCCTTAATTAATATAATTATTTTTTAAATTACTTAATCAAAAATGAATTTTAAACTCTTTACCATAAAATCTTATTTCCATAATGTTGTTCAACATTTTATTGTTTTTTTCTAATCTTGAAATACAGCTAAAAAATTTTTATTTAAAACTCAGTAATTGTAAATTTATTATTTAAAAAAAATATAAAAAGCTCTCTTTAACATAAGTTATTTTATGGATATCTCGTAATAAATCGAAAAATATAATTATTTTTTTGTTTTTATTGTCTAATTACAAAATGTAAAATTTGATGTTTAATCTAAATCCATTAAGTTTATGATTAAAATCAACATAAAAATGTAAGCAAAACTTTTTTAGTACTTTCAAATACTCATTTAGCTAAAAAAAGTTAATTTTATTATATAAAAATATTTAAATTGTGTGCTTTGATTGATTTAAATTAAAAATTTTATTTTTAAATAGCTTTTTATACTATTTGTAAATTTTCTAGTTTATATTATTTATTAAAATAATAAATACTAGCTCAAATTAAACTTATAATTACAGAAATTAGTTTGCTACCACACAAATAATATTTTGAATATTTAAGTAAATGTATAAATATATAATATTTAAGAATAATACATTAATACATACATAAATTCATAAGAAATTAAAAAATACAGTTTTTACTTAGTAAATATATATAATAAGTATATAGAGAAAGATTAAGTAACATCAATTTACTATTTTTCTCTAGCAAAAGACATTTATTTATTGATTATATATCTTTTTGATTGCTTATGAGAAAAGATATGTTGAGTCAAATCATTTAGTTATATGATAATGGCCAAAGAAAGATATTTCCATAAACATTGTCATAGGAAAAAGAATAATTTAACCCTTTTTAAGATGATCACATATTAAAACAAGAAGATGATTGTACAAAATCATTTTACATGTATCCAAAACAATTTTAAAATGCTAGAAAAGAAATTTTAAAGACAATCTAACAACCAAGGATTAAATCCTATTCTCTTGATAAAACTGAGTAATAAATTTAATCTTAGAGAGCAATTTATTCTTAAAATAGATAAAATAGAAGGCCATAACTTAAATCTTAAATGTATTAAGTAAATTCTATTAACGATTAATAAAGTAATGATTTTTAAGCATTCAATGGGATTCTAGCCAAAAAAATATAAATTATTCATAATAATAATAATGATAAATCTATTAAAGTAGATTAATCTAATAAAAAAGACTCTCTCATCTCTAAAAGTGCTAAATTAGATGATAATTTTGAGGAGCTAGTTATTGAAGATTATTGCTTAGAAGGGGATTTATAAATTAACTCTGAGTCAAATAATTCTAATAGCAATATAATTGAATAAAAATTAAGTGAGGACCACTAATTAAATATTTTTGAAAACATATTATTGAAGTAAAAGCTGCAGGAAAATAAAATAAGTATTTAAAGTATTGATAACAGTCCTTTTAATAAGGATTACGGATCTATTGATAATTCTAATTAGAAAGAATAATTTTCTAGTTACAGTTAAGCTTATAAAAAAGATCGTATAGTACCTTAACAAGGAAATAGCAATTTTAAATAAATAAAAAGACTTAATTCAAAAAGTCCCTCTCAAAAATGTTTATCAAAAGAGAAAAAAGAATCTTAGTAATTAAAAGATTATGTGAAAAAAGATAATAAAATGGCACTAAATTAAAATGGAAAGTTTTTCAATAAAAACAAAAATGAAATATCTAATCAAAGTTAATGTTAAAAAATAATATAAGAAAGCTAAAAACCAATTAATTACATCGAATATGCTATAAATGAAATGCAAAAATAATAAATGGAAGTTAACTTAGAGCAAGCTACTTTTATTCCAGTTTAAATATTTGAAAAACCTCATCAAAGAAAACAAAAAACAAAATCAGTAAATAAAAATGTGATTAATAATGAAAAAGAGTTTTAAATTAAGCAAGATTAATTTTCAGAAGACTTGAATGAGTCTTTATCAAATGCAGGGAGTCGATTGCTACCAAAAAATAATGAAAATAATCTCTCAAAAGACCATTTCAGTTCAAATGAATTTCACACTATTAGCAAATCTTTACAAAGAAATTCAACTGAGTAGTCTATATTAAGTTTAAAAAATAAATAGGCATTGTTTAAAAAATATTTACCTAAATTGCAAAAGTAGTAATCTAAATATAAATTTGTTAAAATTGTATAGAAATCGTTTGGTGATGATTCACCTGATGTCCATTCAACGTCCATTAACTCTGAAAGGCGTACTCCTAATCACACTACATTTCGTGATTCTCCACCTTAACGTAAAAGATTACCTCAAGAAAAAGAAAACAGTTAAATTTTAAAAGCATCTTCATCGTTCTTTACTTTAAATGAACACGCAAAAAGTCTGAATAAATTAAGCACAATTTGCCTACAAAAAAATTTATTTTGTAAAACAGTAAATGATCAATTATAATAATTTGAAGAGGTCACAAACAGACTTCAAACTTAAAATACATTTCAAAAAGTATATCAATTTGTGCATAATAAAAGAATAGGAGTAAATCATTTAATAGAGTTAACTCATATTTTGTAAAAGCAAAAGTGAGTTAGCTTTTTATATAATTTATCATTTATAAAGAAATTATTTTAAATTAATTTTTTATTTTTATATTTTAAATTATTAATAAAATAACAAAGCTAAATTTAATAATCTATTAAAGCTTATTGATTTAATCTTATAAAATTTAATTTAATGTAAACAAAAATAAAATATGATTGAATACTTAAATAAATTTAAAAAGTTTTTATTAAATAAATAAGAAATTAAAAAGTTTTTTTTGAAAGAATAAAAGTTGAATTTAATAAAATGGAAAATAAAAAATAATTGAATTGAATAATTGAATTAAAAAGATTTAATTATGTAAAATTATTTATTAATTTTAAAATAGAATGAGTAGCAAACACAAACAAATTAAAAATGAAATAAATACTCATCAATTATTTTAATATTAATATTGTTATTGCTTCATTTTTTGAATTTCTTCTTCTATTTCCTATTCAATATCCTTTCTTAAATCTTCTCCAATTAGTTGGCTCATATTTTTAAATTAGTCTCTGTATGCTTCTATGGCAATATTCTGAGCTCTTTAGGCTAACATAACTTTAATAAGAGCCTTTTCTCTCATTTTTAACTCCTATATTTATTTATATTATTTTTTTAACTGTGTAATAAATGACTCTGTATTGCTTTTTTAATATTTCAAAGCTTCAATTTTATCTTCGTCTGAAAGATAACTTTCATATTAGTTATAGAAATTTGCAAATACTTTCTCAATTACTTCCTTTGGATTGCCATACTATGCTGTAGTGTAGTAATAAAATTCTAAGAATTTATATAGTAAATCTATCTGTTGAATAGCAATTAGTTGATTTGGCTGACGGTCTTTATCGATTATTTAGAAGACAAAATAAGTTAAGACATTATTTATAAATGTATTTTCATCTAATCTTGCTATTTTTTGATTAAAGCCAGAGCTACTTTAGTCATACAAATATCTCTCGTTTTGCTTTTATAGTAATTGGAGATATTAATTCATTGGATGGTTGCTGCTGTCTGCAAAGCACATTTCATAATACTACTTCAATTATTCGTTCTTTAGACAATTGTCCTAAAATAGAAATATTTCTATGATATCGTCACCATTTTTTAAAATATGAGCATCTGGAGAAAAATTTTATTATAAGCTATTTAAATAATTTTATAAGTCTATAAAAGGACCCTCTATATCAAGAAGTATACAAGCCAATAGGAAACGAGTTGCTTCTAAATTTTCTTCGAGTTCTATGTATGGATAGAAGCAATAGAAAATAGCATCTTCAGCGGCTTGATAACTATTAGTAATTTAGTAGATCATTGAAATATCTATTACTTTATTATTCAAACTTCCTAATTATGAGAACTCAGAAAAATCTATCTTTCTCATTGATAAGGAGCGCTCTTCACTTAATTTAAATTAAAAACATTAATTAATATTGTTTTAGCCACTGCTATTGACCAAGTTTTTGAATTCCTATCTTTTTTATTAATATTACTATTTCATATTTGGATTTTATGTAAAAATCCATTTTTTATTCGAATAAACCACTTTAAAACTTTACATTGTTCTAAATTACCCTTAATTTAAATTCATACTTTAACCGTTAAATAAATTCTAACCTGTATTGGGAAACATTCCTCCAGCCATTCCCATAGGAGGAGGAATCATACCGCTATTTGGAAAATTATTATTCATATTTCCAGCAATTGGAGGTTGCATGAAATTTTAAGTACCAGAGAAACCATTTACTCCAGGTGAGATATTGTTGGGGTTATTAAGACCAAAATTCATAGGTGGCATCATATTTGGCATCATGTTAGGATTAGGTGGCATCATATTTGGTTACATCATGTTAGGATTAGGTGGCATCATATTTGGCATCATGTTAGGATTAGGTGGCATCATATTTGGCATCATGTTAGGGTTAGGTGGCATCATATTTGGTTGCATCATATTAGGATTTGGTGGCATTATATTAGGTTTCATATTATTTTAATTAAGATTGCCCATATTATTAAAATTTGGATTCATATTATTATTATTATTAGCATTTAAAGGCATATTCATAAAATTTTGCATATTTTAAAAGCTGCTCTATGGGACTCCGTTTCCGTTCATTCTTATGCTCGTTTTGATTTTCTACTTTTTCTTATTTTACTTTTTTTAAGATACAAAAATTAGATTTTTTAATAATTTTCTAATTATTTTTATTAATATAAAAATATCAATAATGTTTTTGATTTCACATTATATCTCTTTCGTTAAATATTCTAATAGCTTCATAATAATTTAGTATAAAATTTTTTTATTTCAATAAAATATCAATATTCTTTTAGAAACATCTTACTTCCCTAATAGAAACTATAAAAAATATAAGAAAGGGAATTAATTTTCCATAAATACTTCTGAAAGCTTTTCCAAAATAATAAAACAAAATTTTTTATATAAAAATTAGAAAAAAAAATTGAATTTTAGTCAAACAAAGTAGCTAGATGGCAAATATTATAATATGAAAAAAAAAAATCCAAATTGATAAAGAATTTTTTCTTGTGTTTATGTAGATATATCATATGGAAAAGAGTTAAAAAAAATGTAAATAACTAAAAAATTTGAATAAATTGATGCTAATCATCATAAACTTTTATGTGATGCTAACTTAAATTAATATTTACAAAGTGTTACAAATATAAAATTTTTCAGGTATACCAAAAGTCTACTATGTTAATATTTAAGAGAATAAAATATCATGGTCATTGATTGGCTTGAATGCTCTTTAGAAGATTTATTAAATTTTTGGAATATAAAATTTATACTCAAAATATCATTAATCTGTCATTCATTCATAACAAAAAATTTATATCCAACAATGTCCTTCTATATAATTTCTTAATTGTTACATTTTAAATATTCATAAAGTGTATTTGATTAATTTTGGTTTTACAAAAATATACCTTTTGAAAGATGAACAACATAGAGACTATACAGAAGTAAAGTCTTAAACAATAACTGCAAGATATGCTTCTAAAAGTGCTTATTTAGGCAGAATAGGGAAGAAGACATAATTTATAAAGCTTGGGATATATGCTTATACATTTTATGACAGGTTCTCTACCTTTAGAAACTTGAAAACTACACATAAGAATGATAATTATAAGAAAATCAAAAAAAAAATCTTAAAATATATGTAAATTAATTGAGTTAAGGATTCCCAAAGAATTTTGTAACTTATCTAAACTATTCTAAATAACTAATCAAAATCCCTATTATGAGTAAATGAGAAAGCTCTTTAATGATTTATTTGAAAGATAAGGTTATGAATTAGATTGCTTGTGTGATTAAAAACGTATAGGAAAAAATTGTTAGAATAATAACTAATGATATATAATTTTGCAGAATTTACTCTAAAATAACCCTTACTTTTTAAGTAAAAGGAAATAAAGTTATATGAATATTTAAAGATTACAATAATGAAGATTGATTTACTATTTTATAGCTATCCTTTTATTTTTTATTAGTAGATATAGTTTAAGTTCATATGCAGGATGATGATGATGGATTGCAAAAGTCTAATTTGAATAATAAATCTAAATAAAATCTATCAGAGCTTTTATAAAATTTTTGTAAAGAAAAACTATTTGTAAGCTATTTTTTATTATGTAGAAATGTCTAACTTTTAGAAATTTATTAATTTCTAATTGATAATAATCAATCTAGATCGATAGAACAAATAAAATTGAACATTTATGAGTCGCTATTTAATTTTTAATTTATCTTTGTTATTTCTCGGTTTTTGGAATTATCTGAATTAATTTTTTCTACCTATCAATTAAATTTGAGCATATTCTAAAAATGAGAAATTATATATAATATTTTAGCTAAAGGAGCTTATCTGATTTTTATATTAAAAGAATTAGTAGCAAAAGTACAGAGAATTGAGAAAATGATAAATAATTATTTTATATTTAAAATAACTTTGGTATATTTCCTTTTATACAAAAAGTCAGACTAATTTAAGTTTTTTTGTTTATCAAAATAAATAAAAAAAATTTTTAATTTTTATTGAAAAAAAGCTGATTTCATAAAGTAGTGATTATTTATATCTATTATAATAAACTAAGAAATATTTTAATATAAAAGATAATTACAAAACAATTTTATTTGAGTATTTATTAAATTTATTTATTTATTTTTTTCACAAAATGTAAAAATGTTTGATTAAATTTTATCATTATTAATAAATACAAAAAGAACATTCAAAATTATTTATAAAATTCGATATGATTTTTTTCTGGAAAAAAATTTACATGAATTCAAGTTTGGCAGATATTAAAAGAATAAAATTTTTTGTCATATTTTTATGATTTAGAAAAGTTAAGAAAGATATTATTCATAAAAATAATTAACACTTAATAGGTAAAGCAAAATATTAAAAAGAATATCTAAAAATGAGTATGTTTGAAAAGGTTTGCATACTTGGATCTCTAGGAGCTGTAGGTTTATTTAGTGTTTACTCTATCTTTGCTCCTTCTAAAAATAAATTGAAAAAGGAAGAAATTTAATAAAAGCGTTAGAAATTAGTAAATGACGATAACATGAGAGTCCTGTATTCAACAATGACTTTCTTCTACTTACAAGGTTTTGAATAGGAAAAACTTTAAAGTTTTCATAATCTGTATGACATTTTACAAATCTCTAAACCTAAGCTAGTTGCCCTTTAACTCAGTGAAAAGGAGTATGAAGAAAAATACCAAGCAATTATCAATCATCCTTAATATCCTGAGTTGATGCGTAAAGTTGATTTCTACTTATAAACTAAGAGCGAAGAAATTAAGAATATGTAAGAATTAGATCTCAAGCATCTTGAAAAGCTATATATCTTTGATTACTGTAAAAAAAATAAATGTTAAGTTCTCTTTTGTGATAAATCACCTTCTGAACTAAGAGCTATGTATTAGGCAAAGCTCTAACTCAGTAAGTTGCACCTTGAAGAAAACAAAGATATTCCATCTTAATTGAAAGAGCTTTATTCAGAAGATTTAAAAAAGTTTGATTCCCAGGCTATTAAGAAGTAAAAATAATCAATTTAAGACATTGAAAAAGAAATTAAAAAAGAAATCTATGAAGACTTCCGTTATAACTTCTTTGTTGATAAAGTCATCTCTGAACTCTAACCCAAAACTTCTTTAATTCCTTCCAACCCATATAAAACTCTTGTTGGATTAGTAGAGCCTGAGGATTTAGAAGGTATAACTAAACTTTGGAAAAATAAATTTAAAACTACATATGGCCATGAAATCTTAGAAGACGAAGAAGCATTAAACAGACGTATGTAAAAATAAAATTAACAACCAAGTAACTTATAAGCCCAAGCATGATATATATATCTAAAAAGTGAGATATTATTTTTAATAGTTTAAGAAATTATAGTATAATTAGAAATAAAGAGTGATAGATATTTGTGCAATTAAATAATTAAAAGCTAAAAGAACAAACAATTATTTTAAAATTGTATTAAAAAGAAAGATATATAAAATTTTAAAAATATATTCATTAATATAATTTTTATCCTTTAGTTAATCTTTATTGTATTTTTATTTGTTGATTTTTAATTTAACTCAATCTTCAAACGAGAATTTTTAAAATTTGATAAAACCTTTTTCTCAACAATAATAACTAACTATTAAAATATGATATATTTAGATTTTATTTTAGACTATTTTCTTAATTTTTTGAATTGAAAAACCTTTAATGTTAAATAAAACATTTTCTTTAAAGATGAATTGACTCATAAAATTATTTTCTTAAAAATAGCAGAAATCCTATCAAAAAGAATAAAAAAAAAACTCAAAAAAATTTGATTATTATTTATTTTATTAATTAATTTATTCTTGGATATTTTTTTTTATTAAATTTAAAATAAAAATTTTCATCAATAGCAAATTTATCACCAAATACTCTTTCAAATTTATAAAATCCTATTTTTATTTGAAAATATTTAAAACTCCTTTTTTTATATTTAAATAAGTATATATACATATTGGATTTAAATATTTTGGAGTGTTTTTGAAATTTAATTTTAATTTATTTAATTTTATTTTAAATATTCAAAATTTGGAATAAAAATAAAATATATTTTATTAAGAAGTTCATTTTTTTTAAAAAGATTAGCTTTAAAATATTTTAGAATAACATCTACTAAATAAAAAAGTTATCAATATGTCATTTTATCTGTGATAACTTATTAGGATATTTGTTTTTTTAAATTCTATTTTTGATTTTTACTGATTTGCCACCAAAATTTTAATTCGAAAATAAATTTTAAAAAATATCAAATTTTTAAATATGCGCAAAAATCATAAAAAATCAAAATCAAATTATTAATAGGATTTAATTATCTTAAAAATAGGAAAAATAAAGCATAAGTATAAAGCTTATAAATAAAAGAAACAGCTCTTATATAAATCTAGCTTTAAATCTATTATAAATAAAAAAGTCAAACAGGATGTCAGTCGAAACAACTTATCAAAAAAAGACACAACTTGAACATATTTTATTGAGACCAGATACTTACGTAGGTTCCAATGAATACCAAGATGAATAAATGTGGGTTCTAGCAGATGACGGATCATCTTTTGAAAACAGACAAATAAAGTATGTCCCAGCTCTTTATAAAATCTTTGATGAAATTCTTGTCAACGCAGCTGATAACTATTAGGTAAATACCAGCTTAAAAAAACATTTTTTTATTTTTTTAAGTCTGATCTGATGATAGATAGAAAACAAACTAACACATTTTAATTTTATAAATAGAGAGATAAGAGAATGAAAAGATTAGATGTAATTATTGATCAAAAGAACAATTGTATTTCAATCCTAAACGACGGAAAAGGAATTCCTGTTTAGATTCATAAAGAATATAATATTTATGTTCCAGAACTTATTTTTGGACATCTTTTGACTTCTTCAAATTATAATGACGAAGAAAAAAAAGTTGTAGGAGGTAGAAATGGTTTTGGTGCAAAGCTTACCAATATATTTTCAACTAAGTTTATTGTAGAATCAGCAGACTCTAAAAACAAAAAGTAAAGTTATTTGTTATAAAAATAAATAGGAGGAGTTTAAATTCAAATTACTTTTAATTAGGAAATTTTAAATGACTTGGACAAAAAACATGTCTGAATAATCTGAACCACAAATATCAAGTTATACCGAAAGCGACTACACAAAAATCACTTTTTACCCTGACTTAAAGAAATTCCACATGAAAGAACTAGAAAAGGTAAAATGTGTTTTTTAATAAGAAATTATCCACTTTTAGCAAAATAAATTAACCTTTTGTTTTAAATAATCTTTCAAATAATTAATAGGATATTGTTGACTTGATGAAAAAAAGAGTATATGATATGGCTGGTGTCATTGGCGGCTCTGTTAAAGTATCATTAAATGGAGAAAGAATTTCAATAAGTTCATTCTCTGATTATTGCGATTTTTATTTAAAGAACCAAGGTGCAGAAGTAATTAAGGTAAATATTATTTATTATATAAGGTGAAGGCATTTAGATAAAATCTATTTCTAACAAACAAAAGGTATCAGATAATAAAGGTACCAATAATTAAAGATGGGAAGTTATAGCAAGTTTATCAGAGGGCTAATTCTAATAAGTAATTAAAAAATAAATGAAAAAAATATCTAATTTTATTTTATTTTTTTTAAAAGGTTTCATTTGTTAATTCAATTTGCACCTCAAAGGGAGGTACTCATGTTAACTACATAACTGACTAAATCACTGAAAAATTGATGGAAACTTTGAAAAAAAAGGAGAAAAGTCTTAACATTAAGTAATTTTAGGTTAAGAGTCATTTATGGATTTTCGTTAATTGCTTGATTGAGAATCCCTCTTTCGATACTTAAACTAAAGAAACACTAACTTTAAGATAATAAAGCTTCGGTTCAACCTGTGAAGTTTCTGAAAAGTTTATCAAAGAACTCTTAAAATCAAATATTATTAATCATATCCTCCTTTAAGCTAGAGTAAACATTTATTTTCAAATTTTTCTTGAATTAATTTACCAATTTATTTCTAGGCTAAAGAGTAAGCAAAGATGGCTAAAACTTTGTCTGCTAAAAAGCAAAGTAGATTATTAGGAGTTCCTAAGCTGGAAGATGCAAACGATGCAGGTAAATTATTAATTAATTCAAATTTATAACTTTTCTAAAAATAAATATAGGTACAAGAAACGCTGAAAGCTGTACACTAATTATAACAGAAGGTGATTCTGCCAAAGCTTTAGCTATGAGTGGTATTGAAGTTGTTGGAAGAGATAAATTTGGTGTCTTCCCATTAAAGGGTAAAATGTTAAATGTAAGAGATTCTACAAGCAAGCAAATTACAGAAAATTTAGAAATCTAAAATATCATCAAGGTAATGGGTATGAAGCTAAATACAAACTATGATAATGTTAAAAGTTTGAGATATGGATCAATTATGATTATGGCTGATTAAGATCACGATGGTTCCCATATCAAAGGTTTATTCATTAACTTTATATAGAATTTTTGGCCCAGCTTGTTCTAAATGGATGGTTTTCTTAAAGAATTTATTACACCAATCGTGAAAGTTAGAAAAGGTAATTAATCAATAAGCTTCTTTAGTATTCAAGACTTTAAAAGATGGAAAAGCACATGCCCAAACTAGCATTTATGGAAAATTAAGTATTACAAAGGTCTTGGTACTTCAACCGATTAAGAAGCCTAAGAATATTTTGGAAATATAAACAAGCATGTCATTAGTTTTAAATACAATGGTAAGGATGATGAAGATGCTATTGATTTGGCTTTTAATAAGAAGAGAGCTGAAGACCGTAAAAAATGGTTAGTTAAATATGACCCAGAAGAAAATGTTGACCACTCATAAAAACATTTGACATACAAAGATTTTGTTAATAAGGAGCTAATTAATTTTTCTAATTCTGATAATGCAAGGTAAATAAATTATTAAACAAATTATCATATTGACTTATAATTTTTTAATTTTAAAAATAGATCTATTCCCAGCCTTTGTGATGGTTTAAAGCCTGGTTAAAGAAAAATTCTTTTTGCATGCTTTAAGAGAAACTTGAAGAATGAAATTAAAGTAGCTTAGTTATCTGGTTATGTAGCTGAACACTCCGCTTATCACCATGGTGAATAATCTTTAGAATCTACCATTGTAGGTATGGCTTAGAGTTTCGTTGGTACAAATAACATCAATTACCTCATGCCTATAGGTCAATTCGGTTCTCGTAACATGGGAGGAAAGGTATTAATTTTATTTTCAAAAACTTTTTCTTAAAGTTATTATAAAATATAGGAAGCTGCATCTGCAAGATATATCCATACTTGCTTAAATAAAATTACTCGTTGTGTTTTCCCTGAGCCAGACGATCATATTCTCTACTACCTTGAAGATGAAGGATAATAGGTAGAACCTATTTATTACCTTCCTATCATCCCTACAGCTCTTTTAAATGGTATTAAAAAAAATAAAATTCAAATTAAATACTAACTCAATTTTATAAAAGGTGCTGATGGTATCGGTACAGGTTGGTCTACTAGTATTCCTTGCTATAACCCAAGAGAATTAGTTGATTCAATTGAAAAAAGAATGATGGGAGTTCCCTTTACTGATTTATTGCCATGGTACAAAGTAAGATAAAAATTTACTAATAAAATTTTCTAAAAAATTGAAAATTATTTATTTACACAAACAAGGGTTTCACTGGTGAAATTTCTAATAACGAAAAATCTTAAATTACTGTTAGTGGAAAGTACCATTTAGTAAATGAAACAACAATAGAAATTACTGAATTACCTATTAAGAAATGGATTAGAGATTATAAGAACTTTTTAGAAGAGAAATTAGAATCTACTAAAGATAAGGATCCCGAAATTGAAGATATTAAGGAATATCATGCTGGTAATAGAGTGCATTTTGTAGTTAAAATGAGCGAAAAGCAAATGGAAAAAGTAATTAATATATGATGAAAAACAAACAAACTAAAAATTAATTTTATTAAATTCAAGGTATAAAGGGAAGGTATTGACAAATACTTCAAATTATAATCAACTATTCCTACTACAAACATGGTTTTATTCAATCATGAAGGAAAACTTACTAGATATGCTAATATTTGCGAAATTATGGAAGAGTTTTATGAAGTTAGATTAAATGCATATAAAAGGAGAAAGGAATATTTGGTCTCTAAAATCGAACGTGATTTAGAAATTCTTTCTAATAAAAAAAGATTCATTTTAGCTGTCATAAATGAATCTATTAGAGTAAGAAACGCTAAGAGAAAAGACTTGATCAAAGAACTAAGCGTCTAAGGTTACGTCTAAATGAAAGATATGCCAAAAATTAAATCAAGTAAGCTTACAAGCTAACTTGAATAAGAATAAAATTAAGATAGTAATGAAGAAAATTTTGAAACTAATCCTAATGAGATTAATGCTAAAGAGTATAACTATCTCCTTAGTTTGCCTATGTGGAGCTTGACTTATGAAAAAGTTGAAGAGATAAAGTAAGAATAAAAAAATAAGTAGGACGAGTTAGACAAGCTTGTTGCTACTGAAGTTATTGATATTTGGAAAGAAGATCTTAAAAACTTCATTGAATGCCTTGATTAAATTGAGGAAGAAGAAGATGAAGAAATGCGTAAAAGAATGAAGAAACAAAGCAACTCTAAAGGTAATTTAAATTTTTAATTCAATATAAATAGTTTTAAAATGCTTTTTAATATGAAAGTTAAATAAGGCAGTACAGCTAGTTCTAAGTTAAAGAAAAAACCAACCAAGAAGAAATAAGATAGTGACGATGATGACGATGATGCCATGGATATAGAGGAAGATGGAGATGGATCAGATTTTGATACAGGCAAGAAAAAATAGAAGAAAAAACCTTCATCAGCTCCTTCTTCATAAGCAGGACCTAAGGGAAAGATCGGTGATTATAAACCTAATTTGTCTTAAGATACAGGAATAAGCAGTAAAACAAATAAAAATAATTAAAATACTCTCGGGTTTATCAAATAGTAAGCTCCAATTACTACTTAAGTTAAGACTCAACCAGAAGTCAAAAAACCAGTAGATCCTTTGCTTGAAACTTTAGAAAAATATACTTTCAAGAAAGAAAATACTTAAACATAAAAAGAAGAAAATAATACATAAAATTCAGTTATATCTTAAATACTTTCATAAAACTATTCTCTATCACTTGAAGAGAGACTTAAATTGAGGGCAGGTAAAAAATTACAAAAAATATTTTATTTTTACATTATTCATAATAAAAAATAGGGGAAAACTCATAAAATTTGACTCAATAAACAAATGGATTTTCCTAATAAGTAAATACATAATAAGACTATAATAACTTGGGCAATAAAGATGAAGAAGAAGAAGATGACCTTCTCTTTAACTTCAAAAAAGAAAAGAAAGAGAAATAATCAACTGATATTTTTGATGAATTAGATGATCTTGATGCACTTTTTAATGAAAAACGCTAAGGAGCAGACCTCGAAAATGAAGAAGAGTAGCTGACCAAAAAAAGAGTTCTGAATGAAGGAGAACCAAAAAGTATAGCTTAAAATAAAAAATAAACAAAAGAAATAAATGATGAAGATCTTGAATATAATTTGTTTAAGGATGAAAAGCCAAAGTAAAAAAAGCCTCCTGCTACTGCTGCTTCAAAATCAAAGAAAGTGATAAATAAAAATGAAGATGATGATGAAGACTTTAATGATGATTTATCAGAAGATGAAAAACCAAAGAAGAAAAGGTCCAATTAAACTTAATCAAAAACCAAAAAATAGAAAAATGAAAGTGAAGATGAAGATTTTAATAGCAAAGAATCTGATGAAAAACCTAAATAAAGAAAATCTAATTCTAACTCATAAAAAGCAAGGAAACCTAAGAAAATGAGTGATGATGAGGGAGAAGAAGATGATGATTTTATCATACCTGATGAGGATTCTGATGAAGAAAAACCTAAGAAGAGAAAGAGTAATGCAACAAAACCTAAAAATAATAAAGAAGATAAAGATAATCAAAAGTCTAAAAAAAATAGAACCGATTCACCAAAACTTAAAATAACAAATTCAGAAGATGAAGATGTTGCTGAATTAAAGCAAAATGAAGTTTTATAAACCAGAACAAGAGGTAAAAGAAACCCAATTCCTCGTAAAATGATCATTGATAATTCTGATGAAGATTTCAGTGAAGAGGAAGAATTTGGAAATAGCAAAAAGAAATCAGTAAATAGTAAAAGCCAAAAAAAATAAAAAGACGATGAATCATCGGATGAATGCTATTTCTGACAAAAAATATTATAATTTAAAAAACAGTTGTATCTTTATATTAAATTTTAAATATTTGTGTGTATCTAACTCTTTAAAATTTATTGTGTCATTTCAATATGTATTTAAAACTTATCATTTGAAGAATGTAACTTATTTATTTTTACATGCATTCATTCAATCAATCAATCACACTCAGCTTTAAATAATTTAAAAAGATATTCCGCAAATTTTAGAATTTAAAGTTGGTAAAAAAAGTTATCAAATTTGCAATATTTCTATTGATTTATATATTTATCAATCAGTCAATGCTGACGATGTAATTTAAAAGATGTGTTGTTTTTTCTAGATTATTTAACTAATTATTAATATTTAAGAAATTTTTAAAAATTTTGAAATTTATTAAAAGTTTAAAATTTGTTAAAAAATAATTAAAAAATTAAAGTAAAAGAAAAAATAAAAATGATAGACAATTAGAATATAGGAAGTGACGACGAATTAGATATTTATGAACCAGGAACTTCAGGCGTATGAAAATATTTTATATAGTTTGTATTGTAATAGGTTAAATAAGATATAGCTTAAATTCTTTCAATTCTAAAATAGGAAATCATTAGCTACTTGAAAAGAAACTTTAATACATTAAATGATTAGGTTTTAGGAGCTAGAAAAAAAGCTATCCTCAACATTTATGAAAAACTATCTGAAAGCTAATTTGCTATTTCTGGAAGTAAAAATTATCTCTTTAGAAACTCAAATCAAGCTAAATTATTTCATTTTTGCAAATATTTAAAGTGGTTTCTCAATAGATCATGGTTAAGTTCAATAAATAATTATTATAATGTTTTTCGGATAGAGCAGAGAAGATTAGAGAATACTCTATCAAAATTATTTCTGAGTAATTTTTATTAATTTTAATTGCTATGTTTTTTAAATAAATGTTTTGAATTCAGATTATTGTCCAAATGTGATGATATGTAACCTTTCTTACCTTATGTGATATCTATTGTTTGTGAGAGAGTTAATTGCCAAGACCTTGAAGGAATTCTCAATGTTCCAGAAGTTATGAGACCTCCCCCAGGTTAGAAGCCCAAAATGCTTATCAAGCTAGTCGAAGAATCTGAAGAGGTAAGAATAATTTTTGATTATTAACTTTTTTCAATATAATAAATAAATTAATTAATAAATAGTTGCGCTAAGAATTGTGTAAATTAATGCATGTGATAGTTACCTGTTCAAATTCAAATATGCTTTATAATCATGTGGATGATATTTGTAATATTTTGAGAGCTCTATCCATGGATCCATGCTCTGAAGTTTAGAAATTAGCATGTAAATGTGTTTCAGAATTCTGTATTAATAATAAGGAACTGCTTCTGCATTTTACAGAAATTTTGGCAAGAGGACTTCTTTTACCTTTGATTAGTAAGAAATCAAAAGTTAGAATTGCTGCTTTGGAAGCTCTTGGAGTAAGTTAAACAATATTAATAGGCAATTAAATAAATTTTATATAATAAAAATAAATAGTCTGTGTTACAGTGTGGAGTATGGAAATACAATGCAAATGTATTTGAAATTTTAGTTGGATTTAGAGATCCTAACTCCGTTCCAATTAAAGATTTTTATGAACCTTCACATAATATAAACTATTTAGCCACTTTTATTACTGATCCAAAAGTTAATGTTAGAGATATGTTTTTAAGGTGTGTTGGAGATTGGGTTTCTAGACTACCTGATAGATATGACCATTTGCCAAGACTGATACCTTATCTTATATCAGGCTTGTTTGATGATTTCGAAGAAATTAGAGAAACATGTTTTGAAGTCTTAGAAGAAGCAGGCTAAGAGGAAGAAAGAGAAAAGGTAAATATAAATTGAATAACGATTATTTATTAATAAATTAAAATGTTAAAATAAGGAAAAAGAATTAAGAGAAGCTAAATAATTCGGTATGGACTCTGATTGGACTTATGGAGGTAAGTTGAAAAACCTACCACTACCTGACCCAATAAAAAAGAGACCTTGTTTAGGTGCTAGAATGCTTGTTAGAGGACAGTATCGTAAGTTTTAGAAGGCATTATTTAATGAGTTAAAGGATAATAATCTTAGTGCACGTATTAGAGCTGCTAATTTAATGAGAATAAGTGTTATTTACTGTGAAGATTATATGACTTAATTTTTAGATGACGTAATAAGATCATTAGTTTGGTAATTAGTTTCTGATAAAGCTGAAGAGAAAGTTATTTGCCAGAAAATATAAGAGAGTTTCTTTTATATTGGAAGGTTCTGTGATTTTAATACCTATTTACCAATTATTAAGAGTGGATTGAGTGTAAAAGATTACTGAATATTTTATAGAATTTGTGTTTCAATTTTTTTAATTAATAAAAATAAACTAATAGGGAGAATTTTATTAAAATGAAGACTATGTAAGATGCAGTTTTGAAGGATTAGCTTAATTGGTAAAAGGTAGCTTAGAAGCAATTCCTAATGGATAAGGAATTGGTAAAAAGATGAAATTAGTAGAAGAAGTTCTTGATATTATAACCGAAAAGTCTATTATTAATTCAATATCAACATTTAATTATGTTCAAGCAGCAAATGTAAATCATTTTAATAAATAAATAAATAAATAAATAGAAATTTGAATTTTATTTTTTAAAATTAATAAGCTTATGGAGGGTTTGATTAGAGGAATATTGAAGTAGGGTAAAAAAGAAGAAGTAGAAATATTATTAAAATAGAGGTATTAAAAGTTAATGACTATTCTAGGAATAATAAGCTACATACAGCTTGTAGATAAAGCTTTTATAGTTACAACCCCTTTGAGCTATTAGATTCTAGATACTATAATTTAAGCAGCTTAAAACAGCGACGTTTTTAAATTACTAAATGATATTTTAGATTATTCTGAAAGCAAATTATAACTTTTTTCAGAAAAAGTAACTTAAGCAGCTGATAATTTAGATTCTTTAAATTTTGGTGATATTACATGGAAAAGTTTAGTAGGTTAGGTGATTTACCACATTTTGTATGAAAATAGCTTTGAAAATGTGGCTAAAATTTATGAGATAATAAATTACCTTGTTAAAAACTCTTAAATTCCTGATTTATGTGATTTTGTATCCAAATTAAATGCTTTATTTATTTAAAAAATTAAGATTTAACTTAAGAACCCTCAATTGAAAATGGAAGGAGGCAATTAACTTAGTTTATTTTATGGAGGTTTATTAGAATCATAAAGTTTAGTTACCAAGTGGATGTAAGATGAAACAGCAAAAATTAAAATTACTCAATAGTTTATTTAGAATTTCTATTTGCTCTACAAGTTCAATATAGAAGGATTATTTGAGTCTGATATTGATAAAATGCTTTAAGACTACTTAGAAAGAGGATCTCTTTAAAATTTAAGTTCTTTGATTGGATCTATCCCTATATTACACAAAAAGTTTTATAAAAAATAAGATATCGACATGACAAAATTGTTATAGTTTATAATAAAAAAAATTCATAATAAAATTCAACCATACCTGAAAGAGTTATATATTGGAGAAGGCGATTAGAAACTATTTGTCGTTCCTTTACTTATAGCCTACACTATCGAGAGACTAGAAAGATTAGGAGATCCTGCTGATTTAGTAATAATAAGCATTTTTTAATCAAAGAAATATTTTTACATTAATTAAAAATAAATTTATTAAATAAATAGCTTTTCAATTCTTATTGGCTAAAATATTATTTTATCTTAGATTTTAATTTAAATTTTCTTGCTGATTTAGTAATAATAAGCATTTTTTAATCAAAGAAATATTTTTACATTAATTAAAAATTAATTTATTAAATAAATAGCTTTTCAATTCTTATTGGCTAAAATATTATTTTATCTTCGATTTTAATTTAAATTTTCTTTAAAAATATATTTAAGAAAAAATTATTTTGTAGATTTTAAAATAAAAAATTAAAATTTTTATTAAAATAATTTTTAGAAACTGGCAGCTATTAATTTTGAAACTTTAGATCTTCTTTTAGAGTATATTCCAACTGTGGCGGACCAACCCTACTTAGGTGATAAGCACATATTTGAAAACTACACTGCTTTTATTTAAAAAATGATTAAATATGCTTTGGATGAAAAAGATGTTGAAATAAAAGCATATTATTTGGCAACATTAAAAAAATTAGTTAACAAGACTACTTTTAATTTTAGAATGGAATACGAATCAGCTATTTCTAACAAGCAGTTTGCAAGAATAGATCTTTTAAAGGTTCTTCAACCAAAATGAGTTCAATTAAAATGAAAAAATAAATTTTTAATTCGAAATAATAAAATTATTTATAAATGTTGTATAGAATAAGTATTTAATTCATTGTAAGTAAATCATAAAAATCAATTTAAATAACATAAATTCCCTAATAAAAATAAATAAGTTAGTAGAGATAAGCTGAATGCAAATAAAAATAGACTCAATAAAAAATTTATTTAAATAAATACAGTGCAAAAAGTAATAAAAAATATTATAAATAATTGGTTTGTTAATTAATTAAAATTTATATAAATTTTTTATAAATTTCTAAAATCTTAATAATCAATAGATATATATATATATTTTTATTCAAATAGAAAATTTTAAACTTTAGTAAATTAAAAAAATTCCATCCTAATTATTTAATAGCTTACTATTTATAATTAATTGAATAAATAAATCATAAGAATAGAAAAAATATATTTAATGTTTCTTGCCTTATTCTAAAAACTATTTTTAGACATTCTGTAAAGTATGATTTTTCTATATAGAGTCAACCTTTTTAAGCTTTTATCTTTTAAAGTGCTGTTTTAATAAATAAACATTAAAATTACTGTTTGATTAAATAGATTAGTTGAATTAGATTTATTAAGTAAAATTGTATGGCGATAATTGATTTTTCATAAGTGAACAATTTAACATAGATGTGATAAATTTTATTTGAAAAGTTTTGTCATAATTAGAATTAGAACTGAGATATTAGATTAATGTACTAAATGCCAATTAATTTAATTTACTTTTTATTAGTGAATTTGTAAAAATAATTAAGGAAATTAATTACTTTTCACTTTTTTATAAAATTAGTTTAATTAAATTAAATACTAACTAATATTTTTTAAAGTAAAAATCAAAAAATCACAATCAGAAAAGTTAGAACTAATAATAACAAACTAGAGTTTATTTATTATTTATAAGTTAAAAACAATTGCTTATAAATAAAATATTTTTATAAAAAATCTCTAATATTTTAAGGCTTTAAGTAATCTATTTGTATTGCAACAAACATTTTGAAATATTGAAGAAGCTCTTAATTGAAGACAAAACTTATTCTAAAAAGAAATATTTCTACTTAGTTTTTAAAAAATTAGCTATTAAGCTTAAAATTATTTATTATGTCTAGAAAATCATCATAAAATGGAACTATTAAAAATCATAGTAGCTATATAAATGATAATAGTAGTCAAACAAAAGAAATCGAAAAAGATACTCCCAAACTTTCTTAGAATTCAAATAAAAATGCTTCAGCCATTGAAAATAATGTTTAGTAAAATTGTAGAGAAGCAGCATCTTCGCTTTTGCAAAATAATTAGGTGTCATTTAATCCTTCTTCCTCGTTGATGATGGGAGATAAATCAAACAATACTAACTCTTTGGATGAAGAAAAAATGATTTTAGAAGTAATTTTATCTGGTTAGTTAAACGATTTAAAGCACTTCAATTGGAAAAATAAAACTTTAAATTATGTTAGACCGTTTGGCCCTACTTCATCAATAGATAAAAAGGTAACACCTCTAATTGTAGCAGTTTACTGTGGAAATATTGATAATGTGAGAGAGCTGTTTAATTAAAAAGCTCCAATAGATGTTAATTACCCATCAAAAAAGTAAAAACTATCTCCTTTAATGGTCGCATGCATTAAGGGACAATTTGAAATTATGCAATACCTAATATAAAAGGGAGCGGATGTTTGTTAAACTAGTGTAGATGGACTTCCTCCGCTTTACTATTGCTTTTCTAGGCTTGAGGAAGATAGCAATTATTTTGAAAATAAAAACCTTTGTATCAAAATGGCTCAATACTTATTAGAAAAAGGAGCAAATGTTAATTAAATTGTTAATGAAGAAAATAAACATACACTACTTATGCAATTTTGTAATATTTAAGATGATCTAGATTACAGAGAAAAGGATATAAACCTATCTATGATTAGATTTTTAGTTTAAAATGGTGCAGATATTTTTATGAAAAATGCTTAAGGCTAAGATTGTTATGACCTGCTTGATAAACATCCATACAAAGAAGAAGTAATTAAGATATTCGAATAATATGAAAATACCATGGTTTCTAATTTCAGAATATCTAATGAAAACGAAAGACCCTCCTAATCTCAATTATTAATATCTTAAGGTAGCCGCTATTAATAAAGCAAATCCAAGAAAAAAAATTCAACTCTAAACACTCCTTAGTCTTCTAGCAGACATCTAAATCTACCTAATATTAGTTAATCACCAAACGGATAATCGTTTAGTAACTAGTGTTAGCATAACTAGTAATAATAATAATAATAATAGGAATTATAAAAATAACTTAAACCTCAAATAGAGAATTAAACTTAATAATATAGATCTAAATATAATTAAAATACAGAAATTGAAGGAGAAGAGACAAAGCACAAAGCATGCTGCCTTCTCTTTTTTTGAAAAGTCTGAAATTCTTATGTAAAATTAAATAAATATCCCTCTACTAAAAAAAAAATATGATCTTTTAGCCAATTAATTTCAAGCTACTTTTAGCAACATTTATTCTTGAACCAAAAGAAACTTTTTTAGCACTTGCTAAAATTAGAATTAATTTAGTTAATAAAAATATTCAAAAATTTATATTATTATTAATTTAATCAATAAAACTAATTATTTTTATATTAAATAAACAATTTACAAATTAAAGAAATATAAAATATTTATATTATTCAAAAAAAGTTAATTCATTTTTTTTGTATAAATTTATTTCATTTTTTATAAATAGTTAAATCATCCAATAATTATTTTTCTGTTTTTATACATGTAATATGCTGTAAAAATTTATTTATTTTTTGATTCATTAAAATAAAAATATAATAATGTTCCGAGATAATTTGATTACTGAGTTTTCTCTACAATTAAAATTGGTTGTAATTATTAATCAATCTTTTTAAATAATTGAATTTGGTAGATATTTATATAATCTATGAACTACATCTAACAAATAAGCACAAAACACAATACTAAATAAAATAATTATAATTTTAAGCAAAAAAATTAAGATTAAAAACAAGGATAATAAAATTCGACAATAAAAATTATAATTCGCATTTCGAAATAAATAAAAAAAATAATGAAAATTAATTGAATAATTTTAAATGGTTTTCTACTCAATATTAAAATAATTTCATTTTTAAAACAAAATACATTTTAGTTTCTAAATAGATTTTTCATTTAAAATTTTATTTGAAATATCCTTTTTTATAATGAGGTTAAACATTTTATATTTTATTGAGTGAAAGAGCAGTAAGAGCATTTAATTTACATTATATAATATACAGTTTACCCATTATATTAAAATAATTTGTAGCATGTTCCAAATTTGTTATTATTTATTTCATTTTTTGGATTTCTTTTTACCTTTCTTTTTCTTTTTCTTTCCTACTTTAAAGAAAGGATTGCTAAATAGTCCTAAACCAGGGTCAGGCATTAAATCAGCATCTACACCTAAGTTACCTTCAGGTACTAATAATGCATTTTTCATGGCTTTGATGGGTACATTAACGTTATACTTTGCTAATCTTTTTTTAACTTCTTCTATTTCATCAACTTACTCTTTTCTTACTACATCAACATTAACCCTTGAAATCACAGCTGAGAATGGTCTATGAAGCTAGTTTCTTCTATCTTTAGAATAAACAGAAAGAGAAGCAGTCTTAATTTCTGGACGCTCATCTTCTAGATCTTTTGACTTTGGAACATTTATAGTTTATCCATAAAGCTTTCTTATTTAAGCAATTTTTTATTTTGAAGCATTATATTCAAGGTCATCAATTTCTTTATCAAATCTAAAATATTTGTCAGTTTTAGCTTTAACTGGATTCGTTTTGGATAAGTCAATAACATTTGTGCTTTTAGGAATATTGACCCTTGATCCCCTATATTCTCCCATCTTTGGGACTCCTGCTAAATTCTCTAAATCATCAAGATACTCCTCTTCCTCTTCTTGATCATCCTTTAAATTGAATCAATTAAACAAAATATCTATTAAATTATAAATTTTACTTCAATTTTTTAAATGGCATCTTCGTTATCCCTTTCTTCGTTTTCATCTTCTTCATCCTCTTCTTCTTCATTTTCATCTCTCTCTTCATCATAATATTCTTCGTGATCATCTCTACCATATTGTTACATTTCTTCTGGTTAAAAACCAAAATCATTTTCGAAATTTAATCCTCCCGGACTTATGTCATCAGCATTAATGTCTTTAAAGAAGTTGTTCTACTTTTTAGGTAAGGTGTTTTTATCAATATCTCTCAATTCCTTTGCAGTATATGGCCTCTTTTTATAGTCACATTTAATGTATTGAGATCCATAAATTGTTGAATCAATTTTTCTGTTAATTTCTTTTTCCAGCCTTCCTTTTGCTAATGACCATTCCTTGATGTAAGTTATTCTTTCTTCATCTTATCTCTTATCATTAACTTCTTTATTTCTATTTTATAACCATTTTTACTCCATTCTCATTTCTCTTACATCGTCACTAGGTTCATAGTAAACATAAGTTGATCTTTACTCAAACTTATTATTTAAATTTCTCACAAATTATTCCTTGCTATTTGTATCAATTGTATAGTTCTTTACATCAGGATTTATATTTACTTCCTTTTTTTCTTTTTCTTTATCTTTTTCTGCAATTACTTGGTCAAGTATTTACTGACCTATATCTTGCACTTTATCTTTTTACCCATCTATAGCAGGTGCCTCAGGTACTCCTTCTACTTATTATTTTGGAGACTGCTCAGACTATTGAGTATTGGCTTATTCTTCCTCTTATTACTTTTTTAGTTCAGCTTCCTCCATAGCTTATTGCTATGAAGGTAAAAATGTGTCTGGTTTAGGGAAAGTCCAGTTAACTTTTAAATATTCTTCATCTTTATTTTTATTATCATTCTCATTTTACACTATGTTTTCCACTAATTTATCTGGTATAAGTTTCTTACGAGTATAATTTTTTATTCTATTTTTAAATTATTTTTGTTAATTTTTATAAAAATAAAATTATTTTTTAAATGAAACTTAAGCTTTTGCTTTTAATTTATAAATAAACAAATAAATAACCTTTCAGCAGGAGGTTCAACATCAGGGATTTAGGTTCTTGCTTTTGTTTTATAATCTTCCAATAACTGTTCAATTTATTATGATGGTTAAAGTGTTGAAGCAGAAAAATCCATCTTGATCTTCTCTCTTTGCTTCTTTTTAAGTTCTTCTTTTTGTCTAAATTCTTCATAGAGTTTTTTGTTAATTTCTATTTCCAAATCATCTTATTCTTCTTACTATATAGTTTCATTGATTCCTTACATTTAGGAGTTTTCTTTTTGTGCTTAGCTAACGCGGTCTTCATCTTCTTCCTTATCTTCTTTAATGAAAGCAGATTCAGGTCTAATAACAGAGCTAATAGGACGAGGAATTTTAGTGTTAAAAGTTACAGCACTTCCTGGACGAATTTTTTTGAAGTTTACAGCACTTTCAGGACGTATAAGATCTATCTTGCTATAATAAGCAGCACTCTCAGGACGGAGACTGGAGTTAAAAGCACTCTCTGGTCTCATAGTACTTTATGTCGAATTAAGTTAAGGTAAAATGCTTTTATCTATACTTCTTAAGACTCCACTTTTTGGTCTTTGCTTATAAGATTAACCTGTTGCACTAAGAATTCTAGATCCTAAAAAGTTAGTTGTCATATTTGTAACAGATGTCATTGCTGAATCAGGACGAGTAAGAACTGCTTTAGCTTATAGCGATTCCATAGTTTAATTGTGTTAAGTTTCTGCTGCTACTTCAAGCTGCTCTAACTAATCTATTGCCCAACTACAAACTTTTTCACAAAATGTCTTTTAAATAATACGATCTCTAGTGAATACAATTTCACGTAGAAGAAGCTGCAATTAGTTATTAAATTTTTGCTTCCATGGTCCATTACGAATTTCTTCATTTGTTTCTTTTGACTGAACAACTTCCTCATTAAATTCTTTAATAATATTAATACAAATATTAAAATGAGGATTCGTTTCTAAAAAGACTGATCTAAATTGGTTAGTCGGTATGGTTATATAATTGAAGCTTTTTTGCCATTAAGTTAGTTTTATTTGTTCTAATAATTTATTTGACTGCTAAATCTTTTCTTCAATAGCTCTTTATCTGTCTCCTCCATAAACAGGAATAGGATTTGAGCCAGATTTAACAGAAAGTGGATTGCTCGAAGTTTAACTTTTTCTATGAATGTTCATAATGTTAAGTAATCTATATCTCTAATAAATTTATAATTGTTATCTTTCCCAAAAATCCTTTTATCAATCAATAAATCAGTAGTAAATGCTTTAAATTTAAGAATTTTAACTAATATTGCGAATTAGATTAGAATTCTCTAAATATTTAGTTTTTGAAAATAATAAATTAATGCCTATAACTATTTATGCTAGTGATTCAAAGAAGAGTGCAACTTATGAACTCTCTTCTTAGCTATATTTTAAAATAATTTTTTCTTATAAGCTAGAAATAGATAACAGAATTTTGCTTTTATCTATCTACCCTTAAGTAAAATAAAACAACTATCAATAATATTTGGTGTTTTTAATTATTTCTTTTGAAATTTAATAGAATTTAATATCATAATTAAAGTGAGTAAATTATAATGATTCAGAAAATTTAAACTTGATGTAATTGATTGTTTGCTTGCTTGTTTTTTTATTAATCAAAATCTGCATTTATATCTTTCATATTATTTTTTAATTATTAAGCAAAAAGGAAGTTTTAATTTTTAGGGTTGATTTCATTTGATTTATAATAAATATTTTTGAAAGTAGCTAAAAAGTATTAAATATCAAATTTAAATTAATTGCTTTAAATTGTATTTTTCTATCACAACTGAAAAAGAGAAAGAGATTCAAATAAAAAATACAAAATGATTAAAATAATATTTTAGTTTTTCAAAAAAAATAATTTTTTCAATTTATTTTTCAATAATTTTTTTGCATTGTTAGATTAATTGCAAAAATTCTCTCTTTAATTGAATTTCTACCAGATCCAGTAAACGATGAAACATTAGTCTGTCCATTAGTGGATTTGCTTTACTGTAATCCCTAAGATTGAGAAACAAGTACTGATTCTCTCTCTTTAATAATTAAAGAGTTAATATCTGATTTATATTATTTAATACAATAATCCATTAGACTTTATTTATAATCCATCTATGAAAAGGGAAAATCTTTTATATTATAGTTTTTTCTTTTACAGTAGCATGCTATTGCTTTATTGAGAAACTTTTCATTATTAATTTTAGCTTCAGGCTTTGATTCTTTGCATAGATAAGCGTTAAATAATATGGCTAAGAAATGAATATCGAAGATAAACTGTTTCATATTTTCTTTGTTAAAATAACTAATCTGAAGTGCATTTTAAGACAAATAAACATTTATTTAGTCCATATATGGTTCTAAATTGAGTCTTTAAATGTCTTTTTAGCTCATAAAAAACACATTTTATCCTTTTTGGATCCAATGGTACTCCCAATATATTATGTATTCAATCATATAATTTATAGCTTCCATAAGCTTACTAAAATAAAATATAATATCATTTTAGCTCATAATTAAAGATAAATTATCCTTGATATTTTCAAGGATGTAAGCAATTTTAATGAATAAAGGTGATGGAGATTTTCCTAATTCCTTATCAGACTTTTAAAAATAAAAACAATTAATATATATTTTAAAATTTAATTATAATATTTATTTACAGGAGCAATATAGACTTTCCTATATTCTGAGAATAGCCTAGGGATGTGCAATAAAATTTTAAATTTAAAGTATGAAAAAACTAAATCGAAGCAAGAGTTGTAAACTAAATTTATTTATTTCTTCCACTAATTTTCCCAAGCATCGTGGTCTAGCTTTATATGAGGTCTAAGCTTAATTGATTCGTATCTTTTAGCAAATTTAGAGAATTACAAGCAAGTATTTATATTTGCACAAGCTGCAAGTAATTAATTTTCTGTAAAATTCGCTACGTTAGAAAGCACCTAGTTAAAAAAAAATTTATAAAACTTTTGAATTTCATTGATAATTATTTTTTTATAAAATTCATTAATCTTTTAAAAATTTTTGGATAATTTTCAAAAACTAAATTTGAAGATAAATTAAAAAAAATAATCAGTTTTATGAAAATTATTTTTTTTTAAATCAATAATTTAAATTTAAAAAGGAATCTATTTAAAATAAAACATATTAAAAATTCAATGTAAATTGATAGAAATTAAATAGCAAAAATTTTCATTAAATGATTTTAATATAGTTATTTAATAAATAATAAATATTAAAATAAATTAAAATGTAATACCTCTTTGAACGAGTTAACATACTCACTTATGAATAATTGGATTTTACTCTCTATCAAGGCAATAAGTTAGGAAGAAAATATTCTTCTAGAGTCAATGTCTACATTTTAAACGACTTTATCGATTAATTGAAAGATTGTATTCCAAAATAAAATAGAATGCCTTGCTCCTTTTAAGTTTGTTTCTAATAAATATTTTTTATATCCACTATCTAAATTGTCTCTAGAAGGATCTTTTACAGGCTTTGCATTAGCTAGAATTTACCTTTTTCTGTTTATTTTTAATGAATAAGACGAAATTATTTATTTTGCAGGAATTTTTTATTTACACTTCGGGTATATCTATTTCAGAAATAAATTAAACTGGTTATAGATCAGGATTTCCGATTTCTTCTTCACAAAAATTTACATTAAGAACAGTAAACATTGAAAATATTTACCAATCATCAACATTTTGCATTCTAGTTAACCTTTATGCATATGCTACAAACATTTCATCCATTTTACATTCTAATTCATCAACGAAGAGCCTTTGAATAATAAAGTTTAAGCTAACGTTTTTATTTTCTTTTTAATAGAGGACATCTGAAATTAGCTTTACATTCTCCACTGAATTTTTTATTTTTAAACTTGGTTTAAAATTTTTTATTAATTATTTTTTTACATATTTCTTCTAACTCGGAGCCCCAAAATATATTTTATTGAATACAACAGAAAAAGACAGAGCAACTTTAATTAATCCAATTACAAATAAAGCTCTTAAAGTAGACATTTTCTTCACTTTTCTTTTAAAGATAAATAAATAAAGCTTAAAAATTAATAATTTTATTATAGTTACTAAAAAGAGAAGACTGAATTCACCATAAACTTACAGGATGAAATTTGCATACTCTTCAGTAATTTAAACTGTATTTTCAGCTTCTAATTTTCCTACCTAAGCAATTTTGCTATTAATCAATTGCTATTAATTTTATATTTTTTTAATATTTTATTTTTTCTAAATTAATTTACTGCTAAATTTCTTTTTTTTATTTCTAAATAGCCTTCCACTGCTCTCTAAGTTTGTTTTGTATCTTTCAAATATTATATTAAATCCTATAATTTTGTTAAAGGGTTTTCAGAAATCAGATCGTTTACTATCGAATCAACAAGAGTCTGATAATGAGTTTCTAAAGTTTTTCTTTATTTTAAAATGTTTTTAAATTAAAAAATTTTTTAACTCAAAAATAGAATGAATTTTGAATTATAAAAGACTAGGTTTTATCAAAAATGATGCTTTGTTTATTGATTAATTACCTTATGTCAAATTAATTTAGATAGAGTGAATATTTTTCTGATTTTTTCATGTTTTGTAAAACTTCTAATGCCTATATTGCTTAATTGTAATTCTTTTCAAAAGTGTTAATGCTAATATTGTCAAGAAATTCATTAATTTATTCAGCCATTTCTTCCTTTTCTTTTTTTAATTTCTACTGATTTTAGAATCTCGAATAATTATCTTCATTATCATCACTAGAGTCTTCGCTTTCTTCTGATTCACTATTTTTGCTTTATTTTTCATCTTTTTCATCTTCACTGTCATCTGAATCACTATATGAATGCTTTTATTCAATTTTTTTCTTCATTACCATTAACTTTCTTTACCTCACTTCATTTACATTCTCAAAAATGTATTTTAAGCTATTTTCGAACTAAGAAAAATTAGATTTAATTTCACCAAATTCTTTAAAAAACTCATCATATTCCCCTTGAAGTGCTATAAAATTTCTATAATTTTCGTAAATAAATTCCTAAAGCTCTTCCTTTTCTAGCTTAAGGAGATTCGATCCTTCAACAAATAAGCTCTGATATAATCTAATTTAATTTATAAAAGATCGTTTTTTATGACTGCTATTTTTAAGCTTTACTTCTTAGAATAATCTATAAAATATTCATAGTAAAGCTAGTTGATTACTTTTTATATGAAAATACCCTATTCTTAATTTAATCTTCAACAGAATTTGTATTGTCTTCCATTTTCAAAGATTATGCTTATTTACTTATTTACACTTCTTATAAAATAACAAATATAAAGATAATGGGATTTATGTTAGTTTTTATTTAAAAAGCAAATAAATATAATATTTTTTGGTAAATAAATACTCTAAAAAATTAAATACGCAGACTATAATTTAATTTATTTTAATATATTTTACATTTTTTGTAAAATTTATTTTTATTGAAAAAACAAATTAAAAAGAAAACATCTTATTCATTTTTAGAAAATAGTGTTTAAAATAGATTTATGAAATTTACAAATATTTTTTGTTTTTTTTAAATCAATTCCTCAAAAGGAATTAATTAAATAATTTAGTTTAAATTTCTACTGGCTACAGATTTACCTCAAATTTGATAAAAATTATAAATTAATAAATCAAAAATCTTGCTTGATCTTAAAATTATCAAAATTTTATAACAATAATAATTAATTATCTAAATCTTAATTAATATAAAATTAGATAGAACTTTTCAAAATTTGTTAAATTAAAGGTATTAAATTAATAGATTATGTTTTGCAGATACTCTGTCTTCTAAATGAAGGATATGATTCCTTCTTTAACATAAAAGACTGTATTCTTTAACTAAAAATAAATTTTTGGCTTCTCCAAGACTAAATCTTCTAAGATGTGGATGCAAGAGCATGTGACTGATGAGTATGTCAAAAAAGCACAAAAAGTATTTAAAGTTATTTATGTGAGAGAGTAATACAAAAATTTAATCATAAATTTAGGACAATTACAGAAGTAGAGCTTCTTATAAATTAATAGAAATTTAGGAAAGATATAAAATCTTTAAGCAAGGATAAAAAGTTCTTGAATTAGGATCAGCTCCAGGCGGTTGGACATAAGTAGCAGTTGAATTCACAAAAAGTAATGAAAAAAAACCTACTGTTTTAGCAATTGATAGAGATTTTATGGATCCAGTTCAAGGCGCAGTATTTTATTAAGGAGATATAAATGATAAAAAGACTCAGGTTTACATTCCTGAATTCTTCAAGCTTGAGCCTGTTGATATTGTATGAAAATTACTTTTGATAAATGAAATATTTTTTCCTTATTTAATAAGAAATGCTAACAGCTAACTAATACTTCTATTTTTGATAGATAAAATTAGTATTTTATATATTATGAGAAGATAAAGGAAATTTCTATTAATTTAATAAATCTTTCATTTCTACCTTTTAAATTATACAATTAATAATAAGGTAATATCTGATATGGCACCTAATTTTAGTGGAGATTTAGATTAGGATCATTTACTCATTTAAGATTTAAACAATATGACCATTGATGTATGTACAAAGAATTTAAAAATAGGAGGAACTGTTGTAATGAAAACCCTAAACGGAACTTTAGAAAAAGATGTTTTTAGGATGTATAAAATTTACTTCAAAGAATTTTTAAGAGTAAAACCAAGAGCTTCAAGGGCTAGGTCTAGTGAATTATATTACCTAGGAAAAGGGTATGGGTTATCAAAAGAGTATGAATAACTTAAGAAAATTGAAGAAAAAAGAGAGGTGATTACATAAAATAGGTTAAATTTAAAAGCTAACAAATATATTTAAATAAATTAAATAGAAAGGCATTCCTATAGATGATGACGATATTCCCGACCTAGGCTTTACTGATTAAGAACTTCTTGAGTAAACTCGTTCAGTGATATTGCAGATGTATGATCAAGGAAAGACTCGTAAGAAATTGAATGAATAAAAATTGAAGAATAAAGAAAATAAAAATGTGCAATAAGATTAATAATAATAAACTGAATAATCAGAATAAAACAAATAAGCTAGTTTTGAAGCAAATAAAAAAGAGATATAAAATGATTAAAGTTAGAATAATAACTTAAACGAAGAAAAAAAAAATGAAAAATAATAAGATATTAAAGACGAAATTATAAAAAAGGAATAAATAAATGAATGAATCAATTTATTATTACAATATAAAAAAGTATTTAAGAATCAATCAATCAAACAAACATCTTCAGCAATTTTTATTTTATATAAATTGTATTTAAAAAATAGATTTTTCCATTTTAAAATTAATTAATTTATTTATATTCATTCATTTTTGATTTAACTATTTAGTTACCGAAGAATAAATTAAGGAATTTAAGGAGATTCCTGGTTTAAATATTGATTGGAATAATTTAAAGCCAAAAACAGAAGAAGAAATTGAAAAACGTAAGGCAACTTATAATAAAGTTAAAAGATACAATGTAATTCATTCATTTTTTTACTTTAATTATTTTTAATCAATCGCATTTAATTGAAATTTAAATACTATCTTGCTTATTCAACTTATTTTTATTAATATCTAATAATTTAAATTTATTGATATTTCTAAAAATTAATTAAATAACTTTAAATCATTGAATTAATATTTAATATATAATTGTATGCTTTAATAGGACTATAGAAAATACTATGGAAGCAAATTGACATTTACAAAAAATAAACCAACTTCTATGGCAGAGTTGGCAACTTAATTGGCAGAAGCACCTACTATTGATATGAAAAAAGCTATGGATTAAGGAATGTTACTTGAAGATTTAAATAAAATTATTAAATAGCAAAATGCTGATCCTATAGAAGATGAAGGACTGTTCTTGAGTGATGAAGAAGAATATGATCCATATGCTGATGACGATGAGAGACTTAAAGTAACAGAGGAATTTAACAGATCTGTTGATTAATATGTTTAAGATTCCAAGGAAGCTGATCCTTACGATGCACAAAATCTTTATAGTCCAGATGATTAGCCAAGAACTTTATAAGATGTTAAAAAGAAATAATTAAATTTGCAAGAAATTTTAGAATACGGTATTTTATTTATTTATTTAACTTTGTATTTGTAAGTATTATTAATTATTTTATTAAAATTAAATAGAAAAACTTAAAGAAGGGAAAAAAGATTATTATGAAAAGTTAGAGAGTGGAGAGGCTGATTTAGAAGAATTAGATTAAGAAGAATTAGAAGAAGCTATTGAAGAATTAGAAGAAGATATTGATGATTAAGAAATGGAGAAAACAAACAGTGGTATTGAAAATTTTATTATTATTAAAAAAATAAATTAATATTTAAACCATATTTAAATAGACCAAGACTTTATTATTACCAGATCAAGAGACAATAAATACCAAGATGATCATCTCAAAGCAGATGATTTGGATGATATTATATTTAACAAAAAGAAGAAATGATTTATTTATATTTATAAATTTATGTTTATAGCTAATTAAATGTATGACGATAAATAAGTAAATAATCTTTAATTTAATTTAATAAGTTTTAATAAAGAATAATTTGAAACTCGTTCAATTTAAAGAGAGATTTAATTAATCAAATAAATGATTGCAATAATAATACAAATTATAAAATCAATACAGTAATTCTATTTTTTGTTGAAAATAATGAAGTCAGCTAATTTGAAATCTGATGATATAAATAACAGAAATAGTTCATTATGTAGAAAAGAAAGTTTTCGATTTATAAAAATGTGAAGCCTTCAATAAATAATTTATTATTGATTAATAATCACTACCTTAATCAAAATTTTAATTTATTAAAAAGTTAGTTAACTATTTATTATTTTAGATAATTAATTAAAATTTAGAAAAAAGCACATTTATCCTTAATTTTTATATAGTACAAGTCTATCTTAGTTATTTATAGATTGATTTATAAATAAATAAATAGTTAACCATTAATTAGCTTGTTTGTTTGCCTAAGTAATTTTACTATACTTGTCTTAAAATCTTTTATTTAGCTTCAATCTACTGAGTTATGATATAAGAAGAAAATTTGATTTAGTTGGATTAAAATATGATTATAAGTGATTTTAAATTAAACACAATGTTATGTTGTTCATAAGAATCAATTAGTTAATCGAAAACATAAAATAATGGAGATATAAGTTAATAGAAATAAAATGATTAAATATTATTTAATCAAACCAGCTTAGGCTAAAGCATTTTAATAAAGGAAGACACTTAGCATGAAAAAAACTAAATGAATAATTTAATTTCCTACAAAAATATGTTAGTAGAAGTAGAAGATGAATAAAATTAGTAAGGCCTATAAATTAACTTATAAAAGGTATTAAGCGAAAATGCAAAATCTACTGATAACGGAAGCGAAAATGATAATCAAAGAGAGTCTCTTATATAAGATGCTCATGATAATAAATAAATAGAGCAAACTAATAACAAAAAATAAGGAAAAAAAATACATTTCAATTTAGAAAATAATTAAATATGCAAATAAAACTATATGATTAAGTCAAACAGTTTAGAATTTAAGTATCAAACTCACAATTAAGAATTATTTATTTGCGACCATCATAATACTTTTGATAATTGCTATGAAATCAAGCAGCAATCTAACAGCGTGAATACTAGTATCTGCTAAAGTCCTCGAAATGGAGATGATTCCCAATAATTTAATAAAGAAGATTCCTCTTTTTCTGATAATGGAGATAACTCTTACTATTAAGCATAAAGCTCTTCAAAAAAAAGCAAATTTCACTCGGAATTTTTTAATTAAGAATTCAGTAATTCAGACAATCAGTTTTTTTCAGATAATAAAGATAATATTCATAACATCTAATAACCCTATTTAAAATAAATAAAATCTTAAGATAATAATTATTTGGGTCATAAATTTGATGATTAATTTGAAGACAAGAGTAAAATTTTAGAAATTTTGCTGTAAAAAAATGGATAAAATTAAGAACCTCTAAATAGAAAATAAATTCAAAAATTGAATAAAGTAAATAAAGCTATTGTTTCAATCTAAAGGCTAGCTAAAACCCACCCTAAAAAAATAAATTCTATTGTAAAAAATTTTTTTTTTTTTTAGAAATAAGTTAATTTCTTTATTTTTATTTTAGTTTCAATTAGAGGATGATTTAAAATCATACAGAAATAGGTCAATGTCTAAGCACTCTCAATCAAATTAATAAAAGAAAAAAGAAACTAATTAAGTCGAAGACAATGAATTAGAAAATGAAACACATAAAGAGCAAGATCATCATTCTTAGAAAAATTATAAGTAGGCATTTGATGAAATAAGAAGAAAAGAAAAAATGAGTTTTTTATGCGAAAGAGGATCAGAAGAAGACATAAAATGTATTAAATAGCTTTTAGAAACTGATCCAAGAAAGTATCTTAGAGACACAAAAGACCCTGAGCACTTTCTGAGTTCAAGAAATGTGAAAGGATTGACTCCTATTTATATAGCCTGCAAAAATGGAAATCTTGAAGTAATTAACTAATTTCAAGTAATACATTCTTTAAGTTATTTTTTTTTTAAAAAAAGGTAGTAAAATTTCTAATTAAATCAAATTGCAACTACATGGTCACAAGTAAAATATAAAAATAATTAGAAGAAACTCCTTTTGAGACCGCTCTTAGATGGAATCATGTAGAAATTTGTAAATTTATGCTAGAAAAATGTATATTTGAAGATAAGTATTTAATTTCGTGCCTTCCTTTATGCTAAAATTAATCAATGAAAACAATTATTGAAAGCAAGATTAAAAAAAAATCTACTGCTTGTAATATTTTCTGATAAATATATAAATAATTAATTATATATCATATTTATTTTATTAAATTTTATGGAAAAACTAACTATCTTTTTATTTCACACATTCATAAGTTTAAAAAATAAAATTAATAAAAAGCAATTTTATTTTTGGCTAAGTAATTATTAGATTATTTATTATTGCTTTAATTACCATAAGCTTATTTAACATAAACATAAATCTTAAGTAAACTCATTATTGAATAATTTATAAAATAAATAATCTTTAATTTTAAGAAATGTGGTGTAATTTAACATATACTGCAATTCCTTATTTAGAGTAGTGAAGTAAACAAGGAGGAATTACAAATTTATAAGATTTTAATTAAAATTGAATTCATACAAAAAATTGTTTTATTTGATAAAAAAAGTAATTAAAACAGTAAACTTATTTAATTACAATCTCTTTTTAATATTTAAATATATTTCTATTTATGTATCAATTATTATTATTAAAGCAATTAATATAATAAATTTATTTATATTGCAAAAATAAATTATGATTACTTTTTAAATAATATATCAAAGAATTTAAATTATTTTGATTCATAAATATTCTATTTTCATTCATTTTTTGAAAAAAGTTTTCAAATTATTAATATCCTTGAAACATATTTAAGCTTACATATTTTTTAATTACTTTATGTAAAACAAAAATGATATTAAAAGACTTAAAAATTTAGTTTAAATAGAAAAAGTACATTTAGTTTAATTAATATTAACAAGTTATGATTTTTATCTTTCATTTAAAATCTAAACATTTTTTTTTTGTCAAAAAGGCTTTTAAATACGCACTTTAAATGTGAATAAAAAAGTAAATTACATAAAATTAAGAGATTATTTTTCGACAAATAAATTCTAAAGTAGTACCTTAATAAATAAAAAGATTGTGAGTGATTAAGTCAATAAATAGGTAGAATAAGATTATGATTTTTAAAAAAATTGATATATTTTCAGAAACATTTCTATTCAACATAGATAAAGATTAAAGAAAGTAAAAGACCATATTAGGAGCATTTTTTTCAATTATAACTATTATAACTTGCATATCTTACTTAGTTTTCTTAATACATGAGTATATAAATAATCAAATTGATCCTAATTATAACTCTTAAGTTTTGATATCACCCACACCTGTTAGCTTAACTTTAACTGAAGATTTGTTTGCATTTAAGTATTAATACTAGAGCATGAGTATTGAGGAGTATTAAGTTTAATAAAATAAAACATATTTGGTTATTATGGTTTATTTTTAATCTGTGAATGGAACCTAAAATTAAGCTTTCCCACTTAATTATTATTAATGTTAAAATGTTAATCTTATAGGATACAACTGCATTGACTTTACTAGTCTATAAGATAAATTTACATTAACTATGGATAATATTAATAATATTTACACTTAAATTTATATAGGAGTATATGGTTGTAATGACATAGATTCATTAAAAACTACTATCCCTGATAACTGTGCAAACTAAGATGATATTGAAAATTTGGTTAATACTGGTAATTCTTATTTGGCGATAAAATATTTTACTTAATAGTACTAAATATAGCAAAAAAATAAATAAACTTACTACAATTCAGTTTTATTATATGCATTAGGAAATTAGGTAATATCTAATCAAATTTCAATTTAGAAATAAATGACTAATTTAAAAGAAGGATTAATATTTCAAACTAGTTCTACTTTTTCTTCTCCTATGTCATTCTCCCAGTAAACTTTAACAATTGATAGAGAGTATTCTATATAAAAGTTATAAATGAGTGGGTATTTGCAAATTGGATTATTAGCAGATATTGAAGTAAAATATATTAGTATCTAATATCCTTCAATAACTTCAATTTTAGCTGAAGTTAATAGCTTGTATTCATTATTTATGATTATTGGTTTACTTTTTAGGAAAAGAGCATAGAAAATATTAAATAAGAAATTATTTTTATTGTTTTTATAGAACTAGTATTAGGACACATATGAGAAAATCCTGCAATATAACAAGTTATTTTAATAAAATTAAGGAATATATTTTTAAAAAGAAGCAAATGATGAGCCTGGTGATGAAAAAGAAGATTTTAAAAATTCATAAAACTACAAAATCCCAATATTTTAGACAAACTTAAATGGCTTTTAATTTTTTAAAGGCTCTAATTAAATTAAATTTGAAGAGCATTTTAAATTAGAAAATAAAGATTAATTATTTTAAGCTCAGCAAGAACAAAATGATTTTTAGTAACAATAGATATCAACGGAATCGAGTTAAATAAAAAAAAAATAACTAAATCAATCTATTATAACAAAATCAAAACAAGATTTTTTTAAAGATTCCCCACTACAAATGCCAAAGATAAAACAAAATTTATAATCAATAAACTAATTAAATTAGCCTTAGCCTTCCTAAGATTAAAAATATCAAGGCTAATCTATTACAAACTCGAAATTAAACTATATAAAAGAATCCCCACTTTAAATTTAAAAGAGAAAAAAAAGTTAATTTACCATAGGATACTTAAATTAGCCTTAGTCTTAGGGTTTGTAATAAAATAAATAACCAAATTAAGATACCCAAATATAAAATAATTAATTAAGTTAATATTACTTTGATAAGCTAAAAGCATTGTAAAATCTAAAATTGTTAAGAAAAGTTAAAAAATTACTATTCAAAAAGGGGTATTTTTACTTTATTTCTTTATTTAATTTATATAATATAATTTTTTTTAGAAATAAAAATAAGTAAGATGATCTTAATTATCAAACTAGAAAAAATCTCGAAGACAAATTTAATTCTGAAATTGATATCTTTAATTTATATAAAGATATCATATTTTTAAAAAAAGCTATTATGATTTTGTTAAGCAAAGATTAACTTGCAGCTTTATAATTGGTTGGGTGCTAAATAGATTCTTATTATTAATAGCAGCAAGAAGTAAAATAAGAATAAAGGATTTAAAGTAATTCTTATATTAGTAAATAAACATATTTTTCTCATTTAATAATTTTAATATTTAGATAGAATTAGAAAGAAAAACTATTACGAGAAGTAACTCTCTATTTTATAATCTTAAGAATTGTAATGCAAACATATAAAAAGTTATTTAGAAAAATGCAATAATAGCATAAATTTAAGTGAAGTAGATTAAAGAATAATTTCTTCAATTATTAGAAATTAAAATTAAAGCTGATTTTTAAAGCTTAAATAGCTAAATATAAACAAATTTTTATAACTAAATATTGTTTAATTAATCATTTAAATTTTATTTTTTATTTTTTTAAAAGAATAATTAAATTATAATTATTGTTTAATTAATTTTTGTAAAATTATTTAATTAATAATAGTTATCTTCTAATAGTAAAATAAATAATTGAAAAATAATAGAAGAATTATGAAAAAAATAAAAAATTAGGAAGAAGAAAAAATTAGATACTTCATTTGATTAATTTAAAAATTCTTAATATATATTTTTTAAATATTAAAAATACCAATTTGACAATAAACTCCAATAAATTTTCAATTTTCATAGTCTAAAATATTATTTTTAGCGAAATTCACACCATGACGACACTACTTTAATGTCTGGTTACAAGAAAAGTTTATTGAAGTAAAAAATAAATTTAGTATATAAAATTAAGAATATGAAGATTTGTTGAAAATAATAAATTACATAGTTTTATCTAATAAATAAAAGAATAAAAAGATTAATTTTAATAAATTGCAAATTAAAATGAATTTAATTTAGAACAAATTAATATTAATAAATTAATTTGAAATTGAATAAGAATAATTAAAATAATAACATATTAATGCAAATATTTAATTAATAAATGATTATATTGTTTATAAATAATTAATTTATTTTTAATTAACAAAATGATAAAATTTTAAATAAATATTAAATGATTAAAAGCTAAGAATAAATAATAAATATAATAAACATTTTAAGATAATGAATTATTATGATAATAATAATAATATTTATAATTATATAATGGTATATATATGTCAATAAAAATAATTATATAAAATTTATTAAAATTAATAGATTATTGTTCCACAAATAAATTCTAAAGTAGAATCTGAATAAATAAAAAGATAACAAGTAACTGAGTAATAAATAAATAAATAAATAGGTAGAATAAAATTATGATTTTTAAAAAAATTGATATTTTTTCAGAAACATTTTTATTCAACATAGGTAATGGTTAAAGAAAATAAAAGACCATATTAGGATCATTTTTTTCAATTATAACTATTACAACTAGCATATCTTACTTAATTTTCTTGATACTTGAGTATTTAAATAATCGAATTGATCCTACTTTTAGTTCTTAAGATTTGGTATCGTCAGATCCTGTTAGCATAAATTTAACTGAAGATTTATTTGCATTTAGGTATGAATACTAGGGCATGAGTATTGAATAGTATTAAGCTTAATAAAATAAAACATATTTGGTTATTAAGGTTTATTTTTTATCTATCAATGGAGCCTAAAATTAAGTTATCCCTCTTAATTTATATTAATGCCAAAATGTTAATCTTGTAGGGTACAACTGCATCGACTTTACTAGTTTATAAGATTAATTTACATTATCTGTGGATAATATTAATAATATTTTCACTTAAATCTCTATAGGAGTATATGGTTGTTATGACATAGACTCATTAAAAACTGATATCCCTGATAACTGTGCAAGCTAAAATGATATTGAAAATTTGATCAATGTTCGTAATTCTTACTTAGCGATAAAATATTTTACTTAATAGTACTAAATATAGCATAAGAGTAAATAAACTAATTTCAAGTAAGTTTCCTTTGCTGCAGTGGGAAATTAAGTATTACTTTATCAAATTTTAATTTAGAAATAAATAACTTAATTTAAAGAAGGATTAGTATTTTAAACAAGTTCTACTTTTTCTGCTCCTTTATCATACACCCAATACAGTGTAGGAATTGATAGATAGTATTCTATATAAAATTTATCAACGAGTGGGTATTTGCAAATTCTATTATCTACAGATACTCAAGTAAAGTATATTAGTATCTAATATCCTTCTATAACTTCAATTTTAGCTCAAGTTAATAGCTTGTTTTCATTTTTTATGGTTTTAGGTATATTTGCTAAGAATATAGCTTAGAAAATATTGAATAAGAAATTATTTTTATTGTTTTTATAGAACTAGTATTAGGACACATATGAGAAAGTGATGCAATATAATAATTTATTTTAATAAAATTATGGAATATATTTTTAAAAAGAAGCAAGTGATGAACCTGGAGACGAAAAAGAAGATTTTAAAAATACATAAAATTATAACATCCCATTATTTTAGACAAAATTAAAAAGCTTTCCATTTTCTAAAAGTCCCAATTAAATCAAATTATAAGAAAATTTAAAATTAGAAAATCAAGACTAACCATTTTAAGCTTTATAAGAGCAAAATGATTTTTAGTAACTATAACTATCAATGGAATCGACTTAAATTAAAAAATCATAATTAAGTAAATCTATTGCAAACTTAAAGTAAGATCTTTGTAAAGATTCCCTACTTCAAACACCAAAGATTTAAAGAAATTCATCATTAATTGACTGCTTAAATTAGCCTTAGTCTCCTTAAGAATTGACCTTATATAAAGGCCAATCTACTATAAACTTGAAATTAAATTATACAAAAGACTGCTCTTTTTAAACATAAAAGAGAAAAAAAAGTTCATTTTTCATAGGATACTTAAATTAACTTTAGCCTAAGGGTTTGTAACAAAATAATTAACCAAATTAAAATAACTAGAGATAAAATAATTAGATTATTTAGTATTATGTTGATAAGCTAAAAGCATTGTAAAATCCAAATTCTTTAAGAATAGTTAAAAAATTACTATTCAAAAAGGGGTAATTTTATTATATTTCTTTATTTAATTTATCAAATATAATTTTTTTTAAGAAATAAAAGTTAGTAAGACGATCTTAATTATGAAACCAGAAAAAAGCTTGAAGACAAATTTAATTCTGAAATTGATATCTTTAAACTATATAAAGATATCATATTTTTAAAAAAAGCTATTATGATTTTACTAAGCAAAGATTAACTTGCAGCTTTATAACTGGTCGGATGCTAAATAGATTCTTGTGATCCATAATAGCAAGATGTAGAATAAGGATAAAGGATTAAAAGTAATTTGTATGTTTGCTAATAAACTTTTTTTATAATTTAATCATATTAATATTTAGATAATGTTAGAAAAAAAAACTATTATGAGGAGTAACTCTCTATTTTATAATCTTAGGAACTGTAATGCAAACATATAAAAAGTTATTTACAAAAATGCAATAATAGCATAAATTTAGGTAAAATCGATTATAGAATAATTTCTTCCGTCATTAGAAATTAAAACTTAAGCTGATTCTTTAGTATTATTAATTTATTATAAATAAATTTTATTTTATATATGATGAATTAACAAATTAAATTTTATTTTTTAAATGAGAATATTTAGATTAATAGTAAATTAATTAATAATAAAGTTCAAAGCTCATATATTTAATGTGATTTTTATGTAAAGGTAGTTGAATTGTCAAATGATTCTTCAATAATTTCTTTATTAATAAAACATTTCTTATTTTTTAAATATAAAGAAATTGATTAAATATACACGCTGAATCAAACTCATAGAGATTTTTCAGAAATTTTATAATAATTTTGATTATTATTTAAAAAATTTGATTACTTAAACTTCTCAAAAAGATTGTTATATTTGATAAAAAAAGTAGTTAAAACAGTATACTTATTTAATTACAATCTCTTTTTAATCTTTAAAAATATTTTAATTGGTATATATCAATTATTATTAAAGTAATTAAAATAATCTATTTATTCCACATTTAAAAAATATTTTCCAAAAATAAATATGCTTGAACAATATATAACTAAAATAACTCTTAAAAAACTTTATCTAAAACAGAAATTAAATTAAAAGAGTTAAAAATTTAGTTTAAATATAAAAAATTCATTGAATTTAATCAATTTTTGATTTTGATTTTTATCTTTCATTTAAAGCCTAAAAATTAAGTTTTTGTTTTATAAAAAAATGTGAATAAAAAAGTAATTATATAGAATTTATTAAAATTTACAGATTGTTTGTTTTCTACAAATAAATTTTAAAGTAGAATCTTAACAAATAAAAAGATAACTAGTAATTGAGTGATTAATAAATAGGTAGAATAAGATTATGATTTTTAAAAAAATTGATATATTTTCAGAAACATTTTTATTCAACATAGGTAATGGTTAAAGAAAATAAAAGACTATTATAGGATCATTTTTTTCAATTATAACTATTACAACTAGCATATCTTACTTAATTTTCTTGATATTTGAGTATTTAAATAATCGAATTGATCCTAATTATAACTCTTAAGTTTAGATATCCCCTGATCCTGTTAGCATAACTTTAACGGAAGATTTATTTGCGTTTAGGTATGAATACTTGAGTATGAGTATTGAATAGTATTAAGCTTAATAAAATAAAACATATTTAGTAATTATGGTTTATTTTAAATATCAGAATGGAACCTAAAGTTAAATAATCCCTCTTAACTTTTATTAATGTTAAAATGTTAATCTTATAGGGTATAACTGCATCGACTTTACTAGTTTATAAGATTAATTTACATTAACTGTGGATAATATTAATAATATTTTCACTTAAATCTCTATAGGAGTATATGGTTGTTATGACATAGACTCATTAAAAACTGATATCCCTGATAACTGTGCAAGCTAAAGTGATATTGAAAATTTGATTAATTTTAGTGACTCTTACTTGTCTATAAAATATTTTACTTAATAGTATGAAATATAGCATAAAAATAAATAAACTAACTACAATTAAATTGCCTTTTATGTAGTAGGAAATTAGGTAATATCATATCAAATTTAAATTTAGAAATAAATTACTCAATTAAAAGAAGGATTAATATTTCAAACAAGTTCTACTTTTTCTTCTCCTTTATCATTCACTCAATACAGTTTAGGAGTTGATAGATAGTATTCTATATAAAATGTATAGACGAGTGGGTATTTGCAAATTCAATTATATACAGATACTCAAATAAAGTATATTAGCATCTAATATCCTTCAATAACTTAAATTTTAGCTCAAGTTAATAGCTTGCTTTCATTTTTTATGATTTTAGGTCTATTGGCTAAGAGTTTAGCATAGAAAATATTGAAAAAGAAATTATTTTTATTGTTTTTATAAAATAAGTATTAAGACACATATGAGAAAATCATGTAATATAACAACTTATTTTAATAAAATCAAGTAGTATATTTTTAAAAAGAAGCAAATGAAGAACCTGGCGATGAAAAAGAAGATTTTTAAAATTAATAAAATAACAACATCCCAACATTTTAGACAAATTTAAAAAATTTTTAATTTTCTAAAAGTTCTAATTAAATCAAATAATCAGAAAATCATAAATTAGAAAATGAAAACTAAACATTTTAAGCTTTATAAGAGGGAAGGGATTTTTAGTAACTATAACTATTAATAGAACCCACTTAAATTAAAAAAAAATAATTAAATAAATCTATGGCAAGCTTAAACTAAGATTTTTTTAAAGATTCCCCACTACAAACGCCAATGATGTAAAGAAATTCATTATTAATTGACTAATTAAATTAGCCTTTGTCTTCTTAAGATTAGACTTTATATCAAGGTCAATCTATTACAAACTCGAAATTAAACTATACAAAAGACTGCTCGTCTTCAACATAAAAGAGAAAAAAAAGTTCATTTTCTATAGGATACTTAAATTAACTTTAGTCTTAGGGCTTGTAATAAAATAATTAACCAAATTAAAATAACCAAAGATAAAACATTTAGTTAACTCAATATTATGTTGATAAGCTAAAAGCATTGCAAAATCCAAATTTGTTAAGAATAGTTAAAAAATTACTATTCAAAAATGGGTAATTTTACTTCATTATTTTATTTAATTTATCAATAATAATTTTTTTTTAGAAAAACAAATTAGTAAGAAGATCTAAACTATTAAACTAGAAAAAAGCTTGAAGACAAATTTAATTCTGAAATTGATATCTTTAAATTATATAAAGATATTATATTTTTAAAAAAAGCTATTATGATTTTGTTAAGCAAAGATTAACTGGCAGCTTTATAATTGGTTGGGTGCTAAATAGATTCTTGTAATCAATAGTAGTAAGACATAGGATAAGAATAAAGGAAAAAAAGTAATTTTATATTTGTAAATAAACATAGTTTATAATTTAATAATATGAATATTTAGATAATGTTAGAAAGAAAAATTATTACGAAGAGTAACTCTCTATTTTATAATCTTAGGAACTTTAATGCAAGCACATTAAAAGCTATTTACAAAAATGCAACAATAGCATAAATTTAGGAGAAGTCGATTATAGAATAATTTCTTCCATCATTAGAAATTAAAATTTAAGTTGATTCTTGTAACTTAAATAGCTAAATATTAACAATTTATTATAACTAAATATTGTTTTTATTTTTGATGAATTAACGAATAAAATTTTATTTATTATTTTTTAAATGAAAATATTAAATTAAAGTAAATTTAATAATTAAATTCAAAGTTCAAATATTTATTGTTTTTTTTTGTAAAAGAAGTTAAATTTTCTCAAGATTCTTCAACAATTTCTTTATGAGTAAAATATTTCTTATTTTTTAAATATTTATTTTATTATTAAATTTTTTTTTAAATATTTTTCTAATTCAGTTAATTCTTCTTTTGTTATTTTATGAGGGCACAAATTTAATATACTTACACATTGATTTTATAAATATTATAATTAAATACATTGTCTAATATTTTATTGTGTGTAAATTATAACTAAATATGAAAGCTATTTGAAGTAATACTTATTATTATTTTTATATTAAAATAAAAGATAATCTAAATTTAAATATACACTAAAAATTATTCTTAGTATCATTTTTTTAATTTATTTTTAACTTCAATTTATTTATATTAACTGAAAATAATAATTTTTGTAATTATTTTTCATCCAAGCTTTTAGGTTACATGAGATTTAAATATTTTTATTTAGTAATTGTTCATAATAATATTGTTATTAATTATTTTTTGCTCCTTATATATTACCAAGGTTTAAAATTTTATCATAATCTTCTCTTGTTTATTCTTTCTTTATAATTATAATGATAATAATTATTTTCAACATGATATTTAAATATTTTTCTTTAGAACCTTCTTTTATATCAATAATATTTTTCACCATATTTTATTACAAAATTAATTTATTATTTAATAATCTTTTTTAGAAATTTCTTCAAAATTATAATGATAATAATTAATTTGTATCCAATATTTTAGATTTTATGATATTTAACAATTCTTCTTTAGAAACTACTTAATAAAGATAATGATAATAATTATTTTTCATCCCAAATTTTATTTTAAATGAAATTTAAATATTTTTTTAGTAATTGTTTTTATATAATTGATTTTTCAAGGAAATTCAAAGTTTCCATGAATTTTTATAATCTTCTTTCTTTAATTCTTAATAATCATAATGATAATAATTATTTTATAAGGCACATATAACGTTCCATAAAATTATCATATTCTTCTTTTTTTATTTTTTAACTTCATAGTTTATATATTTTAATGAATCATATTTTTTTTAATTTATTATTTATTATTTAGAATGAATTAAGAAGATAAATATGAAAAAATATAATAAAAACGTGAAAAGTAATATTAAAAAAATTATCATTAAAAATTGAATATTTTTTTATATTTATATATTAAGTTAAAAATTTACTAAGCTATTACAATAAAAAATAAAATAAGTTTTTTTTTTATTTTAAATTAATGATAAAAATAAATGTAATTATTTAACTCTTTTAAAATAAATATTCTATCAAATTATAAATTGTATAAATAAATTTCTATTGGTAAAGTAAATAATTTTTTATTTGTGAACAAATAATCTAATTATCCTTTATATTGATATGAGTTTAATTATTTATTTTTTAATATATTTATTTATATTCTCCTAATAAATCCTTTTTTTTACTGATTTAGAAGTTTAATTACAATTAGAATGATTGCATTTTTAGTAAATCTATTAATTATCTATCTTTATAAATAATTATTTTAAATATATAATATTATTTTATAATTAAATCTTTATTTATTATTCATGTTTTAATTTATTAACAAAATGTTACATTAAAGATTTTTTAGTTTAATAAAATTTAATTTTTTATTGATTAAAAATTTATAATTATTTCATTATAATTTTTAAATTTTTAAAAAAGTTATAAAGATTATTTAAATAGATAGAGATTGAATCAAGCAAATTATTAAAATTTAACCTGATCTCAACTTTCTATCATTATTTTATAATAATATAAATAAAATTTATAATATTTAATCAGAAAAAACAAAAAAGATGAAGAAATAACTACAAAATAATTTTAAGTTACTGTTAATCTCTCAAGTTTGATAAAATATAAACTTGCCAATTGTTTTATGAAATAAAAATAATTATGCATTAATTTAATTAACATCTATCAAATTTCGAATAATTAAAATATACAATCTAGAATCCATACGAAGATAGCTTTTAATAGAAATTATTGATTTATTTTTTAATGAGATTTATAAAGATTTAATTTAAGAATATTTTAATAAATGAATCTTTGTTATATACTGTAAATTCTTTAATCCACAATGATTTAAAAATTTTTAAAATTTGCAAAGTAGTTTTTATTTTTAATTAAGACTTACTTACTTTTAAAACTTTTTAGAAAATATAGTTTTAATCTAAAAATAACTTTTTTTAGAGTATCTTTTTTTAATTTTAGTTATAATATTTTTTGTTCTTTTTCTTAATTATTTCATCCAATTTCTCTTACAATAATTTAATCATTTATTTATATTTTTAAACTCTTTTCACATTTTAAATATCAATGTCTGTATCTTCAGACTTTTCATTAACTTCAATTCCATCTTATAATTCTTTAATCTTATAATTAATTTATATTTAATTCTATTATTTATTATATTAATTTTATTGAAAATGATCTAAATCAGTTAAGTTTTATTATTGATTTTATGAAGATTATAATTATTTTTTTTAGTTTAATTTACCTACTTTTAAAGCACATTCAATTATTTCTTAAACTATTTTTTATTACTTTTTATGATTAATATTTAAGATTTTTTTAATAACTTAATATTTTCATCATATTTTCTTATAATTATTATTTTCTATGTAAAATCATGATTTTGAGAGCTGAACCATTTTTAGTATTAAAATTAAATATCAGCCCATCTTTTCTATATTCTTCATCTATTATTTAGTATTTATTCTATTCTAAAAATTATCTTCTTTTGTTAATATCATTTAATATTTCATTTAACTAACCAATATAATATTTATTAAATAAAATTTTGTTTCTCTAAAAAATAATTTATATTTTTACTTGATAGTTAATGAATGCTATTTGGTTTTTCATATTACTATTATTTTTATTCTATTTCTTCATTTTTTTACATAATTTCTTCATCATTATTTTTTTCGAAATTAGTGTTTAACCTTTTCTTCAATAAATGAATACCTTCTTTTTTTTTAATTATTATATTATTTAATATTTTTAAATTAAATGTTACTCTTATTATTATATTTTTTATAATCTTTTCAAGGTCTAGTCCTTCTCTTTTTAGTTTTTTAGCTAGATCTAACATTATAAATATCATTTAAAGATAATCTTTTGTTTTTCATGATTTTTATTTCAATCTTAAATTTCTTTTGAGAAATGATTGAATTAAAAAAGTTCTATTTTTGTAAGAAAAACTTTCAAATAAAAAAAATATATATTTATTAAACATATATCAAAAAATTTGATTTCTTGATAAAAAAAGTAATTAAATCAGTATATTTCTTTAATTACAATATCTTTTTAATCATTAAAAAAATTTCTATTGATATATATCAATTATTATTAAAGTAATTAAAATAATCTACTTGTTTGTATTGCTAAGATAATGATTGTTTTTAAATATATCTTAGAGTTTTTAAAATATTTTGATTCATAAAAAAATTTTATTTTCATCCACTTTTTGAAAAATATTTTCCAAATATAAATACGCTTTAACTTTATTTAAGCTAAAATAATTCTTTAATACTTTATCGAATACAAAAATAAAATTAGAAGAGTTAAAAATTTAGTTTAAATACAAAAATTTTATTGATTTAATCAAATGTAAAATATTGTAATTTTTATCTTACATTTAGCATCTTAACAACATGTTTTTGTCTATATCTGTTTAAAAATACTCTAAAAATTTGAATAATTAAAATTAATAGATTGTTTTCCACAAATAAATCCTAAAGTAAAGTATTAATAAATAAAAAGATAGTGAGTCAGTGATTGAGTGAGAGAATAAATAAGTAGAATAAGATTATGATTTTAAAAAAGATTGATATATTTTCAAAACCATTCCTATTCAACATAGGTAATGGTTAACTAAAATAAAAGACCATATTAGGATCATTTTTTTCAATTATAACTATTGTTACTTGCATATCTTATTTAATTTTCTTACTACAATAGTATTTAAATAATGGAATTAATCCTAATTTTAACTCATAAGTTATAGTATCGCCTGAGCCTGTTAGCATAACTTTAACTGAGGATTTGTTAGCATTTAGATATGAACGCAAGAGTATAAATATTGAATAGTATTAAGCTTAATAAAATAAAACATATTTGGTTATTAAAGTTTATTTTTAATTTGTTAATGAAACCTAAAATTAAGTTATCCCTCTTAATTTTTATTAATGTTAAAATGCTAATCTTGTTGGCTACAACTGCATCGATTTTTCTAGTTTATAAGATTAATTAGTATTAACTGCTGATACTAATAATACTGTTTACACTTAACTCTTTTTCGGAGTATATGGTTGTTATGACATAGACACAATCAAAACTACAATCCCTGATAACTGTGCCAGCTAAAATGATATTGAAGACCTGATTAATTCAGATAACACTGCCTTTACTATAAAGTATTTTTCTTAATAGTTCTAAATATAGAACAAAAAAATATAATCTAACTATTACTAAGCAATCTTTAATGGAGTAGGAAATTCGGTAACAACTGAAGATATTTTACTTTAGAAATAAATTACTCAATTAAAAGATGGATTAATATTTCAAACAACTTCTACTTTTTCTTCACTTTTGCCATCAAGCTTAAACACTTCAGCAGTTGATAGAGAGTATTCTATATAAAAATTTTAATAGAGTGGGTATTTGCAAATTCAATTAAGTACAGATGTTCAAGTAAAGTATATTAGCATCTAATATCCTTCAATAACTTAAATTTTAGCTCAAGTTAATAGCTTGTATTCATTTTTTGTGATTTTAGGTCTACTTGCTAAGAATATAGCATAGAAATTATTGAAAAAGAAATTATTTTTATTATTTTTATAGAACTAGTATTAGGAAACATATGAAAAAATCATGCAATATAACAAATTATTTGAATAAAATTAAGGAGTATACTTTTAAAAATAAGCAAATGATGAGCCTGGTGATGAAAAAGAAGATTTTAAAAATTAATAAAATAACAACATCCCAACATTTTAGATAAAATAAAAAGAATTTTAATTTTCTAAAAGTTGCAATTAAATCGAATTATAAGAAAATTTTAAATTAGTAAATGAAGATTACTCATTTTAAACTTTAGAGCGAAGTGATTTTTAGTAACTATAACAATCAATTGAATCGTTATAAATAAAAAAATAATAACCCAATCAATCTATTGTAAACTTAAAGCAAGATTCCCCACTATAAATGCCAAAGATGGAAAAAAATTCTTTATCAATAAAAAAAATTAATTAGCCTTAGCCTTCTAAAGATTAGACTTCATATTAAGGCCAACTAATAACAAACAAGAAATTAAACTATAGAAAAGATTAACCATTTCAAATACATAAGAGAAAAAAAAGTTAATTGACCATAGGATACATAAATGAACCTAAGTCTTAGGGTTTGTAATAAAATAATTTACCAAATTAAAATACCAAAATATTAAATAATTAGTTAACTTAATATTATGTTGATAAGCTAAAAGCATTGTAAAATCCAAATTCTTTAAGAATTATTTAAAAATTGCTATTCAAAATGGGGTATTTTTACTTTAATACTTTATTTAATTTATCAAATATAATTTTCTATTAGAAAAAAAAGTTAGTAAGATGATCTTAACTATTAGACTAGAAAAAAGCTTGAAGACAAATTTAATTCTGAAATCGATATCTTTAATTTATATAAAGACATCATATTTTTAAAAAAAGCTATAATGATTTTGTTAAGCAAAGATTAACTTGCAGCTTTATAATTGGTTGGGTGCTAAATAGATTCTTAAGATCCATAGAAGCAAGATATTAAATAAGAATTAAAGATTCAAAGTAATTTTTATATTATCAAATAAAAATATTTTCTCAATTAATCATATTAATATTTAGGTAACGTTAGAAAGAAAAATTATTATGAGGAGTAACTCTCTATTTTATAATCTTAGGAACTTTAATGTAAACATATAAAAAAATATTTATAAAAATGCAATAATAGTATAGATTTAAGTGAAGTTGATTATAGAATAATTTCTTCAATTATTAGAAATTAAAAGTAAAGCTGATTTTTCTAACTTAAATTTCTAAATATAAACAATTTATTATAACTAAATATTATTTTATATATTATGGATTAACTAACAGTAAATTTATTATGTAATCGTGATATTATATGAAATTAAAAGGTTGAAGTTATTAAAACTATTACTAATTTCTTTATAATCGTTTTTTAATCATTAAATATATTTCTATTGATATATCAATTATTATTAAAGTAATTAAAATAATATATTTGTATTGTGAAGATAATGATTGCAAAAAAAATATATCTTTGAGTATTTAAAATATATTCATTGATAAAAAACATTTAATTTTCATCACATTTTGAAAAAAATTTCCAAATATTAATATGCTTGAATATTTAAATTAAAATAACTCTTAAATAACTTTATCTAAAACAAAAATGAAATTAAAAGAGTAAAAATTTAACTTAAATACAAAAAACTCATTGAATTTAATCAATTTTTATAGATTGTTATTTTTATCTTTCATTTAACATTTAAACATTATGTTTTTGTCTAAAAGGCATTTTTAAATGCTTATATAAATCTGAATAAAAATAAATTATATTGAATTTATTAAAATTAATTAATTGTTTTCCACAAATAAATTCTAAAGTAGAATCTTGATAAATAAAAAGATAGTGAATCAGCAAACAAGTAGAATAAGATTATGATTTTTAAAAAAATTGATATTTTTTCAGAAACATTTTTATTCAACATAGGTAATGGTTAAAAAAAATAAAGCACAATATTAGGATCTTTTTTTTCAATTATAACTATTACAACTTGCATATCTTACTTGGTTTTCTTAATACTAGAGTATATAAATAATCAAATTGATCCTAATTTTAACTCATAAGTTTTGGTATCATCAGAACCTGTTACCATAACTTTAACTGAAGATATGTTTGCATTTAAATATGAATACTAAAGTATGAGTATTGAATAGTATTAAGCTTAATAAAATAAAACATATTTGGTTATTTAGGCTTATTTTTAATTTCATAATGGAACCTAAAGTTAAATTATTCCTCTTAACTTTTATTAATGTTAAAATGTTAATCTTAAAGGGTACAACTGCATAGACTTTACTAGTTTATAAGATTAATTTACATTAACTTTGGATAATATTAATTAAATTTTCAATTAAATAGCTATAGGAGTTTATGGTTGTTATGACATAGACTTATTCAAAACTACTATCCCTGATAACTGTGCAAGCTAAAATGATATTGAAAATTTGATTAATTTTGGGGACTCTTACTTAATAATAAAATATTTTACTCAATAGTACTAAATATAGCAAAAAAATAAATAAACTAACTATTAATAAGCTTTCTTAAATGGAATAGGAAACTAGATATTATTTTGGCAAATTTTAATTTAGAAATAAATTACTCAATTAAAAGAAGGATTAATATTTTAAACAAGTTCTACTTTTTCTTCTCCTTCGTCATTAGCCCAATAATCTTAAGCAGTTGATAGATAGTATTCTATATAAAATTTTTAAATAAGTGGGTATTTGCAAATTCAATTATGTGCAGATGTTCAAGTAAAGTATACTAGCATCTAATATCCTTCAATAACTTAAATTTTAGCTCAAGTAAATAGTTTGTATTCATTTTTTTTGATTTTAGGTCTACTTGCTAAGAATATATCATAAAAAATATTGAAAAAAAAATTATTTTTATTGTTATTATAGAACTAGTATTAGGATACCTATGAGAAAATCATGCAATATAACAACTTATTTTAATAAAATTAAGGAGTATATTTTTAAAAAGAAACAAATGATGAACCTGATGATGAATAAGAAGATTTTAAAAATACATAAAATTACAATATCCCACAATTTTAGACAAAATTAAATAGCTTTTAATTTTGTAATAGTATCAATTAAATCAAATTTTAAGAAAATTTTAAATTAGAAAATGAAGAATAATCATTTTAAACTTTATAAGAGCGAAATGATTTTTAGTAACCATAACTATCAATGGAATCCACTTTAATTAAAAAAAAATAATTAAATCAATCTAACACAAACTCCAAACAAGATTTTTTTAAAGATTCCCCACTATAAATGACAAATATGAAAAAAAATTCATTATCAAAAAATTACTTAAACTAGACTTAGTCTCCTTAAGATTAGACTTCATTTCAAGACCAATTTATGAAAAACTAGAAATTAAATAATATAAAAGACTGCCCAATTCAAATATAAAAGAAAAAAAAAATTCACTTACCATAGGATACTTAAATTAACCTTAGTCTTAGGGTTAGTAATAAAATAATTAACAAAATTAAAATAACCAAAAATAAAATAATTAGTTAATTTAATATTACATTGATAAGCTAAAAGCTTTGTAAAATCCAAATTGGTTAAGAATAGTTAAAAAATTACTATTCAAAAAGGGGTATTTTTACTTTATTACTTTATTTTATTTATCAAATATATTTTTCTTTTAGAAAAAAAAGTTAGTAAGACAATCTTAATTATTAGACTAGAAAAAAGCTTGAAGACAAATTTAATTCTGAAATCAATATCTTTAATTTATATAAAGATATCATATTTTTAAAAAAAGCTATAATGATTTTGTTAAGCAAAGATTAACTTGCAGCTTTATAATTGGTTGGGTGCTAAATAGATTCTTATGATCCATAGAAGCAAGAAATTAAATAAGAATAAAAGATAAAAAGTAATTTTTATATTAGCAAATAAATATATTTTCTTAATTAATCATTATAATATTTAGGTAGCGTTAGAAAGAAAAATTATTATGAGGAGTAACTCTCTATTTTATAATCTTAGGAACTGTAATGCAAACATATAAAAAATTATTTACAAAAATGTAATAATAGCATAAATTTGAGTGAAATCGATTATAGAATAATTTCTTCCATCATTAGAAATTAAAAGTAATGCTGATTTTTCTAACTTAGGTAGCTAAATATTTACAATTTATTATAATTAAATATTGTTTTATATATGATGAGTTAAAGAATTAAATTTATTAATAATAATGTTCAAAGCTCATATTTTTATGATGATTTTTATGTAAATAGTGTACAAGTGATCTGAGAATCATAAAAAAATTTTATTTTCATCATCGTTTTCAAATATAAATATAATTTAACTATATTTAAAAAAAATAAATTTTAAATAACTTTATCTAAAAAAAAAAAATGAAATTAAAAAAAAGAGTTAAAAAGTTAGTTTAAATATACAAAATTCATTGAATTTAATAAATTTTAGTAGATTGTGATTATTATCTTTCATTTAGCATCTAACCAAAAATAATCAATTTTAATAGATTGTGATTATTATCTTTCATTTAACATCTAACCAAAAAGCCCTTAAAAAATGTTATATTAATGTGAATAAAATAAATTATATCTAATTTATTAAAATTAATAGATTGTTTTCCACAAAAAAATTTTAATTAAAGTAGAATCTTAATAATTAAAAGGATAGTGAGTGATTGAATTAGTAAATAGGTAGAATAAGATTATGATTTTTAAAAGAATTGATATATTTTCAGAAGCATTTCTATTCAACATAGATAATGGTTAAAGAAAATAAAATACCATATTAGGATCATTTTTTTCAATTATAACTTTTACAACTTGCATATCTTACTTAGTTTTCTTGATGTTAGAATATTTAAATAATCAAATTGATCCTAATTTTAACTCTTAAGTTTTGGTATCTTCTTAACCTGTTAGCATAACTTTAAGTGAATATTTTTTTGGATTTAGATATGATTACTAGGGTATGAGTATTGAATAGTATTAAGCTTAATAGAATAAAACATATTTGGTTATTAAGGTTTATTTTTTATTAGTGAATGGAACATAAACTTAAGTTATCCCTCTTAACATTTATTAATGTTAAAATGTTAATCTTATTGGGTACAACTGCATCGACTTTACTAGTTTATAACATCAATTTACATTATCTATGGATAATATTAATAATATTTTCACTTCAATCTCTATAGGAGTATATGGTTGTTATGACATAGATTCATTAAAAACTACTATTCCTGATAACTGCGCAAGCTAAAGTGATATTGAAAATTTAATTAATTTTGGCAACTCTAACTTGCATGTAAAATATTTTACTTAATAGTATTAAATATAGCAAAAAAAAATATAAATTGACTACCATAAATCTCTCTTTAGTGGAATAGGAAACCAGGTATTATCTTATCAAATTTTACTTTAGAAATCAATTACTCAATTAAAAGAAGGATTAATATTTCAAACAAGTTCTACTTTTTCTTCTCCTTTGTCATTAACCACATATATTTAAGCAGTTGATAGATATTATTCTATTTAAAATTTATCAAAAAGTGGGTACTTGCAAATTCAACTATTTGCAGATATTCAAGTAAAGTATATTAACATCTAATATCCTTCTATAACTTAAATTTTAGCTCAAGTAAATAGTTTGTATTCATTATTTTTGATTTTAGGTCTACTTGCTAAGAATATATCATAAAAAATATTGAAAAAGAAATTATTTTTATTGTTATTATAGAACTAGTATTAGGATACCTATGAGAAAATCATGCAATATAACAACTTATTTTAATAAAATTAAAGAGTATATTTTTAAAAAGAAGCAAATGATGAACCTGAAGATGAAAAAGAAGATTTTAAAAATACATAAAATTACAATATCCCACAATTTTAGACAAAATTAAATAGCTTTTAACTTTTTAATAATCCTAATTAAATCAAATTTTAAGAAAATTTTAAATTAGAAAATGAAGAATAATCATTTTAAACTTTATAAGAGCGAAATGATTTTTAGTAACTATAATTAACAATGGAATCCACTTTAATTTAAAAAAAATAATTCAATCAATCTGATTCCCCAATACAAACACCAAAGATGAAAAAAAATTAATTAGAAAAAAACTACTTAAATTAGCCTTAGTCTTCTTAAGATTAGACTTCATATCAAGGCAAACTTATGACAAACTCGAAATTAAGTTATACAAAAGATTGCCCACTTTAAATATAAAAGAAAAAAAAAAATTTATTTTCGATAGGATACTTAAATTAACCTTAGTCTTAGGGTTAGTAATAAATTAATTAACAAAATTAAAATAACCAAAGACAAAGTAATTAGTTAATTTAATATTATATTGATAAGCTAAAAGCTTTGTAAAATCCAAATTGGTTAAGAATAGTTAAAAAATTACTATTCAAAAAGGGGTATTTTTTCTTTATTACTTTATTTTATTTATCAAATATAATTTTCTTTTAGAAAAAAAAGTTAGTAAGACGATCTTAATTATTAGACTAGAAAAATGCTTGAAGTAAAATTTAATTCTGAAATAAATATCTTTAATTTATATAAAGATATCATATTTTTAAAAAAAGCTATAATGATTTTGTTAAGCAAAGATTAACTGGCAGCTTTATAATTGGTTGGGTGCTAAATAGATTCTTATGATCCATAGAAGCAAGAAATTAAATAAGAATAAAAGATAAAAAGTAATTTTTATATTAGCAATTAAAAATATTTTCTCAATTAATCAAAATAATATTTAGGTAGTGTTAGAAAGAAAAATTATTATGAGGAGTAACTCTCTATTTTATAATCTTAGGAACTGTAATGCAAACATATAAAAAATTATTTACAAAAATGTAATAATAGCATAAATTTGAGTGAAATCGATTATAGAATAATTTCTTCCATCATTAGAAATAAAAAATAATGCTGATTTTTCTAACTTAGACAGCTAAATATTTACAAATTATTATAATTGAATATTGTTTTATTTATGATGAATTAACGAATTAAATTTATTTATAATAATGTTCAAAGCTCATATATTTATGATGATTTTTATGTAAAGGCTGCAGAATTTTCTAAAGATTCTTCAATAATTTCTTTATTAATAAAATACTTCTTATTTTTTCAACATTAAAAAATTGATTAAGTTTACCTGTTAAGTCAAACTTGTAGAGACTTTCTGACATTTTGTCATCATTTTAATGATTATTTAATTAATCTTTGTAAATACTTAGAATATCATCTAATTAATCATAGTCATCTTCATATTTTTCTTCATCAGATTCGTATAGAAAATGGCAATCAAATTTTTAACTAGTTTTAGATTTATCTTAACCATTTTAATCATCTTCATCCTCTTAATACTCTTCAAAATCATCTTCATACTCTTCAAAATCGTCTTCATAGTACTCTTCAGTATCTTCTGATTTTTAACTATTATGTTTTAAGCTATTACTATTTTTTTCTAATTTAAACTAAAGGTTATTATTATATAAATCATCACATTTATCATTGCTTTTTTCTTAGCTAACTATAATGTTGTTTTTATTTAATTAAAATTTTTGGTCTTCATCTTTATCTGTTTTACTTGCTAAATTAACCAAGTTGTTTTACAAAAATGTCTTACCCGTTAATCCAAGCTTAGATTTTAAAAACACAGAATCCTAAATAAAACATTAAGAAAAATTAAAACAAATTATATTTAAAACTAGTTTACTTATGTCAAAGAAACATTTAAAGAAACACTAGTTTCAGTAAGATTATCATTATTTTAATTTTATCTGCTTCCAAAAATAACAGGATTTTCTGTTGAGTATTCTTAAATATCACAAAAAGCTTACTTCTGATTTTCAATTTACTAAATTGGTTTCTAATTTTCTTGTTAACTATCCAAAATTTTGTCACTCACCAAGAACTTAGAGAGTAATATCGATTCATTTTGAACTAAGTCTAGAGCCATTGAAGGAGTAAATTTTTCACTTTAGTTATCACTATCACTTTCCCTTTCACCTTCACTGCTTGTATAAAATGATGAATTAGTCTCTGAATTTTAGCTCTCATTCTAAAAGTTTCATATTTGAATAGGTTATACAAATAAAATCAAAGAATATTTATTAAAAAAAAAATGAATTAATTTAATTAACTTTTATTTCAGTTGAATAGTTTTATTCACGCTTAGATTTTCCTAAACTGCTTGAATGGTATTCCTATGAATCTTCTGCAATGAAAGACTTTACTGTACTTTCTAATTAGTCTTTTTTGTTTTACTAGCAGCTTACATTACTAATGTTAGATTATACAATTTGCTTTTTATTTGTGTTTTCAAATTAAGATACTGCTATTGACTAAATAGTATTTTCTCCATCCGAATAATTAGTTGCATCTTAGATTGCTTGCATTTATCTTCCTTTTTTATTTGAAGATGTTTGTATCATTTCACTTTTTATAGTGGCATCAGAATCTTTAAAACATTGTGAACTCTTATCTTTTTTAGAGGAATTTTAAGGAGTACTTAATCTTTAGTAACTTTTCATTACTTCAGATTATAAGTTTGATAGTTATTGTTATATTTCTCTCTCCTACTAAGTGATACTAAGTTAATCTCTCTTTTCACTTTCATCCTTAATATATTAAGACTATACATAAGATTACTTTGATTGATTACTAACAATTTTTGATTAGTTAGGTTATTGTTTTTTTGCAGATTCATTGCTCATAAGCTAACTTTAAGCCTAAATTTATGCCTTCACCTATTCTTATTATCTTTATATCTTTTCTTGTAGTTACTTTTCCATTAATGTAATTTCTCCCTAAGAAGCTCCTTTAGATATCAAAATTTGCTTCATATTTTAAATATCATTCACCATTTCTTATTTTTGTTGGACAAATTCTTTCATTAGTTTTTTTATATTCTGGTTATTTAAAATATCTTAAGCAGAAGGCCTTTTCTCAGGTATTTTTTATAGTAAAGACCTAATAATGTTTAATGAGTTACTTAATTTTGTAAATTGAATAATTATTTTACCTTATAAATCCATTTGTCATAAGTGAGTAGTTTTATGGAATTTTAGGTGCTTTTTCTGTTGCAATCTTCATAACTAAGCTCATCAAACTGTTGGATTAAAATGGATGCTTGTTAATATGGAAAAATAAAATCAATATAATAAAATATTATTTCTAGTATCAAAATAGTAATTAAAAAATTTAGAAAATAGGGATGATATTATTTAAATAATAAATAAAGTATTCTATTTTCTTATTTAAATTTGAAAATAGAATAAGCTTTATCTTATTCTTGCAGACGACATGCAGTAAATCAATCAACCAATCTAGATTTATATTAAACTTTTTTTTTAGATACTTTGGTTATATAAATAGTTAGGTTAGTTACCTTCAAAGAGCATAGCTCATAAATCACACAACCGAGTGACCACATATCTGATTTATAGGTATAAGGTTTATTTTAGCAAACTTCTGGTGATAAATAATAAGGAGTTCCTAAAGTTATATTTTACGACAATGAAAAATAAATATTTTGGTTTATCTTTAATTACCAACAAGTGTATTTGCCTTATCCATTGAGTTTTCTAATTACTTAGAAATGCCAAAATCACCAATTTTAACACAATTACTTTTTGTTAAGAAAATGTTGCTTGATTTAATATCCCTATGAATAACTTTTTTGCTATGGATGAAGCTTAAAGCAGAACATATTTATATAAACCATTATAGGATAATGCTTTCTTCAATTTACTCTCCTTTTGCACTTTTTTATTTGATTAATTACGATAAATCGCCATATTCACAATATTCCATAATAATGATAACTTTATTTTTTTCTTTGTAGCTTTCTATAAATTTAACTATATTTGGGTGCTTCATTTCTCTCAATAGTTTAAGCTATAAATATAATTTAGAGTTAGTAAAAAGAAATTAAAATAAATATTTTATTTTTTAAATTATAAATCATAATAAATACTTCTTAGATAGCATTGTTTTAATCTTTCTCACTTAGATTAGTTAATATAACCTTCTTTGATACATACCTTTTTTTATCTGAACGACACTCTACAAGCATTGCAGAACCCTAAGTGCCTCTACCTATTAATTCTATTTCTTTATACTTTTATTCATAATCTGATAATTTAGACTATTTACTCATTTGCTTATATAAATATTATCAGTAATTACTTACTCAACTAAGGTTTAATAATTTATATATAAACTAAATTATTGTATACTAAAGAAAGTCTGATCAATTTTTAAATCTATAAGATATAGATTGACATTGTAAATAAAATTATTTAACATATATTTTAAGAATAATATTTAATTACAAAATATTTACTTAATATAGATGATTAAAATTATTCTTTTTTTACTCTAAATTAATTTGATTTTTTTATCTTTTTTGGTTTTTGTTTAAAAAAATATATTAAAAATGAAAACATTTCAGTAAAATTTTAGTTTCAAGAATTATAAAAAGCATTAATTTAGTTAATTCATTTGGATTTTTCATAATCTAAGATATATTTTAGTATCAATAGAATTATCTCATAGGATTATTAATAATTAATAACTATTTAAGCGTAACTTGTTGAAAATTAATTTTAAATTTATAAAGAATTAATTAGTAAATGTAAAGAAATGGTGACCTACTCACTGCAGTTAAAAAAGAAGCTGGATTTGGTGGGTTTTTTGGTGCAACACCTTCAATTAGCGTTGAAATGCCGAATTAAATAAAATATGAATATTTAGAAATGAAGGACTTTATTGACAATATTGATGAAAAGGTTTCTTTTGCAAAAAATGTTAACTAGGAGAAGCTAAAAAATAAAGTCCTTGTTGATTTAAACAGACTCAATAGAGAAGAAAGAATGGTGCAAAAATTGGAAGAAAAATTAGCAAAATAAGGAATAGAGGTAAACGAGAGTTCTATGATCAAAATGGATTTAGATAATTTATATAGTCTCTAATTATTTTCTGATAGCTTAAAAAATACAAGTGATAGTATTTCATAAAAAATTGAAGCTTGCTAGTAAAGAATAAGCTAATTAAAAGATAAGATCTATGGATAAAAAAATTAATTGCGCTAACTCAATTCAACAATTATGGAAAAACATGCCAAAAAAGAATAGTTAGTGAAAATGATTAGGAAAATTAGAAAATAAAATCCTTAATTCTTTACGTCAATCAACTAAAACCATTTGTCAGGATCAATACCGTTTCACAGTGATTACTCAACAGACGATCATTACCTAACTTCAGTGCCAGAATAGATGATGAATGGGTTTAATGTCAACAATAATAGTATCTCTTCATAGCAGAATCCATCTATTTAGCTACCTTAATTATAAAATAGCAGTTTGGCTAATTCATATTCTTAAAATAATTTAAAATATAAAAAACTTATGTAGAGCTCAAATAGCGTAAGTAATATTAAATATTATAATATCAATATAGCAAATACTGAAGAGGAATTTTAAAAGCTAAATATTTTATAGAAAAGCACATCTACTTAAGCTCTTCCACCTCTTAAGTATGATCCAATCTAAAAGCTTCATAAAGACATAAAAAAAGTAAGAGATATAAATGAAGAAATAAAAAATTACTTTATGAAAAAGTCAAATGGATTTTTAGAAATGAAACGCCTTATAAATGAATGCTTTAATTCACAAAAAAAAAGAATCATGAAATAACACAAAATATCAAACTAAGCTGGGTTGGCAGACTCTATGCTTTTTGAGATTAATAACAATGATATTTTTGCAAAAAATAATGCAATTGCATTATAAAAACAGAACAACATCCTTTCATAAACTCGTCTCTAAGATAGAGAACTAAGAAATGTATTATATGAAACAATAAAACATATAAAAGCAGTAAAAGTTGTTCAAGAGGAAAATTAAAATAATTAAGAAGTAATCTCACAATATTAAGTAACATATTAGTAATTCAGAGAATTTACTCCAGATCAATTACTAATTTTAATGAGTATCAAGCCTGAAGTTTTACAATAATTCCTAACTGTTTTCGATCTGAAGGAAAAAGCCATGAACCTAATGGTTCTTAAAGCCAAGCTAATTTTTAAGAATAAGTTTAACAATATTGCAGATAAACAAACATTAGAACAATCTTAATATTAAATATAAGAATAATAAATTTGATTTTATTTATTTATTCAAGTATTTTTTAAATTATTTATTTTTTTGTTTAAATCAAATCTTTTATTTTTAAAATTACAATTTTAAATAACTTTTGTTTTTTTAAGATAATTATTTTAGAATGTTTTTGTAAATATATTATTTTCAATTTTGTCTTTAAAGTTAATTAATTAAATTTAGGCTAAATAATATTTTAATAATTTAAAAGAATTTCAGGTGAGTAAATTTAATTAAAATTCTAATAATATTTTTAAATATAATTTAATAAATATTTTATGAAATTTTTCTGATATTTTGAATTATTTTGTAAAAATATTATTTTTGTTTTATCTTTAAGGTTAATTGAAATTGGGCTATGAAATATTTTGATAATTAAAGTTAATTTAGGATAGTAAACCTATGATAGATTTTAATGTTCTTTAATAATTTTTAATTTTGGAATGTTTAAAAATAAAGTGTTATTTTTTAATACTTTTATAAATAATTTTATTTATGTAAAAACATTTTTAAATTCTAATATAAATTTAATAAATATTTTATGATAATTGTATTGATATTTTTTTAATTATTTTATCAAAATATACTTTTTATATTTAAAATTAATTTAATATGAATCGACATATTATTTTAATATGAATAATGAATTTTTAATGGTAAACTTATGATAGATTCAATAAATTTTTAATCATTAATAATTTTATAAATATTATTTTAAAATATTTATTTTTAATTTTAAATTAATTTTATTTGTTTAATAAACTTACAAATATTTCAAAAATAAATTAAGAAATAATTTTAAAAAAAGTGTTTTATATATTATAAAAATGCTTTTCAATTTATATTTGGTCTTCGTTTAGGAATGAAATGTTAGAAAGTAGATTAGCAAAAATTCTAATTATGATTAGTAGAGATAAGATTTCATCATAAATATTAGTAGCATTAACTGTGAGCAATATCAATAAAATTTGATAGAATCAAAATTAGAGCAGATTAAAAGCTATTTAACAATATATCTTAAATTTATCTTTGTGTAAATTATTCAAATATTATCCAACTACAAAAAAATTAAACTAAAATTTCTTATTATTAGGAGAAGCTAATTTATATAAATTCTATTTCACAAAACATTAAAAAGATATGGGTAAACACGCTAATAAGCCTAAGCACGGAAACTCTAAGAGACAAACATGTGCTCAAAAACATAAAATTGAAAAGAAAATTAAGGACCACAATAAAAAGATGAAAAAAGAAGCCAAGAAGCTCAAGGCTTTGGGTATCATTAAGAAGAGTAAAAAATTTATTGATATATTATTAATTAGCTCTTTATGGATGAAAATTTGTTAAAGATTTTCTTATCATGTTTATTATGAAGCAAAGCTCATTCTTATGCAAATAAATCATCCAAATTTATTATTAGCATGATGATTTCCATACTTTTCTTTATTTAAAGTTTCTTTAATTTAAATTTAGAGAGTACTCAAAATGTCGATCTTCCTAACTTGTTCCCTTACAAGAAGAATATTTTGGATCAATTAGAAAGAAAGAAAAAAGAAAAGGAATTAGAAAAGCTCTAAAACAAATAAAAAAATGAGGATATTGATATTGAAACTGTCCAAAATAAAGCTTTAATTTATGAAGAACAAGAGTTAAAGAACTTAGCAAAAGAAAACCAAAATGAATATGATGGAGTTCATCTTAATGAAGCTAATGTTATCGTAAAGGAAGGTAAAAAGTATTACAAGGAAATGAAAAAGGTTCTTGAAGCTTCTGATATCCTCCTCGAAGTATTAGATGCTAGAGATCCCGAATCTTGCAGATGTAGAAAAGTTGAAGCTGAAGCTCTTTCTATGAAGGGTAACAAAAAGATCATTCTTGTCTTAAATAAGATCGACTTAGTTCCTGCGTAATAAATGAATAAATTATTATAATCATAATTCTGAAACAATTTCAAATACTTTTGATAATATTTACTAAAATTAGCTTTTAGATTCCTTTATAAACATTTAAATTACTATTGTTAAAAACTAGTTTACTAATTTTTTGTTATTTAAAATAGAGGTAATGCTGAAGCATGGTTGAAAGTTCTCAGAAGAGAATATGCAACAGTCTTATTTAAGGGAAATACTTAAAATCAAAGCAGCAACTTATCTGGTAACAGTATCTTTAAAAAATCAATTACTGAAAGAGAAGATTTAACTAACGAATTGATGAGCAGTAGCAAGTCTGTTGGTGCTGATAAATTACTTGAATTGATTAAGAACTATTCCAAGAATGAAGGAACTAAAACTGCAGTTACTGTAGGTGTTATTGGTTATCCCAATGTTGGAAAATCATCTCTTATTAACTCGTAAGATTAATTTAATTATAAGGTTAGCAAACTCAAGCAAATTTTTTGAAAATAGATTAAAAAGATCCAAAGCTTGTGGTGTAAGCAGCACTGCTGGTTTCACAAAAACTTTATAAGAAGTTAGCATTGATAGCAAAGTTAAAATTATTGATTGTCCCGGTGTAATCTTTGATGACGAAAGCAGCAAAAACTCTACCTTACTTAGAAATATAGTTAAGCCCGATTAAATTGAAGATCCTATAGTCCCTGTTGAAGAAATTCTTAAAAAAGTAAGTAAAAACGATTTGCTTTTATTATACAAGATAGCTGATTTTAAAAATACAACTGAATTCCTCTGCAATTTAGCATTAGCCAAGGGTAAAATAAAAAAGGTAAAGTTTATTTATTGTGAATCAAAATTTATATTAAATTATATAAATATTAAATATATAGGGTGGTGCTCCTAATTTAGATATGGCAGCAAGAATGGTTATTTAAGATTGGAATGCTGGTAAAATAAAATATTTCACAGTTCCTCCAGTTTATGTAATTTATTTAATAGATTCAAAATTATTTATATTAAATTTATATTTATTAAATAAAAATAGAATGATGTTGAAAGTTCTGCTATCAATAATAATAATCTTCAAAGCATTAATGAAATGGATCAAGAATGATTAATAAATAAAAAACAAAAAAGTTATTTTAGGATAATAAGAATAATAATAACCAAACTTTTTAGATAATAAATATTGTTTTAAAAATATAGCAAATAATTGAATATCAAACTTCAGTCAGGTTGATAATTAAATTAGTTAGTTTAACCATTATTAATTTGTATTATATATTACCTTATTTATTTTTACTATTCTATTATAACTTTTTCCAAATATATTATGACAAAAATTAAATTATAAAACTATTTTGAACAACCTAGATAAATTCTTTAAGTCTCTTAAAAAAATTACAAAAAATAACAATTATATAAAAATATATCCTTAAAACCATGATAAAAATATTCTATAAAAGCTAAAACAAAGTAAAAAATTTTTATTTTTAATGAAACGAAAAGAATCAATAAATATTAGCATAATTATTATTTTTAAGTATGAGAAATATTATTACTTTCAATGAATTTATTATTAAAATTTAATAAAATAAAAAAATTAATTATTTTAGAGTTTTTAAAATATTCATTGAAATTGTATTGATAATGAATTATTTTTTAAAAGAATATTTTTTGAAATATTATTTTTTATAGATAGATTTGTTTCAATTAGCTTATTGGTTATTTGTTGATTAGATATTAATAAAATTTTTCACAATCATGCATTATTTCTATATAGGTTGATTACCTTAAATTGATACATAAGTTTTCTACTTAGTTACTTTAAATATAATTTGAGGATTATAATATTGATCAATATAATATAAATACTTTATCAAGTTTTTAATTATTTTAAATGGATAACAAAAAGAAGAAATAAAAGTAAAATAATATAAATTGTGGATTTTATTCTGAAACCTTCAGCATATAAATCTCACATTCATAAGAATAAGTCAAGGAAGCTGTGCTTATTGAGGGAAACCTTGTTAGTGGCCCTTCTATTTTTATTGTTTTCTTTGATAAAAAATTCTACCATATATCGCTTAAGTCGAAATAAATTTTAAGTATTGGAGAAATTGTTGCTGAAAACTCATTTTAAAACTTTAAGTCAGTTATATTAAATAATAAGTAATACATAGGTTTTACTACTCAATATGAACTTCATCTTTTAGATTTAGAATCAAAATAGCTTTTATAAAATAATTTTCGTATTAAAATTCCTGGAAGTAATAATGAACTAAATGATGAACAAAAGTAAAGCTTGATGCAGGATGGATTTATGTATGAAGCATTCAATAAATTAAATATTATAGCCACTTGTGAAGTAATGGGAGTAACAAATTTACCCTCTGATGATAAAAATGTATTTTATTGTTGCATATACAATTTTTATGAGAATGAAAAAACATATATGTTTCATATGGAAACAAAAAGTAAATAAGTTTTGTTTTGTAAATTAAACGATTCGGATACATTTGCAGTTTTTGAAAATCACAGATAATTTTCGAAATAAGAAAATGTTGAATTAGTTTTACACACTTATAATGTATCAAAAAGCAAGATATATGTAAAATATTTTATTTTTTATTAAAATAATTAATAAAATAATGTTTTTTTAGGGTTATAAGAAGATTAAGCTACCTATTAAAGAGGATAGTTGTATACTTTCTGCAAGATATATTGATAAAGAATATAGTTAAATAATAATTATTGGCAATGGTAAATGTGCTCCTTTCCTAAAGGTCTTCTCCCTCTCACAAGATTAGGAGCCAAAAGTGCAGTTATTAACTGATCTGATTCTGAATAGATCCTTTGATCAGCTTATAAGTAAAGTTTTGCTAATAAACGAAAAATACATTTTTTACGAAACAGTATAAGAAGGAGGAGTGTATTTTGAATTTTTAGAGTATAACACAAGAAAGATTAAATATAGAAAGTAAATTCAATATTAAAAAAATAAATACTTAGAAGACAAAGAAAAATAAATGACAAAAGATGAATTTAGCTAAATGTAAAAATATCCAAACGATTAAGTTTATATTTAGAATGTTCAGTGTTATAGTGAAAATATTTTGGTACTTTTGGATGATTAAGATTTTGAAAATTATTATGGATAATTGCCATATCAGCTTTTAATAAATTATCATAAGTATTGTTCATTATAAACTCTTTTGTTATATCTGATGAAAAAAAAGGATTTAATTTTAGATTATAGTGAATACGATATAAAAAATTGCATAGATATGCTTTTAAAAGATGATAATTAGTGATTAACTCAATTGAAATACAAATTAAAACAATAAGAAAATATTTTAATTTATTAGCTTGTTTTAATATTTTTTTATCTTTATTTTTCTTTAAATATTTTCTTTTAAGCTAAAAAAAATTTTTAAAAATTATTATTATATTTTTTAAGGAATATAATTAAGAGAATGTAAAGATATATATATATGTAATTATATCATCAGTTTTTGATAGATATTTGTAGTAATAAAATTTCACAAATTTTTGATAATTTAATTGCTTTGAAACTTAGCTTTAAATTTAGCATTTTAAGATAATTAAGAAATACATTGCAAATTAATAAAGATCAATATGTCTAATAAAATTATTTTAGAAGGTAAGAACATTTAATTTGATACTTTCTATATGAGTATTTGAAATCAAAGTTATGCTAGCTTTATGTATTTTATTTTCAAAATAGAAATAGATGAAAATAGATTTTGCGAAAAATGTAAAGTAGGAGAGAGAAAAGGTATTTTCATTAATGAGTTAATAATAGTAAATCAATAAAAATACAATAAATAGATCTTAATGTGAATCTTTATCTAGTAGATTTTTATCAGTTTCCATTTTATTTGTGCGAGCCTTGCTTGAAAATATAGTTAAAGAATGAATTTTAAGATATAGAAATTATAGGATAAGAAATCACTGAAACTTAAAAAAAGTTATAGCTAGTTGATGAAAATATGATTAGCATTAAAAATAAAATAGAAGAAAATGAGAAACTTATTAATCAAAGCTAGCAGTAGAAATAAAAATTAGAAATAGAAGAACTTAAAATGAAGGAGCAGCAACTGAATTAAGAATTTGAAAAATTGAAAAAAAATGTTCTAGACTTTGAAATAAGGGAATCTAAGTAAGCAAAATATTATGAATTTCAATCTGGTTGTTATAAGCATCAGATCATTTTTATTTTTAGTTTATTCTATCATTTTAGCTATAGTTTTTTTAAAAATTAAGCCTTCATTTTTATATTTATATTGTTATATCTATAAAACAAACATAGGTACTGGGTTGAAGTAAATTCATTTGAAAAGAGATTGTAAACTTTACTAAATAAGAAATAAATTGCTGATAACTTAGAATAATATTATAATGATAAATTAAACAATAAACTCAATAAATACAACACCATAAACTCAGTCTTTTTTATTGAAGTCAGTGAATAAGTTGGACTTATAAATAATTTAATGATAGGGAAAAAGTTGAATGAAGATGTAAGGAAAAATTTAACAATTCATTTTTGTTATATAAATTTAAGGTTTTTATCATTTAATTTAAAAGATAAACTGGGATGAAACTAATGCAGGATTAGGCTAAGTTATTTTACTGTTTCTGTATTTAATGAACAAATTTGGATATCAATCAAGTTACATTAAAGATATATAAGTGTGTGGTAATGAATCTTATATATGCGAAGCAAATAAATCTGAATAACTTTATTTGAGGGGGCCATTTAGCAATAAAGGTGATGAAGCAAAGTTTAACAGAGCTATGAAGATGATTTTAGATGAATTCTCTTTATTCGTTGATTATTTATAGTAAACATACTTGTAAAATATATAGCTACCTTTCAAAATAGATTAATCAAATTCCTCTATCGATGGACTTTTATTAACAACTTAAACTGCAGCTAATGCCTAATACAAGGGTCTTGATAACTGGACATAGGCTTTTAAAAAATTGTTAATAAATTTTAAATTTTTGATCAGCTTTAATGCTCAATATGATAGCAAAAAGGAAATAGAACTACTAGATAGAGAATGAACGATTAACAAAAAAAATATTTCTATGAAATAAATTAAGAAAAATAAAATTACAAAATGTAAAAAAGTATTAAAAAATATATTAATTGAGATATATAGAATAACGAATGATAGATAGATGGCTGCTTTAACAAAATAAATGTTTTAATTTTATATTTTATTTTTAACAGTATTTAATATTTTTTATTGAAATTTATTTTCAAAAAATAATCATTGTCTTTTCTTAAGGTAAGATTATTAAGTTTATATTCTATTTTTGAGTAAATTGCTAATGATAGATGATTTCTTTAACAAAATAAATGTTTTAATTTTATATTTTTTTTAATAGTATTTAATATTTTTTATTGAAATTTATTTTCAAAAAATAAACATTGTCTTTTCATAAAGTACGATTATTAAGTTTATAATCTATTTTTGAGTAAATTGCTAATGATAGATGATTTCTTTAACAAAATAAATGTTTTAATTTTATATTTTTTTTAATAGTATTTAATATTTTTTATTGAAATTTATTTTCAAAAAATAAACATTATCTTTTTAAAGTAAAAATTCATAACTTGATATTTTTGAGTAAATGACTCACTCATTTAGCAACTTATATTTCAATTAAGTAGGAAAAAGCTGTTTTAATGTTAACTAGTAAATTCGAAACCAATAAAAACAAAATATGCAAAGTGTATTTACATATAAAGAAATTTAACTAATCATAAATTAGTCTGTTTGACTTTAAAATGCATTTTTATAGTATTTATTTTGTCGTCTGCTTGTTTTGTATGCTACATTTCAATTGCTTTGTATTGAAAACTACATTAAGCACTTAAATTTCTGCTAAAATCCTAATTAAATCTATATTTTTTATTCTTTTAAATTGTATATTTATGAGTAAGACGGTTTTCTTCAAGAGAGCTTGCCCATTTCAGCCTTTTTAAGGATATGGACAACTGAACGGTGGACAATTGAGTCTATGATACCTGCAACAGTGAAAACACCTCCAATAATAGCACAAACTTGCACCAAGAAGTGGAGGAAGGATTCTCTAGTTTGAGAGAATTAAACTGTAACAGGAGAAAGGTCATAACGGAAGAAGACAGCTGGTAAGTGTTGGGTGGTCATTTCGTTGCTATTAGCGACGAATTAATAAACGTGATATTTACGATTGGACAAATCTTTGTAAGTTGTGGGAACAACATTAATGTAATATTAATGAGTAACACCTACAGTTCTAAGATTTTCAGGCTTAATCTTTTTTGTATGATCAAGAGGTTATAAAATACCTTGCTAGAAAGTTTTTTTGATACGGTTAAGGTCATTTTCTTCACCGAAGGATAAATGATTGATAACATGGGATAAATCAAGAGTGTTGATACGAGCATCTTAGAAGATACGTTGGAGATAATTTCCATAGGCGTGTGAAGAAATGTGGAAATTACCAGGGACCTTATTGACTAACATAAAACCAGAAATTTTGCAACCTTCTCTATCGTTAAAAGCCTTTTTAACACGTTCAAGATCAAGAGAAACGTCACCATGACCATGTCCATGACCGCCGTGTCCGTGATCACCTCCAGTATTTTATTTAATTTTTTCAAGATAAGTTCCGGTGCTAGAAAGACGAGTCTTGACAAGGTCACCTTCAACATTAACGGAGTGGGAACCCATAATATCTTAAACATCAAGAGAAAATATGTCGCATGGGAATTGAGGGAAATCAATATCTAAATTGACACGAATTTTTTGTCCACCTTATGCAACATCAACAAACATCTCACTATTTTCTTCGACAGAGAGATATCCATTGAATTCACTAATGAACAAAATAAGCATAATCAATGTGCTAACTATTGAAACAATAGCTCCAGACAAAGTTGGTTCAGTTAAGTCTGAAGGCAACTTTCTATACATATCAAAACTTTTAAGCTTTGATTGAACACCTCCACCAAACATTTCGCTAGAAGATTAATTATTTATTTTTGTATTTTTAAAAATATCTAAATATTGATAATAATTAAAATTTTAACAATTATTTTAGGATATAACACTATTTTTATTACTTTATTTTTGAAATTACTAATTCAATTAATTATCTTAATAATCAAGTCAAACTCATCGTTGTACATTCAATTGCATTAATCATGCAATATGATCTCTTTATTACTTTCTAAAGACATTCCCACTTAAAAATTTATAGATTTTATATTAAAATAAATTGTCAACATACATTTTATTTATTTTTATTTTAACTTCAGTTTCTTTCTTGCTCATTATTAATTAATTAAAAAATTAATCAATATAGTTATCAAAATATAATCCATCCCTTGTATTTTTCGTTTTATTACGTGGAATTTATTTATTGATTTATTATTTTTCTCCTTAACATGATTTTATTTTTGTTCAAATTAAGCGCATTTAGTGATATTTATTATCTGTCTAAAGTAAATAAATAAATAATTTATTTATTTGTTGCCTCTATGTAAATTTCATAAATAATAATCATTTTTAGCCAAGAATATTCTATCAATTTTAATTATAATTCTCACTAAAAATGGTTTTATAAATTCACTTTAAAATTCTTAAAATAAAAACTACTAAAAATAAATTGTCAACTTTTTTTACTTAAATTGATAAAACCATTTCAAAAAAAAAATAAAAAATTGACTAATTAAAATTGTTTTGTTAATTTTTACTTTAATTTAAAAATAAAAAAGATTAAACTTTTTTAGAATATTTGCATTTTTTTTCAAATAAAACCACAAATTAAATTTAAAAATTTACTTTGAAATTTTAAAATAAGTTAAAAATTTTTAATATAAAAACAAAAAATAAAGTTTAAAGTTTGATGCTTCTAAAAATATTTGTATTTATTTAACAATTATTTTAGTAATAAAATTACAAATATTTAATATTTATTTTAATTTTTAAAATACGAGTTTTAATATTTTATCAGTTAGAAAGTATGATGTAGTGTGAAAGTTGGAGCTTTGAGCTAACTAAAAGATCTATTGATTTTTAGTTATTTCTATCAACTATAAATCTAATACTTTATACTGAAGCTTCAAGTTCAACTTACTCATTTTTTAAATAACTAACTAGATTTTATATTACTTACTATGATTTAATTGAATCCTATAAAGTTTTTTGAGATAGTCTTACGTCTGTGATAATTAAATTATGCCCCTTTTTCCATTCACTATATTCGTATCCAAAAACTATTAAACCAATTATATCTTCTTGTTCTTAATTGTTGTTATTTTACTCTTTTATTAAGACTATTCCTCCTTACTTTATACTTTTGAGAATTGTAGAAATACCATCTGATTTATCAAGATTATCTTTATTGCTTATTGATATTAATTTATTGAAAGAATCAAAAATTTAATTGCATTCACTAGGCTTACCAATACTAAACTTATAAATATCCTAATTTCTTTCGAAGCTAATTTACTCTTTGCTAAAAAAGAAATCAATTTCCACAAAAATTTCATTTGTATCCTTTAGTCCTAACTTATCATAGCATTGCAAAGCACCTTAATTATTTTCGTCAGCATACAATTTGATTTTGTTTTGGCCAGCCCATTTTAATATAAACTCATGCATAACTGTGAAAAACCCTCTTCTCCTAAAAGATTTTTCAGTAAAAACAGAGTTATACCACCATATTTGTTAGTTTGTGTATAAATCTATTTCAGGACATAAGAGAGCAAAAGAAACACTTTACTATACAGGAGTTAATGTTCTTATAATAAAATGAATTCCATATTCAGGATTTTCAAGAATAAACTTAGTTGCAGTTCTTACATTCTCTTCATTCAACTGAACTCCTTCGCTGTCTATTGCTAAATGCTTTTAGAATTCTACAATAGTTTCTACATCTCCATTATGAATTTCTTCGATATAGAACTCTTCATCTTTATTTTTAAAAATAAACTTATCACTCATTTAGTTTTTACTTCTTTTCTATTTTTAAGATATTATCAAAAATCAATTTTGTTCTATTTTTAAAATTTTTAGCTAAAATCTTTCGGGTATTTAATTAGTAATTTCAGAGTCTAATTCTGGAATCTATAGTCGAAGTTACTAGATCTAAAAAGCTAATTTTACACAATATCAAACAACCACTATTAAATTTGTTTCTTATAAATGGATCAGCACTGTTAAGATAAATTATATATTTATTTTAAAAACAGTTAAAGTTTAGCTATTAAAGTTAAAAGCTATGTTTTAGAATAAATTTTAGGATAAAAAATAACATTCTTAATTTAAAAATATAAAATAAATTAAAATTTTATTTTTAGTTTACATTAAGTAATTTATATTTAAAAAATATTTTCTTCCATTAATTAACAATAAATTTTTCCTTAATTTAAAAATTTAAACTATTTCCTTTATTTTATAATTAATTATCTGCTTTTAATTTTTTGAAATAAAATAAAATATTCTTTTAAATCAAAATAATAAATTTAAAAAAAAAAAAAAAACATAATTTTACAATAAAATAACATTTCTTGATATCTTAAACGAACTTCAAATTATTCTTACTCATGAGATTATTATTTTTTTATTTTATTTAAGTAATAAAGTTTTAATTCTTTTAAATTAAAATAATAGATTCTACTATTCATATAGAAATAAAAAATTCTTTGTAAGAGAATAAAACAGTAAAAATTGCTAACAGGACACATACCTACAAGGCAAAAATATTTCCCAATTTAAAAATGTGTCCAGTTTAAGATAGAATTTATAATGATATAAGATAAGTTTGGTACAACAACTTTTTCCAATAATTAATAAGTCCTTGCTTTTACAGGTTTTATAGTACATATATTATTTATATTAAAATAGAATTTTATTTTTTTATATGGAATGAATTCTTTTTAAAATAAAATTACATACTTTGATTTATTTATCTATTTACTCTTTTTTTATTACGAAATAAATATATTTTAATAAAAATAATATTTTATATAATGCTAAGGCAAAACTATTTGAAATTCACATTAGAAATTGAAACTTGTCTTTAAAATAATAGTGTGTTATTATTAAAAATAAATAATATAAATTACAATTGATAAGATTGATAAAAAATTAAAAAATATAACTCAATTATCTTGAGGATTGGTTTAAATGATCTAATTATCAAGGATTTTCATGTGGTATTTTAGCTTATTTCTTGTTTCATTAATTTTTTATAAAGTGTTTTCATCAATTTGTAGGTTTGTATTGCTTTGAACACCTAATGAATTGAAGAACTCACTTCTAGTTTTGAAGTACTTTTAGTATTATTCTTCGATTTCTTTAAGTTTATTATAGTATGTCTTAATTTACTCATTATATTTTTCATTAAATGTGATATTTGCTTCTTTAACATTGTCTAATTCATTTGAAGCTTTAGGGTCTTTTAATTTTTAAGCAATTTCTTAAATTTTTTAATTGATTGACTTATTTTTTTCTTCAATTCTTTTTTTGCTTTCTAACAACTTCTTTTATTTGTTTTCTATGATTTCATAAAATTGGCTTTCTGTTTTTTCCTTTGTATTTTTCAACTCTTCTTTTTTCTTTAATACCTCTTGATATTTAATTTGTATTAACTAAATATTCTATTATAAAACTTCTTCATGCTTGCTTATGTAAGCTGTTACTTACTTTTAAAAGTTATCAAGATCTACTTTATTATCTTAATCAGCAATTTCCTGAAGCTTCACATCATTTTAAGCTAGTTTTTATCCTGATTGGTTATTTTCTTTTGCTTTTTCAGGCTCTACTTATTCTTTAATCATCTTGTGTAAAGTCTCAGATATAAGCTTAGCACTCTTTTAAATTTAAATATAGTTTGACAAGAAGTCTAAAGTTAAGCATTTTAACCTAAAAGGCTATTACTATTGTGAGTGGTGGGAAGGAATAACTGCTAGAAGCATTCTGTCTTTTTCAGATAAGCAATAAAAAGATAAATCTGTTAATTTACATGCATCTAATTTATCCTAGCTATCGATTTGCTGAGAATCAACTAAGACTCTAATTTCACTTCTAGACAATTCTTCATCATTAAATACTTTAGGGTCTGATAAGTTTGTTAAAATCAAATTCTAAATCCACTTAAAGTTAATACAATATATTCTATTCATAAGTTAGAAGCAAACACTGTCAAGTGTTGATGTTTCAATTGCCTTAGAACAGAGTCTAGCACATTAATTTTATTTATATTCATAGATATTCTTTTTAGATTAATTTCCTGTATAGTTGATTAAAGAGCTTAATGGGCATTCAAGATGTGCTTTTTCACCAGATAAAAGACAAAACTAGTAAAAGTCTTGAACAATATGAGTAGGCATGACTGGAAGAGGACTAAAACGTGAAGATACAGTAGAGTAAGTTTTATTACCGATTTGCTTTGTTAAAATAAAGACATGGAGTTAACCCTTTGTTTCCACTTTGTGGAATTTACTATATTTCCTATACATAATTTGATTCTTATTATCTCTAGTAAATCTGTCCATTAACGATTTTGAAAAAACTTAGATGTTAGATTTTGTTCCAAAGCCACTTGATTTAAACTGAGACTGTAAGTTACTGTTATTTTCTAAATTTTCTTAATCATCTTCGTTATTTTATTCTGTAGGAACATATCTTAATTGTATTTAGAAATCATCATTCAGCAAGTCTTGCATGCTGATGCTATTAAAAATAGGAACTTCAAATGAACTGGACTTATCTGTTTGAGTAACTATTTTAGATAATTTGGTAGGTTATTCGCATTCACTTATCAAATCTCTGCTGTCAATTTATTCTACTAAGTCTAAATAAGATTTTAACCTTTTAATTAAATAAAATATTTTTATTTTTTAAAACTCAAAACTCTAATAAACATATTTAAAACTTATATATTATAGAATGAAAGTAGTTTAATTGCTTACACCTATAATTTTTCTTATATTTATTCATGCTGTTCCACCAATTTTAATTCTTGAACAAGATAATCCTTAAGTTCTTCAATTAATTATCTGTTAATTCTCATATCTTTTACTAAAAATGGAGATTGGTAGTAAATTTAACCATCTTCAGTAAGAAAATATACTGACAGAAAATCGAAATCAGAAGGAATTTAGAAATTGGTTTTCGAATAGCTAGTGAAAAAGCTGTTGCCTCCAAATTCGAAATCAACAAACTAAACTTATCCTTTTTCTTAATAATTATACTCTTCGTTTCTACCAAAGCGTGGAAGTTATTAAAGATTAAATTACACCTCCTAGTAAGAAAGACTAGATTGCAGATTATAAACGCAAAAGTACTAATCATCTAAAAGAACAGCCAAATGATGAGGAGATAATTTGTGGAATTTAATGCTTAAAATGCTTGGAGAGTATTTTTATATAAATAATTATACACGGTACATTGTAAAGGCATTTTGATCATCTTTGCTTTGCTTAATAAAATAGGAATTTATAATGTTTTCAATATGGCCAACAAAAATTTATTTTTCAGAATAAATTGCTATTTAGTATTCATCTATATTACTATTTATTATTTAGAGAGATTACTCTCCGATTTTCTTAGACATGCAAAAGACGTTACCAAAGCTTTCGATTGTGTTTTTGGCAGACTATATTTATTAATCTTGTGCATTGAACATGTTGTAACTTTGTAAATTTACAGGTATTCTAGTAGCTAATTTATTTTCGTTATTTTCTAAGAATTGGCCTGCAGTCAAATTAAAAATCCATAAGTATAGTGCAAAGTATTAAACAGAATCGTCATCTTTTTCTATATGATCGTGCATTGAATTTTCTAAAAGCTCCTTCTTTTTACTCTGAATTACCTTTTCATCAAGTGATTCATATTCAAGAACTAAAAAGTAGTCCTTAATAAAAATGCCTGTTTCCTTATTGAGATGCTTCTCTATGCTTTTATTCAATTTGCTAAACTTTTTATCTGACAAGATTTTATTTAGTCTTGATTCTAAAAGGTTATTCTCCATTTAATTCTAGGCTTAAAATAGCAGGTTATGAAAATTCTAAATGTAATTTATTCAATTTGGTTATTTATTTATTTTATTAATGAATTTATTCTTTTTATTTATCTTATTTGCCTTAATAGCTTTCTTTAGAAGACACTAATTTGTATCTTTTTTAAGTAATTCAAAAAGTATGAATTATTAGAATACTAACATTTTTAGAGCTACTAACTAAGTCCTCTAAATTATTTTATGTCTCCTTTAAATAGTAAATTAGCTTAATTTTAAGTTTATAACCATATAAACGACTTAATATCTACTTACAAATTCAGCATGAAAGCAAATCAAACAAATAAACAAAGATAGGTATAGAGATATATATATATATTTTTGATTGATAATTTGATAGCCCATCTATAAATTTCAAAGACTTTAAATTGATTTTTAATTTAAAGTAAATAAAACCATTTTATATTAGAATTTCATTTAAAATTTTAACTTTATTTGAAATATTTTAAATAAATTAAATTATTTTTAAATGAGTAAACAAACAAATAATTAAAAAGACGGATTTATTAACGTTTTAGTTCAAAAAGATTGTGTTTATATCGACCTTTAATTTGAATTGCCAAGATAAATCAAATTCAAAAAAGTAAATAGGCTGAGTATTTATTGTTTTATTAATTGTATAAGCATATTTTACTTATCACTTTCTAATTGATTCTTTTTATAAACAGCATTAAATTTTAATATAAATTCAAATAAGTATCAATAAATAACAAACTACTAAAAAATATTAATTTAGGTTATCAAAAATCAAAATGAGCTAAAGCTCTCGAGGAAAATCTTCTGAAAGGGTTGCAAATACTTCATATCATAGCTCATAGGGTGTTACTAATATCATTGCCAATAACGCTCTTATCAATTATGGAAATGGCAACAGTAGTAGCAATACCTTAAAGGATGCTCGAGAAAGCCAATAAAAGGATTTGATTACAGAAATGAAGAGGCTTAAAAAGAATTTTTAAGAACTTAAAAGCCCTACAATTTAAAAGAAATACTTTGGTGTTACTGGAGGTGTAGGATAATAATAGTAGCATTATCAGTAGCAGTCTTCGTAAGTTTGTATTATAAATGAGAATATTGAATAGGGTAATAATAATAACTAATAGAATAACAACAGTTTTATCTAATAAGACTAATATAATTCTGACCATTTAAAAGTATTCTCTACTTAAAAAGGATATTTTAATGAACCTTAAAGATAAATTTCTTAAACTCGAGTAAAAGCGAATTAATATTAAAGCATAAATCAGTAAAATTCAAGCTTGATTCAACATTCAAAAGGTTAATTAAGTGATTCAAATAGAAATCATTATATCTCACAGGAAGTGGTGGACATTTCAGGTGATTAGGATAACAATTAGAATTATTTAAACTAGTTTGATAAAAGCATTAACTAATCATTCAATCACAATACATCTCTTTATACTAAAACTATAATTAATTAGTAGTAGTAAGGGAGCGAATCGAATAGATCATATAATGGAATTGGAAGCCTGAATAATAGCAGCTTGAATTAGCACGGATACAATGTTTAATAATAATAAAATATACCTAGAGGTTCTCAGAAAGATTATGCAAATTCTCTTTATCAACAACAATAATAGCTATAGTCAAGATAAAATAATTCCCTGAAGCGCATATCAGATAAAATTAACAATATCAAGGATAGGGCAGAAAAGATAGAATAAATTAAACATTTTGAAAAGAAAAATTTACTTTAAAATTAGCAACAGAATGGAGCATTAGTCAACAGCACTTATACATAAGAGTAAAGAGATTCTAAAGAAATTTAAACAGAAGATATCTCAAACATATTTATAGAGAAAAGCATAAATGATGAAAATATTAAGGAAATAGAAAGACTTAGAGGATTGCTTAAAATTTTGGAGCAAGAGCTAGACTCTAAGGAAAAATGCTTTAGAGAATAAGAAAAATAGCTACAATCTTAAATAGATGAGAAACAAAGCAAAATATAGGATTAAAGTGATCAGATTGAAAAGGTGCTTGATGATTTGAATCGCTTATAGAAGGAAAATATTAAAGTAAATAATGCATTAAAGTAAGCTTAAGAGAATTTAGCGTTAAATGGTAAGAATCAAAATAACACCTCTTCACAACACTTACTTCCTTCTGAATTCAAAACTAAATGGGAAAGTTTGGTAACTGATGGAGTGGCAAATACATTTATTAATTTTTTTGAAAACCCTCTAATCCTCACCAACTTGCTTTAAGATTTATTCATAATTATACACGAAATTTCTAAAAATCACATCAAAGAAACAAACTCAAAAGTGATGGATTTGCTTTAACTTGATAAAAAGCATGCAAAAGCATATGAACAAAATCTTTCTAAACTCTATTAAGATTATAATAATGATATTTTTAAAGTAGTTGCTGATATTGAGCATCCAAAAGTTGCTGCTATTGTCTAAAAATTTAAGCAACAAGCTGATAAAATTGTTACTCATTAGTACTTTTCAGAGTTTCAGAATATGAAATCTGATTATATTGATGAGGAAGAGGAAGAGTTAGACCAGGATAAATCCTCTGGTTCAGCTAAGAAAACTTATAAAAAAATAAGTATTTTTAGAGATACCATATTTTTTGAATAAAACTAAGAAGATTTCAAGCAATATTTATAAGAACTTTATGAGTCTAACGAGTTGTTAGAATTCATAGAATAATTTTATCGTTTGTCTATACACATGCATTTGCATGATCCTCCACTTAATTTGCCAATTCAAAACTTTAAAAACAGAGTTTTCGAATACATTCCATATAAAAAAAATAATTATTATTTAATAGACGGCTTTGTATAGCAAAATGCTCCAGCTTTAACAGTCATACCTTCAGTATTAAGGAATAATCAAATATACACGGGAATAAAACCATCTGTTATTTTGCTTACTGAAGATTTTATGAATGAAAGAATTCAATAAAAGATTGATATAATTATACAAAATGAATAAAATTAATATAACAGCAATAATGCTTGCACTTCAAAATCTAATTAATCTGGAGATAAAACTGAAAATTCTAAAACAGATTCGTAAACGAAAAGTAAAGATGATAATCTTGCTTTAAAGTAAGAGAGCCCAAAGTAAATATTAGCTATTGTTAAAGATGACAAAGATATTTAAAACAAAAATGTTGAAATGATTGAAAATAAGAATAAAGAAATTAATAATTCAACAGACAATAGCAAGAATAATTCTGAATTAATTTAAGAAAAATAGTAGCTTCAGAATTATTAAAGAAAAGAAAACTTTAACTCATCAAAATAAAACGAAGAAGAAAGTAGCACAGATAATTACTTAAAAGCTTCATTTGAGAAAAAGAAAACTGATCAACTTGTCAACAGCTACAGCTCTTCATCTAAAGATAATAAAGAAAACTAAGAATAATATATAAACTAGGCTTAAATAAAGATAAAATCTCCTAGTACATAATGTATGAACAATCTAAAAAATATTTCTCAAGTTTCATAAAAATTTGATTCAAGCTCAAAGTAAAATTTTGTTTTTATTTCTTTTTAAGCTATAAGTGCTTTTTATTAAAAATTTATTTATTAATTCTAGAAAATCTGGATATCTAAATTTCGGCTACATTTCAACATCTCCAAAATAAGACCTGTAAATTTAATTTTTAAAATATTGTTTTTTTACTCCTTTTATTTTAATTTGTATAAACATAAATTTATTTTATAATAATAGCCTAAACTTAATCAGTCCAAAAGGTTCTTCTTCCAAAAAAATAAAGATTGAAAACTTAGATTCAATTTAAAATATCCATAAGAATAGCTCAAAACTGCAAGAGGCTTTATCAAATTCTTCTAAAAAAAGTATAGTTTACTTGTTTTTAACTTTTATTTGATGAAAGATTATTTTATTAAATAGAATTAAATTTCGACTCTTTCCATTCTGATAAGAAATTGGGGTTAAATTCAAATAAATCTGGAATCGGCAGTCCTATCATAGAAAATTGCAAAGATGAAATTGTCAAAAACCTATTTTTGACTTCTCGTCACCACTATTCTAGCAACACAAAATAAAGAGATGACTCTTAAAATTCCAATATAAATTTTTCTATCAAAAGTGGATGGTAAATGCTTCAGCAAAGCCAAAATTAATAAGATACAGAGAAAAGATCTATTTTTGATGACCTAACTAATTAGACGATATTCTAAAACAACATATCAGGATAAATATCAAAGCAACAGCCTTAGAAATTTATAAATAGACTTGATAATAGTAACTTTTTGAAGAAAGGTTCTTTTACTAGTAAAAATAAAAGTTCTATAAGTTCTCATATGAATAATACCTATTTAAATAGTATGATTCATAAATAAACTTAAGATTCTGTATAATTGCTCCGTACGTTATAAGCTGATTGCAAAAAGAATCATATTGTAAGTAAGGAAGATTAGTAAGACAGTGAAGAAGTTGAAAATTAGTGTTAATAAAATGATGAAAAAAATACATATAATTCTAAGTCTAAAAACCTTTCGATTATCAAGAAATCGCACAGAGAATCGAATTCCCCAATTTCCAATAAAAATAATAAGAACTCAAATGATTCTAAGCTAAATTTCAGCAATGCAGCTATTAATAATGATTAGGAAAGAAGTAGAATACATTCAAATAATCAATCTTCTTAAAAAATACGTAAACACAATAAGTCAGAAGAGGAAAATAGAATTATTAACTAAAACACTATTTTCAACAAGCATTTCAAAAAAAATTCTGTTTAAAATGAACCTTCAAAGAATTAAAATTTATAATAATAACCATAATAAGCATCTTCTATGAGTTCCAAACCCTACACATTCAATACATTCCTTGAAAACCATAGAAAAAATTTGCAAAAGAATGAAAAAGAATAATCTGTAAATTATCAATAGGACAGCAGTCCAAGGGAGAGGATACAAAGTAAAGGATTAAATATTTCATTTAAAGAGTAGTAAAATAAATAAATGGTTAATTCATCAAGATTATACAAAAAAGATAGCTTTGAATTTAAATCTAACAACAGCAATTAACATTCATTCTCAAGATAAAATCAAGAGCCAAAGTAGAGCGAGAAAAATAAATTTAGTGGTAATGATTTTTATTCTAACTTAAGAAAGTAAATTAATAATCAACAACATTTAGGAGGTATATAAAATGAAAGCTACGAATAATAATCAAAAGAAAATAGCAAAATACCATTAAAGAGTTCAAGGGACATTTCTCCTTCTTAAATTTAATTAAATTGTAGTAAAACTGATAGATTACTAAAGTACTCAGATCAAAATTAAATACCTTATGATACTTCTTCCCACTAACAATTACAAAAGTCATCAAATAGCAGGACAGTAACTATGAAAAGAGCTCTATAAAATATTATCAATAGTTTCTCTAGTGATGATAACGAAGACTAAAATATATAAATGCAAGCCTAAAAGAAACTAAGAGATAGTGATGACACATAAGACGATTCTTTGATCGAAGAGCTTAACTTGTAAAAAAGTGATAATAATTTAAATAGATAAATAAGTGGCTTAAATAAAAACACTATAAAAGGAGAGAGTAATGAGAATAGACCTTTTTCTCATTAATCAGGTTTACATATTTAACCACAGCATAAAAAGAATAAGACATTTGAAAAATTATACAATGATTTAAAATAAAAAAAGCCTTTCTTGCAAAATGCTGTTAAGCCAAGCAAGGAATTATTATATAAAATATGACATAATTTCATCTATTAACATTTATTTATTTTAAATTGGAATTAATTTTTAACTAATTATTTTTGTTTCCTAATTATTTTAAATATTTCTATGTTAAAATAAAAAAAAGTATTCAAAATTCATTTTTTGAAAATAATTTATTTTTGATAGTTAAAGGATTTTAATCATTTTTTATTATGGAGAATTTTAATTTGAATCATTTCTTCAAATTATTAAAATTTTATTTTTACTTGTTTGATATTAATTTTGCAATATCTCATTTAAAATTATTTGCCAATTTGACTTTTATTTATTATTTTTACTTATTATTTTTTAATTTAATATCTGTTGATTTTATTTAAAAAAGTGATTTATGGCAAAATAAATTTATCAAAATTAAACTTTAAAAACAAATTTTAAAAATGTTGATATTAATTAGTGAGGAGAAAAATAAAAAAAATTCAAATTATTATTATTATCTTGTTGTTTTGAATAATAATTAAAAACAAGATATTTCAGAATATACTATTTTTGAAAACTGAGTAATAAAGAAATTTCTATTTTATATTTTTATATAAAAAACTTCTTACTTCTAAATTATTTTTAAAATTTTTAAATGATTATTGACGAAGAAATATTTATTCTAGCATATTTTTCAATTATTTTGTAAAATGTGAGATAAAAAATAATTATTATAAAATTGTTTAAATTTGAAAATGAAATTTGAAATTTTTTACCATTTATTTAGTTTATAAAAGATTATAAAAATTGGCTCTAAAATTTGGTTAATTCAAAAAATAAAAATTTTGAAATATCTTTGAATAAAAATTAATACATAAATAAATACAAATAAATTATGAGCAGAAAAGTAAAATAGAATACAGATACAGACATTTAGAAGCCTTAAGCTCCAAAATCTGCCTTCTTTCACTTCTTAGAAGAAGTAAGTGTGAAGATTAAGCAAAAAGATCCTAAAAGCAAATAGAGTACTATTGCAAAAAAAGCAAAAGAGATGTTTGAAAAACTGACTGATGAAGAAATGTAAAAATATTAGTTGCTAGAAGATAAGGAACTTGAGAAATATAAGAAAGATTATGCAGAGTATAAAAAGAAAAATAAAGAAGATGTTTAAGAGCTACCAAATAAAACCAGAAAAGCTAAAGAAAGCAAAAATGAAAAAAGTAAAAGTAAAAGCAAATCTGAAGATAATTCTACTTCTGATAAACAAGATAAAGAACCTGCTAAAAATGAAAAGGAGCCTGCTAAAAAGACTATCAAAAAATAACCTGCTAAATAGAGTAGCAATCTTACTTTTACAGTTAGATATTGCTAAGGGTGAGGTTTCAGAAAATCTTACAGCTTAGCTAGCAAGGCTATCTCAGATAGATTCCCAAGTGCCTAAGTTGTAGGAGTTCCTCTTAAAGACAAATAAGGTAGGCTAGAAGTAGTCTACTAGAAGTAAGGAGAAAAAGAAGAAATAGAAATATGGAATAACAAAAAAGACATGAAACTAAAGATCACAACCAAAACTATCGATTTATTTGAAAAGGTTCTGGATGAAATTAAAGAATGAAAAATCTTAAAAAAGATTTCAGTATAATTCTTGATTTTAATAAAAATGGTTAAAAAAGCTTGATTTAATGCTTATTAAAAGATAAATGATTAATATTTGAGTAAATTCTAACGAAGCTTAATATTATGAATAAAATAACTTTAATAAGCAATACTCTAACTTTTAAGCTGTTTTTATATTATAAAGCTTATTTTTTTTGTATTATATTAACAAATAAGTTAATTAATTTATTATTTTTATTTTTCAAAAAAATTGATTGGAATGAATAAATATTAAACAATAATATTATTCTTTCAATATTGATATAATTATTTTTTACCAAAATTAAATCTTTAAAAATATTTTTACTATTTATCAAAATTTTTAGTGTAAATATTAGTAGACCAATCAAATAAAATAAAATAGAATAAATTACTTGATATAAAAATTTATTGAGAAATATTTGTAGATTTACTTATATTTTTCTAAAAAAGTCTTTGTTTTAAATAAAAAATAAATGAAATGAAATACAAATAGATTATTATGATACAAGTATACAATAATATTGAAATAGCAGTAAGTTAAAAAGTTTGAAATTAAAAATGTTAAAAATAAAATTGAATAAATTAACCACATTATACTAGATTTCTTTAATTTTGAAATGAAAATATTTTAAAAATAAAAAATGAGGACATTTATCTATATTTATTTAAGTCTTAGTATATCTCTATTGAAATAGAATATTCTAGTAAAACTCCTATTAAGCATATATCTATATCAATACTTAGCCAAAGTGGTTAAAGAGAATTAAATTTAGTAGAAAATACAAGAAATCATCTAAATGAAGGCTGAAATTAAAGGAATATATAAAGTATTTTATCCTTGCGAAAATTAGAGTAAGCGAAAAACTAAAAAAATGACGTATTGAAAATATTTAGTCATACAATTACTGATTACAAAATAATTAAAAAGAGGTAGTTTGTTTGATTAGTAATTAAAAAGATAATTTCTCATAAAATGAACTACTAAGGCAATATTAATTAAATATTAATTTACTTTCAGAAAGTAATGAGCTTCAATATTTATCTATAATATGTGTCTTTTTTAAAGTTTCTATCTGAAATTGCAATTATTCCTGATAAACATTATTAAAACAAAAAAAAGTGAAAATATTGAATTTTAAAGAAAGGCAGCTTGATCTTAAAGTAGCAGCCTCTGATTTTGATAAAAAAACAGAATATATAAAAAACACGAACAATAATAAATATCCTTTTAAAAATGATAAACATATACAAAAACTGTCTTAATAAGTATCCTTACCTCACAAGGATGTTTACTTCAGGTAACTTTATTTTTTATAAAAAAAATTGATATTTTCATATTTTTTTAATACATAGTATTTCTTTTGTACTAATGAAATTGATAAATTTTATTTATTTCAAATAAAATAATCTTTTTGAAATATTTTAGGACTAATTTTGTCAGCTGCTGACTTTACCTACTAAACTTTCTTTGAAAAGAGAGAAACTTACGATTTCAAAAGAATTGGGATAAACTATACAGTTGGATTTATAGCAGCTCCTTGGCTTTTTGTGTGGTTTAATAAAATATAACCATAGACTTTGAAGTTCTTACTTGGTAAACCACTAAATACTCCTATATATGATAAAATGACTAAAAAGATAAGTTATGATAGACTATTTGCAAAAATGCTATTAGACTACTTTATTTGTTTCCCAGTCATGCAATTAATTTACCATGTTAATTTTAACATACTTTACAATAACAACTTAGAATCTATATATAATGCTTTCGAAACAAAAGTTACCTTCTCCTTATAAAATTACCACCAGGCATGGCCAGTAGCTTCTTGCCTAATTCATCTTTTCGTTCCAGCCTACCTCAAAGCAATATGCGTATAATTTTTTTAACACTTTAATTTAAAACCCTAAATCATTTCGCGATTGCGAGCTTTCATTTATTTTCGAAAAAACTTATAATTTTTAACTAAATAAATAAAAGGCAAATATTTCTGGAACAACTTGGAACAATTATGTTAACTATCTTTTTTCTTCTAAATGAAAATTCAATATTTAACTCCTTGATAATACTATTATAAATAATTACTTTCTCCTCTATATTAAATATTTATTTACCCAGTGTATTGCCATGTACATATATTTTAGTATATATATAATTCTTAATTCGAATAGAATAATCAATTAAATTCTCCAGTTTTCTATTTTATTTTTTTTTACTGTTTCACTCTTACTTTATTTATTTCTTAGCTGATATAGATAAGCATAAATTATATATTAGATTGGTATTAATTAAATTAATTCCTTAATTAAAAATACCATAAATTTTCTTCTTATTTCAGGAAATTAAATCTTATTTTAAACTATTTCAAATGTGTAATTGTTCAATTTTTTCACAATACTCTTCAACAAATAGTAATCTGTTTTAAATTATATAAAAAAAAATTTCAATATTATTATTCTTTATTTTAATCAATATTTTATTTCAATCTAATAAAAAATATTAAAGTTTGTTTTATTTTAGTTAAAATGCAATAATTTTAATTTAAAACAATTTTGTGATAATACTTTATGTCTCTTATTCTTTATTAAATGAAATTTATTTCTTTAAAACTACTTATTTATTATTAAGATTAAAAATGAATTTTTACTCTCGATGTCTCTAATAAAGAAGGTAATTCTACTAAAGGACAAAGAATTTCTTAAAATTATGGAAATAAACATAGCTAAAAATATAATCAAACGTTTTGCAAAACTACTAAAAGCAACCTTCAAAATATTTAACAACTAAAATTATTTAAATAGAGATAGATGCTGAGTAAGATGTATCAATAGAAATAGATAGAGATGGGTAAAAAATGATTTTTATATCTGATTATAATTATATTTTACTCTTAAATTTGTTTATTTATTTAATTTTTGTTTTTATTTGTGATTCGCAAAAGATTTTTTTATCTAAAAGGTTTTATTTATTTTATTTTATTTTTTTGACTTTAAGTAAAATGTTAAAAATTATTTTAAAACAAAATAAAACCTATAAAATATAAAATTAATTTTAAATACATCTTTAACGATAATATATTTTAAACATGTTTATAAATTTTAGTAGTCTGTTAATAAATTAAAGTAGAATCGTTATCTTAATTCATAAAAAGTAGATCAAATTATATTGGCGTTATCTATTTTTTAATTTCTAGCTCTTATCATAAATGGGTTCTGGAAATAACAAATTGAAAAATAAATCATAAGAAAAAACATTAACATCATAAAATAATTAAAAATCTAATGGATCAGGATCAATTGAAAATGTTTTCTTAGGGGTGAATCCAGGAAAGCATTACAATGACATAATAAAAAATTTAAGAGTTTAAAATTAAATTAATAGTAACTCGAATATTATGAACAATTTATAGGCTTAGAATTCTTTAAGCGATGCTGATCAAGGAGAATCTAATTTATTTAAGCAGTAGAGAAATATAGAAGAAATAATTTAAATATTGAACAGCGGTAAGCTAGAGTATTTTATTCATTTATTAGAAAATAAAGATCTGGATTTAAATGATTCATTAGATGACAATTAAAATAGTGTAATTCATTTGATTTGTAAATATAACAAGCATAGGCTGCTTAAATACTTGATATTTTATATATCTGAGGTTTCTTATAATTTATTAAGCTAGATTATTTTTCATTCTAAGAATAAAAATGAATAAACAGTATTAGATATTTGTATATAATGTAACTCAATAGATTGCTTAAAGATACTATTTAAAGTAGGAGGATTCTCACTAGATAATAAATATAAAAAATATATTTGCTTAGCTTTGTCATATGACTCTCAAAATTCACATTAGTATTTATTAGAAAAAACAAGAAATGGGATGATTCTAGATTTTAGCTAAATAAATTACTAATATATTAATAGATTTACGATAGATTATTTTAAAGAATTCCTTCTCTTCTAAAGCCATAATATTTCATATAAAGAAATAGATACTTCTTTATTTATTACTTACAAATTTATTGACCCTACTTTTTTACATATCCCATAAAATATTTATGGTGCTAATTTTAATTAAAATTAGCATAAAGAAAAATAAGTTGTATGGCTGCAGCCTGAAGATATTTCCAGATATAACTAAAGTGAAAGCTATTGTTCTTTTAATGACAAAAATAAATTTGTTCTTTTTGAATAAATATCACCATCTAACATTATATAAGTATGTTTTGTTTTTTTTTAAATAAACATTGTTTTTATTTAATGGAGTATTTTTAATATAATTATAAGAGTTATATTAAATTTAATACACCAAAATTTTATTATAAAAAAATGATATTTTATGATTTATTAAAAATATCAGGGTGAATCTATGAATTGTTATTTTTTGGCAGTGCTTTAATCTCTTTGTCTGAATCCACAGTTAATTAAGTCAATATTCGACTTGCAGTAATCAAAACCAGAGATCGGATTGTATTGTTGCAAATTTTATTCTAATGGATATGCTGAGAATGTTATAATTGACGAATATCTTCCTTGCCATAATCATAATAAGAAATTAATTTACTCCAAGTTCTATAAAAACTCTATATGGGTTGCTTTACTAGAAAAAGCATGGGCAAAAATGAATGGAAGCTACTTTGATGCTGAGCAGCTTCTCATAGAAGATGCCATGGAAAATATTTTTCCTTATCCAACGGAAGGATTTTGGATAAAAGACTTTACAAAATAAGATTTACTAAATATCTTGCAGAAGAGTATAAAGAATAATTATATAATAGTAGTTACAACAAAAGTAGATTTGAAAGATGAAAATATTAGCTTAATTTAAAATCATGCTTATTCTTTTCTCTCTCTTTATATCTATAGTAATTTTTTAAATTTGTAATGAATGGATTTATATATTTTCATTTTATTTTTATTTAAAAGAAGGACAAACTATTATAAAACTAAAGAATCCTTGGGGTAAAAATGAGTGGTAAGGAAAATTATAGAAATCAAATACTCAAAAGGTAAAAGAATTAAAATAGGCTTTAGGTAAAGAATAAATTATAATAAATAAAATTAATTATTTTTGTTAATAAAAAGGAAATTATTTTGATGATGAGAAAGATGGTATATTGAACATGACACTTAAGGAATTTCAATAATATTTTGCTTATGTCTGTATTCAATATTTTGAGGCTGGTTATTAATATTCTTCGATAAAAATATAGCTAATGAATAGAAAAGCAAAATATTATAAATTTAAATTGAATTTTAAAACGAAATTATGTTTAAGATTGATACAAACTACTAAAAAAGATTTATCTTGTTAAAAAATTGAATTTAGACTATTTAAAATATCTAATAATGAAGTATCCTAAGTATTTTATAATGGTTAAGACTGTTGGGAATCTAATAGGGTTACTTACGTTCAATCTAAATCTTCTTTTGTTGATTTAGATAAAGGAGAGTAAGCTTTTTACAAAATTTCTATTTAAAATAATTAAATAATTTTTCAAGGTATGTAATTAAAGTAAAAATATATAAAGACGAAAAAATTAAAGATGGGCTTGAAGAAGTAGTACTGTCAAGCTATTCTTCAGTAAACTTAAAGCTTGGTAATTATTATATTAAATTATTTTAATTTTAATTATTTTTTTTAAAGAGTTACTAAATAGAATTCAAGGTAAAGAAATCAATAATAATTTCCTGAAAGATTTTTTCAATAATATAAAACCTATTTAAGTTAGCAGCTATGGTGTTATTTAAGAAGGATGGGATAAATATTATAGATATTTATTAAAAATATAAAATAAAGGGAAGTAATCAATAACTTACTTGAGTAACATATTGTTAAAATCTAATTTAATGATTTCTAATCCAGAAATTTAAATAATAAACAAAACATCATTTAAAGTAGAGTTGCAGCCAAGCTAAATAAAATTGATTAAATTTAAAATAAAAAAACCTATCAAAAAAGCAAAAATTTTAATAAATCACTAATTTTAGTGAAAAATATAGAAAATTATCATATAAAGTTATTAAAAGATTTTATCAAAAATTAAAAAATTTGGTAAAAAAGTAGAAAGTTTTATAAAATTTCATTAAAAATTAAAATTAATATTTTTATTTAAAATGTTTGCTTGTTTAATTTGTATTTTGACTATTAAATCCTTTTTACTTTTTAAACTTATACAATTAAGCATATTCACAATGTTATTTTTTTGTTCTATATTTAATGTATTAAATGCTTAATAAAAATGTTTAATATATTATAAAAATACTAATTTTTAAATATAAATTGCTGATACCATTATAAATAAATAAATAACAGCTAGCAGATTTCTATTTAGTTGGTTATACTTTTTGATAATCAATATTTATTATTATTAATTAATTAATTCTTTATTAAAACGCAAAAAAAAATTTATATAATATTTATCCATCAAAATTATTATTCTAAAAGTAGTCTAACATTTATATGAGTAAAGGTACGTTTAAAATAACTGTTAAAACTGCGAATCTTACAAAACTCAAAGAAGAAGCTAACAAAATAGTAAGTCATATAATTTTCTTTAAGAATAATATCCAATAATTATATTTGAGCTTTAAAATATTTTAAACTTAACAATAGTAACCGTTTGCTTAAATAGTTTTTGGAGAATAAGTCTAAAATACAAAAGTATATGAAGGGGGAGGCTTAAACCCTACATGGAATGAAACTTTTGTTTTTAAAAAAAAAGATGAATATAGACTTGGTATTTACGTATTGAAAAGCGATACGGGAAGCAAAGATGATTTGATAGGTATGCAAGAAGTAGGAATCAATTCATTTATTAAAAAGAAAAGTGTAGTTGATCATCCAGTAGAATTGATGAGCGAAGGAGCTATAATTGGTGAAATATTACTAAATATTGAGTTTATCTAAGAAGCTGGACCTGCTCAGTCGTGGTTAAACACTAATAAGAAAAAAAAGCAATTTAATGTGCATAAAATTTTAATCACAAAAATAAAAGCAAATTTGGAATTTGAGAGTGGTAACTCACCTTCTCTTGCTGATATAAATAACTTGGTAATAAATTATAATTCAAATAAATAAAACCAACTTTCATAATATTCACATTAATGAAAAGATGATAATAATAATAATTTATTCATGTCTTTTAAATATTTATTAGAGCCCAATTTTAAAAATAACTATGGGAAAAAAAACTTGGAGAACAAATCCTTCTATATCATCTGGAAAGAATCTTAAGTGGCCAGAGACTTTTAATTTAGTGATAGAAACCGAATAAGAACTCTCTTTAGAAATAGTTGATGGTGAATAAATTGAAGAAAAAATTGGATCTGCTATCTTAAAATTTAAATAAATTCCCTAAGGATCTACATCTAATAAAATCCCACTCATTTTAGATGGGTAAACAGTTGGAAATCTATATTTTTAAAGCGAATATTAACTACCTGAGGCTCCTCCTACCATTAGCTTAGATGACTCTCTTGCAGTAAATTATAATTTAGATCCACTAAAAAGCTAAATGCTTATAATTTTTTTAGAGTATAGGAAGATTAGCCAGTCCATATATATTTAGACCAGCAAAACTTATTGTTTCTACTATTAGGGTTTATTTAGAAAAAAATCTATAAGTTTAAGATCCTTAAGTTCTGATTCTTTGGGGAAGTTAGATAGAAAAATCGTCTGTATTGACAGATTAAACAACCTCAAAGCCTGAATGGAAAGAGCTAATTGTGTTTAACTAAAGTTCTTTCGATAATAAGATTGAAGTTAAGCTTCTCGATAAAAACATTAAATCAGAAGATGATTTTATAGGGTATGGGTATCTAATACTCGAATCCTCTGTTTCAGAAGGTGGTAAGTTCAGGTCTTAAAAAATAGAGCTTTACAATTATAATGTCTTACAAGGCTAAATGTATATAGACTTTGAATTTAAGTAATTTATTTATTCTTTATTAAAATGTATTTACATTTTTTATTTACTTTTTAATAAAAAGATTAGAAAATTAAGGTAAAGATTCCTCTAAAAATGATCCATTGGATGTTAAAAAGAAGACTAAACCAACAGAGGAGGAAATAAAAAAAAGAGAAATACTTTAAAAAAGAAGAGATCTTATGAAGTAAAGTGTGATGTCTAATGAAAGAAACAAAAGCTTTTTACCTTAATTAGACGATAATAGCAATATATTTAGAATAAAAACTCCTGCAATTAGACACTCCCCTTCACCCCCAAAACCCCCTCAAGCAATAAAAGTTGCTCACTCAATATCTTTACCAAAAATAAACTATAAAATTAATGTTTATGAGTACAATAAACTCTATAAAGATTCTGTATTTGGTTTGGGAATGTCAAATGTTCACAGTGCTTAATCCTTAAGGCATAGTATTCCCTCTTTCTCTATAAGTTAGGCACCAAGGTTTCCAGAAAAGAAGTATGATGGGTTTGATTCATTCAGTTATAATGCTCCTTCTAACTTTAATGGGAAATATTTTGATAATGGTAAATTTACCAAACAAAAATTATTTACTCCAGATTCGAGATATCAAATTTTCCATAAGTCTCCTACTCAAAAACCAGGTGTCTCATTTGGTTTAGGATAAAGATTTTAAACTAAAGTAGATAACTCACCTGGTTATTATTAAGGTCCTTAGCTTCTTAATTATAATTGATTAATAAAATGTGAAAATAATAAATCACATTTTGATTAAAAAGCTTCTTAAATTATAAGTGTTGTTTTAAAAAGCAAAATAATATTAAAAACAAACTGCATTCACCCTAAGTATTTTTATCTTTCCTCTTTATAATTTTTTATAAAAGTAAAGTTGAATAAAAATATTTGTTGATTATGAATTAAACATAAATAAATTAATAAAAACAAACTTTGATTAAATTAATTTTATTTCAATTAATCTATTTTTGAAAATTAAACTATTATCAAATGCTTTTATTCAATTTAAAATTTTATATTAAATAAAATGAATTAAATTCTTATTACATTAGATAAACCATAAATAAATCCTTCTATCTAAAATATTAAATTCATTTTTTAGAGTACAAAAAATGGGTAATAATTTTATTAAATTAAATTTCTTTAACTTTTTATCTTTTTTATTGTGATTTTTTTATTAAGAAATTCAAATAAAATATAAACTTCAATGTTATTTTGTGATTTAAATTATTAATTTAAGAAAAGAAAAATTAAATAAAATATTTGAAATCATTTTTTATTTTGAACATTTAGTATTCTTTGAGTTTTCATTAATTTGAAAATATATTTATATATATAAGTTAGTGGGTTTAAAAGAAGATGATATAATAATTTAAAAATATAAAAATTATCTTACATTTTTCAAAAGTAATGAGAATAATTTTATAAAATTTTATTTTCAATTTAACAATTAGCTAGATTAAACTTTCTTAAATCTAGTTAAAATAAATAAGACTTTTTCATATTTTTATTTATCAAAATATATCTATCTATCTATCAAATAATATGTATATACTATTTTCATTATATATTATATACAAAAATGTTAACTTAAACTAAGTTAGTATTCAGATCAATTTTTTAAGAAAGAAAAACTTACTGCAATCAATATGAATTACATACATCAGGCATAATTAAGGCTTAATTTATTTGCATATTAAATTGTTTAGATTTTTAGTTTAAATTTGCAGGTTTTTCTTAATACTTGAAATCTGCTTTGTTTGGAAAGTTTATTTCTAATTTTATAGAATATTAATCATTTTTGATATATTTCATCAACATTGATTGATTGATAGCACAATAAGTTTTAGCTTTTTATCAAAATAACTCCCTCATATATATTTGAAACCTATAATTTAAACCTTTTTAATTAACATTTTCAATATCTGAGAAGAGGTCTAGTGTTGTTGTTGGTAGAAGTATTGTACCAAGGTTACCACTCAATAGCAGGCTTGAAGTAATGTCTTAACTTTTCATCTCTCTTTCTTGATAATCTTTCAAACTTGCTAGATCTGAAGTAGAATCTCTCAATACGATCTTTGGGATGATAAACAACATCGTAGATAACAGTAGAGAAACCCAAACCGAAAACAAAATAGACAACGAAAGCAGGGGTTGTCTTTAAAATAGTCTTCAAAGGAGTAGGATATGCAGTGTTAACCATTCTAATTAATTACAAATTTTATTTCTTTTTATTATATATTTGATTTTTTATGATTATTTGCAAAGCAACACTTATATATTTGATTCTTTTAATGATTCAGAGAAAATAAACAAATACTTTTTCTCTCTTTATCTCTTTTCCCACTCTTTATTGATTAGGAACAGCTACAAGCACAATCACTATGGGCATAAAATCTATATTTCCATTTAATCAAAAATTTCATAAATATAAAAAATGATTAAAAATTTAATGATAAAATTAAAATATTTTATAATTATAAATTTTTTGATATTTAAGTTAAAAATTGATTATTAGTTTTATTTAATTTTCAGTTTATTTTTGATTTCTATATTGATATTATTATAATCAGACAAATCTTATTTAATTATCTCTTTTTATAGTTGTAAAATTGATATGATTTTCTCATTAGATATTAAAATAATGATTTTATTTAATTGAAAATTACATTTAAATTTTATAAAATTTATGAATTCTGACAATAAATATTTATATAAATCATTTTTATTAAATATTATATATTGCTATTTAAATAATAAATAATTAAAAAATAAAACATTCTTTGCCTAATTGTAGAATTTATTAGCAAGATTGATAAATACCTTCAAAAAAATTAGCAAATAAACAATGCAATCAGTGAAGAATTTAAATTAATCAAATCCTTACATTTAAAAAGCGACTGGAAATAACAAGTCGTCTACTATTTTACCTGCTTTAGAGTAGTCTACTCGAATAACTAACTCTCATAGTATCAAAGGAATAGAGAGTAACTTGACATTAAAAAAATTCATTATTATGAGATATATTTATTTATTTATGAACTAGTCTTTATAATCGTTTTCAAATAAATTAAAAAGATAAATTAAAATATTTTTTTTTAAACTTTAAATAGAAAGAATTCCTAAAAGTGTGCTACATGAATTATAAAATACATAAAATATGACATCACTATCATATTAAGATAGTAATTTTTTCATCACATAGTTTGGTGATAATAGATAAAAAGGGTCTATGCGTAAAACAGTATCTTAAATAGAATCAATTAAAGTATAAAAACCTAAATAAAAAATTGAAGTGATTATGGGCGAAGTAATTTACTTAAAATATTTTTATAGAAGTATAGTATTCACAAAAGAAAAACATTTTTTAGTAACAATTTTTACTATTATTTAAAAAGCTTGGGCAAGCTATTAAAAGGTTAAAAAATTTAAAGTAAGTATAGCCACCAAAGAATAAAATAAAAAGCAGTGAAAGTTCTCTGGATGAGAAGGAAAAGGCAGATGATTTGTTTATGAGTTAAATTGAAAAGACTCTTTAAGATAGAAAAAACTAAAATTCAATAGATACTTATGATTTAAAGAGTAATAAATAAACAATCAAATAACTATCAATCTTTATATTATATCCTTCTATGCAAGTTATATTTTAATATTTTTATATAAATAGGTTAGAGTATGAGCAGGATTTTTTTCAAAAACAGGGCTTAATAAGTTGATGTCATGCAAGAAAATCTGACTGATGGGCTCAACAAATTTAATAAAGTCATGGAAAACGTTAAAGAAAGAGAGAAGAAACTCTTTGATTTGTAAACTCAGCTAAATAAAATTCTAAATGAAGAGGACAGAGTTAAATTCATGAAAGGTTAGGATTCTGGAAGTGCAGGATAGTTGTAGCAAGAAATAGATTATTTTTAAGATAAAATGAATGAGCTACAAATGGAGAGAAACATCCTTAAAAATATGAAGAGTGTAAGAAAGAAAGACTTAGAGGTTATTATGGTTCCATATTATAAAGACAGGGATGTTTTGGCTGACTTAAATTAATTCTTGGAGAAAGAAACTGAGAATTTGGTCAACGATGCTAAATAAATAGATTAAATTCGTGTATTTTATTGCTTATTAATTACATTTTTTAGCTCTTTAAAATGAATTAAATTCCAATTATCTCAAAAATAGACTTGCCTTATTGATCAAGAGCAGTTCAAAAAGCAATTAGAAGTAAAGTCTACCATTCTATTAAGGGATTAAGAGATTCACAAGAAAAATGAGGAAAATCTGGAGAAAGTTATTGAACAAGAAATAGAGTATTCTAAATTTTAGTAAGAATTGAAAATTTAAGAACGTAAAGAAAGGGAAAAGTAGTTGTAAGAACAAAGAAAAAAAGTATACCTAGAGCAGTAAGAGTATAGAGCAAAGCTGGATAATTTGAAGATTCAATTTCAACAAATAGCTTCAAATCTACCTGCTCTAGAGAATCCTAAAGATGTAATACTTAACTTCGAAGAAATAAAGTAAATAATAATTATAATTTGATTAATTGATTGGCAGATAAAAAAATATATGAATAACAAATAAATTAAACTTTTCATACTTTAACTTCTCAAACTTCTCATATTCCTTATTTTATTAATAGAAAATTATATTTTTTAATTTTCAAGAGTTTTAAATTAAGGCTTGAAATTTTCCATTTCTCCTTTAATATGAAAAGTTAGAGTATGTTTGTTTGGATTATATCAAATCTATTAAAAAAATAATTTAAGTTGAACTAAAAATATTTTTAAACAAAACTTTACTTAAAATTAAATAAAAGAGAAACAAACTTTTTTTTGAAGAGGAAGTAAGAATCTTAAATTTAAATAATGAAAGACACTAGAATAGAAATATAAAATATGCAAGAATTATTAAAATAATTAAAAAATGAAAAATGTACTGTTCAAAAAGATGACACACTTTAAGTGGAAATGGATGAAACTACATAAGACAAGTTGGAAAAGTAGATAAACGAATAAATATTCTAGTAAATAAAGGCAAAACAAGATGTAAATATGTTTACATGTATATTTAATTTAGTTTTATTTTTTTAAAAGTAATAAAGGTCAGTTAGATTACTCACAGATATTAAAAAAGGACTATCAGGAATTGTTGAGTAATTTTAGTACAGCCAACTTCAAAAAGTAAATAAAATTGTTTATAGATGATTCAGAGACTTTAAATTTTAAACGATTAACATATTAGATAAATAAGACTAATTTATAATCATTGTCAATTGAAGAGATGTCAACCTAAGTTCAATATATGTTCGAAATACTATTTGATTAATTTTCTAATCTAGATGTAAACGAATAGGAAATATAGACAAAACTTCAATAAAAACGAACATAGATAGCAAAAAGATAAACAACAGCAATAAGTGAAAAAAATCAAAATAATTTTTCTGAAAAGGAATTACTTGATGACGAACAATCTGATTCTTTAAATTGAAATATCATACTATAATCTAATTATATTTGATTAAAATAACAAAAAAAACTAATTTTCAAATCTAAATAGAGTTAATTATTGTATAAAAGTGTGTTTGAGTTTATTAGTCAAATAATTTATTCTAAAATTTATTTATTTATATTTCTTTTTTAATTTAAATTTTATTTATTAGTTAGTCTTTTTTGAATTAAAAGCAATATTTTCTTTCATTTAATAAATGATTTTTATGAAAATATTTTGTTGAAAATATTTAAGTATGTATTCTCAAAATTATTTATGAAAAATAAATTGTATTGTTCATAATCATTTTCTTTGGTTGGAGTTGAGTTTTAACAAAGTTATCATGAATTAATTATTTAGATTATTAATTAATGTTAGAAATTTAATTTAATAAAAATATAGTTTACGTTTCAAAAACATAAATTGAATTTTGTAAAATTTTAGATTTGCTTATTAAAAGTTCGAAACATATATCAAATCAACAGTTGGAATAGCTTTTATAGCAATTATTATTACAATTTAAGCATCTAGTATAACAGCATAAATGGATTAAAATGAAAAAGTGAGCTATGAAAAGCTTATTTAGTAGTATATTGAGGACTAAAAGTTGCCAGATTTGTTTGAATCATATACAAAGTAGTTAATTTTAAACCAACCAGCAGATCCAATCCAATTTTTAATTGATCACATATCTTCTAAACGTAGCTAAAGATTAATATTTTTTACAGGTTCCACTAAAGAAAAAAGAAAAGAAGTAGTTGATTAAATAGCAAATGCATTCAACTATGAAGTCATCAATCTAGAAGATGATGAATAATTGAAATCTAAGAAAAGTGAAATAGTAAATTAAAATGTTAAAACCTTAATCTCTAAGGTTGAAAAACATTTTAGAGGAGTGATTGTAAATGGATACCCTTATGATTTTGAGACAGCAATATTTGCTCAGTAAAATGGAATAATACCAGATAGAATTTTTGTTTTTAACAGCTCGTAAGATGATTTAAAAGCTCACTATAGCTAAGTTTATAAGGATAATCTCGAATTAGTAGAAAGAGCTATCACAAGAGATAGTCTTAATTAAAAGGAAATCAGATAAATGTATAATGGATTCCATGACTACTTCAACGTATCTAATATAACTAAATAAGAATTAACTGAAAACATCAAGTCTATTCTCAAACTAAAAGATAAAAGGATAGTTCCATTAAGGTAAAATTACTAATTTAATGCATTAAATTTATTAAAATAATAATGCAAAGTATTTAAATTTACATTCAAAGATAAAAAAAAGTAGAGATATAAATAAATAAACAAATGTATAAAGATAATAATTAAACATTTAAATAAAAAATGGCTATTTTTAGGTTTAATGTGAAGAATAAAAAAATAAAAAAACTAATTTTAGTAAAATTAATATATATTTTTTTTAATTATCACTATAATTTAATAGATCTCCTAGAGTTTTAATTATAAGACCTCCTCACCTTCGTCAAAGAGCCCATTAATTATATTAATAAATAGCTCAAAAATATGGATTTAATGCTGTTTCTATTTATGAATTACTTGACAAGCACATCTAATAAAAAACTCATATTGGAAAATTTGTCTATCAAGCAATGAAAAATCATTCTAAAATACCTGATGAAATTATTATCGGATTGTTAAGGGCTTAGATATTAAACACATCTTCAAAGCAAAGAGGTTATGTTGTTGAGGGATTCCCAAAATGTAACTTTTATTTATTCAAATTGATTTACTTAAATTTTTAATAAATAAAATCATAGCAAAAATTTAAAATAATTTATATTATTTTTAACAAAAGGTTAAAGTTAACTAAAGTCCATTCAAAATTATGCTATAAACCCCCACTTTATAATTATATTAGACGATGAAGATGAAAATTTACTGAACTAATATAAATTATTAAAGGTGGATCCTGAAACTGGCCGCTATTATGAAGCAAACGACTCTTCATTAACAAATTAAGTTAGTCACAGGTTAAAAGCATAATAAAAATAAGACTAATAGTGGATAGATGAAATTGTGAGTTATAAAGAACTAATCGGTGAAGCAGAGAAGTAATTTGGAGAAATAGCATAAAGATATAAATTAAATGTCGATTCTAATGAGAAAATTATTAAATCTGTGGATGTTTTCTTAAATAACCCTAAAATATATTCTTGATAGAAAATAATTTGACTTATTCTATATTAATAGTTTTAATATTAAGTTTTTATTGTACTTATATCTATTACATTTGAATATAACCTTGCTTGCATATTTATTTGATTAGATTACTATTTCATTAAGCTAAAAATTTACTTCATTCCAGTTAATTAACTCTTTCTTTTTCACACAAAAACTCTTATACTAATTTTTATTTTTTAATTGAATTATTTACCAATTATGTCCCTATGATATTTAAACTAATATAACATTGTATTTATCTCATATTAAAGCTAGTAATGGAGCTTATTCTTGAACTTCCAATTAATATTTTTTAAATTTAATAATCTATCTTAAGCAATTTTAAGTATAGAAACTTAATATCAATAATTAAGTTAACTTTTTTAATATTCTAAGTAAATTAAATGAAAATAATCAAAAATATTGTAGAGAATCTAGTATAAATTAAATTAACTAAAAACATATTTTATATTTTATTGTTAGACTAAATCATTTAAAGCTATATAATAAATAAATTTTATTTAAAATTAAAATATTTTTGTTTTATCGTCTAAATAAAGATAAATCTAGAAAGTATTTTAATCAACTTGAATTTATTTTTTTATTATAAAAAAACTATTAGATTATATATAAAGTATGAATATACGTAAATTAAAATAGCTTTATATTCTTCTATTATTGCTCATCTTTGTTCTCCAAATTTAAATTTATAATTTTTGAAATTCTAAATTAAATTTTCCTCAAATATTACAGAAGTATTTTTTTTTAGAGAAAATGATAATCTGCTTGTTGATGTCGAGAGGTAAATAAATACTTTGCTTATTTGTCGAATTTTTAGGGAAAAGGAAAAAAACAAAACAGAAATTTCACGAAAAATAGAAACATAAATTTTATTGGATCTGTAGTTGATTATTGTAATTAGTTTGAAGATAGCAAGCAAATATAATTCAAAACTAAATAAATGAAGATAGAATGGAAAAAAAGAAAATGTATAGAAAAAATTAAGATAAATTAAAAGAAATTTCAAGATTGTTGAATAAAATAATTGTTTTAATTGTAATATAAAAATTAAAAGCATGTAGCAGGATTTAAAAAAATATGATTATGATATCATAAAAGGCCATTAATTATTATAAAATTTATAAATAGCTAGATTGTCTCTATTGAAGATAGAAAAATATGAGAGATAGATAGATAGAATGACACTGACTTTATGCATTTTCTGATAAGCTTTTTGAAAGGAAAAAATTACAATTTTATTGTTCTTCTTATAAAAGTAATTGAGACTATCTATCTATTAATTTTTTATTAAATAAATTAGAGAGCAGATGAGTTTTATAGTCAAAGTGAATTTTTTACTCTTTATTAAGAGTTATAAATTAGTTCGTCATTGAAGGAAACTTCTATGTCTATTCTGTTTGCTATTTATAAACATCTGCTTGTTTGCCTACTATGTATAGTTAAAGGTTTCTCTAAATAATCAAAACAATTAAATATAAATAGATTGATTAAAAGCAAAAAAATTAAATAACAAAAAAAAACTATTCAAACAAAGCTGAAGAAAAAAAAGACATAAAATCTAACAACCTCAGAAAAAAACAAAAATTAATTAATTACTTTACCAAATTTGATCATTTGATATTTTAAAAGACTTAAAGAAAAAAACATTGTGATAAAAAAAAAATGAACTTTTAAGAAACTTTTATATCTTACGTTAATGAAGCTAAAATGATGTGGGATTAAAGCTAATTGAGATAGAACTACCTCTAAAAGAAGGCTGATTTATTTAGAAGCAGCATTATGATTAACAATTCATTTATTTTAAATATTGCGCAATAATATTCTCACACTTAATTTGTTAAAAACAACTTCATGCTTATTTAAAAAAAATAGCGCAAGAATGCTGAAAATGAATAAGAAGAAGAACAATAAGAATAACAAAACTGAGGAATTAATCTTTGAAATATTTTAATAAATGAATTATTATTCCTAACTAGTTTCAATTTCTGCTCAGTGAACCTAAGAGTTAACAAACCAATCATTTTCATACCTGTCTACCTACCTATCTATCTATACTAAATAAATATGCATTTGGTAGTCTACGAATGCTAGCTAAAATACTATATATTCAAATAAAAAATAAAAATCTTTATATACACATATATATTATACTCTAATTTACTTTTTATAAGAATAATTCTTTCCTATTTGTATATATAATCATTGTTTGTTGCATGTATATTTTATTTGTAATCTTTATTTATATAAGCCCAATAATGGCAAATTTTACTACAAAAAGGTTTTTGATATCTCTAAATCCATATTTTTATTGAATTTTTAATTGTTGAAAAAATGTTGCTGGCTATTCCATTTTATAATTCCCTCAAATTAGCACATCTTTTTAACTATTTCTGACTGATTAAGATTTTCTAAAAATAACTCTTCTGTATTTTAATTTAAGAAATATGTAATTGTTTTTGTATTAGATAGTTTACGTCAACTTCAAACCCATAAAAATTATCATAAAAAATAAACATTTAAAAATTGAGTTAGTGAAAATTTGTACAAAATTTTAAATAAATTTAATTTGCTTGCATTCAAAAATGAATGATTGTGAAAGTCAAAGTGTCTTTTTTTTCTAATTCAAATATTTTATATACTAAAAATAACACTGAAGTTTTTCCTAAAGTTTATTTTAAATTAAAAAAATATAAATACTCTTGTAAAATCATTAAAAAATTATTAAAATTTTTTTTAAATTTAGACTAGAACTAAACGAAAAACAAACCATTAGCATTTTATATCATTATCTAACTGAATTCAATAAAAATGTTATCTTTAGGTAGGATAAAAACTTTTAAAATTTATTTACTTAAATCTTGCTTCAAATAAAAAAGGATTTAAATGCTTGAAATTTAAATAAACAATTACTCAATAATCAATGAAAGAAATTTATTAATTTAGCATTAATAAAATTTTTATAAAAATAAAATAAATTTTAATATGATCTAGAATAGATTTTTAGATGAAAAAATAATCATTTTTAGTTCTTAAAATAAATGAAATAATTATGTTAATATGGATTTAAATTCTATGATTCAGTTCTATTTGGACTTAAATTACAGGAAAATATTTTTAATTATTTAATAAGAATATTAATTAATTGTTTTATTAGTAGTTTAATTGTTTTTAAAATATTATAGTTTAAAATCAATAAATTAAAAGTTTAATGTAAATCCTCACTAAAAACACCTAAGTTTCTAAAATAAATAAAAAATTTATTAGCAATAAACATAGCTAGCTACTAATATATAAATCTATGATATATTAATTATTAATAATATTTTTTTTATAGAAATAGTTTTTAATAATTTTTTTTCTTACCAAGATCACATTTCCAATCTCCAATAAATTATTTTTTATGAAATACTGTTTTGACATAAATTACCAAAAATTTAAGAAATTTCAAAAATTTTGAGTATAACTATCATTAAATGTTTAATGGAGCTTTTGAGAAGGGTTAGTTATAATTAATGTAAATTTATGGTAATTATTACTAATTATTTAAAAATATAACTGGTATGTATTTAAATTATTTTTAAAGAGGTGATAATTAAGAAAAATAAATGTTATATTCAAAAAATATCTTTTTTATTGGATTTTAAGCTTTTTTAAGTTTTTTTAATGACTAATTATTTATTTTTTAAGTAACAATTATTTATCAATAATATTTTATTATAGTTAAAGGAAATCTAAATTAAATTTGAATTTAAACTCTAATAATACTAGTACTAATTTAATAAAATTAATTTTACCTCAGGTATTAAATAGTTAACATATTTAAAGAATAAAGCTTTCTGATTCAAATTTGACAATTTTACAAATTTACTGGTTTGTATTTATATTTTTTTTGTAAGTTTTAACTATATATAATTTATATTGCTATCACTGATTTTATTAAAATAATATTAACAATAAGTATTTTATGAAAAATGAAAGTAACTTACTAATGATTATGTTAATTACTGTAAAAAGTTTGTTTGAGTATTGCACCAATCGTTATTTACTAAATTATAAGCATACTTTTATATGCTTATTGAATTTATTATTTTTAATTATTTGTATTAAGGTTTGATGTTACCTGAATGTTGATACATATTTATATTTAAATTTAAGTACATATTTTGATATAACTTTATAATTATTTATGGTTCTGTACTGCAAGTCAATAAAATTTTTTTGAAATGTTAACAAATTCTGAATTTAAAATATCTTACATATATAAATAATATTTAATAAATTATTTTAAAAGATATTTTAATTTATTATCTATTTTAATAAAGAAAAGTTGATAGAAATTACATTTTTCAATTTTAATTTTACTAAAATTAGATTTAATATGAGTCATTTGTATAAAATGAAGATGAAAGATAGACTAAATTTTTTATAAAACACTACATTTCAATGTTCATTTTTGCTGATATAGGAATCGAAATTTTTAAATCTTATAATGTATTCGATATATTAAATAAAATATGTTTGAATTCATTTATTTTGGTGATAAAGAATCTTTTGTTTCCAAAGTTAATTAAGTTTTTACCATATAAATGGAGTGAATTAAAGTTTTATTAACCAGAAAATGTGGGACTAATTAATGATTAATCTATATTATATCATTTTAATAGATTTCATCATATCTACTTCCTCATAAAAGCTTAAAAGCGAACTATTTAATTTGACATAAAATAAATACTTGAAATATTATATCTTAAAATTTAATTATTTTAAATTACTCATTATTAGAATTTTTAGAAATTAATAGAACAATAGAAGTTTTCAATATACATATAATTAAATGTCTGATAGATTGATTTTCTCAACATAACCAGAGCTTTTGCGTTTGAATTAAAAAGATGAAGAATATGGCTTTGGATTATTTTAGAAATTGATTGATGCTTTAGAAATATTTACCCCTAAAATATTAAGCTACAGATTTATTTCAACCAATTAAGATACTCTTAAAATACTATCATTTTGCGCTTATTATATTTTAACAACTATTTCGAATAGGAAAACTTTAGGAGAAGAATTTTGTAATTTGCATCAATTTAATAAATAGGATTTTGATTTTAAAGGCATACCAACAAGTTTAAAAAGAAGAGTTTTGTTTGTGATTCTAACAACCCTCTCTCCATTTATTTTCAAAAAACTAGTGAAAAAATAATATGATCAATCGAGAGAAATGATGATGGCAGAAAGAAAAGAATATAGAGGAATATTAGCTAGTTTTATAAGGAACTTGCCTAGCTACGATGGAATTTATGAAAAAATTATTAAATTTCATCTTTGCATGTTCTTTTTAGATGGATTATTCGTATAGATATCCAAAAGAATAAGCGGCATATATTATGTTTTTTAAAAACAGCCTTAAAATCACAATATTACATACAAAAAAGTTGGAGTACTTGTGGCCTTACAATTAGCAATAGAGTTTGCAAGATATGGATACAGAGTATATTAAGATTATTAGTAATCTAAACAAATTTAAAATTAAATTAATTCTGAATATAAATATAAATCTGGGGAAGATAAAAATGAAAATTAACATGAAGAAGAAGAAGAGGAAATAGATATTCCATAAGAATTGCTTTGTGCTTTGTGCTACGATAAAAGGAAGATAACATCAGCAACTCCATGTGGTCATTTATTTTGTTGGGACTGTATTATAAAGAGTACTTAAATTAAACCTGAGTGTCCAAATTGCCGTTAAGCTTGCTTGCCTTAAAAAATAGTTTAAATAGCTAATTTTAAGTGATTTTACAAGTACAAATAAAATAAAAATAAACATTAAAACGATTTATAATAAAATTAATTTGTATAAAGTTATTTTAAATCTACATTTTTAAGATAATTATTTTTTAGATTATAAAAATTAAATAAATAAATAAATTATGGATTCATAGATTTTTTTAAATTATTTTTAAAATATTACAATAATTAAAATAAATATTTCTTCATAAAATGTTAATTAATTCATAGTTTATTGATTGTATTTTAAAAAAGCATATTAATGGTATAGCTTAATAATAATCCAAAATTTCAATATTTAATTATATCCATTAAAAATTAAACTGAATGAAATCGTTTAAATTTTAATATTAATTCATTAAATAAAAAAACATTTACTTTAATATTATCAATATTCATTTAAAAAAATATTTGAGAAAAAAAAAAATTTTTTTAACTTAATAAATAGTTATTTTAAATTAAATTTTTTTAAAATAATATCATAATTCATTATTCATTTTGGGATTTTTACATTTTAATTATTTTTTCAAACAATTATGTAAAATAATTAGTGTCTGTTTTGAAGAATGTATCGACTGATTAAGTTTTTAACCTCAAAATAAATATTAAATATTTATTTTTTATAAATGTATTTATGAATATAGATTTATATATATTAATAGATTAAAAATAGTCTGAAAAAGTAATTTACTTTAGAAATAAAATCGCAAAAATTAAAAAAAAGTTGTTTATATTCACACTTTACTTATAAGAATTAACAATAATAATTATTAATTTAATTAAATATTTTTTTGTTTTCAAAGACAATATTTAAATTTATAGCACTCCATTTTGGAAAATACACAACAAAGCATCAAACTTATATAAAATCTAACTAATATTGCAAATATTATCATAGAAGGATTTTAAATATCAAATATCTTAATAAATTTTCAAAAGCCTTTGAATTAATAGTGTATACTTAGTTACTTACTTATTAGCTGATTCAAATTAAAGGTCATTTATTGATAGCTCCCAATTAAATTAAGAAATGATAAGGGAGAAATTAACAGGAAGAAGTCCTAAGGGCAATCTCAAGTAGCTAATGATATCATCAGAAAATTTAAATGCCTTATAAAAAATGTAGCAAAGCAACAAAATTACAACACCAAGTTAATAAAGTAAGAATGAACAAAATAATGGTAATGTTAGAATTGAAAAAAGCTTAAAAAAAATAGACTCTAGCTAGAAAATGAGCTTATTTCCTCCTTCAATCTCTTTAGAAAAATCGAAAAGTACCGAAAATCCAATCGATAGATAAATTAAAGATAAATAAATTAGTTTTTAATGTAAAAGCTTAACTACTTCCCTAAGAACCAATTAAGATGATAGCGATCCGTTTGGTTTTGGTCAAATAAAAAAGTAGCATTAAACAGATTTTATGGCTCAATAGCTCAAAAATATAAATCTAACTTCTATTTCTATAAAGAATAATTTCAATTAATAAAATTATCCATAGATAGAAGTGTTCACCTCTTCATTTATTGAAGGAGAGTCCAATAAAAATTAGATACAAAACCAAACAGAAAAAAGCAATCCAAATAAATAATCTCCAAACTTAGTTGGCTTCTCTTTAGCAATTACCAAAAAGGAATACACTCATTTGAGTAATTTTGTAAATGCAAAAGATTGGAAAAAAATTACGAAGCTGGAGCTTAGCTAGAATAAGCTGTAGGATATTCCTTATGAAATATTCGAGTTAAGCGAATTGCGATCCTTGAAGCTTGATAATAACTATATTAAATCTATTCCTGATTTAGTGTTTGATAAATTTACAGAACTAAGGGAGTTTTCAATTTCGAATAATCTTGTAAAGTATATACCGGTTAGTATATAAAAATCTTAATATTTAACAACTGTTGATTTTGGTTTGAATCATATAGAAGTAATCCCCGAAGAAATCTTCAATTTACCTTAACTCTCTGTCTTGAACCTTACATCAAATGATTTCGAATACATTCCATCATCAATAATTAAAGTAGAAAGTACTTTAAAAGAATTTTCAATTGATTGGTTTCGATATGCAAATCCTCCCATGAATATAACCCAAAATGAATCAGCCATTTAAATTTTAATAGCTGCTGTTAAAAAAGATTTATACAACTCTAATTCATAAAAAAACTTGGATAATATTCGAATAGATAACCTAAAAATGCCATGCAGTACTTCTGTTTTCAGATACAATTCTTAAACTGCTTCTTAAAAGAATCTCTCGAATGGAGATTCGAATAGTATTTAAAACAACAATAATTAAGATAAAAACATGGAATCATTTTTGTAGAACATCGATTTTACAAACTAAACTTTTAGCTTTTTGAAATTTTTAAGAGCTTATTCGAAAGTATTTGACCTCTATAGAGTTGTTTCTCCTGAGTCAGGTGGTACTCTTGTTCATTAGGCAGTTTACAATGAAGATGTAGGAGCTTTACAAAGCTTACTCAATTATGATTTTTAATAATTTATAAATCCTCTTGACAAACAGTGTCACTCACCACTTTCTCTTGCTATAAAAGAGGAATAATATTATTGTGCTAAAATTCTTATTTATAGAGGAGCCGATGTAAATATCGGTTCTGGGTTTAGCGGATCTTCATGTTTACTTTTAGCTGTGGGTAAATTATAATACTACTTGGTCAAAGATTTAATAGATAGAGGAGCAAATATAAATCATTTAGACAAAGAAAAGAATAGCTGCATGCATATATTATTTAAGGTGTTTGAAAACAATCCTAAGGAAGCTGCGAGAATAGGAGATTTGTTGCTCGAAAATTTTGCTGATCCTAATATTTTAAATTAGAATAAATGGAGTCCTCTTCATATTGCTGCTAAAAAGGGCTATTTATTAGCAATCCAATATGCATTTAATTATAATAAAATGTAGGCCTTACTCAATAAGTAAGATAATAAAAGCAATCCAGATTTTCTTTAAAAGACAGACCACAATTATGAATCCAAATTAAATTAAGAAAAAATTAAAATTCTATTTAAAATCTATTAGAAGGGAGGAGAAGAAAAAATGAATATTCTTCATATTTCGTGTCTAAATTGTTTTACTGATATAGTTGAGTATCTTATTTTAAAAGAAAACTACAATTTTACCATCAGAAATAGATTTGATAGAACTCCTTACAGTTTTTCTTAGAGACACTCAACTATTAGCAAGCTTCTAAAAAGATGGGAAGTGAGGTTAACAGACTTCTTCATAAATTAAGACACTATTAAAGTTATAGAAAATAAGATGTATGACTGCTAGGACGATGATTAAATACAAATAAATCCTTTCCAAAAAAGTAAGGCATATAATTTTTATGACCAAATTAACTAAAATTCACGTCTCTCAGTTCTCAATAATTCGCAGCAGAACTAAAACCAGATGGCTGAGAGATCCTTGATTTATATAAACAATTAAGAGTATTAAGAAAACAATAATAAGAAAATTGAGCACAGTAATCCTTAACTTCAAATATTAAATCAATTCAAACATAATAACAATAGCATAGCATATTTCAATTCATATTATTCACCTTACCAAAATGATAAAATTTTAGATATCAATGAATTTAAAACGATTAACTCTGAAAATCACTTAAATAAAAAATAAACAAATAATAAATAATCTTCTAAAACTGCATCAAACATTGAGAAAAATTATGAAACCGAATTTAAAAATTAGTAATAAAATTATTTAGATGATTAATTTAATTCAACACATATTAAGAAAACTGAAAGTTTAAATTAATTGAAAGAACAAACTTCCCTGCATTAATCTTGCTTCAACAGTTTTTAAGAGAAAGATAATCAACATTATTTAGGTTCATTTATTATTTAAAGCTCTCTACAAGCCTTTAGAAAATCAAGGGAAGATTTCCAAAAATATTAGAATAAAATGTATCCAATTCGTACCTTGCCCTAGCATTAATAAAACAAAGTATAAAATTTGCTGGAAAGCTTTTCTAACGATAACTTAAATAGTGAGTCTGCTTTGAATGCATCAGATGAACTCGCTACTATAAATAATTATGCTACGAACAATTAACAAAACTAATCTTAACAATTGACATAATATACAGACTTATAAAATAATTATCTCAATTAAAATCAAATTCAAAAAAGCTAAATTTCAACTAACCTAACTCACTTAATAAATTAAAAGAATAAACATTAAACAAACTAAGCATTTAATAGTAATAATAATAAATTTGATTTAGCTGAAATAGATTTTTCTTAAGAATTGGTAAGTGAAGAATAAGGGGTGAAAGCAAGCTAGATATTTTCATGGACGAAGTTATAGCCGAAGCTGATATAGGATAAATTGCAAGAAGAAAAAAATAATAATAAATGTGATATTAAAACAGAGGATTTAGATAGTTTGGAAGAGAGCAGTATCAAACAGCTAAATGGAAATAGTAACCCAAAAATCTTTTAAAAATCTAAAAACTAGAATTTGTATTTTAAGACTAATTGTGCCAAACCTTCTAAATTATGTGATGTAATATAAGATACAGAAAAGTTAAAAGAATTACTAGAAGAAAGTTTTGAGGAAAGTCTTTCATCTTGTGGAGAAGGAGAACAGAATATAGATGAGCTTTAAGAAAATTTTGAGGAATCTCTAAATGAAAGTTTTTCCCTTCGCACAATGCCATATTCACCAAATAATTTAAAACACATTTAACCAATTTTAGGATAACTTACTCCAAATGATGATGTTTAAAATGAACAAAATAATAAATATAAAAAAGTAATTAATTCAGCTCCTTAACCTATAAAGATAAAAAAGAACTACACAGAAAATATAAAAAATGTATTTAAAAGCAATTTATCTACCCTTTACAATTAAAAGATGATTGAACCTACTGAATAAGCTAAAGGATAAAACTATATTGCCAACTAGGATATGAATAACAATGAAAAAATTTGGAATTATAATTGCTTTTAGTTGAAAACGTAAAAAAAAATAGATCAATTACTTCAGTCACTAAAAAATTTAGACTTTAAAATTAAAAATCAAGAAATAGTTTTAAACAAAAAATTAGAAAGTCTAAGTAGTATTAAGGATATTGAATCTTAGCTCAAAGGAATGCTAAAAGAATTACTTACAAACAATAATTTTAAGGATTCGTTTTAAATTGAAGTTTAAAACTTACAACAATCAATTACAAGTGCAATTACTCAGTTTAATCTAACAATTAATCAAATATACTTATTCTTATATAATAAAAACTAGCAATTATCATCTTAAATATATAATCTAAAAATGATAACTAATTCTTAAATAAAAGAAATCAAACTTGAAAAAGATTGGGTCAATATGCAGAGAAGTTACTTGCTTTAGAAAATACAAGATTTTAGAGTTTTATAAATCTTTTTCTAACAACTATTCCCATAAAACAATGTATTAGCACTATATCAATAATTAGACTCTTTTAATTAATCAAACTCCCTAACTTAAATAACTTAATCTGAAAGACACTTTTCAAATGCATCTTTTTCTTCATAGAAGAGAGATTCATTTTAATCCTCTTTCTAAATTATGAATACCTAATATTAGCCTACTTAACTTAATCAAAATTATGATGAATGCTTAATGCTAACAAACCCACTTTACTACTATGAAACGGTATAAAGAGTGTAACAATAATTTTTAAATCCTTCATCAAAAAATTAAATTTTGAATGAAACCTAATTGATGCAAACATTACCAACAGAAGAAGAATACGATTCGTGTTAAATTGAACAGCCATCTATTAGATTTACATAATATAATTTGCAAAAACCTAAAGTATCTTCATTGTAAAAAAGATTCTCATTTTCGCAATAAATTTAATGATTTCAATTTTGTATAGAAATAATTTAATACTAAAAACCTATAATAATTATTTTTAAAAAATTTCATAAATAACCTATTTAAATTTTGCTACTTCCGAAATATTATATGTAATCAACATATAAAATTTCATCATATGTAACTTTATATCTTAAAATATTATTTTATTTTGAATTAATTTACACTTCTTTTTTTTATTTGTTAATAATTTTAATATTTCAATTAAAATACCGTCAATTATTATTAATTCAGGCCTACACCTCACCATATTTAAACTTCGGTAAGGGCCATGTTTTATTTTGAGAATTTTCCCTCCTTATTCGAAAATCATCCTTTTTGATGAGTACCTAGGGTAAATTATTTTTATGATTATTATTAGAATTAAGATAAAAATGTTAGTTAGGTTTTAAAAATAAAGTATAAAAAGAATGTAACAAAAAAAATAAGGAATAAGTAATTAATTAAAAAATAAACTTAAAAAATATACTATATGTTGTATTTACAGAAATAAGACACAGTTTAATAATTTTAAAAGCAGTAATAAGGAGTGTTTATTATATATATATATATGTTAATGAGAAATAATCATCTAAATTCATTTTCATTCAGTCTTTTTTCCTGCAAAAAAACTAATAACAATTATTTCTTTAAAACAAAATATTGTTTTTTATATATTTAGATTATTATATATTTTAAAAGAATTAATGTTTTTTGAATATTAATTTTATCTATGAGAAGCAAATTGAGTATTTGTGTGTTTGATTATTTTTGATTTATGTTAAAAAGCATACTTTTTTATTATTTTTTAAAATATTTTTGGAAATTGTTAATATCAGTATTTGAAATGTTCTTTTATTAGACATGCATCAAAAATATTGATTTTCATTAGGAGCATTCTTTCATTTTTTAATTTATTATTTCTTCCTACTCTGCAAAGTCCTTTTTTTGTAAAAAAATATATTATATTTTATTCATTTATTTTTTAAATGTTTCTAAAGTAAAGAAAGCTAATTTATTTATAAATTATAATTACCTCATCTGTAAAGCGAATGAAAAGTTAAGGAGTTTTATTGCACTTACAAGGAGTATCATGGCTGGTGCAACTCTTTTTAATACAACTATTACAAAATAAGTAGCTGTAAAAACTATAATATCCACAAAGCCAGCAGATATGTCTGTCATATCTTTCCTTTTTGTTTGAAAACTCGCATATTTTTACATTTTCTTCTCCATATTTGGCTAAAACTTTTTTTCTTTTTTACTACTCTGCTTAAACAATTTTGCTCCATTCCTCTTTTATCTAAGTTTAATAACAAATATAAATTTTATTTAAAATGTTTAAAAAAATTAAATTAATGCTTGCTAATTTTCAAGAAAATTACTTTAACTAAAGTTGAAAGATCGAATTTTGATTATTCCATGTTCATAATAACTTAAGAAATTAACCATTCAACAGCAAAAGAGGCACTCTTAAAATAATTTTTAGTCGGGTGTTTTATTGTTTAATAGTACTATACAGCCTCTTAATAATTTTAGAACCAATCAAAAGTAATTACATTCACAGCCTCTCCACAATTAAATCCATGAGAGAATCCAGCATGGTATGTTTTAGGGAATGTAAATATAAACTCGCCTGGTTTTTATTCAGTTCTGTAAACTGGTATCCCATTTTCTAAAGCAACAGCAGGAGATAGCATCAAATTAATGTGAAATAAAACATCAGGCTTCTTTTTGAAAATTTGAGGATATGTTTTCTTATAGACTTCTTCAAACTTGTATTTGTATTCTGGAGGAATGCCATACCTTTTAAAAAAAATAAATTTGAAATGAGACTTGCAGTTAATTTAAACGACTTAAATTTCTTAATGATTATTTAAATATAACTTTAATCTTTATCAAATGCATTAATTTTTTTCAATTTTGGAAGAAAAAAGTATTAAAAAAGTGCAAAATTTAAGTTGGAATTTTTTAAATTTTATCTAAAAATACTAATGTGATATGACGTAATTTAATAATTCCTTAGATAAAAATTAATAAAACCTCCATCTGTTAGATTTCCATAATATGAATATTTACAAAATGTGCAGATAGTAAAGAATCTTGATTTAATACATTTATTTAATAGTCTTTGTATTGTAAATGAATACATATGAATAAAGGGGGGAATTTGCTTGTATTTAAAAAAACTTGAATGCGATCTATCTAGCCAATGCATAATTAATAGATTGATATGTAAAAATATGATTGAATTAATTAGGATTAGTAGAATGAATGGCTTTCCTTAAAATAATAAATGTAATTTAAAATAATGAAGGAAGCCATTTAATCTTTTTAGATTGTGATTTTTTTAAATTATCACACAAAAAATAATTCGAAATAGAAAAATAAGCTAAAAGTTTTAATGAAGGAAATAGAAAAAAAAATTTATTCATTAAATTGAGGATAAAATAATAAAATAATTACCAAGTTTTAGCTTCTCCTATGTGTAAATAATTTAAGGCGCACATATATAAATCTTCTACGTGCCAGCAAAAAGAAGCAAACATCATTCCTAAATATACCCAAGGATTACTGATCCCACTTATGCCACTGTGGTCTTTAGAAAAGTGCTAAAATAGAGAATTTTTTATAGAGTTGATGTTATTCAAATTGAAGGTAGAGTTGTGCATGTTATCCATAACAGAGAATGCTGATCCATATTTTTTTGAGGGTAAGTCGGCAGCATATTCAACTTCTAGCTCGTCCTTGAATAGTTCGGGGTGCTCTACATGCTCCCAAAACTCATATTCAATTTAACGATATTCGTTCTAAAAGTTTGTTTTGGTCTAAAATTTATACGTTTTTTTAAAATCATCTGCCATCTTTTTAAATTCTTTGTAAGTGTATTAGTCATTATTTTAAGAGAAAGGCTATTAATAAATATATTTTAAAAATAAAATATTAATATTTTATCAAGTTCATACAAAATTATTTTGTAAAATTATTGAACCGCTGATTAATTTTTTAAGTAAAGAAGGAGAAATTAATTTGTTTGTTTTTAATAAGAGCTATAAAAGTAGGATTAGAGTAAAATAAATTTGGTGCAATAAAATCCACTCATTTAGATTCATTCTGCTATGTCTATAAATTTAGAAGCTGAATTTTTATAATCAATATTAAGAGACAGCTGAATCAGAAATTATATTTGTATTAGCTTAATCAAAGCTATTTTTTAATGTCAAAAAAAGTAAAAATAGATTTATTTTAAGATTTTTATACTCCCTTTAATATCACTCCTACTTTAAGAAACATACTAAAAATTCTCCATCATTTTATATTTATTTAAATATTCTAAATATTTACCTAGGCTTGCGAGAGCTCAGCCAAGATTTGAGTTCTTGTTGTAACTTTTTCTGTAATTTTATCAAAATTATATTAGGGTTTCCAAGACTTAGGAGGGATAATTTTAACTATTCCATGTTTGTGATAACCCTATTGATGTAACATAGCAAATAATTTATAGGGGTCTTTGAATTCCTCTTCAGTAGGAAATACTGTAGGTACTTCGATAAAAGAAGAATACTCGGAAGGTAAGCGCATTTTAGGGTTTTAAAGTGGATTAAGACTTAATAGATCTTCACCCTAAAAATTGATTGATTGATGTGATTTAATGTTCTCAATAGAAGTCTTGCTACCATTTCTAGACTACTACTATACATTGCCACCGCATCTCATTGAGTAGAATATTGAGTTCTAGTTCGGGTGCAAATGCTAGTTATGAGAGCAATAGTCTTAATTATTATAGTCTTAAGAAGGGCTATTAGCTGGTGACTAGCTTACTACACAATTCATTCTCGGACTTGCGTATGATTCAAAATTCGTGGAATGGGATTCATCTTCAATAAGTATAAGCGATGGATTTTTAACATTTCTTTCTACTTTCTAATCTTCAGTGGAAATCATTTTATTGGAAGGTATGCGTTTTTAAGATACCTTTCTAGCCTTTACCTTTATAGCTGTTGAGTTACTTAGTATAGCATGGGTGTTTACATTTATGGTGCACGTATTCCCGTGAGAGTTTTAAATTTTTTTTGATATTTATTTTGTATGTGCCTTTTGTTTAGATTTTTCAGCCGTTTTTGGGCATTTTTTAGTTCTAACACTGCACCTATCACCTCTACCCATTAGTTACTTAGAAAATTATTTAAATATTTTAGTTTGAGATTTTTCTTAAATTTGTAAATAAAAGCAATTGTTTTATCAAAACAATTTTTTTAAAATTTGTGCTGTTGTCTTTTTATTTTAAATAAATAAATTAGAATGAAAATTGATGCAATTGATTTAATTTAATAATCAACAAACTGAAACAAAAAGATCAACTTTATCTTTAATATTATTTATTATTCTTGCTCCTTTATTTTTAAATGTATTACTTAGCGATAAAGTCAATCTAGCAAGTCTGGTGGGAGAATTAAATGTCAAGCGTCCTTTCTTTTGATTTTTATTTTTTGTTAATTATAATTTATTAAAATGAGTATCTAAAATTTAAATATATAAAAAATCTATATTTAATAAGCAAAATCAAAACTAGTTAATATTAAACAATCCATAATTAATTAATCTCATTTTAGCCAATCTATTTTTTTTAAAGCCAGCCACTTTTAATTCCTACTTTACTTTAAAATTTTTATACCCACCTACTCTCCCTAATTTAATTTATAGTCCTTTTAAAATAAATTTTTAGTAGAATCGATCAGCCTAATAATCCCCTTAAGATTTAAAGAGAAAAATAAATTCCTAAGTAGCCACCCAGATTACAGAAAATAAAATTATAACACCTTAAAATAACTCTTAAAGATTTAAATTTTTTTATAATTTCTTAGACATCGTCTCAGAAAACTGAATAAAATATACGAATACATAAAAATATTTCTATGAAATGATAATAAACAAAACTATTTACCAAATAAATTTTGTTAAAAAGCTTTAGAATTTATCATGTGAAAAAGTCACATTTTATAAATACATTTTGTTTGATACTGGCTCGTTTTTAATAATTTCTTCTTTTACAATAAGAAGAGTTGATTTCCTTTGTTTCTATTGCAGTTTTTTTTTTAATACAGATTAATTTCAATCCAATAATTACGCATACAACCAAGAATAATTAGCTGGCTCTTTTTAAATTTTCTCAATATAAGCACAATAGTAGATCACTTTCTCAAAGTATTTACTTTTATTACCAATTAATACTTATAAAATTTATTTAGCTTGTTGATTCAGAGTGACCAATAAGCTGATCAACTACTCTCATTTTTATTTCAGCAAACTTTTCCACCAAAAAATATTGGAAATAGTAAGGTTTATAACATTTTTTTAAGCACAAATAAAGCATAAATTAATATGATTAAATTAGAAAAAACAAAAGAACTAAAAATCAATATTTATACAATATCATAAGCGAATGCAAATTTTTGACAGAATTGGCCAGTTTTTAATATTTTTTAAGTTAACTGAGATCATTTCTGTTGAATTATTTTATTGATTCTAATGCTTTTTTAGGAAAAAAAAGTGCTTAAAAAAACAAGTAAAATAATAAAAACTCAATTAAATAAAAGAAAAAAATTACTTATTCCCATTTAAAATAGAAATCTAAATTTCATAATATTTTGAAAGAGATAATTTTTACTAAAAATGCAACTAAAACAAACGGATTTTCATAAGATGCGCATAAATTTATTGCAGTTAAATTAAAACTTGGTTTTTTGCTTTATTGTTAATCAGAGTTGCTGAAATGTTGATTAATTAATTTTTCGTTTTCTTATTTAAAAAAAAATATTATCTAATGTAAAGTATTTAATATACGTCAAATACTTCTTCTTTAAATATCTTCTTCTATATATAGTCCTTCTATAAACATATCTATTGAAACATAAATAATTATATATTTATTTGCTAATTAAAAGATATTTAGAAAAATCCTTAGAATAAGAATTAAAAAAAATGGCATCTAAATTTCCTTAAAAAGTAAAAAATCTTTTAGAATTGAAGGACAAATATAAAGCATTCTTTTTCGATATGGATGGCGTTTATGTAAAAATTTATTTTTAACATTTGATAATTAGCTTTTTATAATATTTTTAATATAATCTATTCAACTTTTTGATATAATAGTGGAATGGCTCTCATAAAATATAAAATGCTATTGACACTTACTAGCAGTTAAAAAAAGAAGGAAAGTAATGCTTCTTCATTACTAACAATAGCAGTAGATCAAGAAAGACTTATGTTGAAAAATTGAGAGCTTTAGGAGTCGAAACAGAGGAAGAAAGGGTAATAAAAATACATATTTGTTTGTTTTGATGTAATTATATAGCATGAAAAAAAACTAGAAAAATATGAAATAGCTTATTTAGTCATAATTTAAAAATAATATTTTATATAAAAATATGCTTAAATTTTTAAAAATAAAAATGATTTAGGTTTTTGCAGCTTCAAGTATTGCAGCATATTATATAAAGAACAATCTACCAAATGTAAAGAAGTGCTATGTTGTAGGTATGAAGGGAATTTGTGAAGAATTAGCTAACTATGGTATTGATTATATATGGAGTAATGAGCATCACAACTAAAGCAAAGAAATGACTGCTGATGAGTTTGAAAATCTTAAGCTTGACAGCGAAGTTGGTGCTGTTGTAGTAGGCATAAATTATGAATTTAATTATGCAATGATGGCCTATGCTAGCAGCTACATTCAAAATGGTGCTAAGTTTATCGCCACTAACGAAGATAAATATATTATGGCTGGAGGTAAGAAAATGCCTGGTGGTGGTACTATAGTTAATGCAATTGCTTTTGGGTGTGACACAAGACCATTAATAACAGGAAAACCCAATAGCTTTGTGGTAGACTTATTATGTAACCAATACAATATCAATAAATCAGAAGCTATCATGATCGGTGATAATTTAGATACTGATATTGCTTTAGGCTAAAATGCTGGATTAGACACACTTCTAGTCATGACAGGTGTAACTGATGAAAATCTATTAAAAAAAACAGTAGAAGAAGGCTTGTTTGTTCCTACTTATTATGCTGATAGTGCTTGAAATATATATTTTTTCATATCTAATTTAAAAAATAACAACGATATTTCAAAAAATATAAAAAACTTGAAGATATTTCTTATAAATGAATAGTTTTTATAAAAAATATTTTATATTTTGTAAACTCTTAATTAAAAAATAAATGAATTATTCTAAAATGATTAAATAAATACCATTTAAGTTTAGATTGTAATTAATTTATTTGTTGTAAGTATATGCTCAAAAAAAAAAAAATTGAAATTTTATAAAAACCAAAAGATTTTGAATAAATTTCTTGAAATAAAACGCTTGCTTATTAAATATATGATAAAATGATTTAATTAGTCAAATATATTTTTCTTTTGCATAAATTAAAACATATAATTTTATATTTTAGTGATTAATTTTTTAAGCTTATAATTTATTTTTAAAGTAAGTATTTCCTTAACTGCATCAAATTTTAGCTTCTTCATTAACCATGCCTAAACCATCATCATCATCAACTTCGTAATCGTTTTCATCACCATCAATATCATCATTTTATTCGTCTTCATATTCATCTTAATCATATTCAGGTTTATCTCCCTAAAGCTAATTATTTTATTTCGCATTTTTATTCAAATCAAAATCTCCTTTGATGGAATCTTATTCAGTTAAAGTTTCATTTCCATTTGTATACATGTTATTAGTAGGAGATTACTAACTACTTTAGCTTTTGTAAACAATATTCGATTAGTTCATCTGAGTATTTTTGTAAAAAGATGAAGAAAATGATTTCCCACTGTCTGATAATCCCTTAGCTGATTTAAAAAGAAAAACACTTATAAAATATAAAATATTTCTAATTGGATTTACAGTTGCTCATGATCTTAGGTAGCTTCTCTTTACTTGAGTTCTTTCCTTAGAATGCATTAATTTTAGTATCTTTCATCTTTAAGAATTTTCTTTTATATTTATTCTAGATGAACCCTAACTTAGCATAGAATCTCTTTAAATGAGGACAATTCTCTCCGCATTTTGAGTGCACTTATTTATATTTCTCCATATACTCTTTAAACTATTCTAAAGTTATTTCCTAATCGCCATTTAAACCTAACTAGTTTCTAATATTTCTTAATAATTCTCCCATCATCGATTTTTGATTTTTTAATTTTTTAAACAAAGCTTCTGCCTGCTCATCCTCATTCATTTTATCATCTATAACATCCAAATCTTCGTCGTTCTCTTCTTCCTACTTTCTCTTACGAGCATCCTTTTTATTATACATTTGCATTAGTTTCAAATTAGACTTAAGACTATTTAAAATAATTTACTTTTTAGGCTTGAATCTCTTTTAATTTAGCAACTCTTTCTTCTTCACGCTTTTTGCGAATTTCTTCCATTTCTCTTTTTCTCTATTCTTTTAAATCTTTAAGATTATCATTATGTTTGTTTTGAGCATTCTTAAGCTTAGCATAGTCATCCATATTTTCACCTAATATAAATGGAGTACCTTTGTGAATGTAGTTCATAATAGCATCTACAATCATCTTAGCATCTTCCTCGGTACAGCCAAGATTTACTAGTATTCTTTATAAATCTTAAGTGCTTACAACAGAGTTTGCTCCAAAAATGCTGTTAACTTAAATTTCTTTATCTTCAGTTCCTTATTTTCTTTTAGTCTTTGTAATATTTCCTTTTGAGTCAATTATAGTCTCCTCTATAGTACCATCTTTATTGATTATCTTATGAATAACTTTTAAAAAAAATAAAAATTAATAAACACTTTTTTTTTTAAATTAATTCTAAAAACCTGTTTTATTTCCATTAGCATCTATTCTTATTTCTTCAACTATTTCTCTGCCATCTTTATCTTTCTTCCTTCTCACAATAACTCTATTACCTAATTATATTATTTAGTTAAATATAAACTAATATTTATTTATTACCAAATTCGTCTATTCTTTCCTCTTCAATAATTTCATTTCCATCTGCATCTTTGTAAACTTTAGTTCTAATTTTGTATTTTTTACCATCAGCATCAGTAATCTCTTCCTCAATTACGTCTCTGCCATCTTTATCTTTAAATACCCTCTTTTTAACAGTTTTAACTCTTCCATTTTCATCAATAATTGTTTCTTCTACTACATCCTGTTCAAAAAAACGTATTGTATGTTAAAATAAACTTTATCAATAATGAATGAATGAAGTAATTAAATACATTTCCATTTTTATCTTTAGTTACTTTTTTTCTAACAGTAACTCTTTATCCAGTTTCTGGATCAATATAAGATTCTTCAATAATCTTATTGCCAAATTTATCAGTACTTATGACCTTAGTAGTAGTAACTGACTTTCCGTTTTTGTCAATTCTCGTTTCTTCAATAATTTCTCGACTAAATAAATAAATAATTTAAATTATTTAAGTAAATATAAATATTTAAGAATAATAAATGAATGAATGTATGTGTACCCATTAGCATCTATTCTTTTCTTAACAATAATCCTCTCTCCTGTTTCTGGATTGTACCTTTCTTCTTCTACTGAACCATCTTTGTTCTTTTTTGTCCTAATAATTATACGATTTCCATTTGCATCTATAATTTCTTCTTCTATAATTTCATTTCCATCTTTGTCAAACATTCTTTTTATTTTCTATAAATAAATATTTTACACAATAATTAATTATTGATGTTTGTTTTTATCTTACTTTAGTGATTTTATTTCCGTATTCATCTACAGTTTCTTCAACTGTAATTATATTTCCATCTTTGTCTACTATTTGCTTTGTATACTTAGTGATTTTGTTTCCATTAGCATCTATTATTTCTTCAACTTTAACTTAATTTCCATCTTTATCTATGATCATTTTTGTCTTTTTGATTATTTTATTACCGTTTTCATCTACAGCCTCTTCAGTTGTGATGACATTACCAAATGCATCGACATCTTACTTGATAGTTTTAACAATCCTATTTCCTTTTTCATCAATAATTGTCTCTTCAATAATCGGCTTTCCATCTTTACCAATAGTTATCTTTTTCTCAGTCTTTAATATTTTTTTTAACAATAAATAAAGAAAAAAATAAAAATTATTACAATTGTCTTTTTTCCATTTTTATCTATCTTTTCCTCAATGATTATTCTTTCTCCATTTTTTCCTATTTTTTCAGTGACAATAGTTTTGCTGCCATCAGCATTGATAGTCTCAGTCACCCAAATATCATTTCCATTTGCATCTTTCATTTTCTTTTTTAAGTAAAATCATATTGTGAATAAAATTTATTTACCAAATAATAATTAAAAATGGAATTTATTATTCATAGCATTTTAATTGATGAAAGTTTTTCTTGATAAAAATTACCTTTTTCCTCACAATTATTTTATTACCGAATTCATCAATGATTTCTTCCTCTATGATTTCATTTCCTATTTTATATTAAATTTTATTTAATTATTGCTTCACAAATTTAATAATTTTTACCATCTTTATCTCTTAAGACTTTTGTTCTTTTTGTAATTTTATTGCCATTTGCATCAGTTGTTATTTCCTCAATGACTTCCTATTAATAAATCCAAATATAAATAAATTTATAAGAGTGATTATAAATTATACATTTCCATCTTTGTCTCTGAATACTTTTTTCTAAACTGTAATCTTTTTACCAGTTTTAGGATCTATGTATTCTTCCTAATATAAAAAATTTTTAGATTAAGTTTTATTGTTTAAGACATAAAAATTACAGTTATAATTTCATTTCCGTCTTTATCTTTTGAAATAATCATTTTCTTATTTCTTATTTACTTGTTACCAAACTCATCAATATATTCTTTTATAATTTATTAAAACATTAGCTAAAATAATATTTATTAATTCTCTACCTTCTTGAATTTCATATTCCTCTTCTCCTTTGGCATTCCTTGTCATTTTTACTCTATTGCCATTTTAATCTACAAACCACTCTCCTTCTTTGATTGGCTACCCATTTTTTGCTAATGGTTTATTTGGTTTTTATGGTAAATTAAATTTAGCTCCTCCAATAGCTAATCCACCATGCTTATTAATAAAATTTTGCATAGAGGGATCCATAGAGAAGCCTTCTTTAGGTTTTTCTCTACTTCTGATAATATTTCCGTTTTTATCAACAACACATTCTTCTTCAACTTCTATTTCCTAAAATCAATAAATATTTTTATTATTTTATTGACTTAACAACTTTAAAAATTTATATTTTACCTCTTCAACCCATTAACCTTTTGAATTTAATCTTCTAATTTTCTTTTTGACTTTTCTTGTTATGATTCTTTAACCATCTTCAAGGAGGTTTGGATCAAAATCAGGATCATAATTAGGACTAGCTCTTAATTTTTACTTATCCTTTTCATCTTGTTTTATCTTTTTGACCATTGCCACGGGATCACCAATGATAGCTCTTATAAGTGGATCTTTCAGCATATCATTATCTATTTTACTTAAATGTTCAAGTTCTCTTATATTTAATCTCTTTGAAAGATCAAGAGTAAATAATTCTTCTACTTTTCCAATTAGCATACGCTTTTATTCATCTGTCAAATTACTGTTCATAATAAATTATTTGAATTTTTCTAAAGCTCCCTTGTTTTCTTTTTCTAAAAGTTTAATTTCTTCAACTAGCTCCTTTAGCTTTAGCTTTAATCTGTAGTTCTCTTCAACGATACTCCTAAATCTCTCTTTACCTTTTTCATCCATCACAATAAGCTTTTCTCTTTCCTTTTTTTCTTTTTTCTAATCTTCCTCTTTCTTCTTAGCCAGACCATTCAATTCACTTATCTTATCGTTCAATTTTTTGCATTGCTCTTTATAAATATCTGCATCTTTTTATATTTCTTTCACTTTTTTTTCTAATTCAGTAAATTTTGCTTATTTTGTTTACATTTCTTAAGTCATTTTAGCTATTTTTTCTAAATTTGGATCTTTGTCAGTCTTTATTATTTTGATAAAATAAAATCTAAGTATATATATTTAAAGATTACTTATATTTCTTATGAAGTAATAGCTATCAGCTTTCCATCTCTTAAAATATGGCCTGGTGGAGTACCAAAAATTAAAGCAGCATTAGCATTTTATTTTGCTTTATTTTGCATTTACTAATAAGGGTCAAATTGTAAAAGGGATTATCCTTCTCTTTCAACTAAATATAAAAAAAAATTTATTTTCTTTAAATCTATTGCTTATTACAAATAGAAATTACTTTGCTCAGCTTTTCTCTTTTTTTATGAAAGGTCTTTAAGCATGTGCTTTAATGATGATTCGGCTTTTGATCTTTCATCATTAAAATTAATTAAATTTTTATTTTTCAAAAAATTTTCGATTTCCTTTGAAGATTCATCAAATTCTTTTCTTATTTCATCAAGCTCTTCATTTTTTTTCAATACATTATTGAGATTTTTTGCGTCCTCTCTATCTAATGCAGTATCAGTTCCTTTATCAGCGAAAACCTAGTTAATTAAAATTATAATATTTATAAATAAAATGAATATTTAAAGTAAATAAATAAAACCTACCTTTGGAATTTCGAAATCTGTTGTTTATTTAAAGCGATCTTTAACCTTTTTCTTACTTTGTAGTACTGTTTCATTAGCTTATTGAATAAACTATTCATCTTTTTTAGCCTCTGCCACTTAGGTAGAAGAGTTTCTTCTTCTTGCTCTATTTCCAAGTTAATCCAAATCTTCTATCATTTTCTTTGGATTGTATTCCAAGTTAGTTTTGACTTTAAGTAAACTATTCAAAAGTGTATTTTCTCCTAAAAAAATCTTCTATATGATACTTCCAAAGGATTCTAGTTTCATTTCAGTAAGCTAAAAATGTAATTCGCCTAAAATTAGAGAATAGATATCATGGGTCTATGAATTTAAAATGAAAAATAATTTTAAAATCACATCAAAAAAATCACATTTTTGATAATTTATTGAAATATTATCTAAAATTAACAATAAATTTCACCTTTTTTAGAGTTTCCACTATCTTAGTCTTATCATTATCTAATTACATTTTATGAATATCTGTATCTACTCTAATTATCATTTTTTCAAGCTTAGCAAGCTTATCTAAATCGACATCATAGTCATCAACTGGCGACTTCATTCAATCAAAAATAAATCCTCCTTATTAACCTGTAATTAATTATAAGCTTTTCTCAGCTTACTTATTAGAATGGCTTATGAGATGTTTAAATCTTATGATTGATTTCTTTAAATATTATAAAATAACTTATTAATTAATTTTATTTATAATCAAAAAAATAATACTCCCTTGCAAAAAAATAAATACTGACTAATCACTTAGCTTTTATATATTTATTTATTTAAAATTTATGCAAAATTAATTTAAAAAATCAATGTAAAATTAAATTGTAAATTCTAAAGAAATAACATAAACAAACTATGCACTCTTTAAAACATATTCTAATCATTTGAATATTCTACAATTTTTAAAGTTCTACTTCTAATAAGTATAGTGAAATTTCATTAGTGGCAAATTTTCTGAAATATTTCCCATAATATTTTTTTAAGACTGTTGTACTTCAGTTTAATAATATACTAGCTGAGCTAGATGTAGAATTTAGGAATAATTATTTGATAACTAAGGATTCTTATTTTGTTTTTTCAAATCTTTTTTCGTTTATATTTTATCAACTTTTTAAAAATACAAATACAAAAATTTTCTATTTATTTTTATATTTTAAAATAATCTAATTCAATTAATTTGATATTTTTTTCAAATCCTATTATTAAATATATGTTCTTTAAATCCAATTTTTTGCTTACCTTTTGTTAAATGTATTTTAATATTTATTTATTTGTTAATGATTTATGATATATTGAAGCTAAATTGAATTTCCTTAAAAGGTTATAATACCTTCTGGATGTGAGAGTTCTGTCCGAAGAAAAATAAAAAAAATTTTTATATAACATTTTTATGAAACTAAACTGAATTTATTTTTTATTTAGTTTTTTTTAAAGACTCATTCAGCATGCTAAGACAGCCTTTGAATTAATATTTAAAAATTTCAAAGTATATTTTTCGATTTTAATTTGATTAAGGGAAACTATTTTTTAAATCTAAACTTTATGATATTTATTTTTTTTAATATATTAAATATTAAAATATAATACTGAAAATAGACATATCAATAAATTAAAATTAATTATTCAACAGGAATTCATTTTGGAATTTTATATCCTTTGATTTTGTTTTTTCAACTTATTTTCATATACTAAATTTAAATTATTTGTCTGTAGATAGTTAAAAATATTGAGAAGATGAGTAAATAAAATTAGATCATTTCATATGAAAATTACTTAAAATAATTTTAGCTAGATATGAAAAAGATAGTAAAATAATTTTTTTATAACATTCAATAAATTTAATTTATTTTTTATATTAAGTTGAAAAAAATCAGCCAAAAAACTGATTAACAATAAAGAATTAACTAATTAATTAAGTATTTGTTTGTTATTTAGAAATTTCAAATTTTAATATTATTGTAATTTTTAAGAGCATTTTAAACCAATAGTAAAGTATTAGTAATTTTTTTATGCTTATACAAATTAAGTTAAAATGAATAATGATAACATAAGATCCCCAAGAACTCCAACTCTAAACAACAATTAAAGTCCAAAGGTTGCTAAGAAAAATGAAACAAAACAAGATTTTAAAATAAAGAAGTTTAAAAGATTATTCTTTAGGAATTATTAAGAGTCAAATGAACCAGGTATTGTTGTCTTTTTGCTCAAACCAATGAAGTAAGAGAAGCTAGAAAGTTTGATCTTTGAAATATATTAAAATGTCTTTAAAGGAATATAGAAACCCTCATTTCTTTACTTCGATTCTTAAAAAAGGGTTATTAAATCCAAAGAAATTAAACCTGATAGTTTGGTTTACTTTTATATCGTTGAATCTGAAATCGACTAAAATAATAATTTAGACATAAGGTAATCTGATTTATATCTTCAAATGAATAGTACAATAGAAGAGTAAGAATCTAATTTAGACATATTTGTAATGAAAGAAACAGAGTATACGGATCTACTCAACGGAAAGTAATCATTAGACACAGCTACTTTAGGGTACACCTCTTTATAATTTTAGTTAGAAAAAAGTTTCTAAAATGTTTGGGATTATTTAGAAGATTTTTCATAGGTTTCACACTAACGAAGAATAAAATTGGTTGAAGTAAGTTTTTTTTCTTTTTTCTTGTGTTTAAGCTATTTTTAAATAGACAGTTGATGTTTTAGAAAATAAAAGAGAAGAAGTGAATAGAGTTTCTTAAGAATTGCAGGATTTATTAGAATAATATAAAGAGAGCGAAGCTTAAGTAATATAGTGTTTTGAATAAATGGGATTTGATTGTGAGTTTATTTTACAAGCCAAGACAATCCAATCAAGGTCTAGATATTAAAATAATAACAAATCAATATTATCTTCTTAACAGTATGAAGCATCAATTAATTAAGACAGCTATATATAAGATACTGAGTCAATATATGATGATAATCTTTTGCCAAGTTACCCACGAAAAGCTGATGAAGTTTGATATTTAGCTATGATAATCATTAAAAATGATTATAATAAAATGATAGTTAAAATAAATAAACCTTTTTAAAGTTTTAACCTAATTTTTAAAAAGTGATAGATTTGTTTGATATATTTTACTTTTTTTATAGAATATTAGAACCATTCAAATCTCACTATATTTTTTTCAAAAATAGTTAGAAAGATTTCATGAAAAAATTTTTAGAAAATAAATTCTAATTTAAAAAGAAAACAAATAGTAAGTAAAATATTTTAAGTATTGTTATTAAAGATCAATTAAACTATTGAAAAAATTAATTAATTAAACTTAAATTAAATTATTATTATTAAATAACTTGAAAGAAAAATGTAAATGAATAAAACTATTACTTACAATACTTAAAAATTAAAATTATCATTGTAACTTTTCAAACTTTAAAAATAAAACATTTCTAAAATTTATGATGCAAATTTTATAAATTAAAATTTCACTTTTAATAGAATAAATAATTTTTTTTAACTGGGTTGTTATTTTATAATTTTATGATATTTTATAAATTCAAATATTAATTTATTTTAATTTCATAATTGGCTTGAGAAACAAATAATATTTACATTTTATTAAAGTGAATTTTCAATTTAAAATTAGATTTTTATTTATATATAAAGAGATTGGTTATTTTTATATATTTGAGTTTTATAATAACTAACACAATATTGATATAAATAGGGTTACTATCACTTCAACCATATTGTTAAAAGTGAATTTATAGCGTTTATTAAAATTAATTATCAAATTCAGATTATTTTATATTTATTAATGTTAGACAAATTCATATATACAAAACTAACTAGTTTATCACATACTTTATCTATCTGAGGGTTAATGGAATTTCATGTGGTATTCATATTTTTCTTGGTTTTCAAAATACTTATAGCAATTTTCATTATCGCAACTATAGAAAGATTCTCCATCTTCCATTCTTTTACTTTCTTTTATAAGTATGTCACATCTATTTATAAGAGTTAAGAATTTTATGCATATAAATAAAATTAATAGATATTTTTAAATAAAATTACAATCTGCATTAAAAGGTATCAACTACATAGCAAGAATAACAATAATAGTGGCAGCATGGGAATGCTACAATTCTCACATTTATTGGAAAATCGCAAACTGGACAGAATTTAGCTTTTTAATCAATCCCTTTAGGGTTCATCTTTTTATAATTTTAAATGTTTCATAATTTAAAAATAAATGTTGATTGGTATTACTTTTAAAATTGCCAAATTTGGTTCATATTTTAAAATTTAGTCGTCTGGTGGATTTAAAGGATATTGTTTTCTATCTTCTCCTTCCATTATGAATATTAGTGCGGTTAATTTATTGTAAAAATTATAGTTTTAATCTAGTTAAAAGGATAATGAAATAATTAATTATGTCTAGATTATAAGCAGAATACAAATTTAATATTTATTCTATTAAATGAAAAAGATATTTTTCATTCAATTAATTCTTACTTGATAAATATAAAGTAGGACTAAATAAATAATTAATTGATTATTAAAATTTTTATAATAAAATATTTTTCAGTAAAATTTTACAAAATATTTTTTTAAACATAAAATATACTTTATTGTTATCTATTTATTTTAATAAAACAGAAATAGATTCATTCATTAAAAGTAATAAAATTGTTTTTAATTCTAATTATTTATTTTATTTATCACATATTTTATTCAAAGGTAAAAGTTAATTATGAAATAGTTTTTAATTTTATTGTTGTTTTTCAGTATTGATATTTTTAATTATAGCTTTTAGCTTTTTATTATAAGCTCTTGATTTTATTAGATCGAACGAGTAAATGTCTATGTTTTAAACAACTTTTATAGGTTAGATCCTTTTTGAAAAACATTTAATTTGTTTGAATATTTATGGTAAAAATAAAATTATAAATTCAACATAAAAATTAATCTATTTGTTTTGTTCAAACGTATATTATAATTTTATATCAACAGATAAATTTCTAAAGTAAATCGTTTTGTAAAGTAACTTAAGCTTTTTCATAAGAATTACTTAGATTATTTATTTTTGCATTATCAGTTTTGTTTTGTGAAATAACTTGGATATTTTTCAAGTGTAATTATTTATTTGATTTGGTGCGTTTTATTGTAATTATTTATAATTTGTAAAGCGGTTGGTTTTATTTTAGAGAAAATACGTAAGTTTTGATGAGCAATAGAAAAAAATAGGAATTGAAAAAAATAATTACTATAATTCAAGTGATGATTTTGATTATTAAAAATTAGATTTTGATTTTGGCAGATAATCTATATCTTATTTAATAACTTTTTTGGAGAGAAAAGAAGTGATTTAATTTATAATCAGTCGTTTATCTAAAAAATTAAACAGAAGTAAAATTTACAAAAAAAAAAATAAAATATAAATCCTTCAATTAACAAACGTAGATCTCTTAAAAGAAATCTATTCTAAAACTGTAACTACATAAGCAACGATCAATGAAGTAATTAAGTTTTAAGCTAATTTTAGTTGTTGGTATCCTTAATTTTGCATAAGGTAACATACAAATAATTTAGTTTTTTTCTCTTTATATATATACTTATAAAAATTTTGCAATTACTTTTGTTGTTTTAGATTAATGTTGTTAATAACTCTTTTATATTAAAACTATTTATAGGCTGCCAAATACAGAATTGTTAATAATGCTCGAATGATGAAAATTAATGTATAACTTGTAACAATGGATATTCTTTAAGCCAAAGCTAAGACCAATGCAACTCGTCAAGGTAATTTTTTATTCTAATCGTTTTATCTAGCTATCTTCATTTTACTATTTTTTACTTTAATGCTCATTAAACTTATGTTGTACTATAAATATTTATCTAAATAGCTTTATTAATTTTTAAAGCATTTAGAACTGATTGAATAAAGTTAATTAAAATAATATACTTAACAAAATTTCATTAAAAAAGTAGTTCGAGTTCACCCAATATTGGATTAATCATAGGTATCGTAGTTGCTATTGTTTTTGGTGTCATTATTTGCTACTATTGTTTTAAGAAATGCTATAATTGTACAAAAGAAGGAGCTACTGATGCAGGAGATACTTAAGCATTCAGCTATGGACCAGGATTTGGATGTATGGGTATGGTAGACCCTATGAATTGTATTGTAAATTAATACGGAACTAATAACAATAACATATATTGTGATAAAGAAGATTACTACTATAATGTTTAAATTTACAATAAATTCAAAAATTTAAATGGAAAATGTTTAGATTCTAGAAATGATTGTGATAGATGTGCATTCAAGCTCGACCGTAAAGAAAATTTATTCCCAGACTGGTCTTCTTAAAATTTTGAGAAATATAAACCTGAAAAACCATCTAAGAAGTCATTTAATAAAGCTCAATTTGCTAGCTTTTTGACTTTGATTCCACTCAATGTACTCGAATTAAATTCAGAAGAATTGAAATTAGCTGTAGAGTAACCAGTATTAGAGCCTATTAAAAAACATAGTATCGATGACAAACTAAAAATTCAAAAATAAGAATCAAATTCTAATTCCGAGCAATCGAATGATAAAGATGAAACTGCTTCTACATCTTGCGCATTTAAAGTAAGGTCTATATCCCTTAATTCTGAATGTATTTCAAGCAGAGGAGACGAAATAAACACAGAAGAAATTTTATCACATCAAAGCGAGCGTGAAAATGATAATGATTAAAAATAAAATTCATTATCTAGTGATGAGGTGATTATTTGTATGGACACTATTCCATCTCTGCCAATAAGCTAAAAATGTTTGGGGCTCACCTCTAAGAGTGCTGCTAATTCTGATGCCTTTATTATTTAAATGAATGAAAATAATAATTGCTAAATCGGAGAAAATCAATCAAAAGAAAATAATAATAAAACAAATGTTAGCTTTGATGAAGAAGCATAAACTCTTTAATAATGATAAGATACTGATTAAAAACTTTGAATATCAATATATTAATTTATCTGGTGGAGCTGAAGCAAGAAATATCACAAAAAAATATTACTTCGATTGCTATTTGATTAAATTCTTTATTAATAAGCAGAACTATAATTGAAATTTCTGCAATCTAATATTTTCCACAAATTACTTGCTTATGTAATCAAAAATGAGAAAAGCTTATAAATTAATTGAAAACTCAAGAAAACAAACAAAATAAACAAATTTTCAAAAAAAAATAAAAAATATTTGCTTTATCTTATCAACAAAATATAAATTCTTACTACTAAATTCCTTGAAAAAAATCCCCAACCCAATATATCACTGACTTTTTAAAAGAAGTCGGATCTATTCCACTTATATTAAAAATTTTAGTTATTTGTCCATATCAAAATTAATTATTTTAGTTATTGATTTATTTCATTTATTTTGTACTTTACTTATTATTACTTTACATTATTAAATACCTCATATTTTTTAGAAATTTTCTAAATATTCGTAAAATATTTTTTTAATTGAAGAAAAATAGAAAGACAATCAAATCTTTTGTTTAATATTTGACTTATTTATTATCATTTATTTTAGTGTACCTATACTTATTTTTTTCTATTGATAATTTCATTTTAACTAAATTTGTTAATTTAAAAGTAATCAATTGAAGTCAATTCTAAAACACTTATTTATTAATAACATAAAAGGTAGTCTAATGTTTTTTATATTGCGAGTTTACAAAATTAATAATTATGTAATATTTTTTGATTTGTATTTATAAAATTATTAAAAAAACCATAAAAAAACTATTTATTTTGACATTTTAGTTGATTATAAAATGTGAGATTAAATAGCTTATAAGCTTTTTTTATTTTGTGGTGATTTGGCAATTTTTATTCAAAAATAACATAAATACGATATTAAAAGTGAGAAAATAAAATTTACTTTTAATAAAAAAAAATAGCATAAATTAATTTGTATAAAATTAAAGGAAGTAATGGCTAACAAACAAATTTTAAATATTAAATTAAAAGAGTAAACTTGGTTTGGTATTTATACTTAAATTACAGATTATTTGTAAATTACAAATTTATTATTTTCAATCTTAAAATTATTGTTTAGCAAAATAATCAACCATCTGTTCACTCATTTTTAATAAAAAGTAAGGATTGTGCTCTGCTTTACTTATTAACCCTTAGTTATTCTTTACGAGTATTTTTCCAAAAATTTAAATCATCTTCATCACCTTCTTCATTAGAAGAGGATGAGGAAGATTTCTCTGAAATTTATTTATTTGGAGAATCGCTTTTTATAAGCATTTTTTAATTTGAATTTTCAATTTTGCTGCCATAATTAAAAATTTATTTTTTATCGTCTTCAAGGATCATAGTTTTAGATTTTTTCTTATCAAATTTGTTTTATTTTATGATAGGCTATCTTTCTTCCTTTACTTGTATTTTTTCATCTTTTTTTGAATCAAGTTTAATGTCATCTCCAAAGTGGAATACATTAGTTTACATATGTTAAATTCTCTTTAAACTTGGTGGTGTTTATGGGATTTATTAGAGCACTTGGCTTTATCTTTTTCTTCTTTCTCCTCTATTTCCATTTTTTTAACTAAGTTCTTCCTCTTCTTCTATGGTTTCTATCGATTAATTTTAGCTCCTTTTCTTTATCCTCGGCTCTTCTTCATCACTTTTGACATCTTAATCTAAAGATTAAAAGCTATTCTATAAGCTGTGCTTAGCTGAAGAATAATTCATTTTTTTTATTAATTATTATTATTTTTTTTCTATTTGAGCTAGTTTTTGCTCCATTTTTTTGTTTTCTCTTACTAATTTTTGTATATCTTCTAGTTCTATAACTTGTATTGAGCTTGGGTTTGTAGAGAACTAATCATTAAATGAAGACTAAGATGCTGTTTAACTATTAAAATCGCTTTATTTTAAGACCTGAAGACTCTTCCTAGGTGCTACAAAAATTTACTTTTATTAAGTACTTTGCTCATAGGTTTGCATTTGACTTAGTGTGCTCTGCCTCCTAAGTTGATTTGTTTAATCTTTCTTAATTTCTAGAAAAGATGTCTTCCTTGAAATATTTTCTTTTATAGGAACTTTTGGTATGTCTTGCTTAGGGGACTTGAGTTGATTTTTTTCATCAATATTTTCAAAAGTCATGATTGCATTTTTAGTTGGAGATGTTATTGGAATAGGATGAACAACTGCAACATTATCAACAGAAAACCCATTTTTAAAGTATTAATATGTGTTATTTGCTTAAAATAAACTTGATATTAAAGTAAATAGCAATATTGTTGAAGATAAAAATATAGCTACATATTGAATTGAATTAAAATAATCTGTTTTTGTTGAGATAATAGAACTATTTTCTATTTAATTGTATAGATTTCTCATTATTAATTATCCTACCAATATAATTAAAATGAAAAAATTGCTAATGAAGTGAATTAAGTTTGCTTTAAAGCTAGTAAATGGAGAATACATATTAACAACAATTAATAACATAATTGTTGATATTAGAATATATAAAAGTATATCTGCAATATCCTAAAGCCATGTAATTAGCAGAGTTATTATTGAATAAGAAAAAACTTAGAGTATTGGATAAATTAATTTTAATTAATCCATTTTATTCTTTCTTTAAACAGCACTTCTGATGTTCAATTCAGACACTTAGTAGGTGTATTCTTTTTGATCTTATTTTCTTTCATACATATTTTAAGCATATTTTTTTATGTCTCTGTACATTAGAACGCCAAATGTATAGGCAATTAACAATAGAGTTAGCATAGCACAAAAAAATGAAAATTAATTAATCTGATCAGCTGAAGAGTAATTTTTCAACTATAGCCCTGCAGCAAACGAGAGAGGAACATAAGATATTTTAATAGTATTTAGTGAAATTTATAAAAGATAGAAATTGACCTTTTCATATTTATTTACATCAAATAGTTTATCATTTTCTTTTTAACCATTTTATTTTAGCTAAAATGAATCTGAGTTTAGAAAATTATTTTCTTTAGGACTTTTTAAGTTTAATTCTAATGGTTTAAGCTAACTCTTATCTTCTACATTGCTTTTATCTTTTTAAAGTTAAATGCTTTTTTTATTTGAGTCTTCTTTATTATTCTGAGCCAGTGGATAATCATACGGAGCTAAAAATGTATTAGTGAGGAACAAGTAAATCCCATAAAAAAGTATAATCAAAAACAGATATGTAAGTCCATTATAAAAGAAGGAGCAAACTTAAAACCCTCTTTAGAAAAATCTTCCAGATAGAACCTGATCCTTTATAGAGTATTGAAAAATTAAGTCATCCCTTTTTAAGTCTAAGCCATCAAATCCGCTCATGATATAGTTCAATATTCTAAAGTTGAATATATCTATTGCTTAAAATAAGCTTTGAAGGTGGAAAGGAATATACAAATCAACAAAATAAAGACAAAAAACTACTTAAATCGCTTCTATTGTTATAGTTGATGAAATTTTTATTCCAAAAAAACTACAAAAAAGAATAAAAGCACCTAGAATATAAATTGTAATCTTCATTCCCTTGTTAAAAGTGCTCGGAGAGCTAAGAAACTTTTAAATAATTTTTAAAAATTTAATCATAATTTTGTTTGAAATTATTTACATTCTCTTCTGGAGATAAAATAATAGAATCTGGATTCAGATTAATTTGATAATCTATCAGCTTGCCGTCTGAAGTTTAGAAGCAATTTTAAAAAATACTTTGTATAACAACTTTAGTCTCTGTATAAAATTAGTTTTGCTAAAAGCTTACTCTGAAAGTTTAGCCATCCAACTAAGTAAATGATACTTACAATTAGGCTAAATTTTCATGTTGATTAATAAGCTAGATATTAAAACAACTATCAACTTATTAAATATTTTAAGCCAAATTAACTGTTTCAGAAAACAGTATTAATGCTTATGACTATTCATTGTATTTTAAACTAGCTAAAACCAAATTAGAACATTACTGGTTTGAGCTCTTTTTTAATTAAAAAAATTTTTTTAATTATATTTTATTTTGAAAAATTTTTTTTACTTTTGAACTGCATATTGTGCATTCTCCGAGATATTAGTTATTATAATAGCCTTTAGGACAAGAGGTGACACATTAGTTTCCAATTTTATACTACCCTAATTTACAACTAATACAATCATTTGATGCTAAATCAGTAATTTAATTGCTTGGACATTCACAATTTTTATCAAGTGTTCTATTTGCAGAGCAAGATGTACATACATCATATTCAAAACAAGAAGCGCATTTATAGGAGCATGCTTTAAGATATTTGAATTTATATTAATTATTTTAATAGCATTTAATTAAAATAGAAAATATAATTAATACCTTAACAAGTAAAAAGAGAATTTTAAGCTGTAAAATCTTATTATTTGTAAAAACCTTGGTTACAGACACAAACTCCGTTAGAAAGAGTATAAGCATTGTTGATACATTAAGAACAAGTTCCATCAGCGTTACATACAGAACAATAAGGCACTGAGCATTATTGACAACTTTTCTAAGCTGTTGTTTTTAAATAATATTAAATTAGAAAATTTGAAAAACACAAAAATTGAAAATTAAAATAACAGAAACTTATTCCTTTTTAAAAAACTCAATAATAACTTAATTAAAATATTCTACTTGTGAGATAAAAGGAAGAATCACACAATCCACATGTATATTTATCATTGTTGCTGACCTAAAAGCAATTTTTTACTGGAGCTAGATAGCAAGCAGAGAAGTCTGAAGCGAGACTATAACCTGAATTGCATTATTTACATATGGAACTACTTGAGTAGAGCTAACAATTTGGTATAGTGTTATAGCAAGTAGTTCCTGTTGTATTCATAGAATAACCTTAATCAGTGTGGCACTATTAGCACTTAGATAAGCTGAGATAAAATGCACAAAAAGGAATATTATTAACGCATATTTAGTTAAATACACCATAATCCGCTTGGCATTAAATACAATTACTTCCAGAGTAAAGCACACATTGAGAAATTGTATTACTACATCCTGTTTAGTCTTATTATGGAAAGAATCCATTAAGACATACATCGCACTTAGTTTAATCAACTGTATTTAATGTCAAACAATTTTGAGGTGAAGCTAGCACTATAAATTTATGAAGTTCAACGAGAACATATATTATAAGCATTAAATTATTAGCAATCATTTATTTGTTTTCTGTTTAATCTTTAACTTTTAAAAGAATTAATTGTGTTAAAATTAGATTATGCTTGATTTAAAAATCAGGTAATATTAAAATTTGAAAAGTTAATACATAATGTTTATTTGATTAGATTTTATTATATAAACTCTAAAATAATACATAACAAATCTAGAATAATTTTTAATGAAAATCAGTTAATTCAAAGGAGTTTGGAAAATAAAATAAAAACAAACAGGTAATTGAATAGATTTTAAAGGAAAATAGTATAAAAAAACATAAAAATATAATTTCAGTGAATAGATAATCATTTAGCCAGTGATATTTTTATATAATTATAAATACGATTTTTTGAATAAAAAATCAGTTAAATATTCAGTTAAAAGTTAGTCAAACCTTATTGAAAAACTAAAGGCTAATTAAATTTTAACAAATTTATTTGCTTATTAATATTCTACACAAACCTCATTTTAATAAGTGTCATCATATTTTTCTATTATAGAGTTTTGTAAAAAGAAAATAAATCAATACAGGTAAATAAAATAATTTGTATTTATTAAACTAAAGCTATAAACACCTTTTTTTTGTTTTTAATCTGAAAAATAAATTTATAGAGCATAAAGAAAATAAATAGTGATTAAATCTTAAGAAATGTATTTATTTTCTATTCAAAATTTATTTATGATTGTTGAAATTAATTAAAATATTAAAATTATTCAAAATGTATTATGTAAAATAAAATAATTTTTGCTTTTTTAAAAACATTTATGTAAATTTTTTAATTAGCTTTTAACTTAAATTTTAGGTAAAGAAATAAATTTTCTATAAAAAATCTATTCAAAAAATTCATATTAGTTTAAATAAAAAAATTTAAAGAGCAGAAAATTATTTTTTATAAAAGAAGAAAATTTCTTTTTTTAAATAATTATTATTGGTTTAAATTTTTGTTACCAATTTTAATTATTTCAATTTAAGTATAAAAATAATATTTTTAATAAGGAGTTAATTCACATTTTAATAGATTTAAAAAGATGATGACGTTATAGGTTTAAATAAATAATAATAGAAGAATTTTATTTAGAAAGGTTTAAGGTAGAAAATTTACAATAAGTATATAATGTTATACGCAAATGTATTGATTTATTTATTGTTTTTATAAGTATAAAATATATTTTTGTTAAAGGATTTATATGAAGTAGTTTTTAAGTTTTTTAAGTGAGTCAAAACTCAAAACTTTATACAGTTTTTATTTATTATAATTATTATTGTTTGTCCTAAAAAGCTTTTTTTAGATTTTCTTGTTAATAATTTTGTTAAAGATACTCAAGATTTTTTTCAATTTTTTTAATTGAATTATATAAATAACTATGATTAAATCAAGAGTTTTTCTTATTATAAAATAAATTATGTATCAAGTTTAATTATTAAACGATTGTCATCAATCATTACTGAAATTTAGCATTTCAGTAAATATTTTTATCTATTATATAATAAACTTGTTCAATTATTTCTTTCAGCTGAAGAATTTCTTTAAGGTACATCTGTGTTTAAATGATCACTATTAAAATTTTATATTAAAGTTAAATATAATTAAAGGAAATTTAAATACTCTTTAACAAAAGTGAATCCTCTGAACTATGATTCGATTTCTTCTTTGAGATGAGGTTTATTATCTTTTACTCCTAAATCTGTCATTGTATTTTTGACTAATCTCTAATTAATTTTATTTTTTTATTTATTTATTTTAAAAATATTAGATTTGCATTAAGTATTTACTGGGTTGAAATTTTGCAAATCGACTTGAGATCTGAGAGGAGGTTTGAATTGTGGTTCAATTTCTTATCTTTCTAACTTATCCCAGTCAAAATCAGCAAAGAATGCATGCTTTTTGAGTTCATGGAATCCATTGTAACCTAATCTTTTTTTGACATCTTTTTGGAGGAGACCTCTAATGAAATTTTTGGCATCGTCTTTGAAGTATTAAGGGAATGTGTACTTGCCTTGAATAATGTCGTTGAATATTTCATCTTTGTTAGGTCTGAATTCATTAAAGAAAGGAGTTGTTCCGTAAAGCATTTCATATGTAAGCACACCCTTTATATTCATTGAAACAATAATGTTTAGTTACATATTATGAAGAGTATATTTAAAAAGCTATAAATTCAAAATTGTGATAGTGTGTGTAAATAATCAGTATGTATCAAGTATTATTTATCTATGTATGACTGATTTATCTTTCAAGTCTAAGTTAAAGATGCTTAGCTGCATTAGGTTGGTTGTTCAAAAAATAGTACAAGTATAAAAAATATTGTAATAATAAAAGTTTGATTATGTCTTTAATATTAAAGTATAATTTTAGATTCTAATCTAATTTATTTTTTGATTTCTATAGATTTTTAAATTTTTTAAATAAATTTACAATTTGCCAGAAATCAGCCATCTTATTGTGTCCTTCATTCATAATTTATTCTGGTGCCATATACTCTGCTGTGCCACATAATGTATTTGTTAAATCTTTGTCTATTTGATATTAAAATATTTATTTTTTATAAGATGGATAATAGTATATTTTAATATATTTATTATAAAATAGAATAAATTTAATCAAATTTTATTGAAATTAATTAGGCAGTTAGTTTTTTTATTTATTTTAAATTTCTTATAAAAAGATTATTTTCTCATAAAAATGATGCTTCAGATTATGCTGAGATTACAGCTTTAAATAATATTCGATATTTTGGTATTTCCTGTTAGAATCAATTAAATTGTAATCGTACTATTAATAATAAACAAATAATATCTGACGGTAATCAAAATCATTCGTCTAAATTACTTTTAACTACTAACTTTAATTTAAGACCTCTTTTTTTAATATTGATTATTCTTTTATAAATTCTTCTTGTAAACAATCTATTTTGTATCAAAGACCATTTTTAAAAACTCCTTAACTAAAAATTGATTCTATTACCTTTAATTCCTTCTTTTGAAAGACCAAAATCAGTGAGCTTAATATATCCGTCTTATCCGAGAAGGATATTTTCTAATTTCAAATCTCTATACATTATATTATTTTAGTGCAAGCATTCGATGGCCAAAATAACTTAAGCAATATAAAATTTGGTTCTTTCTTCGTCAAATTTTTTTGCCTTTTTCAAATGGTAATACAATTCTCCTATAATTATTTTAAAATAAAAAAAAACCATATATAAAAAAAAATAATAATATAATTCTAACAGCTTGTAAATTATAGCTATTGAAAACTAAATATTTAACTAAAAACAATTTAGTTATTTTGTTACCTCCAACCATAAAATCCATCATAAGATAGAGATTTTATGCAGCTTAAAATGCGTAATGAAGCTTAACGATGAAATTTGAATTCATGTTCTTTAATATATTTCTTTCTCCAATTGTGCTCAAAATTACATTCTTTTCGTATAATGTCATTTTATCATAAACTTTCATTGCATACACTTCTTCTATTAAATATTTATAAATAAAGAATGGTTAATAAACAAATATCAAAGTCCCTTTCAAATATAGAGTTAACAAAAACATCTTAGCACTTTAATCTTTTAGTGCTGATGGATTAACTTATAAAGAGTTTTTTAAAGATTTGTTTTATATATTTTTTGAATTTATTACCTGTCCCCTTCTTGTTTACCAAGTACACTTTACCAAAAGCTCCTGATCCAATGACCTTTAGTAAGTAAGTAAAAATAAACAAAATCAATAACGTATTGAAACAAAAATAAAGGTTTAAATACTCTTATAATTCTGAATGAGGAGAGAGTAATTTTTTCTTCTTCTCCAAGTGAATGATTTCCTGCCTATGACTAGAAAAGCTTTTTTTCCTTGGGGTCTGCTGGTAACTTATATTCATTTAGATCTATAATCGAGTTAAGCCTCTCATTTTTCCTTTAATTTTTATTATTACCATTGTTTGATGATTGCAAGCCTGATTTTTTTGTCTTCTATTGATTCTTTTCAACTTTTTGTTCCATACAAAGGCTATTTCCCATTTTGAAATTTGATTAAAATCGTATTTCTATGTATATTTTAAACTAGTAATAAATTTTTGAATTCTAAATGTTTTAATAATATTGAAATTATAGGTTTTTATAGTTTTATATTTATTTTTTTTTTAATAGATTTCTTTTCTTTTTGATTTTCTTCTATTATCGTCAGTGTCGATGTAATTAATATTAAATACAATCAATCGCTGATCTAAATATTAATATTTATTAACAAGTTTTACACATTTTTTGTTTGAAATTATATTCACGTGATCAATTATTTCATGTTTGTTTCAAGTTTGTAAAGCAAATCATAATTTGTCTATGCTTTGATTCCTAAAAGATTCAGAAATTTAATACTAAAAATACATTTTCTTATTTTATTATCATCGCCTTAATCACCAACTTAAAGATTTATTTTGTACCAAAACCTCTACAAAAATACTAACTTACTTACTTTAGCACCAATAAATGTTAATTCTTCAATTTTAATTATTCTATGTATGTAAAAAATTTATTGATATTTTTATCTCTCTTAATATCTTAACCAAATTAGTAATTCATTGTATTATTTAATTGTTAAAATATCATTTTTATCACTTATTGAGTAAAGGGTATTTTAATAATATCTTATCTAGATATTTTGTATAAATATTCTATACTAAATAAAAATCATAAATAAACTAGTTTTATGAATTCTATTTTTATTTTTAAAAATGTTTCTAACTTAGCTGAGAAATTGCAAAAATTAATCTACTTTATAAGCATGTATGTCATTAAATTTAAAGACTTATTTCATATTTACTCATTGGCTAATAAATAAGCAGTGAAAAAAAAATCTAAATAGTATAATTAAAGAAGATAAATATATTTAGCTCGTGTCTATATTATTTTTAAATTAATTTTGAAATAATTATAATTGTGGATCAAAAATTTAGTCATTTTTGACCGTAAGGAGACAAATAGTTGTAAAATTGGTTTATTTAGAAATAACAATAACTTTAAATAAGCTAAAAATTTAAATAAAAATGCTTGCAAGGATTTCAAAAAGATATCTCTTTTATATTCTCGTTTAATTAGAATGAGTGGTAAATATTAAATGAATTCCTAGTGAGAATTCCAATTTCTTTTATAAAAATAAATAAAAAAATACAAATAAGGGAAGCAAATTTCATCTTTTAAAAAGATAATTGTTAATCCTTAATAAAAATTGTATTTTGAATATTAGCTCTTATTACTTTCGATAACAATTATTTCTAATAAATTTAATAAATCATGATCTTTTATTATATTTTTATTTAAGATATCTATTATCAGAGTGTGCAATTCTAAATTCTTTTATTTATTTTAAAAAATTATTTAATCGAGAAGATTGGTGGATGGATTTAATTATGTAATTTAATAATTATTTTGCTAAAACATAAAATTAGTTATTTGTAAAAGTAAACTCTCTTAAAAATAAAATTATAATGATATTTTATGAGTTAAATTTTATTTCTTCTAAGCAATTTAAAAGTAGAGTTTTAAAAACTTTATTGCTGAAAAATATTTCTACTTTTCATTTAAAAAGTAAAGATGAATAAAATATTTAAATATAAAAATTAATTATTAAGATTTGCTAAAATAAAAAATTAAGGTTATTTCGAAAATTCTTAACTTTTTTGAAAAAAAATCAACTTATTCTTTTACCTTTTTTATCAAATAAATTCGAAATATAATTTAGTGTATTTACAAAATTGTGTTTATTATTTTAGTTGTAAAGTTTAGATTCGTTTAAAGTTTAAACAAAATTATTTAATAATTTTAAGTAAAAGAAATAAAATAGTTAAATTATTTTTTGTTTTATTATAAAAAAAATATTTTATTATTTGGAATTAGGAATTAATTTAATAATTATTTTTGAAGATTGAAATGTAGTTCCACAAAATATAAATAATTTTTTTTACAATATTAAATAAATAAGATAAATATATTTTGTGAGTTTTGAGAGTTAGAAAGATAGAGATAGATATTCATTCATAAATTATATCTCTTTAAAAATGTTTTAAATTAATTAAATAACTTATGTTACATAAATAAAGTCTATTAAGGAAGTAAGAAAATTATTAACTTGTTATTGTTATATACTTAAAGCAGATGGTTTTTACCTCTCATAAATAGCAAAAAATTAATTAAGCCAAGCACAACCATAGAGATGCATATAATTATTGTAAGGATATTATTTACACTATCCTTCTTTTAATTTGCATTATTAATTATCTTGTTACTCAGCATAGATATTTGTTGAGAAATCAGAGTTATTGCTAGGGAATCATCAAGAATTTAATTTGGATTATTATAAAGTGTTCTTTATTGAAAGTGATTTTCCTTAAATTCTGAATTAAATTTATTTCTTATATTGTTTAAAGAAGTTATCAAACCTTGATTTAAAGTTCCCTGTTGAATGTAATGACATGCTTAATCATAAACATTCCTGTCTCTTTTATAGAAAGTAGAATTATATTGCATGCTTAGGCATATGTCTTGTTTAAATAAATTTTAAACCTAACTTACTATACTTACATCAACAATTTAAAACTAAAGCTAGCCAATATTGTTGATGAAATTTCCTAATTAGTCAATATCACTCTTAAACATAGATGATACATCCTAGTATTCAAGCATAAGAACTTGAGGGAATTCTTATTAAAGAGAAGTTGAAAAGCTTGCATAACAGAGCTCTCTTTCAGACATTAGATTACTTGTCTTGTATGAAATTCTGCTAAAGTCTTATAAGTTATTTATAAAGTCTTAGTAGTTGGAAATAAATATTTTTAAATAGGTAAAGCTTCCTGCTATGAATATAATATAGCTTATAAAAACAAAAAAGAATAGAATAAATATTCTTGATTATTAAAGATTAATATCAGGTAGTCTAGCTTTGTAATTTTTCATTTCTGTTACTAGCTTTTCGTGAAATTCATCTTCTGCTTCTAAAAAAGCATCGTGATTATTTATAGAAAATTTGTATTAATATATTTAATCTTCTCCCTGATTTATGATAGACTTGAGAATTTTATACCTTTGTATGTCACGGGATAAGCTAATCTTATCTGTGTGATAAAAAAATTTCATCATATTTTCCTAAAGTTCTTTATATTTGAGCAAATAGTAAAATGATATTATAAAAATAAATATTGACGAAAAAATCATTGGCAAACTTATCTCAGTCAGTAGAGTTTATGTATCAGTAGTTATTTGGTTATTTTATGAAGCAGCTTATTCTGAAAATCCATCAAAGTAATCAATAATTGGATGATAGTTTATTTACTAAAAGAAAGAGTCATATCTAATGTCGCTTTCTTAGGGTACAGACTTTAATTAAAATTCTTATGCCAGTTAACTCATATTATTTTAAAGCAATTAGATGATTTATAAAAGCGGAAGAGTTTAATCGGAGTAGTTTAAAGAATTTTTCATTAATACTTATAAAGTCTGATCAATCCATTTATTCATCGTAGTTTCATCACCTAATCTCTTTAAATAAAATAATTTAGATTTAATTTAATTGAAGAAATAATCATGAGTGATTTCATTAAAAAGTTTATTTTTAATTAAATTTAAGAAATTGTTATCAAGTTGATTTCATAAAAAGTAAATTTACAAATTATAATGATGTCTAGAAATAAGATAAGTAATATGAAACTCCTTCAAGTAGAATTGACTGAATTAAAGAAACATTTTAATCTGATGGATTGTAACCATTTAGCATGCTTTGTTTATTGAGAAGGGAAAGGGTTTACAGGTTGTTTACTGGTAAAATTATCTCATTTTAAACATTTAAAAGATTCAAAGTATTATCAAAATTATTAAATTTTGATCTAATCGAAAAAAGAAGCGTTAAGCAAAATGCTAAAAATATAAGCAATCCTAAAATCCAGAAAAATAACCCAAACTGTATGCTTTAAGGGATTTTGCTACTTTTTTGGAATGAATTCAGTTATTCATAGACAAAATATTGCTTTGAAGTTCTGACATTATCTTGTTACAATTTTAGATTAGCATCTAAATTCTATCCATTTTATTTTTTATCATCATTCTCAGTTGAACTGTTTTAACTGAAACATTTAAATATTGTTTGAACAAAGTTTTCATCTATTTTATAAATATGCGATTCTTTAGCAATTTGCTCTTCTTTAGCATTTACTTCAATCTAGCTTCCCACCATTTTTATTGTTTAAGAGGCTATATCACTTTCTCCTCCACCAAATTCATTATTATAAAATTTTTATTGGTAATCTTTATAAGAATTAATATCTTCTTCTATGTCACTTTACTTATTTCCAAGCTTTAATAAGTAGTCTTCCCTAATTGTATCTTTTTAATTATTACTTATAATAGGACTAAAATTTTTAGATAGAAGTGGAATTCCTCTATAATTTGTTGAAGGTATATTATCTAACTCTTACCCACTTATAATACTAAGTGGAATTTGATTATTGCTTACACTAGTACTTATTTACTTTTATGATAATGTATCAATATTTAAAGAGTTATTTAGATGCTTTATAGAATTTTATCCTTATTTTATCAAAGATAATTTTTTTTCTCCATTTTACTCCTCATGATTTTTATTATAAGATATGTTTGAGCGGTCAAGAGTAAACAGTAAATTACTATTTTCTATATGGCCACTCACCTAATCTTTCATAGCCTGTCTATTTGATTCATCCAGGATATTATCATCAAAATAATTTTTATGATTTAAATCAATACCATTTAATTTATTCACTTATTTTTCTTCCTAAACAACAGAATTTATATTTGATCCTGGCTCTTTTTTGCTATCACTGTGAACAAACAAATCTACATTTATAAAACTTATTTTATTTTTAGAATCTATTCTCTAATTCAAATTGAGTTTATTAATATCTCTCTCAGACTCTATCCGTTTTTATGATGATAGTTATTACTCTTCTTCTTCTTTCAATTTGTTTGTTTAGTTATGAATAAACCCAAGAAAGCTCTTATTTTCGTTTAATTAATCCAAGTTATGTATAACACCGAGATTATTATCATGCGACATCAAAGTTTATCCCTTTGTAAACGAAGCAGTATCTTCCTATAAAAAAAATAAAATTAAGAAATAAACCACAGTAAAAATGATTTTACATTTTATGCAGTTGTTCCTTTTTTCAACCCTTACTGATTGCTACTTTATAAGCTTTATCTTGAATTAGCTTTCTTTGATGATTTAACAGATTTTTTAGAAGACTTAGAAGATCTCTCTGATTTCGCCCCTGAAGTTCTTGACATCGAAGTTTAATTATTACTTGCAGTATATCCATCCTCATTATCTTCGTCATCTTCTTGCCCTTAATTATCACTCTCCAAGTCTTCTTAACTTTCATTATTAGAATTTTTTTCTAAAGGAGTTTATTATCTGTTCTATAGTTTTTTTTCTGTTTTAATTCTTTAAATATTTTTATCTTCACTCTATTCAGTGTTTACTTGAGTAATAAATTAATTTTAGTCTCTTTCTTATTATTCTTAAATCTGAATATTTATTTCAAAAAATTATACAATATATAGTTTGTTTTAATAATTAATTTACTTTTTGTTTTCTCATATTAACTATCCTTGTTACCCATCCAAGCTACTTTTTTCCACTAAAAATAGAGGCTTAGTTAGTTTAGAATTAATTTTAACTGCTTGATCTTTTTTGGTTCAAATCATTTTATTCCTCTTCTATAGGCTATAATATCGTATTATATTTACTTAATTTGTATTATGTTTATTCACCATTGTAATCTAAATTGTCATCTTTAATATTAAATATCATATTAAAATAGTAACAATTAGTTATGAATTATATATTTTAATACCTTCACCATCTATATTTAAATTTCTCTCTTTTTCTTCTTCTAATGAGTGGTTGCTCATTTGAAAACTTCCAGAAGCAAGAGTATTTATTGATTTTCCAGTTTTCATAGTCATGAAACTTCTCTATGGAGTAGTGTTAGAAGCATAACTATTTTAAAAATTAAATAAGTCAAGATTAAAAAAAATAGCAAATAAATACCTATCAGAGTTAGAACCAAGCCAATCGTTTGCTTGTGGTTTTTTGAGATCTTCTAATTCTACAATATAATATTTAAAAGCCACACTAGCATCATCAGTTACAAAATTTCTTGTCCTAATAATTAAATTAGTTTGAAATTTTGCCATTTTACTTTTTTTCCAACCTATTTAAAATTATTTTTGAGTATTTTGATTAATTTTAAAATAAAAAAACCTAAAGTCTTTCTGCTAACAAAGGATTTTGCACTTCTCAAAGTTTTTCTAGAATTTAATGTGTGATGAGAATGAAGAGATCTATCACTGATATCAGATAAAGGATTCAATGGAGTTGAATTAGGAGTAAAATAAGATAATGAATTTTATGTTATATTATTGTTTGAGGATTCATTATTAAAGAAAGAGCTTTTCTTTATATAAGCCATAGCTAACTAGCTTTGCTAGTTTGGTGAATTTACTTAACCATCCTTTGGACTCTTTTTTATTTTCTTCTTTTTATTATTAACACTAGCTTTTAAATTTAATTCTTAAGCCTAATTCTTTTTTAACAAATCCGTATTTCTAGTAACAAATTTATCCAAATCTTTGATGAATTTTAATGAGACATCAAAATGTTTTGCCTCAGTTACTTCTTATTCTTGCATCTAATTCATCAAATCCCAAAATGTAGGAATCAAATTATTAATATTAAGGCTTTATGATAGTTTTATTAAAACATCTCTATGAAGATCTGGTGGTGCTCCAATCTATTTAAAAAAATTCTCTGTTATTCCGCCTATTTTACAAAATAATTTGTAAAGATAATTAATTAAATATTTAAATTAAAAGTTTACCTATTCTCCCATGCTCATCTATGATAAGAAAAACATTTTTTGACATTAACTATCTCAAAAATACAACAAAAGTAAACTCATCTTAAACAAGAAAATTTATATCAAATAAAATCTCTATTGGTAAAAGAAAACCTGATTCTAGCTTTGCAAGACTAGTTCCTAAGTTTCTAAAAAATCCACTGGAACCAGTTTAGAAAAAATTGTTTACAAAAGCATCATGGACAGCAGAAATACCTGGTGGAATTAGATCTTCTATTGATCTAACAAAATCAAATCTTTCTTTCTCGTATCCGAAAAACGAAGCAGCCTTTTGTGAGTAATTTTTAATTCTTCCTAATTATGAAAAAAAATAAAATTAAAGGTAAATTGATTTTTTTTTATTAATTTTATTTGAAGATTTTTTTAAAAATTATTTGTTTTTTTATTAATTTTTTAGATGGATATTTTTCATTAATTTAAAAAAAAATCAATTTTGTTTTTTACCTTTTTCTTTACCATATGCTACAATAAGATATATCATTTCGCTAGAAAAGAAATTAATTGGTGATTTTTAATATAGCTAAGATACTTTATTATCAACAACTAAATGCTGGTATGAAAATGCCTTGTAAAAGTTATTTAATATTTCAGCTTAATAGAATGACATCAAGCTCTTCTACTTATTTGAAGGGTAGGCAAAGTATAGATCTTCAAGATTTTTTTCAGTTTTAGTCATAATTTATGTGATTAAATCGCTTTGTTAATACATTTCTTAAGCTTTTTCGAATTTTCCCATTAAAATACTATCAAAAAATTTTATTTTCAAGTCTAAAACATCTGCTATATCTTTCTTTACCTCTTTTGAATTTTGTTCAGAGCAAAGAAAGCTCTCTACAACTTAAGTAAATATGGAAACTTTTTCGTTTTTGTTAATCATATTATTTTAAGTCATCCTTTATTTGATATGTTGATTTAAGATTGAAAGTATGGTCATTTAGTATAATCCAAATTTATTTGAGTTTCTATTTTAAAACATCATTTAGTTTAATTGAGCTAAAGCTAAAGTAGACTAATCAAATTCATTGAGTAAATATATATAATGAACGAAATAAATTATATCTCTAGAGTTGAATTTACAAAGTTTAAAATAATCTCCCATTCTATGTACAAGCATTAAAATATATCTTTTCATAAAGTCTTAATTAATAGTCATTCTGGTTCCTTAAATACTTTTTAAAATAACTCTTCTCTTACAAAAGCAAAACTTATCAATACACTTCATTTTATGCTGCTGCAATAAGCTAAAAAGAATAAAAGATTCATTCTTATCATACAATAATTCCTCTTACTGATATATCAGCAACCCTATTCTGTAATGTAAATCTCTCATCATATGATTATTTAGGTTCACATTTCCCAGAATTTCCTTATTGTAAACCTTTTTATTTTTTTAATAGTTTTTTTTAATGTTTTTTGAAAATAAAATTGTTTTCAAAAGTATTTTTTTTATGGTCTATTTATTGTGTTATTATGATACCAAAAAATTTAAATCAATAATAAAAATTAAGATATTATTTTGTTTTAAATTTATTCTTAGCGTTGCTATTTTTAGATGACTTAATATTTAAATATATTGTGATGGTTATAGCTAGATAAATGGAAAATTTTAATATAAAATTTAATTATGCAGATGTTACTCGGCGTAATAAGAAATTTTTGTATTTTTCCTATTTATTATCTGAATTTTTCAAATAATAAATTATGGGAAAAATTAATAAACTTATTAATTCTGAGATTAACACAATAATCTATGATCTGATAGATATTTTTTAGTTTAAATAATTTATTCAAATAATGAATTTACTCCAAAATTCCAAGCTGAATTCAAGAGGATTCTATTAATATTATTAAAAATAATTTTATATCTCTGCTTTTATTTTGAATTAAACTTACGAAAGCAATGGAAAGGAAATTAGAGTGCATACTTCGAAGTAATCATTAGATATTAAGTTGAAAAAAGTAATCGTAAATGTCAGTACTATCGAATAAAGAATCCCCTTTACCAAAATTTGTTTTGTGTAAGGTCTTAAATAAAATAGCTCAAACAGAGCTATTAATAGGTATAAAAAAACTAAAGCAGCCTATAATCCTTTAAAAAAATTCCCATTTGCTTGAAAAATGTTAATAATATTCATTATACATTTTAAAAGTGTTTAAAAAGCATATGAATTAGTAACTATATTCCTACTTAATGATTTTTCTACTGCTGAGTAACTTAATTCTGCAAAATAAGAGAAGAAAAACGCCTTAAATAGAATTATAAGTGTTAAGATAATAGAAATAATAATAATGTATAGGTTAGAATTTGCTGTTCCATCATAAACTATCTACGAGATTGGCATCAAAGCAAGAGATAAAAGAATATTAAAAAGGTAATAATTGTAAGTAACAGAATAGTAGCTAAATATTGTCACAAACAAACGATACTCTTCTTTTTACTCTAACTTATTCATAATATATCCTGAATCTTTTAAGCAAATTAATGTTAAAATTAGGTATATAAATATAATGCAGCCAGGAACTATTAAAAATAAGCATTTAACTTTCATGCTTAGTTCATATAACAATATAGTAGGCATTCCTATAATTCCCATAACCTTTCCTAAATCTCTATATGAATAATCGAAATTGTTTCCTAAAATAATTAAAATTGATTTTAATAAGGTCATTTAATATGTAATGAATAACAAGAACATTTATTTATAAATAGCAAAGAATATTGTGTAAAGTAATTTCTTGTTTAAAATTTAATATTGCCATGCACTGAATTAATATTAATGATTTACTATCTCCATCTGTTGAAAATAAATAATAAGATAATATCTGAAAGTATGAGAGAACAATAATAACTATATCTAATCTATAATGATAGTCTAATGAATTGTTAGTTAATACCACAAAATTCTTAACAATCTTCTCAACTGCTAAAACTAATCTGTTTTTCATTTCTTTTTACAATGCTTATTTGTTTATTGTTAAAAAGAAAAATAAAGAAATATGTAATAACTATGATTTATTAAATTTAATTATTATTTTTTTATGTAATAATAATTTATTGAATAGTGGTATATATTCAATCACTATTATTATTCCAAATTAACAAATTCAATATTTCTATTAAGTCTTTTCTAAAAACATCTTTTTGATGGGAATTATACTTTGCTGAATAAATATTTCACTTTAATTGTTATTCATTAATTAAGTAGTATTAGTTTTTAAAATCCTTTAAGTTACTATAGTTTAAATTAAAAAAACCATTATCACGACTTCGATCTTACAATATGATATATTTACTCAACTAAAAAGATGATAATATATTAAAATTCATGATACATTCTAGCGAATTGTTTATTTAAGCAAAATTAACTCTGTAACTTTTTTTATAAATTTAACTTTTGTCTTTATCTTTAAAAAATACTATTTTCTAATCAATATTTATGTTGGCAATAAAGGTTTAATATTGATAGATAAAAATTAAATAAAAAAAGATATGCTTTTACATTAAATATCATAATAAAAATTAAATTTTTAATCGCCTTTGAAAATTCGTAATTGTAACTAAAAAATTAATAGCCATAAAAAAATAAGAAAATAATTCATGCAAAGAAAAAAGAAATCTATCTATCGAGCTAGCTAGCTAACTAGATATATAGAAAATATTTTGTTACAAAAAAAAGTTTAACAAAAGAATAAATAGATAATTAGATGTATTATTGTATTAATCAATCAGATTTAAATGGATTCTAAAAATTTCTATAATTTGCGTCATCAAAAATCTAAAATATTTGTAAATGCTGTTTCTAACACTTATTTAAATCAATCATATTCATTTTAATTTAAAATTCAGTTTGTATGTATTCCACATTGATTTATTTATATATTTTTGATAAAATTTATTTATTATTTTTTCTTTGATTTTTATTTTTAGGAATTAACTTCAATATATTTTTTTAATTTTATGTTTTATTTGATTAAATAAATCATTTTTTTAAAAACCTAGAAAATTTGAGCTTTTTATTAACCTTTAGTTCTAAAAATAAAGAAAAATAATTTTTAAAAAATATTTAATTTGAATTTATTTAAGTTAATGTTTTTTAAATAACTTTATAATAAAAAAAAATTTAAAATAAAAGAAAATCTATATTTTAGGTGAAAATAAATTATTTTAAATCTAAATTATTAAACTATTTATATTTAGACTTTAAGAGCTAGATTATTGATTAAATAGTATTTATTTGTTTATTAATATATTTATTTAGATTTGCGATCTTTCAATTTATTAAATAATTGTGTTCATCAAAAACAAAAGTTCAAATTTTTTAAGAGCGTTAAAAAGCATACAAACAAATAAGGTTTTTAAAAGATAAGATATTTAAAATCTAACTTAAAACGGAATTCAAAATAAAAGGAAAATGTTTAGCAAGCCTACATTCAATGCTTTAAAGCAATCTCCATAATTACTTAGAAAAAATTTGAGTACTTAGAGCTACAATTGCAATAATGCATTCAATATGAATAACTATTTAACTAATAGAAATCTTAGATTATTTAATTAAATTCAGTACAGCATTTTCAATAGAAACAAAAATGAATTAGAAGAAATCCAAAAGGCTAAGAAAAATGCTTTAGAAGAAATGGGAGATAAGTATGTTTACGATCGTCCTTCATTTTAAGTTGTAAATAATGACAAGTTTTTACAAAAAATAAAAAAATTAGAAGAAGCAAACAAAGAACAAAAGGCTAAATTGGATGGATATAAATTCCCCTTATTGCTAATATTCTTCACTTTATTCATTTATTACCAATGGGAAACTATTCCTTACAACGTGGTCTTCAAGCATGCTACCATATCTGAATATATTCCTAAAGAATAATATTACCATGCTATATTCACATGTAAAAATACTCTTCTTTCAAATTCTACCTTTAAAAATAATTATTAAATAATACTTAAATCTTTTTTCTTTAGTAAGTAACTTTCTAGAAATATACTAAATTATAATGTTAATTGCTAATAACAAACTAAATTAAAATATTCATTTTTGATTTATTTTTTTTTGCTTTAAACAAAAAGCTGCTCTTTCAATCATGAATTAAGGAAGCTTACTTGTTTATGGACCTGCTTTACTTTACTCACTTTACTTATGTGGACTATATATGAGATAAAGACATATGTTTTACTTATTTGCTTCTAACGCTTTAGTGACTTGTGGAATTACTTTCTTATATGAAAGAAACAAAGATTAACCCGTTGCAATGCTCACCCCTAAAACACATGGTGCCGTTACACCTCTTGCATTTATGTCTGCTTTTGCAGCAATAAAACCAGATTACTGTATGTTCAGAAACAAGGCTTTTCCCTTCTTCCTCATTCCAGCTATTTATTTAATGTATGAATGCTATGAATATAAAAACTATTACGTAAACGAGGTTTGTAGACCTGCACATATTGGTGCTATGGTTTATGGTGCAATGTTCGGTCTAGTCTTTAAAAGATTAATGTTGTGAGATACTTGTGTAGCTATAAAAATTAAAAGGAAAAATTAAATTTTAAGTATTTGAAGTAAAAAGTTATTAAAATAAATTCCTAAAAAATATTAAATTTTACAAAAGCATTTGTTATTTTTCATAGATTTGTATTACAAGTTTAGATAATATTAAAATTATGTATAAGAGCCAAACTTTTTTTATTCAACATAAAACTTTTAATTTTTTTAGTAAATAGTATCCTTTATTTACAAATAATTTTTTTCAATTTAAACAAAAATGAACTTCAACAAATATTTTGGGAAATAATTCGATAAATAATTAATTATTATAATTAAATTTGTAAATTAAACTAACAATAAAAATATGGTTTTTGCAAATAATTATTTTTTTGATAAATCTAATAGTTTGATCTAAAAATGCTGATATTTATATTGTAATAAATATACATATTGTAAAATAAAATATACTTATTTATTTATTAATTAATTATTATTTTTAATTGAAATTGTTATATTTTATAATTAATTTATTATTTATTTATTTAGGGAGTATTTTTTATATTTATGTTCAAAAAAAAGAATTAATTATCCAATAAGTTTTTTTTATTTTATAGCAATGCTTATTGTTATTTTGTAGTATTTTTTATTATAAATAAATAGTATTTTTCAAATTATTTAAACTGAAGGATCATAATACTTTTTAATGTATTCTGACTCTATAATTTAATGCGGTTTAAATCTTTTCTCCTTATCTGGATTTAAAAGCTTAATTTTAAATAATAAGTTTAAGTAATAGCTAAAATTTAATATACCTAAAGGAGAAGGTTTTTTGCTTGGTTTGAAATTTGTCTTTAATTGTCTAAAAATGACCATTTTTAGTCGTATATATTATTCATTTTTTATAATTTATCCTCTCCTTAAAAAGGTGGAGCTTAATATAGCAATTCATAAAAAACAACTCCTAAAGCCCAAACATCTGCTTCGACTCCTTGTTACTTTATGGAAAGGATTTCAGGACTTAAATCTAATTTTTAATCAATTTTATAATTAAATAGTTTAGATTTTTTATTTTAATTTACAATCAACAGTTCCACAAAATGTAGATCTTCCTTTTTAATAAAAATCAATAACAGAACATCCAAAATCACCAAGTTTAACATCTCCATTATAGTCTATAAGTATGTTTTCTAATTTTATATCTAAAGTAGTGGATATAATTTATAAATTTGTATTTCTAATAATAAGCAAGCATACCTCTATGTAATACTTTTCTCTCTCTCAAGTAGCTGAGTGCAGTAGCTAATTAATATATAATCTAAAATTTTTTTTTATTTTTTATTTTTCATTTTTCATTATAAAATTTACTTTAGCAATCTGCTATTCTGATAAAAAATTGAGCTACTTTAGTTTTATAAGATCACTTAGACTTCCCTTTTAGGCGTATTCAAGAATAATGAATACTTTAAGATCAGTTGTGTAATACCCATAGCATTCAATAATGTGCTTATGCCTTTTTATTTTAATTTGGAATTAAAGTATCAATTAGAAATATCTTTAACATACATTAAATGAGATTAAATTTCTATTTCTCTTTTTAGATTTGTGTACATATTTTGTTTTATCACATCTTCTTTGTTAATCTACTTAACTGCTACTATTTTCTCACTTTTTAGTTCTTTCATTTTCCACACCATCTAATTATTAAAGTAAAAATTATAACTTTTATTTAATTCAATTCATCTTTACTCCGAACTATCCTTTAGAAATGTAATTCAGTCTTTAGAAATCATCATGCGACCATCTATTATTTAATAAATAGCAAACATTTAATTTAAATAAAATCCTTTCACTACTCAAAAGTAAACTTCATACTACTTTTTTTATTGTTATTAAAGCTAGTTTTCGCCTTAAGTTTCTTAATGAAAATTAGCTCTTTCTTTTAATAATGTTGATTAATCATTAGAAACTTTTGACATTTTTTAATTTTTTTAATTTTCAAAAATTTTAATTTGTTTTGAAATCACTGAATTTATTTAATCGTTGGTTGAATATTTATTTAGATAGTAAAATTTAAATTAAAAATTAAAATAGATTTGATAATTTGGCGGAAAGTATCTTTTTGATTAGTAAATAAATAAAGAAATTAATAAAATTTTTATAAAGGTAGAATCAATCTAAGTAAGTAGCTAAGCTAAAGTTTGAAAAATTTACAATAATATAAAAGTTCTATCAAAATACTGATTATTATTATTTTATTTTATATACAAAAAATTCCTTTTTAAGTAAAATAATTATAAAGATTTAAAACTGATTTTTACTATCAATCAATGCATAGTAAGTATTTTTTTTTCATAAAGCAACAAGCAGGAAGCAAGAAGGTAGGTTTAGGAAAAAAATCTAAGTAAAAGTATATTTAATTATATTCTGAAAATTTAGGGCAGGAGAAAAGCTTGAAATCTCAGTATTTACTTAGCTGGTAATCTAAAATTCAAAATAAAATTATCAAGTTGAATATTGATTGATTGAATTAACTTACTTTAAGGAAGCCTTGATTCGTATGAGCCGGTTATTGGCTACTATTAGTTATTATAAATAGCGGAGTTGTTTATATAAAAATTTTAATTGCCTCTTTAAGGTTATTGTTAATAGGCACTTTGGAAATGCATATTATTTTAAGTGCTTTTAAAAGATGTATTTGCGGTACTTTAATTTATTCCAGTGTTATATGATAACTCTGGTTTGAATTATTGCTATTAAAATCCTCCCTGTTAAGCACCATTACTATTTACTAAAGCATGACTTGACTGATTAAACTAGTTATCCTAAATTTTTGATGAAGAAAATGTCGATTGCTAATTCAGGTCTTACTTCTGATTACCTAATAAAATAAAATGTTTAAAAATGAATGAGTGCTCTTTATTTATCTATTTGTTAATTTACTTTTAATCTAAGATTAAATTTAAGGATTGGCTGGAACCCTACTATTTTAGGCAGCTATGCTTGCTCCCTAAGTATTATTCTTGCTCTCACTAATATAATGCCTTATTTTATTTATATCATAAATTTAAAATAAAAAATCAATATAATCAGTTTACTCATATCTAGAAGGCCATAAAATTCCATCTCCAGCTGGACCATAATCTTTTTATTTGATTATATAATTTTAATTTAGAGGTTTTGGCTGAAAAAAAAAATAAATAACTCTTTAAAAAAATTGGGAATGGCCACAACCAATAATCAGAACCAAATACTTGTATCCAGTTGTAATACTCTCCCATGTCATAGATCTATAAATAAATATAAACCAAATTTTAATTAATTTTTTTGGTAAAAATATTAATTAATTACGTTCAATTAAGGAGTCTAATTTGGATCATTTTTAGACTACCTCTTCCTATCTAAGTTCTCTAAAGTAGTTGAGTTAACTAAGATGAGGTCTATGTGGACCTTAGTGAAATTACCTATAACGATTAGGACAGTAATTGCAAAGCAGAAAGTAAAGACAATAAGCAAGTCAGTGAACCAGTAAAGTTTATCATGTTAATACTAATAAATAATTTAGAAGAAAAATTTAATTCATTTTAGAAAGAAAAATAAATTATAATTTATAAATTAAGTAATTAATTTATTAATTCTGAAAAAGAGAATTCTAAGATTTACTATTATAATCTTTATTATATCAATGATTTTTGGTATCATTCCAATTATTGTAAAAAAAGTTGTGATGTTGATATAGAAAAGCATGAGCATGAAAAATTTCCTATTTGCAAATCCCACACAATTATTGATCCACTAGCAATGGTGATCCATATTTAATACACATCTCTTGCATGTAGAGCAGTGATGAGTACGCACTGGCTTAAATATATGACAATTGAGACAATAAATTTTTTTTTTATTATCTTGCTCTGTTAAAAAATATCCCTAAAATAAATAATATTAATTTTCTTAAATTTTTGAACGTTCTTATAAAGCAGATTCTTACCCATAATTGTGGGACTCTACCCTATTTTTATTTATATAAATAATAATTAGGACAAATTACCAAGGACATTTTTAATTTTATATGATAAATTCTCATAACATAAATTTACTGGATCAGAAAACATTGTTGCTAAAAGAGACCAAGCAAGCATAAAAGCAAATATATTGTAAATCACTAAATATGTAATTCTTAGCCATCCATCTTTTTTATATATTTATAATTATAATTAATCAGTTAGTGAAAAAGCTAGTTTATGAATTTGTTAAATTTTCTTATAAATTAATAATCTAAAATAAATTGGCGCAAAAAGTGATTAATGCTATCTTAAAATTTTGAATCTTCTTTAAAAAAAGAAATATTTCATACACTCTTCTTATTGAAGCTGGACCAGTAACATATTTACTAAATATATAGAAACTATAATGAAAACTACTATGACTGAAAAGAGCCATTGACAGTGTTTTCGAACCAAATACATGTCTTCTTTTTATCAATGCTCTTGCTTTGCTTTGTGTAATAAATTGTTTATTCTTATTATTTGCTTATTTATTAATACAAATTTTGAAATATTAAATAACTTTTATTTATTTAAATTATATTCAAAAATAAAAAGGTATACAACTCTCTTTAAGAAACTGTCTTTTGTTTGATATTGGTTTTTCATTTCATTTAATAAAATAATCAGTCAGTCAGTCAATCAATCAATCTCGATAACCTACAAAAAAAATTAACACATCTAAATATCAAATATGAATTGGATTAAGTTGTTAGCTATTATTATTAATATTATTAATCAATTATTGATTTATTATAGATAACTCTTGAGAATTTTATAATTATTTTAATATAAAATTAATATGATTTTAGATAGTTGGAATATTTTGTTAATACAATTTTAAAAAGCCAGCTACTTAGTGTTCTATATAACTATATACATACGATTGATATTAAAAATATAAATAATTTAACTAAAAAATATCATTGTAAGCCTAACAAAATCTTGAGAACTCCTACCAACTTACTGCTAATATTAAATCTAATTTTACAAATTTAAATTTTATAATATTTTAAATGCATTCTTAAATATTATTTACTTTTTTTAGATATATATAAGAAAAAGGGCCAAAAAGCATAATGTTGCTATCTTCATATATTTTTAATTGTTTTTTTTGTTTTAGCTTTGCTACATTAAATTCTGACGGCTAACTTTCTAAATTAAATGGCTTTAGTCACTCTATAATAAATCTTTATCACTTATATTTTAGTTGTTTTATTACAATTAGCTTTATTGAAGTTAGCTGAGCTAACTTTATTGCATGACTTTTTACGAATTACTATTTTCTTTGCTACCGATTTAATTTTTTCTTCCACTCACCATTTGTTCATGGATTTTTAGCTTTTAGATTATCTCCTATTAAAAAAATAAAACATTTATGCAATTAAAAATGAGTTTTAATCAAATTTATAATTCCTTACTTGCTGTATTTATTTGTTGGAAATTTATTTTGCCATTTTTTGACTGTAATCATAACCTTTAAGAGGTAAAACTGTCTTAAGTATATATGATTCGTACTGCTGCTAAGTTAATTCAGTAGTTTCCTTAATACAATCTAAAAATTCTATGCTCTATACAGCTTAGGCTTTACTGAATCTTTAGAGATAAAATAAAAATTAAATCATTTTATAATATCTGCTTAAAAATGTACATTTAGTCAATTAAGTTGCTTTCCTTAATAACTTGAATATTTTAATTATATAATTCTATTGCATTTTTTATTTTTCCTATTTCTAGTAATCCTAAAATCTATTGATCAACACCTTTTATAAATGATGTAAATAAATGATCTATCCTATATCATAATATAAAAACTAAAAGTTTTACATTGATGGGGATTCTAACTGATATTTTAAAACTTTTTTTTCAATATTTTATTCATTTTTTCTTATCAAATTGTTGCTCAAAAATAATTTTTTGCTAGTTACTAAAGGTAAATTTGATTTATATTTTTTTCTTGCAAATTGTTTAACAAGATATAATAGAATACATCACTTTTACTAATTAAGATAATTGTTTTAGATTACAAGAAAGTAGTATTAATAAATATAGATTGACGTAATAATATGCAATTTCAAAATTTGATTAGTGATGAATTATATGCATATGCAATATTATTTTTAAAATCTTATGCGATAAAGGATGTTTATTTTGCAAATCTAGAATGTTAAATCTATCAATAAACACACACAAAAAAGAATACATAAAAATGAAGCTTCTATTTAATTATAAATAAAATAGATTAAAAATAAATATATAATACAGATAATTAATTCGTTTATAAAAAATAAATCTTTTAAAATACTAATTTTATCTACAAATTATTTATTATTTACATTATATCAATATCAATTTATGCTAGCATTTCTTGAAACAAGAGACTAACCTATTGTAGTTCTTTTAGTTGAATTGCTTATTATTCTTAATTGAATCACTTAATTTTATCTCTAAATATTTTTTTTAGCTATTATTTTAAAATGAATGTATGTTTAAAATTAAAACATTTTGTATTTTTTAGCAAATATTTAAAATAAATAATGTTATTTCTCCCAAAAAATATTGAAAAATTTATTGAGATTAATTACCTTTAAAGCAAAGGTAAAATCCTATGCAGTTTATGATGTTTAAGCTAATACCTATGGAATCTAGATAAATCTATGAAATATTTAAAAATTTAAAAACCTTTTTAATTTATATAAATTAAATCTTACTTATGAGTAGTCTTCCAATATAAAAATAACAATAAGTAAATGTGCCAAAGCAAATAGGTAATGCACTAGCAAACTCAAAATAAATATTACAATATCTAGATATACATTATTAGACTAATCCCCTGTTACTAAGAAATTTGGATTAAATTATACTTGAATTATATCAATTATGGATGACTAAGGTCTTTTGATAGTCCATTTAGTACCAATTAACTTGCTAAATAGATTTAAAAAAATAAATATACTTGATTTATATTGATAGAAATAAATTAATAATTAATTAATATTTTTACAATTATGAATATGTGTTGAAAAATACGAAATCAACCACAAGTATCAGAGAAAGCAAAATCTGCCAAGGTAGTTTAAACTTAAAAAAATTAATAAAGAAGTACCTAATTATTATTAAAATAGAAATAATAAAAGATTTGTTTTAATGAATGAGATATCTCACATAAATAATATGATAGCTTTAAGGAATAATGTTTAAACACAGACAAAAGGGTTTTCGAGAGTAAGAGATGATGAACTCTTTCTTCTTAATGGTATTTAAATAGATTCTATATTTGATTCTACCTTTTACTCTTCTTCATCTACAAAACTTTCTTCTTAAATAATATCCATATGGTGAGAAACTACTCTCTCCATCCTATCATCATCATTAGATTCAAGCAAAGTTTACTAAATATTTTATACAAATTGTTTAATTTCATAAGCAAATCTGCTAAAAAGATTACTTCAGACATATATAATTTAGGAAATTCTATATTTTTTATAGTTCTTTGATAAAAAATTATTTGATAAATATGTTGTTTACTTTTTCAATATTTATTTTTTTTATAAGATACAATAATTAGTATTGCATGATTAAAGTAAATTAGAAGCCAAATCATTTTTTTCAAATTTTAGTAAATTCATTAAATTTATATCAAGATAACAATCAAATTAAACATCATAAATTTACTTTATAGATTCAAATTAAATATTTTCTAGCAGTCTAAGATAAGTTAAATTTAATTTGATACTACTTTTGAGTCATTAAACATTTATTTTTGTTAATGGATTATATTTTTTAAATTTATTTCTAGTAAAAACAATATTAAAATAAGTAATATATAAAAAAAACAAAAATAATACCATAGGTACACTTGAATAAGAAGGGAGTAAAAATGTTTAATTTTCATTATTTTCTTCTTATCTACTAATTATCAGAAAATCATCTTTATACTACAATTATTTTTATTATAGAGTAGATATGGTATCTTGTTTTTGAAATATTACTTTATAGATAGAAGAGTAGGGAAAAACTAAAAAAGAAAGACAATATTTAAACTAATGAATTAAATTAATCAAAAAATATGAGAGACAGTATAGACTTAAAAATTAAAATAATAAATTTTTGATATTTTTACTAACATAAATATAGAAAATAAATATATGATTATTATTATTTTTATTTCTTTTCTATTAATACAAATGATATTTTGAAGTAAAATAAAATAATAATAAATTTATAAATAGTTATTTATATCATTTTTATAAAATTAAAAATTTTTTTTAATTATTTTAATGTTATGGAAATTCAATAGACTTTTTATTAATATCTTTTGTTTCTATTTTAATAAGAAAAATTCATTAAATGACTATCATTAAAATCTAAATTACGTTTAGTTCTTAGTCCCTTGTCGAATTCTTGAATGCCATAACTGTGAATTCCTATCAAATTAATCTAAAAAATGTTTAAATAATGTAAATCATCATAATAAATATTACTTATAGACTAGTTTTTTTGAAATTTTTCTATTCGATAGGTTCTAAATTTAATTTTAATGTTTCTTAGCCTTTTTTAGTTTTAATTTATTTAAATTCTTTTATGCTTTTTTTATATAATTAATGAGTTTCATGTGATTTAATTACTGGTTCTTAAAGTAATTGTAAACTTAGTCTCTAATTGCTAATTTTTTGGTTTGATTTACTAAAGTCTTTAAGTAGAGTTTAGGAATTTTTTCTAATTTTTGATTGTGAAAGCTCTGTTTCTTATGTAGATATCTAGCTTGATTTAATCCGTGAATGAGTAGGCTTAGTTGTTTTTAGCTAAGATGAATTATTAGAAATTGAATTTTAAGATTAACGATTAATTATTTTCTTATTTATTTACTCAAGTTCGTTTTCAAGTTAAATAATTTTGGTCTCATCATAATAGTTATTATCACTTTAAAAGTGAACTACTTATTTCTAATTTATTTACATTTCTTCGCTTTAGATATTATTGACGTTTAGTTGATGGAAATTTTATTAATCAATAAAATAATTATTTGAATACAGAGGAGAAAGAATTTGTTACATGTCTTCATTTTGGTTATTCATTAAACTTTCGCAATCAAAAATAGGATTTTATACATCAATAGGATAGCTAAGTTACTGTTGTAATTTTGATGTAACATCTTCTTCAAAAAAATTTTGCAAAAGTTTTGAATTTTAAACTTCGAAAACAGAAGAGCTCATCTCTGCTTTTTCATCATAAAATGAAACTAAACTTTCATCGCTATTTTAGTCGTCTAATGAGTTAATGTCTATAAGATAAGGTTAAGTTTAGTGGCTTTATAAGTAACTACTACTTGGAATCATTACTTGTTACTTGTTTGTCATATGTGTGGTTTCAGAATTTATTGTTTGCTATTTTTGAAATTGTTGGTTGGTCTATATATCTGATGTATTAAGAGAAATTCCATCAAATTCTTCTTCAAATTAACTTTCTGAAGCAGTGGATTAATATTTCTTAGTCTGCTATATTTATAATACAGTTTTATTTCTTTCACTTTCATTTAAGCTTTTATTATCATTAAGTTTTAATTTTTCTTCTACATTTAGCAATTCTAGTGTAGTATTAATTTCACAAGAAAACTCATTTTAATTTAATTCTTGAATATATTTTTATGAGTGAATAGAAGAGGGTGGTTTATTTGTTTATTAATTATCTGATGTTAAAGAGTTATTTTAACCTGAAATCTGACAAAAGTAATAAAGATATTAATTATTTGGCGTTGCTTATCTATTAGACTCTTCTTCTTCCTCTTTTTCAAGCGCTTCAGATATACTAGAAATAGGTATTTTTGTTTTGATATTGAATTTCTATACTTCTTAGCAATAATTAAAAGCTTGATTTTAATTATAAGTGTTTTTTTAAAAATATTTATTTAGAATTTGCTCCAATTGAACAGAATTTTTAGATTTTTCTCTATTATCAATTGAATTAATCTAGATACTGTTAAAGTTATTTGTTTTTTCAGTATCTAATCCATCAGGTTATTATGGATTACTGCTGTAAAACTCCATCTAAGATTATTTACTCTTAAGATTGTCTTCGATTATTTGGAATTATTGCAATTTCAATTCAATATCTCTGAAAATGAATTCGAATTATGGAGTTTTCATTTTCTCTATTACAGTTTTACTAAAATTTAAAGAAGTATTTATTTCTTCTATAAGTTTATTGTAATCTTCATCCTTCATTTTATCAAGTTAAAGTAAGTAAAAGTAGAATAAATTTACAAAAATAAATAAAAAAGTAAATAAATGAATTTTTTACTTTATAATTTGTAATTTTTTTTTTTTTTCAGATTATTTTTATTATATTAAAATGTTAAAAGACTTCTACTATTCTATTGATTTTTTTTCAATTTTTTAAAGTTTTTAGGCATTTTGACTGAACATAGTAAATTAAAATCTACTTAATACCACTCTTTATTTTTATTAAAGTGTTGATTTTAAGCATTCCTCTAAGTTACAGTAGCTTTAAAAATTATGTTAAAAGGAAGTAAATCGCTATTAATTATTTTTAGTTTACATGTTTTGAATATAAATAAATAAATACTAAAAGAAATTTAATTCAGTTGACAAAAAATTATAAATCTAAATTTTACCTAAATATTTTATTTATATATTTAAAAAATTAGATCGCTAACTTATTTATTAGGAATGCAAAATTATGTTTTAACTACTTTAGTTTAATGCGTATTTATATATCATTCATTAAAAAATAATTCAGATCAACAACAAATCAATTAGCATGATCAATAATGTTTTTAATATAATAAATATGTAAAAAAAGTTTATTTCATTTTATATATAAAAATCAGAATTCGCACTGAAACAATTTGCGCACTTGAATGGGCTTTTGATGGATTTATTACTTAATTTATTTGAAGGATTTGGTACCATTCAAAATAAAATTAATGCAGTGTAAGATAAATCTTTATTAACGCTGCTTAAATTTTATATTTTCACTCAAAAAAAAAAAAACATTATAAAAAATTTAAGCAATTAAAAATAAGCTTTTCGATTAATAAATTACTCTAAAAAATATAAAAATAAATTATGTTTATTTTTTAACTAATATGTTTATTTATTTTATTAAAATCGGAATTTTTTGGCATACTAAACAAAATAAAATAAATATAAGTGATAAAAAATAGATTTCAAAAAAATTAATAAGAATTTATAACTTAACTTATTTTGTAATTATTAATTTATTCTAATCTTAAAAGGGCTACTAAAACAACTTGGTTGCTTGCTTCATAGAAAATATGCAGTAGAATAAAATATGCCATTAGGATCTATTTCTTTACTTATCACATAAAAGACTAATAACTCAAAAAAATTATTAAATAAAATATTAAGAAATGCTATTGGATATTGTTCTAGCATTTATTTAATAAAAATCTTATAAATTAATTATTTGGTTTATTATTAATTTTTTGCGTACAAAATAAAAACAGAAGTATAAATAAAATAACCATAGTTATTAGCAAAGCAAGCTGTTTGGGATGGCTAAGATGGTTTAAAACTATATTCTACTTGAAGTAGCAGGTAGAGGATAGTTCGGAGAAGTTTACTAAGCGCGTCACAAAGAGACAAGCGAGCTTTTTGCAATTAAAATGTTTGATAGCACGAAATTGCTAAAATCTCCTGTCTATTAGGAAATGCTTATTGATGAAATATAATGTTTAAGAAAAATCAGCCACTAAAGAATAGTTAGGTTCCATGAATGGTTCAAAACAAGCAACCATATCTATTTAGCGTATGAATATTGCTTTGGAGGAAATTTAGATGAAGTCATTAAGCATTATAAGTTTCTTTAAGAAGACGTTGTTTTGAGCCATGTTTTTAAATAAATTATAGAAGGATTCCTTATCATAAAAAAAAGCCATATTATCCACAATGATATAAAACCCAGTAATATTCTATTCAAAAAAACAAATATGAGCACAGAGTCATAAAGTTAATTGCTGAAGAACGATATTTGTATTGCTGATTTTGGTTTTTGCAAATATGTAGGAGAATTTGATAAGGATGAATCTAAAATAATATCACAGGAGCTTACTACAGCAATAAGAGGTTCACCTATTTATATGGCACCAGAAATCATTTAAGGTAGTACTATAGATTATAGCTCTGATGTTTATTCTCTAGGAGTTGTTTTTTATGAAATGTTGCAAGGAGTTTGTCCGTTTGAAGATACTGTTATTGAAAGTTTGCTAATAAAAAAAAAAGAATGCAAATTAGCTTTTCCCCATCCAATATCTGATTTCGCATAGCAGCTTTGTCGAAGCATGCTGGAAGTTGATCCTAAAAAGCGAATTACTATTGAAGAAGTAGCAAATCTTATTGGTGTAGATATTTTAAAAATAAATTAGGAATATTTAAATAGCTAAATTTAATCGAATTCAATTTCAAATACAAATGCATCAGTTTCAGGAAATAATTAACTAGATAACTAGAATTAGTAATAAAAAATGAATAGCTCTAAGGTGGATTATTCTACAATATAATAAGTAGCTAGTAATTAATAGGCAGATAATCAAAAAATAAAAAATTATTAGGAGAGAAGGAAGATAAAGCATGAATTAGGTCTTGGAGAAAAGCAAGCCACTATAGGATAGAACGATGCATAATATGAGAACTTGCAAAGAGTGATGAGTTAATCTAAAACATCTAAGGAAAGCATATTAGAAGTGAACAAGAAAATTCTCAAAGAGAGAAATAAGATGATTTATGTCAACAATATGATTAGTGCAGTTATTGATTTGAATTTATACGAAAATTCAGTATTAGTAGTTCTGATACTGATGAAATAAATGTAGAATCTTTGTAATAAACTAATAACACAGATACGAAGTACTGAACTCACTGACTTTAAGATATCACCTTCTCATTGGAGTAAATATAAAATGAGTTCTGACTATGAAACTGTTTTAAATTATTTGCTAATAGAGCAAAAGGAAATCTAAAAAAATTTTGTTGCCTTCACTGAGCAACTTTCTCCAGAAGAGTAGAGCTCTTTTGAAAAAATAGATTCCTCTCTCTCTAGCAGCACAACAAGTTTTACAAGTAGATTGAATTAAACTACAAATCTGTAGGAAAATGAAAATTACATTAAAGTACTTAAAGAATATTGCACCAAAGTTAAAGAAAAGGCAATTGAGTTTGAGAAGCAAGATAAAAAATAAATATCTTATAGAATGTTAATGCATTTGAATAATGTTTTAGATGGGTTTGATATTGATACATTTTTTTCTAAGTTTATGATTGACGGAATAAAGAGGCTTTCATACTAAACATACTTTCGAGTAATAGAATCATTCTCATATGAAGATTTTGTATAACTTATAAATTTTAAGCTTTAAAAGTACATATGAATATGAATGACATTGAATCAACTATTTAATAACCAAACGAATCAACAATAAATAAAATTTTTAATTCTCTTTCAATTTATAAATAAATTACTATCTTTAATATCTTATTCTCTTTTATTTTCCTAATATTTTATACTGAACATATATTTTTGACATTCAAATGTAAATTCCAAACAAAAATTTTATTTTCAATTCATAATTTAATATCTTAGAATTGTTATAATAAATCAATAATTATCTAATTCACTTAATCAAAAATCAATTATTTATTTAATTTGATTTAAAAAAATATTTTTAAATATTATTAAGTAATTAAAATATTGCAGTTGTTCATTTCTAATTTAAAAAAGTACTAAAATAATTTTACCAAAATAATTTATAAATTTGTTAGAAAGATTAAATTAATTCATAAAAAACATTTTTAATAGAAAATTATGATATTTTTGAACAGATTAATTTATTTAGATCAAAATTTAATTCTTAATTAATACTTATAGATCTGTTTACTAGGAAAATGACGATATTTTTATATTTTTGTTTGAATTATTTGCAAAAAAATTAATTAAAAAATTATATTCCAATTTAGTAGAAAGTTATGATTCATATTGGTGAAGTTACTAGTTAAATTTATAAAAATTGTATTTTTATTTGTGGTAATAATATATAATTCAAATATTGTTTAAAAAATCGACTAAATTTTAATATAGAACCATCATTTACTCAATTAAGAAGAAAGCTAAATTAATAATATATTTAACTTATGCAGTTTGCTTAAAATATTGGAACATGAAAATTTATTTTGCTACGTTACTACAAACTTATATTTTTAATCATTACTCATGGCTTATTTTGTATAATATATAAATTTTTACTAAGTATTATTAGTGATAGTTCATACTCAAATTAAATTTCATTCAAAAATAACTAATAAAAAAGCTTAAAATTTTTACCTAAATTTTTAAAGTATTTGCACTAAGATTTACATCAAAAATTGTTAGTATAAGATTAAGAGGATTAAAAAACATTTAATCTATAAAGAAAAGAATAAAAACAATATATCAAATAATATAAAAATTAGATTTCTTAAATATGAATAGCCTTCAATAACTCAATAAATTTACTTTGACTTTCAACAACAAACACTTAGAAGGCGAATTTGGCAAAGTTGATCATAAGCTAGTAAATTTTTATTACTTACTTCTAAAATAATATTCATCACAACATGACTAAACTCTACTTTTATTTGCTATTAAAAAATAATAAATAGTGGAATTAAGCATACCAAATGGGAATATATTTAAATAATTAACACATTTTTCATCTAAAATTAGAAAAGCTATTTAATTATCACAACTGCCTTCCTTTATTTTTGCTAGCTTGTAATATATTTAAGTATTAATGGAATTAATATTTCTCTTATAGTTTTTTCATGCTTAGTCATTCTACTAGGTATTTTGGGTAAATTCCATTAAAAACTGCTTCCTTTATACAATTTAGTAATGTAGTCGTTTTGCTGCTACTTTCTATCAACTTATGTTGTTTATTCTGACATGCCTATATGGAGAGCTTTTATGAATGGATAAGTAAATATTTTTAATTTATTATGAAATTATAATGTAATTAATAATTTTTCATTATTAATTACATAGACAGTAGGATCAATTTTTCTTTTAGGGAGTAAGTCTTTTATTTTCGATACAATAAGTGTCTTAGTGAGCTAAGGAATTATCATGTATATTTGCAAACCTCCTGTTTAAAACTACCTTGATTTCTTTCAAGTTGCTTTTATTAATATACTTACTAAATACATTTATTATTTGTTTGCACGATAAACCTTTATTAATCAAAGAAGTATTGATTCGTGGTATAGTGCAATAGACAAGCTATTTTAAAATAACATTATAATCACAAAATTTGAACCTAGAACTTGTAATATCAGTCTTCATGGTAAATATTTGCTTTAATAATCTTTATATCAGCAAAAATTATATTTGTATCCGATGCCAATTCATATTTTAATTAAATTATTTCCATAGAGTGTAATGAATATGCAAGAAGATTTAATATTCACCAAAGTGATGATTTATTCAGATAATTCTTGATGAATGTGAAACTTTAATCTGAAAAGAGAAATAGTAGGCTTAATTCAACTCGAACAACTGCGAATTCTGTGGATTTCATCTCATTGAAAGAATATTTAATTTAAAAATATTATAAAATTACTAACAATAAACAATAATCGATGAAATAAATTGGAGAAGAACTGATTGGTTTCTATGAAAAATAAAAATAAGTCATAAGAATAAAAATGAAAATCGGACTTCTTTTCCAGGATGAACCTTATTTAATTATAACATTCAATGATAGGATTGATGAAGATAATATAAAATGTTTAAAAAAGGAAATAAATATACTAAAATCTCTCTTTATGATCTCAACTATTAGTAATAAAATAAAAAGCATGGAGATTAGTAACTATTTATAGATAAACAACTTTTGGTCAGCTAAATAAAAAATAATATAGTAATACATCTCCCTAACAAGTATAGAAGAATATATCAAATAAATAATTTAAAAAGACACTATTTAGTAAATTACCTACAATAAAATTAGTATGAAGAATTTAGTTGATCTTATCAAAAATATTTATCCGACTCTTAAAATTGAAATAGACTCTTAAACTTTATAGACAATTATTACTAATGATCTACAAAAAATTAAAACGACAATTTTTTACCTTTTAAGCTTGATAAATGAATAAAATCAGCACCAATGTGCTCATAATTAAGAATAATGGAATCAGAAATTTAATATCCAAAGAATAAATTCCTTTTAAAATGTAATTTTTGTTAAATTGGTAAAAATTTTTAATAATCTTTTATAAAAATAGTGTAATACTGATAGTAGTACTATTTCGTTAGTGATTTAAAATAAATAAAGTTTTCTTTATGATTCAATAAGCTTTTAATTCAAAGGAATTGATAGCAGCAAAAGAGATAATCAAGATGAAATTTCATCTGAAAAAGTAATAAATTAGAGTGGATTTAGAGAAGAATAAATTGTGAAAGAAATTTAAAAAGAATGCATCAGGTATTATATTTCACAAATAGGACCTAATAATAGTCTGCCAGAAAAGAAGCTTATTTAAAGCGAAAATTAATTTGTTTATGAATTCGAAATTTTCAAAGACATCAAAAACTTGTCTAATAAAAAAGCTAAAAGATTTAGTGAAAAATTTAAATTACAAAAATCAAGCTCTAATTTAAAACCTGAAAATTTTATAAAATAAAAAAATTTCTCTTTTCACACACCAGAATATTTAATTTTCAATCAAAATATACGCTATAATACTAAAATTATATCTAATAACTCTTTGCTTCTTGAGTACTGCCAAAGATTAAATAGAATAGAAAAAAAATAAAAAAATAACTCACCGGTAACTTTAATTTTTCATCAACACTTTATTTAATATTAATTATTTATTATCTTAAAAATTGAAGCATTTCAGCCTAACAAACCCAGATTTTATTCAATCTAATGAGATATATCTAAGCGAAATTACAGATGAAAAAGAAAAAGAGGAAACATCTTCATTTAACATCTAGCCTTAATTTACTACCGAGACCAATCGAAACATTCCTTAAACCTTTCTTTCAATAAACAATAATGATCTAGCTTTAAAAACATAAGAAAATGCATGAATATAAAAATCTACTTTTAATAAACAAATATTAATTAATACTAAAAAACAAATATGTAAACATCAAAATTTTAATCAATTTAAACATAATTATATTTAAATGTATTTAAAATTATTCAAATAAATTTTACTGTAAATTTAGTTTTATTGCATGTTAATAAAGTATTTAACATTTTTTGTTTTTAATATTAGATTAAATTTTTATTTTTAATCATAAAAAATATGATTTATCTAAAAATTATTAATTGTTTAATATAGTATATTAAGATGACTTAAATCAATAGTGAAAAATATTTTTGAGAATAAGTTTGAAATTTTAAATATTTTTTTTACAAATAAAATTAATGAATTTATCAAATTATAAAAAAAATATATTTTAATTTAAATATTAGATTAGTAATTAAATATCAAAAAATATAAAAATTCAGTAAGTAACTGAGTAAATAAATCAATATTAAATAAAAATCTAATTAATTAATTATAGTAGTAAATAAATACGTTGAATTGGAATTGAAAAAACCTATTTTAAAGAGAGGTTTACTTTATATATATATAGAGGCGTACAATATATTTTCTTGCTCAGTGTATTTATATTTAATAGTTTAGCTATACATAGAATCAAGCCATTTGAGTAGTATTTGATATATTGATGAAATTCATTTTGCTTTTGCTTGTAATCAAATAAAAATGTTTATTAATTTTAAAATACAAGCAATTTTTTGAGTAAGATTTGAATGGTTAATTTTTTGAAATTTAGAATTTTTAATTTCCAATTTCTCATTCATTTTTCATCTTTGAGAAGGAGTTCTTCTAGGTTAGCCTCCTCTCTATTCATTGTTAGGGAATGTATTGTTTGAATAATTTCTTACAAACATTGATCCTTAAACTCCCATTTATGAGTATTCATTTGCAAATAATTCATTCATAACTGGGCCTTATAGGTTCTAGTAATAGTATTATCCTGCCATATAGTCTTAATTGAAAATACTTTAATATTATTACTACTCGTAGTATTATTATGATTGGCTGTTTAATTGTCTTTCATCTTCATATTCGCTCAATCCAAAAATTTGATTTTTAATGCTATCAAAGTTTATTTTTTCTCTTTCTTTTAATTTGAAATAAACTTTCATTGTCATCAAACTATCACTACCTGCCTAGTGCTAAGGTCCAATTCTTTCAAGCTGATATAAAATTATTTTTATTTATTTTCTTAAGAAATAAATTTACAGGATTATAATTTCAAATTCAATTTATAATATAGAAAAATAAAATAAATATACATCTAAGCTCTTTGAGAGTTTCTCTAAACCAAGGTATTTGAATCCATCAATTTCTTATATAATGAGTTTGACATCTATTGAAAGAGGGAAGTAATGGTGCTATTATTCATAGAATTCCTTGCATGTATTAGGTAACTTTTAATCAATTAAAGTCTTCAAGAAATAGCAGTAATCAAAACCACCATGGAAAGTAACCCAACAAATATCTTCATTAAACAACAAACCACTGCTATACATTAATTCTGCAAAATCGGCTGGTTGTATACCCCTTCTAGCATGGTCTTTGAACTGAATTCCAGATTCCTCTAAAAACTTAATTGCTTCCTTATTGCATGAATCCTTGCTTTTATGAACAAAAGTAATATTAATTAGTTGGCAAAAAAGGTTCATTTGAAATTTAGGTTTTAAGTATTTAAAATGTAAATAAATTCAACACAAAATATATATAATATTGAGTTGTGATTGTTCCAAAATTAAAATTCATTTTATTTTTGATTTCTTAGTATAAATAAATTATTGATTGATTACTCTTTATTGAATGCAAAGTTAAATTGAAAAGTACATGCTGAAGGATAAGTACCATCACTTTTAGCAAAAGTTAAGCCGATTTAAATTGTATTCAAATTATCTGCATTCTGTTTGATTTTAAGGTATTCTGTCTAAGCCTTAATTTATTATAAATTATAATTATTTAATTATTTATTAATTATTTTAAATTTTATTCTAAAAAATTCTATTATTTTTTAGTTGTTTATATGTTTTTTTATGACTTCTTTAAATTATTTTTAATATATATTTTACTAAAATCATTTTCAATTAAATACAATTAAAAAAAATTATAATTTATTACTGTTTGATAAAGAACACCTGGAAATTCTGTATCCTAATTTTAAAAAATAATAAATGTGAATTATAATAAAAAGATAGTTTGTTTTCATTTTTATTTTTAATCTGATTCATCAGTAAAGCATTGTAATATCTTAGCTAATATTTCACAAATTAAGATATCATTTTTACTTAAAATAAGCAAAATAAAATGTTTTTTAGCTAGTTTAACCTGAAATAAATATTGAAATCGCTTCTTAAATGGTCTATCAAAATAAATTTGTATATATGCTTCAATTTAATTTAAACAGATGAATAGCAACATCGTATTTTTATGATGAAAGATTAGCATAAAATATGAAAACAATGTGATAGAAGACAAGGAAAATTAATTACTAAAGCGACAAATTGACATTCTTCAGCGAGATCTTAAATCAACAAGAATTCTTTCTCTAGATTATCTTACCAAACCTCCCTAATTATCTCGCCTTCTTTTGAAGATTTATCCCTTATTTCATTTTATTAATGAAAATGATGATTTCAATATTTTGAATACATAATATCATACAAAAATAAGCTGCAAGCATAAAAAATGCTGCATCATTTTCATAAAAATTTAGCTACCCTAATAAGCTCTACTTACTAGTTGTAGGAGGTTGATTATTCATTTGACACAGATCAACAAAAACCACAAAAATAAAAATGCTTCAATTCTTCTTGTTTTGCTTGGCAATAAATAGCTGCTATACTTGCTTGCTTGCTTGATTTATTTTACTTGTTTATTTCAAAAAAATTATATTTTCTCCTTCTGCTTTTATTAATTTTCTAAATCTTGTCAATATTTTGTTTAATTAAATTAATAGAAAATATTACTTTCAATATTATATCAGAATATACATCATCATCATATATATAAGAATCGATATTATAATGCACTATTATTCCATCTAATTTCAATATTACTTAGCACATATTTGCATGATCTTCTCCTTCATTCCTACATTATGAAAATATGTTTTAGCTTGTAAAAACATAAGCTTTTAGAAAATTTTATCCTTCTACCTAGCAATAACAACTAATATATTTTATCTGAGCTAGTCCTAACATCTGTTGCAAAACAATTATCTGAAATAAAATGATTTGATGTGATTAAAAACTATTTTAATTAAAATTTTATTAAACATATTTAAAATTACAGCAGTAATTATATCTAAAAAAGAATATCTCTAAAAAAATATGAAATAATTTAAAGCATCTATTTAACAACAAAACATACAAAATTAAATAAAAGAAAGATACTGAGTTTATTAAAATATAAAATAACTAAAAATACATTTAATGATAATTTCAAATAATTTTATTTTGTTATTTTTAAGAGATATTTAAAAAACTTTTTTAATTATATTTTTGATTACAATTTTTGTTAATTTATCATTTTATATTTTATGAAATAATAAACATTTTACCAAAAATAAAAATAAATTTAATGATATTTAGAATTAATTATTTTATTTTTTTTAATGAATGAATTAATTCTATTTTTGACTTAATTAATTACTTAAGATATATTAAATATTCCCATATAGTATATTTTTCATTTTAAATCTAATTGATTTTGAGAATTTTGGAAATTAGGATTCAACATTTAACATTTTATTAGAAAAACATTTAAATTAATTTTAATATTTACTTTTAAATATTTGTTGTATTATTTACATTAATTATCAGTTGAAGTTGGTTGAGTTGATTCAATTTTTTTATTTTATTACAAATGAATCTAATGTAAAACTGTTTTTTTACTATTTTTTTTAATCAGACTTTCTATTTTTTTTATCACTTTACTTTGTCTTTGTATCTTATTTTGTGGTATAATTATTTAATATAGAAACTGGTTTTTTTTCTTCTTTCTATGTATTTTATTAAGAATTATTTTATTCAAGCTTATTAAATTTCTCCTCTTAGGCTTTCATACAGTTTGTTATATGATTATTAACAAATGTAGCATTACCATAAGAATCGAGTTATAAAAAGCATATTGGACATTCAAATAGCCTAGGAATAAATTTTTTTTTCAATTTTAACTGCTCTTCAACCTATTGTGGAGTAAGTGCATCAGCAGGAACTCTCTTTTTATTATTCATTTATGATCCTGAATTATGCTCAATATATTGTTAGGACATATATTCAGCATTTTCATCATATACATACATGGAATTGCTATTTTCTTTTTCATTTTACACTTTATTAGGAAATATATTTCTATTTATTCTAATATCTAACTTAGAGGACTCTTCAGAACCCATCATCAGATGCATATATTCTTGTGATTATATTGATTATTACTAGAAGCTAATTTCACTTTTTTCTGATTTTCTTTAATAGTATTGAGTCTAATTTATTTACTAAGATTAAAATTGTTTATTTTAGTGAGCCGTTTCAGGTATCATTTATGTTTCTTTTTGTTAAATAGAGCCATTCCTTTAATTTTAACTTCCTCCACTCTATTGTATAAATTAAGGTGTCATAGAATTATTTTTATCTGATAATGACTATCTTTTTTCCTCTTAACTTTTTTTTTCAGATATCTAAGAAAGTCTTTCTGAAACATTTTTATTTAAAATTTTTTTTAGGTAAATTAAATCATCATCGTCGTCTTCGTCTCCATCTTCATCGTCATCATCATCATTTTCATATTCTTCTTATTTTTATCTGTTGTCTATTTCGCTTTCATTTTTACTTTCACAATCACTTTCATTTATATATTACTTATTATCTTTACTTATTTAGAATTACTATTAATTGTTACTATAACTCATTTCATTCAACATACTCTCTTAATGTTTTGTTTATTTTTATAACTTATTACATGAGTTATTTTCTTAAAAAGAATCTTCGTTTTCATCCTCTTGATCCTCACTTTCATATTTATCTATTAAGCTTAGGAATGAGGGCTAAATTAAATTATTTGAATGTGACTTTTATAAATTATTTGGATTTATACTGAAATTAGATGCTTCTTAATGATTAGAAACGTCTCCTAAATTTTTATCATTAAGAAGTCCTTTTATTTTTTAATTTTAATAGACATTTAAGCTTGAATTATTCTTTTCTTAATTACTGAAATAAGTTGTCAAGGAATTTTGGTTTTTATTGTCAAATGATTTTTTAGAACTCTTACTTGAAGATTAAATTCTTGAATTGTTTAAACTTTTATCATTTTTAGCAAAATATTTGCTCAATCCTTGGTTTTTTAGCTCATTTTCATCAGCTAATTGACTTAATCTAATTCCAATTAACCTCAAAGGCTCAGTAGGTAATAATTCTTTAACTAATTCCTTAGCTACTTTCTCAATTTACTCACTATCTTAAATATATTTATCAAGCATTCTGTTTTTAGATCTCATTTAAAATTTTACATTTTTAAAAGAAACAGCCAAATGCTTTCCAATTTTTTATTCTGCTTTAGCATCTTCAGCTAAAAGCTGAGAAATTTAATGTATTTTTTCGTTTATTTCCTCTATAGTTGATATTGCTTAAAAAGTTCTACTTACTGAAAGACTTTTTTTCTCCGTCTCTTCTTCATGCCATGAACGACCTATACCTAAAGCACTAGAAACTAAGTGATCAAAAGAAAGATCTTTAAAACATATTTTTATATCAATAACTCTTTCTAGGATTTAGCTACATTTTTCTATTCCAATACCTTTCAAGATTTATTCTGTCACATTCCCAATCCCAGGGATTTTTCTAATAGGCAAATCTTTCATAAAATCCTTAATTTTTTCTTCATCATTTATCAACTAAAACTAACCATTGGGCTTATTCATATCTGAGCAGATCTAATAAATTTATAAAACAAACAATAAATAATTTTTTCCTTAAATTATAACATACTTTAGCTAGCATTTTGTTTGGTCCAATACCACAAGAACAAGTTAGACCTCCAGTGGATTCAAAAACCTGATTTCTAATAGAATGACATAAATCGTATATTTGTGCATCTGAGTTAATATTATTTTATTGTAAATAATCTGTTATATCCAGATTAGCCTCATCTAGCCCCATGCTTTCTAAATTAGGATCATATTAGTATAAGACTTTTTTGAATTAATCACTTGCTTTTCTATATTTTTCAAAATTACAAGGAATTAAAATTAATTAAGGACATAGCTTTTTAGCAATGAAACCAGGCATAGCAGATCTTACACCAAATTTTCTAGCAACATAATTAGCTGTACTAATCATTGACATACCACCAACAGCCACTGGCAAATCTCTATTAATATAAAATAAAAATGTAAATACTATTTTATAAGCTAAAAATACTTTAATTGAGGTCTATCCTTAAGTTCGCAAGCAACATAAAACATATCCATATCAAAATGAACCCAAATCCTATCAAGCTGAACTAATTATTTAATTTAATCTAATTTATCTTCACATTCTTTCTTGACTTTCAAAAGCTTAATATGATCTTATTTGGTTTGTTCTATTATTAATTTCATTTCTTTAATCCTTTCATCATATTAATCCCTTTTCACTTACTATCTTTTATAAAATTCACTTGATTAAGTGGTTTCATTAATAATTTTATTTATTTTTTCTTTATCTACATTATCTAAACCAGCTTTATTTCCCACAAAAAGGTATTGCACCTCTCCTTTTTGCTATTGATTTTCTTCTAAATTATGTTAGCTTTAAGACATTTCAAATTCGAAATTTAATTAGAAAGCTAGTGATTTTAATTTTTTAAATCAAAATAATTAATAATTTGCGCTAAACAAAAATTCTTTATAAATAAAGTTGTTAATTAACTTTGAATATTAATATTTTAAATTATAAAAATTACGGCGCAAATTGTTTCAACGTAAAAATTAATTCTAAATGTTAATTTTTTGTGAATCATACCATACATATATTTTTTTAGTTTCAAAACAATAATTATTTTCATTTAAACTAAACTAAAAATTATTTTTAAATTTTTAATGAATAAATCATATAAAATACACTATATTTTTCTTATTTATCAAAATTAATAAAATTTATTAAATTTGAAGAAATTATATACATATATTATATTTTAAGAAAGTAGGGAGGGTTCAATTAGAGAATATAAGAAAGAAAATTTAAGGTAAGATTGAATATATTTTTGAGAAAATATTTAAGCTTACTGATAAAATGAAATTGTTTTTACTAATTTCCTAACCCATATTTTTCAAATATAAGTTTTTCTAATATAATTTGAATTAAAAATGTTTACCATCTATAAAAAAAATTTAATATTTAAAGGAATTTATATCTACAGTATTAATTTTATATAACTACAAATTTTATTATATTATTTATTTTTACTTTCAAAACATTCTTATTTAGTAATCGCCATTTTTAGTTACATAACGAACCCATGGAAGTGCATTATAGCCACTTCTCTCTTCAACTTTAAGATATCTAACTTAGAAGCCGCTAACAGTGTAATATGGAATTTCGAAATTAATAGAAATAGGTACTTATTTATATTTTTCTCTACCAGGAGAAGCAACTGTGGGTAAATTGAAAGTGCATTACATGATATATTCTTTTTGACCAACAAATTACTTGAAGCTCCATTTGATAGCTTCGCGTCCTTAATCCCAGATTGATTTACCAAAAGCACACTTAAATTCTGGTTTCTATACATCTTCAGGAACAGGTATATATATGTCGACATCATTTGCTGTTGATTTCTCTTTAAAATTAGACTTGGCTTTTACCATTATTTCAATTTTAGTTGGTTTAGGTTGGGTAATAATTACATCCACTTAGAAGAGAGGCTTAATTTGAACAGGAATTCTTTATATTTTTAAAATAAGATAATTTAAATGACATTTAATGATTTTACCTATATGAAATCAGTTCGAATTCACCATCAGGAGGAATAAAAGTAATGAGCCTTTCATTTTCAAATTTAGATAAACGAACACATTAATGGAATTTCATATCTTCAAAGTTAATTGTTCTTGCATTTGTGGATCTACCTATAGCTTCAAAATATGCTTTATCATTTAAGCCGAGCTTACAGTCAGGCATACCTGAAAGCATAGAATTTGCAACTACATTACCTATGATTTCAGCTTCAATAACGTTACCAGTTTTACCAATTAGCATATTTAGCTTTTCATAAACATCTAAGAAGATTTCATTCTTTTTATATTTAATTCCTTCAGGTCTCCATGAAATAGCTGCTGTTGACATAGTTGCATACTTTGATAAATTTTCTTCTTTTTTTTCTTTTCCTCCAAAGAAAGAATCTATTTTTGTAAATGAAAAATGATTTAATTAGTTTACATCATTAATAATATCTCATATAAATAAATAATTAGCTTAGAAGATTTAAGCCATTTTATGAGTGACAATAAATCAAAATTTGCACAATCATGATTTTCAAATTAAATTCTATTTTTGAAATATTGATTTTAATATTTCTGTAAAATAAGCTTGAGGCTATTTGAGATAAATTAATTACCTTTAACTAGCTCATGACTTTCTGTTTTAATAAATTCAGATAAGTTTTTGCAGTCAGTAATTTGAGGATATCCATTATCTAAAACTTCATCTAATAATTCATAAATTACTACAAAATTATCTCTGACAGATTCTTCTTCCAGCTCTTTAAAATAATGAACTAAAACTTCGATAAACTAATACAAGAAGGCAAAAACCATCATAACATTAGTATTTCTTCTTGTAATGATCAAAAAAGTTAAATTGTTGTGATTTCTATAAATGTAAGTATTTCCAAACTCATCTTAGACAATAGGCTTTTGATTGAATTCATCAAATTCAACTAATTTTTTATTAAATGTTTCAATTACATGCACTTGTAAATCAGCACGATAAACTCTTTGAATAATAACTCTTCCTTTATTATTAAGGATAAATATTCCTGAAATTCCAGACATTTTTTAATTGTTAGCTAATGATCTTTTACCTTTTTTTTATGAAACCTAATAACTTGTTTTGTATGTTGGATTAAATAATTAATATCTTTTTATTTTTGATATTAAGCTTATTAAATCTTAATCTGATTTATTTTAAAATTTTTTGTTTATTTTAACAATTGCAAATTTAATTAAATGATAATTAATAAGAAAAGAATATCAAATATATCAAATTCAATCAACACATATTTAAACACACGCATGCAAATCTTTCAATCTTTTGAAATAAATTTTTTAGAGCATTCACCAGAAATCGAATTTTGATTAGCTTTAATTAAAAATTAATTTAAAATTAGATTAAGAATAATCCGTAATTTATTTATTTATTTATACCAACCAGATACGATACATATTTCTAACATAAATTTAGGTAGATAGATATATACTTTAAAAATATTTTCTCAAATTCTTTTTTAAGGAGTAATAAAAAACATGTTTGAATTTATAATTTTAACTTTATCTTTAATTATCTTAGATTCTTTGTATCTTCTTTGTCTGTGATATATTTCTGCTAAGTTTAACATATTTTATTATACTACTTCGTGCCTTTCTCCCATAAACCTTTTATTTATTTCCATACTTTTATATTGATAATCTGTTGCTAATCCCATGTATCCTAGCTATGTATATATTTTACTTAAAAGCTCATAAGGATCTGCTAAATTAATATCGTCTTCTCCATATTCATTAGCTAAAAGCTTAATCCCTTAAAGTATTAATTCCAGAGATTTCTCAGGTTTATTCATTTCCAAGTAGTAGGCAGACAAATTGACTAATCCAGATGCATAAAGTGGGTGTTAGTTTGAAAATAAAGATTCAATCATTTCTAATGACTTATTTTAAGTTTCAATAGCTTGCAAATACTCTCCTAATTCACTTTAAACCTCTGCTAAATTATCAAGCAATCTTGCCCACTCAGGGTGTGCTCCTCTCTCTTCACAAAGTACAGAATAAATATTTATTGCTTCTTCTAAGCATTCTTCAGACTTTTTAATATAAAAAATTTATAAAATAAATGCTTTTAAAAAATATCAAAAATTATTCCTTACTTTCAAAAAATCGTTTGCCTTTTGGAAGATCATAGAAAGCACTTCGTATGTTGATGCTACATTAGTAGTATTTTTCCCAAAGATGTTAATTCTTAACTATAGAGCTTCAAATCCATATTAAATAGCTTCCTCAATTTTGTTATGATGACAGAGGAGATGAGCTAAGTTATGAACCAAAGTTGATACTTTAATATCATTTTCGGGTGAAATTTGCTTTAAATAAAAAAGTGCTTCCTTAATTGCTTCAATTTACTAGTCGTATAATTCTAACTTTTCAATAGTGCTAGCATACTTACAAAGCATCTATACAACATCTGAAATTTGATTGTGGTTTTTGAATATTTAAATAATGATTTGCTACTTCTAAGATGCTTCAACAAAATAATTGCCTGCAAAGTAGATTTCAGTTAAATCTCTCATGCCATAAGCATAATCAAGTGAATTTTCACCAGTTACCTAGTTGTTTAAAAAATAAGTTTACTTTTATCATTTACCATATATCATTTATTACATTTTTTAACATATGCACTGAAGCCTCTGCGTATTTCATTGCTTCATCATGATTTTATAAGTGGGATAAAGACTTAGCAATACCAATTAGAGAATTAGCAACAGGAATGTTTTCTTATCCATGAAGTTTTCTATTCATAGAAAGTGATTTTTCTTATAACTCGAATGCCTTTTCATACTCCTCAGTGATCTCATATAGCTCTGCTAACCTTATTAAAGCATCGGCAATATCAGAATGTGCTTTATTCCTGTGATATTTCTCAAAAATTTCTAAAGCTCTTCTTTCTTCTTAAACAGCTTCATTATAATTTTCTCTCAATCTTTAAATTTTTGCAAGATTTGAAACACATAAAGCTGTTTCTCTATTATCATTTCCTGCAGTTTTTTTCATCATTTTATAGCTTTTATCAGCATATGTATGGGCTGTTTCCAAATCCATCAACTCAATATAATATTTACTAATTTAAAATAAAGACTATGCAATAATTTGATGTTCTTCCCCATATTTCTTTTAAAAGTGAAAAATAGCAGTTTCGATGCTTTCTATAGCCTTCTGATAGTCATTTTCAATTTATATGTATAATTTAGCTATCTAAGTATAAGTACTAGCTATTATAGCCTCATCTATATATTCTTTATCTGATCTTTTATCTTTCATTTCCTTATTTCTTTCTTAGTAGACTACTACTATTTTGTTTTTATAATAGAGAATTTGCTTCAATTAATTAGGCATTTAAGGCTATAACTCTATGAGTTCCAAGATTTATTCATAGTAAGGCAGCAGTCTTGGATCTTTATCCGGATACTAACTGCCATAATATTCTAGTAATCTCAAAACTTGTTCATATTATTTTGGATAATCCTTGCACTCTCCATATAATTTGCTTAATTGCTTTACTAATTGAATAACCTTTTCCTTAGAATATTCTTTGGGTGGTTTCTTCTCTTATTCCTACAACTCCCCTAAAACCTTTTCTAATTCTTTATTCATTTAAGTGCGATTACAAAATGTTTTTTAACTTTAAATATTTAGTAATTAAATTTGTTTTCTTTATGATTTATTAATATCAATTTAATAATTTAATTAAGTACAGCCACTCTTTTTAACATAAGAATATTAATTAGAACTTTTTATTTGAGCTATTTTAATTGCATTTAAATACTTAAACTTTTAAATAGAATTAAATTTTATTAATATATCCAAGCCAACTAAAAAAGGTTACATGAATTCTTATCCAATTAATTCTAAATACAGAATCCAAACCAAAATGTATTTATTTACTAATTATTTATTCTTTAATCTTAACAAAAAAAATTAGCAAAAATTAAAAATGAAAACAAATGATTCAAATGATTCGATTGAGCAATTATAATTATAGTTAAATTCAATATAGGCAGATAAATGGAAGATATATACAACAGTTCTACTAATTATTTATTATAATTATTTTATTTTTCAATTAAATTTAATTCTATTTTTTCAATAGATCTCATTGCTTTTTTTATGATCTTTAATTTTAGCTAGGAATATGGTGATTCTACTTTTTTTTATCTAAAAAGTCTTCTGCTATTTTAGTGAATTTATTCTTATTCATCAAAGTAGAATGAACTTCCTATTCGTCCAAAGTTTAATCTTTGTTAGGGTTGTAGTTAACACTTTGCTGTTTATTAAATTAAAATTAAAATTTTTTTAGAAAAATTTCCTATAATAAATAAAATAATTTAATAAATATTTTTTTACTGTTATTTTTTGTTTGAATTCTTTAACTGGTATTTCATCAGTTTGCAGTGTACTGGTCAATATGACTGGTAGGTCATTTTTCTTAGCTAAGTATAAAAGCTATTCAGTGATAAACGATTCAAGATCAGCTTAATAAATAAATAAAACATATTACAAAAATAATCCTTGAATATTTTAAATAATTACATAGATAATAGTCAAGGGTGCTCTCATTTAAAATTAATCCATTTTAAAATTCAAATTCCTTCTTTGAATCGATTACATTGAATTTGCTACCAGCAAATCTTACTAGCAGTTTCTTTCAAAGAAAAAAATAAATTTTATATTAATTAAAAATTGTTTTGTTAAGAAGTTTACTTCTAATTATGGACATATCTTATCTAAAAAAGATTAAAATTCATTTGCACTGTTTTACTTAACTTTTAACATACTTTCAACTTTTTTTCTAAATTTTTCATCATCAGGTGTTGAAAGCAAAACTCTCTTCTTGTCTACATTTTCTTTTTCTTACTCTTCTATCTTTTAACTAATTTCATTATTTTAGTCTTTCATATGGTCGATTTATTGATTTAAGACATCTACATAAGTTAGTCTGTTGATATGAATAAATTATTACTTACTTATTTATTGAAAAAATAAATTTATTTGTTACAATGAATAGTTTTGCTCTTCAGATTTGATAAATGTATTTTAAATTTCGACTATATCTGTTATACCAGTAGTTTCTTTGATTTAATTAAAAGCATCATCTATTATTGTCATATTTCTAATATATTAGTCAATAAGCCTAACTTTTTCTTTATTTTTCTTTTTTTGGTAAATAAGTAAATTTAACTGCTTTTAATAACCATTCAAATAAAAAAAGATTTACATAAATTATTTTCTAAAGTCTTCTTTTGAGGACTCCAGAGGTATCGAAAGTATCTATTAATACATCTCCTGACCTTTCGATTCTATTATGAGTATTCATACTTTTATTTAGTCTCTCTCTCCTTACTTTCTCTTCCTTCATTCTATACTGATAAAATTGTTAAAAAGTATATTTAAGTTCCAATTTTTTGCCATTTTTTGTATTTCAATAATACCTGAAGTGAATCTAATTCTTTTTAATAAGTTTCTTTATCCATATCATTCTTTTATCTAAGGTCATACATTTATTACTAATTCATTACTTTTAATATTTTATCAAGATAATTTTTTTGTTTTCAAAATTTAATTTACCTGATTTTTAAGCTTTTCTATCATTTTCTTCAGCTAACTATTCAGTTTGATTGTATGATTTTTCAATCTCTTTTTATAAGTTATCAATTTACTCTATACAGAGCATTCTTTATTTTCTTAAATTATCTATTTCAAGCTTTACTTTTTCAACACTGTCTAATGCATGGTCTTTTCTCTTCTCGTACTTTAAATTTCAAATTTTACAAACTTTAAATTGATTTTTTTCTATTTACCAATTTTATTTACTTAATCGATGGCTTTTTTAAGTGTTACCATATGGCTTGTTGCTTATTTGTTTTTAGAGTTTTCTTATATTTTTTTCATTTCTTTTATTCTTTCTTTTCTTTCTTCGCTTTCCTTATTAACTTAATTGATCATATGACTTATACTATATAAACGCCTTTCATATTAAATTAAAATAAATTTTTAGTTTAAAATGTTATCAATAGCTCAAATTAGCAATCTTAAAATAACATGAAAAAACTTACTTTTTTTCCAGCTCTAATTTACGTGTATAGGTATCAATTTCTCTCTACATAGTTACAACATCACTTTCCATATTCATACTCTTATTATTTCTGTCAGAGTATGAGAATGACCTATTGCTTGACCTTGACATTTTTATTGTTTGTGCTTGATTTATTATTTATTTATTAGATGATCAATTTAATTAATTTATCTAAATATTAAACTTCGTTATCTTTTGCTTTTTTTTGATTGTTTGTTTATCTGTTTGTTAAAATATATATATGAAAATAACTTTTCGTTGAAATCAAATAAATACTTTGGCTCCATACATAACACTAAGGGAGTAAATAAATATATTATAATTACTATTAAAATAAATTTGTGGTTTGGATTGTTTGTGTATATTTAATCAATATTTGCTGCTTATAATCCAAAGAAAATTAGAATTTTGAATTATCTACTTGTAATAAATTAATTTACATTAACAAGTTAAAATTTTGGTTTAATTGATACAAAAGTAGAATAAAATATTCAAAAATGTTAAATGAAGCTATTCAATAATTAATTAATCAAAATATTATGATGAAAATTTTAATTTTTATAAGTATTGAATTTTTAATACTGCATTAATTCAAATATCTACCACAGTTTGAAACATTTAAATAAATGAATAATTATCTGATCAACTAAATAAAAATTTATTATCAGAGCATAAGAGATAGTTATAATTATATGGGTTTATAGCAGGAACTATATTAACTTAATCTAATATCTATCCAGGGACCTTTGATTGAATGCAAGCAAATGCATATCTGTTAAGTAAAATGGATAATATTCTTTTCCATTTTTCAGATTCAGGAATTTTTGTCAGTACATCATTTATTTACTTCTGCATACCCTCTTGAGTCGATTCAGTGCTCATTAAGACAAGAGTTACTTCAATCGAGCTTAAAATAATACTTTTTTTCTACTTAACTAACTCCTAAATTATTCCTTTCAAATTTTGTTGAATTTCACTACTTGTTTTTGATCTTTAGTAGTTAGGCAGCTGTTCAGAAAAACCTTGGAGCTCCATTGCTCTAATCAAGTCATCTAATCTTGATGAGTTCTTTACTTTCAAAAACTCTTAACGAGAAGAAGTGGATTCTGCATAGACTGTAAAACTTGAGTCACTTGTATTATTTTTACTTTCTAAAGTGATTAAAACTCTTGAAAATTGTTAAATAAATTCATCTATTGCTTTTGTTTATAGATTAATTTTGTCAGCTTATCCTCCTCTAACTTTCTTCCATCTATCTAATCCATATTATTGGTTAAGATTATTTAATTCCTTGATATTATTTTAAATAAAAAATGTAATATATAACCATTAGTGAATAATATTTTATACTTTAATAATAATTAATAGATGCTTTCTTAACTGAGCTCTGTTTGATTCGCTATTCTTTGATTATAAATTAACTAAATCTTGAGATAATTTTTATGCTATTATATTCTTTATCTTTGATAAACTTGATAAAATTTGATTCTCATCTTCAGGTGTAAATGTAACAAACTGAGAAGAGTTAGCTATTTCTCCTCCCACAGAGGCACTTTATTTTAAATTAGCTTCATTATTTTATTAATCACCTTGTTATATGAGTGATAAAATTTCATTAGCTAAATCTGCAAGCATTATGTTGTCATCTTCTGCATCCTTTTAAGTAAAAGAGTGATTTATCTAACTCAAATTTAGTTCTCCCATATTGCTTCCTTATCTGTTAAATTTTACATTTAGCTAGTTTAAGATAATAAATATACTTACTTCTAAATATTATTTAAAGTTGGTAAAGATTCTTGCTGTAAAGCCTTAGATAAATTGGCTGACCTTAAATCTGCCTAAACAGTAGATTGCATTTCCCCTTGCAGCAAATGTTTCTATTTGATTTTTATAAAAACACTTGAAAATAGTAAAAATTAATTAAATTTTACATATTAAGATGCTTCATATTTTCTTGCATATGCCATTTACTCTATTTATTGATTTGCTCTTATGAGTTGTGTCCTTAAACTTTCTATTTCTTAGTTCATATTTAGGATAACCTTTTCCATTTCTGATATTTTTTATTCTAAGCTCTCTTCATTTTTTCTACTTTAAGCATAAAGTTATTTTAAATCCCTCAAAGCTTTCTCTTTATCAACTACAACAGATTCTCTTTCCTATTTAAATATTAAAATTTAATATTAAACTCATTGAAAATGGCCATCTTTTTTATAAAAAGAAGTTAAAAATTAATTTAAAAAATAATTTATTTTTTGTAGAAATTTATTTTTATAAAAATTTTTTTATATTATAATTAAAAATATTATTTTTCAACTGAATTTTAATTTATCTGAATTGAAATTTTGATAACCTATTTTAATTTTCTTAAGCATTATTTATCAAAATATTTGTTAGATTGGTTAAATTTATTGTCAAATTGCACTGAATAAATAATGAAAAATTTAATTTGGAAATTTTAAAGTGATTCTAATTTCTCAAAATTTAATGAGCCAAAAATTTTAATAAAATATTTTTGATTTTGACCTTCATAAATGACTTTTTCATGTCAATATTGCTTTGCTTCTCTTCGATCAGTTATTATATTTATGCATTTAAGCTGTTTATTTTTATTTTATATTCAGCTTCTTATTAATCCCATTTTTATTTTTGGTTATCTAATTAGTATTTATTCATTTCAGCTTAGGAGGTGAGGAAACTAACTGATTTTCTTGTTTCTCTTTATTGGTCGTCTTCTTAATACTGTTTGTTTTTAAGTTACTGCTTTAAAAGATTTGCTTATTATTCAGATGTTTTTAGCTTTTCTTGTAATACTTATATCATTTCAGCATTGCTTTTTATCTTTTCTTCTTAGTTTTAAATTTTAACATGATATGACTCAGCTTTCATTTTTTCTTCAAGTAACTAGGAATTTAGCTAGTTTAATTTTTCCAGTTCATTTTATAATGTAATTATTTGTGATCTTTGGCCATCAATAATATCTTGAAGCTTTAATAGTTCAGTTTTAGTAGTATCTAATTCATCAAAAGCATTCTCACTTTCTTAAATTTTTTCTTTGAGTTTTGCATTAATTGTTTCTACCTAACTCTTAATTTATAGTTTGAGCTGATCTATTGTTGAATTTAATTGTTAAATCTTTTTTTCCTAAAATTCCTTTTCTTCATTCATTTACTCACTTTGCTCTCTTATCTTCATTTACAAAGTTTTAATATCTATTTCAAATTATGAATTTTATTCATTTAGCTTAGAAATAGTTTAATCTTTCTTAGTTAGTTCTGCAGAAATAGTTTCATTTTGCTCACTGAAAACTTAAATCTGTATATTCAAGCTATTAATTTAGCTTAAATTTTCTTCATTAGATTTGCTTAATTCGTCAATCTATTATTTTGAGCTTTTGCCTTCTTCTTTAAACTTTTCAATTTCAGAGGATAAATTTTTTAATTCATTTTATTTTTCCTTTAAAGTTTATTAAAGCGTTTGCAGATCTTCCTTGATGCTATTCTAGTCCTTCTCTAATTAACTATTCTTTTATTTCTCAGAGCTAATTGTTTATTCGTTTTAAGATTTTGCTTATTCAAGTTCTGCTATTTTAGATTTTAATTATTCGATAGTGGAAGATTGTTGGCCTGATGTATTTTCGTATTTGTTTTATTCTTTTTATAAATCCTATTTAGTTTGCTCGAGTTGTTTATTTATAGATTAAATTTCAAGGTTGTTTTATTCTAGAGAAGCCTTCAGTTATTTAATCTTTTCTTTTTATGAAGATATTTTCTTAATTTATTGTTCATTTTGTGATTCTAATGTGCCAAGCTTTTAATTCAACTAAGCTGTTTATGAATCTTTAGAATTAAGATTATCCATAAGCTTATCTCTTTAAGACTCAGTTTATTATAACATATTTTTAATTTCTTTGCTATTTTCTTGCTAAGCTGTTAATTATATTTTGAGTTCATCAGCAGTTTTCTTTTATGAATTAAGATCTTCGTTTAAAGTTTCAATTTTTCCTTTAAGCTATTAAATTTCTTCATTTTTATCTGATATTTAGTTTGATTTCTAGCTCGACTCTGAGTTTAATTAATCAATTTGTTTTTAATTTTCTGAAATATTTTATTTAAATTAGTTAATTTATTAGTTCAATGAATCAATCTATTCTTGATGAGATTTATTAGTATTCTCAATAAAAGATTTATGCTCCTGTTTCAAACTCTCAAGATCTTCATTTAATTTACTTATCTCCTTTTCCAAATTAGTAATTTATTCAGCTTTTTTTTATACTAATTCGTGTTCTTCATCATATAATTTTTATTTTTAACTTAAAGATTCTTGAGATTGCTCTAATTCTTTTTAAGAGTTTTAGAGATTTTCCTTAGCAGATGCTAATAATTCTTCTGTATCTTTGAGTTTTTCTTAGAGTTATTTAATTTCAGCTTCACTCTAAGTTTATTACTCTGATAATTTATTTATAGCATTTTAATTCTCCTCCAATTATTCATTTGCTTATTTTAATTTTTGTTCATTTTCTTTAATAATTTCTTCTTTTTCTTCAATAATTTTCTATTTTTCATCGATTTTATTTTATTTTTCTTACAGTTCTTTTTCTTTTTACTGTTTATTCTCTATGATTTATTCTATTTCTTAGGCTCTTTATCCAAGGGTTTAGTTTGTTTCATTAAATTATTCGTGTAATTTTTCAATTACTTCTATTTTTTTTTTAAGTTCTTCCTTAGTCTCTTCTATTGTTTTTTCTTTTGATTAAAGGGAATCTTCTTGCTAATCTATTTTCTCTTAATGATTTTTTATTAAATCGTTGAGCTAATTTATTTCGCTTGTTTTATCAGATACATCTTTTTCCAATTCTTCAATCTTTTATTTAAGATTTACACATTATTGTTAAATTTCTTTTAGTTCATCATCTTTTTATGAAATAGATTTATTCAACTCTTCGATAACCTTCTTATCTTCTTCAATACTTTGAGTTAGTTTTTCTTTTTCATCTTTTAAATTTTGTATTTCTGTATTAATTTCTTCTTATCTCTTCTCTATTTCTTTTAGCTTTCTAATTTTATTAAATAATTTTATTTTAAGATTTTAATTTAATTAAAATGAATCTATTTACTCCTCTTTTTAATTTATTTACTCATGCAATTCTTTGATATTCTATTCTTATTATTTAATTTAATCTTCTTAATTCTTCTTAGACTCTTCTAAATCTTAAGACTTTAGTTCTTCTTTTTTCAAGTTTTCTTTTAAAGTCTCAATTTCTTGAGTGTAAGTATTAATTTCTTCCTAAAATATTAAATTGAACTTTTAATTTCTAGTTTTATAAAACCATCTTTTCAATCTTGAAATTTTTGATACATATTTTAAATTAACTTAACTTACTATCTATAAGGTAAATTAAGTTAATTATACGCCTACAGTTTGTATAAACGATAAATTAGTCTCTTAGGAACCATCTTCAAAATTTATTCATTTTAGTTGTTTGATAAACAGAACTCATTTAATATACTTATTTAACACTAAACTTAATAGACCCTTTTCTAAGCTTAAGATAAAACCAATAATTTCATTTAAAATAATTCAGTTAAATTTTTAAAAACAAATTTCAAACCAAACTTCTTAAAAAAATATTTTTTAAAGTTATTTCTACAGAATATAGACTTGTTTATTTAAAAAAGTTGATTTGACTTTACCTTCATATTTATTAAATTGAATATTTTACTATTAATTTTTCTCTTTTTTTTGTTGCATTTTTTAGTTTATTAAAAAATAGGTAAAAAGAGTTTTAATTAATTAAAGTATCTCACTTTAATGCAAATATTTTCAAAAGAAAAAGTCATCTAAAAATAAATAATAATTGTTTATAGTGCAATTTAACATTTTCAAAGATAAAAATAAACTCAAAAGTTATCTAGATCAAAAAGATGGTAAATTTATATGTATGTAGTTCAATTATTAAATTTAACAAAAATAAATAAAATTACCAGTTAAGATTTTTAAATATTTGATAGCCTACTAATGTCATTGTTTAGATCTTCAATTATCTAATTCTTTTTGGTAATTTCTTCTTAATGAGTATTCATCTAGATAACTAGGTTATTTATCTGCTCTGCCTAGCCTTGTATTTCGAAGTCTTTCATCTCTATTTTTTTGATGTATTCACCCATAGCAGATTTCAATTACTGCTACAATAACTCAGTATCTTTATCAAATTCATGCTTTATACTCATCCTTTCCACTTAAGTATGAGCAAGCACTTATTAGAATCGTTCGTTTTCTAATTCGAGGAATCCTATTTATTCTGTTAATTTCTCAATTTCTAAAGTTTTAGAAGTTATTTGCTCTTTATTTTATTTTAAATCAGCTTCATATTAATCTATTTTTTCTTTATAAGTTCTAATAATTTTATCTTTATCGAGGATTGTGTTATTTAAATCAGCAATTTCATCAAGCTTTTCATCAAGTTCATTTGACTACTCTTAGATCTTATTTGTAAGATTTTCCAATTGGCTAAGTGTATCAGACTTTTAATTCATATACATATCTGTATTTTGTTATAAGACCTTCTCAAATCCCTTTTTAACATTATCTAGATCTATTTCTAGTTGGAGTATTTTTTTATCTTTTTCTAGAATCTGCTCGTCAAGTTCTTCAATTTTATCTGTGTTGCTTTTCATTAATTCTTCATTTTCTGCAATTAGTATGTCATTCATTTATATAACTTTATTTTTCTCTTCTATAAGATTACTCTTAGCCTATATAATTTCATTTTTATCTTTGATTGTTTCAACATAGTCCTTTATTTATTCCTCTAATATCTTAATCTTTTTAATATATTCTGTTGTCTTGAGATCACTATCTCTCACACTTAAAGACTCTGTAGAAACTATACTAGTGCTCATAATATCAAACTTTTCATTCTTTTCATTTAATTTATTTTTCAGCTATTTTATTTCTTCGTTTTACTTATTCTTGCTCTTTTCAAGATCTTTAATCTATCCTTCAAGATTTGAAATTTTATTTTCTTGTTCAGAGTTAAGTTTTTGATTAGCTTCCTTTATTAAAAGAGATTTTTTATTAAAAACAATTATAAATTAATTTATTTACTTAAATTGCTTTTATTTCGTCCTACAGTCTATCTAAATGCTTTTCATATTTTTATCTTATTGACTTTTCATTTTCTTATTGCTCAGCTTTCATAGCTTCAATTGTCTTGATATGCTATTACTTTAAACTTTCGATGCTTAGTAAATGAACTTCTTCAATTTATTAGTATCTTTTGTTTGAGTCTAAAGTGAGTTCTGTTGTAAAAGTAAAATAAATGATATTAAGAGAATACAAAATTATGAATTAATTACTTTTTATACTACTCTCTATTTCTGATATTTCCTTTTTATGCTTGGTTGTTATTTATTCTATTTATATTAGATGATTTTCCTCTGCTAATTTGAATTTCTACAATTCCTATTCCCTAATATTATTTAATTTTTCCTCAAACTACTCATTAAGATTCAAATTCTCCTGATTGGCACTTTACTATTGAAATATGATTAAAATGAAAATATAAATATTTGAATCAATATTATATACTTTCAATGTTTAAATTTGGAGTTAAAGTTAGGATGTGGTCTCTTCTGCTTGCTTTTGCTACAGCTAAATTTCTTTCTCCTTTTATTCTAAATTCTAAGTATATTCGTTATTTTTACTTTCAAGTTCTTTGTTAAGATCTTACTATTTTAAAAGTATTTAAATAAAATCTAGAATATAATATAACTTACAAGTTTTGTAGTGAGATCTTAGTTTTCTTCCTTTGAGTGATCAACCTCTTCTTTTAAATCATCAATTGTATATGTTAGAGTTTCGATTTCTTTCAACTTTAACTTATTCTCTTCAGTTAATCTCTATACCTCTACTGTTAACTAGGCAAGTTTATCGTCAATTTAAGTATTGCTCATTACTTTACTTGATTTATTTTCTTATTATTATTGCTGTTCCTATGATATTATGCAATATTAATTAGCCTTATAAAGCCAAAGCAAATAAAATATACTTCATCAGAGTCTTCTAATATTGGTTTATTTAAATCAACTTCTTAATCAGCTCCTTTTCTGATCATCGCACTTATTTTTAAACCTTATGATGTCCTTTCATTTTCAACCTTAAGATGTGTTTACTCTTTTTTATCCTTCTTATTTTTCTATTTCTCTTTTTTTTATTATTCTTTTTTTTCATCACCACTTTCATCTGAGGAGCCAAGTAAATTATCATCGTTCTTTGTTTAAAAATATTTTTAAATAATATTCTTAATTGATCTAAATATACTAATTTATAATTATTCAAACAACCAAAAACATTAAAACATGTAAACAAATTTATTAAAAGTAAAATTTATTTTTTTAATCATTTTTACATCACTTTATTTATCTGAATGTTAATCATCTGATTCTTTTTACTTTTTAGCCATTACAGATTATCTTTCTAATTTTTTTAGAAAAGTTTTAATATCTCAATTTGTAATATATTGTAATACCTTGCTTGTTATTTTATTCTTCATCTGATTCAGATTCAGAATCTTTGTTTTTCTTATCACTAAATATTTAAAAGTTAACCGATTTTTTGCCTTATTGTTCTCCTTATTCGCTATTATTATCATGTTCATCACTATCTTCACTACACAATTTGTCATCTCCATCTTCACCATCACTATCTTTTTTATCCTTTTTTGATTTATTTTATTTCATAAAAGGATTAGCAACTGACTATCTTCCCTCATTTTCATTGTTATCAACACTATTATTATCTGCTTCATCGCTAGAATCATTGTTAAAAAATGGATTTTAAACAGACATTTTATAAAAATTTGAAATTCTTTGTTTTATAAATTAAGTGTATTTCTAAATTTTAATAATTTTTATAGGTTTTTTTATAAAATTAAATGTATTCAGAAAGCTTTTTAAGTATTAAAAAGGTATCTTTATGCGAAGCTTTTAATTCTAAAAACGATTACAATTCAAAGTAATGCATATCTAATTCAAATGTATTTTATTAAACTCTTAATAAATAAATAAAAGATAGAACTTAATAAATAATTTTTTTTATTAAAAACACATTTTTAGTATTTCTTCTTTTTAGATAAGTACGTTATGGTAAATCATATTTTTAAAATAGATGGTTAAACTTAATAAATTCTAGATAAAATTGTTAAATAAAATATGGTATTTATAATTTCTTATTTGAAAATAAAGTTTTTTATTTTAGATAAAAAAAATAATTTTCTAAATAAACAAAAACTATAACTTTTAATTGTTTAATTTAAAATAAATCGTAATATTAAATAAATATTTTCATAGATTATGTAATAAAATTATTACATTTTAATTAAAATGTTAAAATTAAAGATTCAGCTTTTGATTATAAGCAATAATTAGGCTTTATACAATTTATTTCTTAAATTTTTGTTGATAAAAGTATAATATGAATAATTTGATAAGGATACAAACACATAAATAAATTATTTTAAAAAGAATTAAAAAAAGAAGTCAATTTGGATGTTATTTTTATAAATTTATTTTGACTGAGTAAAAAAGAATAAATTTACTAACTAAAGAACCCATAAAATTAAATATCTGTTAATGATAAGTTTTATATTATTGTTTGGATATTTATATTAAGTTAACTAATACATATTTTTTAACTTTTAAACTCAATAAAAATAAAGCAAATCAAGCAATTCAGCCTACTTTTATTAGTTTGTAATGTAACATTTGCTGAAAAAGAAGGAATATCTTTCTTTCTAAGATTTGAAATTAAATATTAAAATCAAATAGGAGGGTATTCTACATTTTTTAATTTTCAAGAAAGTTGTTTTTATACATTAAAACTAGAATAACATTTTACATCATAATTATTTTATTTAATTAAATGAGTCGTTTAAAAAGGAAACAATAAATTGGGAAAAAATATCTTGGTATTTCTAGATTAAAAGTATCTGATTTTTTATGAAAACCATCAAATTTCAAAGTTTTTATTTAAACAAATCATAAAAATATATATTAATTATTATCAGTAAAGATTAACATTAACTCTAATCAAGATAACTTAGGAGATTTTATTTAAATATAAAAAAATAGCTGATAATTTACAATAGAATTAAGTTATTATTTTAAAGATTGTGATTTAAGATCTAAAAGATTAGCTCTATATATAATTGCTGGATTAAAATATCTAAGAATTAAGATGAATAGCCTATACTTGAAAAGCGAAAACGCAATAACATTTTGCATGCATACTGAAAAGATGCATATCTTCTACTTAAAGGAATGCGAGCAATCAAAGCATTTAATAGTTATTGAGGAAGATTTACTTTCAAATGGATTAGTTAACAGTTTTGTTGTTCCTAAAGGAAGAAATATCGAGGCAGCAGGTTACATTTTATAGTTTAATAAAAAGAGTGGATATCTTATGCTAAGTTATCCTCCTTGCAGATTTGTTATTTGGAATGTCAACACTTAAGAGACAATACTTTTCACTGAAACAAGAGGCAAAAATCCTTACTTTATAAACAATTTTACCTTTAATGATTCCTCTCGTGTTCTTTTCTTTTCTGCTGTTGGATAAAGAAATGTATACTGTAGTGCGCTTGTAGAAGATAATAATACTTTTTCTTTTTAAAAGAATACTAAACTGCAGCTTCCTAAAAAAATAGTTGTACTAGATTTAAAATGCTAACCAAATGATAAGAGGTTATTAGCTGCATGTAATTAATTTATTAATTAATTAGTTAAAAATGTGAGCTTTATTTTTCAAAGTCTTAGAATAAATTTTATGAGAAAATTCATACAAATAATAGATAGATTAAAACACATTTAAGAATATTTATTTATATGAATTATTCTTATATTTTATATTAGTAAATCTTCAATTTAAATAAATTTATTTTTGTTCAAAATAGGCAGTGATGGCATAATAAGAATTTGGAATTCGGAGAGTCTTTCACCACTTAGAGGATTAAGTGATCCTTAAAGTTAATCAAATGAAGTACTAACAGAGACTCAAGCTTACAGCAAACATTACTTTACATGCTTAGAATTCTCTAGTGATGGCCAAAGGCTACTAGCAGGTACAAATTACGGTTAGGTATACTGTTTCGACTCTAGATCGTTGGGTAATAAGCATCTTACTTTAGCATCAATTAATGTAGGAAGCACAGCAATTCTAAGTTGTAAATGGCTTTAATATAATGGGCTCTCTTCTTCAAAAAATTAAAATTTTATAGTTTATACTTCTTAAATTTCATTAAAGCTTTTTAAGTATTCATTCTAAGGAAATCTTCCTAGCTTGATGGCATCAAAAGCTCCAAATGTTCAATAAAAAGCTAGTGCTTAGATTGTCAAAGTGCAAGATCTTTACAATCATAGATAAGAAATAAAGGTAATAAAATAACATTTATTTGATATTTTAATAAATGAAAACAATATTATTTAAAACAAACAGCTCTAGGACTTTTATGGAATCAATTTGCAATTTGAAAAATTCCTCTACATTCATGAATTTGCTAATTTCTTTGCATTTAACACATTCAAGACGAAAGCTCAGTTCTCATAATAAAATAAAAACTCCTTTAAGCATACTATATAGATTTATACTATTTATGATAAGCTTTACGATAAAATAGACTTCCCTATTGTTTCTCCTTAGTTTAATCATAGTTTCGAGTAGCTGCTTCCAAATGGTAAAATAGAAAATCAGGTTTTTTAAAACGTTAAAAAATTAAATAAATATAGATTAAAAGTAAGTTTTATTCTAGAGATCTTCATATACAATCGAGCAAATGGATATTAAAATGCTTTAATTAGGTCATGGTACTATAAGGACTGTTGCAAGTTTAAAATAAATTTTAATGTCAGAAGATGTTAAATTCTATGGGTTAGATACTAGACCACTTAAAATGGATTATTCTACTAATCAGAAATATTTATTGTTTTATAAAATGGATGATCACTATTACACAACAACATTCAGCGTTAATATAGAAAGAAGTGAAGAAGAAGCAAAAAAAGAGGACTCCATAAATAATTATCTTGCAACTTAGAGCTAGCAGGCTATATTTTTAGGTGAATCCCACTACAGTAATCCTCCTATTTATTATCTTGATGAAAATATGTAAAGTTTTGCAGTAGATTGCCATACTGATAAAATTGAAGAGTAAATAAGTAAGCTTTTACAGGAATAAGGTTACTAAATTAAAGATGATGAAATATCAGTTAAGGGAGATCTTAGTTAGAAGATAGAAAGAATTTTTTCAACACCATTTTAAAAAGGATTTGTCATTCTTTATTTACTTGCAGATAATAATAGGCTGTGTTTTTCTAGAAATCGCCTTCCTGGGTATAGATTATTGGACTTCGAGTTAGGACTCCCTTTAGCTATTTCAAGCCAAAGTAACGCTTCAAACAATAACTATGTTTTCATTGCTGATGAAGATGATACTGTTATTGATGTAGTTTGGTAAAATATGAATACTGATAATCCTGCAGTACAAATAGGGGCTATAATTTGTATTAATAAAATACATTTTGTAAATGGTAACTTGTAAAAAATAAAAACAATAAAAGTTTGTCCATCTACTTCAGCTAATTTGATAAGCTCTGCTAAATGGTTTGGCTCTGCTCTTATTTTCATCACAAGAACTCATGTATAGTACGCTTGTATAGATGGCACAACCAACTGTATTTTAAGTTTAGACAGCTATGAAAGCAAATAGTGGCTAGTGGAAATCATGATTGATAGAATTATAATTGCATCAAAATCTAACATTAAAAAAAAGTAAGCCTAAGCTCAAGTTGACTACAAAATAAAAGTATTTTCTCCTGTAGAACCTCTGATTTGTGGTAAATAGAAAAGATTTATTACAAAATTATTTATTTAATTTTAAAAAATAAATATTTAGGGTATATTGCCAATTGTAAATATTTAAAAAGAGAAATTAGAGAAAAGGATATTTGTTAAATAATAGAAACATATTAAACTAGTTTTATTTCTTCTACACTACTTTAGAGCTTACAAAAAGAAAAACTTCATCATTTGTGTTATTTTTACATTTATAATTCTGAAAATAAATAACTACCTTGCGGATAAAAGGTAGAAATACTTGAATAAATGCTAAAAACAGAAGGAATTTTAGACTTATTGTTCCCAAGTAAAAATTTAAAAGTAGAAACTGATATTATTGAAATATTAAAAAGAATGTAGTAAGATCCAAGAGCTGTAGGTGAAGCTCAAACATTATAATACCTATGCTAATATTATTTACTTATTGGAGAGTTTGAAAGGGCTTTAATTGTATGTCATCTTCTTTAGGATTTTCGTAAAATGTTTATCATCTCAAAATCAACTAACATTTAACCCCTTATGAATGCATTTGCGGCAAATTATTTAAATTCTAAAATTGGATTAAATATACACAAGTAATTCTTTCTTATTTTTTACATAAAACAATTATTAAATTATTTTTTTAAATAGAAATGAGAGATACATATTATAGTAAGCAGTATCTGAAGATAGTTAAGGTTAGATCAACTAAACAGATGATAGTATAGAATCTTTCTACACTACAGATAACTTTTCTTATAATATTATAAACAGTATAGAAAGTGGTGGAAAATCTATTAGAAATAGTGAGGTTTTATAGGAGATAGCTCAACTCGATGAGGAGTTGGCTTAATATTTGAAAAGAGTTATTAATAGAAAAGATATTTAGTAATCCTCATTAGGCTTCGGACAGTAGTTATTTAGTTAAGTTTTCATTGATAAATTAGATGAAGATGATGATGATTAGAATTAGAATTTGTAAGTAATAGAACATCACAACTTTGAGAATATTACAGACTATTTGGGAATCTATTCATCGTAAAAAATTGTTTATTATTTTATAAAATATATAAATAAACTTAAAAATTAGGTTTATAGAAGCATCTAAGATGCACTAAGGAGGTTAAAGTGCTCATGCTGGAGGAGGTTTTGGTCAGCAGGGAATGAATGAAGACATGGCCGGGGAAGCTGCTGGAGAGGAAGAAGAAGATTAAGATGAAAATAAAGATATATTAATTCTTTGGCGCTTTGACGAAGGCAAAGGAAACCAAATTGGAGATTTGAGTAACTATGAAATCGAAGGGCAAATAATTTCAGAGAATGGATAATAAGATAAGGTTTGGAATTTGTTACAAGAAAGTGATCCATTAGAAATAGAAGGTTTGAATTTATTTCTTTTCTAAATTTTATTTTTGACAAATTAAAAATTTTGAATTAACTCAACTTTGTAAACAAACTATTTTTTTTTTGAAAAAAAGATATTTGGGGTAAAAAAGTACCACATTAATACAGTATAGTTTTTAGTGGAGAACAAACATTTAATGGTATTAAAACTTTGAGTGAGAAATGGTGCAACAAGTAGAAAAAAATAAAAGAATTTACTCTAGAAATGTGGATCAAGGCGAAAGGTGGTGATGGTCCTGTTTTTAGAGTTATGAACTAGAACGAAACTAGCTTTGAAGTTCGCATTAAATAATAGGATATTTAAGTATTTGTTAAAAATAATCCTATCAAATTTGTAGCGTTCAAAGAAGAAGAAGATGAAAATAATTAAAAGGATAACTCAAAGTCAAATGCTCAACAAGGAAATGGAAATAACTCTATTCAAATACCTCAAAATGTTTGGACTCATTTGTCAATTTAATACGAAGATTCTGCTAAACTATCCCTTTTCTTAAACTGCAAGGAACTCTATTAGAGCGAAGAAGATTTAGATATAGTTACATACGAAACCTTTAAAAGTAAAGCACTCTATATAGGTTCTAATACTTTTATTGGAGAGATTACTGAATTCCGTTTAAGAAAAGAGAAACTGACTGTGAATCAAATACGTGATTAGTATAAAACTCCTCTACCAATTGTATATGAAAAAAAGAAACAGATAAAATTCAAAGTTAAGAAGGGAGATAACAAAGATGACAATAAACCTAAAAATTAATTTAACTTTTCTATGCCCCCAATTATAGATGATAATATGAATTAGTTTAATACTAATGCCTTTAATTCAACTAATTAAGATGAAAATAAATAATCAAGTAAGCCAGCAAATCCTTTCGCATTTAGTATGCCTCCAATTATATAAGATGATGTTCCAAGCTAATAAGTGGATGCTGGAGCAGGTATCTAAAAAGAAAATACTGAATCTCAATAATAAAAAAATCCTTTTGTATTTTAAATGCCCACTATCATCAAAGATGATGAATATGAAATAAAAAATAATCAAGACGAAGAAGAATAAAAGTAATCCTAAAATTAGCAGATTCCAGCATAAAAGAACTCTGATTAGAAATAAAATGTCAGTATAGACGTAATAAAATATATTTTGATTTAAATTGTTTATTTAACTTAAAAATACTATTTTTATAAATCTACTCTTACCAACATAAATTTCTGTAATCTTTAAAACTCGAAAATACAAGTAGAAGACCTTTTTTATGTTTTTGATTACAGTCAGTTATCATACATAAGGAAAACAAATAAGTAATACTGCCTAAATTAAAAAATTCTGATAAAAACAAAGGAGATATCTAATTAAATGCATTTTAAAATTAATATTTGAATTTACTGAAGCTATAAAACAGATCATTAAAAATTTAATTACTTATTAATTTTTCAATGTATTTATAATTTTTGTTAAAAATTTAGAAACCTACCTCTAACTTTGATGATTTTGGTGCATTTGGAACATTTACTCAAACGCCTTAGGTGAACAAAAATAGATCAGATAGCAATGCTTTTAGCTAGTTTTAATCTTATTCTGGTGCATAAGCATCTACTTAGCAATAAAAAGATTTTGGAGATCCATTTTCATAGTTTAGCACTCAAAGTAAGCCAAACTAAGGAAAAAATGATTCATTTAGTAACTTTGGTAATGATGCAACTTCGGCATTTGGAAATTTTGGTACAACCAGTAACGCACCAAAAATTGGAAGCAATTCCCACTTCGATGCTTTTAAATAGAGTCCAGCAAAAGAAGGAGGTGATTTCAATAATAACAATTTCTTCGGTGGATTTGGTAGTAGCAACTAGGTTTAGGAATAAAACAATTCATTCTCCAATTTTGGAGAGCCATAAACTAAAAAGTGATTATTAAATTTATCTAAATGTTTTACATATAATTAAATGTAAATAATTTATCAGATTAGCGAAGTATTTCTTAAATAATATTTATGTATTTATGTTTATATAGAAGATCTGTGAGGCTGGCTTATATTTCAAAATTATAAACACTCTTTATATTTATAAGCTTAATTAAATTAGTTAGTAAACCTTTTCAAAAAAATCTAAACAAATAAATAAATTTGTTAAATTAAAAATTTGCTCTATTCCAAAACTTTAAAATAGAGAAAATATCAATTTCAAAATTAAATCCTTCAATAATTTAAATATCTTCATTATTGTAATTTAAAATGGAAAGAGATTTTATAAATAAAAGATTACTAATCACTATTTAAGAAATCAAGAAATTGAAGAAATATTAAAGTTAATTTCTGTTTTGTAAAAATTTAAAAATTGGTTTAAATTATAATTAGAATGAATGAATGAAGGATAGATATATTTGAATAGAAATAATCCTCCAAAAAATTAATTAATAAATAAATTTATAATAATATTCTCTCAAATAAAAAATTTCTTAATTTCTTTTCTAAATACTTTTTTTTGGTAATACTAGATGTAGAATAATAATGCCGAATAAAGGATAAAGAAATTAAAATTAAATGTAGATAAAATAATTAGCTTTTAGCGTTATTGAAAGCTGGCTTGATCTTTAGAAATCTTACATTTTCTTATGTGATTAATGGTGCGTTAACAAAAACTATTAAATATAATATCAAAAAAGATTATCTTTTTAATGAATATAATAATTTAATTAGATGTACATTAGTTTAGAAATAAGCAAGTACAGCTAGAGCTAATCATTATTTTTTTATTTACTTACACTTCTTTGCAAAAGCTAAAAGAGTTGCTATTATTATTATTATCATCATTATTCTTTTTTTTTCATATAGTTATTAAAAAAAATTAATTTATAGACTCATTTATAACTAAGAAAGGTGATTAATAACTTCACAATAAGCATTAAATTTAAACAGATAAATATTAATAAAAAAAAACAATCAAAGAAGAAAAAAAAAATAATCAAACAAATAAAAGAATAAGAAACCTAACAAACAATTTATAAATATACTCACTCCATAATTATTAAATGAAAAGCAATATTTTACTAAACAAACTTATTTTAATTTCCATATTTTTATCAATTCATGTATGCCAAGAGCATGGAAACCTTAATATAGATATCAAAACAAAATAGTCTCCTTAAATTTATCCTCTAAAAGAAAATGAGCTTGGTGGAAATACCTCTACCTGGAATAAAACATATGTTTTTTAAGGCATGATGATCAATAAGAATGCTGATAAGGAAGTAATACTTGAGTTAGAAATCGAAACTCCTATCAGCTCACATAACTCTATAGTTTTTGGACTAAAAAAGGACAGTGCTCTTTACTATAATAATGAGACTGACACTTATAATGCCTTATAAATCGATGTTAGAGGTTATTATATGAGAAAATAATTCTATCGCATCGAATATTAATTCAAAGAAGATATTGGTGAGAGTGATTTAATTTATGTTACTATATATCAAAATACTTTAAATCCTTAAGATCTTAAATATTCGTTGAAAATGATATCAACAGACTAAGAAGCTTAGAAAAGATGCCCTTTTAACTGCTTAAATAGAGGAAGATGTGACTATTAATAAGGGCGCTGTCTATGCTTTAGTGGATACGTAGACTATGATTGCTCTAAGCCTTCTAATTTTGTTATGATGCAAAATTAGCAATATTCTGAAAATATTCAAGAAACAATGCTTATAAACTTAGAATTTGATTCTAATTCATTAAGAAATGGGAAATTTTATCACATTTATAATAATTAATTAGATGGGTTTTTTTATATTTAATTAAGCTTAACTTAAGAATCTAAGTAAAAGTTAATGAACGAAAATAATTAATAAAAATCATTAGAATTTTACTATACTTTAGATAAGTAAAATCTACAAGGTATTGGAGTAGCTGATAAAAAATTTGCTTAATTATCTAAAAAGATTATGTTAGAAGAATTTTTAAATTCAGATGATGCTATAGAAATTTTCTTAGAAGAATTCCATGCCTAACAAAAGTAAATAATAAGTGAGTTTGGTAATTAAGATTAACAAATGCTTCTATTCGGGTTTCGTTTAAATGAGAGCGGTTTAATTAATAATTAGGAACCTATAAAATTCCACATAAAATTTGTTTTGAAAGAAAATATAAATATCGCAAACTAGTCTATTAACTTTTTGAATTTCTTTAAAGAAAATTAAGTTGTGAGTATTCTGTTAATTTTACTCATAATTCTCATCTTGATTCTTTTTAGTCTTATAATTTTCATCAAAAGAAACTCTTTAATAATATAGCAATCATAATAATAATATTAAGCAGCTCAACTTGAAAAGAAACTTAAAAAAGAAGAAGAATTTCAAAAAGTATTTGATCTGATCTACCATTTTATATTTAATGAAGAAAGCAAAAAGAAGCATTGGCCACATCTATTTAATTAATCACAAGAATCAATTTAAAATACTAATTCAGAACAACCTTCATGCTCAATTTGTCTTTGTGAATTTGAGTTAGAAGATGAAGTACGTCTAACTTATTGCACTCATTTTTTCCATTCAGATTGCTTAAAACAATGGCTTAAAAAATAGAAAAACTGTCCAAATTGCAGAAATGACCTAACTGAACCATGTCTCTAAGAGAAAAAAAAATCACCAGCCACTTTCTTAAGATAAATCTTTAGAAATAGATTGGGATCCATTGACAAAAAAAATAAGAAAGGTTATTAGTAATAAATTGACGAATTTGGATTGAATTTGTAACCTACTTCTTCAATACCTACTCATCAAGTAGAAAAGATGGAAACAAATAATAATAAAATAATTTAAACTATCAATTTGAATTAGTTTACAAATTTTAAGTATAAAAGTAGCGAAAATTTCTACAAACAGAGTCAACAAAATCAAAAAAAGAGATTATATTTAAAGTAAAATAGCATCAAACACAATTCTATGACAGAGATTGATGAAATTGAAAATAAAGATAAATTTAATGATAGTATTAAATATCCATCTAGAAAATATTTAAGGTAAAGCAGCATTGAATCTCCTTAACCTGTAGCTCTTTCTAAATTTAAATTGAGTGTTAATCTAGAAATGTAAAAATCAAAAATGAATTAATAAAACTGATTAATATTTAAAAGCTAAAATATTTATTTATAACTTATTGCACTTAAGTAATCAATTGCATTTTATTTTATTTATTTATTGTTTATATTTGTAAAAATAAATTATTTTGTAATATTTAAAAATGTAAATATTACTTTACAGATCAAATCAAGATTTTTAAAAAAATTTTTAAAAATAATCCTCCTTAATGTTTTTTATCTCTATATATCATAAAGTCTATAATTTTTCTTATGATGAACAATTTCATATGACATCACCTAAAGATAAAAAGTAAATTAAAATAAATTACTCATAAATTTAAAAAATTAAAATTCATTTAAAACAAAATAAATGAATAAACAAACAATAAAAATGTAAATTGATTTCCAATATTAAAAAATTTAGATTCTAGAAAGACTGATCTTTTTTTTGGAAAAAGTTAATTATTCTCAGAATTTATAATTCATATTTAGAGTTTTCTAATGATAGCTGTGTATAATAAATAAATTACTAACTTTCATTCGAATTACTTTGTTAATTAAAATGTTATTAAATTTTGCTAAAAATTCATTCTACATTGTTGAAATGCTTCTTAACATTTTAATTAGATTGGTTCCAAAATTTTTTTTCTAATAAAAATTGCATCCGCATACTGTATCCAAATATAATTTAATTTAATTTCATATAAAAAAGAGAGATTTTAGAGATACTATTAATTAATTCAAATCAAATTAATATAAAAAAAACGCATTAAAATATCTTTTTTAAATTATGAAAGAAAGTGGTTTCGATAAAGATAATTACATGTTTTAGAATTTTAACTTGGATTACAATTTTAATTGAAATAAATATCAGATATTACTGAATTTATTTAATATCTTTTTCTGAGGTAATCTGATTGTAATAATTAGTTTGATAAATACTTCAATCATATTTTTTCAAAAGCTTAAAACTTTTTATTCTTTTCTGCTGCTCATAAGTTCAAAATGATAAAAAACAAACCAAAAAATAATTAAATAAGAATTCTCAAGAATTGAGTAAAAAATGGAAAATTATATTGATTTATTTTGAATGATATAAAATTTTTAAAACGAGTTATATTTATTTTTACTACTATATTGATAAAAAATCAGTTCATTTATATTTTTAATATAAGAAAATATAATAGGTCTATTATTCGAGTTAGATATTATAATTAATTAATTAATTGATTTGCAAAATTAATTTCTAAGATTATATATACATTTTTGTTATACAAATTTTAATTATAATTTGCATTTTTACTTATCAAGGAGAGAGAGATAGATAAGATAATATTAACAATCAATTTAAATGATGAAAGTCAAATCGAAAATTGAATTCATCGTTCACGTAGATAACTATAAAAATGTAGATATTCTCACTTTCTAAGAAGGTTTCTACCACTTGAGATTTATCATATATGTTGTTTTTAACAATACAAAGCAAGTAAGTTACTTTCTACACAAATATATCTTTCTTTCTAACAATATTAATAAATTGCTAAAATATGAAAAAATAAAAGCTATTCAACGCTTTCAGATATTATTAAATTTAACTTACTAATTGAAACAGAAAATTAAGCATTTATTATAAAATAATTTAATATTTTAGCTTAAGTTGTGTTTCTAACATTTATTTTATATATGCTGACATAATATTTATCATATTCATAAAGGTAATTCTAGCGTAACCAACTAATATTGTTGACTTGGATAAATCAAGATAAAAATATATTTTAAAAAATAAACTTAATACAAATAATAATGGAGAACAATAAGATACGTAGAAACGTAAAAACAAAGCTAAAAGCATAATAGTTCCTCATATTTTTAATGAATATCACGCTTACTGTACAAAGACGTTTTTAATAAGATCATTTTTTGATGATGAAATAGTTGGAATAAATGAAATATGCACATTTGAATTGGATCTCGAAGATTACCCTCTGCCTCCAGATGCTTAGATTATGATCGATTGTGAGCTAATGTATGCATAACTTCCTGATGATAATTAAGAAATATAAACATCCCTTAAAACCAATCAAATTTAATTTAATTGCGTCTCATTATACAAAGCAGAAATCAACAAAGAAAATATAAAATCTGGTATAAGTGAATATGTGCCAATTATTTTTGATGAAGATCACTTCAACCTAGCAGGATTAACTTTACATTCATGCATCACTGATTTTTGTCAAGCAAGTGGCAACCACGATTAAATGAATTCTCTTAGCAATCAAAAATTAATTAAATAAAACAGACTTCAACAATAAACAAAGCATTACATGTAGCCATTTGATTCTTAAATTGATCAATTTCACACACTTAAACAAAGTATTTTCAAATAAAAATTTATTTTTTTTACTGATTTATATTAATCGTCTAATCTGCAATCAATTGCTTTTACCTAGTAGATTTTTTTTTAGATAAATGTATTTTTAAATCGAATTAAAATAATAAATTAATTCTAAAAAAATCTAAGCATTTTTTTTTGATATTAAAATCCAAATAAATATTCTTTATATATTAGCTAGATCTGAAACATATTTTATTTAATATAAAATGTAATATTAATGTATTATAAGTAGATAGTAATGATGAGTTGATGAAGTTTTATGAAACATATATTTCTCTACTACGTGATTAATATTTAGTGACATGCTCAAACATAAAGGCAATTAAGAAATATTTTGATGAGACAGTGACTTGCAAGGATATAGTTTACCAATCATTGTTTGAGAAATATTTACCTGATGATTTGCCTGCAAGTTGTGTAAGATATAAATCTATGTACACTGCATGTAATTTAAGCAAAAATAAATTAAAATTGAACATACAAATTAAAAATTTTTAGTTTCTGGAAGTACAGTTGCAGAAAAAGAATTTATTTACTAAGGAGAGAAACTTATAGAAAATATAGTTAAGGAATTAAATCAGTTGAACAAACTAAATATAGCAGTGTGGTACAAGTTCTAATAAATGTTTCTAGTTAATAGCTCCTAGATAACAAAGATATTGAGAAAAAGATATAATAGATTTAATAAGCAACTATGGGAAGATTTTATATGCTCAAGATCAGTAATAGTTGACAATCACTCAATTTTTACTAATACCCTTTAAATTCAACAAAATGAAGCAGAATCAAAATTAGTAAGGTAAAAAGCTTTAACTAAAGAAAATGCTTACTATAATGCTGTTAAAGACATTCGTATTCTTTCTGATAAAATGCAAAATCCAGTCATATTTAATGATATTTTCTAGTTAAAGTCAAAAGTAAATAAATACAAAGAATTATTTTAACTTTTTTTGATGCAACATATTTTAAATTTAGGACTATGATGACATAAGAATCTTTAAAAAAACAGCTTTTCACCTTTTTGTTTTTGTACACGGATTTCAAGGAAATGCTTTTGACATGAGACTTATAAAAAACCATATGATGCTTCTCTATCCAGAATGTCTCTTTTTATTATCAATATAGAATGAAGGTAGGACAGAAGGAAATATTGAAGATATGGGTAAAAACTTAGCTAAAGAAATTATAGATTTTGTTAAAAAGTGGTGTCCAGGAAAATAATTGGGTAAAATTAGTTTTGTTGCTCATTCCTTAGGTGGTGTTATTGTTAGAGCATGTCTTCCCCTATTGAAAGAAGATTTCTAAGATAAAATGTTTACTTTCTTGAGTTTTGGTGTGCCTCATCTTGGATATATGCATTCCAAGCACAGTTTAATTAATATAGGTTTATGGTTCCTAAAAACTTGGAGAGGATCTGTGTGCTTAAATTAATTAGAAATGAAGGATCACAAAGATTTAAGACAAACTTATCTCTATAATTTATCCAAATAAGAAGTGAGCTTGATTTATTAAAAATGTAATTTGAAATATTATTAATATAAATTTAAATATAATAGGGATTAGAATGGTTTAGAAATGTTGTATTTTGTTCTAGTACCCAAGATCACTATGTACCTGTTGAATCTGCAAGAGTGGAAAAATTACAGGAATAAGGAGGACAGTAAATAAAATAAATAAATAACTAAATAAATTTTTTAGATTAACAATTAATTAAAAATTAAATTAATAATATTAAGGTCAATACAAGTTTATAATGAAATGGTTGATAATTTACTTTCTAATCTCAAAAACGATATTTAAAGACTGGATATAAACTTCGAAATTAGTGAAAAGTAACTTTTAAAAGCTTCAATAAATATACTAAAATATTTATATTTTTTTAGGGGATTAGATACATTTATTGGAAGGAAAGCTCATATATTATTTTTGGAATTGCAATCTTTAATGAGAATGATAATTCATAATTTTGATCATCTTTTTATTTGAAATAAATGGCATGATTAGACAGACTCAAACATAATAATATCAAAAAATAAATACAAACAAGCACATAAATTAATTAAAAGCTATTAAAATAAAAATAAAAATGTAAATTATTCATGAAAAAAGTATTTAAAATCAATAATTATCATTATAAATAATTATATTTATTTTGGTTGTTAGAGTTATTTTTCACAAGAAATAATTTTAGAAAGTAGAAGGATAAAGTAGCTACAAAGATAAGAAATATTTAATGAAATTATTATAAAAATTAATAAAAATTTTTAATTTTTAAAGTATTATTTTTTAGTGTTTTTTATATAGTACGGAAGTTAATTAATCAATTTGATAAGCCATTTTATAATTTATTTTATTTTATTTATTTTTTAATTTATGATTGATTGGTTCAATCAATGATGAATGAAGCTATTTTTATATTATAATTTTAAACTGTGTACATTTTTATTTATGATATCTTCACACTTTTTTTTTTTTTGAGAACGAGGTTTCATTCTTGAAAGAAAAATCAAGCATAGTTTTTGATAGTATGATCTTCATCTTCTAAACCTACTATGTATTCTGGCTACTCTACTTGAAGCAAGAAATAACTCTCGTTTTCCTTCAATCCAAAAGGATTGTTATCAATATTTACTTATTTTGGAATTATATTCTTTATATTTGCAATCATAATCAATGAGCACTCACTAAATATTTTTAATTATTTATTCATTTTTAAAATAAGCTTTGATTTTTTGGTATTAGAAATATTTACGTTAAAAGCTCCTTGACTTTTTTGTCAAGGGTATCGAAATCTAAGAAGTAGTTATTTTTATAAGTTGAGATTGAAAGTGAAGCGCTAGAAGCAGATGTATTCTAGTCATTGAATATAGCTCCATCATTTAATTACTTGAGAATTAATGGAACATATATATCGTTACTAGAGGGAATAAAAAGCATTTTAGTACCTTCTTCTAGTCTAATTGATTAATTTATAAAAATTTTAAAAATGTCTTTTTATTTTAATATTTTTTTGTTGTACTTTGTGAAATTAATTGATTCTTAAATGATGCTTGTCTTCTTTAAAGCTTAAGTTATGTCAATATGCTCAATATTCTTCTGTGACATTATGGGAATCTTTTTATTATGGTCTATACTTTTAAGGAGTTTTCTGAATTTTTAAGCTTCATAGGTAGAAAGAGAAATCATCTTCTCATCTTATTCTTCTTCCCATTAACATTCACTGTCTTTCTTTTCAACATTTAACTATTTTTTTATTTAATTTTAGAAAATGTGATAAAATTTGAAAAAAGTCATTTACTTTTGAGCTTAACTCAGAAATAGTTTTTAAGTAATTTTCTTAAATTATTTTATGACCATCAAGCTATTTCTTTTAACTTTAAATTGTTGTTTCTGCTGTAATAAGCTGTTAAGCAAATTATTCTAACTATTCTTATTATTTTTCGATTTCTAGTTTTTACTAGTCATTCTTAATTTCTAGTTTATCGAGAGCTTATGTATGAGCATCTATGCAAATTGTGCTATTTTTTAATTTCTCGTACTCTTTTTCCTATTCATCCTAGCAGCGGATAGCAATTTCTTTTTCTTCCTTTTCCTTTTAAAGACTCTCCTATAAGAGCTGGTTATTTTACTCAATCAGCTCTTTTTCAACTCTCAATTGCTACAAGCTTGATTGTAAGTCAATTACATTCTGTAAAAGATTGTTTGTTTTACTTTGTAACTCTTGGTTTTTATCTTCCATACTGTTTAAGTTATTCTTTAATTTGTTAATTTATGAATTCAAATTTTCTATTTCTTATTAGTTTTGCAGGTCCTACCTTTATAAATCTTCAAGTTACTATGTTAAATTTTTTACTTCATCTTGTAAATTTGAAACATAGTCATCTCTTTCTTTCAAATCTAAATTAAGTTGTTTCAAGCTCATTTCATTAGAGTTTATATGATTTTTGTTTAAGTTCATTTCTTCAACAATTTGATTCAACTAAAAATTAATTATAAAAATAAGTAAAAATTTCTAAAATGAGTAAACAAACATACCTCTTGCTCCTTTTAATTGAGATTATGGTTAGCCTCTTCAATTTGTTAAATTAATTCTACATTCTTGTTGTTAGTTTCCCTTTCTCTCTCTTTGCATGTAGCAAGGTTTCTTCCTAGCTCATTTATCTCATTCTAAAGTCTTTCTAATTCATGCTTATACTCTTCTTGCTTTTCCTATTATAAAAATTCAATTTCTTTCTTAACTCCAAATTTACCAAAAAATTAATTTTACTTCTAATTCTACTTTTTTACTATTAGCATTCTTTTATTATATCTCACATTCTATCAGAGCTTACTCGATAGCAGCGTTAAGATTTGTAATCAGTTAATTTTTTTATTCATTTTCAGCTATTACTTTAGATTACTCAGAGACCAAAGATTCTATTTTTTTATCATTCTCATCTATTGTTATTTTTTACGTTTCAATATTTTTATTAAGGATTTTAATTTTTTCATCTCTTGCTTGAATATCAGCTTCTAAAATTTGCATTTTTGTTTTAAACTGATCAATTTCAATTTTATAGATTTAGACCTATTCGTTAAGAGCAGATATCTTAAGTTTTTCATTCATTTAACTCTCCATAAGCTTTTCTAACTGCTATGCTCTCTCATTTGACTATTCATAAACTTACTTATTTAAATTGTCAATTTCTATTTTTTTCTTGTCTAGATCCAGTTTTTAACTTTCAATCTGGCTTAATAATCTGGATCTCTCGCTTTCTAAAGATTTAACTGAATCCAAAATTTAAGTTAGCCTCTTTTAAAGATCTTAAACTTGCTGCTTATCTTTTTGAATATCCTCACTAATTGATTGTTTTTCATTATTTAATGCTTAGTTTTATTTATTTAGTTATTAAATTTCTAAGCGATTCTTTTCAACAGTTTGGTCAAGATTCTCTATTCTGTTCTTCAAATTCATGACATCTTTTTTGAGTCTATCTCTCTCATTTTGAACTTATTATAGCTCATATTACACTCTAAATAAATTTTATCATTTAATATATGAATTAAAAATTTATTTATTTAAAAAATATTACTTTTCATATTCCTCATGCTTGAGATCTAAATCTCTTTTTACATTATTAAAATCTTTTGTTTAGTTCTGTAAAACACTTTGTTTATTTGCTAAATCAGTTTCTAGCTAAGCCAGTCTCTTTTTGTATTTTTCTGAGTCTTTCTATAATTAACTTTACAGCTCAGTAACTTATTTTGCATTATCAGTTTTTAGCCTGTTCTCGACCTATTAAGACTTCTTATTTAACTCTTCATATTCTTTTTACTTCTAGCTGATCTAAGAATTTAAGCCTATGTTGAAAAAAATTATTAATAAATTATTGAAATTTTAATTTTATTTGTAAAATTACGTGCTATTTGCTCTTGTGCATTTTTTAGCTACTTCGTTTTTTCAATCATATCACACTCTTAAGATTTTATTTTTTAGTTGAGAAGGTTAATTTCATCTTTGTGTTGCTCTTTTGTTTAATCTAGCAAGCTTAAAACCTTTTTGTTTTCTGAATAATATCTTTACTCTATTTATTTTATTTTTTCTTCATGGAATGAAATATATTTATTCTTTTCTTTCTAAGATTCTTCTTGGCTTGCTATCAGCTTCTATTCTTGTTAAAATATTTTGTCTTAGAGTTTTTACTACTTGTCATTTTATTTCCTTAAAATTTAATTAAATGATATTTTAGCTGATTATTGAAGTAATACTGTCAAATTAGCAACACGAGTATTAAGTTTTTCTATTATTTTAGCTTCCTCAGTTTTATTGACAGCATTATTGGCATCATTTTGGTTTGCTGCAGAAATATAGTTTTCTTTATTATCTTTTTGATAATACAAGTGAAGATTTTGATAAGCTTTATCTCTTTCATCTAGTTGTTTTTGTAACGAGGAAATAGCTTTGACGTACTCATTCGAATTGTTAACTTAGTTTAATTATTATTCCAATTTGTTGATTTAATCCTATAGCAAGGTATTCTTTTTAGTTAATAAGTCAATCTAAATATTCGAATTATCGTCTTTCCTTTTCAAATTCAACATTTCAATTTCGTTCTTTAATTTCATAATCTGATTTCTAAGCTCACTATTTTAATATTCTAATTCAATTTGATGGGGATCTTTCTTATGTTTATTATTCAACAAATTCATTTGTAACTCTTTTTTAAGATCAGCAATCATTTCTTCTTGTTTTAAACCGTATTCTGGAAGCTCTAATTACTTAAATAAATCAAAGTATTTATCTTTTTCATCATGCTCATTTTCTATTTTAGGTAGTTTTTCATAATTTTAAGGATAAGGTTTCACATTCATATTTAATTCTGGTATAAAGTCCTTAGGCATACATTTTCCATAATTTGCTATAAAAGACACTCTCTTCTGTTATTCAATTTTGATTATGCTGTTAATTATCTTTATTTCTATTATTTTAAAATTTAATATTATTTTTTTATTTTTTCGTTTAAAATGAAAAAAATCATCGTGTTTTTAATTAAATTTCTCCATTCATTTAAATCGTATTTTGTTATGTATTTTTTTTTGGCAATATTCAGTTAAATATTCTATTATAGCTATAGACAATTATTCAATATTCTCTTTTCGGTTATTAATTAGATTAGTAAAAAAAATAGGTGATCAAAAATAAACACTAAAATTTTTATTAACTCTTTAAAAAATCTAATCAGTAAGAGAAATAAATAAATTACGATTATCTAAAAGTGAGTTGAACTCATTGCGACGACTGACTTCTTTTAAGATTACTTTGAAATTAGTAAAAAATGTGTAAGGTTTTGTTAGATCACTTATATCTTTTTCAAGCCTACTTATATCAGGCTCAAGAGACTTAAGCTTGTCGTAAGTAATTGTATTAAGTCCATTCAAAATTTGTGTAAATTTCTACTAGTATTACTGCATTCTTTAGAATTATTTGAATTTTGATTCCCATATTGAAGTGATATAATTGCCTAAAGCATCTATGTATTAAGTTATTTGCTTTTCTATTTTTTCTTAGTCTTTAAGCTTATCTTAACATTATAGCATACAGTTGTCTAATGATGTTTTGAGAGTATATTCATCTTGTTAATTATCTATTATGTATTGAATACATTTTCTTAAATTTTTATACTCTTCATAAACTCCATTAAAAGATGTTAAAGTATAATTCTTTCCTTCTAAGCATTAATCATCAAATTTTTTTATTGTCTCTATATTTCTAATAAAATATTAATTAATTAATTTTTGAGTCCACCAGAAACTCGCTTTATTTAGCTTTATGTATTTTTTGCGTTTATGATTTTTGATTATCGTAAAAAATTAACTTTGATCAGAAATTAATTAGTTTAAATTCAAAATTAATATATCAAATTTTGTTTAAAAATTTACTCATTTGAGAGCTATTAAATAGTCGCTTGTTAGTCTTTGATCTATCTTTTCAAAGAGGAAATTTCTTCTTATTCTTTGGAATGAGTTTTCTTAATTTTTTCATAATGATTAATACAGTGAGATTTCCACTGATCCATTTTGGAAACGTCATAGTAAATATCGTACAGATACTTTTTATTATCCTTTTTGAGGACATCAGGTAATTCTACATTTTTTCCCTAGTATATAGATTATATGAATGAATATTTTTTGTTAATCACCATAAAATAGAATATTACAATCTTTAAGCTCTCTTCGTATTTTTAAACTGACTTTGAAACCACTTCATTTAAGTTTTTAATTTTTTAATGCATCTCTGTGGATAGATTTTTTGAAACCTAGTATTCGTTTATGACCCTCATGAGAAGGCATTCAATAGATTTATATTAAATTTCATATTCTTTGCTAGCTCTCTCTACCTTCTACCATTTCTAAATGAACTCATAAGCCTTTCTCTATTTTTAAAAAATAAAAAATTCGAATAAAAATAAAACAAAGCAAAAGATAAAATGAAAGATACCTTAATAGAACTATAAAATTTGTAAAACTTTTGCTCTAACTCTAAAATATTTTAGTTTTTTAATTGCACTAGTTGCTTTTAGCCATCATTTAGCTCTACAGGATATTAATAATCAGTATCAGCATATTTTGAATCTAGTTCTAATTTTTGTAAATTGTTTATTGAATTGATGCATTAAAGAAAATCAAAATTATTTTACTTATTTAAGGTTTTTTGGCATCAAGAGATATCTTATTAAATTACTTTAGCTAATTCTCTTGCTCTTACTAAAAGAAATTCACCGCAGCTTCAGTGTTATCCATTAAAAGCTTAACATTGAAGACAAATATATTCTTTTTAAATTAATTATAATATATTAAATAACATATCATTAAATAGCTAATTAATGCTCATAAAAGTGTTTTTGTTAAATGTATTTCAAACTTTTATAATTTTACATGGAACATTTTATATTTGGTAGAGTCAATAAGCCTTTGAGTTTATGCTAGAGCATTATCTCGCTCTATTTCTGCTAGCACATCATCAGGTTAGATCAAGTAACCTGTCTTTGTTGTTAAAAACTAGTTTGGTATTTCAATTTTAATATCCTTTAAAATGTTTTCCTAAATAAATGAAATCCTAATTTTGAATATGGAAAAAATTGGATATTTATTTTATCATTTAATGTCAAAAATTTTTATTACTTTTTATCAGCACTAACATTTGAATATGAGTATAGATATCCTAACTCACCATGATATACTATGATATCAAGCTAGTTGTTTAAGATAGGAAGTGCTTACGCTGCTCTGTCTTTTTCTTTACCCTAAACCTACTACTAAGATTAAGACATTTGCTAAGATTTTTTAGTATTTTTGTCAATTAATTATCTTTCCCTTTGTCCTTTTTGTTAATATTGATAATACTTTGTATGCTTTTTGGTGTGTTATTGTCAATATTACAATTTTTTAAATAATTAAGTTTTTTGTAATTAATTCTTTGCTAATTATTAATTTAATAACTCTTTTCTTTATTTTCTCTTCTATTTAACAAGTAAATTTACAAGAAGGATATAAATCAATTAATTAATTAAACAATCAATACATCAATATTAATAATATTTACAAAAAATTTAAACTGAAATTTTAAAAATTCACAAGTAAATTTTGATTTTCTTTTAAATTGCGTATTTTACTTTTTGCAACAAATCAAAAATGAATTATCTTAATTTAAAAGAAGATTTATTCGCTTCGCGGTCTTTAAAATTTGAGGTAAACAATAGCCATAATCTTAGTTTAAATAAAATTATAATTTGAATGCAACATCAAAATAATACACAAATTCAATTTTTCATAAATATAAAAAATACAAATGAGTTCTAAATTAAAAAAGAAAAAAGAGATTTAAGTATTGACAAAAAAGTCGTTCTTTTGTTATTGATTAATCTATTCCAAATTCATGAAACTGTAAATTTATTGATTTAATTAAATTTAATTTATGAGTATATACATACATTTGAGATAAAATTTATAGTAAGTATTTTAATTATTTTGATTAAGGTAATTAGTATTATTTAGATATTTATTTACATTCATTTCATATTGCCTCCTTGCTTTGTTTTAAGACTAAATTTTTAATTCTCTCTTTTCAATTTTGGATTTAAATTTATTTTTTTTGATTAAAAGTCAATGAAAGACTTAAGAGAGTTATGTAGCAGAGCCTTTTGTATAAAATTATATGCTTAATTTCAATAAAAAATTTCATTTTAGGCTTTAATTAGAGGAATCGGAGAAAAACTTTAAGATAATGTTGTATTTTATTAAATTTTTTTTTGCAGAATAATTTTTTTTTCTTCTAATTCCTTTAATGTGATTGGTTTCTTTAAAGATGAAGTAATCCCGAATCTTATAAAGCAAGATGAATCAAAGTACTAATTAGAGCATATAAAAATTAAGCTTTCAAATTGAATTTTATTTTATTAAAATATTTATTTGATCGAGTCAATCAAGTGATTATTTCCTTCATTTAGCATTTTGTTGTCAATAAAAATATATTGATATTAATATTTATTTTAATAATATTAATTTTCTATTAATGAAATGCATTCCTCTACTGTATAAGCAGATTGGAATGATTCATCCTCTTGTTCTTTCGCATATTGAGAAAGAACTTGTTAAAACATAGTATGATATAACTAGTGCTTATCTACAAATAAAATTTATTTTTTTTCTAAATTTAAAGGCTAGTTATACTTGACCGATTGAGCTATCTCCAATTTTGGAAGAATCTTAGAATGTTGGGTTGCTGAAAACAAAGGAGTAGGCTAATTTAAATACATTAATGCACTTTAATCTCCGTTTCCTTGATTTCCACCACTAACTATTAAATTCTTAATTTGATTATGATCGTTATTATTATTCAAAACAAATCCTCTATTTATTTTTTAAAAATCCTAATCTATTTTTTTATTTAAACTTATATGGCTCTGCTAGCCTGTAAACTAATCTCCTACTGTATTCAGCAAAACCTATTTATTTTATGGGTTTTAAATTACTTGTTTTTCAGAAGCAATATTGATTTCTAGTTATTTTTCATTTTTTTGATTCTGTAAAAATATTATTGAATCCTGCCCACTTGCATTTTAATTTTGTTTGCTGTTAATAATAACCTCATCTTAATACTGAAGTTTTAAGTTTTAGTTATTTGGATATAAACTTAGAGAAGAAGGTAAATCTTTATAAGAATTATAATCCACGCCGCCTTCTACAGTTTTCTTTTTAAGACGCGGAGAATTTGTAGAAGTTGATGATTAAAGAGAATATTTATTAAATGTCATTTACTTATTTTGAAAAAATAATTCTTTATTTGCTTTACTGCTTTATTAAAATATATTTTTTTATTACGGAGAAGTTTAAGAGTTTAATATATCTGCTTATTTTCTCCCATCTTTATCTAAGTATTTCATTGCCTATTTATTTTTTTTTTCATTTTTCTTTTGATCACTAATATTTTCATCGTTATCATTTTGAGTTACAGTTACTTCCTTAGATATCTCTAAGACCTACACTTCAGGTATATTTTCCAGTTTTAGAGTTTACCTGTTATTATTCTTTAACCCAATTTAATTAGTGTCATCTAAATCATCTTAATTGTGAGTGCTAAAAACTGTTGTAGCTACATTAAAATCAAATGGTAGTCCAGATAAAGATTTAGGATTTTGAGTTATCTTCTTGCATATATTCCTTTGTTAGTTTAGATTATTATTTGTAACATCAAGCAATCCTTGCTCTTCAGCTTTATAGATTTCATTCAAGCTATTAATATTTGATATCATACTCTGCTTTCTGGATTCGTGCTGAGTGATATGTAAAATACTTTTTGTTTGAGGGAAGTTATGTAAACTAGTTGGTTAAACCTTTTAAGGTATTAAATCGATCTAAATTAAGCCTTCTTGGCAGTCATCTTCTCTTTCATTGACTTCTAATTTATGTCGAGGTGGTTATCTGTAGCTGTAATAAATAGGAGAATAAGTATCAGTCGTTTGTCTCAAGAAAATATTTTAGCTATTATCTGCTGGATGAGCTGTAAACTTTGAGGAAATATCTTTTTCATAAGAATGAATGACCACTTAGCTTTCGATCAAAAAAGATAAGCAAGGAAAACCTTTTTCGTTTTTTTCAAATTAAAGACCATTGTTTAGCTTTGTGCTACTCTTTAAATTTATTTAATTAAATAATGGTCCAACTAATTTTTGAGCAATTATATCGCAGACTTAAATATTGTTAATTTATTCAAATATCTCATCAATTTATTGCTGCATTGAGGCCTTCTTTTTGTAAAATGAGCTTTTTCTGCTAATATTGATATGTTAGTAAGGACTATTTTGATTTGGATAATTTTAGTTGAAACCACAATATGGACTTCCAAACATAAAAGATTTATTTTGATCTGCTTGCTCTTATGAATTTTTCAAACTTTAAGTAAATATTTATTATATTCTTTATTATTCTTCTCCACCTTAAAGAGGTGAGGAGAAACTAAGGTACACATTAAATTGTAATAAAAATGCATTTAATTTAGTTTAGTTTAAATTCTAATTATCTTCTCCATAAGAAAAATCATGGTCACCGCTTTACAATGACTAATTTTTAATACTTATAATTATACTCTAATTTTCTTAAATAAAGTTCATGTAATTTTAAATTATTATCGTTAAAATAATTTTAAGCTTTTCAAAGTCTGTGCTAACTTAACTTGGTACATCGTTGTCTGTTTCAATTTTTAATAGAATCTTTTTACTCTTAGCCTCTAAGTTAAAAATGTCAATGATTTCATCTAATTTATTAAGTTAAAAAGATAAAGCAAATTTTAAAAATAAATAATGTGATAACTAAAAAATCATTAAAATTAAAATAACTCCACTAAATAACTAATTTTTTAAATTATATTTGAAAGATAAATACATAATTCCTAAAAAGAGCTTAACTATTTCTGAATAATATCTTAATAAATTTGTTCATATAAATTGTGGGATCAAATAAAACTTAACTTAAATAAGTTAATTATGAAACAAAGAATGTTAAAATTAAATAAAAAATAAATTAAAATTATGTGGTTATTTTATCTAAAAAATCCAACTGATTTATCAACCAATATCTTTGAATTTTGATATTTTCAAATAAGTGATTTTATTAAATTTGTTAACCTATTAAGCATTATCACCTTTAATATTTTAAAATAAGTGATTTACAAAATTTGGTAACTTATTAAGTTATATCATCTTATTATTTTGATATTTTCAAATAAATGATTTTATTAAACTTGTTAATTAATATGACTGTATTTCTAATCATATATTTTAAATAAAATGAGCATTTTAAAACTATTTCAGTTTTATTTATAATAAATTAAGATATCTAATAGAATATTTATTTGTTAAAAATATATTTTTATTTTTAAATTAAATAAGAACATAAACTAATTCATGATGATAAATTTTTGGTTTATAATTTCATCAGCTTTAAAAAATTATGCCTTTAATTTCTAAACAAGTATTAAAATAAAATAATTAAAATTAATAAGTGAGAATTGCCAATTTATTAAAGTAATGATTGAAAGAATAAAAGAATTTACACTGCAAAAATTCGATGAGATTTTCAACTTACAGGTTAAGCTAAAAAGGCTTCTTTTTATTGCTTATTTCAAATAAAATTTGTAAAGTATTTTGTAAAATATGAGCTTATGATAAAAGAGGGTCTATATGAAACTTAGAAAAATCAGTTTAGCAAAATTGTTTAGATTCTTAGAGTTTTTGAATAAGATAGTGAATGGAATAATATGTTTCTTCTGTGAATCCTCTAATTATGGATTATTATCTATTATACAGGGCTTCAAGATTGCAGTAGGATTGAAAAAGAGTTTTGTTTGTAGCGTCAATCAAAAAAAATATTTTACTATCTTTAACAATTGGTGTTACTCGCAAGAATAAATATATTGATTGTTAGTTATTGCTTACAGATGTGAATTTGACATAAAAATTTTTTTGATGGCTATATAAAATTTCTGCTTAACCTTGGCCTTTTTTGGAAGAATTTAATGGTGATTTTTTTTAAGCTTTAAGTTAAGATGTAATAGCATTTATCTCTTTCAAAATTATTGTTTCGTTACTTATTCCATTAAGTTAATTCAAATATTATCTTTATGAAGTGGCATTTATTTTTAAATCTTTCTACTTTTGTTTTGGTGTTATTTATTCATAATATTTTGATTGAAATGATTAGTCTATAAATTCATTAATTTAATTTTAATTGGGATTTCCTTCTAATGAATTATTGTTAAAATGATGATATATCTTAAAGAATTGGCCAGCGTTCAAGCGATTATATTTTTCATGAAAATTTGTCATAGGAGAAGTATCCATATCCATGATTTCTATAATCGTTCCTCTTCTCTATTGACTGTCTTTCCTCACAGTGTCATAATTATTAATTTAGTTAAAGTTAAACACCTGTGATTGAGGATGTTCTTAGCTTAATTATTTGCTTTTGTCTTAATATTGTGTCTGACCTTCTCCTTCTCCGTTAGTGCTGATAAGACCAGAATAAAATATTATATTCAGACATTCTTAGAATGAATCAGCTTCAAAAAATTTCAGCATATCATTATTCATTTTTAGAAGATTAAGATTTTCATCAATAATACAGTAACCCTCGCTAATTGACTCTATGAGATCTATCAGAAAACTTTCCTTAAGATATTTTAAAAAAGTGTAAACGTAAATCTAAATTCAAGGATATTTTTGTTTTTTTTCCCCAACTTTCCTCATTCATAAATTTGTAATAATTAATAAAATAAACTTTTTCAGTTAATTTTTAATGCTTAGAAGAATTAATAAACAATCTAAAATTTTACAATAAATCATTCGAAAAGTAAATTTTTAGTTTATATGTTGGTTAGAATTCTTTTAATTTAATATTTTGGCAACAGAAATAGTAATTGTTAATTAATGAGTCAATATTATTTCTTATTTATATTTCTATGATAATTTATGTTATTTAAATGCCATTAAAACACAAAAATAATTTTAACCGTGCTTGATTTAAATATAATCTTCTTTATGAAATTTTAAAAATGCATAGATTATTTAATTGTGTATTTATTAAGACCCGCCAGTTTTATTTGATTTAATAGGAATATTTTAATTAATTTTTTATGCGAAATTTGCTACTTACAAAAATTTGTTAGAGCAAAATATGTTATTAAATATAATTTATTTATTTACTGCTTCAAAACACTATAAATTATTGTCTTTTTAATTAAAATCAAGCTTTTTCTATGAAGTTTCATCATTTAATTGTACAAAATTTTAAAGATTTTTTTTTCAATTTTCAATTAAGATATGAAAACTTTTTTCTGTAATTAAAAATGAGAAATGCATTTTGAATGAAAAATAACTAAAAAAATAATGATAGTACAGCTTTATATTTAACAAATTTATTGAAGTTACCTTTAAATCAAAGAGCTCACTGCAAAGCTATTTAGAATTCTGGATATTTTAATTGGTGCTTTTTTATGCCTCATTTAAAATTTTACGCTTTTTTGGCTTAAATATTTCTGATTATGGCTTTTTAGTTACGGGCATAGGTATTTTCTCATTATTTTCTGATACAATGTCTGCAAGATTAGAGTTTTAGGTTTGGTTTTATGGTTATTTTAATCTTAGACATAGATCACTTATTATGTCTTTGTATGCAAAAATAGTACTTTTATATGCTTCATCTACACTATCTTTAAACTAGAAGCGAATAGTATAAACTATCATCATTAAGCATAAGCTTGAGAAAATAATTTAGATATTTGAAGTAAAATATCTATACCATTCTAAAGACTAGCGAATTGGAATATAAACAATAAAGGTTAAAAAAATTAGAAAGAAATATTTCTTTTTCTATAGAATGAAAGCATAAGAACAGCTAATTATAGCTGCTCTTAGTATTAATTCGATTAGCATATACTTGTAATTAGCCTAATAAATAGAATCTTTTAAGAGAATAAACTCTGAAAGAAATAAAAATTCAATATAATAAAAGATCAAAAACAGCAAATCGCATTTTTAATTAATTTTTAAACATCTCTTCTTGTCACTTTGTGGAGACTCAAATCTCCAATAAATATTAGCCAGCATTCCTATAACAAAGAATGCAACTTAAATGCCTATCATCCCACTTAAGACAAGCCAAAATTCTTACCATTCTTACTTTAAATCATCTATAAAGTAAGATCCAATAAATAATATACATAGATTTAAAACTGACTAAATCAACCTGTATGAAGAGACTGCCGACTTTTACAAAATAGTTAAAAAATAAATTGAAATTTTTAAAAATCAAACTGAAAAAATTTATTTTAAATTAATGTAATTGAAGATTAATTCTCTAATTATTTTTATATGCTTTACAATTTTTTCATATGATTTACAATTTTTTCAGATATTTTACAATTTTTTCATATACTTTACAATTTGTTCATATGCTTTACAATTTGTTCATATGCTTGGAATTAATTTGCAATTTTTTTATTAAACAAAAGCAATTCGTATAAAAAAAAGTGGTTAATCGTTTGATAATTTTCTAATTTAAATAAGTTGTTCTATGTTAATTTGTTTGTAGAGTACTTGGATATTATTTATTAACTTATTTATATATATGCATTTATTTATTTATTTATATTTAGTCTAAAAATCTTCTAAAATGGTAAATAATTAGGAATTGGAAATTGCTTAAAACTAATCATTTACATATGTTTTTGATAAAGCCTAAACATTTTGAGTTTTTCTTAACTCATTCATTTGATTGGGTTATAGATACATCTCCAAATCATTAAAATTCTTACACAAGTATTTTGCAAGGTTTTCATTTAAACCTTTTTCATATCCTTCTTCATACATTTTTCGAGACTCTAAAATGGAACTCTAGTTGGCATTACTATTTACTTTTGATCTGCTTTACTTATATGATTTAAGCTGGACATTCAAGTCTTGTTAGGATTTGATATTTGTCTGTGACAATAAAGCAGAATTAATGCGATTCCTACTATTATAATTCTTTTATGTAGAATTTTATTTATTGAGTAAATTAATGACCCTATCATCCTTATTCAAATCTATTGGTGAAGGACTTTCATCAATCTGTCCCAATTTATTTAGCGTATTATTTTTATTTTGGTTACATATGTTTTATGATTCCAAAGTTTTGAGCTTAGCTTCTGAATTCATCTAACTTATGATTAAGTTATTTATAATTTTATGCACTGATTTTTAATACAAAAAATTACTAAATCAAATAATCAATTAATATCTCTTTTCACCGAAATAATTTTTCCTTAATTCTTTGTAATCTATTTTTTGACTTTACAATCTTTCTTGAATTAAAGTGATTCCAAAAATCTTAACCAATTAATTTCATTATTCACAGATAATTGGGGTTTTTTGGACACTTATGGTCAATTTTAGTTGACACATTTTTCTCATTCACTACTATCAAAAACTAGAAAACAACTCGATTGTAAAACAAATATTGATATTAAAATAATCCTTTATTAACTACTTATATAAATAACTAACTCCTTATTTTATTGAACTGCTCATATCATCATTTAGTAATTTATCAAAATACTTAAATTATAGTGCCATTCTTTATTTTAAATATTACTAATTACAAACTTGGACAGGATACCACCCTTAAATTTGGAGTTAGGATAAGTAAAAATCCAATTATTATGAAAATATTTGTTTAGAAGTTCAATATATTTTTCAAAATTTTTTTATATCCAGTAATAATATTCAAAAATACATTACTTATGTTCTAAGCTTATTTTAATTAATTTTTCATATATTTGTAAATATTATATAAAATTTAAATGATTTATCTAAAATAGCATTTATGGGAAATGTCACAAAAAGTACGCTTCAACAATAATTGTCTGAAAATTAGTTTTTAAATTAATTTAAATATTTTTCAAATTAGTATTCTTAATAGTAAGTAAATTAACAGCTATCTTTTTAAAATGAAAGCTTAAAGTATAAATAAAAGTAAAATACATATAATACATTTTGTAACTATCTAAAAAATTAAAATATTATTCTGGTTTTTTTAAGATCCTAAAAATTCTTATAAATTTAAAAGTTTCCAATATTTTATTTAAAAAGTAAATATACTTGAGAGCTTAAAAAATGGCAATTATTTAGATATCATAGATAAATATTTTATATATTAAAATAGAGCTCAATATAAAAATTGAGTACTATTGTTTTTATTTGAATATAAAATTAATACCAATAAAATAAAAGAAGACATTTTAAATTATCCTTAATTGAGATAGGTTATATTTTAGTAGATTGAAAGATAAGTCTTATTGAATAAAAAGACATAATTACTAAATAAATTTACTCTTTATTTGTAGATATATTTTAAAGCTAATTATTAATATTACAACTTAAATACCAGAAAAAATAATAAACAGAGAGAAGATGATATTAATTAACATAAAAAATTAAAATTTTCTTAAATCAATCAAACATAATATTAAAATGAGTTTTTTAACATTATATTTATTATTAACAATCGAATTAATTTACTTTGATATTTGTAAACTTAAAATTAATTTTAGTTTTTCAAAAATAAAGATTAGAATTATTTTTTTTTTAATAAAAAGTATATTTTTATATAAAAAAACACATTTTTTAAACTAGATAAATGCAAGAGTTTTTTGAACTGTTAAAATTAATTCAAAAGTTAATACTATTTTATTTTAATGATTAAAATAATAGCCTAAAGATGAAATAAGAAGAAATTTTCAAATAAGTTTTTAGAAAATAATTTTTCTGAATTAGTAAGTATAAATAATATAAACAAATACATTCTGAATATATTCTTTTAATAAATAAAAGATATTTGTATTTTATTTGGTGTTAAATTTAATTTTTTAATTTCTATATAAACTTAATATAATTTATGATCCTTTGTTTATATACTTAATTATAAATTATAATTAATATGAAAATATTAATTTGTTTTTGTGTTAAAACATTAAATTAAAATGGAAACATTTTAGTCTAAAATTTATTGAGATGTTTTTTATTATTACAACTTTAAATAGAAATGTGAGGTTGTTTTCTTGTTTGCTAAATTTAATTAAAAATTGTAATTACTTAATTATAATGTATTATGAATTGCAATATCCTCGCTTAAAGTAGAAATTCTTTTACATTGCATAAATTACAAAAAAGAATATAAATATAAATTATTTTAAAGGCGAGACAACAGAAATTACTTTTTTAAATTATATTAAGATACTACAAAATTTATTAATTAGGATTTATAAACATTTAATTCAAATAACATTTCCTTATTATTTATATAATCCATAGTTTTCTCTTGATTTTCCTGATTTACTTTACCAATCTTAAACTTCCATTGAATGCTTTGTTAAGTAATCAATGGCAATAACTTTCTTTCTTTCTTTTAAATCAGGACAATATGCTGTTAATACAATAGTTTCTCCCTCTTTAAATTCAAATTTAGTAATACCCTTATAGAAAACTTCAATTTCTTCTTTAAAATCTGTAATTACGAATCTTGTTTCTAAAGACCCTCTCTACATTTTGGTACTGCCAACTTTTAATACTCCGAATATTTAAAATTTAGATTCTGGTTTGATATAATCACTTAGCATATAATCTTAAACGCTCATAGTGACTTGTTTATCTTAGAACATGCTACCTCCATATGTGGCAGCAATATGTGCTCCACCTATAACAAGAAGTGCTCTAAAAATACCTGCTCTTGACTATATTGATCTACCTGCAGTACCTAATTGTATAGCTTAAGCAGTAGCTGTAGAAAACATTGCTCTATTTTAAACTAAAAATGATCCTAATTTGTTACTTCTTTATGAGAATTTCTAAAATATTTTGAACATTCCTTAATATTAAAATCTATTTAAATCTTAACTATGGCTTTTTATTCTTCACCTTGTTTGGTTTAGTAGCAATTATTAAATTTATTAGAGTTCTAATTGTTTTATTATTTTATATCTAAAAGAATTTAACTACCAGTAAATGAATGAAAATTTTTGATTGTTAGTTTTCTAGAATTTGTTATTTTACAAATGTATAATTTGATTCTTAAAATTTGAACATATATAAATATAATAAATACAACCTATGAAATTAAAAAAATATTAACATACAACAAAAAGACTAAAATTTATTTTAATTAATTATGAAAGTAATGGATTGGCGTAAAAAATGTTTTAAATTATTTTAATAAAAATACAAATAAAGGATTTTTTAATTATTCTACAATTTTTTTAATTTTTATTCAATTTTTAAAATTTAGTAAATTCATGAAATTTCTTTCGTTATCAAGTAATAAAATTAAATAAAAATCCTATCTGCTTTTCATTATTTTTAGATACCCATTCTCTCTAATTGGTGTTTCTTAGTGATAAATATACTCTCAAATATTTACTTTTTTAGGTTTTTTCAAAATTAATTCTAAAGTATTTTTTAGTTTTATTTTTAAAAAAATATCTTCAGTTTTAACTCATAATAATCATGAAAAATATTAAAGTCAAGTATTTAGTATGTGGTAAATATTATTGTTTCTAATTTTTATCTACAGTGTTTATTTATTTAATATAGTTACTAAAAATAATAAATGAAAAAAATTAGGATTTATTTAGAAATTTTTAAGATCTTTAATTATGGTTTTGCACAGTATATATATGAAGAACACTTTAATTTATAAATAAAAGTAGCTGTAAATTCATTTATTTATTTAAATTAACTTAAATATATATTTTTTTAATTATTTTTTAAAACTGAAAAAAGGCTAATTGAAATTCACGTTATTTATTTTTCATTTTCTATTTTATCTTTTTAGTTGTACTTTAGATAGGTCAATTTACAATCTGATACTAAGCATTTATGATATAAAATAAAATAATAATATTTAGATTAAGGAATTATTTATCTATTATATTTGAGAAGGTATATAAGTACTACCAATTTATATTTATTCAAAAGTTTTGTGTTAAAGATAATTTATATATAGAAATTACAGCTTTGAATACAAAAACTGACTGAAAGAAAGGGATTTAGCAAAAGACTATAATTTATTACATCTGAAAATTAAAGGAGATTTTGATTTTTTATGTTTTAATTTAATTAATTAAATAGGTTGCTTTTTTTATCAATATATTAAGTAATAAATTCTTCATTGATTAATCAAAAAAAAAATATCAATTTTTTCTTGTAATTGAATATTAACTTTTCAAAGTTTACTTTTAAAAACAAATTTCTAAGTGTTTATTTGCTTAGATTCAATTATTAATAAAAAATATTATGGATGCGGAGGTGTCAGAAACCTCACAGTAAAAATAAGCTTTTTGCAAGCCATAGTAAATTTTTTAGCTGAATTAAGGAGTGGATATAGCAACGCAGCTGGTTGTTACTGAAGTATAAGGTCATAGTGATATGGAAAGTTAAATCTTGACAAAAAGAAATAGCACTTAAGTAATTAAAGTTAAAGATATAAATCAAATAAATTGGATGTTTCAATTCATAAACCAGAAATTTGGGTATGAAATAAGTAAATTTTTACATATATATTTAAATAAAATTAGGAAGAGCAGCAAGAAGATGAAAATTAAGCCATATTAAGTAATAATAAGCTTGATGAAAGTAATGAAGAAAATCAAACAGAATAACATCTGCAAAAGTATCTTAATTAATTAGGAAAAGATGCAAAACTTTTTATGCAATAAAAAATTTTATCTATAGTTTATTTGTGAAAGGAAACTAATTTGATTTTATTTAAATTAAAGTAGTCATTTAGGTGTTTTAAAGTAGAATTATGAAGAAACCATTTAGCTTAAAAATAAAAATATAGAATAATCAGATAAAGATTTGAGTTTGAAATATGGATCAAATAGTTATCAAGAAAATTATAATCTTTTTTAGACATATGACACTAATTTTAATTTGAAGAGGAATTTATTATTTACACCGAAAGATTTAAAAAGCTAAGCAATGTACTCATACGATATGCCACCTAATTTAGATGCTATTTAGGATTCAAGCAATTATACATAAAATTAATTTATCTCTTAAAGTCCTACTGACCTTACATTATCACAATTAACATCAAAAAGTTACTTCATAAATTCTATTATGAAAAAAAACTCAAAAGAATTGATAAAATAGTAAAAAGAATTAGAGGACATTGTGCTTTAATAAAATTAACAAAAAAGAAATGGATTTACAAAGAACGAGAAAATACAATAAAAGATGATAAAAAATTTTCAAAATCATTAAACAAATATGAAAGATAATTATTTCTAAATTTATGAATAAAATCAACCAAAAAAACAAAAAAAATTTAATTTATAGAGCTTTGATAACAGTAAATTTCAAGTTTGGATGAATTAAAATCAAACAAGCAACAGTTCTAGGGAAGATCTAAGTGAATAAAAAAGTAAAAAGCTCGCAATATATAAAGATAAAGCTAAAAACAAGAGCTAATTAATTTAGCTTACTCCTATTTTAGAAAAAAGCAATAAATAAGCTTAATCTTAGAAAATTTTTAATATATTCTCAAACAAGTAAGATATACTCAAACACAAGTAAAATATATCCTCAAATGAAATATCTAAAGGTTAGATTGAATACGCAAAATAGTAAAAATAATAAGAAAGAAATTAATTGCCGCTTGTAACTCAATCCTTTTCAAATTAAAATAATTTTTCATTAGATCACCAGAAATAAATAAACTTTTTCTAATAAACAAGTAAATAGCCCATAAAGCAGATTTAAAGCAGCAAAATAAATTCAACAATTAATTAACAACTTAAAAATAACTCATTTTAAGAAATTTAAAATACAAAAACAAAAACTTCATCAAAAAATTAAGAAAAGTTAAATAACATCTTGAAAGTAAATGTAACAAATAATCCTTAATATAAATAAAAAAAATTAATCTACTTTTCTAAAACTGAAAATTCTGACAGATCAAATGATGGTGATGACTAATTTTCAATTTTTGAAAATTAAAATAATGTAGACTCAGCGTATTCTTAGTCTAAAGAAGTAAATAGCCTAAGATAAATTAAAAAAAATGATTTAATCTTTGAACAAATTTAAATTGATTAACGAGAGAATAAAGAAATATAATTTAGAATAAAAAAAGAATAAAAAAATAATAATCATCAATAGAAGTAAATTGAAACATTTTAAAATAACCAAGTTAACAAGCCAATAATTTTTGAGATCAATAAATAACTAAATTTAATTAATGCTTCAGAAAATAAATTAAATTAATAGAACGAATAAAATTAATTATTTTAGAAAGAACAGAGTTATGAAATAAATGAAAAAATTAATTTAGACACTCCAAAAAATAATCATTTAAAAATAAGCTAGAGTGAAGATGGAAAATGGAAGATAGAAAATTCTGACAATATGGATATGGAAGCAAGTAGGTCTTCTTCTATGAATTAAAATAAAATTAATTTTAGAAAGCAGTCTTCATAGCTTTCTCCTAGCGTATTCAGTATAAATACACATAATACTCTTTTAAATTAAAATGTGATTGATAACTCTAATAACAATAATGAAATTAATAAATAATTTTCTATTACAAAAAAAAGAAGCCTTTCAGATAATTCATTAGATGATATAAAACTACAATATTCTGTTGAAATTCACCACATAAAAAGCAGTGAAAACTTAAAAAATTAATAAACAAATAATCAAGATTAGAACTACAAATAATAGAGGTAAGTGTCAATTTAACAAAATGATAGAAGTCTGAATGATATTCCTTTAAATTAAAATACTTCAACTTCTATTATTTCTTAGAAAAATATTGAAATAAATTCTAATAACATTCAACAAAGTCATTTTTAAAATAAATCTTCTGATATTTTCAACGAGCTACCAACTAATAGGATTTCATCTTTAAAATATATTGATAATTAATATGAAAAATATAGTCAAAATGAACAGATTTAACTATAAAAATAACAGTCATAACAATAATAATAAAGAGATTATTAAATAATATCTATAAATTCATAATCTGTAAATAATCAAACCAATCCAAATTAAGGAAGCTTAGAAAAAAATGTTAAAAATAACAATTAAGAGTAAAATAATTTCAATAAAGAAAATGAGAACGTCAAAATTGTACTGAAAATTATTGAGAGTAGTGCAAATTCAGATTCTACAAATGTAGAGTAATAAGTATAAAATAAATTGTCACAAAATTTAGAAAATGTAAACAAAAATAGTCATACTACTGAATATTGTTAAGACTAAGACATTTTATAGTAGTAAGATTAAATGAAAAATGAAAAAATAGATTTTAGCATGACCACAGTTTAAGAAAAATCAGAAGCTACATCTAATAAATCAATACACATTAATTAAAATGAATTTTCAACTCTGTAAAGAAGAAAGAGCAATCCCACTTTAAAAAATTACCAAATTCCAGATTCTTCTAATGCTATGCAAAATTAAAATATAAAAGAAGATTAATCTGTTTAATCCACGAAAAAACTCTCTATTTCTTAATCAGCTTTAAATGAAGTCAAAGATGAAGAAGAAATAACATCAAAAAGTAGTATTGATGGTAATTTAAAGTTTGATGAAAATAAAAAATTGAATAAAGAAGAATAAATAATTTTATATGATAGCATGTAAAATATTTTTCCTCAATAATTAAGTAATATTTCATTAAATATTGATCAGGACTAAATTTGCAATTAGCAAAGCGATAAGACGATAAAAATTAATTCATCAGCTTAGCTGCTGGATAAAGAAAAATAATAGTTTAGAATGAGAAGCGAAACCTTTAAGGGAAAACAGTAAGCTGAATTGTATATCAATGTAATGCCTCCAGATAATAATACTCCGTAATCGATACAAAATATATAGGAAGTTCAAAACTTTTCATAATTAAATAGAAATTTTGAAAATGGAACTGATAAATCTAATGAAATAAAGCTATTCAGTAGTTAAAATTTACAGGATGATAAAAGTGAATAAGAATATAAATAATTATAAATTTAAATTGATAAATGTAAATAATAAAGTTAAACTTTTTCCTCAAAGAATTTAGATGAGATTAGTTAAGGAGGAAGTAAAAAAAATATTCCTTTAATTAATAATCTACAAATTTAGTCAATCAATAACAAAGATAACTAAATTGATTTTAATCTTAAGTTATAATAAAAATTAAATATTGAGAAAAATACTAATTACTAAAAGCTTAATAGATTTGTTCAGTCAAGTGATGATTAATTAGATAATCACTCCTATTGGGATGAGAATGATAAAAATTAAAGGACTGAGTAACAATCAAACACCACAAAGCACAGTTAAAGAAAAAATACAAATTAGAATGACAGTCCACATTCTAGCTTTAATCAAGAATAAGACAGTCCTGCTTTAAGTTTGAAAAAATAGCTTTAATCAAGAAAAATTACATAAATTTAATCAAATAACTCATTATAACACGAGGAATATTAAAAAATATCATAGAAAACATCCATAGATAATAATAATAGCCGCAGATCATCACTATTAACTCCATAGTAGATTAAATAGGCAAAAAAAGAGAGTCGTTTTTAAACTCGCCTGAGTAATTTTAATTAGTAGTTCTTTGAAGCTGAAGACTCTCTAATTTTAAATATATACGGCTAAGAAACAGATAAATAAATTTAACTGAATGGGTTGTGCAACTTTAATGAGAATTAAAGTATTAATTAAGGATTCAAAACTGATTTAGAAGTTAGTTAAAATAATGCAGTCACATCAGAGAATGATTAAATTAATTAATCTATAAATGCAAATGCACACTAAAAAGATAGTTCTATGAAGAAATTAATCAATTAAATAGAATGTTTCCAACAGAATCCTTACCTGGAATCTTTTGATTCAAACAAAGGCAATAACATGTTTTAAAAGAATGTTAAAACATTATTTAGAAAAATCAATTAATACTTTAAAACAAAATATCACTAAGAAAATTTTGGATTTGATGGGTCAAAATCAACTGACACTAAAAATGGTTAATAAGAGGGGAATTAAAATAAAATTTAATAAAACATTCCCAGAATTTCTCTTCAAAATGGATTTGCTGTTGCATCAGAAAAGTTAATTTGGAAGGGTAAAAATAGTATTCAAAGCGATTTAGGGTAATCTGAGGATTTAGAGTAGGAGGAAAAGTAAATCAATTAAAACATAGAACTTAAAAAGAGTGATATTGAAAAACTAAATTAGAGACTTCAACGAAACAGCAAAGTTCCTGACAAATTCAACAACTAAAAAGCAGAAGATACTCCTTCTTAAAGAGAAATAATGTAAAAATAGAAAGCAACTAAAAAATAATTGTATTTTAACATTTTAATTTTAAATAATAATATTTAGAGTAGGACTTGATAAACAATCAACGTTAGATAGAGTAAATGGTTTTGTTAGAAACAGTAAAAAAAAGTAAAGCTAAAAGCTTGTAATTTAAATAAATCCACCAGCAGACGAACCCACTTAAATTTAGATTCCTCATATCAAGCTAGATTTTTCTGCAATAAAAAAGAAGAATGGAAATACTGAGTTTGTCCTTAATCAAAACAACAACAAAGAAGCTGAATCATTAGAGAGTAGTAATGAAGACGAGGATGAAATGGATGATTTAAAGAATGATAGCTAAGTTCCAAACAACTTCGGTTATAATAATGAATATATAGAAAAACATAGCAGCTAAGTATTAGATTTTTTAAACTAAAGTGGGAGTTCGTGGGATGAATAAGAGTTTAATTCATAATTTATTCCTTCAGAATAAAATTAAGCAAAACTGCTCAATAAAATGCACAAAATATCAATCAGAAAAATTGATAGCTACATAAAAGATAGACATAATAAGTTAAGCCTTGTTAGTGAGCAATCTTAAGAATAAAAATTGAGCACTCTAAAATTTCTTGATTAAAATTCTTGGAGATTTGTTAAAAATTATTAAATTACTTATTTGGAAAAACAGATTGACAAAGACTTTTTTTTCAAAGTTTCAAGGTAAAATTTATAATTTAAATATTATTTTTTTATTAAAAAATAATTTATTTATTTATTTATTTATTTATTCATAGATTAAGGAATGTGTTGAAAAACATAAAAAGTAAAGTAGATCCATCTGATAGATTCAAACTAGATTCTATAATTGCTTTAAATTAGACAAACATTAATGCTGGAGAAATATTCTTACAAAAAGATAGAGCTGTTGAGAGTAAAGCAAGCAAGGTTATGCAGTAGTCTATCTGTTTGAGTGATTCTAGAGAAAACGAAAGTTATGATTTTTATAATAAAGATCCTTACGAACATTAATTTTAGGAGGATTTGGTAAGTGAATAGTTCTTAGATGATAAAAAGAGAAAGAAGGATGAATGTAGCCAAGAAAGTAGCAGCGACGAAAGTTTTACTTCTGAAAGCAGTGACGAAGTAGAAGAAGTAGAAATGGAAGAATATTATCCCATTAGTGATTAAGATAAAGATTTAAACGATAGAACTTAGTTTTTGTATGACGAAGAAGATTACGAAGGAGGCAGATCAAGCTATTAGTTAAACGAAGGATACTTAGAGCCTGTAATGACGAATGAATCTTCTAACATGTTCACACAGCTATATGAAGAAATTTAACCTGTGCTAAGTGGCATTGAAAATGATTAGATAAATGATATCCTAAAAACTCGTAAAAACGATAAAAAAGCACATTAAGAAATCATTTAGCAAAGTTAAATTGGTAAATTTACTTTGATTTATTTTCAATTAATTTATTTTTTTTTTTAGAAAAAAAGTTTAAAACTATCAACAAAATGGTTGCCTAGCTGGATATTAAGAGCTCTTAAACAGATATGAGAAATATTTAAAGTGAATATAACGAATTGTTAGAAGGAGATTTTTAAGACAATTAAAGAATAGACCATGACTTCTTTAGAAAAGATTTTTTGAAGCAATAACAAAACTAATTTAACAAATTTGTAAATAATTATAAGTATTTTAAAGGCAAGCTAATTTAGAATTAATAGAAAAAATCTAATTTGGATAGTTCTGTAATTGGAATAGGCTCTTCTACCTTAGGTCTTCCACTTAATAGATAAAACTTGAAAGAAAAATCGCCAAAATCAATTGCAGACAATAACCTTGAAATAGTTTCTTTGAATAAATACAAAAGACAAGACTCTAAAAACTCTTAGCATTAAAATTTTTAGCAATCTTTCAATTTATATAATTAATAATAGCAATAGCATTCTACTTTATCAACCTAACCGGGAAGCTTACAATAACAATAAATGTAAATATAACCAACCTATGCATAGCAATACTATTAATAATCTCATTTATTATAACATTAATTTAATACATTACAGTAAAATGCTTCACCTTAATAAAATAATTTTATTTAAAATAATACTCTACCAACTCACCATGTTCACTATAACACTGTTTCTCCTTCCAATTAAAACGCAAATTAGTAATAGAAATAGTCATTTTCTAGTGGCGTAGATACAAATTTATACACAGGATCTTTTATGAAGAATATTTAAAATAGAGGATTTACTCAAAGTTTGAAAAATTTCTCTAGTATACCAAATAGAGGAGAAGGAACATCAAAGAACTAGATTACAATAAAAGCCGAAGATGATCCTAAAGCTTTTAAAAATATATAAAAAATGTAAAAAATTAACTAACTTCTTTAACCATCAAATAATTTTTATAAAATTGAAAATTATTTTTTTTAATAATCAATCAATTTAAATTAATTCAAATTCATATAAAAAGAAATATACATCAATAGCAAATATCTGAAATCTACCCTTCATATTCAAGTATTTAAGGTGGCAGCTACAATAAAACTTCTACTTTGCAATCACAACAATCAGCATTTAATCAATCTGATTCACTTCACAATAAAGTATTTATTTATTTTACATTTATTTATTAAATTATTTTTAAAAAATATATTTATTTTTTAATAGGAAATTTTAAATCAAGAAAATAGTAAGCAGCCTATTAAGTAAATTAATATTTTTTTTAACAAAATTTTAATTTAAAATTTTAAGAAACCAAGAAAATTAAGTATTCAGTCTCTAAAAGGTTAGCACGAACTAATCAGCAGACGAAAACTAGCTTACAGCTCCTTCTCCGACTCAGATAAGTATTAAAAAAGATTTAAGATCTACAGGAAGGAAGAGATCAATATTTAATACAGAAAACTCTTAAAGTCAACCGAATATTGCTATAGATTTAAATAAAAATCATCATACTCCACCATAACTCCATTCACCTATCTTTGCCAATAATCAAAATTAAGGAAACTCTTAATTTGGATAAAGGGTTTCGAATTAATTCAAAAATAATTACTTTTTTTAATAACCTTAGCCAGTTAATAATCTCACGCCACAACTTTAAATATCTCATTAAGCTTCTCTAATATAAAGGCAAAGTATTGGCTCTAATTAAACATAAAATCCTACTTATTACACTAACTTATAGTAACAGCAACAACAGTAATATCAAAGTTAATAAATAAATACTGCTATTTAGCTTACATCACCTAGTGATATTATTTAATCACCTTATAGATAACCAGCTCGCACTGGAACTCTTAATTCATATGGTTCTTTGAATAGTTAGAATAATCAAAATGGAATGAGTAATTAATTAACTTTGTAGACTTAAATGCAAAATTAAATAAATACTCCTACTAATAACTAAATTTCATAAATAATTGGAAGCGGAAAAGTGTAAACGAACGCTCTTGGGGCATAATTAAACTTCAATTAACAAGGGTTAGTAAACTAGTATTAAATTAACAACTCTAGGCTACAGATAAATACGGAGGCCTAGACTCCTCATAAGCTAGCTCTATTTTCTTCATTTTCAGTCAAAAAGGACATTGAAAAAGCAGTAAGAATATTAAATTTTCTATTTTAAATTAATTAATTAATTAATTTTTACACAAAATAAATTTGAATTTTGTTACATGTTAAAAACTTTTTATCAAATTAAAAAAATTCTTTTATAATTTTTTTTACCAATCAAATTTTTCAATTTACAAAAAGACCTCTATGGACAGATAGAACTTAGTAATGAGGACTAAGCTTTAGCAAAGTATAAGAAAGAGCTAATTAAGTTAGAAGGATTAAGTATTTGCAGCTATCAAAGAAAATAATATCCATGAGGTATTTTTTTAAATTTTAAAAACAAATTTTTAAATACTCAAATTTTAATGATGAAAAGATTGAAGATTTGTTAAATCAATATCACACACTTTCACTAGAATCAAAAGACGATGAGGGAAACACGTTTATAATAATAGCAGCATAGGTAGGGAGTAAAGAAATAGTAGAATATCTATTCTAGAAAGGAGCTGATATTAATGCTTCTAATGTAATAATATTCATAATACTTATATTACTAAGTTATTACATATTATTATCTAACTAATAATTTTTTAATTAGAATGAAGGTGATACAGCACTTCACAAAGCTAACTTTTACAAATATCACAATGTGGCTGACTTCTTAATTTAAAAAGGCGCATTATAAAACAAAGCGAACAACATAGGTCTAAATCCGTGGGCAAGCTATAATTAACCAAAGAGATGAAAATTAAGTACAAAAAAATGAAAGCAAGAAATTAGAAATAAAGAAAGAATATAAATTAATAAATAAAATAGCAAAATCATCTTTTAAAAGCAAAGTCTCCTTTGAAAATATTAGTCAATTTAATTTATTTAAAATATGCAAGTAAAGTAATATTATCACCCAAAATTTATAACAATAATTAAAAAATATTAGCGAAATAATTATTAAATAAAGAAATATTTATTATACTTTTAAATTCTCAATTAATATCTATATTATTTATCTTAAAATTTATAAAAACATGTATGAATTTCATTAAAAATTTTGTTAATTTACTTCAAAAAAAGTAAATTTTATTCAAAATTCTCCTGCAATTTTTTTAGCAGATTCTTCTTCATTTTTCATTTACAAACAATATTATTCATGGCTTCTTTTGTTTTTTTATAAATTCCTGTTGTCTAAAGAGTTCCTATAGTTTTTTTACTTATATCAGAGATATCTGTTACATCTTTTACCTTTTACTCAAAACCCAAACTAATTTTATTTGCTTTTTTATCATCTTTATTTGTTAGAAAAAGTTAATAAAAATAAATAAATTTTTCTTCGAATTTTTAAAAATTAAAAATAATACAAATTTTAAAAAAGTTTTTTTGAATGCAATTTTGATTTCATTCGAAAGAAAATGAGCTTGCATTCGGTGATTGCAATCTTGAGAGATTTTACATGAATATATATAATAAATATTCTTTGTTAAAAAAAAAATGATAAATTGTCAAACTTTATGACTCCAATTGTCCTATGTTACAAAAGACGTAAAGAAAAGAATAGAAAAGGCTATTCTTTAAAGTGGTTGAGGTTTTTATATATTTGCTTGATTGTAAATATAAATAATAGTTTTGTGAATATTAAATTGATAATAAATAACAATCAAAAAAATTGCTTATATATTGCTTTATAATAGTAACAAATATCAATCAAAAAGCTTATTAAAATTTAATCCTACCTTAACCAATCAATTCATTTGTGTATTTAAAACTTAGCTTCTTTTATATATGGGTGCATAGTGTTGCGTTAATCGAAAAGAAGGAAAAACTTTTTCTCCTCAAGTTTTAAGTTTTGACCCAAGGAAGAATGGACTCGCTATTGCATTTGTTTCTCTGCTTGAAGAAACTTGCATAGGATTAAAGGAGAAATTAGATTTACTATATGAAATTTCATAACGCTATGCTTATAATCACGAATGCTGCTTCCTTGATCCTGATTACCTTCAAGACAAATTTAGCCTTATTGAATTTTAGAGCACAGGAAGGAAATTCTAAGCTGGAATGGGCATGGCTAATGCTTTTGATAAAGAGATATAGTATCTTTTAGACGAGTACCTAATTTTAGATGAAGATAATTACTCAGTTATAATTCTCCTAATGTTTGGGTCTAGTTTGCATCCATTCTCACTCAAAAAGCGAACAACTGTAGAAGGAAATTGCAGCTATATAGTACATGATATTTTTCCAGCAATAAAACAATAGCCTTCTTCACCTAAAAAAAATTCATTTGAAGAGGATTAAAGTTTTAAAGGAGTGATTTGTAAAGAAATTGTCTTCTCTTCTTTACAGAAATTGCATCAATACCTTAATACTGTGAGTATGTATTACTACACATAAAACCCTTAGTAATTTACTTAAAAGGTTTAGCTTCTAACTTTCTAAGTCTCTGATGAAAAATCCTTTACATGTTCCGAGTCTGATCTTTCTTTTCTTCATGGACAAGAGTTTATTGAAAGTGTTGAAAAGGACATAAATCGCCTTAGCAGAGGTAACATTAACAAATCTATAAAAAAATCATTTGGACTACCTCATAAAAGTAGCTTTGGGCACAAAAGCGGTAATAAAAAATCTTTTGGAGATAAAGGCAAGAAATTATCTGAAGGATATTTAAATGATCAAATGAACTAGCAGCAGTAGCGCTCACATGCAGCTTTGCTTAAAGAATAAAAAATTACAACAACAATGAATAGCTCTACTGAAACTGAAAGTATTCAAAGAACAACCTAAGACACAATCAACAGCAAGGCTATTGCATGAGTAGCAACAGAAACAGGGCGCATAAATTTACTATACTTCCTACTTGTTACTTTATATTAAAATTAGCTTAATAATGTACAAATAAAATAGATCTAATACAAATAAGCATATGAATTTTCTATTCTTATCAAATCTATAAATATTTCTACTAATTAAATTTATAAAATTTTTAATCGCTTTACCTTTCGTTTCTCAAATATGCAATAATCATATACGATAGGTCTAGGTGATTTACAAATATTTTAGATTTGAATGAATATATTCGATTATTAGCTTTACAAATTATAATAAAAATCAGACTTCTTCTTCTTTATAAAAAACAGGTTCAAAGAATGAGCAAAAATAAATGTGTTATTTAATTAACAATATGTAAAATAAATCAAATAATATTAATCAAAAATCTAATACTTTATATTAAAAATATAATTAATATCTATCTATATCACTTTATATTAAATAATTAAATTTTATATATGAATAAATAAATGTCTTGCTTATATTTCATGTGTCTAATCTGCTTACTTTAATATATTATTACTTTTTTTCTTTAAGAATATTTAAATGCAATGAAAAGCTTAAGCAGCTTTAGCTAAGTTAAATTTGCTAAAATTTAATTATTAAAATTTTCACATCTATTTTTATTATATATGACAGATATACTGATAGATAATTAAATCAATAATATGCAATTTCTGTCCTAAAATTTGATTAATTTTTTTATTTTTGTAAATTATAATTAGTCCCCAGCGTTAATTATTGCGAGGATGAAGAAAAATAATATTCGAATTAGCTAGAATAATATAAAAAAGGATAATACTTTTTTATTATTAAATTTTTTTGAATTCATTTTAATAATTTTAGAAAGAATTTTTCTCATAATTTTTTGTTCTTTTATTTAAAATATAAAATTTAAAAAAATATTTTTTGTTTAAAAAAGACTAATATTTACAGTTCTAAATGAAATGTAATAGCTCACAAAAGTATTTATTTAAAAATAAATTTTTTATTTAAATTGAAAATATTGATCAATAAATTAAATGGAAAAAATAAAATTCAAAATTGTGTTTGTTTGCCAAAATATTATGAAGCGATCAGCTTACACCAATTTTTTAAATATCATTAATTTTTAATAAATATTTTTTTTATGGATTTTACTTGATCTGGGAATAAGAATAACGATATTGATTAGGAATAATACTAATTATTGTGGAATTTTATAAGAAAAGTAATAAATTAAAAAAAAGTAATAACAACCATAAAATTTTTTTTTGAAAAACTTATAAAAAACTAAATGACGATTTTGATCTTGAATTGGTAAGTAATCAAAACATTTTCAAAATTAAAAAAGTGTTATTGCAAAACAAAATTTATTCTTTTGCAGGTTAAGCTTATCATTTATATTTTGATACAGCTCTTGAATTAGCTAAAAATTTTAAGTACAAAAATTTGGTTCTATTAAAAATGTTAAGTTATTGCTAATTTTATTTACTGGAAATTAAAAATATAATTAGCAGTTTGGCAGTAAATATTTATGTTCACTAAAATATTTACATGTGTTACTCAATTATCTTTATTTATCATCTCGATTGTATTTAATGTAAATAATTTGAAACAAACAAAATAAAAGAACGAATAATTCATTTATTCATGTTTATTTGTAAAAAAAAATCAACTAAAATAAGTTTTTGTTTTTCTTTTGTAAAAAATAAAATTACAAAAAAGATTCTTTAAAGGAGTTAATTCAAATTAAATTTAATTGATAATCTACTTACATTATATAATTATGTGAATTAGTAAATAATACATATTAAAATTAGAAATAATCAGATATTTATAATTTAGTAAAATTTTTTGTTATTAAAATAAATTAGACATAAGCAAGCATATCAATGATATGATGGATGGATACAGAGATGAGATATTAATTGAAAAGAGTATTTTTAATATAATTAGTTTTTTATTATTATAAATGGTGAGTTAATTAATTAGTTAATTATTTGTTATTATATTTTCTATTGTTTCTTAACACTAATTAGACAGACTTTAATTTTATTCAAACTAAAAGCTTCTTTTTTGTTTTGTTTTTATTGGTTAGACTGTATGTCTACAAAAAATAAACCCTCAGAAATATTATATTTATCATTCAAAACTTATTTCATTTGCAACTAACTCTTCACTAGCTGTTATTAGTTTATATGATCTTTTCAATCTAAGGAGTACTGAGGAGTTATGATGTTAAGATACTTGTTCTTTTGCCATTGACTGTGGTGGTAGCTACTTTGCTAGGAGTAGGATAACCTTCTTCTAACTCAATAACATTTTGGGAGTTGTAGTTACTTAAAGTTTTCTAAGCAGTCTTCTTTTATATGTGCTTAGTAATGAGTCCTCTAGGATTCTCAGCATCATATAACTTTAAACTGTCTTGCTTTTTAAGTCCAAAATCGTAAACTTTTTCATTTTTTTAGGTAAAATTCTAGTTATTATTTTCATTTATTGATTAGACTTAAGTGAGTTTCTTCTTGGTTTAAATGCAGCCCATTTATTTTTTTAAGAATGTATTTATTTTATGAAATTTGTTTTTATTCTTTGATACTTTTTTTGTTTTTTTAATTAATTATAAATTATTCACAAAGTCATATAGCTGGTCTTAAATACATGAATTACATTTCCTTGAAAAAAGAATAAGTAAATAAAAGTAATTAATCATCAATTATTATTAATTTGTTCGACTCAATCAGGATATTTTTATAATTTAGTAAAGCAATTTTAGCAAGGGTGAATAAAAATTTTAAGTATACAAAAAACTGATGGATATATATAAATTTGATTGGTTATTTAACAAAAATCAAGCAATCAAAGAAAGAAGGCTTTCTTTTTTTCTAGTGATAACAAGTAAAGTACCTAAATATTTATAATCCATCTCTCAAATTACAAATTAAAGTATTTTGTTGAAAATAATAAATTATTTAGTAGCGTATTTTGAATATTTTAAGATAAGATAACATAAATATTTTGATTTGTGTGCTATTTAATGTTATTAAATTTGGCATTAAATAAAAAAGATAATTTACTCAATAATATCTTTAATAGTTTGATCAGAGCAAACTATATATTATATTTAATAGCATGAATGTAATAACATGATAAATTTCTTATGAATGCATGTATTACTGCGTTTTTATTAACATAGTAATAGCTAGCTAAATTAATTCAAAAAAATTATAATAAATAGAAATCATCAAAATAATAAAAATAGACAAATCAAATTAAGCTGGCTAAAAAATTTATCAAAGTACAAAGTAAATTTAACAAGCAATAATTAGGTCTTAAATTAAATTTTTTGATGTTTGCTTCAGTAATTTATCTTAAAATTTTAATGGAATAAATGATACTGACAACTAATATAATTTTATAGTTATTACATTTATAATTTGTATCTGATATTTTTTACTCTTTAGCTTAACCCAAAAAAAATATGTAAAATTTTCTTCTTGTTATTTATAAATTTTAAAATTAATCAGATAAATAGAATACGAATAGAAAAAATAGATTATTTAAAGACTATTTGCTGATTAATAAATTATTTATTTATTTGTTTATTTATTTTTCAATCATTAAGTTTTAAGTCGTACTCAAAATCTCTTAACTATTTCAGAAATCCATAGTTAGGACTTACTTGCTTTCTTTTAGAGTGAGCATGTTTGTAAGCCTTTTCCATATTCCATCTATTTATTTTCATTAAAAACGCTATGACAATCGATGCACTTCTAGAAACGCCTGCCATGCAATGTACCAAAACACTTCCATAGTTAATATTTCTTTCAATAAACTCAATGCATTCATCGAAATGCTATTTTATATCATATGATTCTACATCTTAAGCGTTTATAACGAGATGTTCAGGAATTAGAGTTTCAGGGTATTTTAATTTAGTGCCTTCCGCAATTGTTATCACAGCTTTTATATTTTATTCTTGTAATTACTCAATTTTTTGAGCCGCTATCAAGCTTCCCAACCATAAATTACCTTTATCCTAAACTTACCAAATCATATCCATTGAGTTTTATTCATACCAATTCATCCATATTTATCCCTCTTCAAAAACACTAATGTTCATTGCAAAATATTTTATTTTTAAATTTCCAAAATAGTTAGTTTAATCAACAACAAAAATTGATGTATTCAAATTTTATAGTCTATCAAATAATTTAATCACTTTAATCAAAGCAAAAAGAATTGTAAGCAAATCAAATTTTTGAAAATAAATAAAATCAATAGAAAATTAAAATTTGTAATTCGAAAATTTCTTTAAAAAAAATATTCCAAAAAGATTCATTCCATTTAAAATTCTAATATTTAATTCATTGTCTATGCTATGACTATCTATTTTAAAATTTACAAAGTTAATGAAAAAAATATATTTTTATTATAAATAGTATTTAATAATGCATGTAAGCTATTAGTCACAAGTATTAATTAGATGAAATGTGAAAAATGAATCTAGAAAGCGTTATTAAATACATAAATTCAAGCAGATATTTATCAATAATATTATTTAATATCTAACGAATATAAATATTAAAGTTTTAAAGCAAAATTTAATAGTATTTTTTAGTTTAATTTACATTAAGAAAATCGCAAAACTGAAGAACAATCAAAGTAACTTTGATTTTCTTCATTTATCATGCAAAATATCACATTAATTGTTCTATCTATCTATTCTTTATTCCTATTTAACAAATATTCTCCTTACATTATTTTTTTAAAACTATAAATAACATTTACTGAAGCAAATAAAAATAAATGATGGTTTTGGAGTTATGTTACTAATTACTGTAAAATCTTCTCACAAATATACATATAATTAATACTGAATATAAATTTTTATTCAAACAAATTAAAAATAAATTTTAAGATAAATAATAGTTTTTGATAATGAAAGATAATAAGATAGATTTTATGAAGATGTAAAACATAACAATTAAAATGAATGAAGGAAAGAATTAATTAAAAATTTTAATAAAATACAATCAGTAGTAACAATATAATAAATTTTTAGACGTAAATTAATTAAATTATTTTTATGGCTATTATAAGATAAGTAAGTAAGTAAATATTTTAATTATAAGAGCAAAAACTTCAGGCAAACTGTCATTTCCTACAATCTACAAAATTAGCTCTCAGAGATGGTATTATTACTTCTTGATTATTAATATTGCCAATTAAATACTAAAAATCTATACAAGTAATTGGTTTATTTTATTCTTTGCATTTTTTCTTTGTTTTTCTTTCTTTTCCAATATACCCAATAAGATGGTTATCAAATTCATTGAAATAGCCTTCATCTAATATTTAATCTGAAACATCTTCTAAGTCTTCAGAATTTAGTGAAAAATTACTTTCTTTATCAGATTTATTGCTATCATCTTCTTCTTCTTCATCACTTTCATTATTATCTTAATTTTTTTTTCTTTTGCTTTAATTTTTGATATTTCTACCACTAAGTTTTATACATTAAGTAAAGTCTATCTCTTCTTCTTCTTTAATATTATTATTATTACTGCTTTTTTAACTTTACTTAATAAGTTCTTTTTAATCAGAGTTATCCACATTTTCAGTCTTTATCTTTTAATTTTTGTTGCTTTGGTATTAACTTGCCTCTTTTTTTGGAGTTTCTTAGCTACTTAAGCACTAGGTTTGAGGAGAAGAAAGGATATTTTCCTTTTGGTTAGGAACTATTTAAATTTATTAATCAGATTGTTCATCATTTAATTATTCTTTTTTTAAAATTTTTCTAGGATTGCTACCAAAATTCTTAGCATTCTAATCATCTTGTTTTTTGTTTATCTGTACTAATTTTTCATCATATTAGTTTTTAAATTCGCCTTTCAATTAGATCTAATTTTACAAAACAAATTGCTATTTCAATTTTTGTTGCCAGAGTTATTTAAATTAATCTAATTGATCTTATGAATTAAATATGCTTCCTCCACAGTAGTACTCATCTTCTATCTTTCGCATGATTTTGCTCTAAACCCTTTCCAAAAATGCTTGATTTTATACATTTTGAATATTCATATTGTTAATTTTAATGGACTTATATTTGAATATGCTTGATTGAATGGTTGATACTCTTATATGTAGTATATATCTATTATGATATTCAAAGAAATTTAATTAATTAGTTAATATCTTATCTTTAGAGTTGGATATATATATATAATTTTAATAGTATTTCTATTAATATAAAATATTATATTTAAAAATAATTACCAAGCTATTTTTAAGAACTGAAATCTGATAAGAATAAATATCTCGTTTAAATTAATTTTATTATAGTTTATTAGAATTTTGTAAATTATTTTTTTATTATGTCTACATTTTGAGCATTTCTTCTACTTATAAAAATATATCACGATTATAAATAAATTTGATATAATTCGATACTAATAGACTAAAAGTATTTAATTTTTCATTAATATTAAAAGATTAATTTATTCAAATTAAAAAAAAAATTATTAAGTTTATTTTTCACAAACTAAAAACTTCAACAAATTTATACTGGTCAACAACAGCTAGTTTAAGTCACTTAAGAAATATTTATATACATAGCAAAAGTAAATTATAGAAAAAACAAGATAGAAACTCTTTCAAAAAATGGATGACGATATTATGATTAACTTTGGTGATTTTGCACCTAAAAAAGTAGCTGATCCTAGCAAAAACGAAACATAGGCACGTAGAGAAAAGTATAAGCAAAAGGCATTTGAACAAAAAACAAATTATAAAAATTTCCTCAAGAGATAAAGAGAAAAAACTTAACAAAATAGCGACGACATAGAATAAGGCAATGTTTTAAAAGTTAAAAAGCCTATCTCTAAGAACCAAGATTTTAAAAAAAGTACAAACAGGACGATTCCAAAGTTAGCAGAAGTCACTTGCTGCGAAGAAAATAATCCTGAATAGCAAGCTGACAACAAACAAGAAAACCAATAAGATTCTACAAAGCAAAATAAGTTTAAGAAAGACTTCAAGTAATACTTGGAATAATCTTAAAAGGGAGGAGATTATGATAACGAAATATAAAAGATTATGCATTAGGAATAAAATAATGTTGAGCGTACTAAATAAAAGTAAAATATGAGACGTGAAAACAAATAAAAAAGTGAAGAATAAGAGCAAATAAAGGAGTAAAAGTAATAGGAAATGATGCAAAAAGTTGTTTATCCTTTCACTGAAAAAGATTAAGAATAGTAAAAGCTCTCCGTCTTCACAGCTGAGAAATTCGGAGAAATAGAGTAAATTCATCCTAAAGTTGTCTAAGCCTTACAAGAAAGCAACTACGAAACAATGACTAAAATTTAAAAAGAAGGTATTCCTTAGATTTTAAAAAAAGAAAATATCGCTTTGAAGAGTGAAACAGGTTCTGGTAAAACTTTAACTTATTTGGTTCCTATTATTTCGAATCTTGTCCACATGGGTACTGATCAAAAGGTAAACTTTATTTTATTTATTTATCTTTGAATTATATTTGAATTAAAATGTTATAAAGATTACTAGAGAAGATGGTAGCTATGTTTTTGTAATTTGCCCTACTAGAGAATTGTGCATTTAGTGCGAAGAAGTTGCGCAATTAGTTACTAAAAAATCAAAATATTTGATTACAGGTTGCTTGATGGGAGGTGAAAATCCTAAAAAAGAAAAAGCTAGATTAAGAAAAGGAGTAACCATCCTATTTGCCACACCTGGTAGATTGCTATATCACCTCAAAAATACTAATTCCTTCTTGTTTAGCAAGCTCAAGTACATTGTTTTCGAAGAATCTGATAGAACATTAGATATGGGTTTCAAGAAAGATTTAGAAGAAATCGTAGAATAGCTTACATAGAAAGTCTCCTTCGAGGAAGTATAAAAAATTCTTATTTCAGCTAACTTCAATGACAGTGTAGAAAGTCTTTACTTGAAGATGTCTACCTAGACTATCAAATACGTTGGATTTGCTAAGCAAAAGAGGTATGCATTTCTTTATCTTTTATACAAAATAATTTTTTTTAAAATTCATTTTAGAAATAAAGCAGATGGACCAATAAACTATGAAGAAGAAAAGAAACATATAAAGGGAGATGACATGTTCAAAGTCCCAGATACATTGATTTAGTATTATTCTTTGATAAATGAAGAGCACAGAGTACCATTTTTAGTATCTTACCTTAGCATGCTTTAGGATACTAAATCTATTATTTTCGTATCAACTTGTGACGAAGTTGATTATTTTGCTTTCCTTTTCGATGCAATGAGGTATAAGGATGCTAACGGTGAAGTATAGTAGGATGATTAGGTTTTAAAATAAAAGATATTTAAGCTACATGGTAATATAGAGCAAAGGACTCGTAGTGAAACTTACTTTTCTTTCAAGAGATACTAGGGAGGAGCTATCCTCATTTCAACAGATGTAGCCAGTAGAGGTTTAGATTTTTACGAAGTAACTCACACTATTTTATTCGATGTACCCACTAGCATCAGTGAGTATTGTAATAGAATTGGTAGAACTGCACGTATAGATTAAAAGGGTATTTCTTTACTCATTTTGAATAATGTAGAAAGACCCTATGTTGATAAAATGAAAAAATATGGAATTAAATTGAACAAATTCGATGACGAGCCTGTTCTTGACAAAGTATAAAGAGAAATCAAATAAAAGTATGATGTCGGTATGGATACTATGCACTATGTAGAAAGTTTAATTAGGTAATCTATAAGAGACGATAAAACTAAATATATATTAGCTCGTAGAGCTTATGTAAGTAGCTTAAGAGCTTATGCCAGACTCAAAGACAAAGATATATTCCGTGTCAAAAAACTTAATTTACATTTAATAGCCAAGGGATTCGGTTTAAGTGGAGTCAAGGCTGGCAATGAAACTACCTCCAAGCAATATCAACATGAACTTGTTGAAGCTAATAAGAATAGATATGATAAGATGGAGAAATTCTTTATGGAAAGATTAGAAAAAACAGCTCCTAAGAGAAAAGCAATGAACTCTAAAAAATTATTTAATATGGAATTCATGTGATTGTTTAATTATAATAAAATATTGTTCAAAAATTTAATACAAATATATATCGTAAACAACAAGTATTAATTAATATTACAAAAGTTAATTGTTCTAGAATACTTTTCAATTTTTTAAATATTAAGAATTTAATCAACCTACTTTTCATTTCAGCAAGCAAACTACTTGAATTCATTTTTTCTACAAGCTATTGTTTTTAGAATGAATTTACATTTTTATATTAATTAATTTATTTACTTAATCTCTCATAATTGTAAGTAACCCTCACCAAAAAAGATAGCTTGTATACTATAGTTTATTAAAACGCAAAAAATTAACTGCATGAAGGAAGGAAGGAATTATTTAAAAAAGTTAAGTAAAAATATTCTATCACTTATCTAACATATGGCTAAGAAAATTAAATTAGTTTTAAAAATATTTTTGATACTAATTAAATTTAGACAGTAAATGTGCTCAGATATATTTAAATGTAAAAGTTAACCTAAAATTTAAAAAAAAAAAAAAGAAGCTTGGCTATAAAATAATGTTGAAGTTTTAATAAAAGAATGAAATAGTAAAAATTCTAAATGGCTGAAAGATTAATTGAATAAGTTTTTCTTAGTTAGTCTAAATGTTTACGAGCTAATAATAAAATAGATAGTCTATCTTACAAGAATTACTTCAAATTTGACAAAATTCGTCAATAAAAAAAAATTAATGAAATAATGAAAGAAATATAGAAGGAGAATTTAGATAATATACTCATATGCTATATTCACCTTTAAAAATATTGCATCTAAAAATGACGCTACATTAATAATATTAGATTTCTTTTATTTACTTAGCAAATAAGCCTTCTAAATTAGATAGAATCAATCAGTCTACTTGCTCACTTGATTGCTAACCCTAAGGAATAAAAATATCTTTCAGAATTGTATGTACTAATTTTTAGATTTTAGTTATTTTTAAGATTTAGTAAAGAATGTTTTTCAATTTTAAAAACATTACTTTTTTCAAAGAAAGCAATTTAATAATTTGCAAAAATTAAAACCAAAAAATACAAAAGCCAGACAAATAAACAAAAAAACAAACAAAAAATCAATCTATAAACACAAGTAAAATAGATATGACTACTGAAGCTCAACAACCTACTCAAACTGAATAATCTTCACCTTAACAAAAAAATATTAGACTCAGCGAGTCATATCCTCCAAATAGCACAAATAACAGCTAGTATTTGGCTGAAGTGCATGAGGTAATTAAGAACATAGATCTGTCAACTCTTGATTTCAATGAAAAAATAACCATTCGTGAAATTAATCCACTTGGAAAGGACATAGACTAATTGAAAGTTTTATATAAGGAATGGTTCCCCTTAAATTATGATGATACTTTTTGGAACAAGGTCAGTAAATAACAAGTAGAAGGTTATGTAGCTGAATTAGACCTTACTTCAGAAAGTCTTGATAAGTACATTGTTGGAGCAGTTGTGTTCTATGAAAAAGAAGCTAACAGACAAGACCTTGGATTTTGTCTTGAATACTTCTTCAACAAGCTACAAACTATTTATATATAAACTATTGGAGTCATTAATGAGCTCAGATAATACAAGATTGGTACAAAGCTTTTAGACAAAGTAAAAGATATTGCCTAAAGAAGAAAAAACATAAAATATATTTCACTTCACATGGTAGAATATAATTAATCTGGTGAAACTTTTTATTTAAAGAATGGGTTTTATAAAGTTAGAACTATCTTTAACTTATTCAAGCTGGAAGAGAGATTCTATAACTTCTTCTATTTTTGTTTCTATGTGAATGGAGGCAGTAACCCTCATCAAAACTTTTGGATGAAGGTTCTCCAAAAAATCAGAGAACTTTTCAGAAAATTAGCTGCTTTCATAAAAAGCTTATATTGAAAAAATAAATAAATGAATGGCCTAGAAGAAAGGAGAAATAAATGTTATATCTAAATTTAAAGTTTTAATAAAATTATATTAATTATATTGTATTTATTTATAGTCAAAATTATTTATATAAAGTCACTGTATTCTATTATTTTATTTATTTTCAACCAATAAATCTAATTTAATCCATCATGTCTATTTAATATCAATTTCATCTTCAATCAAAGATGATGTACTTAACTTTTATAGCGTAATCTTTTTAACATATTATTTCATAATTGAGTAATTTAAATTAAAATTTGATTATATTCTTAGATCATAGCATCTATAAATAGTCATTATTCAAAGTATTATTCTACAACAAACCATTCTGCATATATTTATTTGAATCTTTATTAAACTAAGACTTTTAAAAATATTTATATTTTTTCTCATTTTTCAAAATTCAATTTTATTTATCCAATTTTTTTAAGTCAGTAATTATAATTTTAATAAGCTTATTCTACTAAAATTTGTCAAAAATATATAAAATTTTAAAGAAGAGATGCATGAATAATGATAAAGGATAGATATTTTATAAAATTTTTGTATTTTATTTGGTGAGTAACATACAAATTTGTATAATTTTAGTTATAGAATTATTTAGCACTTTTTTATTAATTATACAACCATAAATATATAACTAAATGATAACTAATTCAAGTACATAATAAAACGAAAAAAAATTAATTATTTCATTTAGATTACCTTAAAATGCTTTTTAAAATATATGTTAAATATTCTAATAAATAATAAAACATGATTAAATATTTAAAAAAATATGCTCATATGCTATAATATCATTAAATTAAAATTAATCCACAATAATATAATAGATTTAAAAAACATTAAGATATAAAAATTTTTTTTAATAAAATATATTTATTATTTATGAATATACCCCTTTTAATTCCTTTATTACTTTCATGTCCAGATTAAATTTTCAAATTTTCTAATTAATTTAAAAAATTTACCATTCAAATAAATTAGGTTACCCTGATTATATATGTGTTTTAAAAATTTCCACTTATATATTAAATGTTACTTATTTTAATAAAATGTACTAAATATATAGAAGCACTGCTTAATTGCAATCTTTACTAAGCAAATAAACTAATATTTTAAATTTTCATATTAAAAAAAACTCTAAATCTTCATATTTTTGAATGCGAAAGAAATTTATAAATTAACAACCATAGTTAATTATATTAATCAAAAACTTAATTTTATTTTTTTAAAAAAGACATACTAACTAACTTTTAAAACAGTTTATTAAAAAAATATTTTTTCTTTTGTTTATGAATGAATAATTTTACTTTTTTGAGAATTTTATATAATTAAAGAATACTTTACATAATATTTTTATTCTATATTTCTATCAGTTTTATTTTTTACTATTACCTAAATGAAAGTTAATTTACATAAGAATTGACAGTATGCGTTTTTATGTAGGAGTTTTATTACAATAAAACTATTATATTTCATTTATTTTAAATGATTAATTATATTTAAGAATGAACTTTTATTATTTATTTCATTTTTTTAGTTCCTTAATTTAAAATATAAACATATTAAATTTAAATATTATATTTCAAACTGATAAACGTTAAACGATATATTTTAACATTTTAAGGATAATTTTTTTAGACTTATCGATTTTATCATATAAAAATTTTTAAATTATGACTAATTAGTAAAAATATTTTTGAATGAAGGTTTACAAAATTTGTTTTTTATTGTTTTTTTTATGAAAAAATACTTGTTGATTATTTAATATAACACTAAAATAATATAACATATATAAACATACAAATTTATATTTTAAATAATTATTTAACTCATTTATGTAAACAAAAGGTTTCATGCAAATTAAAAAACATACCTTAAATTTTCACAAATTCACTTTTTATCATTTAGCATATAGCAACGAGTTTTGAAATATGCAAAAAAAATTGTTATTTTCAAGTACTATTTTGTTTCTTGCCAGGGAAGTTTTGGTAATTAAGCTAGATGAGTAAAATTATTTTTTTTTTAATATTCTCTTAAATTTTAAAATTAAATTAATTTATTAAATTTTTAGATCATTTTAAATTAATAAATTCTAATAAAGCAAAATTTTGGTTAATTTAAAAGCTAATAGATATTCATTAATACATATTAAGAAAATATTTTATTTAGTGATTTATTTTTTTTTAAACAAGTTGAACCCTTAAAACAGCTGCTTTTTTATAATAATAAGATTAAAATAGATGATTTTGTTTGAATTAATTAGCATTTTTATTTACTTTTTAACCAGCAAAATATTTTAAATTATGGCAATCAGAAAATAGTAATTTAATTTAAATAGTTAATATGCATGCTATTATATTATTTTAAATTGATAAAAATAAAATTAAGCATTTAAGGGAAAAGGGAGAAGTTTAAAAAATAATTTTGTTTCCAAATTAGTAAAAAAAATTAATTGACATAAAAATAGAAAACTTAGTATATTTATTTATTATCTAGAATATTTATTTTATATGTTTAACGAAAAACAATAGCTTTTTGTCAAAATTAGAAGTTTAGAAAATTTCTAAGATTCTTTAATTATAAAAATAATTAATTATAAATAAATTAGGGAAGATTCTCGTCTAATAGAAAAGATAAAATATTCCTTTTTTTGATTTAAATCAATGATTAAAAAACTTTATTTAGTAGTGAAATTAAATTTACAAAATTAAATTAAAAAATAAACAAGTAGATATATAAAAATAGCAGATTCTCAAATTAAAAATGCTCGACTGGAAAGGTTTACTAAAATGGAGTGTTACCCATTCAGGTATATTTTATTAAAATTACATTTTTTATTTTTAAATTCTCTCTTCTAAAAAGATGGTACTCAAAAGAAGGATCTCAAGCCTATGGATGAAGAAACCAAAAATTGGTTAATGGAAGCTTTAGCTGAACATGCTCTCCAAGATGTAACTAAAATATAAGCATTTAAAATATCAATTAATAAAATTATATGAAAAATAATAAACAGGTGAAAAGAATGTAAGAAATATTATCTAAAGTGCATGAAGACGATAAGGGAACTTAAGAAGATGAAAATGAAAAAATAGCTCTTCTTGAAGAATTAGAAGATATAGTTGATAATCTTGACATGGCAGATTGTAATTTGAATATATTTTTTATTATTTTTATAACTAATTATTTTTAAATCAATTTAAAGCATTATATCACATTGGAGGTTTAGTAGAACTTATTAGATAAGCTAAGTAAAGTAAATATCCAAGAGTTTAGCATATATCCTTAAGCATCTTTATCACTTGCAACTAAAATAATCCTCACATTTAGCAATGGTCAATAGTAGAAGGTGCATTTTAGTTTTTAAATCTTATCTTGAATTCAGATAATATGAAAACAAAGGAATGGGCTTTAGCAGCTATAAGCAGTTTAATCAGAGGTGAAAACTTACAATCTAAGAGAGATTTTATTGAGATTGAGGGTGTCTAATTCAATTTAGAGATCTTAAAGGATAAAACAGGTAAGTACTCTGATAAAATGAAAGCCAAAGCTTTGACTATGTTAAAAGATTTAGTATTCTATGACCATAGACTTCACTTTACTTACAATAATTTAGATAAATTTTCAAATACTAATGCAAAAGTAGTGAACGGAAAACCAAGCTAACTAATTAAGACTAATAATAGTGAAAAGAATAACAAAGTATCTTATGATTAAAATGAAGAACTCAAATAAGAAAACGAAAAACCTGAAAATGCTAAATATAAAGATAGTGTAAAGAAATATTTGATAGAATAAAATTTCATAAATGACTTTTTCTTCTATCTTGACACCCTTGAAAACAACTTGTTGGACTCAAGAGTTTGCTATCTTGATATTCTCAAGCACATCTTAGAGTTCTCACCTGAATTACAAACTCAATTCAAGGTAAATTAAACTATTATTAAATTAATGTATTTTAACTAATTTTTATTCTTATTTTAGAACGAAAAGCTTTAAATTTTGAAATAGAAGATGTTATCAGTAATGAAACACAACTCTAAAAATGAAAATCTTAATGAATTTGAAATAAGCTAATATAAAGATGTCTTAGTATAATTAGAAAAGAAATAATGAAACCAATCAAAAACCACAAAATTAAACAAAAATAATTCTAATAAAATAATAATAATAAATAAATAAAACGCAATTAATTTTTAACTTATTAATTATTTAATCTAAAATATTATTTATTAACTAAATAAATAAATACATTTTAAAATAGTTTTTGTAAATATATAAATTTGTAAATGTCTTCATAAATTGAAATTTAATTTTGCTCATTTCTATATTTTTTGATAAAATTAAACAAAACTTTTAACTTATTTATATTGAAAAGCATGGAAATTTCTTTTGATTTATTTTCTCTCTGTAAAATTAATTTATTCTATCATTTCAAAAATATTTTTTAAAACTTGTTTAAAATTAACTTAAAATATTCTAATATATTTTTTCTAGCCAATGTCAAGTAATTTATGTATTTAGTAGATAAAATAAGAATTTTAAATTGATAAACAAAATGTAATTTTGATCATAAATATATAATTAACCTGAATACAAAAATGCTTTTAAATTTATTTTATCTGAAAAAACTTTTCATTCTTTTTATGATTATATTTCATTTTTAAATTTATTTATTTATTTAACCATTTTAAATAAATATTTTCTTGAAATATATATCTTAAAATGTGTTGTTAATTAACTTAAAGTATTCTTAATTATATTTGATTTGCTAATATTAAGCATTTTATTTATTTAAAAATAATTAAAAAGTTAAATTTATCAAGAAATAAATTAACTTTATAATTTAATTCAAAATAATTTTATTTTTCAGTTTATCTTTGAAAGAGTTTTAATTGTAACTTTTTATAAATTTATCTGTTGAATAAATAATATCTTTTTAAAGATATGAATAATTTTTTTATTTTTTAAAGTGTCTAATAAATAAATTATTCTTTTTTTTATTTTACTTTTTTAAAAATAAAACAATAAAATTTGAATTGAATTGGAGTTAAATTATTCAGAATATTATAAAAATAGAAATATTTTTTATCAGCAATTAACCTTCGCATTAATATCATTATTGGAAGGAGCATTCAAAAGAGTTTTTATTATCCAATCAGTGCAGACATTAGATTATCGTAAAAGATAAAAGAATGCAATTGGTATATAAATAGTCTTTTGAAAGATCTCCAACCATTTAACATCGGCCTTTTGTATTGTCATCATTAAATATTTCTATTTCTAAATATTTGAATCAGCTTATTTTATTAAAACTTACTATATAATTTAGCTTAATTATTTACATTTTTTTTCATTTTTTTTGAAATTTGTAATTATTTTGTGATTAAATAATTACCAATTTAGAGAATGAATAGTTGAATTTAAATAAAAAAAATACATAAATAAATATATAAATAATATAGATTCTATTAGAAGATTCATTATGAAGTTTAAAAAATGATAGATAACATTTAAAAATAATTTATAAACTACTAAAAATAATACAAAAATAAATATGAGTCTACAAGATATTATTTTAAATAATTTTAGATACTAGCTTATTTTATATATTTTATTCCTTCAATCGTCGTCTTCTTCGCCTTCTTCTTCTCCTTCTGCCTTTTCTTCTTCTTGTTCGTCCTTGGTAGAAGTGAAGAGATCCTTTTCTTGTCTAGCAGGTAAAACGAAGTCCTTTTTTATTAGATTTTGTTAAGAAAATAATTTTATTTTGAATAATAATAGAAAAAAATTAATTGTTTTTGTGCTATTTTAAGAAATTTCTTATTTAATTTAAATAGATTCTAAAAGAAGTTAAAAGAAATAGTTTAAAAAGTAATTACTAAGGATAAAGACTTTGCAAGCTTAGTGTAATTTTATTCGTAAATACCAAATCTTCTAATTTGATTAATGAGTCTCTTCATGTCACGATTATGAGGTTTCTTTTTGTGTTAAAATTTAAATTTTTAGAAGCAAATCCTCATATTTTCGTATGCAGTAAATAATTTTTCTTTTCTTTTTTTTAAAGTTTTTGCATTCAATCAATAATTTACCAATAAATCTTCATCAGCCATGTAAACTTCGGCAACTTGCTCAAAACGGAGTTGAGGGAGAAGTAAATGACTCAACCAAATAGGATAAGTATTGATGGGATTTAATTCCTATTTTATATATATTGCTTTAATTAATGCTATTAATAAATTGATAAAATCTGTTATAATTTATTTGCTGTGAAGCTATTTTAATTCATAATTACGGGATCAGTTCTATCTTTCCAAATATTGATGACATCTTCAGATGTAATTTCGGCAGGACCACCTGCACCACCCTTCTTCTTCTTAGGTCCTCTAATTACTGCTTCTAAAGCACTCTATTATATAATATAATTTTTAATTCATCCTGCTATTATAATTATTGGATGAGATTATAAATCTCGCTATTATGATTTGAAAATTTGTATTGATTTTTACAGAGTTTGCTATACGGTTGTTTCTAACTAAACGAGCAAAATTCATTTTTTAATGACCTCAATTAAAATTAATATAAATTAATTAAATATATGAATCTTGAGGTATTCTATACTAAACTAATAATCAATACATAATAAAAATTTATTATCAAAAAAGTATATCTAAATTTTCTTTGCTTTATTTATATTTTTTGCCTTATTATTTTTCATCTTAAAATTCATTTTTTTTTTTGCCATTTGCTCTAACAAATATATCCTTATCCAGCTAAGTTTTAATTTACAAATTAATTTATTTTATTTGCATACTGGTCAAGGTAATTGTAAAAATGATTAAATTAAAATTATTTTTGATTCTACTGATTGTTTTAAAAATTAAATTTAGTTGAATTTTAATTAAAAATAAAAACTGCTTTAACACATTTTTAATTGAGTTTGTATCTTTTATTTATTGAATAAAAAAATAATGATTGATTAAAACTATTCATTTAGCTCAGTGAAATGCTAAAATTAAATAAATTATGATACTTAGTTCTCTTACAAGTTGCATTTTATCTGTGAAAATTTGATTAGATGAAAATATTTTGTTAAAAATTGCACCTAGACATTTAAAACTTATGCTTTTGACAAAAAATTTTAAATTTAAAAGAATGATATTGCAAATTTCCCCAATACGATAAGATCCAAACAATTTAAATAGATAGTTATTCTCAGTCAAAAACTATTGGCTTTGCTAGAGCTTCTTTTATATTTAGTTTTAAAAGAGTTTAATTTACATCTATTATTAGAATATTAAAAAAATGATTGTGTCAAATTTAGATATAAAAGCGTAAATAAGATTTTATTTATTCATTTTTGAAAAAAAAAAGTGATTGAGTGAGTGAGTGAGCAGGCAAGTAAGTGAGAAAATAAGAAAAAGATAATAAGAAGTAAGATATCAAACAAAAAGTTTGTTGAATTTTCTTAATTCTTACCTTATCTTTTTCCAATTAACTCATAATGTATCATTTGGATTTTTCGTTATGAAATGAGAAAAATCTCACTCGGTATGCATTCATTTTTTATGTCAAAATGATAATATTTTATTAATTTATTTATTTATTTATTAATAAAGTCCAAATTTTGATGAAATCTTGAAAAGATATTAAGAGGCATTACAAAGGTTAAGTGAAGCAACAAAACAAACAGACAAATAGGAACGTAGTTCTCCTTTAAAATCTCTTAATAATCGATATAATTTTAATACATACACTTATAATAGTACTCTACAGAGAGAGCTACTTACTCAATGCATTTAAAATATCGATGAAACGCATGCTAACTAAAAGTACTAACTACATTCCCTTTTTGTATTATCCTGATTTGCTATACTTTTAAGATGATTATTTTTAATACTTTTGTTGTTTATTTGTTTTATTTGTAAAATATCTCAAACTGCTCATTGAGGAGTATCTCTGAAAATAGTAGGAACAATGATATTATGTTTGGGAACATTCAATTCTTGAGGATAGAAAGTGTACAAAGGATCTTCAAGGATCTTTTGATTGAGACGATTGACGTGAACTGTCCAAAGGTGTTCCATATGAGTGTAGTATTTTTGATTCAAAGCATACTCTGTATAAAGCAAAGGTAAAACTAAAGTGTGAAGATATTGACGGAAGAGTCTGTGAGTACCGAAATAGCGACCATATTCTCTCAAAACTGGTAAAACTGCACCTTTTCTAGCGAATTGGTAGATGGAAAACCATGAAACAGCAGTGAAGAGTAAAGAATTGGTAAGATAACTTTTTCTATCTTCTTATAATTCAGCTTAAGTTGCTCTAATAGTCTTTTGATAAGTGTAAAATTTGCTTAAGGTATCTAACTTGGCATCAATGTTAAATTGGTTTAAGAAGCGTCCAAAGAATGTCTTTGGGGTTTCATATTTAAGACCTTCATAATATTTTCTATTGATGTCATTTTCGGGTAAGCTATCGAAATATTAACGAGCTAATTATCTATTGTTGTGAGGCAATATCATCTCTTTTATTTACTTTCCTTCTTCTCTAATATTGTTATTATTATTTGATTAATTTTTCCCTTTTTATTTTTTTTAATTTCCTTTTATTTGATTTCTTTCCTCAAGTCTTTTATTTTCTTTGATTTTTTGTCATTAAGATGGATACATACATACACATTCATAGAATCAATCAAACAAACAAACAAAACATACATATATAATAAATAAATAATAAATACCCTTATAACAATTTTAATAATTAAAAAGCTAATGCAAATTCTGAAGTAATTAGGAAATAATTATAAAAATACATGCATTTATTCTGCACAAAATAATAAATATTTATTTTTAACAAATCCTTCTTTTTTGTTTGATATTTATTATTTTTTTGAATCTTTTACCATATCAAAGAAGATTTTTTTGCAAATTATTTTTTATTTCACTATTCATTTTCTTCAATAAATAGGTATTTTGAAGAGTTTTGTTTTTTAATTGTTAAAAATTATTATTTTAAAATTAATTTTAATTTCTTATTTGAAAATACAACTAAAAATATTTTATTTTTCAAATTGACAAGCTCGGCAAAGTAAGAAGTTTTTAACTGATTTTTAGAGTTTAAAACTGCGAATAAGACAATATTCTAACTTATGAATTTGTTTAAAAACTATAGAAAAGATTTTTTTTTAATTTAGATAAAATAAACCTTTCAATTTGTTAAAATGACTAAAAATTTAATTTTAATTTTAAGTTAACATTAAAGACCTGTTAAATAATATAATTTAAAATACAATCCAGCAAAAATATTAAATAGCTTATAAATATATTAATAATTCTAACATTCTTAACTTTTTATTATTGTATAAAAAATCATATTTTTTTTTAATTGGGGTTGGGGTTGGGGTTGGGGTTGGGGTTGGGGTTGGGGTTGGGGTTGGGGTTGGGGTTGGGGTTGGGGTTGGGGTTGGGGTTGGGGTTGGGGTTGGGGTTGGGGTTGGGGTTGGGGTTGGGGTTGGGGTTGGGGTTGGGGTTGGGGTTGGGGGTTGGGGTTGGGGTTGGGGTTGGGGTTGGGGGTTGGGGTTGGGGTTGGGGTTGGGGTTGGGGTTGGGGGTTGGGGTTGGGGTTGGGGTTGGGGTTGGGGTTGGGGTTGGGGTTGGGGTTGGGGTTGGGGTTGGGGTTGGGGTTGGGGTTGGGGTTGGGGTTGGGGTTGGGGTTGGGGTTGGGGTTGGGGTTGGGGTTGGG